GCTGGTGATGTTTTGCTCATGGATTCGTAGCAAAATTAGAGGTAGTAATGGTTTTGGTGCTGTTACGGAGAGTTTGAAAGATAGGAGGGGTTTCGGGTTTAAGTCGGCTCTGTTTTGTAGCTTAGCTCTGTCTCTGCTTAATCTCGCGTTGATGTCGCTGAGTGGTTTCTATTGGTACGAGAGTGATTGGTTAGATAAAGAAGAGCTAGTTTCTTTTGTCGGGTTTCTGTTGGCAATGGTTTCTTGGGGGATTTTGTCGATTTGCTTGCATCGATACAGTGATTATGAGCAAAAGTTTCCGTTCTTGCTTAGGCTCTGGTTGGGTTTCTATCTAGCGGTTTCTTGCTACTCTCTTGTGGTAGACATTGTTATGTACAAGAGACAAGAAACCATACCTGTTCATCTTCTAGTGTACGATATGGTTTCTTTTGCTGCTGCTTTGTTTCTCGGTTATGTGGCTTTCTTCAAGAAAGCTAGAGGCAACAGCAATGGAGTTTTGGAAGAACCACTCTTGAATGGAGATTCTAGTGTTGGTGGTAGTGTAGAGCTGAGTAAAGCCAATGGGGGTGATGAGGCTACTCCGTACTCGAGATCTGGCATTTTCGGTCTTTTGACTTTCTCTTGGATGAGCCCGTTAATAGACCTTGGAAATAAGAAAGCCCTTGATCTAGAAGATGTTCCGCAGCTTCATGATAGTGACAGTGTAGTCGGGTTAGCCCCTAAGTTTAGGAGCATGCTTGAATCATCAGATGGTGGTGAGAGAAGTGGCGTGACCACGTTCAAGCTCATAAAAGCGTTGTTCTTTTCGGCTCAGTGGGAGATTCTAGTGACTGCATTCTTTGTTTTCATCTACACGGTCGCATCATATGTTGGGCCAGCTCTCATTGATACTTTCGTTCAGTACCTTAATGGACGTAGACAGTACAACAACGAAGGATATGTGCTAGTCATTACTTTCTTTGTTGCGAAGCTTGTGGAGTGCCTTTCGCAGAGACATTGGTTCTTTAGGTTACAGAAGGTTGGTATTAGGATGAGATCTTCCTTGGTTGCGATGATATACGAAAAGGGTTTGACCCTTTCTTGCCATTCAAAGCAAGGACGCACAAGTGGGGAGATTATAAATTTTATGACTGTGGATGCTGAGAGGATTGGTAATTTCAGTTGGTACATGCATGATCCATGGATGGTTTTGTTACAAGTCGGTCTAGCTCTGTGGATCTTGTATAGAAATCTTGGATTAGCATCAATAGCGGCTTTGATTGCTACCATTCTAGTTATGCTTGTGAACGTCCCATTCGGGAGAATGCAAGAGAGGTTTCAGGAGAAGTTAATGGAAGCTAAGGATAGCCGGATGAAATCAACATCTGAGATCTTGAGAAACATGAGGATTCTCAAACTTCAGGGGTGGGAGATGAAGTTTCTGTCCAAGATATTCGATCTTAGGAAATCTGAGGAAGGATGGCTGAAAAAGTATGTGTATAACTCAGCTGTTATAAGCTTTGTTTTCTGGGGGGCTCCTACTTTGGTGTCAGTCTCCACTTTCGGTGCATGTATACTTCTTGGAATCCCTCTTGAGTCTGGCAAGATACTATCAGCGCTTGCAACCTTCAGGATTCTACAAGAGCCGATCTACAATCTTCCCGACACTATCTCCATGGTTGTGCAAACAAAAGTCTCTCTTGATAGAATTGCATCCTATCTTTGTCTAGACAATTTGCAGCCGGACGTTGTAGAGAGGCTTCCTAAGGGAAGTTCAGACATAGCTGTGGAAGTGACCAACAGCACTTTGTCTTGGGATGTCTCATCCGCTAGCCCGACTTTAAAAGACATCAATTTCAAGGTCTTTCCTGGGATGAAGGTTGCAGTTTGTGGTACTGTTGGCTCTGGGAAATCAAGCTTGCTTTCATCTATACTAGGAGAAGTACCAAAGATATCTGGAAGTCTTAAGGTTTGTGGGACAAAAGCGTACGTTGCGCAGTCTCCTTGGATTCAGAGCGGTAAAATTGAGGACAACATCTTGTTTGGTAAGCCTATGGAAAGGGAACGATATGAAAAAGTGCTTGAAGCATGTTCTTTGAATAAGGATCTGGAGATACTCTCATTTGGGGATCAGACTGTCATCGGAGAACGCGGCATCAATCTGAGTGGTGGACAAAAGCAAAGGATACAGATTGCACGTGCTCTCTACCAAGATGCAGATATCTATCTATTCGATGATCCTTTTAGTGCTGTGGATGCTCACACAGGGTCACATCTCTTCAAGGTACAATCTTCTGTCTTTGCCATTCTTGTGATTAGTTATCTTTATAACCGCATCATATTGATTTTCATTCTTACTCTTCTTTCAGGAAGTTTTGCTGGGGCTTTTGTGTTCCAAATCGGTTATATATGTAACTCATCAAGTTGAGTTCTTACCTGCTGCTGATCTTATCCTGGTACGTGATTTATTTACTTTTTTATAATCTTCTTTATTTTGTTTGAGGAAAAATGAAGTCATCCAAAATCATCTGTCTTGTGTCTCAGGTCATGAAAGATGGAAGGATCAGCCAAGCTGGAAAATACAATGATATCCTCAGCTCTGGAACAGATTTCATGGAGCTTATAGGTGCACATCAGGAGGCTCTGGCGGTAGTTGGTTCGGTTGATGCCAATTCTGTTTCTGAGAAATCAGCTTTAGGCGAAGAAAATGGTGTTGTGAGAGATGCTATTGGCGTTGATGGGAAACAAGAAAGCCAAGACTTGAAGAACGAGAAATCAGACTCTGGGGAGCCCACAAGACAACTTGTGCAAGAGGAAGAGAGGGAGAAAGGTAGCGTAGCTTTGGCTGTATACTGGAAATATATCACACTAGCGTACGGAGGAGCTCTTGTGCCTTTCATATTGTTGGCACAAGTTCTATTTCAGCTTCTTCAGATTGGGAGCAACTACTGGATGGCTTGGGCTACTCCTGTTTCTAAGGATGTGGAAGCTCCTGTGAACATTTCCACGTTAATGATTGTGTATGTTGTTTTGGCCGTTGGAAGTTCCCTCTGCATTCTTGTTAGAGCCACGCTTCTTGTCACAGCTGGTTACAAGACTGCTACTCAACTGTTTCACAAAATGCACCACTGCATTTTCCGTTCTCCGATGTCTTTCTTTGATTCCACTCCAAGTGGAAGAATCATGAATAGAGTACGTCGCTGGCCACTATAGTTATTTAAGAATCTTTTCATATATGTTCTTGTTGTGATCAATGTTTTTTTATATTTTTTCCTGCTATAGGCTTCTACCGACCAATCCGCGGTGGATTTGGACATACCGTATCAATTTGGATCAGTTGCTATCACAGTCATTCAGCTTATTGGAATCATTGGAGTTATGTCTCAGGTTTCTTGGCTGGTTTTCCTTGTCTTCATTCCTGTGGTTGCTGCCTCCATATGGTATCAGGTAATAAACTTACAATCTAATTGTTCATAAGAGTTGATTCTTTTAAATTTCTCGCTAAGTTTATGTTAGTGGGGAAGTTGTGACAAAAAGATTTCAACTTTGCAGCGATATTACATAGCTGCAGCACGAGAACTTTCACGGTTAGTTGGAGTCTGCAAAGCCCCTCTGATTCAGCATTTTGCTGAGACGATTTCAGGGTCGACAACCATCAGAAGTTTCAGTCAAGAATCTAGATTCCGTTGTGACAACATGAGGCTGAGTGATGGTTACTCTAGGCCCAAATTCTATTCAGCTGGAGCAATGGAGTGGCTTTGCTTCCGCCTTGATATGTTATCTTCGCTTACATTTGCCTTTTCACTGGTTTTCTTGATCTCCATACCTACCGGAGTGATTGATCCAAGCCTTGCGGGATTAGCCGTGACTTATGGACTCAGCTTGAATACTCTGCAAGCTTGGCTGATCTGGACTCTCTGTAATCTAGAGAACAAAATCATATCTGTAGAGAGAATACTTCAGTATGCAAGTGTTCCAAGTGAACCACCTCTTGTGATCGAATCGAACCGACCTGAGCAATCATGGCCTTCACGTGGAGATGTAGACATCCGTGATCTTCAGGTATCTAATCTATATATACCTTTGACCTACCAAGATTTCATGCTCTAGATTACCTACTTGTTTTATTTCCATTCTTAACCATTTGGAAACTTTTTTGACACATTGTTAGGTCCGATATGCTCCACATATGCCACTTGTGTTGCGAGGAATAACATGCACATTCAAAGGAGGTTTAAGAACAGGAATTGTTGGAAGGACAGGAAGTGGGAAATCGACTCTGATACAAACCCTTTTCCGCATTGTAGAACCTTCAGCAGGAGAAATCAGGATAGATGGAGTGAATATTTTGACAATTGGGTTGCATGACTTGCGTTTAAGACTAAGTATTATACCCCAAGATCCAACCATGTTTGAAGGAACTGTGAGAAGTAACTTGGATCCTCTTGAAGAGTACACAGATGATCAAATCTGGGAGGTGGGTCGGTTTGATATTGATGATTCTTTAACTAGTAAGAAACTGTTTAGTCTCGACTAATGAATGATTTCGCTGTGTTTTTAGGCTCTTGACAAGTGCCAGTTAGGAGACGAGGTGAGGAAAAAGGAGCAAAAGCTCGACTCCAGTGTGAGTGAGAATGGAGATAACTGGAGTATGGGTCAGAGACAACTTGTGTGTCTCGGGAGAGTTCTTCTCAAGAGAAGCAAAATCTTGGTGCTTGATGAAGCCACTGCTTCTGTTGACACTGCAACTGACAATCTGATTCAGAAAACGTTAAGAGAACACTTTTCAGATTGTACAGTGATAACCATTGCACACAGGATATCTTCGGTTATTGACAGCGACATGGTTCTGCTTCTTAGCAATGGTATGTCTGAAACTTTCAAATCATTCGATAGAACATGTGTGAAGATGAATCATTGAGGAGTGTCTTGTTTTGGTATATGTGCAGGGCTGATTGAGGAGTATGATTCGCCACTGAGATTGCTCGAGGACAAGTCTTCATCTTTTTCTAAACTCGTGGCTGAGTACACCGCAAGATCAAGTTCCAGTTTTACATGAACCTCTATTTTCTTAGTGATGACGATGAAAAAAAAAATTACTTAGGGACCATTAGTTTCTGAGTCGCTGCAACATTAGCTGGATTATGATTCACAAGAAAGAATCACTTGTTCTTAGATTATAAGCTTGTAATGTTTAAGTTTAAAAACGATGACTCGCTACTTCAAATTAATGCAATAAAAGATGTTAATTCTTCTTATCGAAAACTTGAAACTTAACAGAACGGCATCTGAACCTTGACAGAACGGTTCTTATTGATGTACTTGGTAAAATAGAATCTAACGTACCGAGAGGCATATTCGTTGAAGAGCAAACCGGATTGGTTATACCAAGATGACGGCTTATGCGTGGTTGCTTGGTTGGTGGGAACGATAGGGGTATTAGTGTCATTTAACCATCTCTGCCACTTGCTCGCGAGTCGCGACTTTGGTCTGAGAAAACAACGGAGGAAAGGCGCAGCCTTTTTTCCTCGCAACATCACCATTTTCGGCTTTTCGCTGCCGGAGGGGTTTCCCTTTTCAGCTATGAACACTCGTTCTCAGTTTCAAGCTAACCATTTTGTTTTTACTAAACAGATAACTATCCTTTTGGTGTACCAACTTTAAACGTTTCTGAGCAATTAGAAAATTGACTGATTAAGGAAGAGCCGTCTTATCTTTCTTCGCACTTTGGCTCTTCCCACGCACACATACCTGAGGAATTATCAGCTAGGTTTTTCGGGGATTCTGTTTTTCTTCTTCTTCTTCTTCATTTTTTGTTTTTTTTTTCTCTAGGGTTTTCTAGTATCAGATTCTTATGACGGGTATGGCACTTGAATTATCGGTTCTGGGACGATCTGTCATTGGCTCAAAAACCTCAAATTTGAAGAGATATGGTCAAAAATCGAAGCTTTCAGGAAGACTTCTCCCAAGAACTGAGCTGCACTGCCCTATGGTGTTGAATTCTTCTGAAAACTCCAATTTGAGTTTAAGATTCCGACGAAGTTGTGAATCTAGCTACAGAAGTCGCTGTATGGTGTTTAGCTCGAGTCAATATCACGAGGGTAGTCAACAAAATTCCGATTCCGGCGAAAAGGAGCTGGAGTCGATTAAAGTTTTGCTGAAACGTGGGATTGTTATAGGAGCAGTGGTGTGTGGAGTTTTCTTATACGGTTGCCAAAAGGTGTTAGCATCGGCAGGTGTGGTGGAAGCAGGCTATGAGGTGTTTGGTCAGAGCTTAGTGTTGTTCAAGAATGCTTTGCCAAAAATTTACCAGGTTCTTAGAGTTCTTAGAGAGCAAGGTCTAATCTTGGCTGCCCTACTCAGCCTCTCAGCATTCTTCTCTATGGCAGAGACGTCCATTACCACACTGTGGCCGTGGAAGGTAAAATCATGTCTTTCGTTTGATTTGATTGGGAATTCCTTTTTTCTGTGATTTAGTAATGGTAATGCTAAAAAAATGTAGAACGCTTTAGGTTTGTGTGATCTTTATATTTTCTATAATGGGGACGAAAACCTTGGTTTTAAAACAATGAGATTGAAGTTAGGAAACGTGAAACTTCCATGGATTTTAGATTTGAGATTCTTTAAAGGATGATATAATTGTGATATGTTCTTTCTGGTTGTTTTATAGAGTGCGTTGTGTCACCTCCTGTCTCTTTTCTGGTCTCTAATGTTCTAATTTAGTGATCTGATTGGTTTTAAAATATTGCTGCTATATGTGCGGTTGATCACAGGTTCGTGAATTGGCTGAAAAAGAGCCAGAGAATGGTGTATTCAGAATGCTCCGGAGTGATGTTACCAGATTCTTGACGACTATACTTATTGGAACAACGTACTGCTTTTTTTTCCTGGATGCAATTTGTCTTTAGAGGATTGCTTGAAAATATGTCTCTTATTTTAGGTCTTGTGGTTGGTCTTAGTGTTGTGAATATTGCGGCAACTGCCCTGGTCACCGAAGCAGCAACAGTTATATTTGGGGAAGCTGGTGTTAGTGCAGCCACTGGATTGATGACAGTACGTATAATTGTTTCAATATTTTTTCATATCTGTTAACTTTTAGTCCTTCAGTTTGGTTTAGTACTACGCCTCTTTCGTTTTTGTGTGGATATTCTTTGATCAGCATCATTGCTCTCTAAGTTTTCATTCTTGAATGACTATATAGGTGGCTATATTACTCTTGACTGAGATCACTCCAAAAAGTGTTGCTGTCCACAATGCTCAAGAAGTTGCAAGGATTGTGGTAAGTTTGAATTATTTGGCATGGGTTCACTTTAACAAACTTTATGTGGATAAGCGGATACCCAATTGCTTTGCTCATTTTGACCCTTCTGATAGGAAATAGCTTAACTGTTCAACTATTTTAATAAAGGAAAACATGACTTATGTTGTCTTGACGGTGCATCTAGGTCAGGCCAGTGGCGTGGCTTTCCTTAGTATTATATCCTGTCGGAAGAATTGTCACATATCTGTCAATGGGAATACTGAAAATTCTTGGTTTGAAAGGACGGAGGTATGCATCAACCTAGACTTGTTTTAGTCTCTCTTAAATTTTTGACATGCTAAATAAAATAATATTAGATTTGGTTTGCTGCATTTTCCTGCCTTTCTCCTTGCTGAAAGTTGGCGGATCCTCATTTGAATTGCTTGTTTTGTGTATGTGTCAGTGAACCATATGTAACTGAAGATGAGTTGAAACTGATGCTTCGGGGTGCAGAATTAAGTGGCGCCATTGAGGAAGAGGAGCAGGTATGAGTTTTGTAGTATCTTAGTTTTTCGTTTAAAAATCTATGCCATACCTAACGTTATTCTAATGATTGCTCTGCAGGATATGATTGAAAATGTGCTGGAGATAAAGGATACCCATGTTCGAGAGGTGATGACTCCTCTTGTTGATGTAGTTGCAATTGACGCCAGTGGCAGTCTAGTTGATTTCCATAGTATGTGGGTGACCCATCAGTACTCGAGGTAAATAAATTCCCAAAGCCTTCTTTTGATGAATCCCTTTCCATTCCTGGGGATTGTTGATCGTGCTCAAACATTTCTTCTCAGGGTGCCTGTTTTTGAGCAGCGTATAGATAATATAGTGGGAATCGCATATGCTATGGATCTTCTAGATTATGTTCAGAAGGTTTGACGGTTTTCTTTTCTGCTTCTTGCTTCCAGCATCTCCTACGGTTTATTTATGTTAATCTATCTGTGGTGTAGAATGAAATATTTCGTGTTTGATTTTGAAGGGTGATCTGCTAGAATGTACTTCTGTGGGAGACATGGCACATAAACCTGCCTACTTTGTCCCGGGTATTTGTCTATGTATATGCTTTTGGATTTGATACCTAAGCCTTAGGCATTTGATTACTTTGGAGTTTCAAACATTATCATATTAATTCTACACAGTGAATTACGTCCCAGGGAGAGAATCGATTGATATATGTTATATTTTGCAGATTCAATGTCAGTTTGGAATCTTCTTAGGGAATTTCGCATAAGAAAGGTTCATATGGCAGTTGTCCTTAACGAATATGGTGGAACCATTGGAGTATGTGCTGCTCTCCTACTATGCTTCTCTACTCTCTCTCTTCCACAATTTGCTAATCTCTCTCCTATCTAATTTGTTTCTGCAGATTGTAACTCTTGAAGATGTGGTCGAAGAGATTGTTGGTGAAATATTTGATGAAAATGATTCAAAAGTAAATATCCTACTTTCAACTTTTTTTTAGAAAATCACTCTAGACCTGCTGATATAAATTTATCATACGAAATTGTTTTTCCTATTAGTAAGGTTCTATTCCATTACTTGATTTCTAGCCTCTATGATTTTGGCTCAATAGGAGGAGATTCAGAAGAAAACAGGGTATATTGTGATGAGAGACGAGGGGATATATGATGTTGATGCTAATACATCGATTGACCAGCTATCCGAAGAACTGAATATGAAGATGCCAGAGGTAATGTAATTTTTAGCAGTGGTTTTGATACCTGCGTCCTTAAGAGCATTCCTCAAGGTTACTTAGAAACTTTGAAAACAAAACGCATCTTCAAGGATACGTGTAGGCAGAGAAAGTTTTATTGAAGCCCTCGAAACATGTTAGTGACGCTGGCATTTTAGAACTTAAAACCCACCGTGTTTGTTTATTTGGGAAGCAGGACATTCAGTATGAGACAGTCTCAGGCTTTGTGTGTGAGGCCTTTGGGTATATCCCAAAAACTGGAGAAAGTGTAAAGGTTGTTCTTGAAAAGGAAAACTGGGAAGAGGATGGTGAAGAAGAAGAAGGTAAACAGGAGAGGCAGGAGCAGAAGGAAAAGCACCAAATCTATAGAGTAGAGGTACTAAGTGAACTTTTATAATCATATTTTCCAGTGGTCCACCAAAAGCATCTTCATTGTTTTGCACTGATGAAATCTTTATGGTGTACAGATACTAGCAGGGAATGCAAGAAAAGTGAGTGCTGTCCGGTTTGAAAGAGTCAACGACATGGATCAAGTGTCTGAGGCAAAAGATGTAAAAAGCATGGTTCCTAAATTCGTAAGGAAATGGAGCAGCGAAGAGGATGATGGGAACTCGTCCTACCAAGAAAAATCCGAGCATGCTGTCTCAGATGAACATGTCTTGGCTGATAATAGCAAGAAACAACAATGACTTTGAGACACTTTTTTTGTTCTCTCTTTATATTGCCGCATTTTTCAATTCTTCTTTGAAAAGTAAAGGGGAACACTGAGGCTGTCAAAGCTCTTTAACCAAAATAAGAAGAAAGCTCACAAATACGAGAAGCTTTCTTCTTAGCTTCAATGTAATAATCAGGATGGATAAATTTCGAAAAATTCGTGCAAGGTAAATACTATATAAGAAAAACAACCCCACAAACAAATTAAAAGAAATGTGAATCTAGTATTGGTTTAAATTTAATATGTCCATTTCTGCTTACGAACAGTGGACCCTGTTTCTGAAATAGATCTTTCTACTTAATAAACAGAGCACTCTGTTTCTTCTATTCACAACTTTCCTCGAGTCTGTCTCCGGTGGATAAAACAGAGATGAGAAGGTTGGAAAACTTTGTTAAACTTGTCTGGTTATGGTTTAATTATTGACATCTTACGTAAAGATCAGAGTTTTCGGGATTTTTATTTTTGCAGTTTGATTGTGCGTTTGTAGATGATGGATTTGTCAGAGTGTTGTATGTCTTTGGATTGTTCTATGACACTAAGAATGTTCTTCCCTTTTCTGAATGTATAAAAAACTAATCTAAATGTTAAGACATGATCTGAAACAAAAACTCAAATAATAGAATCTCTGTCTCTCTTTCCATCCACCATCTGTACCACCTATCTCTCTATACAAACCTGAATCCAATTGCTTTCTTTTTGAGTTCCTAGTCGAGTTTCATCAGAAGTTTCTCAAGTTTTAGCCTTAAATCTCTAATAGATTTGTTCTTCTTCTTCTTTGGGGCATCAACACAACAACTTGAGGCACTAGACTACACTAGCCTCTTCAGTGCATCCACCACATTTGACACTGGAGGCCGAAGCCCAGGCTCCGTCTGAAAAACAACAAATAGCAATCCACCCTCACTAACCAAGAACACATATAACAAACAACACATAGAGAATCACCAATGACTGTACCATTACGCAGATTGAAACTATATCCGCGAATGCCGATACAGATTCTGGAGGGTAGAGTCCACACAACGCAGGATCCACCATTTCCACCAGAGTATCCATGTCTTTAAGCTGCGGCTTTGCCCAACGAACTAGAGACTGTTCTGCTTTCGGCCTATCACTGTAGATTAGAGGCAAGCAAGAACAATTTCAGATGATTCTATATCGCAGATTATAACATTTTGAAAGAGATGTTTGATAGTTGAAACCTGTCGTAAGGCATTCGACCAGTTAGCAGCTCCAGCATCACCACACCAAAGCTGTACACATCGCTCTTTAGTGTGTAAGCCAAGGGATCCGTGCATTCTGGGGCATTGTATCCTACTCCAAGATTCTGACTTGTGCGCTGCATTTTCAAGAAACATGACTTTCAGAAACAGATCGGAAACAACTCTGTGTATCTCTTAGTATCAATTTTCAAAAGAAGCTCACATGGTGAAAGTTTGCCAAGCCATAGTCTGAGAGGTGAGGACTTAGCTCACTGTCAAGTAAAATATTTGATGACTTGATGTTCTTGTGAACTAATGGAGGCGAACAAACTTCATGGAGATACCTAACAAACAAAAAAGTTACTTGTCAGAAGATGACAAAAAAAAAAGAGAAGGTAGTTTAGATGATTGATTCTTCTCATCATGATAATGGTCAAATAAAATTACGCTATAGCTTGAGCAGTTCCAAGAGCGATTCGGATTCTTGTGTTCCAAGTTAATGGTTTGCTGAAATCATCGGACTGGTGAAGAAATCCGTTAAGGGAACCACTTGTGAAATACTCATAAACAAGCATGTTCCTTCCTTGTTCTGAACAATAACCCACGAGTTCCGCCATATTAGGGTGGTGAATGCTCGAGATATTCGACACTATGTGTGAAAACACTTCCGGGTTTCCTTTTCCTAACAGCGAAGAATCGATCTCTTTCACTGCAAATTTCTGTTTAAACAAAATTCTTGATAAGATGATGATCAAGAAGAAGAAGAACAGAGAAAAAGGAATCAAATGAAAGGAGCAAAAAACAAACAAACCTTTCCATCCTCATATTTAGCTTTATAAACACGTCCAATGGTTCCTTCACCAATAAGGCGACTCGGCGAGAAACCAGACGCGGAGTTCTGCAAATCCGTGAGGGTAAAGACTTTAACACCGCGTGTGTCAGGAGAGTCTTCAGGGCTGGAGAAACGATCAGAGGTTGCAGCCACTTGCGTAGAAGGTATGAGATGAAAAGTAGGAGAGTTCTTGAAACTGACAGAAGAAGTTCTTTTAACAGAAGGCTTTGTTTCATCAAGTGAAGCATTAGAATCAACTGTCTTCTGGCCTCTGAATTCATCCATGGATTCGAACTGAAGCATCTGAGAGGATTGTGGTGTGAAGAGTGGTTTGCTTCTGTTGGTTCCTCCTCCTTTCTCTTCATCGAAAAAGTGAGAAGAAAGATGACTGTTTCTCCTTCGAGAAAACAGAGCAATTACTCCTGCAAAGAAAATGAGTCCACCTATAGTAGCCACCGCTATTATAACTCCAGTGGTCAGGGACTTGCTGCTTCCTCCAATGCCTCCAGAGTTTCTGTCTATGTGACGTGTCCCGGGAGGTGGTGAGGGAGCTCTACCGCTTGACCACCGGTTTCCTCCGGTTCTGGCCAAGGAATTTGAAGAACACAGAATCAAATGTTTTTCCCCATCTTTCTATTTGTGTTCAAGAGAGAGAGTGAGAGATAAAACTTACTCAAGGTTTCCAATGTTCTTCAGCTCGTTTGGGATCCAACCAGTGAATTGATTGTTTGCGACGTTTCTATCATCGTAAAAGAACATTAATGAAAGAAAGGATAGAAGAAACTCTGTTGTTACATACAGCCTGAAAAATACTTACACATCATCGATTTGAGGGAGGTCCCTGAGTGCATTTATAGAGCCTTTGAATTGGTTGTCTTGCAGATGCCTGAAACATAGAATTAATAGTATAAAGGGTAAGGTGAGTAATAACAATACACGAGATACTTTAAAGTGTCTTCTTCTCTTACAGTGTTTTAAGGCCTGTTAGATTGGCAAAACTCTGTGGTAGCTTTCCTGTGAGTTGATTCGAAGATAGATCACTGCAAAAACATATAGACTCGATGAAGCTAACGAAATCTCTCACAGTTAACATGTGAGTATGTAAGTATGTGACTTACATTGTTTCAAGCTTTGGAAGCTTTTGAAACATGTCGCTCAGTTCACCATTGAGGTTGTTACGACCAAGGTTTCTGAGCAAAAAAAACAAGAACAGGCATGACGAAAATGGTGATACTTGGAAAAAAAATATACGAGTGAGTCAATTTAAGTGTCTTTGGCTTACAGGTAACTAAGGTCGTTCATGAGAGAAACCGAGTATGGCACATTACCGTTGAAGTCATTCTCAGAGCCATCTCTGCATTAAAGGAAATATCACACATAGTCAAAGACATTGTGAAGTGAAGATCAAGAACTTGAACAATGGCAACTCAAATCGAAAACTACTTACAGATAAGCAAGTTTCTCAGGAAGCTGATAGGGTAAGTTTCCGTTTAAATTGTTCTTGCTTACATCACTGTTACAATGACAAAACATAACATGTAGCTTTATATCAACCTGAACCAGATCAAGATTAGAGACAAAGGAGATGTGTTGAAAATGGGAAAATTCTCACAGGTAAGTGAGTGATTTCAAGTTTGCAAGCTGGTAACCTAAAGATCCACTGAGCCCACGTCCGGATATTTTGCTACAAAAACAGAAACCAAGAAAGAAAAAAATCAGAATCGATGAAGAGAAAACCAATTGATGAGATGAGAGAGGAAGTAACAAACATTTCAGTAACAGAAGAGCCCTTGCAAGTAATGCCATCCCATGAGTCACCACAAGGATCGCCTCCGCTCGAAGACCAGCCCTTGAGTTTCGATGGAGAGTTCATGCTCTTATAAGCGTCATTAAGAGCCGAAACTACATATAAATAAAAACAAATTCCCTAAGCTATCAGCAGGAATGAAGATTAAAGGTGGAATCTCTGTATGGTTTATTTCGTTGAGCCAAAGATGAAATTTCATAACCAGCTCTCTCATATTTCACCGAAAAGATTGGATCACAACTTTTCAAAATGATTCAATAAGAAGACTTACCGTCTTGGCTATCGGTTTTTGCAAGCACAACGGAGGTGAAGATTCCAAAACATGCGATGAAGAGTATTATCAGCTGTAGATTGGGTGCCATGATTGACAATTTTTAAGCTCAGAAATCAAAATCTGTATAAAAAAGAAGCAAAAGAGATGATCCAAAGAGAAACCCAGGGTTTGATTCCGGGTTTCCTTGGGAATGAAGGAAACACACGAAAACCAAAGGAGAGGAAAGAAAGAAGAAGCTAGATAGGTCATGAAAGAAAACAAATTTGGAAATGGTGTGGCAGTAACCAAAAATGGCAAATTCAGTTTCTTCTGTTTTTCTTTTTTTTTTTCTTTTTTGCTGAGAATGACGTTATTGAGTGAAAAGGCGAATAAATCTGTGAATAGAGAAAATGTACAGCTAAAAATGAAGCAGACACCGAAATATTAGGAGAGAGACCACAACTATGTCCCAAGACCGATCTAACTGCAAACACACAAACAATACCACAGTTGTTTCAACGTATGTTCAAGCACACGTGTGAACCACCAAAACACACAACAGTATTCAAAGGGCTTTTCTGAATATATATTTTTTGTACATTCACAAAAGTGTAAAAATTTCCAGGAGTATACAAAACTTTGAAGACCCAGAGCTCATGAGGTCAGAGCCATTGCAAAAATACAACTTTACTATGACAGTATTCACACATCTACAGACAACTCCCCTATCATACAAGCTTAGAAATCGCAGATACTTCATCAAACAAATCTATACATGACTTAAATACCAGAGCTTTGGGAAGTCTGACTCGCCTGAGCTCCTCGCTTTCTCAGCTTTGTCAAGATGTAAGCCAAGGCAACCTTTGCACCTAAGGCAGAGTGACCACGAGAGAGGCAGATCGCGCCACCGACTGCACCGCCCACAAGTAACATACCGTTTGCTATCAGTTTCTTTGAAGGCTTTCTCAACAGTTTCTTCCGTTTGGCTCCTTCCACTGTGTGCAGACCACCACCACTAGTAGTCCCGGAGGAATTTGTGATGTCATCTGACTGGCTCTCTAACTCTGATGGAATCTATGAGACAACAAAGGTGATGTCAAAGAGGGCATATTCAGCACTTGACCAGAAACTGAACTCAGATAAGCTTAAAACCCACTCATATCTAACCTTTTTCATTAAGCTGACAGCAGATACAGTGGGTCCTTGGGGTCTATGACTGGTTGTAATGTATTTACGAAGTGCAGTCTCCATCTTACAAACGTAACTCCAAATGCCTTTTGAGAAAGCAAGCTTTGCCATCTCAACATTTAATCCAGCATCTTCCTGGTGAAACATGTGGATCTCACAAGCATTCCTACCGGGAACTGCAGCAAGTTTTAGTTTAGCGTTTATGGATAGAAGGTGCAGAAGCATTAAAAACTATTCACCATTAAAAAATCTATCACTAAACAGATTTGTGGTGTATAATATTGAACAAAAAAAACTGACAAGAAACAATTACCTTTCATGATTCGCCAACCAGATCTGAAATAACTTACACGTACATATTTCCTCTGTTGCGGCACCGTATTGTGATCACATTCCTAAAAATAACCAAAGAGCAAAAAAATACGGTAAAAGGCAAGGTCTATGATAGATAACATAATACATAGACCAGGGCTGTGTATATCTAGGATGTTCGAGAAGTGTTTAGGAAATCAAAGAGGAATATAAAGGTGTAAATGGAAAGAGGTAAAAAACAGGTAATTTAGTTCTCATAGCATTAGAAATAACGATCTCCAGGTTCAGGCTAAGCATGTTTCAATAACACTACTTTAGTTAAATTCACCTTGATGAAACAATAAAACTTATCCTTCCCCTCCCACAATCTCCAAGCTAATACATACTCCCTTGGTGTCAACAAGGGAAACTTTTTTATCGTGCGACCAATCTCAATTCCGCTATCCCTGTCAACCTGCAATTGCTCGTGCTCAACCACAGTCTTATCCCATTGTTTCCTGTACTCATTATCCATGTAAAAGTCCCTCAGAGCCTCTGGGGAGCAGTCCTCAAAAACCGTAGTACTTAAGTATTTCATAGGACCACCATCCTACAAGAACCAAAGCATAAACTCAGTTATCAGAGAGAATAAAATCTTAGTGTGAGACACTCGAAAAATGGAATTACTGTTGGTTTGCAGCATTTGGCAGTGTATGAGACGCGAGGGTTGCTCTTCTGAATAATATTCTCCCAAATCTCAGCATCCTCATTTCTTTCCCCCAATTTCTCAATCAGGCCTTTCAGATCTTCATCAGAAACAAGTGTAGAGATTCTGCAAAGCGTATAGTCTATCAAATGGTGAATCTCAGATCATCAAAGAGTAGAGTAATAAGCTCATAAAGTAGACGTCACACAAGCAATGAAAAATCAAGCAGAGTTCTTGACAGAAACAAACACTAAAGGAAAAGAGGCTTAAAGTTTATAAATTTGAAAGCCACGAAGTTGAGCTAAGAACGCTTCCATTGATTTACGCAGCAAACAAATTCGACAGAAAGGGAAAAGGAGCCAGATTTAAAAACTTAACACATAAGAGGAGATGGAAAAGAATTTCAAACTCTTTACCCTGATTGGGAGCTCAGCGATTGAGAAACCGAGACGGCAGGGGAAGAAGAAGAAGAAGAAGAAGAAGAAGAAGCCTGAGTAAAGAATCGAAATTTCCGGGAAATATGGCAGAGAAGAATGAAGACAAGTGCGCATACGGTGGCCCAGCAATAACAAACGACTCCATCATCACCGTCAGCTCGCCGGAAAAACACATCGGAAGAGGAGAAATACAGAGCTAACTTCGATAAGGTATCGCCGGTATTCATCTTGAATTCGAAAATCTATCAAACCGTCCGGTTTTCCTGAGCAAAAAGCCCCTTGGAGATCGATCCTATCGAGTAGCTTTTGTATATTCGCGCGTGGACTAATCTGGTTCAGGTTGCAGAGTGACAAAGCCAACAACGATTCCTCAGTGGCTCGGCAAATCTTTTGACCTGTCCGGACTTGGGACTGTTCTCTAGCATTGTTTTTCCCCTTTCTGGCCATTTTATATTTTTGGGAGATTTTGATTAATACCCCAAAATTTTATTGAAAACTTTGAAAAATGTTAACTTTGTAAACTTGGTAAACTTTTTTTTGCTGTTGCAGAGTTTTCTATTTAATTTAATTTTGAATACCCCAAAATTTTATTCAAAACTTGGTAAACTTTTTTTTTTGCTGTTGTTTTTTCTATTTGTCGACTTTTTGTTAGACTTATTTCATATGATAGACTTATATTGTTTTTTGTTGATTTTTTACAAAGTTGAAACAATCGACTCATATATTAGTTGGTTGATTTTTATAGAAAGTTGATTTATTTTAATTATTGACTTATTTTTTCTATTCGTTGACTTATTTCCGAGCCCTAACCTTAATTTTGTGGATAGATAGATAGTTACTTTTTAGTTTCTTTTTTTTTTTTTACATAATCAAAAACATTAAAGAATATATCAACTTAGATCAGATCAGTCAACATGATAAACAGAGTTACAGATGTCAGACCCGATCTGACCAACAGGAATTATATATTATTTTCGACATAATTTTCTTTAGAATCAATCAATCACACGTTAGTAAAAATACTATTATACAGAAATGGATAATTATCAAAAACAAGTGAGCTCTTAGCCACAATATGTTGGTGAATCATAACATCTTACCAATCTGAATCTGATTTTGCTTGTAGAAAGGGTAATGAATCATGCTATCAACCACACAATGTAGTGTTCCTTTCGATAACAATCTCTTTCTCTTATATATCTATTCATTCATTAAAGAAATATGCAAACATATGTATGGATAAGGCAATCATTGACTTTCTTGTCTCCTTCAATATGAGACTCCCAAAGCTAGGAATTATGTGGAGGGAAAAAAATCAGAAAGAAACAAAATATGGAGATGAAAAAAGCTGAGAACTATTGATTGATGGGTGTAATACTGTAATCTGAATATTTATTAAAATACTGCCTGCAGAGATATATATGAAGCAACTTTACAAGAGCAACATTATGTCGTCTTTCATACATAATCTTCATCTTCTTCTTCTTCTTCTTCTTCTATCAACCCCGAAGAGAGAGGGTACAGAACATTGAAAAGAGGGAAATAAATCAAATTTGGCTAAATACCCCCGGGAACATAAAAAGGGAGAAAAGAGGCTTACTTTACACCAAAAAAAAGAAGAAAAAACCAGACTCGGTCAGACGTAAAAATTTTCATTTGAATACCTTCTTAGAACAAACAAAAGATCATTATGGAAATTGAGAAACATAGTCTTTGCTAATCGATGTCTTTTACTTACTAGTTGGATTGACCAGAAGAGACGGCTACGGTTGTTGTAATTTCATCTGGAGATGAACTGGCCTTGCCTGTTTCTTTGCTGCCCTCTTCCAAGCGAACAACCTGCGCAAAACTTTTGGACATGTTCTTGATGAAGTCTGTGGGCAATGCAGCAGATGCTGGTTTATGCTCGTTTTCTCCGACTCCTACTCCTGCAGATGCCAAGCTTGGCTGTCTTCTTGCCTTCCGTTCCTGTATAATTTTCTCCCGCTCTTCATAAAACCCAAAATCATCCAAGATTGACGTGTCTGCATCATAGTTCTTGAATATCTTAAGCATCTCGATGCCCTGTTCCAGTTTCACCTGCAGTTTTCGGTTGTGGTTATGCAGTGGTTAAAAAGAAGAAAGCTCGAGCGGCGAAAATTGGTTACTTACTTCTTGAGTGTCTCGACTATTAGTCACGGGCTTATTGTCGTTGTTTTCCAATATAATGTGTCGGAACTGACTGTTTGGAACGTCTTTGACAATGTGCCACTTCACTGGGAACTGCCCACTCCATTTGTCCTGTTGCCAGTAATCAACGCTCTTCTCAAAATCCACAGGTCCAATCATCTCCGCAACACCACAGAATTGAGAACTCGCGTTTACCTGCAGTTACAACCCCGTGAGCAATCTGCAGAAAGAAGGCAAATGTATACAAAAAACAAAATAGTTTGCTTGATTCAGGATTAGACTCGTACAGAGAACAGAAGAAACACTGGGCACGGTTCTTTCTCGTCCTTGGCCTCACGATAAGCAGCATCAAGCTTTTTGTTGCCATTAGGGGTGCTAGCCCATACATTGTATTTGATGCTCTTGTGAACGTTGTCTTCACTGTAAGACTTGATTATGAAGAGCTTGGCGTTATTGTAGTCGGTGACAAAATCAGGATTGTTGTTGTCGGATTCCTCATGTTCCTTTGGACTGCCTTTGTTATTTTTCTTAGTATCAGCAGAAGAATCAAGCTCCTCTGATATCTGAGTCTTGGGCTTTGAAGCCCTTGGTCCTCGGTTTTGCTCGTTGAGCATATCAAAAGTGCCATTATAACCACCACCGAGGGATGGATCACTAACTCTTCCACGCCCTCGAGTGTTGTCAACCCCGATCCAGCCTTGGTTTCCCATACCCACATTAGAAATTAGTCTACTTCCATAGTTATAGCCCTGGCCACGACCACCATTATGCCCATAACCTCTGTTATAAGAGTTCGAACCAGATCCAAAACCGTAAAACGATCTCTGGCGCTGTGACCCCTGAAAAGTTAAGGAACAGGATCTACTTTCAACAAACATATATAGTCCAATATACAACCATTGATAGACCAAAACTATCCATATGTTAGATAAGAATAGCTAAAAAAAAGTGAACAGACCATGGGAATGTTCTGGCCATATGATCCAAATGAACCGAGTGGCTGAGGAGACAAAGCCGGTGAAATAGGAGAAGAATGTCTGTGCATATCAGAAGGCTTGGACCAATCGGACCATATTCCCCCGTCAAAACCTTGCTGCCACTCAGGGAAGCCAAGGTTTGGCTGGTTTCCATTAAACGGTCCAATAGGATGAGGTTGGTAGGAAGGACGTGGTCCGATGTTATCACCTTGTTGGTCAACACCGACAAGGCTGGTGAGCTCGGGCTGAGTTGGAGAAGTAATATATTGCATGCTAGGAGGAACTACCTGCTGGTAATATGGTGATGCCCCTGAAAAAGGAAACTGCTGTGGCGAATACAACTGCCCCTCAGAAGGTAAGGGGCTTGCAGCAGGGGAATATGGCCCATATGGCATCTGAGGGTTGTATCCATATCCCGTTTGGTAGACCAGAGAAGCATTCTCATTGAAACCAACCTGATTTCATGATAAAAGAAAGAATATGAACAATATGGACACATTTTAAAGAAGACAATTCCAAAAGAGAAGGTGTAGTTAGTACACACAGGAGATGTGATGTCCAATCCTTCAACATTGACATACGAAGAATACTCGTCCCATTCGCCTGTGGGGTGGCTTTCATAACCTGGCTCCCCAACATAACAAGGAATCCGCATTAGCTTCTAAACAACCTATAATTAGTTCAAGTACTAGAGAAGTAGTTCATGTGTAAAGGAAGACTTAAAGCTATTCCCTTTCGATTGCCCCTAGTCTTATATTTAAACAACGCTCGAAAGAATATAAAATAACTAAACCAAGACAGTGTAACTGGATCTAATCAGAGAAGCCAAAAAAATACATGAATTCACAAACCAACCTCCGTAGTAAAAGCCTTGAGCTTGAGGAGAGAGGATGCTGCTAGGCAAGTGCCCTGCAAAATCACCAGCTAAACCATAAGGTCCAGACAGTGGAGCAACTTTTGCTGGATGAACTACAACTGCAGATTCCTGGGAGGATTTAAAAGAAGCTGATGTCTCGTTGTTTCCCGGAACAGGCTTCATAACAACAACAACAACAAAAACAGATTCAGAGATATAAAGTTATTTTCTTTGTGGATCTTCATTAAATAAACAGAGACCATTAGACCAACTAACCTGCTCCTTCATGATGTCCAGATTAGCAGGTTGCTCCTCTGTGTTCATTCATAACCGGTAAACTCAAATAAGTCGGTGGAAACGGAATCATTCATGAACAAGATGAAGATCGGCGAACAAAAGCAGATCCTAGTGCAATTATTCAGAATTGAACTAACAAACATTCAAAAGCAAGTTTCCAAGCCAAGATCGAAAGAGAACGGATCCCAGATCTCAGCAAGAGGAGGTCGAATTCTTCTAAACTTCAATTGAACTATGCTCTAGTAACAGTGGATTCATGAGACCACTACCAAAACAAAAGTTAATCAAAAGAAGCTCGTAATTCTATCTAAATCCAAATCAACTAACCCTTAACACATCACACACACAGAAAAATAGGAATCAACGCGATGTCACGGGATTCGACACCGAACCCACTAAAAACTAGAAAAGGAAAGGCAGAGATCAAACGTAAAGGAATCAAATTTAGACCGGAATCTGAAACAATTTAGGATGATATGGAAGATGGGTCAGTGACGTTACCTGGATTAAGATCTGTGGCGTGTGATTGAGTCGTTGCCATGAATCTGGTCGAAAGGCCGAGAATAAGGATCTGATTCAAAGCAAAATAAAAACTGGAAAAGAAAAAAAAAAACAGAATCTTTATATGTAGGGAAGGACAGAGGATCTTTCCATATATGTAAAAAAATACGTAGCAAGAAGCCAATACGTAGGTAGATGACGGTAATTTTCAAGCTTTGTGTTGTGTCTTTTTTTTTGTGTCTTTTGGGGTTGTTTTTAGGATTTTGAAAGAACCAAGAAGAAGAACTTGGTTGCTATTAATGATGCAAGCAAAGTGAAAAGCTTAACTTATTTAATGTGTCTTAAAAGCGGAAACTTTTTTACTACGAGAAATGGGGCATTGTGCTTCCTCTGGCCTTCTTTTTAGTGACTCCACTTCTTTGTGGAAAATGGAAATTACGATGATCTCTTTCTTTTTCTTCCTTTCTGTTTTATTGTGTGTGTGATGTTCCCTTGGAGACTCCGAGAATCTTTTTCCTTTTCCTTTAATTATTTATATGTCTCCTAATAACCATAGATCAAATCCAGGATTTCTGCATTTTAATTTTCTTTTTTTTTTCAATTGTTGAAGCAAAACTAATGTAATCGATCCCGAGACAAAAGAATGAATTTAATCAGTGAAAAGACCTTCAATTTACATTTATGCCCACCAACAACTATTTATACAGATCTAAGGTTTTTTTTTTGCAAACTATATAACCAAATTTTCCCACCAAAAACTATTTAGTGGAGTACATACTAAGATGGAATATAACAGTTAGTGCTAAAATAAAAACCAAACCAGAGTCATTGTCTTACTATTTTACCTGTTTTAATATCGCATTCCATTCTTTCTTCCACTTAAATTCTTTTTCCACTCTCTGTGTCCCCAATCGAACTCTACTGTTCTTAGGCTTATTGTATTAGATCATTAGTCACCATGAATGCGATAGATATTTACCGTAATAGTAAAGAAACTACTAATCAAAGTTTTCTGAAGACATAAATAAATAGCAGTAATAGAAATAAATGGTTGGTTTGGGTATTGCTAGTTGTTATTACTTTTGTAATTAGTAACACTATTAAACGGTATAGTCTTTACCACTACAGATGAGAGTGTATTTCAGATAGTCTGTTTAACAAAATTACAAGTTTATATTCTGTCTTCTTATATGAGATATCATATTACCTACACTGTGATGTATACAAACTAATTGCAATCACTCTGTTTCTTTTTTCCCTTTCCTTGAACAACTATCAACTACAATGGTCAAAGAATTGGCTATACGGTGGTTGAAGAGGGCTGTTTGGACGCGGAGATAGTATCTGTCAGTTCACGACCACTGGTCTCGAAGGGGAAGAGACAAACGCAGATTCCTGAGATAAGAATCACAACCTCGAAGAGCAGAACTGCGATCGTCTGATGGCATCCGTGAACTAATCCAACGGCCACGAGTGGACACAGTACTCCTCCGATTCTCCCCACCGAGCTCGCCACTCCTACTCCTGTCGTTCTAACCGCCGTCGGATATATCTCCGGAGCATAGATGTAAACCACCGTGAAAGCAGCCGAGATGCAGATACGTCCGCCGAAGAGAAGAGCAGTGGTTAAGAATGGAGATTGATGAGTTAACAGAGGAAACAAGAAAATGCAGCAGATGAATAACATCGATGACATCGACACTTTTCGTCCAAGCCTATCCACCATTGCTGCTGATATAAGTAGTCCTGGAAACTCTGAGCAAGCATCGAGAAACCAAAAGGATTAGGCTTTTTCCAATGGTTAGAACCGATTTGGATTTTTTTGCAAATAACAGAAATATATTGATGTACCTGCAAAACTGGCGATGAAAACATCTCTGTAGTTAACATCGTTTGAAGAATTTTTTAATCTTTTTTCGGTTGGATAGCAACTGTTTTGTGAATTGTTCAGCTCGGTGGTGAGAAGCACAACGCCGTAGTAAGCAAACGCATTTCCAAAGAATACAACCCATAGTAGCAAAGTCCGCTTGATTAGCTCTGGAGATAGAAGAGCTAGTAACGAAGAACCCGCTACTTTCTTGTCAGATTTTAGCACTATCTCCGGCACAGGAGCAGCTTCTCCGACTTCTCCAGGCTTGAGAAGATGAGTGCTCTCTGTTGGAAGGCTTTTATTCTCTTCGAGCTCGGTTTCAATCTCTGAGCTGAGAACACCCTTAGGTAGTTGTGTTCCGTTCACTCTCGCAATCTTCTCCAAAATGGAAAGAGCTTCAGCATTCCGTCCTTGTAGGATTAAGTAGCGAGGAGACTCGGGTGTCCACCTATAGAACAGAAGAAGCAACGATGAAGGTACAGAAGAGAGAGCAAGTAACCACCTCCAACCCAAACTTGGCATGATTAGCTGCAAAAGATTATCATGGTGATGTGAAAAGCTAGCGTCCAAATTATGATGAGAACTTAGCAAAGATAGTCATGAGTTGTAGTACCCAAGCCAGTGAAGCCTCGAATATGGTTCCAACGGTCCAGAAAGCAGAGAAGACAACCATCCAAGTCCCTCGGTTAGGCGCAGGGATGAATTCAACAAACCAGGAGACAAGAACAGGACCTCCTCCCAACCCAAGACCAACCAAAGAGCGGAGAATGATCAACCACAAGTAGTTTGGTGCAAATGCGCTCAAGAAACCAGCTACGAAAGTCACCACCGCGGTTATGATAAACCCTTTCCTGAAGAAGATAAAGCACAAACACCAAATCAAATGAAGCCACTCATAAACAGAAGTAAAATGGCTGAAAAAGGTCCATTCTTTAACATTGACAAGAGACATAGGAATCAAATGAAAGAAACGTCATAGACTGAACATACAACTTCAGAGATCATTCAATTCAAGAGTTATAAGGAAGACAATATATAAACCAAGTGCACATGTCAAACCCTTAACAAGCTTCAGGTAAGTTACCTGCGGCCATGTTTGTCAGCAACAATGCCCCAAGCGTAAGCTCCAATGAGCATGCCAGCAAAAACGACACTGGTTATTAAGCTTTCCTCTCGTGCAGAGAGATTCCAAAGCGATTGAACAGCAGGTCCGACGAAAGAGAGGAGCATCATCTCCATGGCCTCTGCAACCCAACCCATTCCAGCGTAAGCAAGGACGTACAGCTGGAACTTCCCAAATCCCATCGCCACAAGTGCTTCATCCACTGTGAAACTAGGGTTTCCATCTTCCATCTCAGACATCTGGAAAAACAAAGACCATAGAAAATAGTCGACCTCATTCATCAAGATCCAAGAACCATAATCGGGCTTTATCGCTAAAATCGAATTCACGACGCACTCATGTTGATTCCAAATTCAAAGATCACGATCAAAAGTCATGAAATTGGCACAAATGAAATCGAAATCTGGGTATTGACGACAGAAAACAAAGAACGAACCTGAACGACGTTGAAGTTAAAGCAAATGCAGATCCTCTCTTCCACGTTTTCAGGAGAATGCAATTACAATTGTCAGAGATTTCACAAAGTCAACGCCATTAACAGACGAAAATGAAATCATATAAAATGTGAAAAATGAAATCTTTCTGGTCTTCTTGTACGTACGCTGAGCTAAAACTATTGACTCGTCTTCAAACTCTCCGTTGTTGATTCTATTGACCGCACTTTTTGGGCTTTTTCTTTTTGGCCCAAATTGTTGATTCTATTGACCGCACTTTTTGAGCTTTTTTATTTTTGGCCCAAATATACGACTATTTTTACAAGGCCCATTTATATCTTTCTTTTTTAAATGTGTGAACTATATGTTTATGAGCTAAAATAATTTAGCAACGAGTGGACCCAACTCTTGAACTAGTCGGAAAAAAAAAACACATGACAAAAGTGGTCACGTTTTGTGGGGCTATAGATTGAGGTATTGGCAAATGGAAACTGAGAATTGATTTATCAAACCTTTAGTGAAACATGCATTAATTCTTATATGAAAAAATAAGCATGATTAGATTCTAGATTTAGATATGAGATACAGAATGGGCTAAAGTGATTGAATATACCCCACCAACCAATTATTACTTAGAAATATTTTAGATTATGTATATGTTGCCAAAAGAAATGTAAATTATATAGGGATCGAGACATTCTACCACTTGATGTCTCAAGCTTTCAAGAGCCTCTAACATGTCTATTCTTCACTTCCCACTCTGTCTCACTCGAACACTCGTATTTAAATCACAAGATTCATTTTCATTTTTAGACCATATCTAGTTTTAGATACATATATTCCATTTTTACATTATACAAAACCCAAGCATTATCATTATATACTCAATTTTTCTATATTTTGATAAATTTGTACTGCTGATAAAAGATGGAGCAATATTTTAAATTCTAAATGTTAATAACCCATAAACCAATTGGTAATTCATAATATCAACCAATGATTAATTCTAACTGCAGATATGAAATGTAATTTTGTTGTTTTTCAGCTTCATTTTTTTATGTTAATACAAAGTTTTTCAGCTTTGTTTTTCAGCTTCATGTCAGCTTTGTTTTTCAACCAGAAATAAAAGATGCTATTTTTGTCAAGATAGTATTGTAAAAAGCATTTGCTGAGCTCATTCTCAATGATGAGCATTTTATTAATATTATCTTGATTATGTGGTAAAAGACCAAAGACTACATACAACTTAAGGAATGATGCTATTTTATCTTTCCTAATGATTAATTATTTTCCATTAGAAGAAATAATGGTTTTGGTAGTCGACAAAAAAAAAAGAATAAATTATTTTCGCTTCTACTAAAATGCACCACAGATCCGTCACTTTCATCTATGGCAACCAATTTTTCTCATGCATACTCATTATTCGTTTCTCTATTAGTAAATCCTCACGACTCTTCTTAGTAAACTTTTTGGTAATGCGTTTACTATTAAATTGCATCAGAAAATACAAGCGAAGCTTACAAGATATTTTTCTATAACTTATAAGTGACCTTTTATTAAATTAGTTAATAAACTTTAAAGAATACACACAGACTTTTTCGTATTAACTAGTTTTCCATCAACCGCAATACAAGTGCAGTTTGTCCCCAAAAAAAAATTATATAAGTGCAGTTGACATTGACAAAAACCGAGCTTCCTTGTACTACTAGAGAAATCCAATATCCTGGAATAGAAGTTGCGTTGAAGTCATTAATGTGTTATTTATTAATTACAAACGTATGGTACATCTCCATTATTGATGTCAAAAAAAAAAAATCTATCATTACAATATAATTAAATACCAACTGTTCGACCAAAAAAATAAATAAATACCAACTGAAAACAAAAATCTTTGGCTGAGAGAACTAGTAGCGGCCACAAATTTGTCTTCCTAAGAAAAACTATATGAAAATCAATTAAGAAAGTGGATACAATCGTATAACCCAAAATAGTTAACCAGTAAACAAATAGTCTTATTAAGGATGATTAGGAAGAGAAAATGGTATGACGCCATCAAATTAAAAAAAAAAAAGGAAAGGATAAAATAAATAAAACAAGCGTGTGGCAAGCCACACAACCACTTGGCTCCTACGTGGCATAAACTAACGGTTTCAATTGGAGCGTGACTACACGGAATGCAAGAGCGCGTGATAGAGGAAAGACGGACCAGCGAGGCGGAGACCAATCATGCCAAGACAACAGTACACTTCTCTCTACTCTTCCTCGATGGCGATTCGTTAGCCTCCGTAGCCAAATCTTTCTTCGGCTCTTTCCTTTAACCCAATTTCCACCATCTCTTCTTCTTCTTCTTCTTCTTCTTTTGCTTTCTGGGTCGGATAAACTTCATCTCTTCTTCCTCTTCAAAAATATGGCTTTCCTATAACTTTGCGTGTTTTACTGGAGAAAGTTTCATTTTTTTCGTTTTCTGATGTCACATTTGGTGATTCTTGAGGTGATAATTCCTGTAAAGTGTTGAGTTTTTTTTTCTTTTTAAGCAGGAGTTACATAAAGGTAGAAGAGTTTATCATCCTCTCAGGCTCGTTTCTATTTATCTGTCCTTTGCTAATTACTGCTTTCGATTTTGTCTCTAACTCCTCCTACTACTTCTTTAGCCTTCTTTCTTTTGCATTTTTTGAAATTGTAAATTTTAACCACATTTTTAATCGTTGGCTTGCTCCTCTCGATATCTGAAAATCTGGATTTGTAGGTCAAAACACAAAAGCCATGTACTTTTGTTTCTCCAGTTCCACGGTTTTTAGTTCACAAGGAACATGTAAACTTGCTATGTTTACTTGGAATTTGATTGGGTTTGGCGATTTATACTCAAAATGGAATTTAACTCAAAACTTACTCAATCATTGTCACTAACATGTTTGTTTATTGATCTCATCCCAACATTCTTATGCTAATCATTTTCCTCCATTATTGTTTGGGTCCTCAGCGACTTCAAGGCTAGTTATAAATCAGTGTACGCTGCAAACTTATGGCGGATCTTGTCAAGAGACAATTTTGATTGGTGTGAGAAAACCGATTTTGGTCAAGAAATCATGAACAGTCATAGGCTAGTGTCAACGGCACAAGACGAATGCAATAAAGGAATTCGTCAAGCTTGCTCTTCTTCTTCTCTGTCTCCGGTCCATAACTTTCTAAATGTTGTCCAGTCAGAAAACCGGAAATCTCCTTTTATACGATCAAAATCTCCAGATTCACCTGATCAACTATGGCCAAAGAATAGTTCTCAGAGCACCTTCTCAAGATCTTCCACCTTCTGCACAAACCTCTACGTCTCATCATCTTCGAGCTCTGAGGCTCAGAAGCATCTAGGAAACAGTCTTCCTTTCCTCCCTGATCCCTCCGCTTATAGCCAGTCTGCTTCTGGTGTGGAGTCTGCAAGATCTCCATCATTTTTCAGTGAAGATTTGGGAAATCCTTTTGATGGAGACAGCTCCGGGTCGCTTGTCAAAGATTTCCTTAATCTTTCTGGGAATGCTTGTTCCGATGGCGGTTTTCATGATCTTGACTGTTCAAATGACAGCTATTGCTTATCAGATCAAATGGAATTGCAGTTCCTGTCTGATGAACTTGAGCTGGCCATCACAGACCGTGCTGAAACTCCCAGGCTTGATGTAAGTTAATCTCAGTCTTGTCCATCCATTATGAGTTTGGTATGACAAACATTGACTTATACTCGCACTGCTAGATGACTTCACAATCACTTCGCCAACAGTTTAACACATTCGCTCCTGATACATAGAGGATAGAGAGTGTGAAGTATGAATTTCTGCTTTAACACAGCTTTTGGTTGATTCAGGAGATTTATGAAACGCCATTGTCTTCAAATCCAGTCACCAGAACGAGTCTAAGCCAAAGCTGTGTTGCTGGAGCAACATCTACTGACGCAGTTCCGGGGTCAGCAGCCAGTCACAAGCCGAGAATGAGATGGACTCCGGAGCTCCACGAGCTTTTTGCAAAGTCGGTGACCGAACTTGAAGGGCCTGAAAGTGAGTTTTAGATTTATGAGATACTCATAGGCACTTAACTGAAGTAGAATATAGCTTTTATTGTGCTTTGCATTGGTTATTTGGTTATATATCGTATGTTTTCGTTTCATCCTTCTGCTGATAACATATAACCCGGTGTTGCTTTAAAACATGTAGAGGCCACTCCAAAGGCTGTTCTGAAGCTCATGAATGTTGAGGGCTTGACGATCTATCATGTAAAAAGCCACTTGCAGGTACTAAATCAGTTTGAGTCTGACCAAGTTTTCAAGTAGATAATACCAAATTAACTGATATCTCTGAAAATCATGATTTTGCAGAAGTATAGACTAGCCAAGTATATGCCAGAGAAAAAAGAAGGTAAAGCTTCCACCTTGTTGTTATGATTACGCAGATTCTCTGTTCCTTAATAATTATTGACCTTCATTTTCCTCGTTTATTCCTCAGAGAAAAAGAATGTTAACTCAGAAGAAAAGAAAACGGCTTTGAGTAACAGTGAAGCTGATGAGAAAAAGAAAGGGTGAGCATTGTGTTTCTGGCTTGGTTTCTGCATCCATATTGAATTCCCAAACATGTTTCAACACTATCCTTGAATTGACTCTCTTCTTCCATGGACAGGGCAATACAGTTAACTGAAGCTCTGCGTATGCAGATGGAAGTTCAAAAGCAATTGCATGAACAACTCGAGGTAAAACCGATTACAATTGGATTCAGCAAAAGATTAGTTACTATAACCAAACCCATGATTTAATCAACGTGCAGGTGCAACGGGTGCTTCAGCTACGAATAGAAGAGCATGCTAAATACTTGGAAAAGATGTTGGAAGAACAACGCAAAACCACGGGAAGGCTAATTTCTTCTTCTTCTTCTCAGACACTGTTATCACCTAGTGATGACTCTATACCAGAATGTCAAAACATGTCCAAAACCGAAGCATCTTCGCCTCAGCCGTCATCACCTGCGAAGAACACAGTTTCTGAAACCGAAGACGGTGATTGTGAATCCCCTCAGAAACGTCGCAGGCTTGAGAACGACGCTGAATCTGAAGATCCAAAGAGGTAGCAGAATCTTCAAGTATGTAAATATGGTATGTTTTGTGTAATTTGGTTGAGAGATGTTGGTGGATCACTCAAAGTAGATGTTTGTAATGTAGATCTTTGTCGGACACGTGTAAGCTTATTAAGGATCTTGAGGATGTTCCTTTCATTTGCTCTGAATCCTAGTTGTTTGAGGATTCTTTCATTTAAGGAATAATTTTGGACACAAGAAGATTTCTGGGTGTTTAACTTCAGGATAGAAGAAGACATGTTTTAACAATTAACATTATTAATTACGGAGAGCAAATGACTTGAAAGCTTTAAAAACAGTATATTTCATACATACGACAAAGTAGAGATCTTATAACAATTTTGATTCCATAAAGATATTTTATTCATTCATGTACTAGTTTAAGGTTTCTCTTTAATTTTTTTTGCTTTCAAAGTGATTGAATTATGGTTAAAAAAAACTAATTAAGATTGGCTAAGTAAGAGCGAGCCAATAAGGGAATAGGATACGATAAGACACAGTTGCTCACTCTCTCTCTCTCTCGGTAAATAGAGAAAAATAAGGGTTTCCTTGTCTCATGTTATCCGACTTTGACAGGTGTTCTCGCTTGAGCCGATTTTCGTGTCATTCCAAGGTTAAAGTTTCTTTTTTTTTTTCTTCTTCTTCTTCCCTCTGTCCATGAACGTGAACTATTTCAATTACTCTGAGATCAAGCTCAAAATTTGATTTTGATGCACGTTGGCTGTTTTTTTTTCGCAAAATATTATATCGGGCTGGAATCTGAGTTGTGAGAATCGAAAATGCTTCCAAGTCTCATTCTCTGTGTTTTCTGAATTTAGATGAATTTGTTATCAAACAAAGCCTAAAAGTGCATCGGTCGCTTCTTTTATGAGTGTAGGTGTGGAGACTGATAAACAGGACTTGCTGTCAAACAAAGCCCAAAAGAAGTGCATTGGTCGCTTCTTTTTTGATAATTTTATTGAACTTTTAGCTGTTGTTTCCCCAAGTTTAAATGACTGTAAGCAGTGGTAAGATCCCTGATTCTTATGGTTTAAACGAATGCATGCATCAAGAAGCGTTGAAGGAAGTGGAAGATTATGTGAAGAAGATAAAGGGTTCATGGGCGGTCACAGGTTGCAGCATCGTGATGGATGCTTGGGTTGACCAGAAAGGCCGTGATCTGGTTATTTTTGTTGCTGATTCTCCAGCGGGTCCTGTGTATCTCAAGTCCTTTGATGTTTCTGATATAAAAACCAATGTCAGTGCCTTGTTGTCGCTAGTAGATGGGCTTGTTGATGAAGTTGGAGTCCATAACGTTATTCAGATTGTTGCATGTTCAACTTATGGTTGGGTTGGTGAATTAGGGGAATATTTTGCGAGTAACAAGAATGAATTTTTCTGGTCTGTGAGTGTATCTCACTGCTTCGAGCTTATGCTGCGGAGGATTGCGAGAATATGTTCCCTGGGAGACATAGTTGACGATGTCAATAAGATGACAAGGTTCATCAACAACAATCCCTTGGTTTTGGAGCTTGTCAGAAATCACAGTCATGGAAAACACATGACTGTCTCTTCCTCCGAGTTTGAGTTTGTTATGCCGTATATAACTCTAGAGAGTATTTTCAAGGCAAAGAACGACTTGGCAGCCATGTTTGCTTCATCTGATTGGAACAAAGAAGAAGACATAACAATATCCAAATTGGTGAATGATTCCTCTTTTTGGGAAACTGTTGGCAAAATTCTGAAATGCACATCTCCTCTAATTAGCAGTCTACACTGGTTATCTGCTGCCAACAATCAGCATGTTGGAATTATCTATGACACTATGGACTGCATAAAGGAGAGTATTGCCATGGAACTCAATGACGATAAACGATGTTACATGCCGTTATGGGATGTGATAGATGATGTCTGGAACAGGCATCTCCACAGTCCTCTTCATGCTGCCGGTTACTTTCTGAACCCGACTACCTTCTACTCAACTGATTTCCTTCTTGATTCAGAAGTTGCTACGGGTCTTATCTCCTCTCTGGTTCATGTGGTAAAAGAATGTCAAGTTCAAGTTCAAGTTGCTACACAGCTTGATACGTACAGACTGGGTGAAGATTGCTTTAACGAGGCTGATCAGAGCCCTGGAATCTCTCCAGGTGTGTGACCTTCTTAACTTTGTATAGTTGTAATGTTTTGCAGACACTTGTGTTGTTGAATCGGTGAGCCAAGGGTTTTGTCATTTTTTGAATCTCTCTTTGCAGCTGAGTGGTGGGCTCAAAAGGCAAGCCAGCACCCAGAACTGCAGAGTTTTGCCATTAAGATTCTGAGCCAGACATGCGAAGATGCTTCAAGGTACAAACTGGAGAGAAGCTTTGCAGAGAAGATGCTGCTCACTGAAGGAATGAGCCATTCTGAACGCAAGCATCTGGAAGAGTTGACGTTTGTTCATTACAATCTTCATCTTCAAAGCTGCAACGTCAAACTAAGTGAAGAGTTGGCGTTTGCTCATAACAATCTTCATCTACGAAGCTGCAAAGCCAAACTAAGTAAAGAGCAGTAAAGAGACTGTGCTGCAAGATGTTTATATGGACTTACCCGGTGGATGTGCAAATTTTAGTTTTTGTAGTTTGTATATTCATTAAAGCTCATCTTTTGAACCAATGCTGGTGAATATATATTCATTATTATAATTTCTCTCGCTCACGCAAAACATTTATCAGCTTCTTTTTTTTATCAAAGTTGGGATGAGACGAGAGAGGCTAACGTTCTGCACCGGTCGGCGTCAAGAGCTTTGTATTTGTTGGGCTAGATTCACCCTTGTACTCGCCCATTTGGGCTTTTAATGCAAAGGACGACACAAAAAAAAAAAGGCACATACATGTAAAATACATGAAATAATAGGAGAGTAAGTAGTAAAATTTACAAGCGGTGAAGCTTTCCTCACATCATTATAAATACACCATCTCTTTGGAATTTCTAGAATGTTCTCATTCAGCCATTGGAAGGAAAAAGAAAGAAAAGGTTGCTCTTGTTTCTTTTCTCTTCTCCTTCTTTATAATTTCTTTTGTTGCAGAAAATTGGTTACCTTATACCTGATTCAAAGTTTCAGTCTTTTTTTGTTCTGTCCATTGATTTTGGAATATAAAGTTTTGTTCTTTCAGAGACCACGTAAGGTACCTTTTAGGATTGGGTCTGTAGCTTCTTCTTTCTTTCCGTCTTCTCTTTTCATCAAAGTTTGATTGACGTAATCGTTGTTGATTGGATTATTTAGTTGCTCACTCTCTCTCCCGCGCAAACTGTTATATTGGGCTGGAATCTGAGTAGCGAGAATCGAAAATGCGTCCAAGTCTGATTCATTCTCTGTGATTTCTAAAGTAGATGAATTTGTTATCAAACAAAGCCCTAAAGTGCATCGGTCGCTTCTTTTATGATTGTAGGTGTGAGGAGACTGATAAACAGGACTTGTGGATTCCTCAAGTTTCAAGGAAATGATGACTGTAAGCAGTGGTAAGATCCCTGATTCTTATGGTTTAAACGAATGCATGCATCAAGAAGCGTTGAAGGAAGTGGAAGATTATGTGAAGAAGATAAAGGGTTCATGGGCGGTCACAGGTTCCAGCATCTTGTTGGATGCTTGGGTTGACAAGAAAGGCCGTGATCTGGTTACTTTTGTTGCTGATTCTCCAGCAGGTCCTGTGTATCTCAAGTCCTTTGATGTTTCTGATATAAAAACCAATGTCAGTGCCTTGACATCGCTAGTAAATGGGCTTGTTGATGAAGTTGGAGTGCATAACGTGATTCAGATTGTTGCATGTTCAACCTCTGGCTGGGTTGGTGAATTAGGGAAATCTTTTGAGGGTAACAACAAGGAAGTTTTCTGGTCTGTGAGTGTATCTCACTGCTTCGAGCTTATTCTGCGGAAGCTTGCGAGAAAAGATTCTCTAAAAGACATAGTTGACGATGTCAATAAGATTACAGGGTTCATCAACAACAATCCCTTGATTTTGGATCTTGTCAAGAAGCACAGTAGTGGAAAAGATGTGATTGTCCCCTCCGAGTTGGAGTTTGTTATTCCGTATCTAAGTCTAGAGCGTATTTTCGAGGCGAAGAAGGCAGGCATGTTTGCTTCATCTGATTGGAAGAAATATGAAGACATAACAATATCCAAACTGGTGAAGGATTCCTCTTTTTGGGAAATAGTTGACAGAGTTGTGAAATCCAGATCTCATCTGATTCACGGTCTACTCTGGTTATCTGCTGCCAACAATCAGCAAGTTGGAACTATCTATGACACTATGGACTGCATAAAGGAGAGTATTGCCAAGGAATTCAATGACAAGAAACGATGTTACATGCCGGTATGGGATGTGATAGATGATGTCTGGAACAGGCACCTTCACAGTCCTCTTCATGCTGCGGGTTACTTTCTGAACCCGACTACCTTCTACGCAACTGATTTCTCTCTTGATTCAGAAGTTGCCACCGGTCTTATCTCCTCTCTGGTTCATGTGGTAAAAGAACGTCAAGTTCAAGCTAAAGTTGCTACACAGCTCGATATGTACAAACTCAATGAAGATTGCTTTAAAGAGACCAGTCAAGCTGATCAGAGCCCTGGAATCTCTCCAGGTGAGTGAACTACTTAACTATGTATAGTTGTATTGTTTTGCAGACACTTGTGTTGTTGATTCGGTGAGCCAAGGGTTTTGTCATCTCTCTTTGCAGCTGAGTGGTGGGCTCAAAAGGCAAGCAAGCACCGAGAACTGCAGGGTTTCGCCATTAAGATTCTGAGCCAGACATGCGAAGGTGCTTCAAGGTACAAGCTGGAGAGAAGCTTTGCAGAGAAGATGCTGCTCACTGAAGGAATGAGTCATTCTGAACTCAAGCATCGGGAAGAGTTGGTGTTTGTTCATTACAATCTTCATCTTCAAAGCTGCAAAGCCAAAACTAAGTGAAGAGCAGTAAAGAGACTTTGCTGCAAGATGTTTATATGGACTGATCCGTTCAGCATTTGAACCAATGCTGGTGAATATATATGCATTATTATAAGGGATTTGTCTCGCTCACGCAAAAAAAAATTATCAGCTTTTTGTTGTTTTTAATCAAAATCGGGATGAGACACGAGTGACTTAACGTTCTGCACTGGTCGGCGTCAAAAGCTTTTCTCAGCGCCATTTCTTGAGTTTCGGTTTCTCTAAGTCGTACCTTTCATTTCCGAAAATTCAGTCCAAACCCACCTCTTCTAGTCAGCCTAAACTACATAACCATGGAGACATCACAAAAGACGAGCTGAAAGATTTGAAAAGATCTCGAGATGGAGTTAAGCTTGAAAGCTTCAGACAAAGAGAGGCCTTTTCTTTCCCCAAGACAAAGCCATTCACACTGAGTTTGTGACTCCATTATCGCAAGCTTTTGACAATCTTTGAACTGCAGACAGAGTAAGTTTTACTCAAATAAGATACATGTTTGTGTATTCTTGCAACGATTTGCAAAATTGAGTTCGTTACAACAATCTTCATCTACGCAGCCAAATAAAGAGAAGAAGAATACTCTAGAGATTGTGTCGCAGATGGCTTCAGCCTTTAGTCAGTGTGCAGAATTTATTTTTTGTTTGTAAATTCAAATTTCATTCAAAATTGAGTTTTTTTTTTTTTTTCGTCTTTCTGATTATATTAAAGCCCAAAATGACAGATTACATATGATTCTAAGCCTATTAAACGAACAAAATACAGAAGATTTGAGACCCACACTTATTAAAATAAGACTCCCAAATATCAATCCCAAATAGACCCAAAAACAAGAGATAAGGATTGATAATATTAAAACACGTGTATAACACGCGGCAAGTCTGGGTTGAATGTCGATTTCCGGAGAGAAGATGCCGGTGATTCATCGCCGAAACAAAGCTTCGCCGGAAAATCGAATATCCGAAAAGTATGATAACTCCAATCAAATCTGCATCCACCTCAAATCCCTGTTTCTTTGTCGTTTATTTCATCCTCCAATTAGATCCGTAAAGTAATGGTCAGGATTTTTAATTCTCCGATCAAATCTCACCGTCGATTATCTTTGACGCTAGACTTGTTACCCATCGCCATGTATGGTTTCTATGAGGGTATCTGGGGAGATTTTAGTCTCCCAGCCGAGAGAAAGATGATGCCAAAGTTCGGAAGAAGAAGCCCAACTCTTACCGCATGATCCTTTTATCACCACCTCAAGTTTAAGAAGAATCATCTGTAGAGGAGAAAAAGGCTAAAAAACTATCCGAAAATCGAAATTTCTTTGCTTTATCTCAATAAAACTGATTTCTCTAACAATTTGCACTCCACTAAGGATTAGCGACATTTGTTAGAAGACAAATCAATCAAAAGCAGCAAAGATGAAAATCGATAGACGGAAGCAGAGAAGATCCGAATAGAGCGGAAGTTATTATCCGTTAAATGGAAAGAGAAATTCGATATTAATCGGAAATATACATCAAAAGCTGAGAAAAACTCCTTCTTTGTGAAAGATAATGGTGAGAGAACAGAGAAGGAGGAAAAAACCTCAGCTCAGAAACCTCTGCTAATATAATCTTGTGTACTTTATGAATCAAACAAGTATTCATTCAAAATTGAGTTTATTTCATTGCTGCTGGAGAGTCGAGAAGATATTTAGTCTCACATTTTTGTTTAACCCTAGATTTTGCGCCCATGCTACGCGTAGGTATTTTGTTAATAAAAATTATATGCAATTAATTATATTTAGTAAGATATAAATTATATATATTAATGTTTTAATCATATATTAAAATATTATAGTATTGATCTAATAATTTTTATGTAAATTGTGATGTTTTAACGGTTTTGTTTTGGTCAAACATTTATAAATTAATATACCAAAACCAACTAAAATTTTTACAAATTAATCAAATGTTACTTTTTATACATAGTATTAACATGATAATAAAATATTATACATTCACTTCTTTAAATTAAGAAGATATTTTTTTCCATCATTTTCACTTTTATTTTAATTATATATATGTTCTTTAAAAATAAAATTTAAAATTTAATCTTTTCTTCTCTTTTTTAACAAATATTATTTTTTATTTTGATATATTAATTTAAAAAATAAACTAATAAATAAAATATTTCCTTTGAGATTAATAATAATTTTAAATTTGATACCAAAACAATAATCGAATATGAAATGAATAAAATCACACAAAATTTGTGAATAAATATATTTATGTCAATTGGTAGTGTAAACTTTTAAATAAGTTTTCAATGATTATATGTCATCTCTTCATCTTCTTCATTTTTATTCTTGTTATGTCTATTTTTTCAATGAATCTATTATATTTTTGTTTATTTTAATAATTTTTGTATGATTATATTTAGTTTCATCATATTCATTCTACCTTCTAATTGTAATTAAGTAGACAAAACCAGTACAATTTATTACATACAAATTTATAAAAATAAAACAAATCAAACAACTCAAAACTAAGAACTCGTACATTAATATATTGAATTCCAAATTGAATATATAAAATGTAAAATTTTTGATCATTTTTGCAAAAATATATTACATGAGAAAAAAATATTATATATTTTGATAATATGTTTTGCATATGTGAAAAAATTAGATGAATATACATCATAAGTTTTAGTTATTTAAAATTCTACATGAAAACCTTTAAAATCAAGTAACTTAAACTTGTATAAGTAGCATATCTTTTTTATAGATAATAAATTAAATTTGTGATTTAAACATTGGTAATGGAGATTTTAATATCATGTTGTTTTTTTTTTGATAATAGAGATTTCTTTATTTTTCATATTTTTTTTTAATCATAATAATAGAATTATAAAACTTTTTAATTTATAATTTTAATATATACGAAAATAAATTTTTAAATGCTGTTGTGGATGCTCTGAAAATAATATAGCTTTAGCTATCATTAATAATAGAATAATTTTAATTAACAATTTTTCCTATATTATTTAGTATCAATAATGTTTATAATTTAGAAAAAAAATTAATTTTAGTTATTGATGTGGAATAATAAAATTGACCTTTTAAATCTTATGTGGATGTCCTTAGAGGCATATAGCTTTAACTTTTATTTTTCTTTAAATATATTTGTTTGTTAACAATATAATTTTAAATTTTAAAAATTTCCTAAATTTTAAATATTGATGTGGACCAATAGAATTAAACTTTTAAATCATATATGGACATTCTTAGAGACATATAGTTTTAACTTTTATTAGTAATAGATTTAGAAATCAAAATTGAAAAATCTCAGAAAAGGTCTGTTGCGGCAAGTGATTTTAGCATCTCATCTTTGTTTCAAGGCTTACCGAATGTATTCGGATGCTGCTTGGTCAGCTAATTGTTACTTTTGTGGTTCATGTTGGGTTGTTAAAACCCATTCAGATGTTATGTCATTTCAAAAATTTTCCTCAGATACTTCAGTCTCCTCCGCTATGTTCTTTTCTCAATTTTAGTGCTTGGTTTTTCAAAAGTGTCGAGTATCAATCACTTGACATGTTTCTTGGATTGCTTGAAATTTATCACTCTTCTCAAATTTGTGGCCAAACTTTGGAGATTTTGCGATTTCTTTTTCAATATTAAAGCGGCTTGTAGTGCCTTTGTTTAAATCTCCTTTCATATTTTTTATAATTTAGCTAAGAATTAAACATATAGTTTAGTCAAGTTTGTTCTTGTAGTGGCTTTATTTATATCTTTCTATATTCTTTGTAATTTAGCTAATAGTTAAACATATAGTTTAGTCAAGTTAGTTCTTTTACGTTGTAATGACTATTTTTTAGTGAAACCTTACTCTATCTTTTGTTTTTGTTTATTTTACATGGTTGCACACATAGGAAAAAAAACTTAAAAATTATTATAATTATGTGACAAAAAAATTGGATGCTAATGTAAAAGTCTCTAAATATATGTGTGTATTTACATTAAAAATTTCCTATTTTAATATTATTTATTTTAGTTTTTTATTATTAAGAAGAACATTTTTCCCCAATTAAATATTTTTGGTTTCTGTAATTAATAACTTGAGGAATTTCATCATGTTGGTTTTCGTATTTGATTTCATATAAATCTAAGTTTGGATATCAAGTATGTTCACTTTTTTGGCTCAAATTAATTATGAATTTTATATATAATTTCTTTATTTTAAAAATAATAATAGAATTTTGAAAATTTTCAATTTTTAATGTTGAGGTAGACTAATAAAAAAATTATAGGACCAATAAACTTTCTTAATTTTTTTTTTCACCAATAATATTACAATTTGTAAATTTTCCTTAATTTTGAATGTGATGTGAACCAATAAAATTGATTTTTTAAATCTTATGTGGACACTTTCTTATTTTCTTTTTTTGGCAATAATATTACAATATGTAAATTTTCCTTATTTTTGAAATATGTAAATTTTCCTTATTTTTGAATGTTGATGTAGACCAATTAAATTGATTTCTTAAATCCTATGTGTACACCCTTAGATGCATTTAGCTTCAATTTTTATTAGTATATATATATATATATATAAAATTTAAGTGATTTTGAAGTGTGAAGATATGGAAAAATATACACAAGAAAATCTAACAGATTTAAGACAAAAAAAATCGCATGATTACACTAGACAATTATTTCAACACAAAGTAGCTCCATGATTTTCTGGGAAAGTTGTTCTTTACTCATTTCAAAATTTCAAATACCACAAAATGTGGAGATATTATAAATTGTCAACAAAGAAAACAAAACCCAGAAAAGGGAATCAGGCTCCACTTCACTAAGCTCTGACCATAAAGCGACAAAAAAGTCTTAGTTGTTTAAACATGCGTTATTGCATGTGAGAATGCTTCTTCAAGTTTGGATTTTTTTATAAAACCAAAAAAATAAAAATCTTTCTCTTCTTCTCAGTTTTAATTCACTTTTCTTTGGAATAATTGAGAAAAAGACGTCAAGTTCCAAGTGCCCGTGTAGATTGAAAGTAGTGTTATAGATTCTCCTCTGTTCAGTTCACCTGTATCTTTGTCTTCTACTCTGCCCAATTCCTATCTCATTTATTTATTTTATTATTGGATAATAATAAGAAAACAGGCTTTTTCTTTAGTCTAGCATTAAATGTTGACACAATTTTTTGAATTTCAAATTGAGAAACTTTTTAAGTTTGGAAAATAAATAGAGGGTGTGGGTCTATATGCTCTTCTGGTGACACCTAGTAAAGAGAGATAGATAGATTAGTGTGGGAGAATCTAGCAGCATTTCCTTTCAGAAGAAGCTTAGGGTTTTGTTTCTCGAATCAGCTACTTCTTCTTCTTCTTCTCTATCTCTCTGGGATTCTTGAATGTTCTCTTTCAGCCATAGGAAGAACTAGAAAGAACAAAATAGAAAAGGTTAGCTTTTGTTTCCTTTTTCTTCTCCTCCTTTCAAGCTTTTCTGTTGCAGAAAATTGGTTACCCTACCTGATTCAAAGTCTCAGTCTTTTTCTTTTCTTTTGTTCTGACCATTGATTTAGGTATATTCTTAAAGTCAATTAGAAAGTTTTGTTCTTTCAGAGACCACTTGACATATCTTTTAGGATTGGGTCTTTAGCTTCTTCTCTCTTTCTGTCTGCTCTTTTAATCAATTTACATAATCGTTGTTTGATGGATTATTTATCTTGTTTGGTTGGAGAATTTACATTCCAAGCTCAAAAATCTTCTCTTATTAATCAAATTACCACAAGGAAAAACTTTCTGATTCCATACATTCTTGCAAGATTGCATCTTTGTTTCAGCTGGTTCTTGAGTTATCTCGAACGAATAACCGATTAACCTGTCAAACCTTTCAATGTGAATTTGACCATGTGGTACGTTTCGCTGTCTGGTCGTTTTTGAAAAGGACATGTTGCTGCGCTTATTTTCTGTATTTATAATTAGATTTGTCCTTATCAGATGTTCACAGGTGTAACAGTCTCTTCTCTTGCCTCTTCATTTTGTACTTGGACTACATGTGCTGAGAAAAAGCCAATATCAACCTCCATAATTTGTTAAATGTCTTGTGCTTAGTAGGCAACAACATTGGTCTTTTCCTCTAAATGTTATCTTATCTTCCCATTAATTGTGTGATTCTGATTTGTGCAGGGATTCTGTAATTTAATTCTTTCGTACTTGAGAGAAGAAGCTAAAGTACATTTGTTGGAGAAGTTCATCATTTGCTTTTATGGTAATAACTGCCAAACTACACAGCCTTAGGATGTATGACTCTCAAGTTTTGAAATCTAAGTAAGGATTATCATTGATTCTTTCCTTAATATGTCTCTTCACCTTCTGAATTTTGTTTCCAAATCTCCTTACTAATTGACTTGAGCGTTTCACCAGATCCAATCCATTTCTTGAATGGTCGCGTTCCGGAAAAAAATTTTGGGGTACAGAAACCAAGTCAGAGGTATGAACTTACACTGAATCTGTTTTCATTTTCCAAAAGAAAGTCCAGATTTTACCTGTTGAATGAATTTCTGCAGTTCTTGAAAAATAATAAGAGCTTGCTTGCTTAATTTGTTACAGTGCCAAGAGTCTACAAGTGGTGAATCTTTTCTGTATAGATTTCAACTTGAAGAAGAGGTGAGCTTCTGAATTCAAGATGAGTCTTCATTCTCTGAATAATTGCAGAGGTCATAATTCTGAAAGAAGTTTTACGTTGCAGGTAAAAAGATTGCAACTGCAACTCCAAGAAGAAATAGAGTTGCATACCTTTTTGGAGAGTGTCACTGAGAAAGATCCTTGGGAGCTATCTTCTTCTTGTAGTGTTCCACATCCTGTATGTTCCTTCAATTCATGCTGTTGTGATTGCGTTATAAACCTACCGTTTTGTTTCTCTGATGATAGTGAAAACTGGGCAGGCTCAAGAACTTCTTTCCAATATAGTCACGCTAGAGACTGCAGTCACAAAGCTCGAGCAGGAAATGATGTCACTGAATTTCCAACTTAGCCAAGAACGAAACGAGAGGAGACTCGCTGAATACCATTTGACACATTTGGCCTCTCCACCAGTATGTATATCTCCATTGTAATTTGTCATTGTATTTATTTTGTGATCTATATTTGGGTATAACTATGTCTTAGTTATGCAGAATTCTTCCTCTTCCTTGAGATATTTGGATCATTCGGATTCTGAATTACATCAATCAGCAGAAGACAGTCCATGTCAAGACCAAACAGTTCAAAACCAAGAATCTTCATCTGAATCATCTCAGGCAGAATCTACCGCTGAGGTATAGACTTATATTCTTCTTTTTTCCTATAACACTTTGAATAAACGTATCTGACATTTTGCATACTAAACTAGAAAACATTGGACCCAAGTAATCAATTTCTCGAGAAGAGGCTAATGAGAAAGGCTAATGCGAGGAAGCTACCTCGAGGAATGCCACCTAAGTTCCTGTGGGATCACCCTAATCTATTGTCTGAAGAAATGGTGAGATGTATGAAGAATATCTTCATGTCTCTTGCTGATCCGACAGTATCTTCAAAAGCATCGTCAAACGAGAGCCAACACTCACCAGTATCACCCCGCGGGCATCTATCAAGCTCATCGTCCTGGTGGCCTTCAACAGAACGGTCAATGATCTCGTCATGGGTGCAGAGCCCCCAAATAGATATCCAACATAACACCGATGTCTTGGCCACAGGAAATGTTTTTGATCCTTATAGAGTTCGTGGGAAGTTAAGCTGGGCGGAGATTGGGAAGTACAGTGTTGCATCCGAGGTTTCTTGGATGTCTGTTGGGAAGAAACAGCTGGAATATGCTTCCGGGGCACTGAGGAGGTTCAGGTAATGGAGTTTTCCTTAAAACCTTTTTATACGGTTTTGTCAATCTGATTAAACGATAAAACTAGATATACATGACCATGGCTGATTCTGTGAATACTGAATAGGACACTGGTGGAGCAACTGGCTAGAGTAAACCCAATTCATTTGAGCTGCAACGAGAAGCTAGCTTTTTGGATTAACCTTTATAACGCGTTGATCATGCATGTTAGTTCATTTTTTCCCTTCTACTTGTCAAGAACCTTTCTGAATGAAATAAATGTTTATGAGAGTTGTGATCTTTTTTATATGCAGGCGTATTTGGCTTATGGTGTCCCAAGAAGCGACTTGAAGCTCTTCTCGTTGATGCAAAAGGTTATATCACTTGAAATAAGCTCTTTGTTCTTCTCATCGTTCTCATTCTTTCTTACCTTATTTTTCTTCCTTTATGTTTAATCCACAGGCTGCCTATACGGTAGGAGGGCATTCATACACTGCGGCGACAATGGAATATGTGATATTGAAGATGAAACCGCCTATGCACAGGCCACAAATTGTATATAAGCTTTTACCCATATTCGTCTTAGGTGTTCTTCAGTTTTCAGAATTAATTAACATTTACTCTGTTTTCTGATGTAGGCTCTGCTTCTTGCCATCCACAAGCTGAAAATATCAGAAGAACAACGCAAGGCAAGCATTGATACACACGAACCTCTTCTCGCCTTTGCCCTTAGCTGTGGAATGTACTCTTCCCCTGCGGTAACTAACTACCTTTCTCTTTTTGTGTGGCATAAAGTACGGAATGTGAAGTGTAAAAGTTGGAGACTTTTGTATCTTGTTGCAGGTGAGGATCTACACAGCAAAAGGAGTGAAGGAAGAGCTACTAGAAGCTCAAAGGGACTTCATACAAGCATCTGTAGGGCTGAGCAGCAAAGGGAAGCTCTTGGTACCCAAAATGCTACATTGTTACGCCAAGAGTTTTGTGGAGGATTCGAACTTGGGGGTCTGGATATCGAAGTACCTTCCTCCACATCAAGCAGCGTTTGTGGAACAATGCATCTCTCAGAGAAGACAAAGCCTTCTCGCCTCACGTAACTGCGGAATACTCCCCTTCGATTCTCGTTTCAGATATCTGTTTCTCCCCGACAACAACGACAACTCTGTGTAATAATATAACCTTTTAAAAGCTCTGTTTCGTTTGTGAAAAGCCTAACCGACTTCATATGAACCAAGAGCCAGTGGAAAGATGTTTCATCATCATAATCATTAGTATTCTCAATGTTAGCTTTGGGGGTTGGGGGTTATCAGTGTACATTTTCAAATAAAGTTTATGAGAAAAGAAATATTTTTTTGGCATGAACATGTAATGTTGTTGCAAGTGTTAAAGTTGTTGCAGAACTTTCTATAACTGAAAACCCGCACATATAGTGGAAATCAGGATAATTTATTAGCTTACAGCTGTTTCAAAAATGCTACATTTACAGAACGAAGGGATCAAAAAGGTGAATTAAGATCCAGTTCAGCAGCCAAGACCCAATAATTCAATCGGATTCAAGTTAAAAGCAACACCAAAATTTGGATCAAAAATTACAATTCGCATATACACATGTCTATACCTTAAGAATAATACATGTAAAGGAATTATCTATGTACCTCCTCGTGGAACCTAAATTAGTAGCTGTGGCATCTGCTCATTTGCTCTTGAGCTCCTAAACGGTCTTCCTCCCAATTCTTTCTTGATGAGCCCAAGGCACCACCAGAGGCACGAACCCTTGACCCCATTAGATAGAGAGATAAGATGTCTCTGTTGATCAGTCAGGAGTGGATGTTTCTGCATCAGCGGCTCTCTGCCTCACCATCTCCATCACAGCTGCTCTGCGTCTTGAATCTGCCTGTTGTTGCTTTCTACTAAAATGAGCTCTCAAGTCCCTGTAAAACCACATGTCAAGTCATTAGTAAAACCATCAATTTCTTGAAGAAAATTTCCTTCTAAGTAGTATTCTTCTGATCAAGGAACAGATTGCTTTCAAACAGTTTCGATCACGTACCTGCATTTGGGCACTCTGCATTGGGGATCTCTGCAGTTTCGGGCGTGCATTCGGAAGAGGGCCCACATTCTCTTACAATGGATGCAACCTCTGGTTTTGCATGCAACACCATGCCTGAATAGAATCTTAATCATGCGACACCTTGGATACTGGCACTGTGCAGTGCAGCATGCAATCACGTGCAACAGCAGTTCTCTTAACTGTAGTACCAACAAGCAAAACTGTATTAGCAAATAAGGAAAAGAGAAGCCAAAGGATGCAAACTCTTCTAAACATTTGTGAACGGGCCTGTATCTAGTTACACGAATATACCTGTGCAGTCTGGATTTGATTAGTGTGTGTGTTCTGTACAACAGAATCAGTCGCAGATGGACGGGTAATAAGGCTATGTGGATGGTTGATGCCTTTTGAGTAGCAAGCACTGCAAACATCATAGTCAGGACAAACCTCACAACGCCAACCTTGAGCAGGTTCAAGCTCTTGCTGGCAGATGGCGCATGCTATTGCAAATGCAGGCACGGTTGGGTTGTGAAGATGATAGAGAATCATCATGGAAGAGTGTTTAGCCCGTCTTAGTGTGTCGTACTGATAATGGTTTCCTTGGCAAAGACTTAGGAAAGCTTGCCTAGTATCAAAGAATTCGCTCTCAAGGATGCCATCATTGTCCTTAATTTCAGTAGGAACGTCGTCAATTGCAACCTGCAGGGACCAAAACCCTTGTCATTTTCCAAACCCACCATGAAGAATAACCAAATTTGTAAAAGGCTCTATCACCGTAGAAACTTACAGGATACAGTACATGCTTCTCCTTCTGATTGACGGGGTGTTTCTCCTTTTCGAGACGGTTCTCTTCCACTTCATAACACCTGTCGTAAAAGAAAGCTCGTGAAATGCAGCCAAAGAATGTATATATCTTAGAATGAGCCAACGTATACTCTCCACAGTTCAGTGAAGAAAAATTCTTTTGGCTAGATATTTCTATAGTTATTTGGAAATTTGACTTTGATATAATTATATAAAGTATCAAATAAAGAAAGAGTGAGTCGACAAGTAGAACTTACTTGTCACAAATCTGAAAATTTTTACACTGGTGGCACACCCACCGATTTCCAGATACCATGAGAGTGCAACAATGCTTGCAACAATGTTGCAAATGAACCATGATGAAATCTTCCTTCATTGGGAGGATGATCTCACCCAGCTACAGAGAGGAAATAACAATGAAAAGTTAGTGGGCAATGATATTATATCTTTCTTCAACAAAAGCATAACAGAGAGAAAGAACAAGATAGAGCAAGATTATCTATTAAACATTTCAAAACAAGAGAAAAAAAACTTACTTTATGCATTAGCAGTAGATCCTTTGAGGCATTAACAGAAAGGTCCAACTGTCCAACTGCTTTTAGAGCCCTTTTCGATATGACCTTTTTCGGCATTACTTTTCTATTTGACTTTTTGCCATCTTCTTCTTGGCTCATTTGATCTATTAAATCCTCAGCGGCGCCTGGCCAATAGTCCCCATCAAAATATGGCAACCTTGCTGCTGTTACCTTTGCTCTACATTCACCAGACTGGACGAAAAAATGATCATAAAAATTTGTACATTCAACGACCACTTTTTCCTTGGAAGCTTTTCTGAGCATCGCTAAATACCTGCAAAGGAATGAATATTATGCATCATGATGCAATTTCTCTCTTGCACGTGAAAAACAATTATTACCAAAAAAAAAAAAAAAAGTCCATACCATTCCCTTAGCTTGTCAGTCTTTGGCGTTTTCTGAATTTCAGGATGACAATATAGAATATAATCTTCACCCTTGAGAGGGGGGCATGCCCATATATAGCAGCTTGAAAACCCACGTTTCTTACAGTAATCTAGATAACCAATCTGCAAGTCCGAAAAGAAGATTGTTGATGAGACTTGTTAAGCAACACAGAAGCCTGAAAGCAAATGAAATAAGAAAGAAAAGTAGCATACCAGAATTTCATGGTATACATAAGTACGGAGGGCCTCTCCAGATACTGTTTTAACGTCAGGTCTAAAGTACTTAACCGAGTCCAGATAGGAAAGGTATACCCGCCGCTGATTGGGAGACGCAGAATCTGTTCCAAATTCTTGGACGTACATGCCAAATAAGCATACTTCAACACCTTCGATCTTCTGAAACAGCAGAATGGCCTAAAAGAAAATTACATATTAGTTAGTATTGAAGCTGATAGTCAAGTAGCACGTAGTAGAAGGACATCATAATTAGAAAAATCGGTAAACAAATAAGAACCAAGCATACATTAGCTGTACCTTAGACTTATAAGGGAATTCTGATGAGTAATTTTCTTCTCGGAATATTTCAAGGAAGCGTGGCTTAACTTCTAATATTTTGTCGACGGATGCAACAACTCTGATAACAAGTGAGTCGGCTCCCGGGACCTGGTATACCAATAAAGAAGGAAACGATATCGTTATCTTCCTAAACCCTAGCTATATTAAAGAAAAGAGCATTATAAGAGATATGGCTTTAAACATAAAGGTGAATTTTCTTAACACTAGCGGTCATAAACTATTTATTTTTGTATCTTCTGTATGACATTCTTTAGTGAGTAAGCACAACTTGATACGTCTATCTATAAATCAACTAAATGGTTCTATGTGGCAGAAAACACCAGCGGTCCCGAGGGAGATAAGCACAAGAATATAAGCAAAAGACTTATCCGAAAACTTAATAAATCACCTCCTCGTAGCTTTTTCCTTGAAGTCTAGCCCTCTCCTGTCTTTCCTGCTTTAATTTCTTGAACAACCGCTGTTCTAAATGGTTGCTAAGAGTACTAGCCGGTAAACTTTTTGCCCCCAGAATAACACTTTGTGATACTGGTTTCCTTTCTCCTTGTTCCACCTCTTGTATATAGCAATTAGGGCAAGTGTACTCGGCTTGCCCATGATTCCTACGGCCGTTGAACAAAGCACAAATTTGATGCTGCCATGCTTGACATTTATCACATTGCACCCACTGCACAGAATCATTGGCTCAGAAGAAAAAAAATAAAAGTAAAAGCAGCTGGACATAAATTACGGATCCCTATAAATTAATTGCAGAACTTCAGTTACTGAAGACACGTACCGATTCTTCAACCTCTTCATCATTTTTCTTTTTCTCAAACCTCGACTTCGGCACAGGAGTTCCATCAATAGTAACAGTGTTCGTACGCGTTTCATTGTAGCAGGGAATGCAGACATAATGCCGTGACTCACCAGCCACAACAGTATAGTGCATAGCGTTTCTCTTGACACGTGCACCACATGGTGTGCAATAAATAGGTGTCGGCTCAAATGCAAGCCTCTCAACAGCACATAACTGGCAAGAGTTTTCGGACATGGCGAGTCCCATTGCTTTATTTTTTTCTGCCTTGGTTTTACTCTGAAAAAATAATACAAAGAAAGAAAAACTATCATTACCCACAGTTAACGGCCATGTGCAAACTCGAGTCTTTTTTACAGAAAATGGTATGCAGAAAGAGACAGAAAGATTCAGACAACAGCATATAGAAACCTCAAGAAGGTAAGAGGACACTGCCAGGATAAGAACCTTTCTTGGTAAACCCAATCTTTCAAATCAAACAAGAGTTGAATCAAAAAAAAAAAAAAAAATCAGCTTACCTGGCCTACCCACTGACGAAGACCGCGGATATGCTCCTCTACTTGCTCTGGAGTGAACAGTTCAATCAGTGAGACTCCCTTTATCTTTGACTTTCCGCTATTAGACGCAGCTACAACGCCCGCAGACTGTTCCGCTTTCTCTTCTTTGGGTACGCTTATTTCTTTCACACATTTTGGTTTTTCTTGCTCTGGTAAACAAACAGTTTTACCATCGAATGAAGAGTCTCCACCATGTCTTCCCATGGGGGTATCTTTACAAACAGGCTTCTCCAGCTCACGGGAAACTGGAACAATTCTCCTCGAAGAATCGGAACTATCTGCGTTCATAGGCACATCTGATCTAACAGTTTTGCAAACATCACTTTGTACACTATATTTCTCTTGCAAACCCATTGAAAAATGAGCTTTACTGACACCAGCAGATATGTTCGCTGGGACGCTGTGTGTGTCATGATAAGCAAACTGGGAGGGTTTCTCTACTTTCAAGCGCTTCGGAGAAGGTTGCAAATCATCAACAGATGGAGCTTCAGAGTCTCTTTCACTAGAAGCACGCATAGACTCAAAGGGTTCCTTGTGTCCATGATTTAAACTGGCTGAGATAGGCTCGGCTCGTCGGAGGAGGGCAATCTTTTCTTTTTGTTTCTCCTTGAAGTTTCTGACATAAACACAGACTGGACATGCTTCATTCCCACAGTTCTTGTTATGATTAATCAATTTTCGGGTTTGAAGACAATATTGATATGCACAAGCAGGGGCCTTGCAGTAATTGATATGCTTCAATAGCGTTTTGGCAGTAAAACAATACTTGCTTTCACAGTTATCTTCCGCTGCATTGCATTTGCGTACATGTAGCAGGAACAAAAGCCACCGCCTCTGATTTATATAACTTAAACCACAATCTCCATTCAGCTGTTTACTCAAGGTGTTGCTTCCTTCTGGGAGATGTGGAGCCTCCAAGGTGCTTCTAGGAGCCACAGTTTGGCAATTTGTAGACTCTCTTACAGACGAACTATCGTTAGTAGCTTCATGCTGCATAGGCAATCTTTGACCTAAGTTTACCCCAAAATGTTCTCTCTCTCCATTCGAATCTTTTGATATTTGTGTCAAGTTCTGAGAAGATGAATGCCACTGACCCAGACCTGATACTGGCTGCACGCCAACTGAGACGTTACCCAAATCTTTCCATTGTGATACCTCCTGCGTCTGATGAGTTTGCGGTGGGAAAGATGAAGAAATAATAGGCTGGCTACTACAAACTGTTGCACTCTGAGCACCAACATACTCATCTTTGACAGTGTTCTGCTTGTACTGGTTTTGCGACTTGGATGGTTCTACTTTGTTTAAAGCCTGCAGCTGAAATGCTTCATTGTAGTATTCCACGCGAGGTTCATGCTTAACTTGACTAACAAAATTTGAAGCTAACTGAGATTGACGATAAGCATCATTGTTCATTAAGTGCTCTTGTTGCTGGTATTGACCATGATGAGCTGGCTGGTTGAACTGATTTTCTAATGGTTGATGACTCACCTGAGCCAAATTTGCTCTGGAACTGGAAGAAGATTGGAAATTCCCATTCTCGAACTGTTGAAGTAGCTGAGGTTTTAGCAATGGATTTTTTGCCGCTGCGTGCAAGCCAGACTGATTATTAGCGAAGGAAGCATCAACTCTCCGCATAGGATTCAGACTCACTGAATCCACAGCAGTTTCCATTGAGCCAGATGATGTCAGAACTCCATAGAGATTCCCAGTCCCAAAAGTATCAGAGTTTCCCATTGAATATCCTTCACCATGACAAAAGCAATTTGCAGTTAGCATACCACTATGAGTTAGACACTCGTGAGAAGGATAGCGCCAAGGAGGACGATCGAGAGAACATTGAAATTCAAATAAGCATAAGATAAAGGGAAAATTAGAGAGATTTACTGTGCACATGTGACACCTTCAACTGATCGACAGGCTGATGCAAAGGTTGGGATGAAGTTGAAAATTGCGTGGAACTAAGGACCCCTTCAGAACTCCTGCGGCCATTAGCAAGCTGTACATTGTTCCCGCTCATCCCTACACCAGCATTCTGGTGCATGTTTGACCTGAAACCACCTCCCAACTGGTGATCAAGGTTGCTATGCATACGGTCATAACCAGCAGCAGGACGTTGCCTCTGCAGCTGAGATGGATTTCCAAATTCAGACCCAACAGCCAGAAGCTTGCCACCATCTCTAGAATTTTCTTCATTTCGATGAGAATGATATACATCAGCATTAACACTATTGTTAAATCCAGGAGTAGGCATCATCTGGCCAGTGTCATCAGAACTAACTGAAAATCCCGCAGACAATTGCTGGCGACCATTAACTATTGAGCCTGTTAAAACAATTTGTACGTATAAAAGAATCAGCACAGAGTCTTTGCAAGGTCAAACTTACAGGAACACGGTAGAATCTTACATCGGATCTAACAGACATTACCTCCATTCATGCGATTAGTTGGCAATAGCCTTCCAGTTTCGATTGTTGCACCTGCTAAGTTATTATTACTATTAAAGGTGTTCATATCCACCATAGGTGTGGCCGTATGACTTTGACCCCATCCATGCGAAACTCCAGGTGTTGGGACCATCATACCGACCGAACTTGAAGGATTAGCACGGCGTTGACTAAAAAGTTGATTCAGAGTAGATTCTATGCGAACCTCAAAACTTCGGAAATCTAAGTAATCCTCCTGTGGAAAAAAAGTTACCATCAAGAACAGTGACCACATGTACAACGTTAAAGCTTCTTAAATGATTCCATTTCTGGAATCCTAGTACTATTTGCGAGGAATATTTAACAAAATGTAATAATGAGAAGATTAAAACTGGAGAAACCTTTGACTTAGCCGTTTTTAACATTGCAGTTTCTAACCGTTTTGCAACATCAAATAACTTTGCCTTGGAGGCATCATCAGTCTTTGAAGGCTGCCTCTGCTGTAACCATGCGTAGCTGGGGGGAATAAGAAATCATGTATAGCTCAAGTAAATAAGAGTATTTTCCAGATACATAATCTTTACAAAACATAAGATCACTTCAACACAGCATTGCTGAGTTGCATTACAAAACTAAACCCCGAGAAATCAGGAATCCAACAATTAATCAATCAGAGGGAAAAATAAACTAAATTGCGTAAATAACTAGAATATAAGATGGCCTTTAGCACTCATAGCAAAAGATAGAAGTGCTGGAAGCAATAAACAGAAAGTCAACATTATCTTGCAGACACTGCAGAAAAGAGTAAACTGCTAATGTCAAGTGGTATCTATGCACTATAGAATAATCACATACACCAAAACAATAAAGAGCAAGCAAGAGCCACGACCCAACACAGCAAAGGCAAGTAAAAATGTTCTTACATTCTGTTGAGCATCTCATGCCGTACTCTGAGACCATCATGAGATATGCCATTAGGCTGAGAAGAAACACTGGAAGCAGAATTCTGCATGTGTCCTGGCAGAAGAACATTCCTGTTCTGCCCCTGGGCCATTGACAGAGATTGTGGAGCTGATGCCCTGAATCACACTGTTAATCTCTTTCTCGAGGAATGCAGAACTCAGGAAGCACTCTGCCTCGCCAAAGACACACCATCATCACCACGAAGAGAAGCTGCACTCTTTAATACAAAAAAAAAAAAAAAAAATTGAGTTCGAATTCGCCATGTAATTACAAAGAACATAGTATAGCACAATCAGTAGCAAAACCCATTTCCACATAATCCCATTCCAGGTAAACCACCTCGTGAATTACGCCTTAAAAAAAAGGAAACTTTATTGTTTTAAATTACTAAACGGAACCATCCAACTAAATCAGATTGGAAAAATTGTAACTTTCAGCATCCCTAGCTCAAGATCGATCGAAACAATTAATGCGTGGAACAAAACAAACCCTGTAATTGAAAGGACAAAAATGAGGAAGTACCCAAAGAAGAAAACCCTAAACCTGAATCGTTGGGTGGGGAAATCAGCAATTCCAATCCGAAATAAGCAATTCGCAAGAAGACGTAGAAGAAGAAGGATCACAGCCGTAAAATCGATGCTCAATTAGGAAAAAAAAAAGAAAATGAAAACGGCGAAAGACAAAATAAGGACGACGGAGAAGAAAGGAAGGATAACGACGGAGGTAACAAATATCCTTCCTTTTTTGGGCATAAAGGTGATATTTTTATTTTATTTTTGTTACCGACCAATTCATAAATTCATGGTTTATGGAAAATAGCACATGTTTACGAAAAAAGAAAATAAAAAATCTTACAAAGCTTCAACGGACAGAACACAACACCCGGAGTTTTTTACCCAATCATATTTTCAGATGACCCCCAATAAGTTTAGTTTTTCTCTCTCATCCACACAAGTCAATCAATAAAGTCGAAAAGGCAAGTGGAAATTACTTATTTTGGTATTGGTTTCATTGTTGGGGAAATTGGGAAAATTATCAGTAATTTACCAATTATACCCAATCGGGAATGATAAGACTAATATAGTAATAATTGATCATTGTCTACAGACGACCTGCCGTTTCTTTTCTCTGTAACGGGACGCATTTGCATATCCAACACAGTAAACGCGATCAAGTCCTTTTTTGCCGTGGTTGAAAAACTTTAAATATACTATTTATAATGTCGACAGAATTATATAACTTCAAAATCTTTTCACATCAAATAATTTAAAATCAACGTAAAAAATAAAATGATCTTTGTAGTTATATATGTGTGCTAGAATCCATAATGGCATAACAGTTTTAAACAAGAGCGGTGATCAATAAATGTTTCCAATCATGAATATTGTATATGATTCATATGCATAATTATAGATTTCTGGTAATGATCAATAATTCCAAGCATGGCTTTGGTTGCCAATGTCGGTTAATTGGCTCTCTGAGCTTCCTTCTCCATGACTCTGCGATTTTTCGACGCTCTTGGTGAGCTGACTCAGCAAAGCTCTGAGAACCATCTGTTCAGAGGAAGGATTAAAGAACGGGTTGGGATTCTTGGAGACCAAACCGGATTGGTTGGTTTGGTTCTGTGACAAATTGGAGAAGCAGGGCACTTGCTGATTGATGATTTGATGATGATCGAAGTTGATGTAAGAGTCCATTGATGCAGAGGCTGTTTCATCAGAGCAGCTTCTCATGTTGTTGTCTCTGTCGACTTCATTGTTGTTCTTGTGGAAAACTCTACACAATACCCACTCTTCCTGTTTTTCTCCAACAAAACAATTTTTTTTTTTTGTAATTTATTTTTTTTTAAAATAAAAAAATCAAATTTGTCAAATTTTGGTTAAGAGAGAAGATATTTGTGCCAAGTCAAAGATCATCTTAGGTAAGCTAAAAATAAATCTTTCGAAAATCGTCAGCAAAACCCCTTAAAAGACAAATAACATCCAGGTTGAATGTGAAACAATGATAAAGTCAAAACTTTTGCCATAAATTATGGGATAATATGATTGCAACATCCCCGGGCGCTTGATTCATGCCTAATTTGATATTCTGTGTTACATTCAAGAAACATAGATATACTTCCTATAAATTTCTAAAAATTAACCCAATTTTTTCTTTAACCTTCAAGTGAGCCATGATCTTATAGTTATACCATACGGAGATCGCCATGAGTGACTAGAGTAATAATTACCTTAAGAGAATTAGGAGAGTGGTGAAGTAGTGTTCCTTGGAGACGAAACTCGTGCATGACCCACTCGGTTTTACGACCTTTGGGGGCTCGACCTCGGTAAAACACTAGTGTCTTTCTCATGCCCACAAGGCTACCATTTCTTTGGATTGCTCTATCTTTACCGGTGGCCTTCCAATAACCAGTGGCCGTAGCCCGGTTTGTTCTTTGCCCCGTTGCATATTTCCGATCTTTTTGGCTGTAAAAATACCAATCTTTTCCTCCCACTCTTGCCATTCCTGTACATTTAAACATGGCCTAATTTAAATATTCTAATATTCATCGAACTTAAATACGGATAATAAGTTGGACGGTAAATGTATTTTTTCGTTCTGTTATCGGCGTGAATTTTTTTTTTTTTTTTGCATTTCACCTTCATGAATGGATTTCAGTTTTTTTAACTAACTAGGTGACTCGTTTCACTTCCACATTCATTATTGAATTTCAGTTTATTTTTTAACTAATAATAAGGGTATTTCAATTTTATTCAATATGTATTGGATACATTATCATAAGATATGGGGAGAAGTCTTTTCATAATTGTCTTTATCGTAATGACATATTCACTAATATCCAAATGATTTCTATCGATCCTCATCATATCCTAACTAACCGGGTTCCCAATTACCAAGCATCAAATAGGCATCCAACACGCGTGCATGATTTAAAAAAAAAGGTTTAATATATAAGTGTGTGTGACTAATCATTAATATATTGTAATTGTGCAGTTGAATAGTCTTTTTCACGAGAAAATAACAAGAAAAATACTTATTTGCAGGTGGCTCGCAAGTTGAACTTTGGTTTTGCTTGGTTTATCAACAAGTGGTGATCTTGTATTCGAATTTCGGAATATGGAAGAAACAATAAACAGATCATGTTGGTAACAATCAAAATGGAATAATATAGCATGCTTAATTATTACGATCGAATTGTTAAACTATATGATTATTTTCACACATAATATATTTAAGCTTTCTGGATAATTTAAACAATTAAACCTATAAGTAAAAGAGAGAGCGGAAAAAAAAAGAGAAAAATTACTTACGAGGAATGTCCCAAGGCTCGCACTTGTTGAGATCGACTTCGATCAAGACAACTGGTTGATAGAGGCTGCGAACGGTTCTTTTCATTAAGTAGTCGCAGACAAGCTCGTCGTCTCTCGGGTGGAATCTAAACCCAGGAGGCAGGTTAGCCTCAACCATACTTATACTGCCCTTATTCTCGTCTTTAGCCTCCATTTCTTTTTGATATCCAAAGATTTGTTTAATTAGTGTTTATTATCATCTGATGAAAGGTTAATATACCTGTGTAAAGAGGGCAGAGGGGGAAAGAAGGAGAGGAATTTGGGGTTTCTTTTTAGCACGAGATTATGTGAAAGAAGAACGGTGGTATAAATACTTAAGAAACCTTTAAGTCAACTTCGATATGTTGCTCTGTGTAAACTATAATCTATCTTTTTCTTACAACCACTAATATTTATAATAAACGGCGGATAAATTATAGGTGTTTAGTTGATGTAGCTTTTAGTTTAATCTTAGGTTTTCTAAATCTAAAAATTTCATTATTCAAGTCAAGTTTTTCGAGTTTTAGATTTCCTAAGAAATGATAAATAAACTTTGAAAAGCAATGAAATTTTCTATTCTTTTTAGAAACTAGAAATCAAAAGCTAAAATTAAACATTCTAAACAAAAATTTATGTATCCATACTATACGGCATTAAAAGATGGATGGATGATGGCTTATCAGACTTTTTTTTACCATCCTTAATATAAGGTTCTTACTTATTTATATTATAAATGATGATGTTATTATTAACAACTAGCAAATCTTCGACCAAAAAAAAAAAAAAAACTAGCAAATCTAACTTTTTGCAACATTTGAAAGTCAAATGAATGTTTTCGTCGAAGTCATTCGTAACAACAATTTTCGGCTATAAAAAATTTACAAATAGATATGATTTTATATGTATCACATTTACTATGACAATTTACTTTTAGTATATAGAATATATAACAACAAACGGTTATTCTTTACACCACGTTAAGTTTACATCTAGTATATATAGTTGCATAATTTCTCGTACTTGGAGAAGTATAAGCTGATTTTTAATAAATTATGGATTGGCTATTTTTTTAATGTGTGAAATATTTCAAAAAGATGCACTGTAGTTAACATGAAATAGTCCACCGTTAATTTTCTGTGAAACATTAAAGATTCTAGGTAGGAAAATTATATGTGTTGCCACGAAGCCAGTAAATATATGTCTGAACTAGCAAAAGTACAGTAATAAATACAAGAACGACCATTTATAGTTTCACGACTGACGTTACGTTTCGTTATGACATTGAGTAATCTGTTGTTGTCGTTTGTGTCTTAAGGTAAATTGATAAATCTATGGAAGCGAATCAAGCGATGATCGTACCAACTTAACTATGGGAGACAAAAGCGTAGCTTTGACTGGCCTTGATTTCAAAGCCACTTTCTAAATTTTGGAGGAAGACAAAAAAAAATTCATTTCATTTGGTTTAATGTACTTGGAGATAAATTTGTCTATTCTATTGAATTGGATGTACCATAAAATCTTTCATCTCTGGAGATTATGGGTTTTGGCTATGTACAGTCCATACATGTGCTATAATATTATTTACACAAATATTACAAAATATCGATGAAAGACATATATCAGATAAGTTGGATCAAAAATAGACATTCAAAATCTCATAACAAATGATGATTAGAATACCTGACGCTGATATATCGAATGAATCATCGAAATTTTGCGTCATATGGTAAGAAATAAATCATACAAGTGTGAAATTAATTTTTCAATTAGCTTTAATTGGTAAAAATACTACCATATCTCTTAAGTCTTTACAGATACAACAGATTCTAACGAACGCCGTTTTTGGTAGTGACCATAGACAGAGATGGACTGAATCAAGTAGAGTATATTTTCATACATGCAAAATTATAAAATGCAATCTAATATTCCCAAAAAAATCCACATCTAACCAATTTGGGCACTTTGAACCCGGCCCGAATATTATCCGAAAGGAGTGGATCCAGTAACAGAAGACACGTGTGTGCTATATATGTGAGAATCTGAGCTGAGCTGTATATATTGCTTGTCTCTGTCATTGCCACTTCTCAACAAACCCTAAGAGACCGCCAAAAAAAAAAAAAACTCTTTTTTTCTCTTCTCTATCTCTCTCTCTCTCTCTTTCGATATCGACTGTAAATGGCGTCGGTTTGCGTTAAAAATGTTGGTACTTCACCGGATAAGTTATCGACGGCGAGTTACTCATGGAAGAGCTCCAAAATGTCAGTGATGAGCCGTCGGGAATCTCCACCGTTGGATCCGCAGAGGGAAAACGAAGATCCTGTGGACTTTGAGTTTCTTCTCGAAGATCCCGTCACAATGCTATCAGCCGACGAGCTTTTCTCCGACGGAAAGCTAGTCCCACTAAAATTTTCCGGCGTAACTAAGCCGGAAGAAAAACCTATAACGGCGGTCAAGACGGCGGATAAACCATGCCGGAGACTAGAGATGGATATCTCCGGCGTCGATCCTTACCTCTTCTCTCCGAGAGCTCCTCGCTGCACAGTTAGATGGCGTGAGCTCTTAGGCCTAAAAAGACTCGCCAAAACGCAAGAAGAAGCGTCGTTTTCGTCGTCGTCGTCGTCGCGGTTGTCTTCGTCTACTCCAAACCCCAAAACGGCATCGTTTAGACATTTTCTCAACCGGAGCTCCAAATCCACCGCTCAAACGTCGTCTCCTCCGCCGCCGATAAAAGACTCAGACATCTCTGAGTCGTCAACGTCGATCTCCTCTTCGCGTCTCTCACTCTCTTCGTCGTCTTCCTCCGGCCACGAGCTCGACGACGTCCTTCCAAGACTATCTTTAGATCTCGACAAACCAAACGCTGCACCAAACCCGTTCGCTCGGTCACGTGCCCACCACCACCACTTACGAAACCCGAACCAACCGAGGAAGCCACGTCGTCATTCTCCGGCGGATGATTCGACGGAGAGTATTGAGTCGTCGAGGGGTTTGACGGTGACTGCTGATAGTCCGAGGCTTAATGCTTCTGGGAAGATTGTGTTTCATGGACTCGAGAGAAGCTCAAGCAGTCCTGGTAACTTCACCGGCGGACCAAGAATGAAACATCACCATGGAATGCCGAGATCTCACTCCGCTAATGTCCGAATCGCTCCTGTTCTTAATGTTCCTGTCTCTTCTCTCCGTGGCGGTCCCAAATCGGGTCTCTTCTTCGGACAGCTTTTCTCTTCTTCTTCTTCTTCTTCGTCGTCTGGAAACAGAGCTCAGTTGCAGCAGAGCAACAACACCAAGAACCATACCAATCGAACCAGACTTGAACCGACTAGCGAACTCTAAGAACCGAACCGGATTCTAATTGTACCAGCTTCGATTTAAGGGGTAATATGTCTGTTTTGAGTTTTATCGGGACGATTTCATCAGATGAGTTTAGATTTGGGTTCGGAAAGTAAATAATGAGAAATATTTTGATTTTCCATAAATCTATTTTTTAAAGTTTTTTTAACTTAAGTAGAGCGAGTTGTTCGATACTGGAAAAACCCAGTCAGTCATTAATTTCTGTAGCGAGGCTGTGAGAGTGAGAAGTGCTTCCCATGTTCATACATCGATTCCGAAGATATTACCACATGTTTTAGATAATATTAAAAAGTTTTGACTCATTAGCAATGTACTTACTTTATCATGAAGTTTTTAGATAATTGTATTACACTTTAGGGAGCGACAGCTTTTGTTCCCTATTTATTTTAATTTTCTGGATTATTAAATAAGTTATGATTCTGCATGTTAAAGACAATCCAAATTGCAAATCCTCTCCGTATCTGCTGCACCCGTTTAGTTATTTTAATCAATGTCAATTTAAGTGTAATAGTTTAGGGATAAAAAAGCAGCTTTAACTGTGATTGGTCATGTGGTGGTCCAAATCAAGATTTTACTACATATGTATTTGATCTCTGGTGAAATACATATGTAAACATGACCACTAGATTTCATTTGTCATAGTTTTCTAAGGAAACAGATCGTCTAGATATGTAACTTCAAGCGCCATGACTATTCATATTTAGTTCAAACCAATTGAGCTTGTTTATAAGTTATAACTAGAAGAAACACGAAACTGAGGGGAAAAGTAGGGAATGGTCAAAGCGTGAAGAAAGATGTCAGTCATATGAGCTGCATTTTTTCGAGTAAATAAAGTTGGTTCCAATAATTTTGTCTATATATTAAATTATAAATACATCACATATAAAAGTTATTCGTCACTCTCGAACACTGTTTTCAATCCCATCCGTTGGATTTTTCTTTCTTCTCCTACTTCAATTTAGTGACAACTATAAACAAACATATCACATAACAAAATTAGGGCTATAAATGTTTTTATTTTATATCATTGTCACTTACATAAAACACGACTCTAGTATTTGAAAAGTAAGTAAATGTAGTAAAACATTTGCGTCAAATATTGCTATGAGTTGGTGATATAAAAGCATCCATATTTAAAATATTTCAAAATACAAGTTAAAATAAAAAATTGAAGAAAATGAAAATGATTTCTATATGGGAAACTTTGAGAATTTTGAGAGACTCTCCTCCATGAATGCTTTATTTTCAGTAATACAATTGAACTATATTGGAAATATTGAATATTATGTTTATGAGAAATTTAGAAAAAATATCTCACCAGTAGAGATATTCTAAGTATGAGACTATAAGTTAAGAAAGCAGTAAAGGACCAAAACCAACCCAAACTAAATTTGATGTGTAAAAAAAATCCAAACTAAAATACAGTGCCAATAACTATCTGAATTCCAAAATAATTCAAATTTCCTATCTGAATTCTAATATAAGTGTTAAAATCTACCTTGACTTAGTCAACTATTAAAAGACGCTGACGAGGCATGACGGAATATGACGTGGCATGACACGTTGTCATTTTAGTATATGACGTGGCATGACACGTTGTCACTTTAGTAAAACGATGTCGTTTTTTAAAAAAAAAATTAAAATTTTTCCTCTTACCTGGATTCGAACCTAAGACCTTATAAACCATGACTAGCACGCAAACCAGTTGAACCACGAGACATTATTGCTATCCTTTACAAATACATGTATATATTCCGATGCTCCATTTCTGGAATCGGTGAAAACAGTAGAGCTTTGACTGCTAAATATGAGCTTAATTCTCAGATTATGTCAACTTTTATCAACTAGGTTAGCTCAAACCTCCAGATTATCACTCGTTCCTTGCATCGGCGATTGCCGGAGTTTCGGACAACCAGCGAGAAAAGAGGATGAAGAGAAGAAAAAGAAATCGATCAAAGGAAGCTCCCAACCGATTACGATCCAGTGACTTTCGATCCAACAGAGCACCGTAGTCCTTCAACGGAGCATGTGTTCAGACTCGTCGACGAGATCTCATCTCTCACGTTATCAGAAATCTCCGAACTCGGTGCGATTATCATGCCGAAGAAAGGAATCACGGAGTTACCAACCATCGCCGTCATGAAACCCGGAGCTGCTGGTGTTGGGATCGTCAGCGGAGTAGGTCAGAGACAGAGCGGCGGCGGTGGTGGAGCGAGTGAGGAAGCTAAAGCGGAGAAGATAGTGTTTGAGACGCTGTCGTTTTGTTTTTTGTTTTTTGAATTTAGACAGACACATATCAATAATATATACATATACCTGTAAAAGATAACAATAATGTCTCGTGGTTCAACTGGTTTGCGTGCTTAGTTATGGTTTATAAAGTTTTAAGTTTGAATCCAGGTTAGAGGAAAAAAAATTTTTTTTTGTTTTTACAAAAACGACGTCGTTTTACTAAAGTGACAACGTGTCATGCCACGTCATATTCCGTCATGCTTCGTCAGCATTTTTTAACAGTTGACTAACATCAAAATTAGTCAAGGTAGATTTTGACACTTATATTAGAGTTCGGATAGGAAATTTGAATTATTTTGGAATTCAGATAATTATTGGCACCGTATTTTAGTTCGGATTTTTTTCGGCACATCAAATTTAGTTCGGGTTGATTTTGGCCCTTTTCCCATTAAGAAAGCTATTGGTGTTACCTCATCTGATAGAACAGTCTTGAATTTCATTAGAAAAACAAGTGTTCAAAACAATCAAACTTTCTACTATTGTAGACATAACAAAACTATGATTAAAAAAATATGTGACATAACTAATAACAGAAATTTAATTACATTGTATATATTTTATAAAACACATAGTCTTGGTCCAAGTAGACTTGGAGTCTTGGATTAATACTAAACCTTTAAAGAATAATGACCAAAAACACTAATTTAAATAGTATATGCATGTCGTTTAATTTAAAATTTTAGTTTGCCATCTATAAAACAAAGCAGAGTCCCAACAAAATTCTGCTACGGTTTTTTTGACTAGCTTTTGAATTTCTGGGGACCCATTGTCCTCTTGGTCATTATTCAGATTTTGGCTGCCATATTCAACCAAAAACTGGAACGTACGGACAATATAACCACAGTAATTATCAATAACCACCGGTTATATACTACCAGATACAAAACAAAACCATCAACTTTTTTTTGGTAAGACAAAACCATCAACTTATTACTACATTAAACTCACCAGTTCAAGAAATGTTCGTGCGAGTGGCATTCAGTCATAAATATGTCAAATAATTGAATTAGCTAGTTCTTTATGACTTAACGAGTTGCAAAATGGTAACATGAATTTGTGCAATTATTTTTATACTAGTTTGATTAAATATACATTATGTATTACATTCAAAAAATTTATAACACTTATAATTGTATCAAGCGAGAAATGTAGAATTTATTTTATAAAAAAATACTATTCGATCGTAATACTGAATAAGAGATAAGTAACATAGGCAAAAGGTAATAATAAGGATTACGTAAAAAAATAAGAAGTAATAATAAGGATTTAAAAAAATAAGAACAAAGTAGAAAAATGAAGGAGAGAACGTGATGGTTCCCAGTCTTGCGCCCTCTCTGATAGATTCTATATCTCCTATTTGATTCTCATGATGCATTCATTCAGATGTCTCTTTGTTCTTTTCTATATATCTCTACATCTATATATTTTTGATATTTTCTGCATTATATATTGGGATAAAGAGTCACGACAAGTGCCCTAGGTAGAAAAGGCCGACAAGAAAGAAGAAATGAGTTATTAATAGATTATAGTCTTATAGATACCGAGTTTAGTAGTATGTCATATGGATATTAACATGTACGTTATGGTTTTCACTTTTCATAGAAGAAAAAAGAGAGACAAATGTCAAACGCCAAAAATAATCGAGTATATATAATAAAGATCCTATAAACCTAGCTAAGCTACTTCTTGTTGATTATGCGATGGAAATATACATTATGAACTTGTGATGGTCGGATACACAACCACTCTATGAACTGGGACAGGCACTACCTTATCCTAATCTGGCAACAATTATTAATCTGTTTTGTGGTGTGAGTGTGACAAAGGTACACAACTATAGTCTATATAGGATATGCTACGTATTATGTATATCGAATGCATAAAATAGTATACTATTAATTTCATTGCATTAAATCAGGTGGGTGGTAGCCCTATCGTTTGACCAATATTAGTATATAATTAGTTTTGTTATGGCTGCATGGAAGATCTATACATATATATATATGCATTGGCATTTAGTGAATGTGAATTATGTGAATGGAACAAGGGGACATATATATTGGCTGCAGAAAAAAGAGAGGGCAGCTTGAGCTGTGTTCTTAGCTGTTCGCTACAGTGAACTAAATACCACATTCAATAGCAAATATTTATTTTAAAGTGCACAGTGTGAGGAATGGGAAGCAGCGAAAATACAAAAAAAAAAAAAAAAAATTGAAAAAAGAGGTGACAAAAATGTATATGTGATTGCAATGGGAATGAGGACGTATATGAGTTATTACTATTAAAGTCAAAATTGGAAGTATGTGTTGATGTGTAAGAAAGCAGCACATTGTTTGTCTTTGTCTTCTTCACATATCTCTCGCTGTACATCTTACGTACTCTCTTGTTCTTGTTGTTGTTCTTCTTCTCTCCCATTTATTCCTCTTACCTGCATATTATAATTTCAAATCCTTACCTGGGCCTAAAAATGTTAGGCCCATTTACAAAATCAGGGCTTTATCCAATTTAAGTAGGCGGAAGGGGAAAACCCTAGCTATATACGTAGTGGAGAGGTCGGCGAACAGATAGCGTGAATCTGATTTCGGCGATATCACGATGAGAGCCAAGGTATGATCATTCCCTCTCTGCAATCTTCTTGTTTCTCAAAAGATTTGTTCTTTCTTTTGTGCCTCGAGTTACACAACATTACGATCTTGTTCTATAGATTCCTTGTGTTAGTTTGCATTGATTCTCTTACATATAGAGAACAAATCTTATAGCGTTGCTACGGTTATTGGATTCTCTTTTGCGCTTTTTATCTGAGGAAATATTGGTAGCAGAGCTTGAACGAATGCTGAGTAATTGCTTGTTAGATACAAAATAGGATTGAAATTGCTTATCGAATTTATGCATTTCGCTTTTAATATGATGTACCCGAATTTCTCGTTGCATTCTGCTTGGTTAAGATTGATGATAATCTCATAAATTCCATTTCGTTTTACAATTCATACAAATTTGGATCATAGAGTTTTTTTTAATTTTATCATCGGCTTGTCTTAATCGAACGGGAACAAACGGGTTGTATTAATGGGAAATTGTGGTGTTTTGATCATTTTCTTTTGCAGTGGAAGAAGAAGCGCATGAGGAGACTGAAGAGGAAGCGAAGAAAGATGAGACAGAGATCCAAGTAGCCTGTCTTGCCTTTATCCCAAATCTCTGCGATTTTTCTTTGAACCTCTATGTTTGTGTTTTTACTTCTTAAGTTGGAACAATCGTTTGTAGAACATGTTTCTTTTTATAATACAGGGCAGAGGTTTGAATATGTTTTGTTTATTTGGTGGTTTTTGATTCAAGTAATGATTTTAACTTCTAAGCGGCTTGATGAATAATCAAAAACATGCTCTATGCATTTTTATTTTATTTACAAAATCAACAAAAACACACATATATATATAGAGAACTTGACTCCAACTTGTTAATCTAACGAAAAGTTTTCATCTGTACGTTTTCTGCTGATTTCTTCCACGTCACGGTGCTTCTGTGTCTGATCGCCGGCGGCAGAGGCTGGTTGATCTTTTCCTTTTTCGATACATTGAGCGCTTGAAAACAGCTCCACGGGCTCGGATTCTACGATTTTGCCTCCCTCTAATGGTGTCCCATGTTTGTAACTTACTCGAATTGGCTCGTCTTCGGACAGCTTCGCCTGAGCCGTTGCGTACTTGATGTCGTCTTTGTTCTTTGCCATCTTTAAGGTTTACGGGATCATTCACGACCTGACATGCGACGACATATATAAAAGATGTGAAGATTGACGTGTCCATCTCGGGACTCTCGTGTTAGCTTACTTCTACTTCTTCGTTTCTCTTTTGTTGACACGTATTCACTTGTTGCAATGCCGTCAAAAAACATGCGTTTTCTTTGTTTCTAAGTAATTTTTTTTTTGTTGGTTGGATTAAGGTGACAAATTTTGTAGACATAATAATAATATTTTGGCGGGTTCCTAAAGGAATATTAGGCTTGAAGGTTATGAATTAAGTGAATGAATTAGCAGCAAAACGCTAATTATAAAAATTGATTAGAATTGAGACGTAGCACCTACCTTATCGCTCCTCTTTTAATACCCGTCTATCTTTTCTGAGTATGCTTCAAGTCTCTTCTTCAAATAGCAAAAGAAAAGAGAAGATAGAGAGAGAGAGAGAAAGCTCCAATAGAGTTTTTACTCAATGATGAAGAAGATGAGGTTGATGACGATGCTCAAGAGATGCAAGAGCGTTTCCACACAATTGGGTCGTTCATATTCTTACACCAGTCTCAGATCCCAATCCGCCAGAAGAGATCCACAAGACCACCTTCATGACGTCGACCAAAGCTCTACACCGTCTTTGTACCAGACAGTGTTCGTCGGACGTACGAAGAAACCTTACGTGATCAGTAAGCAACACTTGAAGCACCCTCTGCTCAACGCTCTTGTAGAAAAGCAGCAGAGGTACGAAGAAGATGATAATGAAGATGGCAGCTATATAATTACGGTGAAGTGTGAGGTCGTTTTGTTCGACCATCTCCTGTGGATGCTTGAAAATGGAGACCAGAGTCACATATTGGAGTCTCTAGATGACTTTGCCAATCTCTATCTTTCCCCTTGATTAGGTTTCACGTACTTGTTCCTTTTGTCTTTTCCCTTCACTTATAAGTTTCAATTGTTTATACATCGATCAAACTTTAAATCCCTTTTAGTTTTTATTCCTTGAAACATATTGTTTATCGGTAGTGATTGAGTGGTGTTTGTTAACAAGACATCCTACCAAAGTGGATCACTGGGATAACGAATTAATTTAAAATGGATCTATACCCTCATGTGTTAATTAGAAACACAAAAGAAATCAAAACAAAATGAATAATGGGTCTAAATGAAGCCCAAAACCTGGAGTATTCAACCAAACAAAAAGCTAGCATCAACAAAATCTATATCAGAATCAGAAAATACAAGGTTTCTGACATTAATCCACTAAGGCACTCCTAACCTATAATTAATTACGACAAATGACATTAATCCACTTAGGCACTAATAACCCCATATAATTAATTACGACCAAAAGCGCTTTGTTCCTACAAAAAGTTGCAAACTTTACTTTCACCCATAAATCTTTGAGACGTTTACACTCTATAGCTCTTTTTGAGTTCTTAATTATAGATTTTAGCACTTTCAAATAAGATAGCACTTTGTTATAGTTTATAGACGTGAAAATCCTTTTTCAATCCTCTCCTTCCAATTTAATTATCAGCAAGTGGTTTGAATAAAATTAGTTAACCAAATTTGAAAACGGTTTAATAATTAAAAGGCTAAACACATCTTTCTCATTCTCTCCGTATCTCCTTCTTTGCCTTAAGCTCTCCTTGAGCTTAGTCTTTCTCTTTCTCTCTCTTTTTTTCTATCTCTTTTTCGTCTCTTGCTCTTAGATATTTGCTATCTTTCCATATAGTGATTATATCTCTCGCTCTTAGATTTCTGCTCTCTCTCAGTTCTCCTCTTCTCTTCTTCTCTCGCTCTTAGATTTCAGCTCACTCTCCCTCAGATCTTCTTTTCTCTTCTACTCTCTTATCTCTCACTGGAGATGAATCTCGTGGAAGCTCACTGATCCTCGAACAAGAGTCTTTTCGCCGTCACGAATCCGTCGACAAAGCTGACCTTGCTCCGAAACTGTCGGCAAAGGAGTTGTGAAGTCAGACGAGTACGAGCTAGGTGAGATCGTGATATTCAAGCTGTGTACATGATATCTATTCCATGGTAACCATATCCATGATATCTTGTCTATCGTAACCATGTCCATGATGTATTACCGATGGTGGCCAAGTCCATTATAGCTAGAACTCCGACATAAGCAAAATGAAAGACAATTATTGACAATGCAACCATATAGTTGCTACCATGTACTTCTAAAAAATCGTATATACTAAATCAACAGTGTTGTCCACTTAATCATAAAACTGTTTTACATGTGAGAATGCCAATATTACAACAGCTCCATAACCATGACTACACAACCATGAGTATATACCAATATGAATGAAGCTCTTTAACCATAACTATATATACCATATCGTCGCTACCATGTAATTAAGCTGTTATAGCGGAATTTTTTGGTTTGTTGACAATTGGAGCCATATTTTATTTGTTGATGTGGCATGAGCTAGCTCAAGCTGTGGATGTGTACATGACCATTACACTGGCATTAAAAATTAGATGGTCAATTGTGTACATTGACAATAAGTAAGTCCAGGTAATCGAAGGTGATATTAAGTAACTTGGATAATAGTCGTATGTGGATGAATATAATGGGGCATCTCAAATTACATATATATAGTCCTGCTTACGGTAAAAACCAGTAGGTATGACAAGTTGGTTATGTCCATATAATGTGGCTATATAAGACTAAGTACAATATAGTTGCGTATATGTCCATATGGTTATATCCACGAAGTACAATATATTTGGGTTTATTCCATATGGTTATGTACATAAAGACAGGTTCGATTAATAAAGTGAGAAATCATGTGGATGTGGATAATTTAAAAATATAGCAATAATACACTATTGAACCTATGTGTATCGTGACCATATGTATTGTTCCGATATATTAGTTATGCATGATTATATGGTTATGTGACTTATGTCCATAGAAAAATGGAGCTTCATATTATCACGTGTCCATACAAACATGCCATAATAATGTGTCCAAGAAACTTATATATTAAACCATATAGTTTTGTCCACTTAATCACGACACTAACACTGAATATAATATAATAAATGCATAACCATGTTACTACAGGTCTATAACAATGAATACACGACTTTGAATTAGGTGGATGCGTGGATATGATCTAGTGGATACTTCCAAGTGTAAAATACATGGATGTAGCCATACGCATATATATAAGGGACGGTATATATAAACAACAATATAGAATTAGTTTGGATATATGGATTTTGTCATATGGTTTTAGCCATATGGATGTAATCGTATCAACAAAAACATGTCCAGAGATTGTTGTCCGTGTGTGTGGATGTGACCATATCCCAGATTTGGTGTGTGGTGATTCATCATCTTCCTCTTTCACCAGAGATTGTATCATCATCTTCTTTTTTCATTGGAATTCGTGCAGTGAGGACCGAATATAATCACAGGTAGAGCATGGAGCCATGGCCGAGTTTCTGTAAAAAAATATGGAAAACAGCGAAATAGATCTAAAAGAGAACAAACTAGAGTGAGGAGAGGAGAGGAAAAAACTAGGACCGATGTTGTTAAAGAAGAGGAAGAAATTGGGAGCGATCTAAAAAATGTAGTTGGTTTAATTTGGTTTGATAATTATCGGTTTAGTGAGAAGTGATGGTGGAAAGGGTAATGATAGGTTTTTGCTAGGAATAACTTAAATAAAGTATCAGTTGAAAGCAAAAAAAATGTAAATATAAAGTAGAAAAGAGCCATAAATTGTAAATTTCTCTAAATCTTTTTGAGAAAACTGAAATTTGATTTTTCTAATCTAGAAAAGAAAAAGGTTGTAACTTTACTCTTTCCTTCCTCTGCTACTGAACTAACAAGTTTCAACAAACTGGCGTTTCAGTTCAGTGGACTTATGGCTGCGCCTAGTTTACTGCGATCTCGACAGTTGCAGAAAAGTCACGACTTTCGAATTTGCGGAAACCGAGTTTTGTGTATTGAGTAATTTGGGGTTTATAAATCCAGGTAATCATCTTTTCTCCGATCCGTATGTGAGTGTTCTTTTGCATCATCAGTAGTCATCAAATTCAAACTGTTTTTGGTCGTCTCTCGGAGCATCATCAACCCCCAAAATGCTTCCGATGTTTGTGTCCAGATTGGCCTAAGTACATACTAATCTTTAGCTTCTCTTATTACTTGTGTAGATGTGATTGCCAATCAACACGGAATTAAAGTCGAGATTTTGTGATTACTCGAGCAACGATGCATCAGTTAGGGTCAGCCGGTCAACACTGCGAGTTCACGGCGGCGTCTTACTTCTCGTGGCCGACTTCAAGCAGGCTGAGCAACGCGGCGGAGGAAAGAGCCAACTATTTCTCAAACTTGCAGAAGGAGGAAGAGGAGGAAGATGAGGTTTCTCCTGAACCAGCTTCTACAGAGCCTAAAGGTCAACGAGCCACCACTTTGCTTGAGCTCATGACCATAAGAGCCTTCCACAGCAAGATCTTGCGCTGTTACAGTCTTGGAACCGCCATTGGTTTCCGGATTAGAAGAGGGGTTCTCACGGATATCCCGGCAATCATTGTTTTTGTGTCTCGGAAAGTTCATAAGCAATGGCTAAGCCCTCTTCAGTGCCTTCCTACTGCTCTTGAGGTACATTTGAATTGAAAATTTTTGATGGCATTGTAATGGAAGTTGTAATGGTGGATGTGTGATTTGGGGATTGAATCAGGGAGCAGGAGGGATATGGTGTGATGTGGATGTGGTGGAGTTTTCGTATTTCGGAGAACCTGATCATCAGCCCACTCCTAAACAAACATTCACCACTGACATTGTTGATCATCTCCAAGGATCTGATCCCTTCATTGGATCAGGCTCTCAGGTATATTCACTCATTGTAATCTGGTGCTAAGGAAGTAATCGCAAAGTCGATAACTTTGTGTTTTCTCCTAACTTGAATCAGGTGGCAAGCCAGGAGACTTGTGGAACTTTGGGGGCAATAGTGAGGAGTCAGACCGGAAGTAGGCAAGTCGGGTTTGTGACTAACCGCCATGTTGCTGTTAACTTAGACTACCCGAGCCAGAAGATGTTTCATCCTCTCCCTCCTGCCCTTGGCCCTGGGGTGTACCTTGGAGCCGTTGAGAGAGCCACTTCCTTCATCACGGATGATCTCTGGTTTGGCATTTTCGCTGGCACCAATCCAGGTTTAGAAACATCAAAATTTTTTGAGGTTTCGTATCGATGAAGCAGCAACCTCCTGCAATAACTTTCAATGTATTTTGCAGAGACGTTTGTGAGAGCAGACGGTGCATTCATCCCCTTTGCGGACGACTACGACCTGTCACGGGTCACAACGTCTGTCAAAGGTGGAGTAGGAGAGATTGGAGAGGTGAAAGCCATAGAGCTGCAGTCTCCAGTTGGCAGTTTAGTTGGGAAACAGGTAGTGAAAGTCGGGAGAAGCTCTGGCTTGACTACAGGAACCGTGCTGGCTTACGCGTTGGAGTACAATGACGAGCGAGGAGTCTGCTTTCTCACGGATTTCCTTGTTGTTGGGGAGAACCATCGCAGTCCGTTTGATCTTGAAGGAGATAGTGGAAGCCTCATAGTGATGAAAGGGGAGGAGAACGCAAGACCTATTGGGATCATATGGGGAGGCACTGGAAGCCGAGGGAGGCTGAAACTGAAAGTGGGTGAGTCTCCTGAGAGCTGGACCACTGGAGTTGATTTGGGAAGGCTTCTTACACATCTCCAGCTTGATCTCATCACCACCGATGAAGGGTTAAAATGTAAGTTATTCCTTCTTCCGTTTTCTTTTAACTTTTCTTCAGCATATAGAAGTAACAAGACTTGTGTTTGTGTTGTTGCAGCGGCAGTGCAAGAACAACGAGCTGCTTCAACAACGGGGATGAGTTCAATGGTTGCAGACTCATCACCTCCATATGTAAATCTCAAGAAGGAGAAGAGAAGCCCGGAAGAGAAGTTGGAGGCAACATTAGGGCCTCTCCAGGTCCAACGCATCGATCTTGAAGAGAGAATAGAAGCAAAAGGAGGTCCTCCGAGTGTGGAGCACCAGTTCATGCCGAGCTTCAGCGGTCAATGTTCCGCGTCTGCTTGGCTTGAAACTGCTAGGGACGATCTTGTTGCCGAGCTTACAAATGGTGGGTGCGATGGTGATTTATGTGTAGGGCTGCGTTTAGGGGACGATGGAGCTAAACGCAGACGCTCTGAACTGACCAATGATAGAATGAGACCTGCCGAATAAGCTAACGAATTTTGGTGAAATTGAAGATTGTCTTTGCTCTTGCTCACATTTCCATTGTATGATTTGTATTGGATTTGTTGTCAAAATTCTTATGTCAATCTGACGTGAACATAGACAATTTAGCTTCAGTTAGATTCATTTGCCATTCTCTTTTTTTTTTTTCCTGCTGTTCTGTTTGTCCAATCCCATTTCTCACTTAAATTTACCAATGAAAGACCCAAAGTTAACAAATTTATGGTATATAAGAAAAGGGAGAAAAATCGAACTTTTGAATTTGAAAGATAATTTGGGCCATTACTCATTAGTATGTAAGAAATAAATTATACTTTTGAGGGGCTTTGGATATTTTTTGAAATTGAAGAACAGAGTCGCACATTCATGAAAGCTTTGATTTTTATCATTTTTGTTTCGGGAAAATCAACGGAGAGAGATTGGTTAAAAGCTCTGATCTTTCGACTTGCTTTTGTCGTTCCCTGCGGTTAAATCTGGCGGACGAAGCTTACTTGTCCGTAAGGAGACATCCTACCCTTGTCAGGTAGGCGACGGTCAATTTCTTACTCCTCTTTTATTTCTTGCTGATTCGCATTCATGGCCTCTCTTCAAATCCGCCTCTAGGGTTTCTGTCTTACTTCTTCATTGAATCTCCTGCTATATCGCTCCGTAGAGATGATCAGCTTCTCTATTGGAAAAAATCGGACCTTTATAGAAGCATCAGATGGGTTCTTCTTCCATTTTAACTTTTCAGAAAGAAGGGATTGAGAACTAAGCCGTTTTGCTTACAGAAACCATATTCGACAATTCCCAACCTTCACGTTTGTGCCAATTTTGCTGATTCTTTTACTTGTCTTATTCGGGGAATCTGGTGTATAGTTTAATGGCAGGAAATGGGATGCCTACATTGGGCCGTGTCAAGGTTTGTGATCTAGCTCCCACTGAAGGTCTACCTTCTGATTCTTACAAGTTAGCCGTGACTACATTATCTCAATCTCTGGCACAGTACTCTGCAGCCATCATTCAGTTTCCCTCTAGCGATGGAGCCCTCCTTAGATCCGGTCTTGATTCTGCTAGGCTCTATTTTCACCAGAGAGATTCATATCCAGCCACTAATAACATGATCCACACAAATGATTCAAGAGAATGGTGCAAGACCTCTGGCTACTATGCAGATCCTCAGTCGTGGCAAGAGAGCTACGAGTATAGACCTGGTTTGACTCTCACCGAGCTAACCAATTCTATGGAGTTCCCTCCAGCTGGTTTGCCTGATATTTTTGCTTTACTAGGAAAAGCTGCTCGTGTAGTTCTTGATGCAATTGGTTTCTATTTGAATTTGAGAAGCTGTCCATTCACTGAGATTCTTGATAATGTCCCTTTGAGGAATAATGAGATATCGTCCTCTGTGTTATCTGTTTGCTGTTATGCGAGGCCGTCGTTTCATGGAGCACAGCACCATAACTTAACAGAAGAGGAGCAGCTTATCATGTATTCAGACCATGATCACCAACTTGACAAGAGTCTGATCTCGTTTGTGAAATCAGAGAAGGCGGGGTTGCACATCAGGGACATGCACGGGCAATGGATTTTAGTGGATGCGGATCTTGGTCCTCAAGAGGCTGTTGTGTACCCGGGGCTAGCTCTTTACCAGGCTACAGCAGGGTATGTGAGTCCTGCAGTTCACAGAACCGATTTAAACAGTATGCAAGGAAGTATAGAAGGGAGGTTCTCTTTGGCCTTCAAACTCATGCCTAAATCAATGACCAATCTGAGTTGCTCGGAGATGAGGGCAGCAGGTCATGGTGTTGAGGCTCAGTTTCAGATCCCGGTTTTGGTCGATGACTTTATGCAGAGATCTCACTCGAATGATGAACTCTTTAACAGACAAACTTTACAAACCTTCAGCGTTCCTCAATCCCAGGATGATGGTATTCGAGTTTACTCTCTTTCAGTCTAAACGCCTAATTTCCATCTTGTTCATAGTTTTTTGTTTATGTTAGTGCTTAGTGAGAAGTTTTGATCAACAGAAGGTCCTTCCTTTGATCAATGTACAGGATCTATGAAACAGCTAAAGAAGAGGAGGAAGAGCGATTCCAGATTAAAACCGTTACCACCATCGAAGAGGCTGAGGTTAGAAGCGCAGAGAGTTCTCAAGGAACGAGTTCAGGAGATTGCAGATAAAAAGGGAATCAAACTCAGATTCTGCAACCTGAAGGAGTGCGAGAATAACCACAATGTAATCAACAGCCCTTGCGCGAATATAAGAAGAGAGATTGGGTGGCCTCATGGAGTTCCATTTGTTCATCCTCACGACCTTCCAAACAAAGCTAAAATCGGGTTCCTTGAGACATATGAGCCAGGATGGTCTGAAACACATGACATGGAGCTTAGTCTCTCTGAAACTGCTCAAGGAAACATACACGTGACTAACTGTAACCATTTTCTTACCCAATAACTCAATTCCCTTTCAATGTAACTTAAATTTCCGAGGTTATCGGTTCATTGGTTTGACTGCAGGATATGAGAAGATTAGAGTTCCAAGTTTTGGTCTCTTGTTTGCCTTTACTGTTCAGGTCAGGTTTCAGGGTCAGTGGTTGCACATACTGTGTTTGAGCTATGGAACACCAGAGACGAGAGAAAGCTTTGTGAATGCCTCTTATTATTTGACTCATTGTACATTGCGTCTTTGTATGATATAAGTATAGGGGATATTCTCATTTCTCATCTATGCGCAAAGACCATCTTCTTATGCAAGTGTCCAGTGATTTTGGTAACTAAGATTGAGTTCTTTTCATTGAAGATCCACTAAAAGAATTATAATTGGCTCAAAGTATAGGAACTTTGTTGAAATTACACAGCTGAATTACATAACACCAGCTTAAAGCAGGATGGTCTAACTCTATTCTACAAAGAAACTAGAAACATGTACGAGATCTCCAGAGTGTTGTTGGACCATCTTAGCCAGCAAAAATCCATCAACCCCTTACGCCGAGAGCTGTGTAAATGCGCTGGACAAACAAAATGAAACCTCGAAGGCCTTCTTGGTCACGACTCATGGAGCCCGTGAAGAAAAAATCATCGGACTTCTAACAAACTGTTTGCCTTTTCTTTTTTGTGGAGCAGACAGTATCACATCAGCTTCGTGGTGGTGGTTGATCCTCAAAGGGGAGTGGAATTGACATGGCATTTCCGTAAAAATCTTCCAAGTTATAAAAGGTTCTTTGAGGAGGTAAGAATATATGGATCACCACATCGCCTGAAAGAATACAATCAAACATAAACTGTCGTTTCCTTATCCCCGCGTGAAAGATAGACCAAAGGCAAGACAGCAACGCAAGAAAGAAAAAACTCACCGAAATCCAACAATGTCCATGCATTTGGCTTGACATCTCCATTAGCAACTTTCCCGTACTTCTTCTCAGCCAGGTCCCTCATCCTGAATCTGCATCCACGGTTCATGATGAGAAAGTCAGTTTGTGATTTTGTTTTGCCAGGTGAAATAATAGATACCAGTGAGCAAGTGTAAACAGATCTCTACCCGATTGCATCGATTTGAGGGCGGGAAAACGCAGTGGCTATGATAAAAAACCGAGTCCAGTAGACGAGAGGCTTCACAAAGAGGACCTTAATGTCTCCAGCTTTCACCTCACTCGCAACTTTGGCCATTTCAACAGCAACTGCAAGAATGGATAACAACGCATGATCGAAATCAATAACCACATTCTCCATTTCTAAAGCCAAATAAGTCAATGATAGTAAATCAAGGCTCTTGCTTACATGCTAAACTTTCTGCGTCATCATCAACCTCAGCTGCTGGAGACTTTTGATCGTCACTCCTGTAAACAACCTTCCCATATTTGTTGAACAAGTCGTCAAACATCTCATCACTGTCTTCACTTACATTCTGCAAAAGCCAGTGTTATTCTCATTATCCAAAGTGTTAACAGAGTCAAACCAACTCCCAATGAGTAATAAAAGCAACACAGCACTTGTTAGCAATTCCAACAATGAGAGAGATACAATTGAAACACCAACAATAAAGTTTAAAACTTTCAACGACGAGTTTCTCTGCAAACAAACAAACCTAAGATACCTAAACTTAATTTCAAATTAGCAGCACAAAATAGGTAAATCCAAATTGACGTTACTTCGTACAACAAACACAGTTAGTAGAGTTTGATCATACCGAGAGAAATCCATCTTCAGCTTCCTTTCCCACAGCGAATCTCCGCGAGTTACTGAGAGATGTCAAAGCTTTGTCTTTGGATAGTCGCCAACCGCAATTATATGGTGGCGATAGATCTTTGTTGTTCATGCATGACAATGAAGAAGAACCCTTTCTGGGTATTTGTGACGATAGAGACGGTAATCGAAAATCTCCGGCACGCAGAGCCCCGGCGACGGTGAGGCCGGTGGAAGAAGCCATTTATCGCTTGTAAGCAGACAGTTTCGAAAACTCTGGTCGCCGTTTAGAAGCGGATAAGATATTATCCTTTAACCCTATGCTTTTTTTTCTCTCTCTCTGGTAAAGTTTTATTTAACGACGATTTTATTACAAAGGTAAATGTAAAAAAAATGTACATTCTATCTATATATTTTTTTTTTTTTGGTTTAATGCGTGGGACATTTGTAGTTTCAAAGATTAAAAGACGAATGAAAAGTCAGGAAATACTACAAATGCTACATTTTCAGAGAAAAGGTATGAATGTTAATGTCAAGAAAGATGTTTGTAAAATTGTAAGGTCTATAATATATAGCAAAAAAAATTCAATACACCCATCATGTCATGGTTTTTTTTCTTATTACCAGCATAAACTCCAATTGGGCCTCAATTCCGATGAGCCTGTTTTGAAGAACCATATCAAGCTAATGAAAATCTAAAACTTCTAAATGCCTTATCCGAAATTTTTTCATTGTGTGAAACCCATCTTGTTTCAATTTTTTATTTTTTTTTGGTCTAATTGTAGAAAATGAAGCTTACTTCATTGTGTGGATTCCAGGCTAGCTTGTTAAGCATTGAATAAATGAGATATGAAATTATCGAAAAGATAAGACTTGATAATTGGGTGGACCACTAAAAGCATACTTACTAGAGTTCCCAAATTGGAATAGATCATTAATCGTATATGTTAAAAAAAAAATGTCGCATTCTATGATGCGTACATAACGCAGAGGGCCAAAAACTCAAATGTCACAGTCTCACATAGGTCATATCCCACGGACTCAATCGATATAATTTATGAAAAAAGAAGGTAGCTACTAGTCTAGACAGACACACACATGTCTCTGCCTGCATATGTCAATAAATATATTTGCATAATTATATGGAGCAAACAAGTTTGGTTGGGGAAGTGTGATGAATCGGACAAGTTAATGTAATTATAGAGGAAGAGAGGGACAATCCAAAATAATAATACAAACGCACATCTACCTTCCTGTCAACATTTTTATTATTATCTCACCTTTTTTTGTACTATTTATTTTATGTGCATCACAATTCTGACGATTGGTGGTTTTGTTATATGACATCTACTCATAGGAACACACATATCCAAAGAGAAATGTGGTGCAATTAATCGAATTGGAGAGGAAGAGCCATTCATTTTTTTCGACCCTTTTTTTCCTACACATTTTCATGCAGTCTCTTAAAGGTGACAGTGATCAATTCATGCCTTCTCCTCACATTTTCTTTATTATTATTTTTATTTATGCAATTTCAATTATTACTTTTTTCAATATGTATTCATATTATATATGTATTTAGAAAGGAGAAAGGCCTATCAAATTCAGTCGTCTCTATTTATATGTGTGTAGTGGGTGGGAGGGTGAGGTGATGATGATAAAGATTTTATTATTTCATCAGCCATATATGCTAATCAATCCTGGCAGCTAATTGACACGTTAAGTTAATCAATAAAATATGACAAGTGTAGTCAAATTGGAGCTATCGACAGGGGATAAAATGATTCATATCTAACATGGAAAAGGGAGATTAATTAGTTGTAGCATCTGATTCCAAAATGGAACGTTAACGTGGGGATGGGTCATTAGGATTAGGTGAAAGCATGAGTGATAATAGAGGGTTTTCCTTTATAAATTTTATACTAGTTTAATTTATATTCGTCGTCCATCCTCGATAATTACGGCCCCGTCTCGATGTACAAATTGCCTTGGATCCACGTAACGTGTGTAAGACTTGAAAATTCATATGATAACTTTGCTGCTCTACTCAATTATCACTTTATCAGATAGATTAGGTGGGTCCACATGGGTGCATGAAATCGAGTGCAACGGTCCAGGAAAAATCGGTCGAAGATATAATTTTTGTGAGGAGTGCAAATTAATTAGGTCCTAGTGTGTTTTTGATAGAAATAATAATGGGATCGATTCATCTATATATCCACCTCCGTTTCCCACTCATCTATTAATTAAGTGGTTGATGTCAAGTTTATATGGGTTCGTTCGTGTATGTTTGAATTGGTTTATCCTAATTAAATAACAGAATACTTCAAATTTGCATACTACTTTGAGGCTCGATTTGCGCCAGAAAACAATAATGGATTAAACTACATTTGTATAAGTAGATAGCGGAAATCTACCATCTTGAAAAACGTAAGATTACAAAATTTGTTTGGAATTTTATGAAAGTGGGAGTAATAGAAAAAAAAAAGTGGAAACACATTAGTGAGGTTTATGGATTATAATGACACAATGCTCCACATTTTTTTCCAATACATGTGATGTCATCTCGAGCCGTATCCAATTCCTTGCTCAACTAACTTTTCCGTTGCATTGCTTTCACGTAGTTGTGTTTATCGATATCAATATACATGCCATACATATATGTGATGTGCATATTCTTTATACTTTTCTATTTACCCAAGTAACACAATATATATACCTCTAAATATGTATGGCCATATATGACGTCTATCAAGAATATATGGTAGAGGAGCTTACGAACACTACAAAATACATTAAAGTATATAGGGATGATGAAAACGAGATTCCCTCGAGAAAGTAATAATAAAGTTTGTTCTATATACAAAATTGGATGTACGATTATGTGACATTGAGATTCTCATCATGGTGAGCGGTTGAGATGGATGTGTGGAAAATAATAGATCAACGACTTTATTTTTTAAGTTCAACTAAAGAAAAGGAAAGAAAATTGGAAAAGGAACTACTTTTATCAACTCAATGGAGTCATGCCTTTGCCCTCAAAAGCAGGCACGCCAAAACCACTGACCTACATATATATTCTTACTTCTACGTTTACAAACCTAAATTTTAATTTTAGAACTATTCGATTTTTCTTTAATGATTTCCTCACTGCACACCTCCTGGTAAAGTAAAGCAATTGAGTCATACGTTGAAATATGCACATAAGTGCATACCTGTCGAGAAAATAAGATAAAAGTTATTATTATTTAAGAAAGTCTATATATGTACATGTCTTTTTATTTCCATATAAAATTAACAAAACTTGAAGCTATGTACCTTCCCTCAGTAATGAATTATTTAGGGTTTTCAAAACGAGGACACTAATTAAAACCGTAACCTAACCTAAGAAAAAGAGATGATGAGCATGTGGGCTACCATTATAAGTTTAAAAAATTAAATAGTTCAGACGTGAGACTCAATCAAATGATCCTTTTTTTTTTCTTCCGATGCTTATGCAAGATTTAATAGTTTAATCCCATGGGAATATATCTCGACTAACTATGACTCTATAATTAGTTTAATAGTATCTTAGAATGAGCCTCGACTTTTGTTATTAGGCAACCTGCATTTTATTTATTATTTTTTGAATATTGAGTTGTCAGCGAAAAAAAATGAATATAAATTATTGTACGATGTCAGATCGACCAAAATAATAATAAAATGCCTGATACGACTAAATGGCAAAGATAATGTTCTGAAAAGCGGATGATGCGAAAGGCATGCCCATCTTAATGCGTTTGCTTTGCTAATCTCGTGATTCTATGCCTCCCTTCATGCTCGAGCATTTGCAAAGATACTTATTTTATCTGCCGGTGGCTTCTATCTATGTATATGATGACAAAACAAAAAATCTATATAAATGGTAATGTGCAACATATATAAGCTCTTGATAAAGTATATTATATGATGTACACCTTCTGTGTATATATGATTATTTCCAGATTAGCTATTTGATCATAGAGTTTCAACGCGATAATTGATCTGGAAATGGTTCTCGTGGATTTATATTTTGGTGGTCGAGACTCGAGAATATATGTTTATTTCATATATAGGCAGACGCGATTAGCAAACGAAACACACAATGCTAATAAGAAAACAAAAGGTTAACTACTGAATAAAAAACGTACGTTGATCTAAAGAAGTAATTAAATGTCTAAATCACATGAAATAACAATAATGTTGGTAAGAAACATATATAGCTTTGACATGGGGTGCAAGCATCACTATTATAATGTCTACTACGTGTAGTATTAGTTGAATTAACAAATTCTGTTTAGACGGATAAACTCGGAATATATCAATGGATTGTTCATTAAAAATTAGAAGAGCAGTTTTTCTAACTTAAACAGATGCCCATTTAATATCCCCACCTAGACGAAGTGTGGGACAACGCAAACACATCATTTGATAAAAATAATAGAGAAAACGTTCATAAATCAAATATGAAAAAAAACGTAAAGTCAGCAATCAGTTTTTTAATTAGGGATTGTGAGTATACGCCAAACTAATAAGAGACTAATCGAGTTTTCCTATTAATGCGGCAATGACACTAGTCGTAGTAAGGAAGAGAGATTTGAGGGACACGTGGCGAGATAATATGTCAACAGACGTGGCAGCGAGAACCATGAAAGTAACAGACAAAACATAATTAAGTAATTAATTTTGTATTAAAGAAAAAACAAAATTAGAAAGAGGTAAAGTAGCAGCAGCGGTGGGTACACCGTACCTTTCCCAACGGCTGCATATTATTCTTGTTTTTCTTTAATTTTTTTTGTCAACATTCTCTTTTAAAATTAAAAATAAATTTAGAATAATGCCAAGCTGGCACTTCACACGTGCCCATGCGACCCTCGTATCCCGGCAACTCAATCACACGTGGACCAAAGGTCCCACATCTTAAGATTTTGTCTTCTTTGACACGTGGCATTGTCAGTGACCGTCTGTCTGTTATCTAGTCCCCTGCCTCATTTACGGATTCGCCCCGTTGGAATCTAACGGGCTTGTCCAAGTCTGTCCCAACGGATAAGGCACTCCTCATATTTTTTATTTCTTCGTTTAAATTTGAATAAAAGAAATTTAACTGATTCTGAATTTTCGGAGTTTGGATTTTGAATTCATGCATGCAGAGTAATTAATTCGCAGTTTTTTTTTGAAAATATTATAAATATCGGATCCAGAGAATTGAATAGCGGCATGTTTCGTAATAAATTGGAATTTGATGTTATTTTATTTGAGTTTAATAATGATACGGCAATTAATAATTTAAGATAAGTCACAGGACACACAACTCTTGTCACATGAGCCACCTCTTTTGAAGTAGTAGTACCATAATTTTTGGCGTTTATATGATTCGCATTTACGTATGTATATACATACAATACAATGAATCTTCCACGGTTACTTACACCAAACATTTTTGTTACCAATAGAGATTTATGAATTGTAAGGTTTGACCAGTAAAATTAAAGGAGGAGCAAAATAAAGAGAAGAGTTAGGCGAAAAGAAGACTGAAATATAGCAGGTTAAAAGTAAAAAAACCAAAGAAAGTAAAAAGAGGCAGATATATAGATCATGATTTTGACCGTAATTCTGAGCCAAAGATTTTACACCTGTCGTTGTCAAAGTTTTTTTTCATAAGAAACACTGAAAAAGGCAACTTCTTTAATGGTCACTGGTCAGCCGGATAACCGAAGAATCCTCATGCTTAATGTTTGTTTAATTCTTTCTTTAATTACTAAAAAAAACATTAGAAAACAACAAAATATAATATAAAAAACAAAATAATTTAAAAAAAAAACATCACATCTTCCTCTCTGTTCTCTATAAATTGGCAGACAAGGGTGTGTTGGGTTCTGCTTTGATATTTGTTTTTTAGTTTTTCCCTCCCTGCGAAAAACCGTAATTAAAAACCCCACAACCTCCCATTACTTCTTTTCTTCCCATCTTTCGTTGCATTCACGTTTTTGGAGGTTCCTCTCTGAATCGCCCATTAAATACCTTCGAACCAGTTTCACACAAGTTCAGAGAAAAGCAGTGTCAAAACAAAAACGTCGATGGCCGTTGAAGCTCACCATCTAAATCCTCTGTTTTCTTCTAACAGGTTAATTTTTTCCTTCTTATTTTGCTTCCTCTGTTTTTTTACCCTCCGGAGATTCAACAATCTTAACGTCGTGGGTGTGATTTTTTTTGTTTACAGAGAAATGATGCATCCCGTTGAAGCAAACGGTTTAGTCTATAACAATCAGATCAGATACGGTACTGTTCCAGCCACGACGACGCCGTTTAACCACTCCATGGAATGTCAAACTTCTCTGTTGAATCCCATTTACAACAATATCTCACCGGTTGATTGTTTGCTTCATCAGTCTATGAAACCGACGATCCAATCCGTTGATAGTTCCGTCACATTCAACAGCGAGAATAATGTCAGCAACAACGTCGATTTTCTCCGTCCTGTTTCGTCTTCCTCTCTAAGAAAACGTTCTAGAGAAGAATCAATCGTTGTTAATCATATGCCAAGCCAGAAACGTTGCACCGACCCTCTCATGTTCCTCGGCCAAGACTTGTCTTCTAACGTCCAACACCAAAACTTCGATATCGATCGCTTGATCTCTACTCACGTAAGTTTTTTACACCACCGTGTTGATCTTTGTCTTGTTCTTTCCGGTTTACACATCGATTGATGGTTTCTTCAACAATATTTTGATCAGGTCGAGATAATGAGAATGGAGATTGAAGAGAAGAGGAAAACGCAAGGGAGGAAGATAATGGAAGCTATAGAACAAGGGTTGATGAAAACACTAAGAGCGAAAGACGAAGAGATCAATCACATCGGTAAACTAAACCTGTTTCTAGAAGAGAAGGTTAAGTCTCTCTGCGTAGAGAATCAGATATGGCGTGACGTGGCACAGTCTAACGAAGCCACCGTAAACGCCCTACGATCCAACTTACAGCAAGTACTCGCCGCCGTGGAACGCAACCGTTGGGAAGAGCCCACGGTGGCTGACGACGCGCAGTCTTGTTGCGGGAGCAACGATGAGGAGGGTCATAGCGAGGAAAATATGTGGAGGTTAGCGGGAGAGGCGCAAGATAGGAAAAGAAAGCGTACGATAACAAGCACGATGTGTAGAAGCTGTGGAAAAGGAGAAGCAAGTGTGTTACTGTTACCCTGCAGACACATGTGTTTATGTACTGTGTGCGGATCTTCGCTTAATACTTGTCCAATCTGTAAATCTCCAAAGAACGCTAGTCTCCATGTTAATCTTTCCTCTTGAAGCTAACAATAGCAGTAAAAATTGTAAATGTCTTTAAAAAAAATAGTAAATAGTTGAAATAGTATTTTCTACTTTCGATCTTGGTTAAAAAACTGTTCATTCTTTGAATTTTTTTTTTACCCTTGGATAATGATGATGATGGAACACGAATCTTTGACATATGTGTCAGATCTTTAATATCGAAGGGGTTCACGAGGGTCCTCACTCTCTCTGTTTGCTAAAAAAAAAAAATCGTGGGTTAGGTTTATACCCACTTTCCAATGTCATTTCCCATCTTTGTGTGAAATTGCACCAAAAAAAGGGGCAAGTTTTGTGGTTCAACTACTAGTCTTTCTCCATACATCAACGTCACTTTTCCACGAGATGGGTTTTCACTAACATATACTTTTGTTGAATCGTTATAATTTTGTGTGTTTTTCTAGAAATTTAATATTCGATGCAAAGAAAAAAGAAAAAAGCAAAGTGGTCGAAATCGTGGGTTATGCGTGACAGACCATTAAACCAAAAGCAAAGTAAAAAAGCCATCAACTTTTCCTCTACACCCGAGGGAACTGATGCTAAAACTAAAAGACTTAAGGAGTGGGTCAGTGCAAGTTAGCCAGAAGCAGATATAGCGCAGGTTAGAATAGGACACAAAGGTTTGACTAGCCGTTAGGGAATGGCATTGCACTAGCGCGTGGGAAAATAACGGTGGCGGTAAATGGCAAATTCTGACGTGGAAGGCGCGCGCAAATGTCGCTGAGCCAAAGAGTGGGTCCAATTTTTGTAGTTTCCAAAATTACCCTTATCGTGTTTATTCCATTTCTCCGATAACCAAAAAAAAAGAGAAACGAGAACTGTAAAACCGTAAAAGGTAAAGAGAGAGAGTCCACCAAAATGCGGTTTTGTCTGTTCCTCTTCCCTCTTCTTCCGGCGTTTTTTACTTCCCAAACGGCTCTTTTACCAAACAAACTTGAATTACTCTTGTTATTTTTCATGTAAGTATTAAAGCCTTATTTTTCTCTTTGGGACCAAACTATTCGGAATACTCGAGATAAGGAAAACAAGGCCTATACATATTATTCCATTGGAGGTATTGATTCGTACATTGGTCAAATAAAAGATTTGGATTTGAACGTAGAGAACGTATGTAAAATAACAATGAAGTGATAGATTGGTGGCTTAGAGACTCGAGGCGCGTGAAGAACACGTATGTGTTGTCCCTTTCATATCAAAGAAGCGTACATTTTTTCATTTTAAATATTTAAGTATTTGACTGCCTCCATTCCACCCAACACAATCACCACTTTTCCCTTCGTATTTAAATACCCTTTTTAGTTATAAATATTGCAACGTCAAATATTTGTTGTTAATCATTATTCAATGCTATATGTATATTGTATATATGCCACCATGCAATCCCCCGCGGCATCATTAAGTAACCGGTTATTATAAGGATTATGAATTCAAAGGAAGTTTGACTGAGATAATAATAAAATATATATAATGGCTAAATTTAACTTACGGTTAACGAGTTAAGACGTACGTAAATGTATTAGAGTGAGGCTTCGAGGAACCAGGGACCGGTTTTGGTTATTGAAGCATGTGAAATGTAGTTGGCTCACGTTCTCATTCACGCTACTTTTTTAAATAGTTTATTAGTATGATTTGTCTTTTCCACATCTTTTGAATGCAGAGTTCTGATATATATAAACTGAAACATTTATTATCAATAGAAAGAGATCGTATAAAATTCACCGCTAGAATAGCACTTTATCATTGATTACGTCGTATATATAGTACATATAATTCGAGCACGACTCTGGACTTATTTGTGGAATGGTCCCGGCTGAATCATCAACATTCACATTATTATTGCCGTCTCTTCACGCTATTTTTGTTATTTTGTGCTATTATGAACTTATTTGTTATGAATAAGATAAGGACGTTTGCAATTGTGATCATCAAGTCACGTCAAACAATTACTACTCCATCTTTTTTTCTTATTTTTGAATCTAAACGAAGTACAATGAGTAATTTATTTAGCTTTCTTCTAACATATATATTAGGTACCAAAATATCACATTTATATATAAGGGGGCCACAAAAGACTATGTATAGGACACCTACGCAAAAACATACCACCTCAATTTTTATTTTTTTTTTGGAACAAAAAATATGTATTAGTAATAGTACAAAAAATAACAAAGTAAACTTGCGAATTGGTGGTAATTGAAGGAGGACAAATGGTGAAAGGACGTTGTCGGTAGAAAAAGAAGCTATTTTATTTAGGGAACAAATCTTAAAAGTGGAGTCCACAAGGAAAAAGACAGAGAAGCCAAACTCGGCATTTTAAATCTCTTTTAAAAATTAAAACATTACACAAACACATCCACATCGCACCGCCGGTCCCACGCCTTCTTTTTTTTTTCAAAAAAGTTTTTAAAACAATATTTGGGCCATTTTTGGGCCCACTTCGGGGACCGTTTCTCCTTTATTTCCCCTTCTCCAACACGTGAATTTGATTCCACACTTGGAACTTTCCTCAACTTCCATTTATATATCAAACAAAACTCTCCATCCTTCACGTTATTGTATTCTTTTGGTATTCAAACCATCAATTAACATTTTTAAAAAAAGATAACATATGTATATAATACAATTCAAATAACGTATGTTTCCAGGTGGCATGCTGATATGTTAAAATTCCACGCAAATATTGTATATATCACATAGTTATTTGAGTTTTTAAAATAATTATCGGATGTGTTTGGAACCGACTTTCGCATTTGTTTTCCATATTTTTAATTATTATCCATCAAATTGTGCAAAGTAAGAAAGTGGAATACATCGGCAAGAAAGAGCTTCATCCTTCTTTCTATGTTGTGTGAGTCACCTTCACCATCTAGATAGAGTCACATTGAACAATGGATTTTTTTTTTGCTTTCTCAAATGAGCTCTCACAAAAGTCAAATGCAATACAATAATTCGGGTGACACATTACACACTCCAAACAATATAGTAGACAGGAATAGTATTGAAAGAAAACTATTTAGATGTCCGAGTGGGGTCACGATGTAAAGTTATTCATTTCTGGATCTTCTTTAGTTTTTTTTTCCTTTATGGAAATCATCTTAGTCATCTTTTTACCTTCAATGTAATTAGTAGATAGATGAATGAATATGATTCATATTTATAAGGATTAATATATTCCACAACTTGGTTTTTGTATATTATCTATGACAGAAAAAGAGAGAAGAAATTTCCATGGCAAAGACGGCACTAGAAAAGTTATACTAATTAGTCTCATCATCATTTCGATATTGATTGATTTGTGGGTCGGTTTTCATTTGTTCTGCAGCCTAACCTCTAAACAGTAACAATCAACGTCCCTACTTCATTTGTTATATAAAATATTTAAAAATCTATTTAAAAAAATCAAATATGCTTTTAGACAAAACTTGGATGAGACCTCATATTCATAAATGGTGTACCATGTCAACCATGGACCAAAGATGAAATCGATGGCCTTCTTTCTTTATCTTTTCTTCGTTGTCACAATTCTTTAGCAAATATTCTACCTTTCATACCAAAGTGGAACCCAACTTTCGGTTTCTATCAAAGTCGTCCATAGTCTCTTACGCAGTTAAGAAATTAGTTTATTGTGATTAAGATGTTGATAGTTTATTTCAGTTGAAAATTGCTGCATTTTATATATGTGTAATTGTGTATGTATATTTTATAGAACGATCTAGAATTATGTAGAATATTATTACTAAATATTGTATTTGATATATCCATTATAAATATGCTTGTACCCCAATCATTATTATTATTATGAGAGCAATAATTATTCTTCCAATTCCTAAACTCTCATCAATCTCTATATATTAACCTAAGTATTAATGAAATCCAAACCAGAGAAACGGGTGTTACCAGACCTAACTTTATATTACATAGACCCAAGAGTTAGTAAATCAAAGGAAAACAATCAAAATTAAAACAAATGAAAACACAAGAAACATTGTTGTAATATTTGAAAATGTGAAACAAAATTAAAGGTATAGTAAACACAGAAAACTAGTAGAGGTGATTACATATATAAAAAAGGACATAATCCTCTCAATATTGTTGTCTACTTTATGGTGTGGGAGTTTATATTTTATGGAGTATAAGATTATATAATTTGTACCATTTGCTAAAGCCACAAAATAGATAATTTCTTAATATTAATTTCCTCTTCGTCAGGTCTTGGATCCATCAATTACTAACAATTATAAACATTGAAATGATAGATCTAACTGTGCTTTGGATTGGACAACAAAAAGATGAAGTTAGAAAAGAGAGGTGAGAGGATATCAAGGGTTTAAAGTAAAAGGAGTAGCCTATACCACTCGCTATTGCCCACTTGGCCTTGATCCTTTTTGCTGATTTAATTTTGGGAGAATTTAGATTTGTACTTATGCAAATATCATCCTCACCCACTAAATGGTACAAAATATCAAAACACCATGTGGTTTAGATGAGAGATATAATTAGAAGTTAATGTTTCTATCCAAGACAAAAAAACAATATATGGTTAAGACATGACATTGATATATTTGATAGAAACAAGACATGATACATTTACGGGTAAAGACTGTACTTTCGTATGGAAGAAAAAAGGTGAGGAAATAGTTTGGTTATTGTCCACATTAGGATTCAACCACTCGAAAAAATAAAATCTAACTATTAATATCATGTATAGTTCTTTAGTGGGGGCAAGTGGAAAAGTATCACACAGTACGAAATTTCAACGTCGATGTTACAGAAATTGGAGCGTCGAATTCAAACAATTATTATAACCCTTTTTGTAACCAAATGAATTTCAAAACAAGAGCAAACCAATGCAAAGATCTTTAACAAAACAAAAGAAAAATGCAATGATGGTATGAAGACGAATAAATGCACAAGATAGAGAGAATATGGTAAAGCTAAAAAAAAAGTGATTGAAAAAAAAACAAGATGTGCGTCGGCTACTTTGTCAAAGGGAGAAAAATAGTAAAAGACAGACTTGAGGTCGAAGATGACACTAAATTGAAAGATAGCTATATGCACATGGAATATTCTTTTATATCTGTTTATTAAAAAAAAAAACTGCGAGATCACTATAGATTATGATGATTTATGCAATTTTCAGATCACAATAAGAGTTTTTCTATAAAAAAATGTCCAAAGTTATAATAATGATGATGATTATAGTGGTGCAAGTAAGGAAGATTAATGATGTGAAGTGATGGCTGAATGGTGTCCTTAGTGTCCAGCAGGCCAAGACAACAACACAACACGATTACTTAATTGAATCAAGAAAGCAAAATTGGACCCCATCCACCACAAAAATGGACCATAAAGATTGAGTCCCTACAAAATCAAGATGCCTAAGTTGGATGATTGTGACACACTTTATTTCATCTGTAGGATCCAATCAATCGTATATATTGTTCACATTTAATATGGGATTAGCTTTTTTACAAGTGTATTGATACCGAGTATCACACAAAGAATTTTTATTAATATTATAGCTGAACTCAAGACGAGTTGCCTACGTACCCTTAAAAAAAGGATCAAACCATTCGTAGTTCATATTACAGAGAGAATAAAAAGAGGATGTGTTCTAGGGTTTTCTGTGAAGTTGTGGATGATTGAATCAATGAATGAGATGTTCTCTATTTATAGATGTTGAAGGTCGATTTTCTTTTTCCGTCTTGACTTGAGATTCCTTTATTTCTTTATTTCTTGGAACAGATAAGAACAATTTCTTTTTTCTCGAAGATTTGTCTTTCGGGAATATTTCCTTTTCCAGATAAGATCAGAAAATATTCCATAAAGACTTGATGTTAAAAACCGACATTGTATATCAGTTAATGTATCGAATATCCTACAGATATAAACCATCGTAAATCGGAATTAATTAGGCCGATCTCGGTTCATACCGGACTAAACCAAGAGTGCGGAGTACACCACCAACAAAAGTGAGTGGAGAATCAGTGCTTCTAAATAACTTCGCAAGGCAATGATGATTTACTTGCAAATTTAATAACATGTATTCGCTTAGATTTCTTAAATTCCAAAGTATGACATGTCTCTGTTACTTTCAATTATGTGGAGGCGAGGACATGTTCCAGTTAAGCTGAAAGGTTTAGTTTCTTACCTAAGACGTAAGATAAGCACATCTCTTCATAAAGAATAGAAGATAGTATGTAAATGGGCCTTATGACGAAGAAGAGAAAATGGGGCACTCAAACATACTAATAAGTCCAATATGACTTGATAAGTTAAACATCCACAAGGTTCGTTTCAAGCCTTTACAAAACTATAAACAAATTCCATCAAGCATGAATGTATATCGTCGCAATATGAGACAGAAACTTATGGTCTAGCTGCAAAAACGTACTAAAAAAACCCATAACAAAATGCAAGAGTATATTGTATTGGAAGGATCTCATCAAAAGGGTAAAAGAAAGACTAAACACAGAACTAAACCGAGCTAAATAACTCTGTAGATCAAAAAAGTAAACCATAAAAGAGTCTAAGAGGGAGAACGATATACTAAGAGTAAAGAGCAACTATAGTTTGTCTTCGAAGTCAGACAGTGGAGTAATTTGTTCCCTCAAACCTTTTCTCTTCCTGATATCAGCCACGAGTGTAAAAGCCTGCGAGCCCGTCTCGAGCGGGTCGGAAGACATCATGTCCCAATGGTCAAAGACACATTGAGGAAAAGCCTGTCCCGAGGTTACAGCCCTTAACTGACTCGAAAACCCAAACGACTCAACCACGGGAAGGTATGCCTTGATGTTGTAGAGAGGTGTTCCTGGCCTCTGAACTTCTTCAAACACGTGTCCACGTTTCTGGTTCAGCACACCGTAGATTCCTCCAAGTGCTCCCTCAGGTACTTTTTTGTTTTATGCAAAAGAGTACAAACAAGAGGAGTGGGCATGTACAAGAGACTGGGAAACTTACCCATGCAAGGCATGTTGATATAGTAGCTGCAACTTGAGCAACAACGTTTTCGATTTTGATACGGTATATGAACTTTCCCTCCGTAATCTTAAGAGCAGCAAAGGCATCTAAAATAGCATTCGTTTCAGAAAAGAGGTCAACATAGGGGGAAAAAAAAAAATGGAGCAAGGTCTTAATAAATTCCCTGCCTGCAATAGAACTGAAATCAGGAAAATTGGCACAAACTTGTGACTTTTCTTCACTTACACTTTGTATTCCTTGTAAGAAACATAGTAATATTCATCAAAGTACTTTTGTATTGCTAATTCAAGAATCGAATGACGTATAACAAGGCGTTCATGGCCTTGTGCAAAGAATCTAACCCTTGTATCCTTATACAGTGCCAAATATTATTGAATGAGCTTCAAGTATGCTATATAACTTTTCGTCAGATGAACTATAGATGCAAGAGAGATGGATCAAAATCAATCAAAACGAATGCAAGATATAGTTTTTCGAAAAGAGCAAGAACTCAAGAAGGGAGAGGAAGAGGGGAAACTAAGATGGTAAAGTCTGAAAACTGAGAGTTACGGGAAATGTTTAGGGGTGTTACCTGGCATTTAAGGGTTACTAAATCGGAATCAATGGCGTCTTTTTTAGCAGCTGCAGCTGCAAAAGAAGACAGTCAGATTTCGGAAATGGCTACAATCGCTTGCTCCGACTTCAATATCCCGATCTCGCAAGTAAATAGATTCAACTCCGACCCTTTCCAAGTTCCACTACTATGGGGAATTGAACCAGACGGCTGCAATTCTACACTCTGTATCTGAGGGAGTGTTACGTACGACTCTCTACAGCTCAAGTGGGCTTTTTCTTTGGATCCTTTAATTAGGATTCCTTAGTGGGCTTTGCCTTTCGGTATTAAAATCCTTTTGTATGTGGGCTTTTTGTAACATGGGCTGGGCTACACTTGCTCTTTATTTTAAATTAATATATTGTTACCAAGAAACAAAATATATCCAAATAGGTCACGCAAGTATATAGGAGAAATGGTAAGTCGTGATAAATAATACATATATGGATCTACACTAACACGACTATATATAATCAGGTAAATTCATATACACAAAATTCATATAATGTATGTATATAAAAGCAAACTGATGTTCAGTGTATCTCGCTTGCAACACTCAAAGTACTATATTATATGTATACAACATGCATTGCTAATCAGTATAAAGACATATATCTAACTAAGAGAAGAAGGGCCGAAAGCAAATTCCACAACTGATCGTAGCTCGTCCCAGTTCTCGCAAGTTATATTGTGAATGTTATCGTTCAAGACATGTGGAACCGTATCGACTTGTGTAGTGTCCATGGGAATGGGCTGGTGTTGATGATGAGGCGTTTGGTGTAGCTGGAAAACGTTCCTCTCATAATTCTCTTTGCTTTCCATGACATTGGTACTACTACTTATACTCTCGTTGTCGCCAAAACTGATATTATAAGCTTCTTGGTACTTGGATTGTTGCTGCTTCACGCGTTTCCCACCTGCTAATTCTCTCCAGTCCGGAGTGTATTTTCGACTAGACACATTTCTCTTGAATATCCGGCACAACGTCCACACTTCCTGCAATTATATCATCATCATATGAATCATTCATGATCATCAAAACTAAGACTAATCTCCAGTATAGCATGAGTATTTCTGTCATTTAAAGCATATTAATAGATAATATGATCATGATCGAGTAGGTTACAAACTTACAGCATGTAGCAAGGAAGACGGAGTAGGGTTAAGGTGTGTGGAGCCACCAGGGATGGTGTCATTGGCTGTGGGGAGACGAAATTCGTGCATCATCCAATCTGTCTTGGTTCCTTTACCTGCGCTTCCAAGGTAATAAACTAGTGTCTTCTTTAGACCGATCACGGCTTTGTTGGATCCATCGGAATAGACAGGCTTGTCGATACCTGTGGCTTTCCAGAAACCAGAACCAGTCACCCGGTTCGGTCTTATGCTGTTTCTATATTTTCTTCCTCTCTTGCAAAAGAAATAGTTCTCCTTCTCCGTATTCCTCGACCCTTCAAACAAACACACCTTTTGATCATTAGCTTATAATTTTATGTGTTATTTTTACTACGCACAAGCAAACATGCATGAAGTCTCTTCAGTTATTTTGTAATAAAAATATACACTAAAATATACATGTAGAACTGCATGGTTTGGAGCACAAGAAGTGAGTAAAAAAAAGACTTACGAGGAAGATCCCAAGGATCGAATTTATAGATATCGATTTGGCTAATGATCTCATCGATCTTGCTGGGTTTCTTGAGGAGTACTTTTTTAGAGAGATAAAACCCTACAAGCTCCTCGTCCGTCGGATGAAACCTAAACCCTGGAAGCTCTAATACTTGTTCCTCTTCTTCTTCTCTCATTATTTTGTCCCTTGTTCTCATCATCCCCTCCATGACTTTGGTTTTACTATTTCTTGTGACTCTCGCACACAAGAATCTTCGTGAGATTATATAAGGAGAGCTTGTGTTGTGTCGTTTGTGTCTTTTTAAAAGATCGATTCGGTCAAGTCTTTTGTGTTGACTTATCGATCCTTTCTAATCAATGATCCGACCCGGTAAAAGTCGTTCGGGCTTGAGATTTTAGAATTAGTCCTTCTGCATCAATGCGTCTATATCCGTATACGTGGACCTAATATGACGCTTTTACCCTTCATTTGTTAGAGGGGCCAAGGAAAATGCTAGGGACTCAGGGAGAGGACTGACTTTTGTCACATTGATTTAATTTTTGTGTTTCTCTTCCAAAAATGTCTGAGGAGGATTCAATGTTCCAAACAATAAAGTTTCTTCTAGGCTCATCATTATTGTTTGCGTATTATATTCTCGGTCACGACGAAAATATCTATTTATCATCATTACTTTAACGCATAATTCTTACTTCGTGCTCGTAAAGGTTAGATTTGTATGCTTCGTTTCGAAAAATTAACTTGGAGAGATGAATAAAGGAATAAACACGATGTAACATTTTCTATTCGGTAAGAATTTCTTCGAAATTGACAATTGACAGAAGCCACCTAATTAAGACCGAATATTACCATTCAGCTCCTTTCTCACTAATTCAAAAGATTTTACTGGTTATATTGTAGCTCAACTTAATTTTGGGCATGAAGCAAATATATTGTTAATCACTTCTTAACACAAAATGTAACTACTGAACTTAATTTATCAAATAGGAAACTCGTCCTTTATCACTTTATCTCAATAATTGCAACTACAGCTACGGAAACTCGTCCCTTGTCACATATTTTCTTTTTTCTTTTGGCAAAAAGGTTTCACATGTTTTCTTATACTCAAATTAGAATGTTTTAGTTCCCACCAGGAGACCTTGTTGGATATTTTCGCACTATAATGTCCAACCAGAAATTTCAAAAATTATGAATGAGCGCCTTTCAATGAATTGGTCAAATTTATTTTTCGTACAAAATTACTAATTCAATTTTTTTTGCTGTAATGTAAAATTATATTTAACAACAATGACTTTTTACAATAAATTTGCAACGTCTATGAAAATTTTATAACAAAAGAAGAAAGTGCAGAAAACTAGCATAGCACAATTCACTTGGTCAGATTCAAAACAGCTACCATGTACTACTTGCAAAGATTACTATATCGGATATCTCATGGTGATCTTATACATCTACGATTACCCATTGATGTCTCAGCAGTTTCTAATTTTTTAATAAACACCCATTCTTTCATAGTTAAAATTTACTATATAAACGATAATTAAATTTTCCGAGAAAAAAATACGGGGATACGTAGAGGATTTATTTTGGTTGTTACATGCCTTTGTGGTGCGTGATAACTGATATGTCATATGTGTAAGTGTAACTCTTTGCAAACTACTAAATTTCGAGCGGAGAATCGTGCTTAAAGCTGTGGAAATGTCTTGTCAAGTAAAGACTAAAAAGTAGTGGAATAATGGAATTAATATCTATAATGATACCATAACTATAAATTCTAAAACAGCAGTTTCCACTGCACTGATGAGTTTCCCATTAATACACTGCTCATTGTCAAAACTCATTAGAGAAGTTTACCAAAAAAAAAAAAAACTCATTAGCGACAAAAACAAAAACAAAAAAAAAACTAATCAAGCTAATGTTGCTTCTGACTTTTTTGTCCAAAACTTTACCGCATCTTTAGAAAACCTTTTGGTAGAGGAACCATTCTCCAACACAAACATGTACCTTTTATTAATTTCAATGGAGTGCATGGCCGACCCTGAATAGGGCTAAAATAATTTGATACAAAATCTAGTAATTTTTGTTGGGTTTGGGGCCAAATGACCTATGTATATTGTTTCTTAAAAATTGGTGGTCAAAGCAAATGTTTTACTTTGGATTGTATAACGAAAAAAATCAATATTAACTAAACTAATTAAAGTTTGATGTAAAAGAGAAGTTCAAAATGAAAATCAGTAATTAGTATGATAATTGTAATGATAAATCATATGATAGATCATAGAAGGGACAACATTCAAAATATGAATGAATAATTCCCCCTAATTAATTGTTTGTTGCAAATTATAGAGTCAATTCGTAGCGGCTGGTCAAGTCAAAGGATCATTCAACCAGAGTCATCAATGGTTGACCCCAAGTTGCTCTTGTTGGACAACTTCCTCCCCATCTATTGATTTATCATCTGACAGCTGATTTATCATATAAACGATGCTTAGAACGGGAAAGGACAAAATTTATCGTGGAAAAGTAAACCAGATCACCTACATATGTTTTAAGTATACATATTTAATCATATACTTCAAGAGTTTGGCCCATTTTCACATATGCTCCAAAATATAAGAAGGACTGAAATTTTTAACTAGAAGAATACAAGCGACGGGATGCCAAATAAGAGTGAGAGAAAGAGAAAAAATACATGCGACGAATCGATGATGTAAGAATGCGATAATTATTCTGTAAGATATTTAGAGGAAGAGACGAGGTAATTTGTATACTCATAAATTCTTGATGGGTCGTTGATTTAATTCGATCGTGGATTGACTTAAAAAAAGAGGTAAAGTTACATTTATACTTTCAGGTCTTAATTCGTGTAAAAATTAAATTCTTTAAAAATGTAGCAGAATAATCCATATGATTTGCGACTAGCTACACTAGTTATACAAATATAGTTGATGTTGGCCGTCCATAATAAACGGTATGATCTGTAAGATAAGAGTTAAAGTATGTTTCAGAATTCAGATCACATAAAAAAAGATAGCTAATTTTTGACTGATATTAATAGTAGGTTTAAGTACTCTTTTTTTTTTAGATAGATACTCTTTAAGAAAGGAAGGAAAATGTCAAAAAAGGAAAATTAAAGAAGGAAGCAATGCCACGAGCTTTGAAACTTCGTAAACGTCCAACGTCATAATGTTTGAAGTACATTAATTAAACGGACACGTTTCACGTCACAACTGAAAGTCTAGAATCCTTACCCAGCTTACGTCACACAAAAAAAAGAAAGAAAAAATTGTCCATATATTTCGCATAATGTTTGTTTCCTTCTTTTATAGTCAACGAAAATTTGTGTACGACCTAGACTAAAACCCGGCCGGTACCTCTAAATCGAAAACATAGATAGTATGCCATGAAAACGAGATGAAAAATGGAAACAAGAAATTTAAATTAATATGAAAAAATTGAGAAGAAAAGTCTCGATATTTGAATTGGAAATCCTTGCAGAAATTGACGAAAATAAAATCATTGCAAGTAAAAAATCATTAGTTAGGTCAGACAGTAGCCGTCTATACATTTTCATAGAGAGTCATCAGGTTTATTGAGTGTGGACGAAGAAGGCAGTATTTCTTTTTTCCCCCTTAACGAATGCATTATTAATTAACTGTAGCAAGATAAAAATATTGGGATCGATCGAAAAAGGAACAAAAAAAAACATCGGCCGTCGAGTATTGTGGTTGATTTTGAACGTGGTAACTGATCAATCGGCACGTGCGAAATCGAGAGATTTTTTACCATCGTGTGGTTGGCCGAAGAAATTATACATGTAGTCTTGAAACAACAACTCCTTATAACGAGCCACCCCGTCACGCTTCACAACTTCAGGCAACGGACCGATCTTCTCTGAGGGATTAGGTGCCGTGAAAATCGGTATAGAGACTCTCGATCCCATGTTTGTGGTTCGAACCCTATGCTCAGCGCTTTTGTACCTCCCATTGCTCAGAATCTATCAATCAAGTATTAAATATTGTATTAGAATATCACACAAACAAAGATAAATGTAAAGTAAATTCATTTATGATCAATTTGTTTTTAACGAGTACTTGCAAAGTGTCGCCGACGTTGACGACCAAAGCTCCGTCGAGAGGAGGGATCTCGGCCCATTCACCATTGTCTAGTTTAACGTAGAGACCACCAATGCCGTCTTGTAGTAAAACGGTCAACATTCCCATGTCGGAGTGACGACCAACACCGATGGTCAGCTCGGGGCTAGGACACGTTGGATAATAGTTCATGTTGACCATCTTGGTTCCCATCAAACCATTCATTCTCCCTTCTTCCAGTCTCACTCCTATATTCTCCATCAAAACTTCAACTACCCTTTTCACCATTTCCATCGATGACTTTAGGAACTCAAGTGCCACGTCTCTGTCACACACGTATATATACATATACAGTATTGTTAAATTTTTATAATCGAAAATTAATTGGCAATCAGTAAATCAATTAACCAATGCATTTTATTTATTATTTTAGTTCCATATCAAACTTGAGAAATGTGAGCTTTCCAAGTCCTAACATATATATACACTCCATTTCTATATCACAACAAATTTGATATGCTTTTATTAATATAGAATTTTGTCCATATATATACCTACCTGCATGGTCGAGGCCAGTGTTGCAAAGCCTCACGGTCGTTGGTGTAAAGCATGCTCACATAATCCTTCCACTCAATGGCCTTCTCCTTCTCTGGCACGAAGCTCGTTCCGTACTTAACTAGCTTGCTTGGACTCACTTCTTTTAGGTAAATCGCTTTTTTCTCCGGAGGTTGTGCGAAGAACTCATGAGCCGACGTCTTTAGCAATTCAAGCAGCTCCAGAGAAACACCATGGTTCACCACCTGCCATTTGCATTTATTCCTCGAATTATAGTCTTCTCTTATCAAACATGCATTTGTAAGAGCTGGATAAATTAATATAATCATGATTCTACTTTTTCTTTTTTCTTTTTTTGGTAATTTTTAAAGTATCTAACGTTAGCGCTCGGGTCAAATTTACATAGATTACACGCATATACAGTATTGCTCCTGCTTTGTTTTTTGGTTTTGGTTAATTATATTGCAAGAAACAAATTAACCGTTTTACACCAACACAAATGCTATGTTTCGGCCATTACTTACCTGGAAGACGCCAAGCGTCTCGGAGGCTTTAACGATCTGTTTAGTCACCTCCTTGTGGTGTGGACCGTCTAGCTGGGAAAGATCAATTGGCTGAGCAGCTTCACACGTACGGGCGTTTGGGGTCGCGATTCGCTCAGAGAGAGGTTGGATGAAAGGCTTTGGAACACAAGACATGCCTGAGTCTATCAGACCCTTCACGCCGTTACCTTGTTTGACCACGAAGTTAAACAAGGTTGTTTGGTCCTCGAAATTGACAGCCATTAACTCTATGTAGTTTTGCTCGAAAATGAAGGTTGAGAGGTCCCATGAAGCGGACGGTAATAAATATAGTGATGAACAATAGGCAAAATATTACTTCTTGTTCTTGTGTCTGAGAGAGGAGATTACTTGAGATAATGTTTTTAATGTAATTAATAGTATTTGATTATGTGGGATTACGTTATAATCACATGGTACTCACCTACAACTAGTAGTTGATTTGTATAACCACAAGCAGATGAATAAAGTAGGCTTTTATAAAAAAAAATATAAAAAAACCACAAGCATGTATAATGCCAGATTTTGTACTTTTATTCTTTTAGTAAGTATATATTCGAAATAATGGTTTGAATGAGTTTGTTGACGTATCGATGCATGTCTTCTCAATTGTATTTGATTTGATGTTTTGTCAACTAGTTTATTAATACTTAACACTAACAATTATGTATGGGCAAATGTTAAATACAAATACAAGTGACAGCTGAATCAATTCATTTTGTAGATATATTTTTAAAAATTATTATATATATATATATATATATATTGAAATAAACAACTCATCATTACATTAAGTAGTTTCTTCTAGCTTCTTTCAAGAGTACAACGTATATGGTATGCGATGGTATGCGTCTTGCCATTAAGCACAATGACATTCACAATAATAAAATAAAACATATGAACTACGTATACAAATATTATATGTATAAGTGGTTATATAGCAAGTTATAGCCATTAATTAAAAAAACTCCGGTGGCCGGATTTCATATCTGGCTTCTAAATAAAACTCATTTTGTTTATTACTATAATTAAAATCACACATACCACTTAACAGTCAACAGCTGGCTATCATGAACCATGCCTCTCTCCAGCTTAACAAATTCGCAATCAAGTACTATATTAGTCATTGACTTTAATGTCAACGTTTCGTACTATGCTTAGTAAAAATTTTATGGGCCTAAACCAAAAGCCCACTAACGTCGAAGAATTAGAGTTAAATTAGAAGCCCACCAAGGCGGATTGCCTGCCTATATTCTCGATATAACTTATGTCATTACATTTTTGAGTTACTTTTTTGTTTGGAATACCATTTTTTCCTTTTATAGTTTAATATAATAATTATTAATTTTCGTTGCTAACAATACTAACATAATGGATTATCTCAGTTGAACAAAAAAAGGGTTTATATACACTTGTATTTAAAAATTATGCGTTGATGATGAATCAATGCTTTATACTACATATTTTATTCTAAGAAAAAACAGTAAAATTTATGAAATCTATTAGTTGTATGATATGTTTTTGAAATACCTAAAATGCAAAAGTTAGACAGTTATATATTTTGAACTAATTTTGCAGAATCACATGCATTTGTGTCTAGATGATTTTAAAAATTTTAAAGTATGTAAAAGAACAGTAATGGAATATAAAAGATGGGAGAGGGACGTCTTGTCTAAAAGAGAAAATTGTGAAAGAGACAATGGAAGTGAAATCTCACATTTAGGTAGCAAGATCGCTATTGTTACACAGTTGCATGCAATAAGAAGCCTAACTACGTCCCTATTTTGATTAGCTTCCCGTAAAGAAGCTTACTTAGTTTCCACTTTCTGATTTTAACTTTGTTAATCGCTGTCATGATTGGATATTTAAGTGATTTTTAAATTATATAATGGAAGAAAAGTTAGATTTTCCCAGCTCAGTGGGAAAGGTCAACCCATCTAGCTTAGTCTAGTAATTCATAATTTTCTATAAAGATTCTGTCGGACCCTGTCGTGTGGCCATCATCGTTGCATTATCTTACTTTCCAAAATCCCACGACCTATGCGCAGTTTGTTTACTTACATATGAATCATTTTTATTCATTTCGAAACGTTTAAATTCAACTGCTACATGATTAGAAAAAACACGCGGCTCTGTTACTCTCAGCGTAGCGTCTTTATGTATTGGCTGCAATACCACTTTGATTAGCTGCTTCATCCTATGTTTTAGGGATAATTCCCCTCCTAATTAATCTCCTCGGACCAACCAATCTTCTTACCAAAATATAGTAGAACTTTTTCTTAACTTCGATAATAGTTTCTTTTTCTGCAATCCGAAACATCATAACAGAAATGTATAAAATATGCATGTTTTGATCCTTAAAAATGCACAAAAGGAACATAATCGTTTACTTATAGCTCATTCGATTTTTAGAAAACAAATAAGAATACAAATGGCCCAATTTGCTATATATCATTTTCCAAAAAGATATATATTGGAATATTAGAAGTGCATAAAAAACTTAAATAATATTGAGGCCAGGAGTTGGATGAATTAGACATACTAGCCCTCCCTCCCATTGAAGGGGTAAGTTGTTGATTGCAGCTTTCGTTTTCAGCATGCATAGAGAGCGACCTTCACTGCTCTAACGGTAACACAGGCTTTATGAAATTTGGAAAATCCAACACCGAATCTTTGTAACATTTTCAGTGAAGTGGACAAATAAAGCATTTTGTATTAATTATTTCAACGCATCAGAACATGTGAAGGTGCACATAGCAATTCCTCCAAAGTACATTATACCATATAATTAATAATTTTATTATTTCCTGTTTTTTTTTCAAGTATTTATATCAGCCGAATTAAGAGCTTTCCCAGCATGAATACTCGTGTTATTGTAGTATATTTGATATAATACTTTGCAATGTTAATTGTTTAGTTAAAATGAGTTAAGTCCTATTGCCTTTTGTCTGTTCAAGTTGACCAGTTATATGTAAAAGACAAAAAAAAAAAAAAAGTTTGAGATAGTGGGAATTCACCGAAATTATTGAAAATATGGGTAAACACTGATGCTTTTCTTGATATATGAAAGAAATTTGACAAAAGTGAAGATAACCATTAATGATTACTTGATGCAATCTTTATATCTTGGTTTTGACTTAAGCATCTCCGATAGATTGAGTCATATATGTACCCAAAGTCAAGAAACAGGGTCAACGCACTTCAGTAGAAACTAATAAATCATAATCGACTACTCGTAAGACTTATAGATGGATCCAGTTTGAGAATTCGTGCTCTATAGTCTATACTAGTAGTAATACGCTGTCGGGCCAACAATTAATTGAAGAAATTACAAATATCGATTTGTGGTTTAAGAACATAATTTTCATATATTTATTATTAGAAGTGTGTGTTGAGAGGAAAAAGTGGAAATTAAAATAAACAAAGCATATGAGAAGGGCTTTAGCCTTAGCTTTCAACTTCACATATATTCGTCAAAGCAGAAAATAAAGGGGACAAATTCAGAGAATAATTTACAGATTTTGAAGCCTTATTATATATGTTTGTTTCAAGAATTATATGTCTTAAAAAGTGATTGGAACTTGGTTCCGTATCATGTCTCTCCTCTCCACTCTCTCTCAATATTTACACTACCAAAATACACCCTATATCATGTATAATTTGATGCTTTAATCTGTAGGTACAATATTCTCTAGCTCCTTACCTATCATTGGAAGAATTTTGTGTACAACTTATCATGTTTCTGTGTTTTGTTATTATGACCAATTAATCGGCATTATTCTTTATATCCATTCATATATAAGCATGGAAAAGAAAGAAAAGAAGGCCACAACCAATGTTACGTTAAGTCATTCGTCATATGATTAAATTTACATCATGTATTCCTTAATAAAACATTTGTTCCATGAATCCACTAGTTAATTAATCTCTTATCGTCTCACTCAATCTATTCGAATAGTAAAAGGTGATGTTTGCCATAAACAATCTCAACAATCTTTTTAATCCTCTCTTTACCGAATCATCTTTTTATTTTGGATTTCCACGTACGTAGTAAAACTTTAATCTACTATTAAAGTTAAAAGTAATTTTTTTATTTATTGAAAAGACACTAACAAGGTAAAGAATCCGGAATATCTTGCTCATTATTGAGATTGCTATTGTATTTTTTTTTATAGAAAAAAACAGTTAAGAAACCGGAATAAGTAGCTCATGTATTCGAGATTATAATTGTATTTAAAAGGCTAAAATTATTCTCACGTCATATATGATGATGTTAATGAAACTTTTAATTTTTTTATTTACTAGACAGAATCTTCATGTTTATTAACCCCCAGGAATAATTAAGTACATTATGATGAATCTACCATCAAATAAATAAGCTGCTTAGTTAAACTAAACTAAACTAAATGATCAAATTTTATAACTAGCTAGTGACATAAATTAAATCATTCGCGGCAGAAAACGAGATAGGTATAGTAAGATCAGAAGCTCCATGTGTTTGGATGATGAGCATCTCCGGGAGCGTCCAAATCACAGGAAAAAGGAATTAGACCAGACATTGCTTCGTGAAGCCATCCGTCGTCGTTTTCCATCTTCTAAATCAATAGGATATGCAATATTCGTAAATGCGATCTACGTATATATAGTTGATGAATACTGCCTCTGGAATCAGTAAAATGAATGAATCAATATATATACACATACCTGGATTAGATAGTCGTCAGATCCCGAAAACATATCTTCGTCTTTTTCACAATGGTTGTTGTGATTCTTAGACATGGGAGATTGTTGTTCACATGTGTCATTGTTTCGAGCAAATCGGCCTCGAACACGAACACGCCGATCAGCTAGGGTTTTACGACACACATACTGCATGTTCATATTATGTTTATTTAACACTACTCTTTCACAATTCATTGAATATACATATATCCAATCGGAAGAAATTAATAAGAATAAGTATGAGTATATACGTTACCTTGATGGTCTTATTGAAGTTGCGTTGGTTCTTCTTCTTCAAGTACCTCATGATTCTGTCTTTACGTTCTTCCACCGAATAGCGTCCCACTTTTGTGTTCGGCTCAGCTTGTATCATCCCTCCTTCACTATTTCCCTGCTTCATATAAATATAGATATTTTTTTCTTTTATTTCGCTTTTTATGTAATATAATAATATATTTATTTTCAAAATAGTATATAAACGATGTGGAAACGTGCATGAATATGTACCCAGGGTTGCTCTCCAGTGAACGGACGGAACAATGGCTTGATCTCCGGTGAAAATCCGTAGTATTCTTGATCTCCACCATGAAAGTATTGTGTTGCATTATTCACACCCATTTTCTGGTAATCATTGTTGTACTCTGGCATAGAGACGTCAGAAATCCCAAGAAATTGGGGCAAGAATATGGAATCTGGATTAGAAGAGTTGTTGAAGGAGCTGTAATCGTCGAGGTAGTTGGAGAGAGCTGAGACGTCAGGACGTGAAGAAGAGCCGTGAAACTGCGAAGAAGTCTCGCCGGAAAATGTGAAATCGGCGTAGAACTGAGGAAGGGATGATGCCATTGGAGAACAAGTTTTTGTTAGTTTTTTGGGGGTTGTTTGGGAGGAAATGAGAGTGTGTGCAAGTGTGTGTCTATATATAGGAGACGTAGAGATGAGTTTGTGTGGGATGTTACAAGTTGTTTGGTTCGGGCAGGCTGACCGTAACACAAAATGAGCTGCCCGGACACACCAGACTTACAGTTAGTGATCAGACTATCTGCTCTGTTAATAACTTCTTACACTCTTTTCATGCTGTCAAAGCCTCTTTCTATTCATTTGTTTTCTTACTTTAACATCTTAATTATAACCAGCTCATTCTTCCCTTTTTTATGTTTTAACTGTTTCTATATTCGTTTATTTTCACTTTTCCTTCTACATTTCATCGACCTATCTTTCTTTCGGATTTGACATTCGGCTTATCTGATCGATCTCCATATTTATCCGTTACTTGTTTAAAACATCTTTTGTATAAATTTCAACATATTCAAACGACAAATGTTTTTTTTTAATCGTCTAGCGGTCTAGGTTTTGTTGTGTTTCACATGATTTTAAAGTTGGGGTTTGACAGATTGGTAATAAGCAACTACTTTAATATGAAAAACAGCTTAATTTATATAAACTAAAAACTAATAATACAGTACATATGTAGAATAAATGGTGATACACTGATACGTGTGATGATGGAGCACAGCCGAATATATTAGATATCTAATTTGAGCCACACCAATAGTCCTCAGCTGCCAATGTTCTTGTCTCATCTTTTTTCCATAAAACAGAAAAAATAGAAACTATAAAAATGAGAATACATGACAAAAATATAAAAATGAGAATAAATGTTTTCGCGTTATTTGCAAATGGCCGTACACAAACACACGCGCTATGAAAACTACGTAAAGAGAAACCCTACCCCTAGCCCCGGAATCTTAACACATGTTCTTCCAATATTTTGCATCATTTCCCTAAATTATTTATTTATTTTTATTTTCTTGAAAAATGTTCTTTCAGTTACTCTAACTAAACAGCCCTTGACGACAGAAGAATCTACCCTCTGTTTTCCTCTAAAAATCTATTTACAAAATTGGCTCTGAACTTATATTTGTGCGTATTCACCCCTCTATTCACTGTCCAGTTGATGCACATAACATTGGTTACAGAATAGTAATGTTTATGCATGACAACCATGTCTATCTTTTAAATTTTTGACTCCGAAAGATTTGATATCTTAACTCAGTTGCAAATGTTGTTTTATGCATATATATGACCAGAAGATCATGAACTGAAAGCAAGTACAAACCAATTTCTGGAGATTTTTTTCCGTTTAAGGTGGAAAACTCAATATTGATCTTTCATATTATGATAAATCATTCTACCATGAACCACCACTAGTTGCATATTTTTTTTGTTAGGATACGAACATAAAATTAAGACTATGCTAAAAAACCAAGTATGGTCGTATGGAGATCTATAGGAGATCATTGTACGCATAGATGATTAATTAGGGAGGGCCGTCTCTACAAACATTCTCAGTGAGATAGGAGATTCGAAGAAAAATGATGGATGGGTCATGACATGACTGAATATGCATTCAAAGATTAAAGCGAGACATGTTTCTCTTTCTTTTATCTTGTTTTCTGTGAGGTTGTACAACTTCACAATATTATATTCTCTTTCCATGATCTGCTTAATTTCAAAATCGCCTCGTGGAGTAGACAATGAAATATTATGTGAAAAAAGAAGATCTTCCAAATATCTAAAACTACATCATACAAGATGTCAGTTATATATGTCATGTATTGTGATTCTGGCCCCAAAAAAAATGTCATGTGTTGTGTTAAAATCAACATGAAAATTTGGGTGTTAATTACTAACAAATTGCTTTGCATACGTATGTATAAGAATATGATATGATCTACTTCAAAATTTTCTACTATCCTCCTATCCTATTTGTTGATTCGATTATGCTCTCAAATAGCTCAGCAATCCCAAGGAATAGTTAATTATCAATATCTGAAATTCTGCGTCGCGTTTTTTCTTCAAAGTACCGATACCTTTTTATTAATTTATATGTATATATATATTTTTGTTTTTGTTAGCTTTTCGTTCAAAGTTCAAACTCAAAAAGTTGTTCTTGGAAATCTTGCTTTCATGTGTTCTGTTAAGTTAAAGCGAAACTGATATCTTAGTTCGATCTTTGTTTGTTATCTCAAAAGATTCTTACTTTAACCTATCCTACACTGAAAAGAAGCATTGATCATTCTTCTCCAATATAAGACTGATCCATAAAGCAAATAAGTCTTAAAATGTGTTATGAACTTTTACAAAAATTTCAGATTTTATTGTTATTGTTTGTTTGTTGAAACAAAAGAAAGGTTTTCACGGAAAATCTGATGAAAGAATTGGATGAAATGAAAGCAGAAACAAAGAAAGCTCAAAGTGAAATTGTGCAAGTTGTGTTTGGCTATTGTTGTTGGTCCATGTTGCCTGAGAAATGAATCTCAGATATGTAGATGTTCCCTTGAAGAACAAAAAAAAAGTTTATGGTTTTTTTTATTTATTTTTTCATAAAATTTAATCCATTTTTGAAGAGTATTCTTGTCAGAGTTACATTTTCTATTGGTTACGCTGCCAAAAAGAAAAAGAAAAGAAAAAGAAACTGGTAGCTAAATCTTGTGTTAAAAGATTTGTTCTGATTTTGTTCTACATATACATGCAACCGGGTTCGAGTTGCCACCCAAACATTATCTATCTTTATCTTGCAGTTAAATTCTCATAGTTTTGAGCCAGAAACAGAGACATCGATAAAGAAGATAATATGTTTAAAAAATGTTTGTTATTTGGCTCTTGGAACTAACAATGTTATTGCTTGTCAGAAAGAACTCTTGTAAGGAAAACAGAGTAGATGACCCCCCCAAAAAAAAAAGCTTTTGATTCGATAAAACAGAGTTTGTTGGTATTTAATATTCTTTGTGATGGATGGAGATGATTAAAATGAAAATTAAACAACATTCTCACTCTTTTTTTCTCATTTTCATTCAATCTTGAAAGGATGAGAAAAAAGAAGAAGCAAACTTAATTTAAAAATCCGGCTTAGACATACAATAATTAAAGGCATTGATTACATATAAGTAAGTCTAGAAGCGGTCAATGATCCTGAGCAGAGCTTGAGTCAACGCCAAGTAAACCTCTGTATGGTAACGGAAACTTGAAGGCAAATTGATGCCAAGTGTCACGAGACTGGCACGGCACGTGACCGGAGGAGCCTCCACCGTCGCGCTGACGTCATACGCAGCCTTGTCGTAATCTCCGGCTATCAAGTGAGCGTCGGCCTCACCGACGCCACGCTTAGCCATTGCGTAACCTAAACCACATTGTTTCAACGCGGCTGCAGCTTTGGGGTTACGGTGGTGCTTCGAGGCTAAAGCGGAAGTGTTGTTGGTGAGGGTGAGGAGGTGAGAGTTGACGCATCTGAGGATGATTCGAGCCACTCCGACATTGTCGGCTTCCGGAGAAGTAGGGTCGGAGTTCAGACAGCGAAGACATAATGTGGGATTGTCGGAGTTGTGGCATTGTTGCATCATTAGCTCTTCGTTGGCTCTGGAGATTACCGATATTGTTACAAGAGTGGTGAGGATAAGAAGTTTTGCAAGCAGAGAAGAAGCCATCTTTGTGTTTTTTTTTTCTTAATTACTACTCTTTTTTTTTCACTTTTTTTGGTAAATGTTAAACTTCTCGTTTGTCTAAGGTCTTTCTTAATTAGGTCCTTAAGTGCTGTTACAATTTTGTAACGCTCAGAATTAGAAATGTAGTTTCTACCATTTCATTGGGTGCATTGTCAATGTTGATGACATGTGGTGAAAGCGTTACTGGATTGGTAATAGTAATTAAGCACAACAAAACGTGAGTGGTATGGTTTGTTTCTCACTAATTTCTTCGGAATGGTTCACTTATGAATTATGATATATTGTACTGTAGTAAAAAAGATTTTTGAAAAATCAACACTTCGAGTATGATACATCATGGGCCATTTTATGTATACGCGTAGAGTTTACTAACAAGCGTTTATGGGCCCATATATGGCCTAATATGTTTTCATGGCCCAATTTCTTTAAACTCCCACGTGAGTAAATGCGTGACGAAGCCGCGCCGAGCCGTGTTTTGATTGATGACCGTTAGACGCTGAGGATAAATCAAATCTGCATAAATTTGAAAGGGAAAAAAAAAAACAAAAGAGCCGTTACTACCAAAGAAAGAGCCACACGTTTCGACGCTTTATTAATCAATTCCGCATCATTTCTCTGCAAACCACAAAACTCTTAATCTCTCTATCTCTGTATCTCCATTGCACTGCTCTGCTTTTATGGCTTTAGATCAAAGCACGAATCCACCTATCATGGAGTCAAAGACAAGACATCCTCTTCACCAGATCGCTGACACGCCAACACACAAGCTTCTCCTGAAACAATGGCTCAAAGAAGAAGAGCTCATACTCAGCCGCGTCTCTCACAAAGAATCACAGATCGATTCCGTTCGACGAGAGATCACTCAGCTCTACATCTTCTTCTTCCTATTCCACTCCATTTCTCTGCTACTCCTCTTCCACGCTTCTTCTTCTTCTTCGTCTGCTAATGCTGCTTCCTCCGCCTGTAAGAGATCATGGATCCCTTCTCTTTGCGCTCTCCTGTCTTCGTTAGGGATCATTTGGGCCGTACGGTACAAATCGGAAGTGGAATCGCATCTTGAGAAGTTATTGGAGAGGGAGAAAGAAGACGCGAAGCTGTTGCGGAAATGCGTTGAAGAGTTGAAGAAGAAAGGGGTCGAATTTGATTTGCTCAAGGAAGTGGACGCTCTTCGCAGAGCAAAGAGCTTGAGAGTTGAGTCCAAGGCTGCAGTGAGGAAATGGTCTGCGAGGGATTTCGTGACGCTCTTCTTCTTCTCTGTTTCGTGTTTGGTTCTCGCTATGATTAGGCTTATTCTCTGCGATTAGATTGTTTATCTTGCTTTCCCTTTTCTTTGTTATACTTTTGCTTATGATTCAGCAGAATTCTCTTGTTTCTGCAATTGTAGTTTTTCGTTTTTTTTTACGTTTCTCTTGAGATAATAAAGAAGAAAACACATGTTTGATCCTTGTTCTTTTTCAGTCTTCTTCAATCCGCCTTGTTTACCAGAAAACTAAGAAATTATTGACCATGTTCTTTTGATATAGACAGAATCAGTATCGAAAATCTGATAAATATATTTTGATATATTTCAAGTTAATTCTCTTGTTCGTGCTGAGCACAGATATACTTGAACATCCCATTTCAAGATTTCCAGCAAAAATTTGATCGACCTGAATAATAAAAATTAATTTTGCTATTTTGTGAAGACAGACTCGATAATAGAAAATCTGATATAATTTTCGTTATGTTTCGAGTTGATTTTAAAAGTCAAAAAACAGAGAACCTACCATGAGGGATAAACTACTACATTACAGAAACTTGTCTTGTCTATTCGTCATCTTGTGACTTAGTTTTTTTCTTCTTTTTCTTCTTGCTGTGGCCATTATCTGTCGTCAATTCCTCTTCTTCTGCTTTGCTTTTCTTCTTCTTTTTCTTTGGTTTCTCTTCCTCTTCTTCTTCTTCCTCATCCTTCTCAGTCTTTCTCTTCTCTTTTTTCTTTTTCTTCTCCGAGGCCTCCACTGCTTTTACTTCTCCCTCGTCTATGAAGAGAGAAAACACCCATCAAACAAACAAACCCTTAAAACTCTAAAGATAAGAGAGAGAGAGTGTGTATGAATTATACCTTTCTTCTCAAGGTTTTCCAGCACTTCTTTCATTACGTCCACATTCTTACGTGGGGCAACACCTTTGTCATAAAAGTCCAGTCGTTCCTCCACTTGTTCCCGAAGTTTATCACCGAAAGCTGTAGTGCTGTTATCTGTATTAGAGATCACCATTGTTTTAGTATCAACAGCAAATCATCTCACTATACCAAGACACTTATTCAGAGCATTCAAGATTTTTACCAGCGAAGCAATCAATCCTGGAAGCAATAGAACACTTGTTTGCGAGGTAACGAGCAATACGGCCCTTGTTTTTAGCAGATGCACGCCCGATGAATGAAGAATGGAATATTAGACCGTACTTGGGTGTGTTTCCACGTGTTTTCAGCGCCCTGAAATATTATACCACAGTCAGTTTCTGCAGTAAAAAGTAAAGTTGCATAGCGAAACAAAGCTTGAAATGCACCTGAAAAGTGCCTTCTCGGCACCGAGAATCTGGAGAGTTGAAGATGGGCACTTGGCAAGATTTGTCAGACTTCCCGCGTGTGAAATCAACCTTGCCCCAACCATATCTCCGATCAAGGCTGCCAAATTCGGAGCAATGTCGCCCATTTTAGCAACAAGATAATCATAGAGCTTCTTTCTGTAATCCGCTAAGTCCATAACTCTCTGAGCAAAGGTCTGAACATTGATCAGATCAACCGGTGATAAATCCTGGCCTTCAAAGAGGGAAAACCAAAAATGTCTTAGAACAAGAGAGGGATTAGATATAATGAAAAGCTCGTGACTCTCATAGAAAGGGCCCCATCAGATTATTACCCATAGATGCTTTCCCAGCTTCAACGACCTCTCTTGCCTTATCTTCATCCCCAAGGACTTCAGTAAGCATAGGGATGTGCTCTTCAGACAACTGTGACTTGTCTTCAATAATCTTTGAAACCCGGGCATAAAGGTAGTTGTCATTGACTATCTTGACTAGCTCGGGGAAGTGCCACGAGTACCATTCTCTGGAAAAACATAATATATAAGCTAAGCTGCTCATAAACCATTTTTCTTACGGTAACCGACTAGACCTAAACAGAAAGGGAAATCAACAAAACAAACCTGACTCTCATAGCAAAGGAATTGATATCCTTATCAAGTGTGTCGAGTAAGAAAATGGCTTGAATAACCATGTTATCCACCCGGTTAACATTGAACTTAACCTTTGCTCTGCTGTAGCTGTGAGCTAGTCCAAGTTGCGCTTTTCCCAAATCACCAGGCTACATTATTAGACACAAAAAATGAGATTGAACATGAATTGCAGAAAGGAAACACAAGTGAGAGGTACGTAAACTCAAATTTTCGCACCTTTAGGTCCTTGATGAACCTATCAAAATGCTGGCGCACACCTCTAAGAAGCTCATGAACGAACTCATTGCTCTGGCACGGAATTTTTGTGGCTTCAAAAATGCAAGAGCCGATTTTTGGCTCAGATACTCCTAAGCTAAACTTGGGCGTCTTGCCTTCTTTCACTTTCGGAAGATTCAACTCCAGAAAACTTCTCAGCTCATCACTCATATACCCTTCAAGTTTCAAGGTAAAAACTCAATGCTCATTATCAGAACCTCAGATAAAAATCAATACAGAATATAATAAGCTGATTCTAACTGTAGTAAGAAGTGTAAGCTTTGTTTCAAGCAATATCGAAACAGAACAACTAACTATATGACTATATCAGCCCAATTATATAAGAGCTCGATTTCTAATGAAACAAGAAAAGACTGGTGCAGGGAAATAAAAGGGGAAAGAGATCTAATTTATTGGAGAGTCACCTTCAGAGACGGCGTTGATTTGGTTGAGAGCATCGAGTGCAGACTGAGATGGCTGGAAAGCAGTGAGCTGGACGACCCGCCCGAACCGACTAAGGTCCGAGACGGAGCTTCGAACCGCCTCCGTGTTCTGTCCGATCTCATCGAGGCCGTGTGCCTTGAACAGGCCGTACCCGGAAGATGATTCGTAAAGGAGATACATCGCCATTGTATTGGATAAGCTAAAACCCTAGCCGTCTCTGAAAAATTGAAAGTCGAGATATTTATGTAGTATTCTGTTCGGGAAAACAATCAGGGAAATGGGCTTTAAGGTTATTTTGCAAGGAAAGGATGACTTTGATCTTAGAATAATACAATGGGCCTGACCCATTAAATTTCGGGCTCAACCAAACCATGAAACAGTAAAAAAATAATTACATGGGCCTATGGTCTTTAGTGAAAAAAAAAATTATTTATTTTAGCTATAACAAAAAAAATCATAATCAGTGAAATCTCTTTCTTTGTTTATAAGTTTTTATGGTATCACGACAAAAGTATTTCTGAAAAAAATATTTGCACAAATGACATCTTAAAACTTTTATATAAATTCTGGTGACTAAAACCGGTGCTTCATTGGTGCAAACATTAGATGCTTTGGAATCTCACATATATCATCAATCACATTTTTGCTGCCTAAATTTCATAGATATACACTTGGACGATAACTAAAGATCTATATAATTATGTAATATAATTCATGTGTAAGTGATTCACTACATGTATATAAAATTTCTTGAAACAAAGATCAAAAATTATGTTTTTTTTTTTATATATGAGCATGTAGAGTTATGTTTTCTAAATTGAAAGATGTGGTGGTGGCTGCATATTAAGAAAGATCTGGACAATGATTATCGACAACTTTACAACTGTATAGTTTATCCTCAAGAGTCAATCAAAATAGTAAAAATTCTAAGAGAGAAATGACGTTAGGTTTTGTCAAGTCAACCTCATTTATCGTGCTGGATGGGGATGTGGTGGTGAGCTATACGACATGAAACATATAAGGCAAAGACTGACTGTTAGATTGATGGCATTAGAGGCTAGAGCATATGAATTTACAAAGTTCAGGTATTTACTATATTTTTCAGAGGCGTGGATGAATGTTTTGCACTTTGACTAGTGAGCTGGTCAGATTTCTTTCTTCCATATTTACATGGGCACATTTGTATACATGAATCATTGAAGAATAAGTTTTTCTATTGCAGACAATAGCTTTCAAGAATTTTATTGGATGTTATGTGTCTGTTAAACCTTGATTTGAATTTTCTAATTTTTCTTTTTTAACTCTTAAATTACTAATTTTCTTTGGACCCAGTGGCGAAGCTACTTGAATCAAGTTGGGGGCGAATGATCCCAATAAACTTTTTAAAATTGATGTAATTTATCAAAATCTAATAGTAATGCCCCACTCATAAAATCATATACACTCCTAATTGCCTCTAATAATATTTTATTCGCTTACACGAACCTCATTCAATTGGAAATCTTCTTATGTGGATTTTTTGCTTCTCTTGGGTTGTTTGGCTTTTGGTCGTTTTTACAATATTGGTCGGATAGTTTAAGAAAATAGTAGGGAATGTGTAAAGAAATAGTAGGTGGTCCAATAGATTAGTCTAAATTAAGGAGCATGACAATTGGCAACATCGAAACTAAAAAGATACGATGGTAAAAAACAAATGATGATGATAATCCAACTTTAATCAAAACACAAGCACACGACCGACCATTAATTAAGATGTCATTAAAGGAATCATCGCATTATCAGTCCATAATAACAAATACTAAAGAATGAAGGAATTACAAGAAGAGAATTGATAATGCTTAGTCATAAAACGGATGTAAAGGAGGGTGGTGAGTCATAGGAACGTCATTTCCTTTACCAAAAAGTTTGAAAAAAACATAAAGACAAAGGTGGAGCCAAGAGACAAGAGTGAGGTCAGTATACCCTAAAAGCTAAGACCAATGTGGGCACCCTTCGCTTTGAAATCGAATAATCTATATGGACCACATTGAGAAAATATTGGCACATAAGTATAATTTTTCTATTCCGTACTTGTGACTCTCTGTATATCAATTAAGAAAATTGAGCAAATTAATGTTGTAAAACGCGGAAAAGTAGGAGCGAGAATGTCGCGTGCGTACGGCTGGACGCTTGGGGGTTGTCTCTTTAAGTCTGGAGTCAAACATTTTGACTTTTCTTTGATAGTTATGCTTGTGAAAATCTATTAGTTATTGCTCTTGTAAATTTTTTTATTTTTCGTTTCTTGTTTCACCAATCACTATTCAATGCGTAGAGAGATAGATGAATGAATAAAAGGATCTGCTATCTACAACTATGACTGTTACTGTACTTGTTAGAACCTTCTATGTCTGTAAATGTGATGCACGACCACAATCGCGTTAGTTTTTTATTTCACAGAATCGTCTTCTTGGATTTCACAAATTGTGTACTGTAAGTCTAAGTTTGTTTTTCAACCATAGTATTGTTTCTTGAAAAATAAATGTTTGTATATAAAAGCTGAAGTGTATGCACTACTAGTCTACTATATACATATTTTCAACTATCTGGCCTAATAAATGAAATTTTTAAATTTACTTATAAATAAAAACAAAGTCATTACTTGATTTGAAGAATTTCATAAGTAAATTATGAAATTATGTTCTTACCAATTGAGTTCGATTGAAGTATAGATAAAATTTACTCGCTTTTCAACCAAAATTCAACCAAATCTTTTGCCAATACAAATAAGCATGCAAGAGTCAGACCAATGTGATGACTAAAGAAACTTAAGCCGGAGTATACGATGGTTTTCGATATTTTTCCCAAAGAGTATAGTATACGATGGTTTTATCAGATTTTTTTTGTATATTTTTTTTGCCGACAATTGATGATCAAAAAGAAACTAAATATCTGTTTCTCGACAAAACAAAAGAAGTGGTCTAGTTTTTTTTTGAAGAGATATTGGGACTGAGAAATAAAGACTAGAAAATCGAGAAAAAAAAAAGAAATTGAATAAGAAGGGGAGAGAGAGAAGCAAACGGCATGTAACGGGCAATTGTGATAGTGGAGAATAGGTCCCACAATTTTCTCTCTTCAATTAATTTTGTATTCCATTAAATTAAATTGGTAAAGAAAAGTCACGTTGGTTTGTACGGTATGACACGTAAGGGAGAAAAAAAGAGGTAGGGGTGGGTAGGTTATCCTGTACGACTGCACCGTACGGATATTTATCCATTTTTATACTTAAATATAATCCAATTAATTCCCCCATAACTCTTTTCACGTGACTCCAATTCCACCACTCTTTAATAAAGTATTTACTTCTCGTATCTACCATTTTTATCCAATGCGTTTATGACTTTCTATGTGTTTAGCAAATGATGTATAATTATGAGTGGTTTTTTTATCCTTAAAACAAATAAACACATCTGAAAGGTTAACAAATTAGAATAAGCACCAAGTCATTCGTTTACATATATAAAAAAAAAACTATGGTTAACATTCGGAGTCGGAGAGAGCTAAGTGTATGAATAAGCGCAGCGGTGACATATATTCATTAATATTGATGCAATAGCGCGTACCGCGTTACAGCTAACCAATCAGAGTGAAGTTTTTCAAGCTGTTGACGTGTGACTCAATGATTGGAGTGAATGCCCTCCTTATAACCTTTGCCGTTGGAGGAATATTCTCTCCTCTGTGTTTTTTTGCTTAAACTAATACGTTTGATTACCTGTCTTACAGTATTTCTTAATCACATCCTTCTTTTCTCTCTTACTTTATAGCATCAGATGCTTGCTTTGGATATATTTAATACAGTACATTTTATATCTATCTGTTTATGTTTGATTATTTATTCATTTTCATAAATGATGCTTTAACTACTAACCAAAATATCAGTGAGCAACTACCATCAGAAATATAACCGATAAATTGCATGACGAAAAGTAAAACTGTACCAAAAATGGTACAATCAACAATGCATATATAGCTTTGAGTTTTCTATTTGAAAAGGAAAATACAAGGCATATAATTAATGTTGTATTAAGTACTGCATAATTCAAAGTGGAATATCACTTTTATAGTTTGACTGAAGAAGGCTCTCTCAATCTAAATTATAATCATTGATCGTATTGAAAATCAGAAAAATGGCAACTACGTTATGGGTTGAGCATTTCCAAGTCCTCAAGAAACTAAATCAAAAATGTTACGAAACATAGGAGTTCCAAGGAAATTGAAGAATGAGTCGTAAAGGGATCAACTACTTGAGAGCTTGTTATAATTTTGTAGACACTGTACAGTCTCCATCCGACTTAATAATATTTTTTTTAAAGATTGCTTCTTTGCTTTCATTGTTTCCTTTTTAATTAATGTCCTTTACAAGCTAAACTAATATATCTAATTGGAATCTAATCTATATTTTATGGAGTTAAAATTCTAATTGCGGTAAAACATAAAACTAAGTGGGAATTCCAAATTTCTAAATTGGACGAAGCATATACCAAAGCATGGCAGTATATAATATATTTATAACTGTAGTACGAGACTACTTTAGTTTGATTAATCCATATATGTGGTATCGTATAGCTAGCTATATATATGTATAAATTAGAATAAAGCTAGGAGACTAAAGGGGTCTAAAGTTGCAACCCCCAAGTCGAGTAAAGGGACAGAGACTTTTGATGGCCAGAGAAAATTAGGTCACATCATATCCTTGTCTTTTAAAGTTCTAATCTTTACAGAATGGAGAATGATCCTACACACCGATTCTGCTTTACTTTTTCTCTCTCTAACATACACATGGTGATGGTCTTCCATGATATCCACGCACGGCATTACTACGACGCTGTATAATACTGATAACTCCACGCGCCAAAGTATTTTTAAAAAAATAATAGAATGGGAAAAGCTGTATATGCGAAAGTCACAACACTGCAATGCATATACTATTAGAATTGGGCAATATCAGTTTTTAAGGTCCCATCAGAAACCTTCTATCATAACTAATTGCATAGTAGGATATGGCTTCTTCTATTTGTCTATATATAATCAACAGTAATACGTGTCGTAAAGTATGACTCACTTCTCTATATATAGTTTGGTTCAGTCAAGACGTTACTATATATTGTGCGTAGTCTCGGCGTTAATTATCACAATTCTGTCCTCGAATGGCTTATTTATATATTGTGAAAGTGATAGATTTGTGTCTACACCATGAAAACGTAATTTGTTAGTTTTTTTTATTAGTTCTGATCTGAAAATAGTAGACAGTACAGTGATTGATATATAGATTTCGAAAAAAATATATGTTACACATAATGGAAACTTTCAAGTAACTAATGTTTGTTTTAGTTTTCAACGATGGTAACGTGAGGGTCTGAAATATGATCAGAAGAAAACAAAATGAATAATGAAGTCTTTTAAGTCGTTGAGGGTGAGTATAGACCTACTTGTATAATCTGACTTTCAAAGACAATCCATAATATTACACTGCGAATGGTTCATATTTAATCACTTGGTCCAAATTCTAGAAGCCTGAGGTCAACAGAAGTCGAACCTCGACCCTTTTTTTTTGTTTCAGAAATTTTCCATTCAGAATAATTAGTTATTCACCCTTGGTTTCAGCATATTTGATTTATTAAAAATCCAGCATATGTAGCAGCCGGTAGAAGCGGTGTATTACGAGAAGGAGGCTACATCGAGAAACTTAAATGATGATGATGACCTGACGGAAATCTATATTTCACAGTTCAATGGTTCTATAGAGCCTGTGATACTATCCATAATTAACAGACACAACACTATGATCAATGATAACTGTATGTTTTTTAAGATTACAGAGATGAAATATATTCCCACAACATTTCATTAATCTTTCTTAGTTTAATATGGAAGTATGGAACAACGAGGTGATATATCTCTGCCCCTTAGAGCAGCTCCAACGGAGTCTCATAAGAGGTTCACAAATGGGGTTGCTCATTTTTGTGGATTAAAAAATAATATAATGAACTTATTTCGATTGATCCCGTATGAGTGGAGTCATACTTTTGAGCCCGTATCACCCAGTATTATTGGCGACGTGGCGAAATATGAGTGGCTTGGTGGGAAAAAAAAAATTTCTTGGGTCTTCTCAATCCCTTTGTAAAATTTTGACTCGAAAAAAAAACCTTCTCCACCTATTTGTCGAGATATTCGCCGATCGACATCCTCGACACTGTCACCGGTTATTCAAGCCAGTTTTCACCGATCTCGGAACCAAAGGTAAGTAGACTATCGATCGAGCTTCGTTCTGCTTATTATTTCATTGTTTAGAATTAGGGTTTCGTCATTTGGAGATTATTTTCTAGTTATTCGATTTAATAAAATTTAGGGGTTTTTGATGAAATTGGTTGGGGTTCATGGTTGGAGGTGCAACAATTGGTTGAGATTCATCCGATTTATAAAAAAAAAGAATTAAAAAAAAACCTATGAACCATTTTTTTTGAGTTCACGGTTGGAGATGCTTTTATATATCTTCATATTTTGATATTTGAATATGATAAGCGCAGGAATGTTGTTAGCTTATAACCCAATCTATGATCACATTCCGTGGAAATAAATATATATGGAAGCATCTAAAGCAAGATTTTTGTTGTTGTGTGTATCTAAAGCAAGATATATATATTATAATATTATATATACTTATATTGAAATACACTGTTCATGACTGCTTAGATTAAATTGTAGTGAATCACCACTTACCAGTAATTAGAATGTTATTGTTTTGTTTTGGTTCTCTGATTTTTGTAAACGTTACAGCATCGAGAACGATATATTTTTAGTTGCTCATGAACCTCGTTTGGCATATGACTCACACGATATGCTTTAAAAACCTATAATTAATTTTCTAATGATTGATAGAATAACCACCTATCTAAATTAATTGTTATCTATAATCATATTATCAAAAATACTTAATAATTTTATCACTAAATAATATACGCATATTAAGATAATGCATCTTTATAGTTATTGAAATCTAAACAGTTATAGAAAAGAATAAAAATCATAGAACAATAATTTGAAAGAATCACATCCATGGATAATTCGGTACATATGTTTTTATTTCCTTTTTAGTTTAAAATTGGACTTATGTAGTTAAAGTAAGTCGTCATAAATGTAGTCGAAACAGTTATATTTCATCAACAAAAAAAAAATAAAATCAAAACAGTTCTATCCTTTAACCAAAAAAGAAAGAAAGAAATCCAACAGTTATTTAGATAAAACAAAAAAAAAAATTTAAGAACAAGAGATTTAAACCAATCGTTCAAAATCAAAGATTTATTTTCTTTTTGTTTAGATTTAAGACATTTTTTTTTAAAGTCAGTCGAAAATTTGCGTGTAAGTGTACCTGGCAAGTACTCCTTCCCCGTACCCACTTTATTTTGACATAAAATTCCAAAATTACCCTCGACTCTATATAAAATCTGAACCCTTCCCTCACTCTCCTTCACAAAATCTTCCCATTGAATCTCAACTCGCAATCAGTTTCAGAGCACTCTGCAAGTTTTCTCTCACTCTCCCTCTCTTTCTCAAATCACACCACGAAGATGAAGCATCTGATCCGCCGTCTCTCCCGCGTAGCCGACTCCGCTCAGTACAGTCTCCTCCGGTCTGATTCGCAGCGACCGAACCGCCGTTCCGAGTCGTTTCTCCGTTCATCGGTGGCTCGCCGCGCAAAGAAGAATACAGCTTCGGTTCCCGAAGGACACGTGCCGGTTTACGTCGGAGACGAGATGGAGAGGTTCGTTGTGAGCGCGGAGCTACTTAACCACCCGGTTTTCATCGGTTTGTTGAACCGATCGGCTCAAGAGTACGGATACGAGCAAAAAGGAGTGCTACAAATCCCTTGCCACGTGTTGGTCTTCGAGCGCATCATGGAGTCGCTTCGTCTTGGATTAGCGGTGCCAAGTGACCTCCAAGATCTAATCGGCGACGAGACGATTTGACGAAGACACGAATCTTTGGTAGTTAGAGAGATGGATCTGCGTTTTTTTGGGGGTTCAGATACAGAGTAATACTTGTTTTGTTGTTGATGTAAATAGGTATATAATTTTTTTTTTCTTTCTGGATTCGTTTGATGATGACGATGATGATGAAAATTGAAATCAAAAGGGGAAGGGGAAAGATGAGCCACAATTTAGGGCTTTTCTTTTCTGGATTTTTTCTTTAAATTGTTGTGGCAAATTTCCTAATTTTTTTCGCCGGTTTAAAAATCGGTTGAAACTCTTGTGAAGATGTATGGAAATTGCTACAGTTTGGAATTTTAATGTAAGCGTAATTTCCTGGGTTTATGTTATATGAAGATTCCAGTTTTTTTCAGTTCTTCTACAGATTGAGCAAAACAAAAAGAGAGTTTTTTTACAAAAGAAAGAAAAAAGGAGTGATTTTGATGTTTCACCGAAATTACCGGAGGGGCAGTTCGTCAATGCAAATATTCATAGGGATATGATATAATGCAGCCGTTACTAGAATATTTTCTCTTTAGCTTTTACCTGTTACTTTTGGGCTTTTAGCCTTTAACTATCGTATCCTTGACAAATAAAATAAAACATATACGGTACATCTCTATTTGTTTTTCCTCTATATATATATATATGTCTATATATATTCCGTATATCTAAGTATGGTATTATATGCCACAATGCAAAGTAAATACTGAAGAATAAATGAATTTTCCGTATATGTTACAAAATCATGTGCTGCATATGTAGTTCCATCCTCTCCGAACCAAACACATTAATCTCAAACTTGATGCCATGTCAAATATATACAATGCCTAGGCAACAAAACTATATATAAAAACTTGTTTTTTTATTATACAACCAAAAAGTCCCAAACAAGTCGTCAAAGAGCTGGATATTATTGTAGTTTAATGTGTATAGAGAATTAATTAAGAATGAATGATTAAATTGTAATGCAAAATCTTGGAACCATTAAAATAACTCCACCAGCTACATGGTAAATATTCAATCACTAAACCAATGAGATCGCTGAAAAAGCCAATATCATAGTCTATATATATAAATGTAAATGTGTGATATCACTTTATTTGCATTTGAAGCATCATTTGCGTAAATCATTTACACACATTATGGTTATAGATCTTTTCAGGTAACTTTTGTTTTATGTTAATAACACATATACAGTATATAGGAGAGCACATGTGTAAATATGCTTTATACGACCCGAGTGAACTACATGTGGAAGTTAAACTGTCCCACATCTATGGATTCCCAATGATAATATGTATCCAAAGTCTTGATAGAATGATAGTTTAATTAAGACTAATTATTTGTTGCGTGACCAATCTGAGGAAGGGTAATAATAGAGTTGGAAATTTCGTCCATTTATATGATTTCCCATGTTGCATCACCTGCACCATCACATGCGCGTTATATATAGAGCAATTCACAGTCAATCATTTATTGTATGTTTCTTTTGTTTTGTTCTATTTATTGTCAATTAATACGTTATAATATATATATATACATATATATACACATGTACACTATACTCGATCGACTGATCCAACTATCCAAGGTGACCAGAAATTTTAAAAGGTCGGTGTAAGCACATTTACATCAATGTACATTGTGATATTAGATTCAATGCTTGTATATTTAAAGAAAAACCATAGTCAAAATCATCGAGCCATATATGCCGATTCAAATCGATATCTTTAATTCCGTTGAAAAGTGATGTTGGAGAGATCTTTGATTACAGTTGGTCTGATAGAAACAACTATATGAAAGTTTTCATAATTAATGTTCATTAGAAAAAAAAACGCTTACTTTTTTCTATTTCTTTTATAATGAATATTAATTATGATGACCGTCTGAGTGTGAAACCGATTTGTTCTTCATGACTAGAACAAAGTTTTTATTTTTTATTTTATTTCATCATCAAGCATCTCTCAGCGGTAAACGAAAATGTGATAGAAATGAGAATCATTTTAGTGTATAATTAACTTATATAAAAAAGAATTGCTAGGGCGGAGTAATAAGAATATTGGGCAGGTCATCTCAAGTATGAACTGGGATTATGTTGCTTCCGAGGAAGCGGGTGACCTCATGATTGATTCAATTCTTTAAGCTTCTATTCAGCCTCTCTTTCCATCAGTTGGGATCACATTTTGATTATACTCAAATCATATCTTTATCTTAAATATGCCATTCTACTTAACTCTTTTGCTCCGTCACACTTAATATAAGAAACGAAATAATAGTTTAAACATCGTCAGTTATTTCTTTTGGTAGAAATGCAGTTATCCCGAGTATTCCATACAAGTGAGCAACTCTACTATCAGAAAATGTTTCACATGCATGTGCATCACATACATATTTTTTTTGTTTTGTTTTAAATGACAACACCGGACAAAAATTATGATTTTTATTTCCTTAATTAAAAGACGATTGTTGAAGATTACATTATCCATCCAAACAAAAAGAATTGAGATTAACATTGGGACAACATACGGATGGGCTTTTGTTATTGAGCTGCGTTTAAAATATCTATTATTAGGACTATTTTAGGACCGATTTTAGGTTCAAAGCCCATTAATCCACAAATTCGATCTTCAATTTTCTTGTAACCAAATGAACATAAATTATTATCAAGTCTTAGGGCAGGCACGTGGAAACTTGAACAAGTTAAACGACGTCGTGTGCTCTGTACAGAGGCGACACACAACAGAAGCTCACATCCTTGCTTTTATTCTTACTAGATAAATAAATATACAAGTTGAAGTTGGACGGTATCATGATGCATTCTACTCTTATCTTCTCTCCTCTCCACTTCACTTATATCATAAATTCATAAATTCATATATTCATATATTCCCTCCATCTCTTCACATAATTTCTTTTATTGTTGTATTCCACAATTTCTTAAAACCTCTCTCATTATTTTTCTTTTAATTATCTTGTTTACCTTCGAATGTTGACGATAAATGAATCTTTTTTATTTTGTCAACTAATTTACAGGTTAATATATCGCTGTCATTATATATATATATATGGACCATCTCCATACTTATTTACTCGTTCTTCTTTTAGAATAAAATCTTGCAAATTTTGTTGACACAAAAACGTACAAATTTTAACGCTTTGCATAAATAACATAAATTCAAGTTCCATATCCATGACAAGATGAAATCTACTAGTCAATATTCTCTTTTTTGGGTTAAAAAACTAAGGGTCAATATTCTTCTTCTTTTTTTTGTCTCGTCTGAACTAATGGTCAGTATATTTACTTTGCCAACAAAAGAGAAGTAGTTATTATATGTTTTATTTTGAAAAGAAATGAATTCGGTTTAAAGGAAGACTTTCTAATCTTTTGATATAAATTCCAACTTTCCACACTACAACAGTTTGTGTAAATAAATAATTATTTAATAAATTAATATGCTTCTAGCCTTTAAGAATAAAATTGAATATCAAAGAAAGTTGATAAAATAAAGGAAATATAGTGTGAATTTTTTATATAGGAATATATGGGTTTAAAACTGCAGTACATCTGTCAAAAGATAAAATGTCACTATTTAATTATTAATTAAATAATTAAAAATATAACTCATACATATAAAATATGCTAAATAGATACTCAAATTCCATTAATTGATTCAAGAAGGTTTACTCGAAAAATAATAAGTGGCATGACCCTCGTGGTCTTATAACCATTATATGTGAGGATGACACGTACATGTGTGTATATAAACATGAATATTTATCAGTTTTTCTCTGAAAAGTTAAAGTCGGTGTGTGTGGGATGGGGAAAAGAAGAGCACCATGCTGTGACAATAGCCAAGTGAAGAGAGGGCCATGGAGTGATGAAGAAAGTGAAAGACTCAGAGCTTTTATTCTTAAAAATGGTCATCACAATTGGAGATCTCTCCCCAAACTCGCTGGTCTGTCCTTTTATCACGACTCTCTTTTTTGTTTCTTAAATTTTAATTTTTGTTAGACTCTTATCACATTGCATGTTCACTATCTCTTTCATCTTCATGTATTTTTACATAAATTTGTTTATATAATTTCATGCTGTCTCACCCATCCAATCTTTTTTTTGGGGGTCAAAGATGCATACAATCTGTTAGTTAGTTTTTTTTTGCGGGTTAAGAGATATACCCTGTTCTTGATTAAATTATATATACATACAGAACAAAAACCCCCCAATTCCCTTCAGACTCTCAAATTTCATAACAATTTTTTTTTAAAATTCATAAAATACATATTGGTTATTTTCGTGGTTGTTGTTTGAGAAATTCATAGACTCGTTACAATTTCTACATAATTAAACAATGAAAATTAAGAATAAATTTTGGGAGTTTTAATTCATCCAAGCTGTAATTATACATTTTTCAATTATGAATTTGGTGTTTTTTTAAATTCCATATATAAATGAAAGATATTTTTCTTTTAAGAATAAAATATGAGGTGATGTTTGACCACAATGGCACAATATGTAACGTTCGTGTATATTACCTTTATTTTCTAAAAATTAAAGTTGAATAGGCAAGTCTTATACAGATCTTCCGGAAGATGGGATGAAATTTTGATATAAATAGTTTTTTTTTTTTGGGTCGAAGAAACAGTAAGTAGTTTAAATACGGTTTCAAGTTCGAAGCTTGTAGTTTTGGTGTTTCTGATTAATAATGTATATTTTATCTGCAAGAAAATAGGATTGAGGAGATGCGGGAAGAGTTGCAGATTAAGATGGATAAACTATCTGAGACCAGGTCTCAAACGAGGCAATTTCACCAAAGAGGAGGAAGAAACCATTATCCACCTTCACCAAGCTCATGGAAACAAGTAAAGCCATGTCTCCCTAATCACAATCATCATCCATCTAAAAGTATTTAGAAGCAAGATGTATAACTAATGCATTGATTGATCAGGTGGTCAAAGATCGCATCACACTTGCCGGGAAGAACAGACAACGAGATCAAGAACGTGTGGAACACTCACCTCAAGAAACGATTGATAAAGAGCAACTCATCAGCATCAGATGTTACCTTTCAAGCCTCTTCCATCTCCTATTCTTCCTCATCTTCCTACTCATCAGTCTCTAACGACGACGCTATTAACAGCGAGAAGCGTAATCAGGAGAATGATTTTGAGGAAATCTTGGTGGAGCATATGGCATGTGGATTTGAGGTGAATGCACCACAATCACTAGAATTTCTTTTTGAAGATCACCAGATTCCATCTCCTCCTATACCTAAACCAGAGTCGCTAGAAATCCATGGGCAATCATATCACGAGTTATGTAGCCGATTGGTTGAACCAGAGTTAGATGATTACAATGAGTGGCTCAACTATCTGGATAACCAAACTTTCTAGAACATAATGTCTTATTTTTGCATCGACTGGATTTTTGTTTTGGCTGAGAACATGTTCAAACTAGGGTATATTGAGAGACTATTTTTGTCTTATAGCTCGAAGCCTCGGATTAGGGAAACTACAATGTAAACTAGTCTGAAGCAAATGTAGAATTGAATCATATTTGAGACTCAGTATATTTGAGATTCAATATTATGATGGAAACACAAAAAGCTACGAAGCTGGTCATTTCATTTTCTGCCTTACACAAGATCTAGCCCATCCGAGAGTTTTTAAAAATGGTCATCTACAATCATCAGCATTTTCGCCTGCAACTTTTACAAAAGACCTCTACTACTCTATTTCTGAGAATTCGGAAGCTAATGGGCAATCATCAAGGCCTAAGGTTAAGGAAGGATCATACCAATGTGAACAACCTATCATCTCTATCTCTTCTGCAACCACCTTATCTTCTTCCTCCTCTTCCCTATCCGCAGGTGTGAAATCAAACTTAAGATTCGGGTCATTTGGCCTTACCCATGCCACTTCAAATTGCTCTGCTGCTGAGAGTTTCCGCTGTTTGCTTTTTGTAGACTTGGGTGTGTCGGAGGCGGATAGCTTGTGCTTCCCAAGGGACTGTACTTTCATTCCAGTTCTCGGCTTCAGATCATTTGCAGGGAACGTATTTGAAGCCCATCCAAATGAATCTTCAATACAAGCATTCGAAGCATTCCTACAAACAAGACCACCGATACTTAAGTGACTGTCTACTACTCTAAGAATCACCAAAAGCTTTTCACATGGATAAATCGAAAGAAAAACAACATTTATTAGAGTTCCTAACCTGTAACGGTTCTCTGCAGCAACCCGAGATGCTTTTAGCTTATCTTCACCTGAAGGGTCATTCACATTATTCAATGATTCTGAACCATCAATAGATAGCCTTACGATGGGTGGAAAATGAGTCGGGGAATCATCATTGCCACGTGGGAATTCCAACGTTAGGTCTAATCCCACTTTATTGATAGGTAGATCCTCCTGTAATCTAGAACGGGAAACAGTATCGAGTGGCTGACTCATACTTGAGTCCTGGAGAGCGGATTCTAACAACTTGCTACTTAAGCTGGTGATCTTCATCCCTTGAAAAGGTTTTCTACCTAATTCTTGAGTGTGATTCGCAGAACCCATAAACTGTCTGTTGAATATGGGACTATTCAAGGAGAGCATTTGATCGTTCCCAGTGCGTGTCGACGTCTTCCAAATTGATGATAGCAAGCAAGTAAAATGTTTCTGAAGGAGCATCTCCGTATCTTGCTGCTCAGCTGCAACATTTAGAAGTGCCCGAATATTTTCCTGCACCAAAATGAGATATTAGTGAAAACCATCTCCTTTCCACCATAATCTTCTTCAGTTGACTAACACGATCCATTTGCAATACGAATTACAGAATATCCTTAGTTCATCACTACTTTAAAACAAACTAGTAAGTAGCTAATAATCTGTCTCTCTCTTGTATCAATTTCACGAACAAAACCTAGATCTATGCACAGAACCTAATGCTACGGCGTAATCAACCTTACCTCAGTGACTTTAAGGAGAGCCTTCCCAGAACCTGTGTTGAGGTTCTTCTCGTTTACTACATTGTCGGAAGCAGACAAAATATGTCGTTGGATAAGCTCTCTATATCTCTCACAGCAGTATGCAGGATGGCGATACCGTCCTCTGTAGGCCCCACCAGCTGCCATTCCATAAAGAGTCTCGCTAACCAAACTCCAATTAGGCCCATATTCATGAACCATGGCACACAATATAGCATCTTCCTGAGGCAACCAAGAATCAGGCGGCGGGACACAGTCTCTAGACCAAAGATTCCCTTTCTTCAACTTCTCTGGCTTGATCATAAGAACACGCTTTATTGGCATGGAAGTGATGGATTTTTTCCCTATAGTTTTACCCCTGTTTGCCGGTTTCAATTCATTATCAGCAGCCATACTGTCAGACGGCTTTGACGGAACGAGTTCATCATGCGGAGCACTTTGTTCCTTGTATTTGATATCTGAATGTGAGAGAGACTTCTTGTGCTTCTTCGCTTTCTTCGTTGAGGTCTTCTCTTCTTCAGTGTCAACGATTAATTCTCTTTTCTTGCCTTTCATACGCCTGTGAAAATGCGGTGAACCCATGTCTGAGTCACTGCTACTCACATAGCCGCATTCTTCATTATCATCATCAGTCGTAATTTCAACTTTCACCACTGATTTCACATGTTTTGATTCGGCAGCCAGAGATCCTTTCTTCAGGGATTTATATTTGGCTTTCTTCACCTTTTTCTTCTTCTTAGGTTTAAGTATATGGGCACTTTCGTTCCTGTGGAAAAAATGATTTCAACCAATATCTCGAAATCAGTGCTTGTCTACCAATGCTGACATAATAATTTCTAACAGACTTGTCCTAGATAACCATATTGACAATGAGCTGTTTGAGTTCAAAAGTATCTTACAGTGTCAAATCCATGTCAGCCGCCTCTGCAGCTTCCCTCTCTCTAGCTTCATTTTCCAAATCTTCCATCAACTACAAAGATAAGTAAATACGTGACCAAGCTGAAATGCAGGACATGGCAGATGCATCAGTTAATCTTACCTGGTGCTGAGCTAAAGCTTCAACTTGCTGCCTGTACGCCTCGGTTGCAAAATCAGCATCCCATTCTGAAAATAGCATTAACATCTCATGTGAGAAAAAAAAAACAAAAAACAGCCTACGAATTCAATTAACATTATACATCATCGGCAAGGTTCATTGTCAATTACGTAGAAATAAGAGTTGAATGATTGGATGGAATGGAAAAAAATACACTTACTCTCATAAACAAGAGGCTCTTCACCATCATCAATCTCAGCTTCCATTTCCTCCTTGTACTTCTCAATGTGGTCAAGTTCCCATTCTTTCTCTTCAAATCCCGCTTCATTTTCCATTGCAGCCTCAACAATGATGGGGTCCCATACCTCCAAAAATCTAATCGCATATCTATCAATAGGGCGCAGCTGATTCTCAAAAGATGAGATAGCTTGTCCAGCAGCGGCGGCTGCCGCAGCCATTTGCTTGACATCATCCGGTACATCAGTATCTTCGTCTTGGCTTGAAATAGTGATGTCAGCTCTCTCATCCTTGTTTTCAGTCGGTAACAATGAGATTTCTTGTTTAGAAGACCCTGCTGCAGCTACACCTTGATCAGCAGGCTCATCACACTTAATGTCATCCTCATTTACTAGCTCATCGTCTTCTGGTCTCTCTACAGGTTCTTCGGTAAACTCTTGATTGTCCACAGCTTCTTCTTCTTCTACTCTTTTGAGAGCCATATAATCTGCTTCATCTTCTGCATGTTTTAAGGCAGCCTCAACATCTGCATCTGACAGAGGTAGCTCCGCCCCACATTTCTTGCTTTTTTGCTTTTCATCCTTCGTGGCCAGAGCCTTATGCCCGGAGAACAATTCCATGGGATCGAGCTTCTTGAAAAATTCAGTGTTATACTCACCATTCTGAATCACAAGGTTATCAAGCGCACGCTTCTGGTTTGCTTTCTTTAAGATATTCTCTTCAATGGTGCTCTCACTTATCAACCGATAAATATGGACTTCCCGTGTCTGACCAATCCTGTGGCAACGATCTTGAGCTTGTTGATCCATAGCAGGATTCCAGTCACTATCATAGAATATAACTGTATCTGCACCAACAAGGTTGATGCCAACACCCCCACTTCGGGTTGACAGGATGAAAAGAAAAATCTTGGGATTTGTGTTAAACCGCTGCATTAATGTCTGTCTCTCTTCTGGCGGAGTAGAACCGTCAAGACGCATGTAGGTATAACCGTATAAATTAATGAATGCCTCCAAGATGTCAAGCATCTTGGTCATTTGGGTGAATATCAACGCCCTGTGACCCCCAAATTTTAATTTTCTTAGTAAGATAGCAAGCTCCTGCAGCTTACCACAATCAAACTGTATCAGCCGCCTATCTGGAAAATATACTTGTCTCCTGACGATAGCAGGTCTTATTGGAGACAGAAGAGGTGACAATAGATCTGTAACTTTCTCCTTGTATGATGGACTGAAAAAAACAGGAGCGTCGCTTTTGCTGCACCAGCAAGCAGGTGAAGGCACTCGTGCAGCTGGAATCGCAAATGTGAAAGCTTCAACTACCTCAATTATCTTCTGAAAACGCTCAATCGGTGAAAGAACTATGTCAGCGAGCATAGAAGAATACATGTAAGATGAACAATTAGCTTTTAGATGGTGTATATCGTCAAGAGGACCCTTAACGGTTAAAAGAGTTCTTAGAGATGTAGAGTAAGTAGGCTTTCTCTGACATCTCAAAGAATTCCACCATGCAATTGCTGCTGCCCGATCCTTAGATTCTTTAACCCTTTCCTCAAAGACGGCCTTTCGAATTTCTTCAAAAATGTTCGTCTCTTGCAGATTTTTGCGGTTCATCAAGCTCAGAGGGATTACTTCTGGATTATCCTTCAAGTCCACGCGCTGCTTGATTAAATCTGGCGGCGTTGAAATAGCTTTGATCTCATCCCCTTCCCAAGCAGTCATAGAAAAATCAAGATGTGTGAATAAGAATCCCAGAGCCTCAAGATCGACCTTGGAAAATGGACTTTTCAATTGCAGTGAACAGATTTTCGAACTCAACTGCAAATCAATGCCAGCCATATCAAAAGAACTAACAATAGGCCGACCCTCAAAGAGATCAGGATGATTACAAACTTTCCGCAGTTGCATTATGATGCTTATCATCCCAAAAAAGCTTCCACTGTTAAGCGTAGCTTGTGTTTCTGTGCTTGCTATGAAGTCCTCATACAAGTTGCGCTGCCTCTTAGACAATCTACAGAAAATAACGTGCTCATGTTTCAGAGGAAGTTGTTTTTCCACATCCCTTTTTAGGCGCCGTAGAAGGAAAGGACGGAGGACATTATGTAAGCGATCAATAACTTCTTTGTTGATCTTTTCTTGTCCCTCCACCATCCCTGCTATTGGGTTACAGAACCAATCTTTGAATTCCTGGTGAGACTGAAACACATGTGGCATCAGAAAATGCATTAGTGACCACAATTCCATAAGATCATTTTGCAGCGGTGTACCAGTCAACAAAATTCTGCGTTTAGAATTGAAGTTCAATAGAGTTTGCCATCTCTGAGACTTCCAATTCTTAATTAAATGGGCTTCGTCAAGAATCAAGTACTTCCACTTCTTGCGCTTGAACATTTTACTGTCCTGAATAACTAACCTATAGGTTGTTATGCATACATGAAATGAGTTCAGCTTCATCCATCCTTGTCTCTTGAGTTTCCGCTCCTTTGCACTCCCGAAGTAGGTGAGAATTTTAAATGCAGGACACCATTTCAGAAACTCAGTTTCCCAATTAAGCATCACACTTGTTGGAACCACAATCAGATGGGGACCCCATATCCCCTTATCACAAGCAAGATGTGCGAGAAGAGCAATGGTCATGATTGTTTTTCCAAGACCCATTTCATCAGCTAGAATCCCGTTCAACCTTTTCTCATACATCGTGACAAGCCAGTCCAGACCAATGTGTTGATACTCACGCAAAGAATGCTTGAGAAGAAACGGCAATTTCGTTCGAACTTTTGTTGTGGAGTAGGTAAATCCAGTTGGCTGCGCAGATCTTGCTGCAGCTGCTGCATCAGCAATTTTATCACTACTATCCTCTGTTATTTCATTGGATATGCCTTCTACTTTCTCTGAGCATGGCTGCAAATCTGGCTTATATCCTGTTGAAACAACGTTTTCGTCATCTGAATTAGCTTGCTGCCTGATTTTGTGAGAGTCATCTTCAGAGAGAGCAGATGAATATCCTGAGTCATCTTCAGACAAATCCTTGTCACCAAAATCCTATCACAGGAAAGTTCAGTTACAAAAAAATAAAATAAAAACCACTGAACACAAGCACACATATGACTTAAAAGCATACCTGCTTATACCTTGCAAGCAATTCTTCAATAGGGATTTCACTCTCCTTCTGCAACAGAGCAATCTGCAGTACAGGGACAAGTTTCTGTTTGTAAAAATCTCTAGCTAACAATGTTTTCAAGTTACTAAAAATAAGAACAACCAATAGGCTTGTCACCTCGTCCACAGAGTCTTCATTATCTGCTTTTGCCAATTCCTCCTCAACGGACAGTGTCGTCTCATCATCCTGCACCAAAAGAGAAAATCTACAGCTTTGAATCCATATGTTCATTCATAAAGTTTCTTTGACAAGAGCCCAGGGGCCAAAGGTACGAGGATCAGAATAAAAGAATAAAGTCTCTGGCATTTGATAAAGGCTGACCTTTTCCTCACCAGTGGCAACAACAAAGTCAACATCTTCCTGCACATGTTGGAATACAACAGTAAAACAGCAAGCTCAGCATTTGCAGTCAGAATCAGATAATTTGTGTAATTGCAGAGAAGAACATGGTTAGGGTCTTCTGACAAAGGATACACAAAGGAAATCAGATACAGTTACCTGTTCGTCGTTGAAATCATAGGTATGATCTTCCTTTTCGGACTTCACAGAGGCAGTTATTGTGCCTGGCTCCTGGTCATGTGAATGGGTCTCCGATATTGCTAAATGAACTCGGCTATCATTCTGAAAATGAAGGATAAATATTACATCTGAGCTAGATTTTTCATGATAAAGCAGACAACGGGATTTTAAAAAGACATACAACTTACAGAACGACGAACACTTGGGCTCCCTTCAATTTCCTCAGAAGCTGTAAGATTGTTCTCGTCCGCTGCAAATGTCAAATGGAAAGAGGAAGTCAAAGAGCAGTTGCATTGCTTCAACTACATTATAAGGGCTTAACACCGCTCACCCTCTATGTGCTCTTCACCAACTGATGCCAGATTAGCTTTGTTTTCTTCTTCTTCCGGGCTGGTTTCTCGGCTAACTGGGCATCAAAATCAAACTCTTACACAATAAGAGGATGCAATTCAAATAGTTGACATTTAGGATACAGCTTGTATAATTCAAAATAAAATATGACAAAACGCAGGAAAAAAATCAATGAATATCGAGTGTATAGTTATGCCAACCTCTCCCAGCAGTATAACGTCTGAGCAGCTCCTCAACTGGTAGATCCACTTCATTTTGCAAGGCATCCAACTCTTCCTGCCTTTCCTGTTTGGTAAAGTGTTTCTCGTCCTCCTCAATAGTATCTTCATCGTCTTCCTAAGTGTAATTGTGGGTTAGAAATGAGATATGGAACATATTACTCTTCAAATGAACAGAGATACATAATGAATAAATAATAAATAAACAATAAATCTCTACAGAAACTATTCAAAAATAGAGCACAACTAATATGTTGGGTGCAGGCTGATTTCATTTGTCTATGGGTATCATATTCCGTACAAATAGAGCATGAACAAATTATTCCTCATCTTTTCTTTAAGGTGCAGGTAGATTCAAGCTGTGATACACATTATCTACGGATAAGTGGGAAAATAATAATTTAAATTATAAAGTGAAACTCACGGACTCATCCTCGGATTTTAGATCATAATCCTCATCAATGTCAAGAGTTCCTGGATCCAGACCTGCAGCTACCGTGTCAGGAGAGTTGTTAGGATACAGCTCACATTTGCTTACAGTAAACATATGCGATGTTGAGTAATGTGGTGCTCACAAGCATTCAACTCCGAAGGTATCTCTTCTGCCCTTTCCTCATCAATTTTTGATTGAATAGCCAGTAGAGTATTTGGGGAGTTGTTTTGGCCAGGTTTTAAAGGCTCCACTAAATTTTCTGCCAACATGGTTGAGTACCTAACACAAACCAACAGGCTAAATTCAAGTCTTTGAATATGTTCCAGAATTAAAAAACTATGAAAAGAAATTTCCATAGTAACCTCTCGGTCTGGCCTAACAGAAACTCAAGTTGCTTGTCCATAGCCTTCTTCTTTTTCTCATTGCGTACTAGCTGATGCTTGTACAATACCTATAAAGTTGCCAGTCCACACAGAAAAACAAGTTCAGATACTCAGAAGTAATGCAAACCTTAAAATTCAAGGCCTGGGAGAGAAAATCAAAGAATTACCAGCTTCTCAACTTTCATCCAAAACTTCTTTACGTCTTTTGAGATATTAAGGGCTACTTTGCGTAGTCGTAGTTCTTCCTCCTGTAAGAAGCAATACTTTCACTTGAATACTAATGCTGGAGTATGCAACTATTCTGAAAGAGTAAAGAGAGGATGAGGAGAGAACCTTTAGCTTCCTTTCTTCCCTAGATGCCTGATCTAGCATGCCTTTGCTGGCCCTCAAAGCAACCCTCTTCGCCTGCGCCAGCTTCCATTTCCTCTCAGACTCAAAGTCCTACATAAGGTCACAAATTAGTAGAGAAAAGACATGCATGCATACCAATTCTTGCTGAATGATCAAACCAGCTAGCCTTCTATTACCTTAGACAGCCAAAGCATCTCCTCCAACACATGATCCCAGTGAGTTTTAGGTCGGCGTGGTTCTTTAGGAGCTTCGAGCGTCTGAAAGAAAAAAATACAGAACCGTTTACACTTCAATAAACTCGAGGTAAACGGGTCTTCGAAATCGTGATAACTCAAAAGTAGAATAACAAGAGAAAGATGAAGACAAACGAAAACTAGGATCAGGAGCTGTAACCTTCTGGCGCTTAGCTCTGGAGTCACTATCAGGTTTGGATTTTGCACCTTTAGACGCCATTACTATATCAGGTTTAGATTTTCCACCTTTGGACGCCATTACTAACGCCTCTTAAGCCGATCGTACAAGAAAGCAGCAAAAAGGGAGAAGAAGACGACTAGTGACTGCACAAGGCCCATGAAATTAGGGTTTCAACTTCTGCGCGATAAACTCCGCGCAACGAATCCATATCGAGGTTGCGTCACCAAAAACATCACAGTTAAATCTCGGTTTCAAATCTCAAGCTTTACGACTATATACCGAGTAATCTAGGTAAAAGAAAAGCTTTCCGAATAGAATGGGAGCGATTGCGTTTTTTGTTTTTTATCAAGTCTCTTCACTTTATTGTTACTGAGAGGGGACGATGTGATTTCAGATCGACAAAAAAAATGAGGGAGATTGCGAAAGGTCTAAAAACAGAAGAAGCTTCGTTGTGAGAATTTTAATCGAGAGGATGAGAGAAGCTTCAGATAGAGAGAGAGAGAGCGCGCGGCGCAGATAGATGAAGAAAATCGAGTCAAAAAAGAGGCAAGACTCGTAACCCTTTTTAAAAAAATGAAAAATATCTTGTAATTATTTCCTGTAAATATTTAGGATTGTATACCATATGTACATTCAATAAAATTAAGAATTAAAACCCAAAAAATTGTACTAGGGAATGCAAAATAACAACAAATGCTAATTATAAATCGTCATTTGTAAGAAAATGTAATATTCAGTAACTAATAATTTTTATTTTAGTAGGATTATAATTTCTTAAAATGCGGAAAATAATAAACCAAATTTGGCAGGAGGTAGGTGGTGGAAGTAAGTAGAAGAAAGACGCGAGTGGCTATGGCTTGACTTTTATATTTTTGTCATATAGCTTTTGCGAGTTGCGTGTGGTGGTTAATGGATTCTCCGTTCAAGCCAGATGTTCTTAAAGGTAAGGTGGCTCTCATCACCGGCGGCGGATCTGGCATCGGTTTCGAGATCTCCTCTCAGTTCGGCAAACATGGAGCTTCCATCGCCATCATGGGTCGCCGGAGACAAGTCCTCGACGACGCCGTCTCTGAGCTTCGATCTCTAGGAATTCCGGTAATTTCTCGATCCTCGAATCTTTGTTTAATTTGAGGATGAATAAGAACTAGTTTGATTGTTGACTATCTCTCCCACACTCTCTCTTATCAAATCCAAAAGGCAATTGGATTGGAAGGTGATGTTCGTAAGGCAGAGGATGCGAGAAGAGTCGTGGAATCAACTTATCAGCATTTCGGTAGGATCGACATCCTCGTTAACGCCGCCGCCGGGAATTTCCTCGCCGCAGCTGAGGATTTGTCTACCAACGGCTTCCGAACAGGTGAATCCATCCACCTTTTCTCATTTTGAGGAAGAATGTGAGTTTTCTTTAGTTGGTCAGATTTGAGTGTTGTTCTCTCTGTAGCTGAAAGGAAACGTTTTTTGTTTTTGGGGTTCTTGTTGCAGTTTTGGACATTGATGCAGTGGGAACATTCAACATGTGCCACGAAGCACTCAAGTATCTAAAGAAAGGAGGTCCTGGGAGGGACTCATCAAGCGGAGGCGGTTCGATTCTCAACATAAGTGCTACTTTGCACTACACAGCTTCTTGGTACCAAATACATGTTTCTGCAGCCAAGGTATTATTAACTCAATTCAGCATCTCCAATTCAAAATGCCAACTATATGTATGCTATTGTAGCAAATGGGAACTTGAGGTTATTTTGAAACTTGAATCAGGCTGCAGTGGACGCTACAACAAGGAACTTGGCATTGGAGTGGGGAACTGACTACGAGATTAGAGTGAACGGGATTGCACCAGGCCCGATCCAAGGTACACCTGGAATGAGTAAACTTGTACCTGACGAGATTGAGAGCAAAGTCAGAGAGAACATGCCTCTCTATAAACTTGGAGACAAGTGGGATATTGCCATGGCTGCACTCTACCTCAGCTGTGATTCTGGTATGTGAGTCACACTCTTTTTAATTAAAGATAACATTATATAGTAGAGATGGTTTAGATGATGAAAGCATTTGCGTGATTTGGTTAAACAGGGAAATATGTGAATGGACTGATAATGCCGGTAGATAATGGACTTTGGCTTGGCAAACCTCGCCATTTGCCCAGAGAAGCTGTGAAGCAACTCTCTCGTGTGGTGGAGAAGAGGTCCAGGACCAAGCCTGTTGGTCTGCCGACCAGTAAACTCTAAAGGCATTTTGGGTTTCACATCTCAAATAAGTGTGTTGTTAGGTTATTGTATTGAAATTGATGGTTACATTGATAACAAAAATTGCATAATGAGATTTCTGTAGATCAGAGTATCTATGCACAATAATAAAAGGATACAATGGTTACGAAGGATGTGGATTTATTTAGAAAAAGATACAATTAGAGGGAAAAACAACATGCGTTGACACTCACTCACTCACACACACACAAAAAAAAAAAGCAAATCCGAATATGATTGAGCAAAAGGTAAGGAAAAACTAATGAAGACTTTTGAACCTCTCATCAACGATAAGAGATAAATATTCCAATCTCCTATAAGCTCCTAAGAACATCGTCACTCTCTCTCTCCCCCTATTTTTCTCATCTTCTGATCCTCTTCTCTTCTTCAACACTCACATGGCTTCCACCGCCGCAAGTCCCGCCTTTTCACTCCTAAAGTCCACCGGCGTCGTCGCCTCCTCCGCCTCCACTCGCGCACGCGCTTCCCTTTTGCCCACTCCTTTTACCTCTGTCTCCGCACGCCCTCTCGGCTTCTCCGCCGTCCTCGAGTCCCGTCGCTTCTCCCTCCACGTCGCCTCCAAGGTTCAGTCGGTGCGCGGAAAAGGTAGCAGAGGAGTTGTTTCAATGGCGAAGAAGAGCGTCGGGGATCTGAGCTCCGCTGATCTCAAGGGGAAGAAGGTTTTCGTGAGAGCTGATCTCAATGTACCTCTCGATGACAATCAGACAATCACTGACGATACCAGAATCCGCGCTGCCATTCCGACAATCAAGTATTTGATCGACAATGGCGCTAAAGTCATCCTCTCCACTCATCTGGTAAACATTCCCACATTCCATACACTTTTGAAGTTCCTCCATCGCTTGATCCAAAGTTAGATAATTTTTTCATGCGTTTGATCAATCTTTTCAGGGAAGGCCAAAGGGAGTCACACCAAAGTTCAGTTTGGCTCCTCTTGTCCCAAGGCTGTCTGAGCTTCTTGGTATTGAGGTAAAATCTATATTTTTTTTCTCACTTGTCATCTTCGCGTGGAAATCAATCGCTTGGAGAGTTTTTTGAGGGTGAATTCGTTGCAGGTCAAGAAAGCTGACGATTGTATCGGCCCGGAGGTGGAAAGCTTGGTGGCTTCTCTTCCTGAAGGTGGAGTTCTCCTTCTTGAGAACGTCAGGTTTTACAAGGAAGAAGAGAAGAACGATCCTGAGTTCGCCAAGAAGCTTGCTTCACTAGCTGATCTCTATGTCAATGATGCTTTCGGAACTGCTCACAGAGCTCATGCTTCTACCGAGGGAGTCACAAAGTTCTTGAAGCCCTCAGTTGCTGGTTTCCTTCTGCAAAAGGTGATATTTTGATTTAAGAGATTCCTCTTTCCTTTGACTGTCGATTGAACATTAAAGCACCGTTGCTACAAATGTAACCATGAAATTTTTGTTTACTTCCTCTCTACATCTACAGGAGCTGGATTACCTTGTGGGCGCTGTTTCTAACCCAAAGAGACCATTTGCAGCCATCGTGGGTGGTTCCAAGGTCTCGTCCAAGATTGGAGTTATTGAATCGCTTCTTGAGAAGTGTGATATCCTTCTTCTTGGTGGTGGAATGATCTTTACATTCTACAAGGCACAAGGTCTTTCAGTTGGCTCGTCCCTTGTTGAAGAAGACAAACTTGAGTTGGCTACATCTCTCCTTGCCAAAGCTAAGGCCAAAGGAGTCTCTCTTTTGTTGCCAACCGATGTTGTGGTTGCTGACAAGTTCGCTCCTGATGCCAACAGCAAGGTCTGTCTCTCTCATCTCGCCATTGCTTAAAAGCTTGTCATTCTAATCTCTTGGGCGATGGTAGTTAAAATAAAACTGAGGAATGGGTTTCTGAAAGACTTTTATCTCTGCTGAGGTCGGTGTTTTAGGGTAAACCCCATCTGAGTGGTCTAGTGAATATAAAGAAAAAAATTGAGAATTACCAAGAATTAGTCCTGGGAAAATTGGGTCTAAATTGGACATTGCTTGAGCTGTGTGTTCTGAGTAAAGTAAGTAATGTGGATGTTTGTAGGTTGTGCCTGCATCCGGAATTGAGGACGGATGGATGGGATTGGATATCGGTCCAGATTCTATAAAAACTTTCAACGAAGCTCTGGACACAACACAGACAGTGATTTGGAATGGACCTATGGGAGTTTTCGAGATGGAAAAGTTTGCAGCTGGAACAGAGGTAAGAAAATGTTTCATCATAGAGTAAAACATATGATAGATGAACATGTTAGGTGAAGTTTGGGATTATGGTTGTTGCAGGCGGTTGCGAATAAACTAGCAGAGCTAAGTGAAAAGGGAGTGACAACGATAATAGGAGGAGGAGACTCAGTGGCTGCAGTGGAGAAGGTAGGAGTTGCAGGAGTGATGAGTCACATCTCCACTGGTGGTGGAGCAAGCTTGGAGCTCTTGGAAGGCAAAGTACTTCCCGGTGTGATCGCCCTTGATGAAGCGATCACAGTCACCGTTTAAAACTCACCATTTTCATGAGGCAAATGCTGTATACTTGTGAGTTTCTTTTGCTGTAAATCTACCTATCCAGAACTTGACTTTTTATTCACTACTTTTGGGCCAAAGATTCATTCCCCGGAAGAGAAACTCATATATTAAAATTCTGAATAAAATAACAAAAGGTAAGAAAAAACATGGACCTGAAACTAGTGATTCCTAATCGAAAAACGAGAACTTGCTCAAGAGGTTTTGGTATTTGGATGTCTTTTTAATATCATCGAACCTGCTAATTATGGTTGGGAAATAGGGAGATGAAGAAGAGTAGTAGTAGTCGCTTTGTGAACACTCCTTCTCCTTGTATCTCTTCAGCTCTTCTTTAAGGCCACTGTCGAGAAGATGCTCACAATACGCTTTATTGTCTTCAAAGGCAACATACGTCTTCAAGAACATTGTTTTATCCCTCTCCTTTTCCATGTCCATCTCGTCCATCATGTTCCGCAGAATCAAAGGTCCCTTCTTCCTAAAATGCCCTTTCACGAAATCCTCAAACCCCATGAGCGGCCGTTTCAGCATATCCAGCATCTGATGACATGACTTGTTGGTGTTCATCATCACAATCTCTTCAATGTAACGAAACACATCTAATATGCTGTATCCATGTTTGGATCCCGATGGGATTAGGGTTTCAGGGGTACTCAAAGGAAGGCCATAGGGATGGTAGAAGAATTCCGGTGCTTGAGATGGATAATTATTAGGGAACTTAAGGTCGAAGAAGAACAAGCTGTGGCTCTGATCAGTTACAGCAACTCTCATCAGCTCTTTTCGTTCACGATAAGTTCTCACAAAGAAGCTGATTCCTTTCCAACCATCTTTCTTCTCCCTCGAGTCTAACTCTCTCTCTAGAATCCCCCACAGTCCCTCTACATTACCGTTTACGCAGAGGCAGAAGCAAGAGTAACAGCAACGATAGTTGTAGAAGTGATGATCTCGTGGAGCGTCTCCATCAAGAGCTTCGAACTTCTTAAATCTCTTGAAGTTTAAATCCACTTTGTCTCCCAACTCCATGATCTCCTTCTCGAAGATGTCAATAATGAAGTAACTGGAGTGTCCCAAGTGAACGATGTCACCAACTTCTTCCTCCGATCCAGATTTAGACTCCGGTATAACTTTTTGGGAAACTTTCTCAGCACGTCCTCTATATCGATCTGATTTTGACCTAGATAGCTTTGCAAGTGGTACTCTAGGTTTACTTGCCAGATCATCATCATCAGAGTCGCAGCTGAATACATCAACACCTTTCGTCATGACTTTTGTATAGCCTCTCGCCGAAACTAGTGTTGCTAATACTAATTATTTTGCTTCTCTCTTGGCTTCTGTTCTTCCTCCCCTTGGTATCGTATTTATCAAGGAACTATCTTTTTAAGCGCGTTAAACTAATGTCGTTTAGGTTTAGGAAAATAATTAAAGAATTACAGTGGAATCTGTTACTTGTTTAGATTCTGTACAAGATATAGTTTTTTTTTTTTTTGTTAAATATAAGATACGATTTTGATAGCGTAATTTATGTGATTTTATTTATTGGTTGTTTTCCTTTTCAGTTATGTTTGTAATTTTCTGAATATATTCTTCCATTTTTCTTTTCAATTGGATTTAAATATGTTATTGGCATTATCCTCACTACTTAAAACCGTAAGTATCAACCGAAGAGTTGAGCGGAATAGACCGAACTCAAGTAAAGCGGCACTTTGTAATACGATGTAAAACAAAAAGTTAGGATAAACAAGCAGGGACACAGCTAGTTTCGGATTCAAAAGTCCTTTATGACAACAAACACACTGATATTTTGATTAATCATAAGTAAAAACTTAGGAGAATGTGCCCAAGTCACAAAAATACTGTATATACAAGTTTTTCTCACAAAAACCAAAGAATCTACATTAAGAGATAACTCGTAAGTATTTTAGTTGAGCTAAAATAGACATTGACATGTGTAACTGTGTAAGAACCAAAAAAACAAGATGTTATGTCTGTTAAAAACTAAAGAAAATAAAGGAATGTGTTAAAATGATGGAGATGGCGAAGACTTGGAAGAAGAGATAAACAAAAGAAGTCAGGAGGACAGAGGAATATCATTATCAATGTCTGAAGCGTCTCTTCTCGCTTCTCCTTTTCTCCACTGTAAGAACTCTTGTTTCTCAATTTGTCGTTCTTGTATGTCGGATTTGATCCTATACCAACTCACAAGTGACACAATCTGTTGAATTTTTTTTTTCTCTGGTGCAGCCAATTCTGGAATCCATTCCGATTCTTTCTACGCTGCGCTTATCGATGGTTCCACTCATAAATCTCAGTTGAGGCAAATCCACGCACGTTTACTGGTTTTGGGTTTGCAGTTTAGCGGTTTCTTGATCACCAAGCTCATTCACGCAAGCTCTTCCTTTGGTGACATTTGTTTCGCACGCCAGGTGTTCGACGATTTACCTCGCCCTCAGATATTCCCCTGGAATGCAATAATCAGGGGTTACTCCAGAAACAATCTCTTCCAAGATGCTCTTCTCATGTATTCCAAGATGCAACTCGCTCGGGTTTCTCCTGATTCTTTCACTTTCCCTCATCTTCTTAAAGCTTGCAGCGGTTTGCCTAACCTTCAGATGGGTCGTCTTGTTCACGCTCATGTATTCAGGCTTGGATTTGAAGCTGATGTGTTTGTTCAGAACGGTCTTATTGCCCTGTACGCAAAATGCAGGCGTATGGGCCAAGCAAAGACCGTGTTTGCAGGACTGCCACTGCAAGAGAGAACGATAGTCTCATGGACGGCTCTCATTTCAGCTTATGCTCAGAACGGTGAGCCTATGGAGGCTCTCGGGATTTTCAGTCAGATGAGGAAGATGGATGTGAAGCCTGACTGGGTAGCCCTCGTAAGTGTTCTCAATGCTTTCACATGCCTGCAGGATTTGGAGCAAGGGAGATCTATTCATGCTTCTGTTGTGAAGATGGGTCTCGAAACAGAGCCTGACCTGCTCATCTCTCTCAACACCATGTATGCAAAATGTGGCCGAGTCGCCACTGCTAAGATTCTGTTTGATAAGATGAAGTCACCTAACTTGATATTGTGGAACGCAATGATCTCTGGTTATGCGAAAAACGGTTATGCCAAGGATGCTATTGATATGTTTCATGAGATGATCAATGAAGGTGTCACACCAGACACCATCTCTATAACATCTGCCATTTCGGCTTGCGCTCAAGTAGGCTCTCTTGAGCAGGCTCGCTGGATGGACGAATATGTAAGCAGGAGCAACCTCGGGGATGACGTTTTTATTAGCAGTGCTCTAATCGATATGTTTGGCAAATGCGGAAGTGTAGAGTGCGCGAGATCCGTATTTGACCGAACACTTGACAAGGATGTTGTGGTTTGGAGTGCTATGATTGTTGGGTATGGATTACACGGACGGGCAAGGGAAGCAATCAGTCTGTACCGTGCGATGGAACGTGGTGGAGTGCATCCCAATGATGTCACTTTTCTGGGAGTTCTAATGGCTTGTAACCATTCAGGCTTGGTAAGAGAAGGCTGGTGGTTCTTCAACAGAATGACTGATCACAAAATAAATCCGCAACAACAACACTATGCATGCGTCATTGATCTTCTCGGGCGCGCTGGTCATCTGGATCAAGCTTATGAAGTGATCAAGTGCATGCCGGTCCAGCCTGGTGTAACGGTTTGGGGAGCGCTCCTAAGCGCGTGCAAGAAGCATCGCAATGTTAGACTAGGAGAATACGCAGCTCAACAGCTATTCTCAATAGACCCATCCAACACAGGCCATTACGTGCAGCTCTCTAATCTGTATGCTGCAGCACGTTTGTGGGACCAGGTTGCAGAGGTGCGAGTGAAAATGAAGGAGAGAGGATTGAGCAAAGATGTTGGATGCAGCTGGGTTGAAGTCAGGGGAAGGTTGGAGGCTTTTCGAGTCGGTGATAAGTCACATCCAAGATATGAAGAGATTGAGAGACAAGTAGAGTGGATTGAGAGTAAACTCAAGGAAGGTGGATTTGTGGCGTACAAGGATGCTTCATTGCACGATCTCAACGATGAAGAAGCTGAGGAGACTCTGTGCAGCCACAGCGAGAGGATAGCGATTGCTTACGGGCTTATAAGCACACTCCCAGGGACAACACTGCGGATCACAAAGAATCTGAGAGCTTGTGTGAACTGTCACGCCGCTACAAAGCTTATCTCGAAGCTTGTGGGTAGAGAGATTGTTGTGAGAGACACGAATCGATTCCACCATTTTAAGGATGGAGTTTGTTCGTGCGGTGATTACTGGTAACAACAGATAGAAGAGCAATCGTTGGACTCATTACGCTAAAAAAACTTGATAAGTCTGAAAGTTGGAAAGCTTAATTATTTGATCATCAATATGAAGATTGTGACAAGAAACACAAGTCAGGAACATTGTAAAATAGAGCTGGCTACTTCTCCCAGTTGGCTGGTGACTTCTCGACCACGCTCTTGTCATACAAATACTCAACAAATTCATCGATGAGGTAAGGCCATGCTCCTTCTGCATCGTAATTCGACAGCATCGGATTCACCGTCTGCATCCCAAACAACTGTCTCAATCCATGTATCAACACTATGCCATAGTTGCAATCAAAGAGTAAGCTCAATGACATAATTGTATCTAGTTTTTCTCTTACCCTCGCAAATTCCAGGAGCTGTGCCCATGTGTCCTTAGATATGGCCTTGTTATGACGATCCTGAAACAAAAGTGTATCAGAAGCAACACAAATATTATAAGACCATGCCTTGATGATATATTAAGCTCAAGAATGTTTGTTTACCTGCAAGAAATCACACCAGTGATTTACCAGTGGCCACTCTCTTTCTGCAAAGAGCAACTGCCACATCCCAATCGCTGTATCTAAAGCAAGAGACTTCTGCCCCTGAAACATTTTACAGTTTTCTATTTGTCAGTAGCACGTAGAAAACAACTCTCGAAAGCAACGACTTCAGATCACGCTTTTTTACCTTCTCTTTCGCCCATCCAAAAGCAAAGTTGTATATTTCATGGAACTTTTCTGAACAAGATAAATACACAAGAAGAACATTACACGTATGTCAGCCAACATGGAATTTTCCATAAATCAAACCATAAAACAGGATAAAGAATGATCATTAAATCTGCTTCTTACGTTCATCTTTAAGCTCAGAGCGCATAAATGACAGTTTTTCCTGCAACTTCACAATGGAATCTACTCTGCCATCAGAAAATAAGTGCTAAGTTAACCTCCGCACCGAAATGTCCTAAAACAGGCCACAGCGTTAGATAGCATCAACACTAGAGTTAACTCACCCTAATGCCTGTAATCCACCAACAAATTCTTCCTTCGAAAATTCACATGCTGTGGCAGCATTCATATGCCACGAAAGAACCAACTGAAATTGGAGTAAGCACCCATTCAACTAAATGTCCAGAAGATGAATAAAAAGAACTAAGAGCAACCAGTGAGATTCTAATGAGTTTAAGACCCCACTTTTAATCTGTTCCTACGGAATCTCCATCCATGGAGATAGCATATTCTCATCCACTTCAATTTTGTCACTCTTAACGGTTCAAGTCACTCCCTCACAATGTACTTAACTCATTGGGTGGTTTTAAGGAAGAAACACATGCACACAAGCAAGTTGTATGAGAGGTTTCAATAAACATACCGTGACAATGTCTTGGGGTTCCACCTGGATAAAAGAATCAAGTGAGTTGTTATTAATGCTACGTAAGATACACCACATTAATCTTTACCTTATTCAAGAAGATAAAATACCTGAAGATCATTACACAGCACCGAGATACCATCCGCTAGAATCATATCAGAGTATGGGTCTGCAGAATGTAATATGACATTATTAAAGCATAAGGTACACCAATGATATCAAACGTGGCTTTGATCAACTCAAGAGCAACAAATAGCTTGCCTTTATATCTATTGTAGAGCTCCTCTAAGCGTCTCATATCAGCATTGCTTCTTGGCTGGGGCTGGCTGTAAAACACATCAAACGCTGCTTCGAGGTGCCAATCGCTGGCTTTAAGAGCCTGAAGAGCATTCTTCTCACTGCCCACATTATAAGCAAGTCACCAAACAACAGTTTGAGAGTTATGGACAAACCCAAGAATGCTGCAAACGCGTTTGCTCTCAAACTACAGTTACTAGTTACTGTTTTGGCCTTATATAGAAAAAATTCTACAGTAAAGTAGAAAAAAAAAGCCTGCTTTTGGAGATAGATCCAGTTACCTAGCTCCTGTGATAGCCACGAACTGCTGAAGTTTATCGCGGTTGCTTCTGCTCAGCTTATGCTGCACAAGGAAAAAGGGACCATATGATTATATTGAATTACCCACTAAAATGACGATAAACCACTGAATCGCAAAAAAAGTAAGGGGCTTTTGAGTGTTTCAATTCGACTTGGACGGAATTATCAAAACCCAAAAGCAAAAAATAATCAAAGCTTTCATTGTCAGATACAAAGATGAGTGGATCCGCAAACACAGAGAAGACAAATAAAGTAGATGGATGAGAAAGCGCGTACCATTGTGTGAAGAATCCGCTGGAGAGAAAAAAAAAACGAAAGCAAAAACCCTAAAACAAGGTAATCAAAGACGAATTGGACGTTGTTGTTGTTGTTGTGTCTGTGTCTCTCTCTAAGTATATATCTACCTATCGCCCCAGCGAAGCGAAGATATGTGAGGAGAGGAGAGGAGTGACTCACGAAGACTCGAGAGTCTCTCACGATTGCTTCTGCTTTCTCACTTTCCTCTGTCCGGCAAATGTTTCCTTTTTTTTTCTTTTTCTACTCTGATGAATTTCCCTTTCATTTATGCGAAGACTCGGTTTAATCAAATCGGTACATAGTAAAATATCTCCGTATTACAAATAGACCGGAAAATTTGTATTTCGGTATTTTTGCAAACCGGTACATTATCCATGTTTTGCTAGTAAACCCAGCTGGGTTATAGATACCGATATACCGTATACAAGTCATTAAATTTCTGATCTGGTAAATTTTCATACAGTATATAGAAAGTGAATATATTCAGTAATTTATTTTATAGTTTGTAACTTATTTTGTTGTAAATTACACATTTGGTCTGTTTTTTTTTTTGAACAAGACACATTTGGTAAGTTATAGACAATATATAAACTATACTAAACAAAAAAGAGTCGATGGATAATGGAATACCACATGTGGTTGTGAATGAATCATTCAATTGCTAGGCGAAAAGATGGATGTCTTAAAGATCTCATGCAGGTGATGACATTGCTTCATTCCCAGCTTCAAACTTTGATTTGGACAATGGAATGTCTTTACGCGACACAATAGAATTTACTCTTTGGTTTAATTTAACGGGACTACTCCGACCTTATTACGAATGTATGGTCCAATTAAAGTTTAAGAAGCTCAAGATGATTACATGGAGTTCCTTTTGCATGCATTATAAAACTCTATTTTATGAATGTACTAATTTAGATCAGCTCCAAATATTTGTTCTAGACATATTGCTTCGAATGTAATCATTTCTTAGCTCCAAATAATACTTGTTCTAGACATATTGCTTTTTCTTATGTCATCTTCATCCCAAAAATGGTTTGCGTGTGATGCAAGAACACTCTTCGACTATCGAAATTTTAGTTGTTGTAAGAAAGAAATGTTGTTCTGCATGCTCTGTCTGATATATATTTTTCTAATCCAACAATCGTTTTCTCAACGTATTTATCTTACTATAATTCAGAATTCTTCAAGACTTCAAACCAAGATAGAAAAGGCCAAAATCATTAGGTTCAGGTAACCATCGCACTCAATTAATGGTGTGATAATGAAATCTGATTTCGACAAATGTGGCTTCACTGGGCCAACATTACCCACCCATCCCACCTTGTGAGGACGATGAGACCATCGTAAATTTTTTGAAGCCAAAAGTAAATGGAAATTTCAAATTAATATCACTCTTCTCACGGCTCACAGCTTAACATGACGACATTCTGTCTTCACATTTACTTTCTGGTTAAAAGTTCTCACATTTCAATTTTATATACATACATATATTTATTTAATTTTGCTTTTGATAAAGTGATCAAAAGAGATGTAGTACTAGTAACCATGATCATGACTACTTTCTAGCAAATTACTAGTAATGTTAATAAGACCGATCTCTGTGGTCTTCCCTTAGTTATCTATCTTTCAACTGTCGTTAATAGCTTTTGATTATTATATTTCAAGGAATGTATAAATAGATAAGTAATGATTAGAAGAGATCGAAAGGGCGTCTAATTTAAACCATCCATACACTACGATCTAAAGATGCTTGTAGAATTTCTTATACTAACCAATGAATTCTTTCGCCGCCTTTTTCCGCAAACAAGAAAGGAAAGGCCAATGCTTTTTGTGGTTCTCTCCTATACTAATTTCTCTTTGTTAACGACAATAAGAGTAATAAGAGAATTTGTTTGCTGGAGACTAACAGAGAGCTAGATGTGTATAGTTGGTCAACTCTACGTAATTTAGATTCTGCTATTAACATTTATGGACCACTCGCTTATAAAGTTAAAGGTTCTCTCTCGCTTTCTCGCTATAAAAAGCTTCCTTTACTTCCCCATAACTCTCCACACTTTACTTTCTTACAAATCAAGCACAACAACATATCTAAACCCCATGTCTGATCGTGGCTGTTTTTCCACAAATATGTTGAGAATTTATATAATATTCATGATATGTTTACATGTGTGTAGTGCCTCGAGTGATTGTACAAGCCACGACGATCAAGAAGCTGTTTCTCAAGACGAAGCAGAGAAAGCGACGAAGCTTAAGCTCGGTTCCATCGCTTTGCTCCTTGTGGCAGGAGGAGTAGGTGTGAGTCTACCGTTGGTCGGGAAGAAGATACCGGCGTTACAGCCTGAAAACGATATCTTCTTCATGGTGAAAGCTTTCGCAGCAGGAGTGATCCTCTGCACAGGATTCGTCCATATTCTACCAGACGCGTTCGAGAGATTAGGCTCACCTTGTCTCCAGAGCACAGCAGCCGGAAAATTCCCGTTCGCCGGTTTCGTGGCGATGTTGTCAGCGATGGGCACTCTTATGATCGACACTTTCGCGACGGGGTATTACAAAAGGCAACACTTTGGCAGTAACAATGGGAACAAGCAAGTAGTGAACGTGGTAGACGAAGAAGAGCATGCGGGTCATGTTCACGTCCACACGCATGCGAGTCACGGACACGCACATGGCTCTACCGAGTTGATCAGGAGACGGATCGTGTCACAAGTGCTGGAGATTGGGATAGTTGTGCATTCGGTTATAATAGGGATATCTCTTGGAGCTTCACAGAGCATAGAGACCATAAAGCCGCTCATGGCTGCTCTTTCTTTCCATCAGTTCTTTGAAGGTCTTGGCCTCGGTGGCTGCATCTCTCTCGTAAGTGTCTTGACTCCTCTTGCAGTCAACATATTGATATTTTGATATGAAATGTGTCTTGATCGAATTCTGACAGTGTTATGATGGATGTGTGTATAGGCAGAGTTGAAGTCGAAATCGACGGTGATAATGGCGACGTTTTTCTCGGTGACGGCACCGGTTGGGATAGGGATAGGGATGGGGATGTCGAGTGGTTTAGGATACAGGAAAGAGAGCAAAGAGGCACTAATGGTGGAAGGAATGTTGAACGCTGCATCAGCTGGGATTCTCATTTACATGTCACTCGTTGATCTTCTTGCTCCTGATTTCGTGAATCCAAGATTGCAATCCAATCTTTGGCTTCACTTGGCTGCTTTTCTCTCTCTCCTCCTCGGCGCTGCTTCAATGTCTCTCCTCGCCATTTGGGCATAGCCCCGTTGATTCTCTGCAGCTATTAACATACAAGCACAACAAAATGCCGCTCTTTTTTCCTCGAATCTGTGTAATGGTGTTTTCTAATCTCGGAATCAAATACTATTCTGTTTTGAACGTAATGACTGCTTTTTGATAGAGACAAGCAATAGTTAAGGGCAGAGAGAGGCCAGCTAATAAATCAGCAATGATTGATTCGAGGGAGTGTGCTTTTTTCGTAAAATAGAGAGGTAATGAAAATGATAGGAAGCATCATTCATTTCTATGTAATTGTCATATGTATTTCACATCTATAATACATATAACCACTTGCAGTTTGGGCTGAAATTACAATCATGGATAAAGAGATTTACATACGCAGATGATACATAGTCTTTTGTTTACCGACCTCCGGGAATTCTATTCCACGACAAGTAAGTAGGATCTCCAAGTCGCCTGCAAAAACCCCCCAAAACACCACATCAAACATCTACACTTTTGCTGTTATATTCTTAGAATAATACAATTTATAGCCAAGGATAGGACACATAGGACAATGTGTATATGTATACCTGGGTTTCACAAGATACATGATAGTAAATGCAAGTGCCAAGAAGAAACAGATTCCTCCAACTGTGAGGTAAGCAATGCCGAGGAAGTCGTTCTTTCCACCGAGCCAACTAGTTGTTGACAAAACAAGCTTCTTCTTCCCATTGAAACTGTATGTGTTGTAGTTGTTCTTCAGATTCACGCGTATGGTATCACCCTTATGCAGGTCAGTATCTATTATCTTCCCGTATAGTTTTCTAAACGTTGGCAAAGCTGCAGTCCTCATCCACACAATCAGATCCTCTTGCTCACTCAGCTGAAACACCATAAGAGACAGAAAGAAAGAGATTGCCAAAGTCAAGTATTTTTGCAGAGATATGACCGAGTCTGAGACTGTACCAAAGTATCAAGTGCTTACCGATTTATTTGGATCTAGTCTGCCACCACCGGTGAGATTGCCCATCTGAAAGTTCTTGGGATATACATTTTTCCCAAACTTGTGTTCCCTGTCACTATCCCACGCAATTCCGTCCTTGCGTACAGTTAAATTTTTGCTGTTTATTGATAAATCGTATGTGTCATTAAAAAGACTCCAAGCAATTAGACCACACGGCACAATCGGCTGCCCATTAACATCATCCTCAGGCTTGCATGCATCTATCTGATTCTCATTTTTCACACTTCTCAACTGCGAATCACTCCGGCTTTTCACATACCTGTAAAAAGTAAAATACCAATGCCAGAAAGAGATTTAAGGAATCTAATTCACGTCTGATTTTAGATGTGAGCACTTCACACAAGGTCTAGCAAGTTCTCAGCGATACCTGCGGTGATTCTGGTAGAAGTTCTCAAGCTGGTAATAAACGTAGATAGGCTTCTTCATTAGCTTATGAACCTGACAATATCAAACGGGAAAAGAGGAATTACACAAAGACATTCACAGGCTAACCAAGTCTCAAAGAACGAAACACTGATGTTGCATAGGAAACTTACTGTTATTGTCCGGTTACATGATTTATCTCCAGCTCCTTGAATGTATGCAACCTTGTTAGCCCTAGCAGGAGCCGGTATGCAATCATTATCATACCGATCAACGATCTCAACAACCTATACATAAGAGATGAATAAAATGTGAGATATGGAACCAATAGGCAAGATGAATATAAATGAAGAGCAATAAATTGGATCATCCTCACTTACATCCTGGGAAGCGAAAAGAGAAACAACTCCGAGAGGGATGAAGATAACACTAATAACCAAAAATGTCAAAATCACCTGCAAAAAGAGCCAAGGAATTTTGATACCGTTTCAAAGAAAAAATGGAGACTGAGAATAAAATTATGATATTAAAAGGAACATAAAGAAGCTTACCCAACCAGGCGTTAGAATTGGCTTACAAGCTGGAAGCTCCTGCTGTGTAAATTTTGAATCTGCAAATCAAATCATTAGTGAGGAGAATCACCTTTTAGCTAAAAGCATTCTCGATTCCTAGCTAAAAAACTTATACAATACAATTCTTTATACGAGAAAGTAAAAAAAAAAAACCCTAATAATAATTTTGGTGATCCCACTAGAGAGCTTGAGTCAATTCAAAGACACAGCTAAATATGAATCTAAATTTTTGCCCAACGAACTATGCATGATGACAAGGGCTTGTGTAAGAAGCAAGAAGCTGAAGAATGAATTCAGTGATCACAACAATGGATTGCAGATCAAATATGATTAGACCAAAGAGTCGAGGAGAACCGAAAGGAAGAGGGAGAAGAGAAATACACTTGGGTCGCTTGGAATTTCTCCGGGGGGCGGAAGAATCTGCCGATCCGGCGCTAGACGATGCCGTATTGGGAGCCATGGCTGAGAAAAAATGGAGATTTCGTCGTTGAGGAGAGGAATGGTGAACGGAAATATGGAGAGAAAAAAGGGAATAGAGAAAAGGAGAACGAGACTAGGAAGATGAAGGAAGAACACGGTCGTCGTAGTCGTCAATGGCGGCGACTAAAGACCCATTTTTACTGAATCTAGAAGAAGAGAATCACCCCAAATCGAAGTTTCGTCGAGAATGCCAATTGGTAAAGACGGTCCCTTTTCTTTTTGTTACTGCTTCTGTTCCATTTTCGGGATTTTTTTTTTTTTTTTTTAGTTTGGCTGCTTTTTTTTCGTTTAACCGAAATTAAATAGTATTGTTTTTTTACTTTGACAACTAAATATTAACAGTCCCTTTGTTTGTTTTGGTTTAACCTCCTGAAATCCAAGTATAAGACCACAAATACATGCCGTATTTGATTTTGTTCAAACATTATGAATTATAAAAAGAGAAAGGAAAAAAATATCTTCTCTATTGCTAAGTTATTTTAATGGAATGATGAGTAGAATATGCAAGAAAAGTAGAGTGGTTAGGAACAATGAAAAATCTATGCATTGCATATGTCATGGTAGGAGGAAGTAGGAACATTAAAAACAAAAAACGAAGAGGAAGTGAGGAACTGACCAAAGAAAAGGACACCTATGTAAGTTGGGCCTTATATATCTTTAGATTAGGCTTTAGTAGTTTATAAATGGGCCTCGTCCAATGTTTTGCATCGCTGAATGAAGTAAAGTCTACATTTTGGTTGAGTTGATGATAGTCATGAATGGTGGGTGGCTTTGATGTGAAAGGGAATAGATTCATCTATAGAGGAATAACAATAAGAAGAATCCATCAAATAAAGGCAAGAGGCCGCTTGAAAACTAAGCAACCAGAACAAATACTTTCTTCATTTTTTTCTTTCTTTTTTTGCCCAACCTGTCATCACTGCATGCATGATTCCTATAATCCTATTTGTTGCATACATACTTAATTGATGAGCTAAAGTTAAACATCAGCTTTGTTCCACTTGTCATTTTTATTCAAAGTACACTGCACACGAATCTTTTGATCATCGAGATTAAACAATTTTAATTAAAAATAAATAACATGCTTATGTTCCCTATTCCCACACGCATGTGCATGCATATATCTAACTGGAAGCTAGAGCATTTTGTTATCGTATGAATGTATAAGGTCAAACGCGTCAATACATTAAAAATAGAAGGACTTGGACATGCAAATTTGGATTTAATGGTATTTACTATTTAGACATGTGTGGATGCAAAATCGCCTGCATGGGTTACAACTTGAAAGTCTAAACCCTATTGCATATATAGTCTATAGATACGCCTCCCTGCCTTTAATTATTTACATCAAAGAAGTTATATCTGTCAATGCCACTCCATACTTAAAACTTTAAATAATTTGCAAGACGTCGTGTGTTCCTTTTTTCCATCTTTCATAAATACTAATATTCTCTCTGGTGTCATCATCGATAGGCATTTGTTTGTTGAGATCATGCAGCCGAGAGAGGAGAGGAGAGCTGAGTCACCATCATCAGGTCTCGTCCTCACCACCGATCCTAAGCCACGCCTCCGCTGGACCACAGAGCTTCATGAACGTTTTGTTGACGCCGTTACTCACCTTGGAGGCCCTGAAAGTACGTTTTTATTTCTATATCTCTTGAATTTATTGGTGCCCACATATATATTTACACTAATTACTTTATCGTAGCTAGCTATACATTAATTGTGATGTGTATATATATCAGCAGAGGCTACACCAAAGACGATAATGAGAGTGATGGGTGTGAAGGGTCTCACGCTTTATCATCTCAAGAGCCATCTCCAGGTCCTATATATTTTTATTTTTCCTCGGTTTATTCTTCCTCGGTTTACTGTTCTTTTATTTTTATTTTTTTCTCAGTTTCCTTTCTATTTTTGCCTTGGTTAGTTAGGATTTTAGAACATATAATACATTGGTAAATATATATGTGTGTTAATTTGAACTACAGAAGTTCAGGCTTGGAAAGCAGCCTCACAAGGAGCATAGTCAAAATCACTCTATTAACATTATGGACACTAATAGAGGTGCGGATAATTCATCAGCCTTCTTTATAATCAAATAATTGGTTAATTTGTGATTGCACCATGGATAGCTTATATATTATTTGGTAATCAACATCATGCATGCAGCTTCCATGCTGGATCTTCAAAGGAATGTTGTATTCACTACTCCGCACATCATTGGTCGCAATATGAAGGAGTATGTGTTTTCAATTCCTGCAGTCATAATATATATATATATATATTCATAAAAAAAATATTTTAATATAAATGGAAAATGATAATTGTGGATTGTGATGAAGGATGCCAATGGAAGTGCAAAGAAGGATAGAGGAAGAGGTGGAAGTAGAAAGGCAGGTGAATCAAAGGTTAGAAGCACAAGGGATATACATGGAGAGCATGTTAGAGAAAGCATGTGAGACCCAAGAAGCAAGCCTCACTAAAGACTACTCTACTCTCTTTTTCGACCGAACCACTATTAGTAACAACACATCATCCCTCCCAATCCCATGGTTCGAGGATCATTTTCCCTCATCTTCCTATATGGACTCCACATTGCATCTCCCTGACATCAATTCCAACTTCTCCCTCCAAGATTCTCGGAGTTCCATCACCAAGAACCGTACGGTTTGTCTCGGTTAGAGAAGACATATATAGGTCTAGCTATTTGACTCTTAATAGTCTAGTTTCTACTGCGCACTTGGTGTATAAATGCACAAATCTACATGTAATAAATTCTGGCAAATATGCAAATGAAGTAGATCTTCGTTGTGCACTCTATATAAAAATTTGATGATGTGAAATAGATGGTGAAGTAGGTTAGCTGCCTCATGAATTTTTCAATTCTTGTGTTTTATTATGTCTTTGTTTGCACTGAAATTTTAAGCATTTTGTCTCTGTAGTCATTTTTGTAGTAATTATCACTATCAGTATCACCACCCAAACGATACTCCAATCATAATCGCTGAGATATATATGGGCCAAGACTAAAACTAGAAATCCATTTCTAGGAATATGAAGTGGAAAGGTTAGTTTGGGCCTATGAGGTCCGACCATAAAAAGGTCAAATAATTTGACAAACAAAAGTCTGTAAAAGCCAGGTTCATATCGTAGTCTCAAGTCTGTCGGTTGACGAGTCAATGGAAGTCTTGTGGATCTGAAACGGTCAAAAAAAGGATGTTTTATATTTAATCTTCTGTAAGTAAGGAGACCTGTTTGGCTGTTACATAACTTATAGATAAGATTGAACGATGGAGTAAATGTGTTCTTTGTTTTCTCCAACACTTCACCGGATTTCAAATCTCTGTTATTATTCGTTGTTCCTTTTATGAAAAAAAAAAAAAACACAAAGTTAACGTAAATATATGTCTCGTTTTCTCATTCGGCTCCTAAGAATTTTTTTACTGTACATTTTTTTTTGTTAACTTGAAATGGTTCTTGAAATGGTTTCGTGATATAATTCACAAAAAAAAAAGCTACTCGACATAAAATAAACCCCAAAATCAGTAGATGGTTCTTAACAATGTTGCCTTTATTAATCTTAAAGCATCGATGTCTCAAGTTAATAACACTAGTTCGTCGAACTAAACATTTGGTACTAATTGAATAGGAAAAATCTTAAACCAGGAAAGACAAACACCCAGAAATGAGCTACGTATATATATAAAGAGCTTCATAGTTACTACTCCTACAACTAATTCACGTACGTGTCTTGGAAAGCAGACTCAGGAATCATGATTACGCATTTATTAATAAGAAAAATGAATTGTGTTACATCATTCTGAGTTCATAGTGTCAAATTAATACCAGAATTGCCCAACAAATTGCCTCTTCTTTCTTTAATTATAGATTTTCTTTAGACAATTAAAAGATTACCAAATGGTCTATTCCAGCAGTTTGCCCATGGTTAGGGTTTATCTAAGAAGAGTTTTTTTTTTGGAATTAATTAGAAGAAAGAAAGGCTGAAAGACAATAATACGTTTACAGTCATGGAAAACCAAAACGAATGTACAGTATATTTAAATATATGTAGCTTCATTATGACGAAGATTTAACATGATATGGTTATTAACAGCGACGGATAAATTAGTATTATTATGTTAATTAACCGCTTTCTCCCCATCCATTATATAGTTTATTATTACATTTAACTTGACGAATTCAAACTAACGATTGCGTTGTAGACCTGTACTAAGCTAGCTTGAGCCGTACGTGGCTTACTTAAGCGGAAATGTTATTTGGAAATAGCTCCAAATAACCGATCCAAATTATCGATTCATGCTCCAATTTTCTAGTAGTTATGATTAGGTCGGAAATTTTCGCAATCGTGCTCCCTACTTTACCTCTAATTTTTCACTAATTTGTTAGTAAATGAAACGTATTTACTGATAGTAATATATACCATTCCTCATTCCAATATTTAAGGTTCAAACACTACCAAAACTAACGCATTTGATAAAAGTCTCTCATGGTAACGATCACGAATCCAGCCTTTAAACCTAATGTTGTTGTTCATATCAATTTGGGTCAAAATCTAAACACGGGTTCTAAAGTTTTATCACCGCAAAGAAAGTTTGGTCTAGTGACGGTGGAAGATCGAATTCTTGTAGCTTTTTAATAAAAGGTTTGAAAAAAAAATGAAGAATTTTATTTTTAAATTATGATATTAAAATTAGAAAATGGATTTTAATAATCTTTTTGATCGTCTGTATAATGATACTCTACTGCATTCTATAATCTTTTGGGGGTTAATACTCTATTTGAGCATATGATATCATGAAAAGTGAAGGGATATATAACACTAATTATTAAAGTATAGGCGAGGCGACAATATGGGATTCTTTGCGTTTATGCGTATGTACATAATATTAATCAACTTGAAAGATCTCAATTCTATCCATTATAGCGTAATTAATGATCCGACAATAATAACTTGTGTCTCATTCTACAAATTTTCCTACCAGTGATCTGATGTATTTTGAAGTCTAGTAGACAACAATTAATTCCGTATAATTAAGTAAATAGTGTCCTAGTTAAAGAACATATAGGACTAAACCGTTTGCATTAGATTGCAATGATAATTACAGGCTCCATGCATGCAATGTGTACGGCAATATTCAGAAACACAAGTTAAATAGATACATTGATATATGATTTTGTCAAGGAAAGTGACGTGAACTAGTAATGTCTCTGAGGAGGCTTCCATTTGAAGACACACAGAGAAAAAGAGAACAACACAAGTTTGGTTAATCATATTAGATTAATTATGTAGAGAAATAGTACTGATGAGGAAAAATTAGTTAAATAGTAATTAACCCTGCTAATGTAAGAGACCTCTTGTATATATAAATTAGGAAGATGAAAGAGAAATGGGAAATGAAAAGAGATGAAATGGGACATCGATGTTGTGGGAAACACAAGGTGAAGAGAGGGCTTTGGTCTCCAGAGGAAGATGAAAAGCTTCTTCGTTATATCACCACTCATGGTCATCCAAGCTGGAGCTCCGTTCCCAAGCTTGCCGGTTTTCATATCATCTCTCTCTATCTATCTTTCTCTCTTTGACTATTTCACATTCATTAATCTTTCATATTGATAGATTAATGATAATTAATATGTATGTATATAGGGTTGCAAAGATGTGGGAAGAGTTGCAGATTAAGGTGGATAAATTACTTGAGGCCGGACTTGAAGAGAGGTTCGTTTAATGCGGAGGAAGAGCAGACTATCATCGATGTCCATCGTATTCTTGGTAACAAATGGGCTCAGATTGCTAAGCATCTGCCTGGACGCACTGATAACGAAGTCAAGAACTTTTGGAACTCATGCATTAAGAAGAAGCTTCTTTCTCAAGGCTTAGATCCTTCCACTCATAATCTTTTGCCTTCACACAAAAGATCTTCTTTTTCCAATAACAATAGTATCCCCAAGCCAAGCAAGACGAAAAATATCTTGAAGGACCCTACTCTCGACCAATCAGCCACTGCTTTCTCGATCACAAACATCAATCCTCCCACTTCCACTAAACCAAACAGACTTAAATCTCCTAACCGGACTCCAATCCCCTGTCAAACCAAGATATCTATCAATGATACCATGTCAAGTCTTTTAGATGATGATAATATGATTCCTAACTGGTCGGATGTTGATGGAATGGCGCCAATCCACGAAGCTCCGATGTTGTTGGGTGAGAAGGCAGTAGTAGGAGTTGATGATGATGATGATCTCAACATGGACATTTTGTTTAATACTCCTTCTTCTTCTAGTTTTGATCCCGATTTTGCTTCCATTTTCTCCTCTGCAATGTCCATCGATTTCAATCCCATGGATGATCTTGGCTGGACCTTTTAATTAGTTTACTCTTATAATATTTTCAATTCCACAAGTGTATATATGTTTATATGAATAATTTCCACCTGCTGTTTTTCACTAGTTTTTGTAAGCTGAGATTTTTCAATATCAGTGTATCATTTTTCCATTTATATTTCGTTTTCTTGTGATCATCATATAAATAAATGCATGCATGTGGGTAGACTTTGTTTGTAATTGTGCGCTTTAGCTATTTAATTATATTGGGCTTTAAATTTCAATTTCTTCTATTTATTTTAAGGCCCGTATAATAATGGGCCGAAGCAGATGGGCTGAGTAAGTTCCAATATGCCTAAAGGGAAACTGAGGTGTCAAATTCATACCATAAATAGTACTAGGAATTAATCCGTATAAATATTTTTTAAATTATCTTTAAATTTAATTTAATTTTTTTATTAAATTAAATTGGTGACAAAAATTTTTTACCAAAAAATATAAATAAATAAAATTGGTGACAATTAGATAACAATACCTATATAAATATCACACAACCGATATTTACTTGTATATATATTATTATGCAGTTTAATTATTAGTAGCTTTTTTAAATATGAAAGTGATATGATATTAATATATATATATATACTTATATACATACCAACATGGATTAAAATCTAATATATATATATATTCATAAAATAAAAATTTAATTGTGAATATTTTATTACAGATCAAACTATCATTTTTAGTTAATAACTTATATAATATGTGTTAACAATGATTATATATAGGATTGTCAAAATGGAAAAACCCGACTACTTAATATATTTCACAATTTACTAAACTATTTTTTGGCCAACCCGTTAAAAAAAATAATTTAAATTTTGAAAAAATAATTTTATTTTTTATATAAATAATTGAACTGATTTTAGAAAATGATACTAAATAATAATGAAAATACAAATGAAAAATATTGCAAAAGATTAAATTGATTTTTTTATATATATGGATTGATTATTTTTTAAAATAATAGAATATATTTTAATATTTTAATATTTTAATAAGTAAAGAAACTAAATATACTTTTGATTTATATCCATATATTTAATTGAGCTTTCTATATTTGTAAAGTTTGTTTAAGTAATATCTTCTAAGTAAAGGTTTATTTATGTAATATCTTATAAATAAATGTTTATTTATGTAAAATATTCTGTAATATTTTACAAATAAAGGTTCATTTATGAAATGTCTATTCAAATAATAATAAATAAATAAATAAATATATAAAATATATAATATATATAATATATATAGAGATGACCTAATAGACCTAATAGACCTAATCAATATCTTGCATTCGCTATGATATACAACATTCGATTCCCAAGTTGATTCATTTGTACGTGTTCTCTAATGATATTGAACGTGTGGATATAATTAAGCTAAATCATTTATATGAAACTTCGTGCGAAGCGCGAAGATAAAGAGGGAATGTGCCACACATCGCCAACATGCTCTCTCACCTGTAATTCACCACATTCTTCTAATTAATTCGTGGGCTTATATGCTTGTACATGAATTTTTCATAGGCGTTGACAAAGTCAATTGTGTTAATCGCAAGGAAGATTCGCAAATTGGCAATCAAAGTGTATTATCTTTGATTGGTATGAACAAAACGAAGGAAGCAACAAGAAGACGACACCGAGGCACAATAGATGAAGAATAAAGATATGTATTAAGTAGTGTTTGGTATTAACAAAATTGGCAGTATTAGTAATGAATAAATGGGATAAGTGTGGAACCACATGGTCTGTCTCTTACTCTCTTATCTTTTCCCCATCATCGTAAACACTTTAATTACTTGGGTTTTCTTCTTTTTGGAATTCATCCCAATTTCTCTTCTTCTTTTTTCCGTTCACTATTGTTATACTTTTTTATAAAATGTTACAAAATTGCGCATTCCACGAATACAAAACTGTACATGAACAGGTAGAAAGATCCGGTGCCAAACAATTGCAAAAATCCCACACTTGAAAAGTTGTTGAATAACGTTGTTGTCTTGTAAACTATTTATACAAAACTTGTTAATTGTATTTAGTAGTGGCAGCTTAATAGTAAAAGGATTTGGGGATAAAGTGTAAATTCCCACTATAACATTTTTTTTTGGGTCAAATTTTAACTATAACATTTAAATATACTATATCATCAGTTAAAATGTTAGTATGTTTTAGAACTATTAAAAATGTGGCGAGTGAGGACTAATTGTTAGTTACAAATTTACAGTTATTTTGGGAATAATTACTTGAGAGATTAGTCAGGTTTCGGTCCGGAAATGAGGGTTAAAAACAATACTTGACAATGGAAAATGAAAATTACGTGAATATTAGCGCTAGGTATGGGATTAAACGCGTGTGATAATAATCATGAGTAAAGGACAGAAGCCAAAAATAACACAGGAAAGAATATTGAAGTACCAATAGAAAAGTAAACAGAAATAGTTAGGGGAAGACTTAAAGGTCACATGGGAGTTGATTTGATGGCATCATTGCATCAAATCCTGCACATGCACTGCCTCTATTCTTTTCTATATTCCTCTTTTTTTGTTGGTTGCTTGTTGTTATTGATAACTGATTAATATCCACACGGTTTTAATTTTAGAATAATGTTCCACTCGGTAAGAATGTATACATATATAAATACCGTTACTTACAAACTACTTTTCAACTTCTGTATCTCTCACCCTAATTGTAATATATATAGACGTATACAATCACTTGTGTTCTCCATTTAATCACCACCATCATCTCAAGTCTCAACTCTTCTCTCTCAACAGCTTCTCATCATCCATATCATCGTATAACTTTTGATATAGAGAAAATGAGCAGAACGGAGACAATGGGTTTGACCAAAAGAGGAATGTTGCAGTCAAGTAGTTGCAATCGCCTTATGGACCGCTCTGAGTCCCTCAAGAGGGACAGCGTGATGAGCAATGGTGGTGCAGCCAAAGTGAAGGGAAGCTTAGAGCGCAAGAAATCAAAGAGTTTTAAGGAAGGAGAAAGCTATGCTTCTTGGCTCATAACGGAAGCTCCTGGGAGTATAGCCGCCGTGAGGAGGGAACAAGTGGCTGCACAACAAGCCCTAAGGAAATTAAAGATTGCTCATTACGGCAGATCCAAATCAACCCTAACTAATTTCAATTCCTCCAAAGTTGTCCCTCTTATTCATCCCCATCCTCAGAGATGCAGCTTCCTCACCCCTACTTCTGGTATACTACTCCTTTCCTTTCTGGTATAATATTCTTTATAAAATAAAAAATGAGTCTCTATTATAACATCTCATTTTCATGTCATTTTTTTCAGATCCTGTTCACGTTGCCTACCATGATGAAGAATGGGGAGTCCCTGTCCATGATGACAAGTGCGTGACATAATACCCTTTTTTGCAATTCTTAAATACTATATCGCTTTTTTCATATATAATTACCACAAAAAATCTGTAGTTGCAAAAAATACCACAAAATATTTAGGTTATAAAGTGATTCTAATATCTTAAGATAGAATCTTAAATGATTTAATTTGGTGACCTACTCAACTTTTAGGAACACACATCTTAAACCTTAACTCCTTGATATATATTTGAAACTAAAACTTACTTTACATGATTAGAGTATTATCTCTTTTTATCCCTATATATATCTAATATTTGAGTACATTATTTTGGTCAAATAAAACTAATGATCTTAATTTCAGGACGTTGTTCGAGCTGCTGACCCTCAGTGGCGCACAAGTAGGCTCCGATTGGAGTTCAACCTTGAGAAAACGTCATGACTTCAGGAAGGCGTTTATGGAGTTTGAGGCGGAAGCGGTTGCAAAACTTAGCGAGAAAGAGATGAATGCAATAAGCATCGAGCACAAGATAGAGATGAGCAAAGTGAGAGGTGTTGTAGAGAACGCTACAAAGATCGTAGAGATCAAGAAAGACTTCGGGTCACTAGAGAAGTACCTTTGGGGATTTGTGAACCACAAGCCCATCTCCACCAACTACAAGCTTGGCCACAAGATTCCGGTCAAGACATCGAAGTCAGAGAGCATCAGCAAAGACATGGTCCGTCGAGGCTTCCGATTCGTGGGTCCCACTGTGGTTCACTCCTTCATGCAAGCCGCTGGTCTTACCAATGACCACTTGCTCACTTGTTACCGTCACCTCCCTTGCACTCTCCTCACTACCAAACCGTAACTTTTGTTTTCCTTATTTCTTTACTTAATTGAAAGTGTGCGTTTTTTTATATATATAACTTTCGGGTGGTTTGTGTAGAACAAATGTAGGCGTTTAGTTTGTTTTTTCCTTTTCTTTTGTGAGAGGTTTTTAAAAATCACATGTATAAGGGTTTTTGATGTATGTGTGGTGTGACAAAATTGAATTAGTAATGGATTTTCATTTCAACTGATCCTGTATGACAATAAATGGGTGCATGGAAAAATTGAATATCATCTTTGGTTTTCATATGTTGTGTCTCTATGACTCTATCCAATCTTCTATTCATGATATTTATCTGTATTGTTTTTTTTTTTGAAAGTGTATTGAAAGAAGAGTATATATAAAGTGGTGATTGAGTTTCGTAGAAGCAAATAGCATGATGATGTAGCATGTGATGCTTCTCTGTCACCGATAATGATTGGATCATTTTAGTGGATGCCATGATGGGATTGGTCACTGCCCATTAGGTTGGGTCTTATATCTATTTTCTCCCCATCCCTAAAACTAATTTCTTTTCCAACTCTGCCTTTTTAATTCTTTTCCCAAGTTCCAACAACAACGCTCCTCCTTCATTCGCTGGTTAACTTTATAGCATCAAGGATATTATTATTTCAATTATTTACTACCCTTGGTAGGTTTTTCAAGGATGTGTTATTTTGGTATGAAACTGAGTACTCTACAAGTTTGTTAAATGTCATAAAAGTAAGAGGATGGAACAATATCAAATATGCTTTGAGAAGAGAGCACATGAGACCTAGTTGAAACAGCGATGCATCAGATTCCTACTTTCTTCAACACGTAAAACTGAAGCAGCGCCTTGTCAGAGTGTGAACTTTAAAGGCCCAAAGTTTTTTATAATTAAACACATTTAATCTGTTCTATCTACGGCCCATTTACCGGCCTAAAACGTGCATTAGGCCGAATAATGACGAATCTAGTAACGATCTCTAAGATGATGAACGAACAAAGGTGTATTAACAAGTGCAATATAATTTGCAATTTGGTAACAAACGTGTTTATTCATTCACTAACAATATATATTTGCCAATCAATAAAAGTAATAAACACAAGAGAAAAAGGACAAAAGCTAAAGACAGGTAGAAGGAGCAAAAGACAAAGTTGAGGCCACAAGATCAAACTCCCACAAATAATTCTGCTGCATTATGTTCCCAACGACGTTAGTCGCCGGCGATCCCGTCGACACAAACCCTAAACACCTGACTCCTTCCAGAGTATCTACTACGTAGCTTCTACGGTGCGGCTCGAACCGCGCACCGCCTTTGAAATGAAACGTTAGCTGCGGCAGCTTGCTCTCGTTGAACCCTGACGTGGTATCGAAACAATACTCTATCGGTACGCCTTCTGGTTTAACTCTCTTGAACCCAACAAGGTAACGCTCGAGCCCTGAGACCACGGCCTTGTACGCTGCATCAGCTAAAAACGTGAGGCTTGTTCCCGAGTCCAAGATGGTGCCACCACCGGCTGTTGCGTCCCATACTTGCGTGGGGATGTCGAGCATGTCGTCTCCAATGGAGATTCCAATGATGTTGATTGCGTAGAAAGGAGGGATGAGTTTGAGATCAAGCGGGGTGGTTCGTATAGAGGCTGCGGTTTTAGTAGTGGAGGAAGAAGAGCCGAAGGTGAGGTAGTTGGAGACGTTTTTGTTGGAGAGATGGTCAACGAGGCAGTATGAGAATTTGCCACCGAAGATGTTAGTGGCTTTGGATGTGAAGGAGTAATCACTCAAGGCTAAACCAAGCACACCATCGGCTCCACGGAAGCTGTCTCCACTGAAGGAGCTGCTGCAACCTATGAGGAGACCACGGAGTTTGGCTTTGCGACCGTTGGTGAGACCAACTGTGAATGTCTCCTTTGCGAACACGCCTTGTGCTGCTGACCCGTCCGCGTATCTGTAGGTTAATCATGTAGAAACAGAGTGATTAAGAAGTTTGCATAATTAGGCTAATTGTAATGATAAGAGAGGATGAATTTATGTATGCTTTCTTAAGATGGCAAACCTAACTCACAAGTCACAATAAGTGACATTTATGTAATGTGAAGAATTGTAGCTCAACTCACATTTAATTTTCACATCTCCTTACATACACACTTGCATCTAAAATCATCTTATGGATTGGCTCTTCCAACTTCTCTAAAATAGTTTGGGAGAGAAGAGACAATGATATGGTGACAAGACACAGAGGTCCCTCATTACTCTCATTCATTGATGACCACCCAAAACTTAAATTTCCTCTTAATATCTTCCTCTCAAAAAAACAACACACACAGTTCCTTAAAAGGAGTGTACAAAATTGTTCTCTGTAATCATAATGTCTGTAAATCCGGAACCAAAGTGCAACCATTATCCATATAATCAAACTCCTTAGTAAGACTCTCCAAAATGCAATCGATTAAAAGGAGTTTTCAAGTAGAAACCTGTAATCGTAGGAGCAAGGAGTAGAAGGGGTAGGGCAATTAGAGAGTGAGAAGAGATTCATCAAATCAACTTTACAAGTCTGAGTCAAGCAACCAACTTTTCTGAAACTCGACGATTCCTCTGCTCTAAACACTCGACGATTCTCTTTGCCTTTGCCATGGAACCTGCAATTCACCCACGTCAGCTCGCTCCCTGTGTCAACCACCACCCTGAACCTCTTCGCCGGCGTTCCAACCCTAACCTCCGCGAAATACTGCGCCGCTCCGTAGTCAAACCCCGATCCCAACGCCATTTTAGCTCCTCCGCCTCCTCCTTTTATTTTCCGTTTCTGAGAAATCAGGCTGTGACGCTTCTGGTCCTCGCCGATAATGTCCTCGATGCGACGGAAAGCCGTCGGCCAGAGAGTGTCCCGGTGCGCCATTTCGAGCCGAACCACCGTATCTTCCGTTGAATCTGCGGCGGCGATTAGGAGCATCGTGAGGAGACACAAGAGCGCTCTGTTTCTCTTCATTTTCGTCCTCTTCTTATTTTTGCCCCTTTTGGATTCTATTTCTAAATCACAGTATTTATATCACATTGATGACTCCCCCCTTTCTCTCTCTCTTCCTTTTTTTTAATCATATATAGATCTTGATTGTAGTTTTTAGATTGCTTTTTTGGTTTTAGTTTTTCTTTGAAGAATCCATCTTTTTATCCATTTTTGCGATGAAAAACCAAAATAAAAGACCTATTGTTTGGGTTTCTTATAAAATAAGCTACCTACATTTTATTTGCAGTTATTGTTATTAATATCCAAAATCCAAAAAGTCGAAGACTAAAGTCCAATTAATCGAAACCAAAAACAATTTAAACAATGCAAACATTCAGCCTTAATTAATGTTAAAAAAAATCTCTTTAGGAAATGTCACATGTCCACGTACCAGCTTTACGGCGACTATTCATAACGCCTATACGCCTAAACGGAAACAACCTTTAATTGTTCTTTTAACACCTTTATATTTTGAGCGAACCAATAATCTCGGCTAATTTCACTTATCGATTTCTTTTATTTTTCTTGTCTTTAATTTAATGACTCGTATTCTACGATAAAAATACAAAAGTCAAAATTTCAAAAATTTAGCTAATGGTCAACGATGACAGCTATACTGAGACCTGTCCTAAATTATACAGTTTACTCACTTACTTTACGCACAATTATTAACGAATCCTCCGATATTGTATGTTACAATATCCAAGTTGAAATTACATCTATACAATGGTAGTTATTGGTTTATCGGTTAAAGGTGAATGCAGCTACATTTACATTTTAATGAGTGTTTGAATAGAGATATTTTTTTTTAGTCGTAAGTTGTAACCAATGTGTGAATATAAAAGGTTTGAACTAGTGGTCTTGAGTTCACAGGGCTGAAACTGAAGGTAACAATTCAAAGGGAATTAAGGGTAACACTAACCACACAAAAATCGTTTTTGATATGATTGGCCAAATGTGGTAGGTATATGAAATATTAGTATGGAATATGGATGGATCAGACGTGAGGAGAAGAGGCGCAGAGAGTCAAAGTCACAATGGCAATTGAGAGGAAGATATACAGCTGTCACATTGTCACTGGCTGGCTGTTGCACCCTTGGCTTTTTCTAGAAATCTACAAATTTTTATTCGTCGGCTCAAATTTTTAAACTAAAAAACTGTATTAGAAGACAGAGAGAGACACAATACATGACGAACATATAGTCTTGGATTATCCAAATCAAGAGAGATTTTAGCGTGTACACTGTGATGCGTTGAACTCCAATCCAAGCCACACTGTCCCCTGTCCCTTTTTTTTTGTTTGTTTCTGCAGTGATATATTATTTGATATTTGTTCATCAAATTGTATCATAATTATAATCCCATCATATTGTGTACGTAACCGATTAATAATATCATCTCCCATCACTACTATGCATGTGTGTAAAGATAAAACTACAGTGATATACTGATATTTAATTTATTTGTTACTTTATTCATAGGTTTCACCGAACTTCTTAATTAAGACTATGAAAGTCCTAAAAGTGATTAGATAGTAAAAAACCCTAACTGCTCGGAAAAATATGTAACGAACGACAAAGACAGTGGAGGAAAGGAGAATAATTCAAACTGCCAGTTTGCACCTAATAATTATATAATTATAATACGACAAAAACAAAAATTATAACAACCCTAAGGACTTCATGCACGGCCTTACACTGCTACTTGCATTATCTTAATTCATGATATTACAATTGCAGGGAAAAAAAATACATATGTATATGTGTATACATATAGAAATTAGCATGGTCTACCCAACCCCTAGGCTATTCTTTTACCAGTGTAATTTATGCACTTTTAATAAGTTACAGCAATATGTTCGATAAGTTATATGCATGGCAGCGTTCAACTATTCTTTTTTTTTTTCATTTGTCATAATAACTCGACATTGTTGATTAATACAGGGAGACATTACTGGCTTGAAATTTTGTATTGAGTTTTATATTTGCTTTATAAATCACGGGTCTGTTCGGTGATTTAACCCTTTAATATGTGTAGCATATAGTCAAATAGATAACACTTACAAGTAACAAGAACGCGGTTAACCTCTTAGACTTTTATTATGGTAAAACTTATGATTTATCCATGATAAAACTTTATATACATGCATCTTTATAAGTTGAAGGGTCGTTTATATAAGCTGTTGACTATAGTCGAGGGAAACTATTTTAATCTTATTGTTATTAATTATGAGAATTGAGATGGCCAAATGCATTGAGAAGATGATGTAGGATTAAAGGCGGCAAAGGCCGGGTATAAATTCTCTGCCGCAAGTATAGAAAAGCGACTTACCCTAATTGATAATTACAAACAAGTAGCCACATGACGATATTTTATTTGGTCGGTAGTCATTAATTACCATTTCAGGGGGGTTTTAATATGATAAACGTGAAAATGAATAGGCGACGAGCAAAATACAAAACAAACAAATCAGAACTAGAGATGTTGCAATGGGACAAGCGGTTTCCACTCTATTCGTATTGAACTCAAACCTGATCTTGTATGATCTTTATTTGCTAATCTAACGGAACAATCTTTTTTAAAACGATTTGAATTGACTCGCGAACTTACGATCTACATCTTTTCTCACATCCCTTCGGACCAGCTGCTAAAATCGATGTTGCGAATTGTTATTGAACCAATCAGTAGTTAATATGTTACCGCAACAAACTATAACTAGAATTTTTGTTTTTATCTTTTTACGACATCTAGTAATTTTGCTACTTAAAAAACTTCTACAAAATTAAATCAATAAGAAAGAAAAGATATGTTCTAGCATTCGTATACATGAAAAAAACACACTTGTGATCACTGTCATATACAGTATATATATACTTTGTTAGACTAATTAATATTTCAGTCGTTTTTAGAGGGGCGCATTTTAGTTTATGTGTGTGTGGACTGTTGGACGCACGTCATAAGAAGAATGACCGTATTTTGATACTCACTAGACCCTTAATTTGTTAATTACGTACAAAGAGTGTACATATAAACGTATGGTACAAGGAATATGGAAGATATGGTGTGTAATGCTATTATGACATCATCTATGCCCCGCCATTTGCTTGATTTCCGGATCATCTTTCTCATAATTGATTCTTCTTTATTTTTTTGTATTTATCTTTTTGACCTATTCCCAAACACAATTCATATATCTCCAATCCTTCTACTCATCAATTACCTTCTACTTAATCAGTTACCTTCTTTTCCTTCCTCTGTCACTAGGTTTTCAAGTTTTTTTTTTTCCTTTTGTTATTTTTATGTCAATGACATTTTTAAAGAGAAAACAACTAAAATACTGTAGTCTGTAACTTCCTAAAAAAAAAACTATGCATATTCATGTATGTAGCTTAATATTGTCAATGATATTAGAATGGGCCTAAATGGGCTAAACTAAATAAGCCCATGACGTTGATATAGTCAAAATTCATAAAGTAAGCGGTCAAACTCAATACGATATGTTCGAATTTCTCCGGTCGGTCTCTCTCTCTCTCCCGTGGTTCTCGGTTGCTCCGTTAATGGAATCAGAATCGGAGGAGAAGCGCAAATACTCCGCAACTTCTTGTACGAACTCATGGCTTTTTATTCGAAAATCGTTTCAGCGGCTCAACAAGACTTGGACGCCGTCGAGAAAAAACATGTATTGCCATTGGGACATTATATTTTCTCCGTTGTTCAGAGAGAGAGAGAGACCAAGAGGACATACATAGGTGAAGCAGAAGCTGAGGAGAATGTTTGATGACCAGGTTAGCTAGCTTACTGTTGGAAAATCTCTGAGTTTTTTTTTTTATTGTAACTATCTCTTGTTGTTAACAATGTCTGCATTTGTTGACATATGTGTCTGTCAATGAACCAATTTAGGTAATAAGAAATGGTTATAATTTAGACAACAAAAATGAGGGAAGAGAGAGAGGGAGAGGAATAAACGGCAATTTATGCGTTGAGGGATGAGAGGCTAAGAACATTTCCCTCTCTCCATCTCTTTTGCATCTCCTCAAGTCTCCTCCTTTCAAATTTGTCTCTCTCTCTGCTTTCCAGGTTTAGATACTATTAACGGGATAAACCACGTTTACAAAGACAAGGGCAATTAAAGTCCCCTTCTTTCATTTGTGGATTTGAATCTTGGAACATATTAACCTTTTTTTTGTTTAAGAGTTTGAGACTCTTATTCTGGGAACTACATTTATGTCACGGGCATTTAAACATGGTCCGTGTTCTTGATTTCATGAAACCAGTTCTAAGTTTTTCACTTTTTTGTGTGTGTTTATATATTTGTTTCTCTGACGCTTTACAGTCTCTCTTTTTTTTTTGTTGGGTTTCTGGCGGCAGTTTCTTCAGTTTGACATGGTTTAATTCTCCTCAACTTGTCCTTATAAATCAGCAAGGAAGCGTGATCATCTCAGGTAAAAGGGGACTTTTATGTAGCATTTTTTGTGTGTCTTTGAGCAAGCATCTTAATGTGAATGCCATTGATGCCGCAGGTGAGCTCTACTTCATTACCTAAGAATCATTAAATCGACCTGGAGACAAAATGGACTTGGCTCCTAAAAAGAACACAGCTAATGTCACATCCAAGGAGATAGACCCAATCGTAAAATCCAAGTCCCCTCGCGCAAACCATATACAAGTCACTCCATTCTCCCTCAAGCTAGGAGACAATGTTCCCAGGAACCCTCATTTCGATCCCAAGAAGATGGATCCTCTCGTCAGACATCAACCGTCAAAGTCTCCGACCGCAACTAAAGGAACCAACGAGGCTGATTTAAAGCACAACACATATTCCAGCGATGGTGATAGCTTAGCAATGAAGAAAAATGCTCCTAACAAAAATCTTCATTATGATCCCAAGAAGATTGTTCCTGTAACCACACCTGAAGTACACTCCCCAAACGCCACCAGAGCTCTTCACCAACACAGGACAAAGTCCCCAGACAACAAGAAAGCCCCTAGACATAACGCGGAATATGCCTACGGTGATAACATGGTGGGACCATCAGCTACACCTTTCAAGCCTCACACGGGAGGGGACGTGAGGTGGGACGCCATTAACTCAGTCGCTTCAAGAGGCCCTCAAATAGGCCTTGACAACTTCAGGCTTCTAAAACGTCTTGGTTACGGAGACATAGGCAGCGTCTATCTCGCTGACCTGCGAGGGACTAATGCTGTTTTCGCGATGAAGGTGATGGATAAGGCCTCGTTGGCCAGCAGGAACAAGTTACTGAGGGCTCAGACCGAAAGAGAGATTCTTTCCTTACTTGATCATCCCTTCTTGCCTACGCTCTATTCTTACTTTGAGACCGAGAAGTTTTACTGTCTGGTCATGGAGTTCTGCAGCGGCGGAAATCTCCATTCTCTCAGACAGAAGCAGCCCAACAGGCGTTTCACAGAAGAGGCCGCGAGGTGAGAGAGAGAAAAACCTCGTTTTGGAGCTTGGAGAGCTTACTTATTATATATATCCTTTTCTCTGATGAGTTTGTTTTGTTGATAGGTTCTACGCGTCCGAAGTGTTGTTGGCGTTGGAGTATCTACACATGTTGGGGATTGTGTACAGAGACTTGAAGCCAGAGAACATCCTTGTTCGAGACGAAGGCCACATAATGCTCTCTGATTTCGACCTCTCCCTCCGTTGCTCCTTTAATCCAACACTCGTCAAGTCCTCCTCAGTCTGCAGCGGAGGAGGTGCTATCCTCAACGAGGAGTTTGCCGTCAATGGCTGCATGCATCCCTCGGCCTTTCTCCCTCGTCTCCTCCCTTCCAAGAAAACCAGGAAAGCCAAATCTGACTCAGGCCTAGGCGGCCTCTCCATGCCAGAGCTCATGGCAGAGCCAACGGATGTGCGGTCAATGTCCTTTGTAGGCACACACGAGTACCTGGCTCCAGAGATCATACGTGGAGAGGGACACGGCAGTGCTGTGGACTGGTGGACGTTTGGGATCTTCCTCTATGAGCTCCTCCATGGGACAACGCCGTTCAAGGGTAAAGAAAACAGAGCCACGCTGCACAACGTGGTTGGTCAGCCGCTAAAGTTTCCGGATAGCCCTCATGTGAGCTCGGCGGCGCGTGATCTCATCCGTGGACTTCTTGTGAAGGATCCTCACAGAAGGATCGCTTACACGCGTGGAGCCACGGAGATAAAGCAACATCCTTTCTTTGAAGGGGTGAATTGGGCTCTGGTGCGTAGTGCTTCCCCGCCTCACATTCCTGACCCTGTAGACTTGGGACCGTCCAATGCTGCGAGAGGGAAGGCCAAGGGTGGTCATGTTGTTGGTGATCACTGTAACTCTGTTAAGCCGGCTCAGGTCACTTGTGCTACTGGTCCTACTGATGATACGGCTTATATAGATTTTGAGTATTTTTAGAATAATACAGTATTTGCTCCATGCTGAGATATTCTCTAAATTTTTTTTTGTTCATATTCTTAATTTTTTGACGAATACAGATTGTGATTTATCAAGAGGAAAATTGACTTTATTTTTGTTCCCCAAAAAAAGTGACCTCATATGATGATGACTGAAGCTAGAATTGGAAGCTCTAGAGATTGACAAAGTTTAGAGCTTAAACGGAAATTGAAAGGAACATGTGAACCTCTCGTTTAATTCAAATCTCTGCAAATCTCATGTTTAAAGTGTGAGTTTTTTTGTTCATTATTTTAACTAACAGTATCCGAGATCTGTCACAAAAATGCTTTCATCAACCTCTCGTTTAATTCAAAAAAAAAAAAAGAGAATAAAATGCTTTCATTAACCAAATGCTTTAATTGTTGATTGAATTATTTTAAGTAAAATTCCAAAGTTAAGAGTTTAACATCATCAGTTAAGAGTTTTTCAAGAAAAGGTTAAAGCTGCTTTTACGTACGGAAACATTCTGTAATTGAGATACACAAAACATGTCCGAATGATTCTTCGAGTCAATTAAAATGTCCCAAGAGACAACACTCTTGTCAACATAACAGAGCCATTAGTTCCAAATTTCTCGCTGCCCCTTTCTTATCATTATCATCCACCCAAAAAAAACCCATCAAGTTCCTTCCTTTGCAAAGGAGATGTTTAAGCAGTGGCTTGTGCCTCATAACGCCAATGCTCTCTATTTCTCTGTCTCCAACCCCAAATTCAATCTTCTAAGCTCCTCAAAGAAGCCAAATCGTCTCACGTCCTGCGTTCTCAATGTTGGATTCCAAGATATCGCCGAAGTCATCCACAACAAGGTTTCGCCTTTTCTCTTCTTTCTTTTCCCTTTTTGTTTTTGCGGCTATGGATCGTCACTGACGCTTTTGATTTTACCGGCTTGAAGGTTCTCATAGCTGCTGGGGTTTCCGGAGCGATTGGCCAGCTCTCAAAACCCTTCACTTCTGTTGTTTTTTATGGGAAAAAATTGGACTTTAGAGCTGCTTTTCAAGCTGGAGGTTTTCCTTCTACGCATTCATCTGTAAGCTTCTCTTTCTTTCACGTTTTCCTCTGATAGATTGTGTTTGGCTACTACTCTGACATTTTTTGGCGGATTCATGAGGAATCTAGTCTGTAGTGGCTGCAGCAACTGCAATTGCTTTTGAAAGGTGCTTTAGCTTGAACCTTTCTTTTCTAAATTCCTCACCAATATATTCACCCTTATGCATACTTCCTGAGTATACTTTACATGGTTTGGCTCCAGGGGATTTGCTGACTCCATTTTTGGCTTGACTGTGGTTTATGCCGCCCTTATCATGTACGATGCCCAGGTAATTTGCCCTTCTTGCCAAAATTCGAACTTGCCTTCTCGTGCTTGCCTTTTGCATTGTAACAAGTAGGATGTAGAAGGCATCGGTAAATAGTCTTAGAGAAACGCTTTTGACTTGGTTTTGAAGTGAAGTTTCAGCATACCTCTTTAGTATCAATAGATATTTGAGTGTTGAAAATTCTTTTTGCATTATTTCTGATTTTTTATTTTTGAGTCATTGCTTAATGGTATCTTGTCTTATACATCTCATGGATTCTTTTACCATTGCGCAGGGAGTGAGAAGAGAAGCTGGAAAACATGCGAGAGTGTTGAACAAACTAACAGTTAATGCTCGGAAAGTTGAAGAGATGAGTTTAAAGAGGAACAAAGGTAAGGCTTTGCAATCAGACGAGATCAGTGAGGAAGTGTCTCTTCCATTGAAAGAATCAATTGGACATACCGAAGTTGAAGTCATAGCAGGAGCTTTATTCGGTTTCTTTGTTAGCTTCGGCGTTTCTTCCCTCATGTAAATTAAAAGAAGCTCTCAGCTTCATTACCTATATATATGCGTGTTTGTGAGTTGATAAGAAAGAGAATTTGATATTGTGAAAATGCAAATTAAGAGAAACAGTGGAAAAATGTCAAATCAGTTTAATGGATCTGAGAATGTTCTGTTTTTGTTAGAAGGTCCTGAATAAAAAAAGCTCTGAACTTCATAACCTATACATACATATATATATTTATTAGTGAGCTGATCAGAAAGAAAGAGAATTTAATATTGTGGAATTGCAAACTAAAGAGAAACAGTTGAAAAAATGTCAAATCAGTGTTTCGGATCTGAGAATTGTTGTGTGTTTTTTTTGTTGTTAGCTTAGTTGCTTTGCTTAGAACAATAAAGTTAACCCCACAGAAACCACCCAAAAAGTACAAAGCCCCTCTCTTTAGGGTTTCTTATTCCCTTAAAAATCGGATGGCACATCGTCATCAATTGTTCAGCTACGCCCTTCAACCTTCTTACGCTGCCGCCTCTGCCGTTTCTCCCGCGCCGCCGGCGCCGCAACCGCAGCCGCAACTTCAACCGCAGCCGAAGATCGGTCTTTCTTCTCTCTACGGTTCCTCTGCTGCTGACCATTACTTCCCCGATACCAATTTTCGCTTCTTACCTCGCGACGGATCCGAAGCTTTGAGCAACTATTCCTCTTCTCTAGGAACCCTTACATCGTCTTCCGCTATGTACCATCATCTCCCCAATACGACGACCACGCATTTGGCGTATCCGCAGCTGATTCAGCAGCATCAGGAAGCTTGGCCGCCTGGCGTGGAGGTTCCTGTAGCTGCTTCCGCCGTCGAGCCTCTTCCTCCTGGTGTTAAACGCACCTCTGAAGGTTTGTCCTTTTTTTCCTTACTATTCTGAGATCTGTCTCTGCATCATTTTATTGCTTGTAAACTTTGCGGTTACGAGTTGAAAGCCTTAAAGCCTTCAGCTTTCCGTTTTCTCTGCTCATCATGGTTCTCCTGTTCAGTCGCGGAAATTACTGTGTTGTTGGTTTCTTCAATTGCAGCATTAAAAAACAAACAAAAAAGCTTAAAAAACACAGCTTTAATCATGAACTCTAGATTGATATTCTAGGATAGATCTTGATTTACATTTGCATAACGATGTGGGTTTGTGCTCCCCTGTACTTTCCTTAGCTGAAATTGAGGTTGAATTGGCTTTGTTTTTGTATTGGGACACCACTAAGCTTAGAAGTTAGAATCATCTCTAAGGAGATGCTTAAGTATACAGATCGAGAATTTCATCTTTAATGTATATTAATTATCATAATGTTCTTGATTAGTCTTTGTTGCTTTAGAAGCTCACAGAGACAGTTACTTTTTGTATCCTTAAGTTAGTTGACCACACAATATAAGGTGACTTGCCAGTTTGATTGATTATGTTTTCTTGCAACTCTATGGTTTCCAATAAACATTTCGAAAAAGATTGTTGTAAGACATAATTTCTTTCTGTAAGTCTAAGTAAAGATAGTATTGAGGCTATATTTGTGTTCTACTGCTATATCCTATATTTATCACCCCCAAATTTATTTTCAAGAGATAAATATACAGCTTATATATCTATCTTCTCATTTTGTTGTATATTATTGTTTATTATGTAATATAGCGCTCTACTATCCGACTCTATTGGGTGCCCATAATACAATTGGTCAAACCGAAGCTTGGTATACTACAGACTATTTTACCAAGCGCCTTAAGTTGGAGAGTACGAGCCATTTGCCTGTATATCCACAGAGGCCAGGGGAGAAGGATTGTACCCACTATATGCAAACAAGAACATGTAAATTTGGAGAAAGCTGCAAATTTGATCATCCTATTTGGGTTCCTGAGGGCGGAATCCCAGATTGGAAAGAGGTGATCGTTTACTACTACCTAAGTATTTGTTGCTGCCTTATTATGAAATTTTACATTATAAGTATTTCTACTTTATTTGTTTTGTACACCGAGAGTTTGTGCCTAATTACTATTTTTGACTATACGTATTGTTTTTGCTTGGTGTCTAGAGTCTTAATCTTACTACTTTATTATGAAATTTTAGGCACGATATTTAGTATCTTGATAGTGTTTCAAGAATTCAGTTTCCTGTCTTCTGCGACCGTGTTTGTTGTTCTTGCATTACCCTTTGTTAGATCGTTCCTTGACTCGGAAGAGACATTACGCTCATTGTCTAGGTATTCCAGGATAAGATGATAAATCGTGTTTTCTTATGAACATCTTTTCATTCAGGCACCACTTGTTCCAAACGATGATTACCCTGAGAGACCAGGAGAACCAGATTGTCCAGTAAGCTGTTTCTGGAAACTTGTCTCGCTATTTTAATTCTGTTTTCCCTGCTGGGAAGGATCTGACTCTTTTTTCCACTGCTGGGCAGTACTATATAAAAACACAACGTTGCAAATATGGTTTAAGGTGCAAGTTTAATCATCCGAGAGCAGCGGCTGCAGTAAGTCTTTTTTCCATTTCCGTTTAAAACTATGACTCTTGGACTGTGCATTCACATTGATGCTGTTCTGTATATCAGGTTAGTGTTGAAAATCAAGATTCATTACCTGAGAGACCGTCTGAGCCACCGTGCACTGTAAGATATACACATATAGACACATATCCCTAATCGTTGTATTTAATATCTCTTACATATTTTAGCAATGATTAATATTTAGCAATGTTTCTACTATGCTACAGTTTTACATGAAGACTGGAAAATGTAAATTTGGTTTAACATGCAAGTTCCACCACCCAAAGGATATCCAGCTACCATCATCTAGTCAGGAAATGGGTACTAGTGAGGCGTTAACCAGTGATCCTGATGCCACCAACAATCCTCATGTGACATTTACCGCAGCGTTATATCATAACTCGAAAGGACTACCTGTTAGACCGGTAATGGGCTCAGCTTCAGGTTCCATAAGATTGACATATTATCTTTTAGGCAGAATTGGTGAACTTCGTATCTAGTTACTATACGTAGAAATGCTTAAGATTGTTTGTTAGCATTGTATACCTGCCTTTTCTGTCATCTAAGAATGAAGTTTCACTAATTAGATTGTAGCTTTTACAGGGTGAAGTGGACTGCCCGTTCTATCTTAAAACCGGAAGGTGAATATCAAATACAAATTCGCTGGTTACCACCTTGAAAAGAAAAAGAAAAAAAGTGACATTAACGTTCTGATTTGTTTTCCCTTTTCACGATCAGCTGCAAGTATGGCGCCACTTGTCGCTACAATCACCCGGAGAGGACTGGTTTGTGAGATTGTCAATATTTTGGTTCTTAGAATCTATAATGTTACCACTTTCACTTCTTAGAATCTTGACGGTATCGTATGTGCCTCTTGCTGTTTTGATTTCGGGCACAGCATTCACTCCTCAGGCTGCTGGGATAAATTATCCTCTAGTCTCCTCGACCGCTGCGAGTGTAAACCTTGGGTTGGTTAACTCAGCTGCCTCCCTCTATCAGACTCTTGCTCAACCCACGGTAAATGCCTTCAATCATGTTGTGGGAAATATTCAGTTTCTAGAGCCCGTTTAATTAAAGTGGAACTTGTTGCAGCTTGGAGCGCTTTCAGCAATCTATCCCCAAAGACCTGGACAGTCAGAATGTGACGTGAGTATTTTCTTGTGTTTTTGAGATTGTTGACATGCTAGTTGGACTTTAACGAAAAGCTCTATCTTTCAATATTATAGTACTACATGAAGACAGGGGAGTGCAAGTTTGGAGAGAGATGCAGGTTCCATCACCCAGCAGATAGGTTAAATGCAACGACCAAACAAGCTTCTCAACAACCGAATGTTAAGTTGAGTCTTGCAGGGTATCCCAGAAGAGAGGTACGTACAAAACGTTGATTATAGAACCCTGCTTTGCTTGTATTATTGAGTTTGTGTGCTTAACAATGGACTAAACAAAAAAGAAAAAAACTGTTGCAGGGTGCGCTTAATTGCCCGTATTACATGAAGACAGGGACTTGCAAGTACGGGGCAACATGTAAGTTTGACCATCCTGCTCCAGGTGAGGTGATGGCTAAAACCAGTTCAGAAGCCGATGCTGGTGGAGGAGCTGACACTAATCAATGAGCAGGGCTGTGTCTATCTATGTTATGTATTGTGGTGAAACATTGGCCTAGGGCCTAATTTTAATAAAATACTCTTAAAAGTTTGTTTTTTTCACAAAATATATTATATGATAATTTGAAGCTCACATGTATATTGTTGAAGTTTCAAAGAGAGATTTTTTTTCAAAAAAAAAAATTCTAATTAAGTTCTATCAGCACCCTTTAGGATGTTGATGGCAATTATCAGTAAACTCCAACCAGATTAATATTGAACAAATCATAAAACAGTGTGTGAGAGAGAAAGAAGCCGATTCTATGCTTCTTCAGCAAGAAACATGTCGGTGCTAACAGCTAAAATCGAAGGTGGGTCCAAATTTTGTTTGGTAGCATTTGTTCTCTTTATAAGCTGAAGAAGATGAGAACATCAAACAGAGGCAAAGAAGAGTAAATGGACTTCTCTCTGATTCGACTGTTTTTGATGATGAAACATGTGAATACCTCTATTAGTGACAAAAGGACAAACGATCAAAGTAGCAAAAGAAGGGACTCACAAAAGTTTGATACCTTTTTGATTGGTTTTAAAATTGGGCGCACAGTTTCCGACATATATATCTATCAAAGACTCTTTTGGGCCTATCTTTATGCAACCTTCCACATAATCACAAACCCTAAGATTCCAATTTAATTTGAACCTACAAAAGCGTAACAGAAAATAAAATACAATTTTGACCATGATATTGAAAAATCTACCGTCTTATTCCCTTTATACTACGGGTCAAAGCCAATATCTGTATTATCTCAACTCTGAAGATTAAAAATTTAAAATCTAAGCAATAATTGTTAAAAACACGATATTTTTTTTTCTATTTTTTGGGGGTTTAAATAAGAGGGAGGGTCACGCAGGTTATATAGCTTATAAGCCGCCGCCTAGAAAATCCAGAAAGGCCATTTTGTTCGACGAAGGTAGGATTCGGCATTTCTTCTTCTCACTTTCTTGTTTTTGACTCATACCCAACCATCTCCTCTTTCGCAGCAATAAATTAATGATATTTGTGCTTACCGTGTTCTGTTCTTGATGATTTAGGTGAAGAAGAAGAAGAAGCAGAGAGACAAACAAAAAAAATGAAGTACGTATTGGTGACAGGAGGAGTGGTGAGTGGACTTGGGAAGGGAGTCACTGCAAGTAGCATTGGACTTCTCCTTCAAGCCTGTGGTCTTCGTGTTACCTCTATTAAGATTGGTGAGATTAATTTACATGTGTTCTTTGACTCTTGATTGCATGTAACGACCAAGAAAGGCTCCTTTTTTCTATACAAGGACTTGTATTACGCTGCCAATTTGAATTAGTTTTGTAGCAATGATGAAACTTTCTTCACTGGTTCTTTGTTAAAGTTTGTTTTTTTTGTTTGGTTCTGGCATCGGTTCCTAGCTATATGATCATTTACATACTTTACGTAGATCCTTATCTTAATACTGATGCTGGAACAATGTCTCCGTTTGAGCATGGAGAAGTATTTGTATTGGATGATGGTGGAGAGGTATGTTATCTGGTGATTGATTATGTCGTGTTATTGCTCCTCAGACTGATGCATTTGTGTATCTAACCGGTGAAACATTTAGGTGGACTTGGACCTTGGAAACTATGAGCGATTTTTAGACAGTACACTGACCCGTGACAACAATATAACAACCGGAAAGATATACCAGGTATCTCTACTACCTCAATACTTATCTCATAATATCATAATAAAACCAGGTTACAATTTTTTACCCTTGTTCTTGCAGTCAGTCATTGACAAGGAAAGGAAAGGGGACTACCTTGGAAGAACTGTACAGGTCCTTACATTATCTACTTGTGCTCTTTACTCTCCTATTGTTCTAACTTGATTGAGTGTTTTAACAAAGTTTTAACTTTTTTCTTAAGGTGGTTCCGCATATTACTGATGCAATCCAAGAGTGGATTGAGCGAGTAGCTAACGTTCCCGTGGATGGAAAGGAAGGTCCTCCTGATGTCTGTGTGATCGAATTAGGCGGGACTATAGGTACTGTTTGTTTGCTTATATTAATTTTCCTGACGATATCTCAGAGAAGTGGCTTTTATTTATTTATGTTCTTTGCAGGTGATATTGAATCTATGCCCTTCATCGAGGCCCTTGGTCAATTCTCGTATAAAGTTGGTGAGCTGTGCTCTAAATTGATAGTTAACTTGGGGAGTTCCAGTAATTTTTGTAGGCCATTAATTATCGGCTTCATCACCTTCTGTCTTTTTTCTTTTCTTAGGACCTGGTAATTTCTGCTTGGTTCATGTGAGCCTTGTGCCTGTTCTCAGTGTTGTTGGTGAACAGGTAATTTCCTGTGGTTTAAATATCTTCCATGGCGGGTCTATTATATAATTCGTAACAGTTGAGGTATCAACATCTGTGTTACAGAAGACAAAGCCAACCCAGCATAGTGTGCGAGGACTCAGGAGCCTTGGTTTGACACCAAATATCCTAGCATGTCGCAGCACGAAGGTAATGGTCTCCAGTTTTTCATTTGTTTTCCTATTAGCCATGGATTTTTGTTTTTCATCTTATTAGCTCTTGTTTTTTAACAGGCACTTGAGGACAATGTGAAGACAAAACTATCTCAATTTTGCCATGTGCCGGTATTTGTTGTTAATTCTTTTTCTTTTTAATTTAACCTCTTAAAACACCGAGGTTGTCTCTCATTAAAAGATCCGTGTCCAAGTAAAAATTCTGTCTGCTTTGCCGTGGTTTCCTAGGAAGAGAATATCGTAACGCTCTATGACGTTCCAAATATCTGGCACGTTCCGCTGCTTTTAAGGGTACGTAAATTTCGATTGAATAGTTTCAAACCCTACTAACTAAATCAACGAAGCTTGTTTTATGGTGACTTTTTGTTCTACTTATTCTTTTGGTGTTAACTTTTCTTCAAAAGGATCAAAAGGCGCATGAAGCAATCTTAAAAGAGTTGAACCTCGTTGGGTTTGTCTCTGGACCATCTTTTTGTTTTCCCTTGCCTATAAGTTTTACTTTGCTCTAGGTTCCACACTTTAGCTTGTCTGTGATGACTTTTTTTCTAATAATTGACATTTGCTTCTTCTGCAGCAAAGCTGTAGAGGCAGACTTGGCAGAATGGACTGCAAGAACTAAAATTTATGATACGCTGCAAGATCCTGTTAGTCAACTTTTTCTAAATATCTGTTTTTTTTATGCCACGGTGTTTATATAATGGATCCATGGGCCATCGTTCATTCTCAATGGTCTTCTCTTTCAGGTTAGAATTGCTATGGTTGGAAAGTACACTGGCCTTACTGATTCTTACCTTTCCGTGTTGAAGGTAACTGGTTCTCTGTGGTCTTGAACAAACATAATATAGTTATGCTTTTGAAGCCCAAAGTTTAGTTTATGCCTAATTTCCTTAACAACCGGGTGTATTGAGGTTTCTGAAAACTGGGACTTCTGTCTGCAGGCCCTTTTGCATGCTTCTGTTGCATGTCACAAGAAGCTTGTGGTAGAGTGGGTTGCAGCCAGTGACCTCGAAGAAATTACAGCACAAGAAGTGAGTCTGGTCTTCGTTTCTCTAAGAGTCTCAGTGTACGACAATTTTTTTTAATCTCATGAGCCTTTATACTACTTGCCATTGCAGGCGCCAGATGTCCATAAAGCTGCATGGGATCTTTTGAAGGTAGGTCAATTTTAATGGGAGCCTGGCACACCAAATCAGTAATTATGTTCCACTCAACATTTTGCTTGTTACAGGGTGCTGATGGTATTCTAGTACCAGGAGGTTTTGGTGATAGAGGAGTGCAAGGAAAGATACTTGCTACAAAGTATGCCCGTGAAAATAAAGTCCCTTTCCTTGGCATTTGCCTGGGAATGCAGCTGGCTGTTGTTGAATTTGCCCGTTCCATTCTTGGTTTTGATGATGCAAACAGCACAGAGTTTGAACCAGAAACTTCAAGCCCTTGCGTGATATTTATGCCAGAAGTACTAGACCATATATCCTCTCCTTTGACTGATTACATGTTTTCAATTTCTTGAGTGTCTTTTTAAATTTGTACAATGTATTTTTTAGGGATCCACAACTCATATGGGGGGCACAATGCGCTTAGGGTCAAGGAGGACTCACTTTCAGGTTGCTGATTGCAAGTCTGCCAAGTTGTAAGCACATAACTCGTTTAAGATACGTGGAACATGATAACGCGTATAATTCATTTCCAAAGCCAGTTTAACTTCTGATCTCTATATTTAGGTACGGTAACGCAAAGTTTGTTGATGAGCGACACCGGCACAGATATGAGGTAATATTTTACGCTACAAATGGAGCTTTTTCAATCTTACTCAGTCTTTTCCTTGAGCTCTCTCGCGAGGCGTTGAAAGTGAAATATATGAAAATTTTTTGCAGGTAAATCCAGATATGATATCAGAAATTGAGAATGCTGGGCTCTCATTTGTTGGGAAGGATGAGACTGGGCGTCGTATGGAGGTAATATGGTCGTGGAAAACCTGTTTAATATGTGACTCGCTGTGAGCTTTGGGACAGTATATGAGTGATTTGGTGATGTTGTGTTTCATTGTCTGCTGGTTTGATGTACAGATTGTAGAACTACCAACTCATCCATACTTTGTGGGCGTTCAGTTCCATCCTGAATTTAAGTCCAGACCTGGAAAACCTTCTGCATTGTTTCTAGGTAATTTCTTGGTTATATAACATAATAGCAAGAACTTGTGTATCATATGATGGTTTGTGGCTTACTGAGAAACAATTTGATACAACAGGTCTTATAGCAGCAGCGTCTGGATGTCTAGAATCAGTTCTGCAAACAGGTGGCAAGGTGATCAAAGCTTCGACGAATGGAGTGGCCAATGGAACATCAACGGGGAAAGTTTACCAGAACGGCAATATGTATAGCAATGGAAACGGGTTTCACCACTGACTCAAGAAGGGAACAACAATGTTACTGCATTTTAGAGCTTTCTTGCTTTCCTTTTTAATGTTTTCCTTTGATCAAAGCCAGTCTCCATGTATAGCCCCTGAGGTTTGTTTCCTTGTCTTGAAGACTTGTTGTTGGGTTTTGTTTAGGTTTTGGGGAGAGACGTGGATGTGAATGTGCTTCCTGTTTTTGGGGTGCTTTTTGTCTTTCGTAGGTAATAGTAATAAAGATTTCCTAATCTAGTTATCTAGTAATATATGTAGCAGCTTCTTTGTGTCTTTAATGTTCATGTTTTGCAACCAAACAAGGTGGCATCGTTGAGTTAGCAAGGAAACTTTGCAGTTTATGTGTTTTGGTAACCCAGTTGGTATCTTCCACAACCGTAGTTTAAGATCGTATCCAAGATTCCAAATAAAAAAAAAGAACTTTGTGTAACAATTTTCTCCATCTTTATTGCCTCGGTTACTTAATCGTTCCTTAGAAGTTTGATGTTTTTCCGATAAAACTTGTCAAACTTGGCTCCTTCTAGTGTTCTTGTTAAAACAGTTAAATCCTTTTGCCGCCAATTCTCTGCCTTTTTTTTTTTGTTGGCTCATCAAAATTGAAGGAATAAGTAAATGACTCGTCTAGTATGGAGATTTTGTTTCCTTTAGTTTGGTGGATTGGGTCAAAATTGAAAGAGTGAGCCCAGGAAACCGAAAATGGGTGGGTCTTTCTCATAAGTCAAACCAATTCTAAATCCATTCAATAAAAAAACCCTAATTACGTTCTCTCCACTGAATTTTATTTTTATTTTGGGTTTAATTCTCTCCATCGAATTCAAAGCGAAAACGATGATGATCTCTCGTCGATTGGCTTCCAAATTCCTTGAACCCTTGTCTTCTTCATCCCTCCACGTCTCCCGCCATCATCTCCATTCCTCTTCTCCCATTTCTACCTTAAGAAGTCATCTGATCCACGGATCAGAAATTCAGGAGCTGCGTCTCTTAAGATCCTTCTCTGCTCTCGTCACCAATCCCAATACCGAGAAGCTTCGATCTGAAACATGGTCAACGAGGTATTTCTCGACACCGAGCGGAGATGTCGAGCAGAAGCCAGAGGAGTCGAAGCCAGAGGAGCCGAAGATGAAGCACCAGGAGATCGAAGGACCGACGGTGGAACGCGACGTGTCGGCGCTAGGAAATGAGACGAGACAAGTATTTGAAGGGATGATGAAGAATATGTACAGTCTAAGTGGAGCTATGGGTCTTCTAGGTCTAATACAACTTGTCCTTGGAGGGACGATTCTATACGCGACTCGATCAGATCCGATGCATGAAATGACAATTCAGAGCTGTATAGCGTTCGGATTCCCGTTCGCCATGGCGTTGATGATGAGACGATCGTTGAAGCCAATGTATTTCTTCAAGAAGATGGAGGAAGTTGGTAGGTTGCAGATTCTGACTTTGACGCTTCAGGTTGCTAAGAATCTCAATTTGTTGTTCGTTAGGGCTCGTGTTGTTTCTATCTTGTGCGTTGGTGGCTTGTGTTGCGGAAATTTGTACCTCTTGTTATCCCCATGAAAATGGAACAGAGCTTCTTCAAAATACAATTTTTTATATATTTTTTTTTTCTTTAATAATCCCATACAAAAAGAAGAAGACAGAAACATAAATGTCATCAATAAGAAGGAATATAAGTATCATCAAGTTTGGAGTATGATTATAGAGAAATAACAAAAAAAAAAATCCGCTAAGGCAGATAACATAGCTCATCTTCCTCTTTTTTTTTTCCTAGGCTCTTCTTGCTTCTTATTTTTTATCTATCCAATAGTTGCATTTCCGTCTGATTTTGATTCTGGTCGAACGTAAGTCAGACTACGAGCTACAATGTTGTTGTTTCCGGTCTCAGCTGAATCGCGCTTCCATTGCATGCTCCTGGCTCCAGCTCTAACAACAGAACGACCCCTAAATGCACCACCATGGATACCTCTTCGATATGAGGGGGCTCTTGTGAATCTTCCAGCTCGAGACCATGTCATGCTCGACGCTGCCTCTTGTTGTTGCCCATTGCTTCCTTTCACAATCTGAATCCATCAGCAAAATAAACACAACTTATTTTGATGCAATCCATATTCAACTAATATTGTAACCTTGTCTAATAGTTGCACTTTGTAAACAGAGATGAACACTGGTTTTGATATTAACCTTGAGAATGCGAGTCATGAAAGAGGTCCCGTCCAGAGACAATGCATTCTCTGCAGCTTCCTTGCGCGTGAACTCGATATATGCTGATCTGCAAAAGGCGAACAATTTTGGTCACTACTCACTAAGGTGTCTCCGGTAACTGACCTGTGCATGACACATATCAAGACAATTTACTCTAGGGTAGTGAATTCAGAAAACTTACCCACTTGGTTGCCCTGTAGCTGGATCTGTAACTATGACAGCTTTAAGCACTTCACCAAACTTGTTGAAATGCCTTGAAAGGCTATCCTTGGTGGCACCAAAATGAACCTATTACCAACCACATTCAAATCAATACACAACCAAGTATTCCCAGATTCAGGTGTATTTAAACATTGATAATTATTACATTGGCCACAAAGATTGTTCGGGAACTAGCATCTTCCAAAGGGCGGCTAGTGGGTGATGTCCCTGCAAATGCACAAGAATTAATTTAACAACTCACCAGGAACAGATTTCTTACAAAGCTTAGACTGATATAATTTAACAACTCACCAGGAACAGATTTCTTATTCGTTGAATCATCTTTCACATCAGCAGCAGTTTTTATCTGTCAAAGAAAAACAAGCCAAAATCATCGCAACATAGCCATTTGTGGTAGGACATTAACAAAAAAATCCAGGATATTGTATATTTAATAACCAGCAAATTGTGGAAGAAGACTATCATTGAAATAGCTAGTACGAGAATGCATCTGAAACATGGAACTTACATTTCCATTCCCTACTGTGTCACCCCAGATTTTCTCCGTTGATGATTGCGTGATAGCTTCCCTAGAAACTAATCTGCCTCCGTCCAAAAATCTATGCAGACCCACATCTGGTACTTTCATCTGCTCCTCTAACTTTCTTGTTCTCCCTGAATCTACGTGGCCAGAGAAACTTGCAGTCTTATGCCTGGTTGCATCTTCAGTAAGGTGATTTTGATAATTCGTCCCTTTAACTCTTTCGGGGTCATCGACTAAACGATGCTGCAGACTTCTTGGATTGTTAATTCTGTTCCCAAGAAAAGTACTTGGGTGAGACACATTAACACTTGAGCCAAGTCTGCTTTGATCAGACGAAAAATTTGGCTGCAAGCCACTGTCAAAAGTTGTCATCTTCTCAGCGTACACACCATTGTTGTGAAGACTGTTCGTGTATTGATGCTGCGCTGGTTCCTGATCTTCGCTAAAATTCCTACAACTTTTCTTCTCAGCAGAAACCTCACTAGGCACCATATGTTGGTCCAGGGTCTCAGAAAAACCAGTAGAATGACTTATTCTGTCAAAGACACTTCTCCCAGATTTTGGTTTTTTGGCATCTTCAGCCGCTTCGGCGACAGCTTTAATTACAGTGGCCATGGGATTCACAACAGATCGAATTTTCCGAGCTGGGTTGGGGTCAGATGAGTCTTCAGTAGATGCGGACACCACTGAACGAAGACGTTTTAATGAGGGTTCGGTCGAACTATTTGGCGGCTTTGATGTAGCCAGAGCGTCTCGCACAGCAGACTGAAGCAGCCGGCGAGAGACATCAGGTTTCGCCTCCCTCTATCAAAGAAATCAAAGAAACAAAATCAGAACCAGTATCCGCACATTAGCTTTACATCAAGACAGCCATTAGAAGATTGGCAAAGGGCAACCCAATAACATAAAGTTAAGACTAATTGAGGTCGTCTCACAAAGTTAGCCCCTTATAAAGAAGAACGCAAAGATACCCTTTAGCCCAAATTTTACTCCGAGAACCTCTTCACCATAAGATATGACATTCCACCCAGTGAACTATTTGAGCATATTTTTTCAACTTTCTAATCCAAGTCTAACGATGATGAAACAATACAAAATACAGACCTTCTCATTCCGCGAGTCGTCAGTTCTGATTCTTTTCCCGCGGGATTCAGACTGTGGAGATGGAGACCTTCTATGATGTCTTTGTTTGTGATCTTTCTTCTTGTAGTTATCAATTTTGTGAACCTCGGAACTCAGAAGAGGAGGAATGTCATGAGCATTATTTGGCTGGCTTCTCCATTGTCTACTGCGGCGAGCACCGTGTAATTTATCAGATCGTCCCTTTTCAGATTCCGAATCCAGTTTCACAAGTGCTTTATCCTCATTCTCACTGCTTACCAAATGAGAACCAAAATATTCATCCAGACTTTCCGCCAGATGATCCCACAACCTGCAAATATCCTCCTAGTGAGTTTGAATTTCTTCAATAAGAGCAACAAACTTTGCTTCACAAAGGTAAGAAACATTTAAATACCAGGCCACAAAAGAGTCGCTATCATCTGCAAGAAATATTTTCAATTCATTCTTCGCTTCCTCTTTCCGTCTCCCGTTTTTAAGCAAGACTATAACATATTCCTGCAAGCAAAATACTTTAGTGTCATTTGAATTCAAATGAGACTTCTCAGCATCACGAGAGCATTAAGTCGTACACTAAAACTCAAAATACTTTAGTGTAACATTACCAACCCCATAAAGCGCATATCAAATTCACACTCAATCGATTCCAAAATTTCAGAAAAGAATCGAGGGATTAAACCACAATGAGGAAATCGTACCACGAGAGTGTCATCGGTATAATTTCCCATGTACTCCTTGAGTTTAACCTTCACCCTCTCTTTCAACTTCGCAACTCCTTCCTCACTGATATTACCATTGAAGGTCCGATCATCGACCGAATCGGCGCTCCCCATCTCCACCGAAAACTTCCCTAGCGAGATTATATCAAAACCTAACTCGACGCCGCAATGACAGAACAGAAAACAACAAAGCAATCTATTTCTTTTCACGACATCTAAACCCTAAACCTACGCGCGATTCAATTCGAAGAACTGAGAGATTCTACAAACTCCAGCTGTGGGGTGCGGTGCTGCTAGGGTCTGTTTCTCTGTCGGAGAAATCGAAAGAGCACCCCGCTCGATTTCTGATGATTATATCCAAGGGTTTCGGTTCGATTGACGGGACGAATTAGATGAGATATTATACACCGGGGAAAAAAAAAGAAAAATTAGGTGTCTCTGTAAAATGTTTTATTTATAGACATCACGAAATGAAGGAGTTTCGTAATGGGTTTGGGCTAAAATGTATTAGGTCTTCGGACTTGGAAATTTTTTTTTTTCTTTTTTCGGGTTTGGCGAACAATATTGTCAGTACTAGAATAGTAGTTTTTACCTCCTGTTAAAAAGTACAATAGTAGTTTTATCTTCTGTTAAATCACCAAGTTGCATGATACTGTAGTCTGTTTTTTTGAAAAATCCCATGGTATTGCATTGCATAAATATATTTTCCAATTAAGTTTGACCAAAACATTTATAAGAAAAACATGCAGTTTTCAACTTGAAGAAGTTTCATTGCTCAAGTTGTACAACATTCCACCAATTGACTACTCTCCTCTCATTCCCAGTTGATGTTTGACATTTAAACTAATCGTCTGTAATTGCATTATTTCTTGGATAAAAGACGAGGCCAGAGAAAAAAAAAAAGTCTTTTCGAATGTCTAGTAGACTATACGTTTACTACTCATTTAATTCATTGTGTGCCATAATAATAGTTGCATTAGTTATAACTCTTCTTCTTTCTTTTTTTCCTTGTTCACGAGATCTAATCACATGATATTGCATCACATGAATTATGAATATAACAAGTTACTAATGGAATATAATATTCTACGTAAGCAGTTGTTGGGGTATGTTAGCCATTTTAAATTTGCAAAGATGTTTCGGATGCTTTGAAAATATCTAACAAAAAAAGAAAAAAAAATTAGAATGCGTAAAATCTTTTTGTTATATAATTAAAAAAAACAGTCGAACTTAAAATAATCCATACAACTCGAACACGTTATTGGCCGGCTCTTTTATACGCCAAGCAAACTTGTCGAGAGAAAATGGGTTGTGAGTTGTGACGCACAATGGACTAGTAATATAACATCGTGATAAGTACAGCTAATCTTCTACCACACGAAACCAGAGACACGTCTCCTGAAATTACCAAACCACCCTTCATTTCTACCGAATCTACATACCACTCGGAAAAACTTGGTTGTCTTTGATGATCGCGAAGATCACGCCCGAAGCAAATTCATGAATCCGTAAAGACACAAATAATAATCATTCACTAATATAATTCAAGAGAAGAAAAAAAAAAAAAAGCTAATAAAAATAAGAAATTGCGGTTCAGATTTTTTTAATCGAGCAGAGACTGTCTCTGATCATCGTTACAAACACAGCACCCAAATCGATGTCTCCGAGCAAATCTCTCTTAAACGATTTTCCCGATCTTTACAGATCGAGCTTGAACCACCACAAGTTTTGAGATTCCTTTCTTTTTCTCCCGATTTTGAATAACTTAAACTTTGACCATCTTCGCCGCCTTGACGACCGGGTTTTCCCGAGCGATCGCCTCGCGACCGGCGGTTTTGTAGTCGTAGCTGCAGTCGTGGCGATCTGAGTAACGGTGCTCGGCGCAGAAAAGATCACCGCATCGGCACCTAAATCCGGTCAACCCAACCTTCTTCCGGCAACCAGAACATCGGTTTACGGTCTGTTGATCTCTCTTAACCGGGTCGATCTCCCTGCTACGAATTACTACTTTGGCTGGTGTCGACCGAAGATTGACGGATCTCGCCGATCTCTTCAACATCGAACCGGATTCAACACCTGCGGCGGCGACGGAGGCGTTGAAACATTTCTGACACATGTTGTTGGTTGCCGGATTCGCTGTGACGCCGCAGTTATTGGAGCAGAGCGTCGGTGTGGTCGTCGTCGTCGCCAAGGATTCGAGCACCTTGACCTCCGTCTCTTCCTTCTCCGTTCTCTGCGCCATCTATTATTTGATTTTCTTCCTTCGGCGAGCTTGATTGAGAAGAAAGAGAAAGAGAGAAAGAGAGAAAAGGGAGAGGAAATCGATAGAATATGGGCCTCATAGAGACGCGTTTCCAACTCTTATCATCTCTCTCCACCACCCCCTACTTTCCGTCTTCCGTTTGTAATTACGTGAATACCCTCTCCACTTTCGCCGAATTACAAGAGGATTAAATATTGCATTTCAATGATTCTAGAATGCCTTATGACACCATACCATACAGCGGACAATATGTGTTCTCTCTTTCATATCTTCTTTTTCTTTTAGCTACCTTATATTGTTTATTATTATCATTTTTTATAACTGAGAGCGATCTGATGGGGGAGAGGAAAACCAAGAGGATATGGGCCAAGTTGGTTTATAAATGTATCTCACCTCTCCCAAAAAAATATAAAATAACTCACGCTGCTCTCTCTCTCTCTCTTTTTGAACTGAGATATAATATAATAATTATGTGGTATATGACATAGAAAAAAAAACGTATAAAAACTTGATGGAATTGTGTTTCAAAAGTCTCCTGTGGGCTAAAGTGAACATGTCTACCCACGTGATTAATCGGGTGATATTTACTTCTGAAGCGTTTGTTTTTGTAGTAAACAGGCCCATTGCTAACTAAAAATGAACCAAAACAGTATAGTGTTCTCGATCATCACCAGAGAAGAACAAAACATCCTCATGCATTTAGAGGTGTTGGCTGCATGCATGTATTTTTTTTAGGACAATGTTAGAGTTTTATTTCAGATAATAAAAACTAATTAGAAAAAAGAGACTATGCAGGTAAATACTGTCAGTCTGTCACGTAAAACGACATGTGAGGGTCTACGACTCTGCGTACAACATGCCAATTTGCAGATAATATGTTGTTTATATGTACTTTAAAAAAATATGTTTATACGCATAAATTAAAGATATATGTTTGCATTATGCTCTGAGGCTTCATGGCTGAAATAAAGGCGGTGACATGGGCAAATGGTTTGCGTGAAAGTGTTAGAACCTCAAATCTCAATGGTCTTAATTTCCCGACCACATCGACGCATAAATGGATTGTGTTGCGCAAGTGAAAAATTCGAATTGAATTCCAAACTAAACTTCTATACATGTGAAATAATTATAGTATGTTGCTGTTAGTTAATCCATGTTTAGTATTTGAATTATGATTTATTACAAACTTGATCTTTGAAAATTAAAAAAATTAATGTATTACTACAGTAGTATTTTAGTTTAGTACCTGGTATTTAATTATTTAATTAATCTTGAAAAATGGAGAAACGTTGCTAAATTTGGGAGAAAAAGCTGCCTAAAACGTCGGGTTGTTTCTGAGGTCAATGCCTAAACAGCTAAACTCGAAAGCAAATGAAAAAATAAGGTATCAGCGAATAGAAATAAAGGAATACAAAAATTCAAAATTAAAAGAGAGAAAAAATTCAGAGAAATCGAACCCCCAAATATGGAATTCTGACAGAGTCGCTGCTTAGATTTGTTTTTTTGTCATCTCTCTTCCATCTTTTCTCTTGTAATCCAACCGGAGTTACGATTCCCCCTCTCATCGTAACTCCTCGAAACAATCTGCTTCCGATCTCGATCCCGTTTACGGCTCTGTTTGATCAGGCGGTTTCATTTCGCGGCATTTGCGACTCCAACACAAAAGGTATTGCTCTAGTTCTGATTACAGATCGATTCGTAGAGAAAATCTGTATTGCAATGTAGATTGATTTCATTTAGGGGATGTTGGATTTTGTTAGGGAAGGAGGTATAGCAGAATATTGATCCGTTTTGGGGTGTTAAAAAAAGTGAGCTTTTTTCTTTAGATGAAGTGAAATTTTGAGGGGATTATGTGAGTTATGGTATCGGCAACTATTTTGCGGATGGTAGCACCATGTTGGAGGCGACCTTCTGTGAAGGGAGAACATCCAACCAGAAATGGAGACGCTAATGGAAGGTGTGATGGGCTTCTTTGGTATAAAGATTCTGGGAATCATGTTGCTGGAGAGTTCTCCATGTCTGTGATTCAAGCCAATAATCTTCTTGAAGATCATAGCAAACTCGAGTCTGGACCCGTTAGCATGTTTGATTCGGGTCCTCAAGCTACTTTTGTTGGTGTTTATGATGGTCACGGAGGTCCAGAAGCAGCCCGGTTTGTCAATAAACGCCTCTTTGATAACATCAGGAGTATGTGATTTTCTTGTACTTATTTCTATACCCTTTTGTTTGTTTTTGGAATTTGGATTAGATGAGTAAAATCTGGAAAATCTAAATTGGTGACGCTTTCTGATGCAGAGTTTACGTCGGAAAATCATGGAATGTCTGCATCTGTTATAACGAAAGCGTTTTTAGCTACGGAAGAGGAGTTTCTTTCTCTTGTTCGGCGGCAGTGGCAGACGAAACCACAGATTGCTTCTGTTGGAGCATGTTGTCTGGTAGGGATCATATGTAGTGGATTATTGTACATTGCAAACGCGGGGGATTCTCGGGTTGTGCTAGGAAGACTTGAAAAAGCATATAAAGTTGTCAAGGCCGTTCAATTATCGTCAGAGCACAATGCAAGTCTTGAATCTGTGAGAGAGGAGTTACGGTTGTTGCATCCAAATGATCCTCAGATTGTGGTCTTGAAGCACAAAGTCTGGCGTGTCAAAGGTATTATACAGGTAAAAATACTTCCACGGTAATGCAAATTGTTGTCTCTTTTAGTTGCAAAGTAGGTTGCCTGTGAATGATACACTTTTACGGCCTATGCTTGTAAAAAGACTCATTAATTATGTCTCTTGACAAGAGAAGGAATTGCCAAATTCTAATTCTGAGACATTTGTCTGGTGCTTGAAGGTCTCACGGTCAATTGGTGATGCTTACTTAAAGAAAGCAGAGTTCAACCGGGAGCCGCTATTGGCAAAGTTCAGGGTGCCTGAGAGTTTTCAGACGCCAATCCTTAGAGCAGAGCCTGCAATTACAGTACACAATATCCATCCAGAAGATCAGTTTCTTATATTTGCATCAGACGGCTTGTGGGAGCACTTGAGCAATCAGGAAGCTGTTGACATTGTGAACACTTGCCCGCGTAATGTAAGATTCTTCTCGCTCTTTCTCTCCCTCTTTCTTTTCTGTCGTTTTGTATGCATATAGATTGAAACATATGGGTGCAGGGAATTGCGAGGAAGCTCATAAAAGCAGCTCTAAGAGAGGCAGCAAAGAAGAGAGAGATGAGATATTCGGATCTAAAAAAGATCGATAGAGGAGTGAGGAGACATTTTCATGATGATATAACGGTCATTGTTGTGTTTCTTGATTCACATCTTGTCAGTCGCAGTACCTCACGCAGACCTCTCATCTCCATCTCAGGCGGTGGTGACTTGGCTGGACCTTCTACCACTTGACTCACTCTCACCACAATCTATTTATATTCTATTTATACATATCCACTATATATAAACACATTGCAGAAACACTTCAAGTTCCTTCTTTTTTCTTTTTATATAACAAAAATCCCCTTTAACTCTGTTTTTTTTTAAGTCATCCCAAAAAAAAGGAAGAGTTGAAACACCAATGTATAGGTCTTTTGGCAAACTGAGTTTATTATGATAAAGAGATATCAGTTGTTGAAAAGATTTCTAGCACTGATTGCATCATCTACCATTTCTGCTTCTGTTGCCTTTTATAATGTATCAACATGAACGTAAACGAATATGTAAATGATACGTTAGAGACAGATACTGTTGTAAATTCGTCTTTTATGCCAAAGACAAATTATATTGCTTTTCAAGGCCTAAGAATTCAAATAATCTTGTCCGTCATTAGTTAAGTACCAGGCTAAATTCTTCCTATCAATAGTTTTGAAATGTTGACAATAATTATTGAAAAGACCCGGATAAAATCACGAAATATTCATACAAATTCAAATCGATGAAAACCAAGACAAAAATTCACACACTTCCGTTCTACAAGATTTGAATCCACTTATCTACCTCGTGATACGGAGGCGACACCACATACATTTCGATTACTACGGATTTTGAATTACTATATATCAAACAAATCTGTTAAAAGGTAAATATGTACTTCATAGTTATATTAGAGAAAAGAAAATGAGGTAAGGAAAATGAAATTTTGTTTTGTTTTTGTTGCAAAATGAAGTTTGAACGTGTAAAAACTTCACAGAGGATTTAGCACTTTGTTTGATCGGAATGATTTTGGTACTGAGCAAGGATGTCGATATTTAATGAACCCATACATAAGAGAAAAAAGACAGCTCCATGAAAATGGATCTTGACCCATTGGCATGTGATGATGGTCGTTGAATGATGTCCTAACCAAGACAACGCGAACTACGAGATTCAGGTCATAAATGCTAGAAAAACTCTTGTACAGTATTTTATTATCAACAAGACAACGAGCAGATATGTGAGACCGTAATTATATATATAAAAAGTTACACGTAAAATATGAGCTAATTAGATCGCCTGAAACGAATTTTGATGATGCCATGATGGTAGATATGGTCTAAGAAAAAAAAAAGAGTTTGGACAGGGAGGAGATGCTTAAATGCTTCTGTAGGACCACATGAGTCACATGTAAAAGTATTTATGGAGGACCAACTATATATTTGTTTTATTAAATGTTGTCTCTAATAATTGGTAAATTATCAATCATAATTAGTCATATAATGCTTTATTGATGTGAAGTTTTGGAGTTTCAGTAATAGAGAAATCATCATGATTGCTGTAATATGGCAAAAGACATTGGAAAATAGAAAGTTTATCTTCTTTAGCAAAAAATAAATAATAAAGTATAGAAAGTTTATCCTGCAGAATCCATGCATATGTATCTTATATATATGTAACCTTGTATAATAAATACAACGAATTTGCATCACGTTTCCATGTAAAATGTCTTCATTTAGTTTGTTAATTTAAACATATTTGGATCATTGTACGTAAACTCTTGTACTGTAAGTAACCACGTACAAAGCTAAATCAATTGAAGTTATTTTCGCTTTATATTACTCGCATAGTTGATTTTCTAGGTTTTTTTTTGTTTCATAATATTTGATTTCTTACATCTAATTAATATATGTCTAATCTTTAAATTGAATGAATAATATTAAAGTATGTTGCTTTATTCCATTAATGCACTGCTACAAAAAAAATAATAATAAAAATAATGAAATCAGTTGTAAAAGTAACTTATTAATAAAATAATAAATAATAAATAATTGAGTATTTATAGCTTTCTTAATCTGTGTGTAAATATTCAGAAAATCTAACTATAATGAAACAGAGGGAGTAAACTACATTATCAGCCTAAAAATTACAAATAAAACCATTGAATTACAAATTAACATGAACTTAATTTTTACGGGATCATTGTTGGATATATACTCGATCCATCGGAATAAATCAAACAATTTTAAAAGTAAAAACTGACATACACACACATGATCCTCCTCTTTATGGTAGAGCAATAAATGAATGGCATAAGGATACATTCGTAAAGATAATAAAGTATATAGAACAATATTAGTAACATGCACATGCCCATGATACCATGCACATGCAATGTCTCTCTTCTCTTGCCTCATCATTTCTATATAATCCAATTTTCACACAACATCACTCTCTTCACTTTCAAAAATTTATTTCAAAAATGACAAAGTTGTTGGCATCACCGTTTAGCTCATTACTCGCCGTCGTTTTCATCTCCGTCATATCCGTCGTCCGATGCTGCTCTCCTTCCGATCAGACGGCTCTAAATGCTTTCAAGTCTTCACTGAGCGAGCCCAACCTCGGCATCTTCAACACTTGGTCCGAAAACACCGACTGTTGCAAGGAATGGTACGGTATTAGCTGTGATCCAGACTCGGGTCGGGTCACTGATATTTCTCTCCGGGGCGAATCCGAAGACGCAATTTTCCAAAAGGCAGGCCGGTCATCAGGTTATATGTCCGGTTCGATTGACCCGGCGGTTTGTGACTTAACCATACTCACTTCCCTCGTCCTCGCCGACTGGAAAGGAATCTCCGGCGAGATTCCGCCATGCATAACATCCTTAGCCTCGCTCCGTGTCCTCGACCTTGCCGGAAACAGAATCACCGGCGAGATTCCCGCGGAGATCGGTAAACTCTCCAAACTCGTTGTTCTAAACCTCGCGGAGAATCGGATGTCCGGCGAGATCCCACCGTCGCTGACGTCACTCACCGAATTAAAGCATCTTGAGCTAACGGAAAACGGTATCTCCGGCGAGATCCCGGCCGATTTCGGATCGTTGAAGATGTTGAGCAGGGCGTTACTGGGCCGTAATGAGCTAACCGGGTCACTTCCAGAGTCGATCTCGGGTATGAAACGGTTAGCGGATCTGGATCTATCCAATAACCATATCGAGGGTCCGATACCCGATTGGGTGGGTAATATGAAGGTACTCTCTCTTCTGAATCTCGATTGCAACTCATTGTCGGGTCCAATCCCGGGTTCGCTTCTCAGCAATTCGGGTTTTGGTGTTATGAATTTGAGCCGAAATGCGTTGGAAGGATCCATACCAGATGTTTTCGGGTCTACAACATATTTCGTGGCGCTTGATTTGTCCCACAATAGCTTGTCGGGTCGGATCCCCGATTCACTGACATCAGCTAAGTTCGTGGGCCATCTCGATATTAGCCACAACAAGCTTTGTGGGCCTATTCCAATGGGTTCTCCTTTTGATCACCTTGAAGCGTCGTCGTTTAGTGACAACGAGTGTTTGTGCGGTGGCCCTTTGATGAAGTCATGTTAATAATAAAATAAGGGATATGGCTCCGGTTTTTGCTGAACCAGGGGATCAAGTTTCGTGTTGCTCTTGTTCGTGTATCCAATCTGTCATTTTTCTTTTAGTCTTTTCTATTATTCTTCTTTCAAAATTTTAAGTTGTACTTCAGCTAATATGTTCTATTGGCAACGAATGGCTACACCGAGCCAATCTGTTTCTCGGTGTAACGAATACGGTAGCGCATGTATAATTAAAAGAAGCAATGTTATAGACTTATAGATCTTAAATGTTCTAGAAATGTTGTTAAATAACTCTTAGAAATTGACTTCGACTCAACTAAAAGCCATTGAACAATGATTAGATTAGCTCGTGTTTATTTTGAGGTCCATCTCCAACTGATTATGGAACTATATGACATAAATCATGTAAAAGCTCATAGTAATATTAAAACTGAGTTTACAAGCACCCAATTTCGTCGCCAACAAAAAAAGCAAACAACTTCTTAATTATGAATGATATTAAACACAATTGTTAAGAGCTGTCTTTCTTTTCAGAATTATTGAAAATGATGAAGACAACTGTGAAAGAGGAAAACAACTGAAGTTTTGAAACTCCTATGTTTCGGAGTCGCAAGCTTCTCCTCCATGCGCATCTGCTATCTCCTCTCCTTTCACCATCTTCTCCTTATGCCATTTACAGAATCCTTCCACCAGCGCATCCTTCATCCATGCGTGCCTGCAACTCTCTACAGCTTCTTCGATTGTCAGCCATGTCCTTGTTCTTGTCTTCTGTTCCGGCCACGTCTCTAGCTCTTCCTTCACATACAACGCGTACATTGCCGCTTTACACAAACCTTCCGGGCTAAACTCATCTTGGTGTGTTTTGCTCTTGAACTCATAATCTCCCAAGAAACCCTGTAAAGTCCCCATTTTTACACATTCACCATCAGTCTGCTGCTAACAAATAACAAAGAGCTACGCGGTGTGTGAAAGGGGTTTACCATTAAAATCCCACGGACTCCTGCTTCTTCAACTGCTTCCCTTACTGCAGCCTCTTTCACTGTCTCATCATTCTCCCATCCTCCCTATGTGAATCCATGAATCAAAGATGTTACTTTCGTTTCCAAACGAAGAGAAAACAAGAAGAAACGGTATTTGCTGTACCTTGGGAAACAAAAGTCCCGGTCCACTAGATGAGCTGATCATCAACACTTGAACCACTTTCCCAGATTCAGAATTACCATCTTCGTCAGAGTTTATATACCTAAACGGAACACACCTATAAACGTAGCATTGAACTTGTTAAGAAAAATTCACCATCTCCGGAAACTAAAATTAAAGAGTCAGCTAAAGGCTAAACTCATATCATTAATCCAAGTCGAAACAAGGGCCAAGCATGTCAATTCAATTCTACAGAATCTTTCTTGCTCAGTACTAACATATCCTAATCGTGAATCTTTCCTTCCTCTATTGTCTGCTTGTTAACATCAAGCATAAATATGATACAAAGAATCTCCAATCGGGATTCAAACCAGGACACATAAAATGCTCAATTCATCAATCACAACAAAAATTCAAAGCAACAAGGAGATCCCAACTTTTCATACCCATCATGATCAAAATCCCCACATAATAAACGAGAAAGAACCACCATTACAAACCAAAGCATGAGCTCCAAAGAGACGATACACACGAATATATAAAGAGGAACCAAGGTTGGGTCAAAAGCACAGTACCCGGCTACGAGACGCGAGCCATCCTCGTACCGCTGCTGGAGCCGACCCGTACGCGCGACCAAATCACACATCACCGAAATAACAAAAAATAGCTAGAGGAAATTCGAATTATTGGCCATCAATATGAAAAAAACACACACCCAAACTCGAGACAATAATCTTCACGCCTCTTCTGGATACCCACAAATGCGATTTCTACCTCCACCATTGCTGTCTCCTAAGATTCCAACGGTCCAGAAGAGATCGCCCCATTGATCTGATCTGACGGCTGGGGTTAGATCTAGGGTTTGGGTGAGCCTCGCTATAGATTTGTATCAAAGACAGAGGACGCAGATTTGTATTTTTTTTTAATTTTTTTATTGTTGTTGGGTCAACAGTGAACAGATATGTTATGAAAAAAATGTAATTTTCATTTATCGGGCCACTGGGGAAGAAGCAAACCGAGAGCGCGAAGAACGGATCGGCACAGTCAGCTAGTCACGTGGGTTATGGGACAACTTATTGGGCCCATCTATCCTTTTTCGGTTTATGGGCCCACTTTTATATTGACTCGAGGATATCGAACATGCAGCGAGTGGATTAGGAGCTGTTTACGCATTTTTAATTTTTTTCTAAGAACCAATCTTTACGATTCCATGGAGTAAGCTTAAAACTGGTGGGAGAACATTCGTTACTCTGATTAAGTAACTGTTTTCATGGAATTCGAGAAACTGTCTTAGATTCTCATTATGCAGAATAAATTTTCATACAGTTATAACAAACATATCACAATGCCAAAGTCCTCGATAACATTTCACCACATGTAGATCTCATTAGGATTTTGGATCAATATGTTAGAAATAGAGGTATGATACTCAATATAGGAAAGTTTAAATGAGAGGGACCAGATTGCAAAAAACTATGCCTCCGTGATTTGATTCCACCATGGGATCAAAAACGAAGAGCTTGACAGCTCATCTGTGTGATGTGAAGGACACGACGTAGCCAGAAACAGAACCAAATCGAAAAAAGTCTCTACTTCTCGCAGCAAGAGTGGCGCAACTCCGGCGAGATTTGATTGATGTCTTCCACTTTTAGCCCCGGTCAGAGCCCCGGCAGCTCCCGGTTGCTGCAGCTTGGTGTTGCCGGCTCTGCCTCACGCCTTAGATCTTCTTCCTCCAAGAAGCCACCTGAGCCCCTGCGCCGGGCCGTGGCGGATTGCCTCTCATCCTCTCATCCTCCGACCAGCTCGCACCATGGGGCGATCCCTTCCATGGCTCCGTCTGAAGCTCTTAGGAATCTCCGGGTGTGTACAACCCTTCCTGTGCTTATTTTTTTTACTTTTCCTTATTGTGAAATCGTAGTATTTCCATTTTTGCGTGTAATTTGGGGCAGATAGATCCTGTTTATGCTGCAGAAAGCGAAGAATTGAGTATCTAGGGATTTCGTTTTGGTTTTCCATCGATAAACGAGTCCTATGTAGCCTAAATGAATAGTAACAAGGTAGCAGTCGCTTTCTTTTAGTAGTGTTGGCATTGCAATTGATAACTAGAGCTGGTAATGTTTTATTGTCTTGTGCTCTTCCTCGATTGTGGTACCAGTACTTCTAGTTACCATGTAAAAATTTTATGAAGACCTCCTCCTATTTTTCCTGAACCCACTGATTTTGATGCCAAATGTGGATGAAGAATTTGGGTAAAGGTGGTGTTTGATGGAGAAGGCCTGCCTTCATTATATATTTTCTTGGCTTGATAGGACCTTGGTAGTTGCTTGGACATATATTTTTTTATGCGTCTATGGAAATTGCATGACCTCAAACAATCACTTGGTGATTACAGGATTATTTATCAGTCTCTGCCACGACTGACCTGGCCTACAACATGCTGTTAGAGCATACCATAGCAGAGAGAGATCGCAGGTAATTGACTCTTTTGATTCATATTTTTGAACGGCGACATGTATATTTGGTCCTTAAGGAACTTTTTAAGTCATGGTAGTGAAACTGTGATATAGAGGTAGCTTTCGAATCCAGTGAAATTAATATCTTCGAATCTGGAAGGCCTTAACGGATAGACATATGTGACTGAAGAACTTAACGGGAATGAGCTCATTACTTTGATTTCTCATGATGCGGAAATTGGGGCTTCAATGATGGCAGTGGGTAATTTTGGCCAGAATATGGATGATGTAAATGCAACTATATCTAGGTATTGATGTTGTCGTTGTAGCTTGACCCCAGAGGAAAATATAAAAATTTAAGTGATAGTTTCCTATAATCCTATGGGAACACAGTATCTCGTTTTGTAAGTCTCTTGATAGCCTAACTATAAAGAACACTCATAGGCGTTCGTAGAATAAATGATAATCTGAACGGTTTTCGTAGATAAAAGTGTGTGGGGAAGGACTCGTAGAGATTATTGAGCAGAGTGGGAAAAGTCCCGGCATAGGTATTTCATCAACCCATGTTGACTTCTAAAGTACCCGAGGACTTATTGCTACATGGACCTATTGATAAATGTAACCTCATATAGCTAGGATGCAGATTGCTGTAATCTGAATATTTATTATCATGGTTATAAGTATTTATTGTTGCTAATGTGCAATCAATTTTCTGCAGTCCAGCCGTGGTGACGAGGTGTGTGGCATTACTGAAACGGTATCTCTTAAGGTAATATAGTCTAGTCGAATGATGTAACTTGATTATTTATATTTGCTTCTTTGAATTAGCATCTCTTTCACTTATCAAAGTCCCTCAGCTCATCCTTCTCACTATTGCTATAGTTTGTGCTCTGTTTATGGGGATTGCTACGTTTGGTTAACTATTTGGTAGATGAGTAGATCAGTTATATATGAAGGGGACATAATGGTATTTTAAACCTAGAGATTAAGTGTGCATTTTTTTTTGCTATATTATGAGGGTTGTCTGAAATACGTATACAGGTCGTATAGTGTTTCCTATGGATTACTTTTTGCATTTTGTTGATCCCTAGACGTTCCTACACTACAGATATAAGCCTGGGGAGGAGACACTACTGCAGGTCGATAGATTTTGCGTAAACCTGATTGCTGAGTGCGATGCTAGCTTGAAGCAAAAATCATTGCCTGTTTTATCAGCACAAGCGGGTGCTTCTCCTTTACCAGTGTCCAGTTTTGCTTCTGCAGCTTTGGTGAAGTCATTGCATTATGTGCGTTCCCTTGTGGCTTTGCATATTCCAAGGCGATCCTTTCAACCTGCAGCATTTGCGGGAGCTACTCTTGCGTCAAGGCAGTCATTGCCATCTCTATCCTCTTTGTTGAGCAAATCATTCAATTCTCAACTAAGTCCTGCAAATGCCGCAGAATCTCCACAGAAGAAGGATGCTGCAAATCTGTCTGTTTCAAACTTGTCAAATATACAAGAGTTTAATGCTATGGAAGGCATTGAATATATATCACAAGACTTGCTGAATTGGCGTTGGGTTGGGGAGCTCCAGTTATCATCAGCTTCTTCTGAAAGGTACATCGTGAATGATTTATGTTCTTACAAATGTTCAGACGCATCTTTGCTTCTATTCTGGACTACACACTTGTTCTTAGTAGAGAAGCACTCCTACAATCAATATCTTAAGCAATTCCTTTATTGCATGGCTATAGTACGTGACTATCGCTGAATATATTCTCTCTCCATTGTTAGCGAACGACCTGTGAATCTTCAAGACATGAACAATTGTAATCTTCTGGAAGTTGGTGCTGCCGGCTTACTTGTAGGAGATATGGAAGCTAAAATGAAGGGCCAGCACTGGAAATATTTTGGTACGACAGAGATGCCTTATTTAGAACAATTGCTGCAGCCAGCTTCAGTCACGATGATAACAAACTCAGCCTCAGCTCGCTCCCATTTGAGAGCAATAACAGCTTCCAAACGCACTAGAGCTGGCCCTCAGCAGATCTGGTATGTATTCTATTGTGGTTTTTGTCAAGTAATTTACAAAGTGATGGCTTAGGATTTTAATTGCCTTTTATGCCTTGCAAGTTTTCACGTGACTCTTTCTAGCCGCCAAGAAACTGGAATTCTAGATTTAAGAAGTGCTTATAACTCTTTCCTTAATATATGCCATATACTAATTGTGATAATGCATGCATTTTCTGAACTGGCACTTTTTCTGGGTGAGGTGATGATCTTGTTCTTTTATGTTTTGAAAACCAACATTCTATTGATAACAAAAACCCTCCATTTGATGACAATAAAACTTATGACCCCTTCTGCATTGTTAGAGACTGTTCTATTATTGACAGAATGGCACTCCAGATAGATTTGAAAGAATTACATAGCTACATACAATATATATCTTTTAAGGGATTGCACTTTGAATGATTGGACCTAGAGAGGATAGTTTTTTGGGAAAATTCTTATATTAGAGCATAAAAATCTGTTATGTGGGTTCTTAAATTGAGGATTTGCATGATCTGCAGGGATGATTCCACAGTGAGCACATTTCGTCCACGTGCCAGACCACTTTTTCAGTATCGTCATTACAGGTAAAAAAGGGGATGTCATTATGATGTTTGGGTATCTTTTTTCTTCATCTACTCAAAGCTACTCATTTATTTTTTTGCTCAAGTCTTCCTTGGTAGCATTAGTGCTAATAATGTTTTGCTTAATTTCACGTAATAAGGTTTCCCTTTTGAACCCTTACGAGAATGCCTGATACTAGCCTCTCTAAGATTTGAGTTTGTAAACTGGCTGACAAAGAGCTGCAACTGAAATCATATATCTTATTTCAGTGTGACTTATGGGTGGTTTCAGAGTGGCTCTTCCACTATTGTGTATGTGCATAGAGGATCATGCCATTTGCGTAAATAACTGTATTTGTTGGCTGTTGTGATTTATGAATGAAAGGGGATTCTCTGCATGGAAGATTCTTTCTGATGCAAATTTTAGCTTTCGGCTTTATCACAACAAATGAGTCTTGTTCCCTGCACAATTTTGTAGTGAACAACAACCACTGCGCTTAAATACTGCCGAGGTAGGTGAGGTGATCGCCGCTGTTTGCTCTGAGGCATCATCCACCCCTTCAAATCAAATGACCATATCACCTCAATTAACTAGCAAGGCAGGGAAGCCGTCGATGGATGTGGCTGTGAGCGTCCTGATAAAGCTTGTTATTGACATGTACGCTTTGTTAATCTGCCACCAACCTAATCGTGTAGCCTCATTAAGATTTTTAATCGTCCTTTCCTCCCTTTTATTATTGTTGACAAGCTTATCGTACACCGTTTTGAAAAACCTATTTTGTAGGTATGTCTTGGACTCTAGAATTGCTGCTCCTCTTACTCTGTCCATGCTCGAGGTGTGACTTCGACACTGATATATATTGTGATATTTAAACTGCTTACTAACTATCATAGCCATGCATGCAAAATTTATTTCAGGAAATGCTATGCTCCACAAATGCAGCTTGTAGGATTCGTGTATTTGATTTAATTCTTAATTTAGGAGTTCATGCACAACTGTTAGAGCCAATGATAAGTGATAATGCTACAACCATTGAGGAAGAATATGCCCAAGAAACATTTATCGACAATGAAAATAGGCTACTGCTGCAAGGGACAAGAACGAAAGACTTGCCTAAGATGTCAACCACTTCTTCAGCCATTGAGAACTTCGAGTCTTGGATATTAAAAATCTTATTCGAAATACTTCTTCTCCTAGTTCAGGTATCTTACATTCTTCTTGCTCTTTTTGACGTCAAAACTAGACTTGTTTAGGATTTTATACCATCAAAATTGTTTTCGCAGGTTGAGGAAAAGGAGGAATCCGTTTGGGCATCTGCTCTCAGCTGCTTACTATATTTTGTCTGTGATAGAGGCAAAATACGGAGAAACCAGCTATATGGTCTTGACATAAGGGTATGTTAGGCCTATGAGACTGAATATTATTTTTTTGCCTTCTGCTATGTGATTATTGCCTTCTTTCATTCCCCTCCTACTCTCATTTAGATCTGTCGTTTGTATTTGTCTTTCAGACGTTTTTAACTATGATTTCTGTTTCCGGCTGCATGCTACCATTAAATTGGTTCTCATGCTAAGTTGTAGTTTCTGACGAGCCAGTCACTTTCCTTGAATCAGGTTATCAAAGCTCTTCTGGGAACTAGCAAAAGGAATTCTTGGTCAGAAGTTGTTCATTCCAAGCTTATTTGTATCATGACAAACATGTTTTATCGATCTCCAGAACTAGATGGCTCTACCAAAGCAACTTCAAGTGCCTCCAATTTTCTTATAGACCAGGTCGATCTGATTGGTGGTGTGGAGTTCATTTTCTTTGAGGTACTTCGAAAATATATTCTGTTAGACTAAATGACCTTTCTCAAAATCCATCCAAATATACGCTTTGAGCCTCAAAATTTTTCTAGTTGATTAAGGAATTCATCTTAATGACACAGTACTCGTTGGCAACCACTAGAGAGGAAAGAAGAAATCTCTACTCGGTTTTATTTGACTATGTCCTGCATCAAATTAATGAGGCCTGCTCAGCTGCTGGTCTTTCTGAATACACTGATGATGAGATTCAACCTTTGGCTGTTCGTCTTGCTCTTGCTGATGCACCTGAAGCTTTCTACATTTCTGTTAAGCTTGGTGTTGAAGGCATAGGGGAAATCCTGCGAAGATCAATTGCTGCAGCATTGTCTGGTTTCAGCAACAGCGAACGTCTAAGCCAGGTATGTTTTTCTTGTAAGAATATGTTGCAAATTTTCTTCTGAGGATCTGACAAAGAGTTTGCAAGTCAGAGCTCTTTTCTAACTCCTCCTTTTTTTTCCTTGCAGCTATTGGCAAATATAACAGAAAAATTTGACACAATAATAGGTTCGTTTACCCACTTAGACAAAGAGTTTCTGCATCTCAAGCAGATAACCAAATCTTCCAAGTTCATGGAAAGCATACAAGAGTTAAGACATGATATAAGCATGTCAGTGAATCTAGCTTGGGCCACTTTGCACTCTCTTCTTCATTCAGAAAGGGCCACATACCGTCAAAATGGTTATATCTGGTTGGGGGATCTTCTGATTACGGAAATTAGTGAAGAGAGTGGTGGCACTATATGGCTGAGCATAAAAGATCTGCAGCAAAAGATTGCCCATTGTGGGGCCTCCGACTCTCTGGTTACTTCTAATATACCTGTTTCCATACATCTTCTATGTGGACTGTTGAAGTCAAAGAACAGTGTTATCAGATGGGGTTTCTTGTTCATTCTAGAGAGGCTTCTTATGCGTTCCAAGTTCTTACTAGATGAAAATGAGACACAGCGATCAACTGGTGGAAATGCTAGTCAGGATCATAAAGACACACGACTAGAGAAAGCAAATGCTGTTATAGACATAATGAGCAGTGCTTTGTCTTTGATGGCACAAATAAATGAAACTGACCGGATTAATATCTTAAAGGTACATTTCTTGGAGTCTTTTTGTTTGATCTTTTCGTTTGCTTTGTCAAATGTCCTGTCAAAGGCCACTCTACTTGCAGTATTTATCGTAAATATATGTTCTTTAGTTTGAGTAACTAGCATCAAAGACTACTGTGTCTATTTCTTATTGGAATTTTCACCCGGATGAACTTTAAATCACCTCTGTCTTCTCTCTGTTGTTTCCATGCAGATGTGTGACATTCTTTTCTCACAATTGTGCTTGAAAGTTTTGTCTACTGATGAGGAAACAGTTTCCAATTCTGCTGATAGAAATAGCAGCAAATTTGAAACATCCCATCGTAACAGCTATAAAGAAAACATGGATGAAGCTGACACCAGACCTCGGTACAACAATGTCTCTGTTTCAACGTGCGAGACAGCGTCAATGGCAGCAATGCTTCTCCGTGGACAGGCTATCGTCCCTATGCAGCTGGTTGCGCGTGTTCCAGCGGCTTTGTTCTATTGGCCCTTGATTCAACTAGCAGGTGCAGCAACTGACAACATTGCACTTGGTGTTGCCGTTGGAAGCAAAGGAAGAGGAAATATCCCAGGGGCAACCTCTGATATTCGAGCCACCCTGCTTTTACTTCTAATCGGTAAATGCACTGCAGATACAGTTGCTTTTCAAGAAGTTGGTGGAGAGGAATTCTTTAGGTGATTCATCGACTCTTCCATACTTCCGAACCAACTTGATTTGTCTGTGCAGCATGTTTCATGGCATTTACAAACTTATGTCTATTATTGCAGGGAACTCCTGGATGATACTGACTCAAGGGTGGCTTATTACTCTTCAGCATTTCTTTTGAAGGCAAGAAAATTTCTCAAATTCACCATTTTGATTTTGAAAGATATACATCGAAAAAAAAAATAAGTTTTCAAATCTTTTTCAGTTTTATCTTTTTATCTCACCGGTTAAAGTTTCGATTATTTTAGAGGATGATGACGGAGGAACCAGAGAAATACCAAAACATGCTTCAGAAGCTTGTCTTCAAGGCTCAGCAGGTAATTCTAGTGTAATTTTCAGAATTAAGAGTCACAGAACCTCAAATATCAATGAGATTTTTCTTTGTTTTGTGCCATATATAACAGTATTCTTGAAATGTGCAGAGTAATAATGAGAAACTGCTGGAGAATCCATATCTGCAGATGTGTGGTATACTTCAGCTATCAAACGAGCTTTGAACTCGCGGTTGTCATAAGTCTCCAGTTTCTTATATATGGCTTCTGTAAGTTCCTCGGTTTCAGAAAATCGTAGAGAGTTACTTTATCACCGCCCTAATTATCCGCTTCCTGCCGTGCAAAAGGAGAAGAGATTTAGTGAAAGTAAAAAAACGACAATTCATAGATACTGGACTCATCCCTGTAAGTAGCTGGACAATCTGCAAGTGAATTCAGATATGGCTCCATGTGTAACAGAGTTTGGTGAGGTTATCTATCATCACTTAGGCTATTTTGCCTTCCTTTATCATCACTCGTTGGTTGAGATCTTGAAGGTTCCGAAGAAAGGCGATGATAGTAAAGACTAAAGAGTGAAGCTTGATGAACGGGATCAACAGAAATGTGATATAACTCCATCCGCCTTCTCCTTTTTCTGCGGGAACGGCGCTGACTTACAGAAACACTGAGCTTCTGATAATTGCCGGCATGTCATTTTTTGGCCTAACAAACTGTAGTTTTTTTTTTCTCTTAAGCTCTGTGTGTAAAAGTAATAACAAATCATGAACAGAGGCTGCAGCTCCAGAAGTTTTCCTTTCCTTGGAGCTCTGCTTTTGTACAGTCAGGAACAAAACCAATTAGGGGTTGTGTTGTGTAGAGAACTAGAGATAGAGGCTGTGGCCTTTGGGTGTTGAATGTTTTGCCTTCAAAAAATTTATGTGAAAAGTGTGAGCCTAACCGGTGCTTTTGTAATCTAAAAAAAATCTAAATTTTTGCTGTTTTTGGCTGCCACAGTATGATTTGAGAAGATGACAATCATTGGAAATTCCATCTTATGTATCCAAATTATTTGTTTTTAAAAGCACTCCGATTAACAATTGATATCACTCAACAACTTCGTTTTAATTTCTAAAATTTCCAACAATTTAGGAAGACGAGTGTTGTCATTGGAACCATTCCAATTAGATAAAAATAAAAAAATCAAGAGACAAACATAGTAACACAATTACTCTAATCTGATCCACAAAATAACCACGTTGTGAAAAGTAATTATATAATGGGCCAGGCCTCTTTCGTGAGAGGAGAAGTAGTAAATAAAGAAATCTCAGACACCGAAACTCTGAGATCCAATACTTTGGTTCTGTTCTGTAAATCGCTTCTTTTTCCTGGAGATCTGATCCGTTCCCACCGATCCCGTCCTGATAAAACGGTAAATCCTGCTCAATTTTTTTTAAACCTACGCATCCTTTCTTGAAAGATCTGGTCAGTCTCAGTCTGAGTTGTGTTTTTCTGTGTCTGATGGTCCTTTGAATCCGTCTCAGTCGACGAGAACTGCCAAATTCTCTTGTCGGATTGTGTCACGTTTTGGGTTTTACATGCTTCTAGTCTGAACTTGTTCTTCAATGTGATCCCATAGCGGAGTGGATATCGCGTTAGACTCCGAATCTAAAGGTCGTGGGTTCGATTCCCACTGGGATCATCCTTATTTTTTCCCGGGTTTATAATACGATCAGTTTCTCTTTTTAGCAAAGATTAAGATTCTCAAATGAATTTATGTCTAGGTCTAGCTTTAGCTCTAGTTGGGTTTAGTGAACTGTATGTTGTTGTTTGATTTGCTCTGCAATAAACACATTCACGTAGCTTTAGGTTCCTCTTTGCAACCATTTAGGCTACCTTTGAGTCAAGTTTGCATTTTTCCCTAATAGTATCTTCTGTGAACTCTGTATTTGTTGAAATAGATAAGTTTGGGAACAATCTAGCTGTGCCTATGGTTTTGATGAATTGGTTATATACAATAACACACTAGTTCCATTTTTTGGGGATGATGGAACAAGACTAATTGTTGCTCAAATGTTGTTTGTGTTGTGGTGCAGATGATCGATGATCAAGACTTGGGGTTCATAGTCAATTTCCTTGGCATCTTCATCTTCGCATTGGTTATTGCTTATCATTACGTAGCTGCTGATCCCAAATACGAAGCGACTTGAGTGATGATGGATTTTTTGATGATATGTAAGGCCTTTTAGTTTAAAGTTTGTTTCAAACTGAGAAGAGATAGATAATAACAGTCTCTGTTGAGATTATAATGTCGTCAAGATGTTCCTAATCCATTTCACATCTTTGTTTCAATTTTCATTCTCGACCTTGCGGGAGAATCAAAATTTTCCCCCAATAAATGCAGCTAGATCGTTACACATAGCATGCTAAACACTTATCATTACCGTCCTAAACTTGATCGTTTTGATGCTTACTGAGGTAACGCAAAACCCAATAATTAATTAGCTATGCCTATTAGTGTAATATTTAAATCAAAACTGAATTTAATAAACTAATCTTATCTCGTTCCGACAACCATAAAATGTGTGATCCGTTGACCATAGTTCGTTCTATGTGATAAGATCCGATTTTCTAATGATCCTATGTAATTGATTAAAGAAAAAAGAACTTTGATTACAAATTTTATTTGTATGACCAAATTCTCAAAAAATTAAAAAAATGGTCAAAGAAGAGTTTGTAAATTTTATAGAAAAGTTTGTTATCTACATGTTATATAAGGTTGACAAAAAAAAAAAGATTGTGTGGTCTTTCATTTTTATTAAGCTATTACAAAATTATTACAGTGCGTATGTACCCGATTAGAGTTGAAATTGTAAAATAGACACTGTCGAAAACGCTGTCGCTTTGAAAAAGGAAAAAATTCTTTGTGACCCGAGTTCTCTTATAAAACGACAGCTACATCTGAGTTTTGACATATATAAAAGAGACCTCTGGAAGGAGCTAGAATCAAAAGACAAAAAAAGGAAACGAAAATTTAAGGCGGAAAAATTAGATCCAATGGCTGAAATCGCATCACCTGAACATTCTCGAACCTCTTTTTTCACCGACCGTTCAATTTATATATAAAGACCTTGCTCAGAGCGCAAAAGAAACACTCAGAATTACAAAGAAGAAGAAGAACAAAAGATCTCACAGAAATTATTATTTCGATTATCTTTCCGGCGAAGAATTTGATTATCTAATGGCGGGTAAAGGCGAAGGTCCAGCAATCGGAATCGATCTCGGTACTACCTACTCATGCGTCGGTGTGTGGCAACATGACCGCGTCGAGATCATCGCCAACGATCAAGGCAACCGCACCACTCCCTCCTACGTCGCCTTCACTGATACCGAGCGTTTGATCGGAGATGCTGCGAAGAACCAGGTGGCCATGAACCCTACGAACACCGTCTTCGGTAAGATTTCAAGCGCTTTTGATCTTTACTTGAAAGCTTAAATCGCTTCTTTAGTTCTCGAGCATATTTACGGCTACTGCATGTGATAGAGATTCTTCAAGATTTTGTAGATCGGCACGTATTGATTTTGCTAGCTAGTCCTGTAATTTGGATTCGAATTGGGATATTCATCTTCTGATTATGTGAAATTTGAGACGGTTTTTGCGTTTGGTTTCGTGTTCTGTTTTCGGGAACTAACAAATTTGTGGTGTGTTGCAGATGCTAAGCGTCTCATTGGTAGAAGATTCAGTGATCCGTCTGTTCAAGCGGATATGAGGCACTGGCCATTCAAGGTTGTTTCCGGCCCGGCGGAGAAGCCAATGATTGTCGTCAACCACAAGGGAGAGGAGAAACAGTTCTCTGCAGAAGAGATCTCGTCGATGGTCCTCACTAAGATGCGAGAGATTGCAGAAGCTTTTCTTGGATCTCCGATTAAGAACGCTGTGGTGACAGTGCCTGCTTATTTCAACGATTCTCAGCGTCAGGCGACAAAGGACGCCGGAGTCATCTCTGGACTCAACGTGATGCGTATCATCAACGAGCCAACCGCTGCTGCGATTGCGTACGGTCTTGACAAGAAGGCGTCGAGTGTTGGCGAGAAGAATGTTCTTATCTTCGATTTGGGAGGTGGTACTTTCGATGTGTCTCTGCTTACGATTGAGGAAGGTATTTTTGAAGTCAAGGCCACGGCTGGTGACACGCATCTTGGAGGTGAAGATTTTGACAACAGGATGGTCAATCATTTTGTTCAGGAGTTCAAGAGAAAGCACAAGAAGGATATCACTGGAAATCCGAGGGCTTTGAGGAGGCTCAGGACTGCTTGTGAGAGGGCGAAGAGAACTCTTTCTTCGACCGCTCAGACGACTATTGAGATTGACTCTCTCTACGAGGGTATTGATTTCTACACAACCATCACTCGTGCGAGGTTCGAAGAGCTCAACATGGATCTCTTCAGGAAGTGTATGGAGCCGGTGGAGAAGTGTTTGAGGGATGCTAAGATGGACAAAAGCAATGTCCATGATGTTGTCCTTGTCGGTGGCTCAACAAGAATCCCCAAAGTCCAGCAGCTTTTGCAAGACTTCTTCAACGGGAAGGAGCTTTGCAAAAGCATCAACCCGGACGAGGCTGTTGCTTACGGAGCGGCTGTTCAAGCTGCGATCTTGAGCGGTGAAGGGAACGAGAAGGTCCAAGATTTGTTGCTCCTTGATGTCACTCCTCTCTCCTTGGGTTTGGAAACCGCCGGTGGTGTTATGACTGTCTTGATTCCGAGGAACACCACGATTCCGACCAAAAAAGAGCAGATATTCTCGACCTATTCTGACAACCAGCCCGGTGTACTGATTCAAGTCTACGAAGGAGAAAGAGCGAGAACAAAGGACAATAACCTCTTGGGGAAATTCGAGCTGAGTGGCATTCCACCTGCACCACGAGGTGTTCCTCAAATCACTGTCTGTTTTGACATCGACGCCAACGGAATCCTTAACGTATCGGCTGAGGACAAAACAACGGGTCAGAAGAACAAGATCACTATCACAAACGACAAGGGAAGGCTGTCGAAGGAAGAGATCGAGAAGATGGTGCAAGAAGCAGAAAAGTACAAAGCTGAGGATGAAGAACACAAGAAGAAGGTCGATGCCAAGAACGCACTCGAGAACTACGCATACAACATGAGGAACACGATAAAGGATGAGAAGATCGCATCTAAGCTCGATGCAGCTGACAAGAAGAAGATTGAGGATGCGATTGACCAAGCTATTGAATGGTTGGATGGGAATCAGCTGGCGGAGGCAGATGAGTTCGAGGACAAGATGAAGGAACTCGAGTCTCTTTGCAACCCGATCATTGCAAGAATGTACCAAGGTGCTGGTGCTGATATGGGTGGCGCCGGTGGAATGGACGAAGATGCTCCCGCTGGTGGTAGCGGCGGTGCTGGCCCCAAGATTGAAGAAGTTGATTAAGTTTTTAGCTCTCTTGTCACTGCGGTTACTTTGATTTTCCAGTTGTTTGCTTGTTGCTTAGCTAAGCTTTCTATGTTATTTTGGACCTGCTTTTGTTATTAAGCCGCTGCTTTAGAATTTATTTTGTTATTTCGAATGCTTTGGCCTTTAAAACGGTTATGTGAAAAGGTTGAACCTAACCGGTTACTGTTGTTTTTGGCTGCCACTATCTGATTTGAGAATCTGATTTGAGAAGATGACAAACATGGGATATTCTTTGTAGGATAACTGAAAACGAAATATCTCTCTGAGTAGTAAGAATTGAAAGAAATACCGGCTAGTGGTTTGAATTTTGCTGATTCAGAAATCTGACAAAAAAACTCAAGCATGTGAAGAAAGATAGAACATATAGGAGCCGAGGGGTTTTTACACGGCAATACAATGGGGAAATATAAATAACTATGAATAATCCAATGATACATGAACCAATAAAATCCTTTGACAAGTTATGCACTACAATCTCACTCTAGCACGAACGGACGGATACAGACGCAAACTTCATGCTCCTCTGGTCCCATTCGGTGTTTAGGCACTAAAACCTCAAGCGTTGTTCCGGTTTCGTCCTGGTAAGCTTCAAGCTTGGCGTCGTCTGGAATCCGGTTTGGCAAGGAGACTTCCCGGACGAATTCCCCTGGTGGGCAATGCTCTGGTGTGGGATCTGTTAGCTTAAATGTCCTATCATGTCTCTTGATGAATGGCTCACATGCTGTGCTTGCACATGATATCTTCACAATTCCATGTGTTGGTGTATTCCTCCATGTCACTTTCACCCTTCCCGGATCAACTAATGGCAGGCTCACAAGTATCAAGAACCCTTTATCATCTTCATATATCGTTTTCGCAGCTGTGACTGGCCCATAAACATTCTTCATCACCCCGCTAAACTCATTTGACCATGGCAGCTCTGTTGCATGGATTTTCATGTCCAGAGATTTCTCACTTGAGCTCGAGTCATCGCAGTTTCCTAGAGCGAGGCAATCCCTTTTGCGTTTATTGCTACAAGCGAGTTGAACATCCACCGCGTCAACTACGTGGTCTGGTGAACGAGTAGATAGATTCAGACAGGTACCATTCAGCTTTTTAAGGTGGGCCTGCCCGTTAGCTTTAGCTTGAGGAAGAGTTCGCTCAGCCTCAAATTCCGTGGTTGGTATATTCCTCCATGAACCATAGTCACTTGCCTCGGGCGGAATAGCGAAGTTCACATCTCGACCTGTGAGTTCTGTCCACTTCTTCTTTTCATCCTCGTTAAGTACAGATAGGTTTGGTGACTGAACAACTTCAATTCCATGGAGGCACTGTGGGTTAGAAAGACCACGGTAATGTTTCCTCTGCATCCTATGTGAGCGGACAAAACCTTTGTCAACGCTAAAAGGGAAAGGACGCTCACCTTCGCGTGAGTGCCCGTTCATGTAACTACGCAGCTGCATCTTGCCAAGAGCATTTTCAGGCTTTTCCTTGAACACCCACATGTACATATTCTCCATATCATGCTGAACCAAGAAGGAGTCGAGCTGCAAGTCAGATTTACCATACCCGGACAAGCCATTGCTGTCCCTCATTAACTTATTTTTTGACTTCTCATCCAAAACAGGTTTGAAGTAGAAACTAAAGAAAAGCCAAGCACCCCATGCACTATCAACACGCTTGTTGTGCTTCTTAGCAACCTTAGGCACATGAACAACAGCCTCAGGCTCATATATCTGGGGCCCGAGTCCAACGTCTAAGATGTCACAGTGTTCGTTCCACAAAAGCAGAGATGGGCTTGCTTCAGATGAGAGAGGGAGATTGATATCAGGCGGTCCAGATAGTATGAGCGAACGGTTTGTCTCCCTCTCTGATTCTTCGTGAGTAAAAGCACCTGAATCCATTGACAGAAGTGTCGACGGGTGATAGTTCTCCATAGACAGGGTTGTGATGAGAGTCTCACCCATATTTCTTCAGAAATTTTTATCCCACTTCTTCTTCTTGCGGATTATCACACACGGCTAAAAGCGATCCCCTACCATAAGTAGCCCAAACAATCCCTTAGATGGCAAGAGATTAGAATATCAGTCGACAAACCCATAGCTGCAACTCAAGGAGATCTTCATCTTACAGGATCTATAAGCTCCAGGACATTGGCCTAAGAGACACTACTACAAATCGAGAGGAACAATCCCACACCTGAATATCAATCGAGAGATCAAAAAATTCGATTAAGGTCAACTTAATTTGAACAAGCCCTTAAGAACATACAGTGAAAGAAACGCGAGTCCACACTTGTTTCGGAAATGAGATACTCAAAAACAAAATAAGAACACTTTTGTTGTTGTTGTTGTTTTTTTTATTTTGTAGTCTTAGTTCTAATTAGGGATGTGGAACAAGGTCATCAACAATCTTATCGACAAATCTGATAGCATCTAATTCGATATTTTCCCAGATATTCGACAAGATAATCAGTGATTCCCCTCGTTTAATTGCAAAATCAAAAAATATTAAATTTCCATACAAAGCAACAGGATCATCGGAGGATTAAAAGGAGAAAGGAACGAGAAAATCTAACCGAAGAAAAAATTCGACGGAGACGCCTGAAGAAGAGTGCGTATCGGCGGAGAAGGAATAGAGGCGCTCCTGTCAAAATGATCCCAAATCTTGAGAGAAGCTAAAGAGAGAGAGAAGATGAGACTTAGGAGACTCGCTATTTAAGACAGACGACGCGTTAATTAACGCTGTTACTCGGTCCACTCATGGGGGCTGCTCTATGATTTTACTAACGCCGTTAAGTAATGCCAGTGTTGTTTATAAAATCACTCACTAAAAGAGACTCTTCTTAATTAAAAAGGTTAACTAGATTCTGACTCCGTGCATCTGCACGGGAATATTTTTTATTATTTAACAAATTTTGAAATATAATTTGTGTTTTTGAGTTTAAATATAATTATTTTTATAAAAGAATATTTTTTATTATTTAACAAATTTTGTAATATAATTTGTGTTTTTGAGTTTAAATATAATTATTTTTATAAATATATTTTTTAATAAGTGAAAATATTGATTTTTGTGTTTAGATATATTTTTATAGTATTAAAATTAATTATGATTATAAAAATATAATTTTTACCTGTCCGCTAATATTAATTCAAAATAAACTATTATAAAAACATAATTCTAACTTTTCCGTTCATATTATCGTATAATATATTGTTAAAAATTTGAGATGTATTAACAATATTATTTAGCATTATAGTTTTCTAAAATTTAATCAACGAATGGAGTGTACAACTGGTTTTTCAAACCACATTTTAGTGTATGCAATAATTTTTAATTTTTATGTTTTTATTTTGTATGAAAATATATTTTCGGATACATGTATAATTCAAAATTAGTGATTTTAGTTACCAAAATATTTTTAACCTGGTTTTATATATATTTTTAGTTCTATAAATTTTAAAAAATATTTTTTTTTAATATTTAAATTATACATTTGAATTATACATATTATTTTATTATTAATTTGTAAATAAATCATAATAGTAAATATATTATATAAGCAACATAAATATCATATCATTTACATCATTATAAATATTTTATATTTCAAATATGACCATTATTTTTCATATGTGAATTATTATTTTTTTTTTAAATTCTACATATTTTTGATAAAAATGTTTAATAGTATAGATTTTATTTAAATTAGAATCTTTAAATCAAATTAAATTAATATCTGATTTATTATTTTTAATCAAATCAAATCAAATCTAAATTATCTATATTTAAGGAACTCTTAAAATATTTAAATTAGTAACTAATTTTTGAAATTAAATATAAATAATTATTAAAATTATTTTTAAATACTTAAAAAAAATTAGGAGTGTTTGGAAGCAAATGTTAAATGTGCTTTTGTTTTAATATAATAAATAACTATTACTTCGATGATGAAAACAAAAAATAGAATGGTCCGGCCCGACCCAATAACCAATTCTCCTGCGGCCCCATAATCACGAAGGTTACAACTTACAAGGGTCCAAGACCACCCAGCGATATAGACACCCTCAGTATGCCACGAGGCCCACGACGATAAACAAAAGTATTCGATTCAACACTTAAGCCATGTTTACGTTATATATACTTTTAGTCTACAAAAATAGCCTTTAAATTGGCGCATCCAACACAAGAACATGACGATTACACAAAATTAGAAACACTTATGCAACATTAAAAAACACAGATCACGTTCATTTCGGCCACATTAGCACATGCTTCTACATGTCTAAAAAACATAGATTTAAACCCCCAAAACAAAAAAGGTCTAAAACATAGATAGCACATAAACAATGAATTATCGAGGAATTTATGTTATCACTCACCTTGTGACGTTATTAACAAAGCAATGGACTTCTCACTTCTCATAGGCTTTCTGAACCACGTGGTAGAGAGAGTGACAATATTTTTGTTTGTATTCCACTCCAATCACAAAACATTAGTTTATTTGTTTATATCCAATCCCTAAAATTAAGATTCTTCTGACAAAAACCTATCTTCTTTAAGAAAATGGTCCGAGAGAGAGAGGGTGACCCTCAACACCCGGTTAACCGGAGAGAGGGTTTTACTACAAATTACGAGGGGTAACAGTCAACTACCGGTTAACCGGTCTCTCACAACTGCCTCATCCCAACCCATTGCCATTTGTGTGGTCAATATATAACTTTTTTTTTTTCATTATTACGAGAGAAGAATATAAATAAATAAATTAAGGGGTTTTTGTTTCTATGGGGCTTTTCACGTCTTCTTCCTTCTTTCTTTTATAGGGACAACGACGGATTCATACCGCAAAACTCGAGAATTCTTCCTTCTTAAAATCTCATTTTCTCCAACTTCTGTATAGATCGATTCCAATATTTTTTTTTTTCATTTGTACATTTTCTATAATACATATAAAACATCAAATCTGTATGGGAAATTCGGGTTCCTGTTTGCGTGATCTGTAATTTATTGGTTCGGGATCGTGATCAAGGAACTGGTGGTTGATAGGTGAGTTTTGATCAAAATTGTTTTCGAGCTTACCCATCTGCAAAACTCTGGGTTTTTGGTGAATTCTCTTGATTTTTGACCCTTGACTCTGATATTGATTTCGGATTTCTATTAAATTCTTTAGCAAAATCGACAATTTGTTTGAGATCTGATTGGGAGCATCAGGTTACTGTTTGTTTTCAGCTTGAATGTAATTTTTCTTGGGGAGTTGTAAGCAAATTCTGTCATTTTGAGTCTTAACTTTCTTACTTATGCTTTAGCATTCCCATGATCCGTTTCTCGTTTTCTGCCTTTTCTTAGATCACGGGCTCGCATTTGGTTACTTCCTGATTATGTATCTGATCTGCCTGGTTTCTGTCCAATTTTATGTTATTGATCTGATCTGATCTGTGAATTGCTCTACTGTGGATTCTCATGGCTACTTCCTGATTATGTATCTGATCTGCCTGGTTTCTGTCCAATTTTATGTTATTGAATTTACAATTCCATTATATGGCTAAAGTTACGTTGATCCCATTATGCTGAATTTAGCTAAAGATGATCTCAAGGTTAATTTTTGCGCTGATTCATTGCAGCTTTTTTTTTGGTCTTGCTAGTGATATGCATATCTGAGAGATGGTGTTCAAGAGGAAGTTAGATTGCGTATCTGTTGGCTTTGATTACCCCAATATTCCCAGGGCTCCTCGTTCATGCAGGGTAAGCGATCATCATCTGGATCCGTTAGCTCAATGCCATGAATTGCTCTCTGATGACTCTCAGGTTGATTTTTCAGAGGAAGGTTTTTAACAAGAGGACCGATGATGACAATCAGATGTGTGGAATGGACTTGCTCGCTTCTCTAGCTGGAAAGTTGCTACAGGAATGCGAGAGTTCCTCAGCGTCTTCCAATGCATTTGAAGGGAATAATCACGAGAATTTCAGTAAAGAAATGAAACAAGAACAAGAAGAGAAATATAAGCCTTTTAAATCTGAGTCTTCTGACCTAGGAAACTCTGTGTCGAGGCCTGCATATGAAAACACTAGTGAGAAGTGTGTGGTTAACAGTTTTTCATTTCCGGATAATGACGGCATTTTGGAGCGAACTCCGATGTCCGATTACAAGAAGATTCCTGTAGGGTGTGAAACCAACAACGGGAATTGTGACTTTCACGTCAAATCTGAAGGCATCACTGGGGAGACGGGTGATGTTAATGTTAATACTGGGTTTGAACAAGGAGAAGCAACCGATGCCTTGGGAGATGGAGGCTTGATCACTGATACTTGCAACTTAGAGGATACAACTGCATTAGGTGTGCAGTTTCCTAAATCAGTCTGCGTGGATGGTGATTTAAAATTGCCATCTTGCGTGAATAATGGTTCCTTTGCTAGACATGGGAATCATACTAACCTAGGTAGAGATGATGATGAAAAATTATATAGTTATCATAAACTTAGCAATAAATTTAAGTCGTATAGGTCTCCAACAATTCAAAGAATAAGAAAGTCGCTGTCGTCCAGATACTGGAAACAAGTTCCCAAGGATTTTGGACACAATAGAGCTGGTAAGTATCACAGCCTGCTTCACTTATATATTCCTTCATTTTGTGCAATGCCCTGTTCTTACTTTGATCACGAATGTGTAGATGTTGGTGTAAAGGCTCTTTACCGCAAAAGAAGGTCATGTTATGGATACAACGCATGGCAGCGTGAGACCATTTATAAGAGGAGAAGATCATCTGACAGAAGCTCGGTTGTAACTTCTGATGGAGGACTCAGTAGTGGAAGTGTTTCCAAGTTACCTGAGAAGCGAGATGCAGGTGGTTATTGTAGTCTATATCACAACTCTTCAGTTATCTTATCTTAGCTGTTGTGTTCCCCATTCAAAGTGCTCCCATGGTACTTGACCGGTTGATATATGACACTGAGACATTTATTCGGAGACGTGAAGATGTTGTCTCATGTATTTTTTTATCTCTGGTGCAGTAAAGCTTAGCATTAAGTCCTTTAAAATTCCAGAGCTTTTTATTGAAGTTCCAGAAACTGCAACAGTAGGATCACTAAAGGTACATGGTAGTGGGTATTTTCTTTCATTCCCTCGCATATGCTTGGTTCGCTTGTGTGGACATTGAGTTGTTGATATAAAAAAGTCGTGATCATTGACCCTTTTGTTTACAGAGGACGGTGATGGAGGCTGTCAGTGTTTTACTCAGCGGTGGAATACGTGTTGGGGTGTTAGTTCATGGGAAGAAGGTCAGAGATGACAGGAAAACTCTGACACAGACTGGGATTTCATGTGATGAGAATCTAAGCAACCTTGGGTTCACCTTGGAGCCTGGTCCCAGCAAAGTTCCCGTGCCTTTGTGTTCTGAAGATCCTGTTGTGCCTACCGACCCTATCAACTTGTCTGAACGGTACTAAGAAATTCGATATCTTGTCATGGTGCTGAGGGATTTGCTTTAATCGAATATCCCTGATGCTCTTTCTTCTTGAAGATTCCTAAGCAAAAGCAACTTCTTAATGATCTTCCCAGGTCTGAGGCTTCTCCCACGTTAGATTCTGGAATCCCCAATGCAGATGACATGATTAATTCAGGAGATATTGTGGACAATAACCTCGAATTAGTTCCATATCAGAGTGACCTATCTGTTGATGAACACTCATCAGATTCAAGAGCGCTTGTTCCAGTGCCAGCCTTGGAAGTTAAGGCGCTTGCCATAGTTCCGTTGAACCAGAAACCTAAGCGTACTGAGCTTGCCCAGCGCAGAACCAGGAGACCCTTCTCTGTGACAGAGGTAGAAGCTCTCGTACAAGCAGTTGAGGAACTCGGGACTGGAAGGTATAATTCATGTGGTTTGGTCGTGGATTAATCTCAAAACTCAAAAACTAATGGTCGATATATCTCTTCACACAGATGGCGTGATGTGAAATTGCGTGCTTTCGAGAATGCAGATCATCGGACCTACGTGGACTTGAAGGTAAACACATTAAACACAAACTTATAATCTGTAACATATCACATCTCACGGTACTTAATGTTCCAAGAACATGTGATTTTTACAGGACAAATGGAAGACGCTGGTTCACACGGCAAGTATATCACCGCAGCAACGAAGAGGAGAGCCAGTGCCACAAGAACTGCTAGACAGAGTCTTGAGGGCATACGGGTATTGGTCGCAGCACCAAGGAAAACATCAGGCGAGAGGAGCACCCAAAGATCAAGACATGAACAGAAGTCGAGCTCTTGAGTCAGGTGTTTCAGTGTAAAATGGAGGTAAGTATTGGTCGGTGGGTGGGTGTACAGAAGAAAACAACAATAATCGAAAACTCAATTTCTGCAAAGATTAATTGTCATTAATTCTCGCTCTCCTAAATACGCTTCTTTTTTTTTCTGCTTTGGCATCTTGTAAATGACGTCACATCTGGGATGAGATTCGTCCTTAACAACTTTTAGGTTTTCTATCGTTGTTTCTTTTCTTCACATTGATTATGATGTGTAATTTGGTCGGTCCATGAAAAAAGGGTTTTGTAATTTTAGACATTCTTTTATATTATTCTTCTATCCTTTCTGATAAGCGATATATGATTAGTCAATGTTCTTAATCATTATTTTCGTTATTTTTATATTGTGCTATTATTTTTAGCTCCAGGAGGAAGCTAGAGATATCGTGAATAAGCCAATTTGAAAGAATCAAAGATACAGAATAATATCGCTCTATGATTTAGGAATAGTTGACAGGTGGGGAAGACACAATGTCTATTTACTTATTTTCCTACGACTTGTCCTTATATTCATCTCCCATCTCCTGCAACTGCTAAGTACATGCCTCAGATTAGCAAACTACGAAAGAATAGACCTAGCATTTTGGCAGTCTAGTGTACCGGGTTAATGAGATTATATCCCTTAAGGCCTATGACGCTTAGCCTGATTCCATTGCTCCAGTAGACAAGTAACACCCTCCTGCAGCGTGGCCTTCCTGTCTTCTCTAAAGTTCCACAGCTCCGAGGAGATGTACCTCCCACTCGGGTTATACTCGTTTATCTCCATCAATGCATTTGCCACTGCTTGGTGCGCATCATCCCCGAGTTCATTCTTCAGGGTTCTTAACTTCTCGTCATCCTCATCTATTACTTCCTGACAAAGATATCAACAGCTTCAGGGCTCTACATTTATCAAAACACAAAGTCCAACATGTATCAAGAAATCTGCATATGCGGATTGCAGTTGTACGTATGCAAGTGATGAATGCAGGTCTTCTGCCGGTAACATTTAATAAAAAAACATATGATTTAGGATGGAAACTAAGAACAAAACTGATTAGGATTAGTGATATATTATTATAGTACAGGAGAAGGAATACCACTACTGTTTCTGGAGTCTCAAGCTTTATCCGTTTGAAAGGATGCCAATCTGGGTCCTTAAGATATTCCTCCCAGAGCTGGATAACTTCAACTGCCCAGTCCTCTAGATCTTCTTGACAATAATTTCTTCTCATTGCTTCCATGAAGGGTTTTGTGTCAAGCTCCCCCATTCTCCTAACACCAATATGCGATCGCATGTCTCTCAAATTCTATAAATGCAGTCAGGTTAAGAAAAAACATTTAGAAGAAAGTAGTTAGTGTCTTCTATATCGTTAATGCTTCCAACCACTCTAGCCTACCATGTCCAGTATCATCAGAGTTTATGATAACATAAACTCCCTACATGCAAAGATTCACCTAGCGCCTCTATGAGACCAATAGTTATGCATAACAATTAAATTCTTCGAATATAATAGATCAACATACGATTATTAGTGCACTTCGAGCTTCTTGAAGCTCATCATTGGTCTTCCGCTCCCGTACAACAAGATCTTGATTAAATTTATTTACGTGTGCAAGCTCTCCTTCCTTCTCACTAAGGTCTCTGAGGAAGGTCTCCACCTTGTTCACAATTTCAGTACCACCGTCCAATTCCATGTGCCTCATCACGCTCAGCTGTCTTTTCAACTGTTCAACCTCCAGTTCAAGCTCTTGTTTCTGAGCAAGCTCTCTTTCTAGTGCAGCAATTCTGTCATGAAGCTTTTCCTTTTGTATCTAAGAAAGGTTAAAAACACGGCAGGACCCTGTCACATAAAGTTAAAGAGCCAACCGTTTTAAAGAAGGAAGTGTTTCCAGACCTTGTGATCTACAGCCAACTTTTTCAATTTCTCTCTGGTCTTTTGTTGTTCCACGGAAGCTAGTTGAACGTAACTATATTTAGCGGCAATCTGAAAATGATGCCATTCAAAAATATTTAGCAGAAGTAGGAAGCAATCCCGAATGGATTACATAGACGAGCACGGTAGCATTTACCTGTTCAAGCTCTTCTGTCACTATTGTCATCTGTGTTTTATTCTCTGCCTCACGTTTTGTCAATTCCAATTCTCTAATTTCAAGTTGCTTCATCTGAGTCTCCAGCTGCACCTTTTGCTTTTCATGATCAGCAAAGATCCTACTGAAGTGATCAGTCGATCTTTGTTGTCTTCTCGTAACATCTTCAGATGCAAAACGAAAAATGTAACACGCATATAAACACAATCTGTAGGCATATGTATAGCTGGATAATGCAACAATATTTACTCTAAAGGGATGTGAATCGTGAAGCTAAAAGGAAAACCTCACCTTCATTGTAACCATGGAGAAGTTTTTCTTTTTCCTCAGTCTCATACTTAAGTTTGATTGAAGCCTTTGAAAATTTTTCCTGTAGCCTCTTCAACTGATTTTGATTGTTCTCAAGGATTACGTTCAGACGCTGCAGAAGCTTTTGGTCTTTCCTGATCTCTTCTTCTGCAAACCTAGAAATACTTTTGAGGTCACCCATCTTCCGCAAGTTCTCTCCTACATAGTTAGCCCTATAGTAATCATCGGTATTGGCAAGCCATGCATAAAGGCTCGAGTCAGCAGCACCACAGAGCCAATCCTTTTTCCCATGACCATCTGCTTGATAAGCCTTCTTGAACAGCAAAGCATCGTGAAGTCCATTCCAGTCTCTGTTAAATTCCACTATTCCGGCCCCTGAATGACCGAAACAGTCCCACACGGTACGAACTCGAATTGGGTTGAATCCTCTTCGGATTAATTCATCCTTAAGCTGTGGTCCACTCTCCCCAGTACAACACAGACCATCTTGTGCCATCGTCGTGGGAATATTAACCAAAATGCCTATCCCAGCCACAGACACAACTTCTGTTAGTAGAGCCAATACGATACTAGTAATGACATTGGAGAAAAGCACGTGTCATTACCTTTCCAAGGCCACACAAGTTTCTCGAATGATTCATCATAAACTAGAGGAGTATCGCCGGTTTCAGCAGGAGTGGATGAGATTCGCGCTTTTAAGCGCTTGGATACTGTAGCGTAACCTGCAAGATCTTTTCGAAGGTATTTGGCAAGAGCACGGTGGCTTGCCCTCTCTGTGACACTTCTTTTCTTGGAATTGCTATTACCAACCCCAGAAGCATGCTGAAGGATGTCGGTATACAAACCAACCTTGGTCTTGTTCTTGGGGCAATAAGGACACAGGAAAGTACGGTATGAGACTTTCACCTCGAGCTTTCCGCTCTTGAGTTGTTTGTACAAACTTTTTTCAAAATTTTTCACTGTGTTCTGGGTCACCATCTTGTTGCATTCTTGTTTCACATCTAAGAGCTGCAAAGTTTTTAAGTACATTGTAAGTAAATGGTAATGGCCACCATATCCGCATGGAACACTAAAAGTCTTACATTCTTAAACCCTTGCTGATAAAATGTTATAACACTACTCAGACCTACAAACTGTTGGGAATGATGACACATTTTGAAATACTAAGGATTCAGCTACAATTCAATCAATATGAAAAGATTTGATAAGATCCGGGATATATGGTCGCTCCTATACTTAACTGAGTGTGTCTGCTCCTTGTCTCTGTTTTATGAAACATGCATGGTTTGGTCTCTTCTCCTCTGTTCTAAGAAACATGCATGTTTTGATTTCAGGAGAAATCATGAAAAAATTGGATTCTAGTGTTCACTATTGACTTGTGAAATTGAAGAAAAACGTCGGAATCCCAATATTCCAGAATTGAAATTGGTGAAGAAGAAACAGTAAATGTAACAAGTGTACCTGAGAAATCGCATGTAGAGAAGAGAAATAAACTTCAACTGATTCATTTTGCTCTGATAAAATTCATTTTTCTTTTTCTGAGTTGTTCCGTTTCGAGGGAGAAGCAAGCAAAGGGCTTGAAGATTCCAAGAAACCTCTGTTTGCATTTCCACGCGCCATAGGCGCGTGGTTGTGTGTGTCTCACACAGCTACGGAAAAGTGAAATAAAAATATATTTTTTTCCCACATTCTCCATTTTTAATTATCTATTTTGAGAGCACTAGAGTCAGGCCTAGACTGAGGTACATCTCAGGATTTTCTCTTGGATCTTATGGTTCTTGTGGAAAGCAAGGAAAAAAAGGTCTTTGAGAATGTGGACGAGCAACCGCCAGACATTTTAGATCATGCAAAGGCAGAGGAAGAAGCGTGGAGAATGGCAAATGAGGAGGAAAGTGGGACGTCTAGTACAGGCCTGACTCCAACGCCAACAAACACATCCACTTCCGAGATGTCAGGCTGCTTTATCGACGGTTCATGGTCGGACTCGGCGGGCATTAGTGGACTCGGTTGGATTGTCGTTGCCAATCGAAATACCAGTTTTGTGGGTCTACGCGGAATAGATCGAAGCTTATCTCCCCTACACGCGGAACTGGATTCTCTTTTATGGGCCATGAAATGTGTCCTCTCTTCACATGTTACTTGTGAAGTTTTTTATACAGATTGCCGGGACTTAATTTTCATGACAGCGAACCCTTTGGATTGGCCTACATTTGCAGCTGAGCTTGAAGACTTTAGGTCTTTATCGTCATGTTTTAGTTCATTCCGTTTAGCTCATATCTCCCGATCTTGTAATGTCCGTGCTGACTTGTTAGCAAAAGCTGTTAGGGCACGAGGAGTAAGGTTTTCCCATGTAAGCATAGTGGCCCCAGCCTAGCTATCTCTTGAGGAGAGTCGTTTGCCGCAAGCGCAATAAAATGGTGTATTTGTTGTCAAATATATATATATTTTTTTTCTACGGTTCCGAAGAAATTTTTGACAAAATCTTAATAAGAAAGAACAGTGGTGGTGGATTCAGATCAGAATAGTGTCACCTTGCTACCTATGCTAAATGTTTCAAAGTTGATTCTAAAACAAGTTCGTGTATTGAAAACTGAAGGATTTGACGAGCAGTGTGATTCTCGTTTTTGTTTGATATAATAATGTATAAAACTTGAAGGTGTGGAATGCAAGAACAAACTTACTAGTTGTTTGATTGTTCTTCTCATTTTTTTCCTATTTTAGCATATAATGATTTATTGCGTGTATAATGGATTGATGGTCGTCAGTTTGCAATCCAAAATTCTTTTTGCATGACGATCAATTTACGTTTTCTATAATAGAAATTCTATTAAATTGCATGCGAAAGAAAAATATTACAAACCTAACCTAGACTACAATGAATAATGCATAAAGATCAGTAACGTTTCAGGTTACTGAAACGCACGCATTTTGCATTAAACAATATATACCAAATCAAGAATCTCAATCCTTACTTTCTATTGAATCGCTCTTTTGAACAAGTCAATTGACTGTTTTTGATCACATCCCCAAAACAAAAGATATTGTTACTTTTGATTGCTTTGTAGATTAAAAATAGAATCAGTGTTCTCCCCTTACCTTACGTATAGGAATCAGTTCCCACCTTCCATATCCGCATATGTTGTAAGAATCATTGATTTCAAATCTCCTATTTAAAGACCCGAAACAAAGTAAATAAAACATAGAGCATTTTTGCCAGTTAAAAATAATTTTCTTTTTCCTGATTGAGACATCTTTCATCACCAGCTACGCTACTAATTAATTAATTAATTAATCAGACATGAAAATCATTTCATTGATGTCCATCACCATGATCGTCATCCTCTTGATGATATCATTTCTGGATCCGATCAAAAGTCAAGGTATCGTTGGTTGCGATAGTGAGCTTGATAAATGTATAACCGCGATGAATGAATACCGATGGTTTTTCGTGTGGGAACACTGTTGTTCGAAACTGAATAAGAAAGGCCCACAACCTTGTATGTGTTTGTTTTTCAAGTACCCTGCCCTAAAGCAAACTGCTCTCAAGCTTATCAACTATTGTAAGGCTCCAATTCCCAAGTGTTAAAAAGCTATATCTATACACTATTTTGATCTGGTAATCAACCATGTATTTATTTGTTTTCAAAATTAATCAAAAATCTACAATAAATCCAATTGTTTTCTTACACACACGCATATATATAGAACAACGTCCTTCCGTTATAGCTCCCAATATCAAGTGAAAGGATTAGATTTACAAAGGAAAGAGATAGCGAAACTCGTATTCGTGAGTCCTCACTTCTACCAATTTGTTCAAAGGAGACTCGCTATTCTTGTTCAACCACTCAATCGCTGTTTCCTTGAGCTGCAAGCAACGTTGTATTGGTGGCAATTGGCTGCATATCCATTCAACCAGTGACCCTTCATCCTCTGCGAAATCCCGCATACGCGTGTGCAAGAATCGTGGAATCACAATCTTTTTCCTTCCCGAGATACCTATGGAAGCTTCTAAATACTCCGTTCTTGCTTTGATTAGTTCGTTCACCACATCTTCTGCTGTATAGACTCTCAACTGTATCATGTACGTACACAATAAAGATTCTTTGTTAATTACTAATCTTGAAGCAACATTAATCAAAATATTCATGGAGAGAACTGAGCATGAGCTTACTGCAGGTGAAGACCAATCTCCACGACAAAGCACGAACATTAGGTTCGGTTCTACGCATCTGAATCCAAACCGTTTCTGTAATCTCGCTTCGCTTTCACTAGTTGGAACCTTCAAATGGTAAAAATAGACATTCGATATCGATTCTTAACAACTTCATAGGATTATATATGTGTGTGTGTGTAAACATCAACACTTACAGTTTCCCTGGGTTCGCATGGACTCTGCAAGATGGATCCTTCGATATCTAGCGCAGATAGTTGCGTGCCTCCCACGTCAATTGTTGCCTACAACACAAGTCGATTTGATTAATTAAACATAAGTATGAGAGGGGGTGTTTTTTTTTTTGGTAATAATTAATTACCATTTTGAGAATGGTCAGTAGTTTCTCCTTTGACGAAGGTAGTCCGTGCTCCAGAAATCCCTACAAACAATTTAAGGATTATCATAAGATTTAGACTTTGTTTCAACTAAGAAATAAGTTGAGTTTTCGTAATTACATTCATGACGCAAGCGTTGTAGGAATTGATCCAGAATGCCATCTTTTTCTTGTGGTTCAAGAAACTCAAATCGACTTTGCTCAACTTCTCCTTCAAAACCCTACAGATGTGTTTTAATTATACAGAGATCATGAAATCTAGTGGTCTCATCAGATAAGAAATTAATAAGGAATATGAGATTGAAAGTACCTCAAATTGACAAGAGAAGTGGAGCAATCGGACAAACGGCTAACATCAATGGAGGTTCGAGTGATGTGGATGAAGTTCTTGTACTCTCCAATGTCTCTAAGAGGAGTCCCCATCACAGCTCCATAAGGATCAAGATTTGATGCGTTGTGATCATACACCGATTTGCGTTTGAAAGAAGCGTTCCTCAAGTGTGAGAGACTCAGCTTTGAAACCGTTCTTGACCCTTCTCGCTCTCGCGATGACCTGTTGAGTTCCAGATAGATTCCCATCAAGCACTTCACTAGATCTTCCGACACTCCATTTGGTGTCGTCTCTTGCCCTTTCTTCTTCTCTTGCGTTCTTGATGATCCATCAGAAAAAGTGGAAGAATGGATTCTTGATGAGAACTCCATGGTTGATCCAATTGAAGCATGAATTCGAGGACTGTTGGTTTGAATTTCCTTGACAACATGATGATCTCCATAACTCTGGGACTTGGATCTTTGTTTCAAATCATCAGATCTCATCTTTGTGATGTCATTGTTAGCGTCGCAAGGAAGATGATTCTGCCTTTGTAGTAGTCTCTTAGGAGTCATCATCCTCTCTTCTTCTCCTTCATCAATACTGGCTTCGAGTTCTTCATTCTCTTTCTTCTCACTATACACATCAAGTTTCAGGTCTTGGATTCGTTTCTCAAGGCAGAGTATCTCTGCCTCAACCGTCGCAAGCTCCTCTATTAGCTCTTGAACCTATATACAATCTCAAAAATATCATGTTTCGTTTCTTCATTCAAATTGCAAGAGAAAAGAGACTTGCCTGAGGAGGAAGAAGCAGTAAAGAGAGACGAGGCTGAGACATGACTGGACCACGAAGCATATCACGTAAAGCCTTGTTGAGTGCTTGCTCGTCCTCTAGCTCTCCTTGCATTTTCATCACTTCTCTTTGAAGACGACGTTTTTGTTTCTTCTTTGCCAAGTCATTCTTCTCTTCTTCGCTCTTATCATCCTTCAGTTTTGATGACTGCAACAAATTGATCCACAAAAAATAACAGATTTGGATAACTGAAGATAAGCCGGGAAGCAATGTGTATCTTGTGGGTCAAGTAAATATGAATCGTGAAGCCTAAATATATGAGTTTTTGACTTACTTGCTTTTGCAATTGCTGGTGCTGTTGACGGCGATGATGATCGAGAAGAGACGCTACGCTATATTGATCTTTGGTTTCATCTTCCACAAGTAAGTCCTCTAGTTTCATTTTGAGTTGTATGGTGGAGTCGAGAGAAAAAGCAGAGTGATCATGAGTTTTGGTGAAGCTTTAGAAAAGGAAAATTAACGTGGGAAGATATGAGATGATAAATAACAGTCGTGCCTGCAATTAAGTCTTATGTTGAATCCACACCCATTGGCTTGGATTTGTTTTTAGGATTAGGAGAAAGTCGTCATGACGTGATAGCCATTAACACAAAAGAGCTTGATTCCGGTTAGAGAAGAAAAATTAAGATAAACTTTACTTTATTCTTTAAGAATACAGCGCAACATGGCTTAATTATCTTTGTTTGACTAAATATAAAACTGACCGGTGGTGTGATTCGAGTTCCTTCTTCATTATTTTTCGATTTTAGTCTTACCAAAATAAAAAATAAAAAATTTGGTTGACGATCCCGGTTTTGGTTTGAGTTTGGTTCAGTTACAATACCAAATCAGACCGAAACTTATTAGGTGCAGTAATTAGATAAGACAGCCTTACTAATCCATTTTAATTTTAATTTCCCGCTACACTGAAACCTGAATTCCCGCCAAACGTAGAAAGATTATTCGAAGCTTTGTAGTAAGCGACGTCGACCTACCCACCACGATCGAAACTCTTCTGTGTCGTCTCTCTACTTCTCTTCTCGTTGATTTTACTTTCTAAGCTAGATCCCTTTCCTTCTCTTCGATTTGTGGATCTTTGGGAATTTCATTTTTTTTTTTTTCGTTTATAACGCTTCTTCGGGATTGTCGTTTACTTTTCGTTTGTTAAAGATCTGAAGGGATCGATCTGATCTTCCAGGAATCACACGAAATCTAACCAGGTAATTTCGAGATCATATCACAAAATCAGGAACATGAACTCCTCTCTTACTGTACCCGGCTTAGAGTTTGTCCTCAGAAACTGCGAAATTCGATTGTTGGATCACTAGCTTGTTTGACTTTTAGAGTTTTTTTTTTTTAATTGTTAATTCATAATCCCACCGAGATTGAAACGGGACATATACTGGACATATGCTAAAACATACAAAAGGGTGGGGGAATATCATGTAGACAATGTGTTTGATTAAATGCCTAAATGGAATATATTTTCTTCCTTTTAATCGGGGCAACTGAGACGAGCTTGATTTTACTCCCCCTGATGATGTTGAACTTTCTCAGCTTTGCTTTAACATGTTCTCTAGATTTTAGATGTTTTTTTTTCTCGCATTTTGTCTCTAATTTGATCACCGTTTACCTGCCTTCGTGGTTTCTCCATGTGTATTATACCACACGGTAGTTATCTCAGACAATAATTCGTTGGTCTCTTCTCTCTTATAACACAGTAGCTTGTTTTTCCATTTAGCTTTGGAAACTGAGATTTCTTGAGGTACATCCATGGCTGGCCAGACTGATCCTCACATCTCGCTTTTTTCTCCACAAGAGGTCCTTCTTCTTCTCATTATTTGTATACGTTTCTGCACGTACGTCTGCAATTATATAATTGATGATCATTTCATACCAGGTTGAGTTTATGGCAGAGGACGAACTGGTGCAGATTGTTCCGAATATGAACATGGAGCCACTCAATTTCATCAGTGTAATCTCTCCTCTTCTATACAATCCTGCATAATTCACTGCCACCATAACCTTTTCGTCAACCATGTAGCTAATATGTGAGCCGGTGACAGGGGGATTTTGGTCGGTTTGTTCCTCAGATTCCGATAGAAGTGCCTCTGTGGCTTGCAGTGGCACTGAAGAGGAGAGGAAAATGCACTTTCCGGCCTCCCGGGTGGCTTTCTGTTGGTATGACAAAAAGAAATGCACATTTTGCAATAAAACATTTTACTGCAAGGGGAATTAGATGCTTAAGTATTAACTGTTTCTTGTTGCTTCTTCGTTTGCGAAATTAGACAATCTGACTCAGATCCTGGAAGCAGAACGGGAATCTCAGTCGACATTTCAGGCATTACCATTTAGTTATGTGGAGATTGCTAGACTACTTTTTGACCAGTAGGTTTTCAGACTCTGCTTGTTTCGTTGCTCCTCTCTTGCATTTGTAGTATCTGAGGGTGCTGATGAGTATTTGAAAAATCTCACTTTTGGCAGTGCACGTGACGATATTCCAGACATGTATATGGTAAATTTCATACATCTTGTAAACCATGTGTTTAAATCCTTCAAGCGTTTAGAGCTTGTTCATGGATTTTGTATAGGTAAGATCTCTAGTTGAGGACATCAGAGATGTGCGTCTTCACAAACTCGAGACTAACTTGGGATCATTTCAGGGTACATCTGCAGTAAAGGTAACTGTTTTTGATTGCGTCTTCTTGACATTCACCTTTCTCTCTTTACATCCCAAGGAGTAGTTTCAATAATAACCATATCTTTATTCAAAAAATGCAGATCTCTAATGTATCGGCAATGGAAGTGAACCTAGTCCGCCCGTTTGTGAGAAGAGCCTTGGAAGCGTTTTATAAGCATGACAAGCCAGAGGCTGATGCAGACAGAGACACTAGAAGTAGTAGACAACCACGTGAAGCTAACAATGAACCAAGGGTAAAGCCCTTCACACTGCTCATTTATTTTCTTTTTCCTTTTTAAGAGAAAACAAATACAAACCGCAACACATGTTTTACAGAGACCTCTAAGGCAACGCTAAAGAGCTTCGGTGTCCTTGCCTGAGTGAGAACTGAGAAGGCAGGTATCTTCTGTGCCAATATTTGTGGAGCTCCCTGAGAAGTGAGAAAACCAACAGCATCTATCTCTGTGTCTTAATATATGCCTTGTTCTGTTACATACTCTTTTGGTATGAAGCATCTTTTGCTCTTACGAATGGTTCGCATATTCTGGTATGGCTAATTCACTAATGAAATTATTGAAGATAGATAGATAGATAGATGGAGAATGAGTTAATTTGAGTAAAAATGGTAACAAAATTTGTAAACGTTAGATGGATCCCATATTGTTGCATTTCAAGTATGCGGCCTAAACCAATATCAATGAACACCTAATCTATTTCAAAAGTCTATCAACCCCAGTGCAATGAAATAATCTAATTATGAAAAAGGTTCTAAAATCAGAATTGAACTAATGATGGATTTGAATCATAAGATGATATTATGGATGGTACTGTTTTCTAAATGACTATTATCGTTTATGTTACAAACTTCAAATGTGAGAAGTCAAAGGCTATGTACTAAAACAATATACAAACCGATAATTAAGACACGCAATCAAATGATTAAGCATTAATATAAAGTTTAACACTCAGAATGAATGTAGCTGGCTTTGCGTCCTTATCCTTCCCCACTGGCACTACGCTTTCTGTTTCTTCATGCTACAACAATCATCAGTAGTAGGCATACGTCCCTCTTCACACATTGATCCCATTCTTACTCTACGTCTCTACTCCACCGATTCCGATGTCACTCGCCGTCAAGAAGAATCTCACCACTGCTTCATCCTCGTCATCTCCGGCGATTCCGGTTAAGGTCATTCCTCTCCAGCATCCTGAATCCACGCCGTCTGATGATCCTCGTCGTCCCTGCACTCAATTCCATGATTTCTTCTCCCGATGGAAGGCAACGATCAAGCGTATGACGGTCTTCGACTGGTTGGATACGATATTCCCTTGCTTCCTTTGGATTCGGACTTACCGGTGGCATCAATACTTTAAGCTCGATCTTATGGCTGGCATCACCGTCGGTGTTATGCTTGTTCCCCAGGTAATTTTCTGTTTCTTCATTTCCGATTGATTGTCTTATCTCTTGATTCATGTATATGTTTGTTCGTCTTAAATTAAGCGAGTTTAGTTTTGAATAACTTTCTGTATTGGTGGATTTGAGAAGGCAATGTCGTATGCAAAATTAGCTGGGCTTCAACCAATATACGGTCTATGTGAGTTCATTGTGATTCATCGATGTGATAGTATAAATGTATAAGCTATTCCACTTTAGCATTTAATTATTAATCTTGTTTCCTTGTATCTGTTGGTGCAGACTCCTCATTTGTGCCGGTATTTGTGTACGCCATATTCGGCTCATCTCGTCAGCTTGCAGTTGGACCTGTGGCATTGGTTTCTCTTCTCGTCTCTAATGCTTTGGGTGGAATTGTTGATCCGTCTCAAGAGTTATACACTGAGCTTGCCATTGTGTTGGCTCTTCTCGTTGGAATATTTGAGTGCATCATGGGGATTTTAAGGTAATTATAGTCTTCTCTTCGCTGCTACTCTTTTAGCTTACTTGTGCTAGCATGTCCTGTGTTTATTTTTGTAGTGTTAGAACAAGTCATTCGTTTGTGTTTCCAACTCAGGCTTGGATGGCTTATTCGTTTCATAAGTCACTCAGTCATTTCTGGATTTACAACTGCTTCCGCTATTGTGATTGGATTATCCCAGCTGAAATACTTCCTGGGGTATAACGTTTCCCGGAGCAGCAAGATTGTGCCACTAGTAGAGAGTATAATAGCTGGAGCTGATCAGGTGAAACTTTGTTTTTTCGGATGAGCTGACATTTAAATACTCTGCTCTATCCCCTCAAGGTCCTTAAATTGACCATAAAAAGACCTTTTGTGGTTACTTGTATAACTTCATCTGGCTTTCTATTTTGCAGTTTAAGTGGCCGCCTTTCTTGTTGGGGTCTACCATCCTGGTGATCCTACTAGTAATGAAGCATGTGGTATGAGCCTTGTTCTTTCCTATGTTAGCAGGATAGTTCGTGCTTTCCCTACTTTTATTATGCTAAAGCATATGATGTTCCATGGCAGGGAAAAGCAAACAAGGAACTTCAGTTCGTACGAGCAGCAGGGCCGCTCACAGGGCTTGTTCTTGGTACAACCATTGCAAAAGTGCTCCATACACCTTCCATCTCACTGGTCAGATTCCTAAATAACCAAATTTTCTTATATAACTCCTCATTGAAGTTACATATTTTATTGCAAAGTTTTTAGGATTTTTCAGGTGGGAGATATACCTCAGGGCCTTCCAAAGTTTTCTTTCCCCAAAAGTTTTAATCATGCAAGATTATTGCTTCCAACAGCAGCTCTCATAACTGGTGTGGCCATCTTGGTGAGACATAATCGTTATTGACTTCTTTCAAGTGGACATCCGCAAAGTGCAGCTGAATCTAATCATGAAAATCTGACCTCTTGAGAAACAGAAGAGACAGTTTCTTGATTATGTTCAGCTGCAGTTTGCGCATGTTTCGCTATATACTGATGTGCTAGTTCAACTTTTTATCCAGGAATCTGTAGGTATTGCCAAAGCACTAGCAGCGAAAAACAGATACGAGTTGGATTCAAATTCAGAGGTAACAGCCCTTATAGAATAAAGAAAATAAAGTGCTAGCCTAATTGTTACCATAAAATGATGTTGTACGTGGTTCTTTTGAGCTCAACTTCTCAAGGTCGTTCCAATCTTTTCTTCCGTAACTTGACAGTTGTTTGGTCTTGGTGTTGCAAATATATTGGGGTCATTGTTTTCTGCATATCCGACAACAGGTACATTATCTTGACTCTAAATATGAGTAAAGCCTGACAAAAATTTTGTGTTTTTTCTTTGCTAAATTTGGAAAAACAATGATTATATCAGTTATACCCTGAATCCGAGAATCTATTGATTCCCTGAATGTATCATTATAGGATCCTTTTCTAGGTCCGCGGTGAATAGCGAAAGTGAAGCTAAGACTGGCCTATCAGGCATTGTAACAGGCATCATCATTGGATGTTCTCTACTGTTCTTGACCCCAGTCTTCAAATATATACCTCAGGTTGATCTGTGGTGAATGTTTCTACTTCCACAATCTTGTGCTCGTTTTTTCAACTTCGCAAAGATTCCTTATAAATATGAAAACTAAGGAGAATTCTAAAACTATAATCGGCTGCTAACTCCTTTCTGTTTTTCAAATTCACAGTGTGCTTTAGCAGCAATAGTAATATCAGCTGTTAGTGGCTTGGTAAGTTTAAATCAACCCACCAAAACATGTGTACTCCTGCCTTTGGTTGTTGAGCAAAAATATTAACATTTACTCTGTCTGGATGTTTACCATTGTAGGTGGACTATGAAGGGGCTATATTCCTGTGGCGCGTGGACAAGAGAGATTTTACACTTTGGACCATCACTAGCACCGCCACTTTGTTCTTTGGAATAGAGATCGGAGTCCTCGTTGGTGTGAGTATGTTCAGATTCACTTTGTTATTAATAGGAACAATGATGCTGAATAGTAGGATAATCTATATGAATCGTGCAATGAAGTAAGGACTCACAAAGTTACAATGCTTGGAATTTCAGGTTGGCTTTTCACTTGCATTTGTTATTCACGAGTCTGCAAACCCCCATATCGGTAAGATGAGTTCAATTTGCCTGTTTCGTTTCTTAAAGTGGTTTTAAACTCATCTTCTTGATTACATTCCATTATATATGCTTGGCAGCTGTGTTGGGGCGTCTTCCAGGGACCACTGTGTACAGAAACATGAAGCAGTATCCAGAGGCATACACTTACAATGGGATTGTGATTATTCGAATCGATGCTCCCATATATTTTGCCAACATAAGTTACATCAAAGACAGGTGAAAGTGACCTTCGGTTCCTGACTTGCCTTGTGTCTGTAAACTTAAAGAAAGAATTAACACAACCCTGTGTAACTGTTTTTCCGAATCGCAGGCTAAGAGAATATGAAGTAGCTACCGATAAACGGACTACTAACAGGGGACCAGAGGTGGAGAGGATCTACTTTCTTATCCTGGAAATGTCTCGTAAGCCCCAACTTTTCTAATTCATGTTTTGAACTCGCATAGTTAGTTGATGGATGATGGGTATTTATTAACTTGGATGTAACGCAGCTGTCACATACATAGATTCAAGTGCCGTAGAAGCCTTGAAAGAATTGTACGAGGAGTATAAGACAAGGGATATTCAGGTGCAAAACTCTGTCTGATACATATCATCATCCTTGATGTAGTACTTGTTTCTAATTTGGGGAACTCCTTTGTGATGATTGTCAATGGAGCAGCTCGCGATTTCGAACCCGAACAAAGAGGTTCTCTTGACTCTGGCAAGATCAGGAATTGTGGAGCTTATTGGCAAAGAGTGGTACTTTGTGAGGGTACACGACGCCGTCCAAGTCTGTCTTCATTACGTCGAGAGCTCGAACCAGACAACCACAAATGTTGAAGACAGCAGCGATTCAAGCTTATGGAGAAGGTGTGGCGCGAAATACTTATCATACGCTAGAGTTGAATCCGACACTAGTCTTGTCTTAAAGGAGCCATTGTTGTCCAGCGAGGAATAAGATATTCAGCACTCAGATTCTTTTCTACGATATAGAATGTTGTTTGTAAATAAGACAAAATTCACTTGTGGAGGATGATGTAATTCCCATTTTTTCATATCCGTGTATAAAGAACCGAAATTGAAAATGGAAGAAAGACTCATTTAATATTTAAAAATTAAAACATTATAGTTTAGCTACCAACAGATAAGCCATAAGATAATAAACCCCTAATCTCTGGACTTGAAACTCCTAATCCGATCAGAATTAGCAACTAATATAATTTAGTGCAACATCATAGCTATCAAAACCTAAAACGATTCGCCGGCGATAAGAGAATGCAACCGCCTTAGGGTTTGTGAAGATCCTCGTGATTCCCAGAACCTTGACCTCTCTTTATGACTCTCAAATGGTTCCTCAGTCTCAACATCTCGTCACAGGCGGCCTTCAATTGCTCTGGATTCGTCGAATTCATCAGCTTATCATCTTCCCACCAAAATCGTTGAGGCGACGGATCCTCCTCGTCATCGTCATCGTCATCCACCATCTCCTCCATAGCATTCTCTGGTACAGGAACAGGAGAGTTGTCCTCGAGGAAAGTTTGAACCACGCCTTCGACAGAGGGATAGCCGAAGGCATGCATAGAGACGTCCGATTCGGAGGAAGGAGGAGTAACTAAGATGGCGATTTTGGTGGAGGGATCTTCGGAGACGAGTTTTGCTGCTTCACGGAAGAGATCGTCACGTAGCTCTGTGAAACCGACGGATCCTGATTCTTTCTTCTCCACCTTCTCTATCTTCTCCGTCTCGCTCTTCCTCTTCGAATCTCCCATTGTACCCGTTTCGACTTCACACTGATTTTGATGTCTATTTTTTTTTTGCTTCATAAAGATGCCAGGAACCGACTTCAAGCGAAAATAAAGACAATCGAAAATACACGATGCTCCTTCGTATATCCACGTGTACGGTGGAGATGATGTTTAATGGTGAACGGAACCCATGTCAAATAAAATTAGGAATTAAGAAAACGATTCCAATTTGGTTTACAAATCCAATCTGTAATGCGAGTCTATCACAACAAAATTAGAAACCAGTCTATACCATGAACAGACCAGACCACAACTAAACCGAAAACAATTAAAAAATAAAATATCATTAGTAATAGTAATCTACGTTTGAATTCAATTTATATCAAGATAAAATTCAATTAAGTAATGTAATGGTAATTAGTAAATACTAACTAACAATACAGAACCCTTTTTATACTTCCACTGAAAAGGATAATAAATGGTTAATTTATAATGGATAATTATAAGATATATGACAAAGTAGATCGAGCCTTGGTGTTGAATCTTCCTTGAAGACGAGAGAAGAAGCAGATAGGATAGCGATATAATAAAAGCCATGTAAAACTGAGTCTGCAAAATCAAAGTAATCAAGGAGCTACGAGTATTCGCATTCTGGGAGAGTCAGCAACAGTCAATGGAGAACGGGTAACTTCTTGAAGCGACCTAGACGTACATTTTAATTGTTTTTTCTTGGATAGGAAGCATTACCAGAGTGACCAGCAAATGAAAAATAATGTTTTTACCTTGTGATAGTTGTAACTTAGATTTGCGATTATGCAACATATAAATCATTATCTATAACTATTAGTGGTTCATCTGTTCAAGTTGTATCTTCTTCTGCTTTGATTTTACCCCAGGAAAAAAAATATATCTTATGGAAATTTTCAACTATACCTTTCGGAAACAAAAGTCGCTTGAAGGGTCTCATCATCCTGGCATATAGTTTTCGGAATAATATCATTGTACGTAGTATCAATAGTGAACCTGTCCATGTGACCAGACGCAACTGCCTAGATTTGGTTTACCACTCATGTATTCTAGGCATGAAAGTCAAATAAAGATCTCTTATACATTATTGTTTCTTCTGAATAGATTGCAACGCAGCCCACAGTGATGGAAGTTGATGACCAAGTCAAAAATGCTTATCGTGTTAGTGTATGTGTTTATAGAGAGAGAGATTAGATTATTGTATATTGTGTACGATAGTTGTATATAGTCAGAGCACGCAGCCGGTTTCGTCGAGATTTTGGTTTTTCAATAATTGTAACATGACACGTACTTTGGATAAACAGTCGAATAATGATAAATATATAGAGAGAGAGGAAGTCGTCATGAGTAGTTGGAATTTTTCTATTCCATGAATAGTGAATATAAAATATTTGTATGATTTAGTCTCGAGTCATCATAACATTGAATGGGAAATGATATACGTTACCTTATAATCCATTCTCGAAATCTCAATTTCTTTTTGAAAAAGTTGTTCATGAACCCGCCGCCTCATATTCACAATTACTTTCTGCTATTATTTTTTTCAACATTAATAGTTAAATCTTTTACGCATATCACAACGACACCACGTTACATATATCCTTGACTATTCTTTCAACTCTTCTGACTTGTCATTACACAAAATCCAGTCATGTATATATATGTTTAACCCAAAAAAAAGAGTATATGTATATGTGATTAATACACACTCAGATTGCTTAATGTGAAACTCGGTTTGGTCTTCTGAAATTGGTAACCTTCTACCAAATGTAGCACTGTTTCCGTTGTAGAAAGTTATCATTAAATGTTATAAACATAGATAAAATTAGGTCTATATAAAATATGTATGAAAATAATCACCAAAGTTAAACCAAAATCAACATCACCAAATCAACATCAGCAACATTGACGGAAAGGGAAAATAAAGAAAAAGGTAAAAAAACAAACCTACCGTATTGCCATACTCCATACCCAACATAATATCTAACCGTGGAAAATAATAAAATTTGATGGTGATCAACATTTCGTCGATCGTATCTTCCATACTAGTACTACTATATATAACCCCTGTTGTCTTAAAAAAAACACCATAAAATTATTCAGAGCAAAATGAAGACTTATCTACTCTTCTTTACCATCTTCTCATCACTTCTCATATCATTTTCCTCAGCCGAGCAATGTGGGCGACAAGCCGGAGGAGCACTCTGCCCCAACGGTCTTTGTTGCAGCGAGTTCGGATGGTGCGGTGACACCGAAGCTTACTGTAAGCAGCCTGGCTGCCAAAGCCAGTGTACTCCCGGCGGTACTCCCACAGGTGATCTTTCCGGCATCATTTCAAGATCTCAGTTCGATGACATGCTTAAGCATAGAAACGACGGTGCTTGTCCCGCTCGAGGTTTCTACACTTATGACGCCTTTCTCACCGCCGCTAAGTCTTTCCCCGGCTTTGGCACCACCGGAGACACCGCCGCCAGGAAGAAGGAGATCGCTGCCTTCTTTGGTCAGACTTCTCACGAAACCACCGGTAATTATCACTTCTTATTATCTTTCGATTTTTTTTCAAACAACAAGCTTTGCATTAATTTGATTTACTTGAAACGCAATTAAAAATAATAATTCTTTGAAATATATAACTTGTCGTTTATAAAATCTTATTTCTAATTAACTGCAAAAACAATCACCAAACGCTAACAAAACTACTTTAACGTATATGACTAACAAGTTGTTGCTTAAAATCTCCTAGTTTATAACCCAAAAAAATGAGTACTACTCCAGTTTATAGATTTATTTGAAAAATACATACACTTAAACATATATTTCTTATCGGATATCCCCGAAGGGACTATATACTAAACGTAAAACAAACACAAGCAAACTTTTATCCCATCATATTGCAATTTCAAAATTAAAGACTTTTGTTTTTGGTCGGCTAAAACCAAAGACTTTAATTGTTGTTTGTCTGTATAATTAGTAGTTTAATAAATAACGTAATCGTTGATATTTATGACTAAATTATATACAAATATATTTACATGTTTGAAGGTGGGTGGCCCACAGCACCGGACGGACCATATGCATGGGGATACTGTTTCAAGCAAGAACAGAATCCATCTTCTGACTACTGTTCACCGAGCGCCACGTGGCCATGCGCTTCAGGCAAACGCTACTACGGAAGAGGACCGATGCAGCTGACGTGGAACTACAACTACGGACAGTGTGGTCGAGCCATAGGAGCCGACTTGCTCAACAACCCTGACCTCGTCTCCAACGACCCAGTCATCGCTTTCAAAGCCGCCATTTGGTTCTGGATGACTCCTCAGTCTCCCAAACCGTCGTGTCACGCCGTCATCTCTGGCCAGTGGCAGCCGTCAGATGCCGATCGTGCCGCCGGGAGATTACCTGGTTACGGAGTGATTACGAATATCATTAACGGTGGATTAGAGTGTGGACGTGGCCAAGATTCGAGAGTCGCTGATCGGATTGGGTTTTATCAGAGGTACTGTAACATATTTGGAGTTAATCCTGGTGCTAATCTTGATTGTTACAACCAAAGGTCCTTTGCTTCTGTTAACTTCTTCCTCGACGCCGCTATTTAATAAGGAATACATACTAAGTAGTATTCAGCTTTCTTGTAACCAAAGCAATAAGGGAATAATATCAATTTAAATAAAACTCTTGCTACGATTATTGGAATGGGCTTTTTGTCGTCTGATGGGCTTTTTAACTGGGCTTTGGTAGACAAAGAGAGGATATATTTTCCTAGTAGTAATAAAATTACAAGTTTCAAAAGGCAGTTTAAGTGCCGACATGTTTCGTATAACGTGCCGCTACCTCCATTCTCCAGCATCATTATTGTGTGTAAAGCCTATCGTAATATTGATTCGGTTAGGAGAATCGGTTGAGCCCGAGTTAAACCAATCTAAATCGAATAGATTCTCATCGAATTTCAATTAGCATCCAACTGAATTTGAAATCTGATCGAAGATTCAAAATTGTACCAAATTAAACCAAAACGGAATTGGACAGCTTTATGCGGGTCACGGACTCCAAAATATCGCAAAATTGACATTTCGACGACTTAAACACGAAAATATCTAAAAATACAGCACCGAACGTAAAATAAAAAAGGTAGATGATGAAAAGCCGTTTCTTACTCTTCTTCATCGTTTTCTCTCTCTCCGTCTTCATTTCTTCTCTGATCGCAAGTGACTTAGGGTTCTGCAACGAAGATATGGCCTTGCTCGGCGGCGTTCGCGATGTACCTGTTAACCAGAACAGTGACGAGGTCGAGAGCCTCGCTCGTTTCGCTGTCGATGAGCATAACAAGAAGGAGGTTCCATTTCTCTCATCATCTTCGATTTTTTCTCTCTTTATCGTCTCGATGTGTTTCTGCTAGTGATTTTTGTTTGATCCGGAGCGCGATTAGTGTAATTTGTTTGATCTCGCTTTCAGTCACCGGACATCGTTGTTGCCTGTTAATGTTATCCATTGGCTAAGTGTAGATCTCAGCGAGTGTTTATGTATCCGATTATGTGTCGCTGGAGTCACTTAATTTTTTGGATGACGTTTTCGTTTATTCGTTTGTTTCCCCTGGTAGAATGCTCTGCTCGAGTTTGCGAGAGTTGTGAAGGCGAAGGAACAAGTTGTTGCCGGTACGCTGCATCACCTGACTCTGGAGATCGTCGAGGCTGGGAAGAAGAAGCTTTACGAAGCGAAAGTGTGGGTGAAGCCATGGTTGAACTTTAAGGAGTTACAGGAGTTCAAGCCTGCCAGTGATGCCCCTGCCATTACTCCCTCCGACCTTGGCTGCAAGAAAGGTATGAATCTGAGTAATAAACTGATTAGGAAATTGATAATTTCGGGGGATACATATGTAGTAAAGCAAAAGATTGTGGTTAAGTAAGATTTGATCATGAGAATTCGGTTTTTGTGTGGATCAGATGAACATGAATCTGGATGGAGGGAAGTTCCAGGAGATGATCCAGAAGTGCAGCACGTTGCTGAGCATGCTGTCAAGACCATCCAGCAGAGGTCGAACTCCTTGTTCCCCTATGAACTTCAGGAGGTTGTGCATGCTAACGCTGAGGTATTGCTTTGCTTTCAATCTTTAATTGAAGACTGTTAATATTATCCGCCATTGATTTCATTAGAGTACTTGTCAGTGTTTGCAAGAACTCATCTTAAGCATTGCGAGTAAACAAAATCAGGTGCAAGTGAATCCGATTTGGTGTTGAATTTAGGAAGTAGCAAAACTTTTTAAGCAACACATTAGTTTCGAATTGGTGTCCTAGTTTGTGATTGCAAGATTTAATGATCAATGAAATAAACTATGGTTTCAGGTCACCGGCGAGGCTGCAAAATTCAACATGCTTCTCAAGTTGAAGAGAGGAGAAAAGGAGGAAAAATTCAAGGTGGAAGTTCACAAGAACCATGAAGGTGTTCTTCATCTCAACCACATGGAGCAACACCATGACTAGTCCTCTCCTCTGTTAATGTATATTGAGTGTTTGCTTGCTCTGTAGTCTCTGTAAGATATTATAACTTCTGATGCAACTATGAACCCTTAAATAACATATCAGGAGAAATAAAATAAGTTTTTAAAGGGCGTACAATCTTTTGATTCATACAATAAATGGAAACATGAAAAAGATTTTGATGACAGAAGAAGCATTTTCTAGACAAACCGCTAAATGCTGCTACTCTATTTATGTCCTATTGTTCTGCTTTGCCTTAGCCTTCTTCGTCATAATCTTCATCGTCCTCGTCTATCCTCTTACCCAAACTTGCAAGCTGTGCTGGATCTATTTTGCCCAACTCCATCATAGGCCAGCCCGGATATTCCTCTGAGGCCGTCGCTGTGGCAGTCTCTGTGCCTCCGACTGGTGCCAGTTTGGTCTCATTTAGGTCGAGAGTTTCAGCATTGAGGTCAAAGTCAATGCCTTCTTTTGGACATTGAAGTTGTTGCTTGGTGTCTTCGTTTGATGCTGCAATGCCACCATCGACATCCTTCTTCTCATTCTCTTGGGGTGATGACTCTGACACATGCATCTGGATACTGTCTTGAGGAGGTGGCTGTTCCGCCATGTTGGTCCCAAGTTCCATCTCACGATTCAGATTCTCTCGTTCGAGCGCTCTGGCAGCTCGTCCACCACGACCTCTTCCTCGTCCTCTCCCTCTACCACCCCTGCCACTGGGCTTAGCATTACCAACCTCTTGCTGCAATGATTAGCACAATACAAAACAATCCAATGGATCAGAGAGAGTTTCAGACGAATAGACGCTAAAATGAATGGACCAGACAAAATGCTCACCGTTTTGCTTTTCTTATATTCCTCGTCGCTGTCATTCACTTCGTCACTGATCGGCTTCCTGATTTAATCAACCATTTCGCATCAGCTTGACACAAGCTTATCAAATAAATAGCCAGAATATATGGAGTTAAATGATCCAACCTTCTCTTGGAGATGCTGCGATCATCCATTGTAACATCACCTTGCCCATGGCCTTGCCCTTGCGCATGGCCATAGTCAGGCACCTTACTCACAACTTCCCTCAGAAAATCAAACACGTTATATCTTTCCACACAATGTTTTCTGTAAACAACAAAACACTTTAATAAACGTGGATGCAGTAGTATCACCAAAATCATATGAAGAAGAAGAGCATAAGAAATGAACTTTATACCAAATTTGTGGTATAAAGTTCTATAACATCAACAACATCCTCTCGGTGTTGGACGCAGTCAAAATATGGCCTATGAGTTGGAAGCTCTTCCACTTAACAACATCATGCAGAGTGAAACAAAAAAAAACGAAGTTTAAGGAATCTACTGCTTACAGGTGCAGTGAGCTCACGGTCTTGGCTCCTCTTTCGAGGGTAATCTCATATGTACGATCGCAAAGGTCTTGCAAGAACAATTCCAAAGATTTCGCTGTAATAATAGAACATGAAATTTAGAAAAAAAGGTATAACAACCTTTCAAATGAAATTAACAATAGTAAGATCACTCACAAACTAAGACAGGCACTGCCAAAGCTATCTTGCCAACATCTTCATCAGCTTGCATAATCTTTTTAATACGAGCCTGAAAATTGGGTATCAAAACAAACACAGTTATAAGATGCAAGAAACACTGCCCCCACTAAGCGAATCACAAAGAAAACGGAAAAAAATGAGAACCGCTAAGTGTGCTCAGTACAGTCATCGATTAAAACATAAACAGGATACGATAACACTCAAAACGGAAAGTTCAATTCCGTGAATAACCATACGTATGTGTATTCTAGCCTCTACTCAGACAAAGTTAGCCATCATCAACACTATATCTAACTTGTGAAATCGTAAAAAAACAAATGCTAACAAAATCTATCTTACAAACTGGAAGTATCAATTAAGTGAAAAGCAATTCTAATATAATATTTACAGCTTCAACCAGGACAATAATCCGGTCTCCATAACGAAAAAAAATTTGATTAAGAACACGTTTTGAGCACTAGTCACCTAAATTCCTCACATAATCGAGAGATTCATCAGTTTATATGAAACATTCCAGAGCGGATCTTGAGGATATATATCAGAACAGCCACACACACACAAAAAATAGTGGGAAATTGATTGACAGGTCAGATGAGAAGACCAATTCGCCAGAAATGAGATAGGTGTAATCTAAAATTCGTCTAGGAACACGGGATTTAGCCAGAACAGTGTTGGAAAATCGATCCAAAAACAACAGATCAAGTATTTTCGAGAAATTGGACTTTAATTCCGGAGATAATCAATTCAAAACGGAAAACTTACAGCTGGGAACCGAGTATCGAGCTTCTTCCTCATGGTTTGAAATCCCAATCCAGAAACCGTCCAAGGAGAAAACGCAAAACCACCACACAAAAGAAAAAACAAAAAAGTAAACAGACCCTTCTGATAAAAATCGAGGCCAACTCTTATGTACAGAAGCTCCTTTCTAAGATCGGAAAGTAATTCTTCGGCTACTTCACGGATACGCACACTACCAGATCCGGCGACGGCGGTTTCCTTGTTACAATCTCCCCGATAGAAATAAAATAAATTAAAATATAGATTTGGGTCAAAAGGAAAAATAGGTCGACGACATGTTTAAATTAAGTAATGTTAGTTATTATACTTATAAACCATATACGACGGATCACATATACTACTTGTAACACTGACAAGTCGGATTAAACAGATCTAGCCATACACGTAGTAAGGAAGGCATTATTGGATTGTAATAACTGAAAAGTCTTCTCGTGACAGGCTTATTCTTACTCTTACATTTTTTTTAATGAGACATTTCCATAGGATAAATGGATAATGCATCCTTGTATATTTGTTGGCACATCTGTCTGACCAGAATATATATTTGTTTGGCGATTTCAGTCACTATTTTTTATATATTTTTTTATCCCGGTTTTTTATATCTTTTTAAAACTATTGAGATTAGAATTAACATGTTTTACTGAAGTATATCCGTAATTTTTACAAAAATACTCAGTTTACGGAATAACAAAAGTAACTATGTTACAGGGTTTATTTACGATAGTAATATTTTTTTCAAACTAGGAAAATAGATAAATTATCAAAGGGGTGTAGTGTTTGCAGATATTGTGAACTGAAAATTTTTGTTCTGCACTCTCTACTAATCAATGTCTTGTTATTTAGAAAACTTCAGAAAATGTAGTTTTTAGAAAATGTTATAGTATTATGTGACTATGTGTTTGATTAAAGCGTGCGTGTCATATGAATCCTGACTGGAAATTGAGTATCTCACAAATCTCGACTGTCGAAGGTGATATAACAATGATATACATATGTAGACGATTGATTATAGAGGGGGAAATTAAATGGTATGTTACAATTAGCTGTTAGTAAATGGATGGATTTTTACAAATTTATCACTAAGCATTCATAGAACAAGCGAAAGACCCATGTATTACGTTTTGATCATGTTCGACAGAGAAACGCGACGTACCAAAAAAGCATACCGAGTACGTCATGGCGCAATACTATATTCGATTTAAATGTGAACCGTCTTGTTCTTTTGTTTCTCCTTCCACGCAAAATATTAATGATTAATTTGTTGAGGATTTAGTCTAAACATGGAATTCTTAACAGTGCAAACTCGTCCACTTGAATTCATAGAAAAATAACCGATGATCAATCGCCGATATTTTTGGATTTTGATTACTTAAGTATAGTTAAATGTTGCAGTAAACGTGTTCGAACGAAGAACCTACACCCATTTTTTTTTTTTTTTGTCAACTATCCATCTACTAAGTCACGTCAGATTTAGGAAGATACATATCCTCCGAAGTTAATCCATTAGGCATTAACTGAAAATATTCATTCAATCAAGAAAATATACCGAAAATACTTTCCCTCTCACTTTTTTGGTGATATATTCTCCTTGATTTAAATTTTGAATTTCTTACCTGTTTGTTTTGGTCAAAATATTTGAAATCTTTTTTCCGCGAAGGTAAAAATTTAAAGGTGCCGAGTGCCGACAAAATAGCAAAAAGAGAGAAATCAAATCAGTAAATATTTTGAGGTTGGAGTCCGATGAAGGCGTGTCTCCTCGACGTCGTATATAGGCTAAACCCTGCCCTATATGCATCTGAACCATCCAAATTTCACAAATTAAGATCAACGGTGATCATTCCTCTGAGCAAACGAGCGTATAGAGCACGAGTACCTAGGTCAAATTAAAAATACTCTCAGACGATAACAAAAGACAAACTTCTTCTCTTTTTCTCTCCCATTGGGATTCAAATCAATGGCTCCGAGACTCACAACCGTCACACGTTACAATACTCACGATGAGTACTCGGTCGATTTCTTTGGAAGTGATTTGTTCGTCACCGTAACCGCGACTCCCTCCGTCATCAGGCGATGGATCCGCACTGCCGTCTTCCTCCATCGCCGCTCGCATTACAATCAACCTCTCGTCGTCGGAGTCGGCGTCCAGTGGACACCGGCCGGGTACTATTCCGGTAGATACTATGCCGAATCTCCGGCGGAGACTCTCCAGTTATGCTTGGGTAAACGGTGTATCATCATCCAGCTGTCTCACTGCGAACGTGTCCCCCGAATCCTCCGCAGATTCCTCGTCGATCCGAAGATAACGCTCGTCGGAGTTTGGAACGGTCAAGACGCGAGGAAGCTGGAGCAATCAAGTCATGGTTTGGGAATCGGTGAGCTTGTGGACATTAGGCAGTACGTGGTGGATTCGGAGGGGTTTAGCCTGAGTCGTTGTTCGTTTGAGGTGGTTGTTGAGGTGTGTATGGGTTATCGAGGGGTAAGGCTAGATCCGGCGATTAGCATGACTGATTGGGGGGTTTGCGACCTTAGCCATGGACAGATTCTCCAGGCGTCAATAAAGGCTTATGTTTGCTGCATGCTCGGTGTTTGGGAAAGTCTAGGGGAAGTTTGAGAAGATATATCAAAGGAATGTAATCAATGTTGCTTATCCTGTTAGGGTTTATGAGGATACAAAGCGGTTTTTTTCCTCATTAAAAAAAACAATTCAGCTGTTTTTCACTTGTTGATCCATCTTTTTTCCCTGTTTTTTTTTGTTTGTTTGTTTCTAATCATAAGATGATATACAAAGATATCACATTCTATCATCAAACTAATGAATCGAAAATTAACCAATTTAATCAATAGGAAAATGGTTTAACTTTTCACATCTTTATCAAAAATATTTTTGGGCTGATCAAAATAAGATGACATCGCCGAAAAAAAAAATCAGGTAGAAACGAATTTCAAAAGGTATCAAAGGAATGTATGTTGCAAATCTTGTGTAGGTTTTCCTCTTCGCTCTATATTGATACAAAGTATATGTCTGTCATATGATTGTTTAGGAGCAAAATATAAGATGTAGTAACAAAATGGATGCGATGGGGGACAATGGTATCTTTAGATTGGTTATGAAGCTAAAAATGGTATGTGTTACGATAGGTGTAAGTAGATTACATATTTTTCATAACCCTATGCTCTTGATCAATTAATTGTTTCAATCTTTTTAATTTGGTATGCGTTAAACCTCAACTTAAAGCTAAACCCATACAAATCAGAGTTAATAGCCTACACTAGATTTAGGATATACGTATTTAAAGAAAAATGTAACAAATGATTATTCAATCTACTAATAGTAATAATATTATAATTTTTTTTTAAAACCTAATTATAAAGCATGAATGCATCTAATATATAAACCGATACAATTTGAAGAGGATAAATACGATTATATATAGCAAAAAATCATCGAACGATTATATAGCAAAAATCATCGAGATTTTTGAAACAATTGATGGAAAACAATATTTTTTATTGTTCTCCATCAATTGCTTCAAAAAATTCAATGATTTTATCGATATTGGTTTTATCTGTTGTAGACTTTTGAATGAGTGTATGTTTAATTTGGGCAGGAAACAATAATAAATGGACATGGAAAGTAGTAAGAAGAGAAAATCCAATCGGACATGGAAGTCGGATGGAGATGGACGTTGCAAGAAAAAAAAATAATAAAGGGAGAAGAAGAAACATTGGAAGGTGAATAAAGGACGTCAGCTTGTATAATGTTCGCCGGATATTTTTAAGCAGTGAATGAAGGATGTGAAGTTAGTATTTCATTAGTACCATTAGTATACATATATACGATTTTAATGTTTGCAAATTTTGGACTGGATTTGAGTATATCCAAATTAACAAACTAATCCATTAACAAACGTAATCTTATATACATACGAAAATATTCTCTTTAACTTCTTAAATTTGGAAATCTTCATCAAAACTCTTTCGGTTCCCATAGTAGATTTCCAAATTTAAAAAGTGAATTTAAATTAGTACATAATTGCCGAGACAAAAGAAAAAGAAAAGTAAAGAAATCAAATCATTATATAGGGCTGGAGTAGATGACGGATGCGATGGGCTAAGGCGCTAAGCCTTGGCTACATGCATCTCAACCGTCAAAATTCCAGTGCGCAAATATCAACGGTGAAAATTTCCTCTGAGTACGAGTACAAATTAATAGTAATAAATTTCTCCTCAGACGATAAGCAGAAAAAAGAAAAGAGAAGAAACATCATCGATCAAAATTTGTTTTCTTTTTTCTCTGATTCTCTCCTTGAAAAGTTTTCAATTCAGAGAGAAAAAAAAAACAAAATGGCTCCAACGATCAGAACCATCGAAAGGTACAGAGGTCACCAGAAGTACTCTGTCGATTTCTTTGGAGACGATGTGGTCGTCACCGTAACCGAGACTCCCTTGGTCATCAGGCGATGGATTCAAGACGTCATCTTCTACCACCGTCGTTCTCGTTCTCGCTCTCGTCGCCCTCTCCTCGTTGGAGTCGGCGTCTACTGGACACCGGCAGGTTATCACTCCGATTCAGATGATTCTCCGCCGGCGAGTAATTACTATCCTCCAGCGGAGACTCTCCAGTTATGCGTAGGTAAACGGTGTATCATCATCCAGCTGTCTTACTGTAACCGTGTCCCCCTTGCCCTACGCAGATTCCTCACGAATCCACAGACGACTTTCGTCGGCGTTTGGAATCCTCAAGATGCGCGAAGGCTAGAACGGTCTCGACATCAGCTGGAAATTGGGAGGCTTCTGGACGTAAAGGACTATGTCAGAGATTCAGCAGGTAGGAGTCTGAGTCGTCGTTCGTTCGAGGAGATTGTTGAGGAGTGTATGGGTTATCCAGGAGTGACGGTAGTTCAGGAGATAAGCATGAGTGATTGGGGTGTTGATTACCTTAGCCTTGATCAGGTACTTCTGGCGTCAGTAGATGCTTATGTTTCTTTCAAGCTCGGTGTTCGGGCTCGTCTATGGCAAGTTTGAATAAATGCATCAAAGCTATTATGTTTCGATTCCCTTTTTAATCCTTCTTTGTTTGTTAGGCTGTGGGAATAAATTAAAGACACTAGTTACTGTTGTTTCTCGTTAATTTTCTTCTTCCATATATGAGTAGTAAGTAGTAGCTAAGAATATTACTATTATTTTTATCTCTTTTGATTACAAATTTGATGCGTATACAGGCAAAAGAAACTATGTAACTACACTACACCCTTCGTACAATATTTGCCTATCTTATCCAAACAAATTTTGGTGAGAGTAAAGTCTATTTTAAACAAACGAATTAAGAAAAGGATAGAAAGGTATCTTTACATGGAATAGAATAGTCAACGAATATTTTAACAGAATTTATTTTAATTTATCCTAAGCTGTGTTGAAATTACGAAAATACTAGCATTTATATCAAACTAAGGAATCGAGAATCAAATCAACTAATCCAATACAAAACATCCATCAAAATATTACCTTTGATATAATTTCCATTTCGTCACCTAAACCCTTTTCTAACAAATCAAAATGAAATTTCGCAGCTGTAAATTCAGTAATTTACTTGCGTGTATAATAAAGGACTGACGATGTGACAGTACATGCATCACAATTCTTGACCGTCCGATTATTACTGTACAAAGGCGTCCAAAGATCAACGGTGAAAACGTGGTGGAAGTACAAAACCTAAAAAGCACCACCGGGCACCGGCTACATACACTAAGGTACAAACATCCTCCGGGAGCGATAAACAAGACAAAAGATTTCGTTTCCCTCTCTCCTCTCTCTCAAATCAGAGAAAAAAAGCAAAACAAAAAAGCTCAAAATGGCTCCGACGATAAGAACCGTCGCAATTTACTCTACTCACCAAGAGCACTCCGTCGATTTCTTTGGAAACGAGCTGATCGTCACCGTTCTACTACGACGACGATCCTTCACAGGTTGGCTACTACGACGATCCTCCGCCGCCGCCTAGCTACTACGACGATCCTCCAGCAGACACTCTCCAGTTATGTGTGGGTAAACGATGTCTAATAATCCAGCTATCTCACTGTGACCGTGTCCCCGACGAGCTCCGCAGATTCCTCTTGGATCCAGAAATGATCTTCGTCGGCGTCTGGAATCACCAGGACGCAGAGAAGCTAGCACGAGGCAGCTTCTTGACATAAGGAACTATGTTCAAGATTCGCAAGGCTGGAGCATGAGGGGTTGTTCGTTTGAAGAGATTGTGCAGGAATGTATGGGTTACCAAGGAGTGAGGCTAGATCCGGAGATAAGCATGAGTGATTGGAGCGTTTACGACCTTTGCCTTGATCAGATACTTCAGGCGTCACTGGATGTTTATGTTTGCTCCGAGCTCGGTGTTTGGGCTCGTCTCTGGGAAGTTTGAAAAGAAGTGACAAAGGAATGTATTGTTGCGTTTTTTTTTTGTTAGTTTGTGAGGAAAAGAAACTGTTTATTCACTCGTGTTGTTAATCCGTGGCTAGTATGACTATCTCTAAATTTATTGGAAATTTGAAAAAAGGCCGTATCAATTAGGAATGCAATGTTGCGTATCTCTTGAATCTTTCATTTGTTAGTTTGTGAGGAAAAATAAAATTCCTTTTGTTAATCCAGGACTAGTATGACTATGAATAGAACTATCGCTTTGGTTACCGAATTGATGGATTAATCTAATTAAACCGCTCTATCCAAATTTGTACGCTAACCGGGTCAGAACAAGGGCAAAAGAGTAATTAGATTTAACGACGCGTAAGAACATCATTACTTCTTCTTCTTCTGTAAGCAAAAATCTCTTTCCCTTTCGTCGTTCTCTCCTTCATCAAATTGGACTTCCCTCGCCGACATCGTTTAACTGCGATGGTTCCTTCACCGTCGAATCCGCAGCAATTCCAGCAATTCCTCTCTTCCGTGCTCTCTCAGCGCGGTCCTTCCTCCGTTCCCTACGACGAGTCCACCAAGTGGCTGATCCGCCAACATCTCCTTAACCTAATATCTGCTTACCCTTCCTTAGAGCCCAAAACTGCTTCGTTTACGCACAACGATGGCCGCTCAGTCAATCTCCTTCAAGCAGATGGGACGATCCCGATGCCTTTTCATGGAGTCACCTACAACATCCCTGTAATCATCTGGCTACTCGAGTCTTACCCTCGTCATCCTCCTTGCGTCTATGTTAATCCAACTGCTGATATGATCATCAAGCGACCTCACGCTCATGTCACTCCTTCTGGTCTCGTCTCTCTCCCTTATCTCCAGAATTGGGTTTTCCCTAGCTCCAATCTCGTAGATCTGGTCTCCGATCTCAGCGCCGCATTTGCTCGTGATCCGCCTCTCTACTCGCGACGCCGTCCTCAACCGCCGCCTTCACCGACTCCGCCTTCGTACGATTCGCCACTGACGCGGCCTCCTCCGGCTGATCAGTCATTGTCCAGACCGTTCCCGCCGTCTCCCTACGGCGGAGGAGGAAGGGTGCAGGTGCAGCACGTTCACCACCAGCAGCAATCAGATGATGCGGCGGAGGTTTACAAGAAGAACGCGATCAATAAGATGGTGGAGATGGTTCACGGCGATCTTGTTTCAATGAGGAGAGCTAGAGAAGCTGAAGCAGAAGAGCTACTTAGCTTGCAAGCCGCGCTGAAGAGAAGAGAGGAAGAGCTCAACAGGGGTCTCAAGGAGATGGTGGGGGAGAAAGAAACACTTGAACAGCAGTTACAGGTTATCTCCATGAACACTGATATTCTAGACTCTTGGGTTAGAGAGAACCAAGGCAAGACGATGAATTTAGTTGATTTGGACGTGGATAAGGCCTTTGAATGTGGTGACACACTCTCCAAGCAGATGTTAGAGTGTACTGCTTTGGATTTAGCCATTGAAGATGCTATCTATGCCTTGGATAAGTCGTTTCAAGATGGGGTGGTTCCGTTTGATCAGTACTTGAGGAATGTGAGGCTGTTGTCGAGGGAACAGTTCTTCCACAGAGCCACGGCTTCTAAAGTTAGGGCTGCACAGATGGAGGCTCAGGTTGCAGCTATCGCAGGCAGGTTACATTCCTAGTTATTTTTGCTGGATGCTGTGTCACAATGCCTCTTTATATAGTCTAAGATCAACGCCTTTGAGGAGGATTATGTGGCTATATTGTGATGGTTCCTCTCTAAAGATTTTGAACTAAAAATGTGTATAGACTATATATACATCTACATAGCTGTGCACATACAGATTAAAATGGATCAAGCCTTTTCTACTTTGTCCAGTTTGGGATTAGGAGTGTCATCTCCTTTTGTGATCTACGACTACTTTTTAATGTTTTTGGGATCTTTGTGATGAACGTTATTATCTAATGAATCGATTGGTTTCGGGATTGCTTAGTGTGTATTTTTGAAATTGGAACACTCGACACTCAGACTTTCTTCTCCATAAGAGATTGGTGCTTTATAGTTCATCCATCATGCAGAAGGAAACTAAACACACATAATAATCCTTAACTCATTAACTCATTTCTCAGAAACTCTTGTGTAGACTCAAACACTTGATATTCGATATCAAATCAAACTGAAATTCAATAACTTATGAGGTTTATACTGATACAACATTGGAAATCGCTTCAAGAAAACATTCAAACCAAAAATTTCCGAAAACTTTTCGACAATCTCTGGCACATAACTCAAGTTAAACCACATCTAAGTTTGAAAATGATATTCGGTTTTTAGGTGGTAAGCTCCATGATGGCAGAGACAATATCTCCATCAGCAGCCTTGAGAGCCTTCACTGCCCTTGGCCTAGGCACTCCTGCTTGGGTCATCACCAACTCAATGTCCTTTGGCTCAACACCGTCCTCGTCAACCTCCTCATCGTCCTCAACCACTGCTGCACTAGATGACTCACCCTGCGAGATCACGTTGCTGAGATCCGGAGCTTTGAATTGCTCTGCCGCCTGCGACTGGATCTGAGAGCTCAAATCCTCGATCTTTGCCTCTCCGAAGATCACATATGTGTCTGATGCAGGGCTCTTGAATACATCAGGTTTTGATATGACGAACAAGATCTGTGTTCCAAAGCAATACCCCCACAATTTATTAATCATGTGATCGTGTTAAATCAATGAAAAAAGCAAGTGAATGTCCAAAAGAAAACACTAACATTCTTGCTCTTTTTGACGGTGACGCGGCTGACACCAGTGATTGGTTTCATCCCGAGCTTCAGCATCGCTTTGCGACTCTTCTTCTCACTTCTGCTTTGTTTTGACTTGCCTCCTCCCTCTCCATCTTGTCCTGTTTAACCAGAATCACAACTCAATAATGACTCAACTAGAATGAAATATCGTTAACACCTAGTTCCACAAACAAGAATCATATTTTCAACCACCAACGAGTCTCTGGTATATATGATTCACAGAGTGCAAGGATAATCCCCAAAAGAATATCATTCTATGGATCGATTCATTTCAAGCTTTTTTTCAACTTAAAAACCTATCTATCTTACACATTTACACATACTTTGAGCATCAACCAATCTTGCCCCATATGTAAACAAACAAAATTCTAGAATCCGTAACAACATATCGTATTTTGATGAAGGAAACGAACAATTTTAAATGAAAGAGCTAAAAGCATGATGACTTACCCTCTGCCTCATCATCATCCTTATCGTCGTCTTCGGAATCGTCCTCATCGTTATCATCATCGTCCTCAACTTCAGGCTTATCAAGCTACAAGAAAAACAAAGCAATCCAAAAACAAAACAAAAAAAGTCAGACATATTTCTATGCCAATCTGATTGGAAAACCAAAGAATTCACGGAGTTGTAAAATTTAGAATTCAGATCTAAAGTTTCATAGCTTCAATATTAGCATATACGAAGCTAAACACTAAGATCTGGGCGCGAACATATCAAAAATCTGAATCCAGTCTAGTTATTTTTAAACTAAGGATAACAATAACGAACAAAAAAAAACCGCGGTAATAGAGAGAAAGAGAGAGAGTGTGAAAAGGATAAGTAATTACATCGATCTTCTGTTCCTCCAATTTGGCGGCGAGGATCTCTTTCTCTTCGGTAGTCATGATGATATGTGTATTGAAGTGAAAGAACGAGAGAAGATTAGAGTGATTTGTGCGGAAAACCTAAAACCCTAGAGACCTAATTGTTATGTGGTAGTGAAGACTGAGCTGAGTGTCAATTATTATCGTGAGGAAAATCAAAGAGAAGGCCCAAAAACTTATGTGAAATGAAATATGCGCTGTCCGTTGGGCTTATCAGCTGAAAAAAAGTTGGTCGGCTTATTAAATTAAAGAAAAGCACACCAAGACAAACGCAAAAAAAAAAAATACTACTCTACGCCGTCTGTGGGGATCGAACCCACGGCCACGGGATTAAAAGTCACGCGCTCTACCACTGAGCTAAGACGGCATACGTTCTACTAGGCTTAAGTATCTTATTTATTGTAGTAATGAGTCGGTTTCTCTTCGACATTTGGGCTTTTGGGCCTAATTGTATATTTTTCGACGTCACGGAGCTCTATCTGTATCTCCTTCTTTCCTCACCGGAGCGCTAGCCGACGGTATTACTTAGACGGGAGCTGACGACGACGGACGACGGCGACTAAGGCGAAACAGAAGGAAGCTAAGCATGCCGTTCGTTTCGAAGATACGTAGGCAGACTGATTACAATGTCTTCCCATCTTCGGTTCCCATAGTCATCGATAATGGCGCTTCCTACTTCCGTATCGGGTATCTTTACCATTAACCCTAATTCCTTCTTACTATCTCTAGCTCACCCGCACTTCAGATTTTGACGTGTATATAAATCGTGTTAAATTTTGAATTTCTCTCGGCTTTCAGGTGGGCAGGAGAAACTGAGCCTCGTGTAATTTTCCGCAATATCGTGCAAAGACCGCGCCACAAAGCTACAGGTCTTGATATATATCCATTATTCGAAATGATCGGTGTTTAACTCTTGTATGCCTCTTTGATTGCTTCCTTTGTTGGTTTGCTGCTAGAGTAACCAATGAGTCTAATGATATATATGTTTCAAATTTCGTCCTCTTCGTGATCTTACTAATTAATTTGACTAGAAGTGCTGAATCTCTTTAGCTGCTTGAACCTCACGTTGCGATTTAGAGATGTCTGACTATGCTTATTTTGCTTAAAATTATTTTCTAACTGCCTTGCTTCTATATTCTTATCTATCTATGCGTGATGTCTTGCTTCTATATTCTTATCTATCTATGCGTGATGTCTCCATCTGTGATAGAGTGGTCTTCTTTTTAGTACAGGCGAAACTGTTACTATTGTTGGCGACCAGGATCCTGCATTGATGAAGTACTTTGATTGCACTCGCTCAGGACCACGTTCGGCTTTTGACAGCAACGTGGTTTATCAATTCGAGATCATGGAATATGTACGCATTTTAAACCCGTTCAACAAGGAATTGTGTTTTTTTGTTTGTATGATTTGTCATTTTTTTTTTTTTCATAGTTTTCTTGCTCCCGCCTTGTCTTTTTGTGAGCGTCTGCTCTTTATCTCGTATTCCAAGTTCTTTCATAGGCCTATTCTTTCATGTTTCTGTTCTGATTTCTTAGGCTCTATATGTTGGATCAAACTCCAAAATGCAACTCTGAGATATTCCTCCTGCCTTTGTGCTCATTAGTCAATGCAATCAATGAAGAACCTGTGGCACTTACCTATTTCATTTTCCTCTGTGTTTAGATTCTTGACTTCGCCTTTGATCGTTTGGGGGCTAATGGATCAGTGGTATGTTTTAGATCTTTTTCTTTTTGTTAATCTTGATTTTGTGTTTCATCGGACTCCTTGCCAGAATTTTATCTCTTGATTTAATGTCATTAAATGGCAGGGCAGATTGATCATCCAATTCTAATAACAGAATGTGTTTGCAACCCAGTTCAATCTCGTAGCAAAATGGCAGAACTGCTCTTTGAGACTTATGGAGTGCCTGCAGTTGGTACGAATCTATGTTTTTTGTTTGGTTTCTGAATTAGATTGTCTTATGGTTGATATAATGACTACGAATCCTTTAATGTATTGCTTCATTAAAATTCCTTAATCCTCCTATTGTCACAGCATTTGGAGTAGATGCTGCTTTCAGCTATAAGTACAATCAACTACATGGGATATGTAAAAAAGATGGAATTGTTATCTGTCCTGGCTTCACCACAACGCATGTTATTCCGGTATGTATCTTCGACTACATTGGATGAAGCTGGTGTCAACCATGTTCATTCTCTGTCTTAAACCCATTCCTTTCCGGAAAATACTAAGCCATTGGTCTGTTAATGCTTATCTGTTGGTGTTGATCTGGTACATGGTTTCATTGGTTACAGTTTGTCGATGGAGAACCTGTTTATAAAGGATCCTGCCGAACTAACATTGGTGGATATCATGTCACTGATTATTTAAAGCAGCTTCTGTCACTTAAGTACCCTTTTCATTCGTGAGTGCTTCCACTTGATCTATATATCTATTTCAATGTGATTCCCCCCAGTTCAAGATTTAATATATTGTTCTCTCCATGTTCAACTTCACAAAAGGTCTAGGTTTACATGGGAGAAGGCAGAAGATTTGAAGTTGGAACACTGTTATATCTCTCCTGACTATGCTTCTGAAGTTCGGAAATTCCAGGTAATTTGATTATTAATTTCTCTCGTTTCTTTTCTTAGGTAGTTTGTGACGCTAGCAAACTAAAAAGCCACATGATCGTCATTGATCAGGAAGGAACAAAAGAAGCTGAAGAGAAAACAAGGTATTGGCAGCTTCCATGGATACCTCCTCCTATCGAAGTTCCTCCATCAGAAGAAGAGATTGCGAGGAAGGCAGCTATAAGAGAAAAGCAAGGTCAAAGGCTGCGAGAAATGGCTGAAGCAAAGAGATCGTCCAAGATAAATGAAATGGAAAATGAATTGCGCAGCTTGCATTTCCTTGTGAATCAACTTGACCAGGTTGAAGAGGATGATATTCCATCATTTTTATCAGACACCGGTTATGCGTCCAGGCAAGAGCTAGAATCTACTGTTTCGAAAGTGACGCAGTCGCTTAAGAAAGCAAGGGGTGAGCCGAAGGATGAACCAGAGGAGAGCGAAGAGAACAATGATTCTCTTAATAATGAAAAGTATCCTCTTTTGAATGTCCCCGACAATATGCTTACACCTGAGCAGGTTTGTTTCCGGAACATTGTGTAATCCTCTACTCATATGAGAATCTGGTTAATTCATTTCTTGCTCGCAGCTGAAGGACAAGAGGAGGCAGATATTTCTTAAAACAACAACTGAGGGCCGTCTACGAGCTAGACAAAAGCGTAATGAGGAGGAACTCGAAAAAGAGAGAAGAAATCAATTAGAGGAGGAAAGACGTCGGTATGTATCCAAATTCATTACTTAATGTATGTTTGGAAGCGAAAAAAAAAGGAGGAAAGAGTAATCATTTTCGTTGTTGTCTCAATCTTATTCTGGTTGCAGTGAGAACCCAGAGTTTTACTTAGAGGAGATGCGAGCTCAATACAAGGAAGTGTTGGAAAGAGTTGAGCAAAAGAAACGTCTGAAAACAAATGGATCGAGTACAAACGGGAATCACAAGTCTGGTGGTGTTGGACGAGGCGAACGACTAAGCGCAGCACAGAGAGAAAGAATGCGTTTGCTGACAACAGCAGCCTTCGATAGAGGCAAAGGAGAGGATACGTTTGGTTCTAGAGATGAAGATTGGCAGCTCTACAAACTTATGAGCAAGGATCACGACGAAGACGACGAACGACCTGATTCAGACGAGGCTGAGTTGGCTCGTTTATCATCCAGGCTTCAAGAAATCGACCCGACATTTGTGCAGAAAGCAGAAGGAGAGTCGAGTCAGACATCAGGGGAGGCTCAACGCGCTCGTCCATTGACAGAGGAAGACTACAAGATAGTGATTGGAATCGAAAGATTCCGGTGTCCCGAGATCTTGTTCCATCCAAACCTCGTTGGCATTGACCAAGTAGGCTTAGACGAGATGAGCGGTGCATCGATTAGAAGGCTACCGAACGGTGATAGAGAGTTAGAGGAGAGGCTAACGAGTTCGATACTGATGACTGGTGGGTGCAGCCTTGTCCCTGGGATGAAAGAGCGGCTGGAGTCTGGGATACGGATGATAAGACCGTGTGGATCAACCATATATGTGGTTGGAGCTATGGATCCAGTGCTTGATGCGTGGCGTGGAGCATCTGCGTTTGCTGCTGATTTGAACTTCTTGCGGAATGCATTTACCAAGATTGACTACGAGAAAGGTGAAGATTGGCTTCGAAGATACCACATTCGATACAACAATTTGTGATCACTCTTATTGTGGAATTCAATTCAACTCATAGATTTGATTAAAAAAAATTGTAGCTCTCTATTTGTTATTTGTCTAATTCAGTAAAGGATGTTTTAGATTGAAACCAAAACTTGTTTGGACAATTATTTAAAAAAAGCAAATTGTCATTTCCATAGCCCATCTCTGTATAGCCCAATTTGACCATTGTGTGTAAACCTCAACCCTAAATTTCTCATTTCGAATCTCGACCTTAGTTTTCTGGAATCGTGCCTTTTGTATAGTGATGTCTAGCCTCAGAAGAGCTCTGCTAGTTGCAGGGAAGACGAAGATAAACCTCGAGAACTGCCATTTCATCACCGGAATCAACTACAACGGCCTTAGCGTCAAGCAGCTACAAGAGCTCCGTGGGATTCTCCGGGAAAACAGCAATACGAAGCTCCTCGTCGCCAAGAACACTCTTGTGTACAAAGCCTTAGAAGGAACCAAATGGGAATCTCTGAAGCCATGTATGAAGGGTATGAACGCTTGGATCTTCGTGCAAACCGAAGATATCCCTGCCGCTTTGAAGACGTTCATCAATTTCCAGAAAGAGAAGAAGCTCTTCGACAATAACTTAGGCGGTGCCGTTTTCGAGGAAAAATTGTACGCTCCTCAAGATTATAAGGTTATTGAGACGATGCCATCTCGCTCCGATGTCTATGGTATGATGTTCGGCGCTTTGCATTGGCCGGCGTTAGATCTCGTCAATACGTTGCAGGCACCAGCCGCGTCGGAAAATGAGAGTGCTGCATAGTTGAAGTTTTCCAATATCTTCAATTATCAGTGAGCTGAAATATCCACTTTGTGTTTGTGCTTTGGGAACCAATCAATCAAAATAATTTTTGAACTTCATTTTCTGACCAGTGTTTCTGGTTTTGTTACAATAATTTTTGAGATTTCATGTTATACTGTTGTTATCTTAGAAGAAAATTGGCTAATACAATGGTGAAATAATCTTGTTGTGGACTTGAAATTCCACTTTTGCAGCTAGCTTAATGAGTGTTACTGTAGAATCTAACAAGTTTCAAGTATTTCAAAATTCATTGCATCCCTTGATTTGTTTTCCTTCAAATGTGCTGTTCTCCGGAAGTCTATTGGATACCCGGAAACTCATGGCTACCAATTTGGTTTCTTAACAGTCTACACTGAATTGTTCCCGCAAATTCTTGGCTAACAATTTGATTTGTACATTACAACCTTCACTTCCATGGCTTTGTCTGCAAGTTTCAAGGTCTATACTTCATGTAGATAACTTATTCAATAGCTGGTCTGTGCCACTTCTTGTGAACAAGGGAACTTGTTCATATAAGAACTGCCAATATAAACAAAAAAAGCAAGCCGTGCATCGTTTCTTTGTTTTTTGGATCAGCAAACAGTATGCTTATCAATACTTCTCTATGACTTGCGCTGCGACTACTCTCCTCTCTCAATCTAAGTTAAATAATAACAGAAGTTGTGTCTGGTGTTTCCTTGATTTCGATTAGTTTTATGCTCTCCAAGCAAGCTTGAGATCTATAACAAATACATAACGTAAGCAGCCGCAAACCTTGGTTCAGATTCTGCATCAGGTTCAAGAATTAATTTTCCAACAAAGAGAATGATGGTTAACTGTATTTTTGGAACATAATGAGTTGAGCAGTGTTTACACTTAATAGTTATGACAATTGTGTTTGCCTTTTGATGGTCAGGCTTTATACACAAAATCGTCTAGTCTAGCTCTTTTCACCAATACAATATATGTACATGATATATTTATAATGCATCTTATATTGCGAAAATGGGATCGACTTCTGAGTTTGAGAAATCTGAATGATGCCACGAGTTGGAACCGCTCCTGCGCGCACTCTTAACCCTCTTCCTCATCGACCTTGTCCTCTTTGACTTCACCACATAATAAGTCATGGTCCCAAGAACACCAGCCATTATCACACCCCCAACTACTGTCACCAGCTCAGCTGCCCACTCGTTCTTACGCCCAACCACTATGTATGACGATGCAAGAAACGCCACCGATGTACACATAGATGCCAACCACATCAGTTTGTTGATCACTTCCACTACTCTCTTCTCAGCTTTCGTCTCTCCTCTCACCAGTGTGATCTGGACCACCACCACAGCCAGAGAAGTAAACAATGCGATTGCGTTGAAGATGAAGAAGATCTTGAACGATGCTCGGCCCACCACCACTGCTGATCCGTCGTTGTTGTCTCCTCCCGGCACTGTGAATATAGCAGCAAAAGCTACGGTTGCAAACAATACAGCTACAACAGTTACTGAATTGGTTGCATTATTGATCCCTTCTCTGTGTAGTTTTCTGAGTTCTTTGGAAATGTTGTGCACGTTTTTGTTCGTCCTTTTCGTCTGTTCCAGTTGGATATGAACATCGTTCTTGATTTGGGTGACAGTGCTTCTCAGCTCGTCTCTCGGCTGGTTCAGCTCATTCGCCCTAAGAGCTCCACGACGAGCAAGACACTCTTTTATGTATGAAGATTCTTCTGAGAGTGGAAGCCCCTCTGCAATGTCAAGTGCTGTCTTGTGTTCCCGGGTTAGAGCATTGGCGTTGGTATCAGGCAGTGACAACAATAGTTCTACAATCTGCAAGAATATGCCAAATGTCAAAAACACACAAAGTATAAATATCGAAATGAATCACACACCCTCAGGGAGATGTTGCATACCTCTGCTCGTTTTTTCCTGGTGGCAACATGTAACGCTGTGTTACAAGACTTGTCCGGTAGCATAACAATGGCAGGATCTGCATCAAGCAGCAGTTTGACCACTTCGGAACTCTGCCCTTTTACTGCCATGTGAAGCGCAGTTTGTCCTTTCTTGTCAATCCGTCTTGCTAGCTGAGGATCCTTGACGAGCAGAGCTTTAATGACATCCACATGCCCTTGCCTTGCAGCTAAATGCAACGCATTTTTATGGTTAGACCGAGAAATTTCTAGCAAATTCCCAGCTTTGGATAAGAGCTGGTTCACAACTTCTGTATGGCCTCTCATAGCTGCAGAGACCAGCGGAGTTGCATTCGATGGCCCAAATGTATGGCTAAGCGTCGAATCATGATCTAGCAAGACCTCAACGATAGCTGCAAGAAACAATTATTTTTAATTCACAAGTATACTTCATTGTTATCAAAAGCCGATCCAAGAGATGAGGAGCATTACCATGGTGACCTTGTATGGCAGCAATATGAAGCGGATCATATCCAGAACGGTTCTTCTTAGCAATGCTCTCTCTACAAGAATACTTCAAGAGCTCTTTGACGACATCGAGATGGCCTTTATCTGCAGCAGTGAAGAGCGCAGTCTCCCCTAACTCATTCACCTCGTTCACAATCGATGCTCGGATCTCTGCAACTTCAGTATCAAATTCTTCCCCACTCAGAGTTCCTTCCATCTGAGAGTTAATATCCTTGAGAATCTGCTGCACAGCTGCTAAATCACCTCGCTGAGCCGCCAAGTGCAGCTCAGTGTCGTTGTGGCGACCCGTGACTTGCTTCACATACTTTTTCTTCCCGGCTTGGTCCATCTTCTTGCCTGAATTAGACAAAACCAAAGCTGGTGCAGTGGCTGTTGCAGACGGTGAAGGTGTTGGTGAAGGATCTGACATAGGATTTTGATTCTCACTCGACTGTAGAATCATTCCACTTTTCTCCATATCTCTTTCACCTGAAAAAATAAAAACCTCAATTTCAACTAACCAGGAAGGTCAATTCAAGGATCTGGAATATATACACACATCTATGTGAATTTAACAGAAATTTCATTATTCCACCAATCAAGTTTATATCATTTACAATTATTATAATAGAGATTACAAAAATCAAAGTGAAGCATATGGGTTGGTTCGGTATTCAACAGACAAGACGAGGGACCATGAAGATCACATGTCTGAAACGGTTGAATATTCTCTCCGACAATCATGCAAACAATCAAACAACTACCAAAGCCCAAGGGAATAATATTTGAGGGCTGCCTAAACAACTAAATGAGAACAGTGTTTACAGCCCAGCAGAAACCAAACAGGGTATGAAAATTCAATAATCAAATATTCGGATCAGATCGTATGGACAAGACTGAAAAGTGGAGGGATGTTTCTACAAAAGTGAACTAAAATCAGGAAATTATCGGTTACCATCTGCACAGGATGAGTTGGCCATGAGTGAAGAAGCTCGAAGCTATAACAGAGAAGAGAGAAAGAGAAGAGAAGGGAGAGAGAGATGTTGCTGGGGGTTGTGATGAGATGTAATTGGGGAAGGAGAGAGAGAATGAAATGGGAAAGTGAGAGGAAGGTAGACTCATCTCCATGTGGTCAATCGCGTGACTTAAAATAAAAATATGTGCTTCTTTTTCTTACTTTTCCCCCTTTATTTAATAAACTAATCTCCAACTTTATATATTTTATGTTATTGCCCTCTATCGAGTTATGGTTTCGCAAAATTCCTGTGAATTATTTTATAATTATAGAAATATTATTAAAAAAAACTAATCTCCAATCTTTACAAACCGAGTACTCACTCCACTGATTAGAGGGTCCACTCTGTAAATTGCAAATTTTTGTTTGGTTTTTCTTTCTAGAATTTCGGTTATCTTATGATTAGCAGCATCACAGATGAATAGTTTTAATTTGGTTTTTGAAACTAGAATTGATATTCTTTTAGTAAGTTAAAGCTTTCAAAGATTGAATATGAGTTTCTTTAATTCTGGAACTAAGTGGATGCTCACTAGTAACCTGTATTAAACTTTTTCGAAAAAATGAATACCAACTAGTTAAGCTAACCTTCTTTTAACTCTTCTTATAAAAGTCATAGAAACTGGAAATTATAAAAAACTATCCTAAAAGAAAAGAAAAAAGGTTTTAGATAAAAAAATAAAAAAAAATTCTTCCCGGCCAAAACAAATAAAAATAAAATAATATTCTTATCCAAAGAGGTAATGGAGGAGAGTGAGTGAGATAGAGAGACAGAGCGATACACGAAGAAGAAGAAGCTCTAAAAGAAAATGGCGATAACACCTCTGCGAATCACGAACCCTTTCTCATCTCTACGCCTTCTTCCCGCTGGAAAGCAAAACGCTCCGAGAATCTTCACCGTCCGTGCCACCGACGTCGAGTCCACGGAGGAGACTCAACCCGACTCAGAAACCGGCTCGGATCCCGACGAATTCGAGTCCCGTCTCTCAAACATCCGACTCAGATACCGAAGCGGAACAGGGAAGAAAGCAGAGGTGAGAAAATCGAAGAAAGGGACAAGCGGGCCTGCGTCAAAAGCATCTGGAATGTATTTGCCGCCGGTGAGTCTAAAAGAGCCGGTTTCCGACGGTTTAAAAGTGGAATTAGGGTTTAGCCGATACAGCGAACGGATCAACGGGAGGATCGCTGGGTTAGGGCTCGTGGCTTTGCTTCTGGTTGAGCTGGCGACGGGTAAGAGCGTATTGAATTACCACACGCCTTCTGTTGTGTTTCTTCAGATCTATTTCGTTGCGGCTGTCTCTGCTATGTTTGTCAAGATTGAGAAGGAGAAGGTTAGTGTTTGGCCTAAGGATTGATTGAGAAAATCACCGTCGGATTCGGATGTGAAATGTTGCTTTTGTTTATTGAAATGTTTATGCTTTTTTTGTCAAGTATGTATGTAATGTATACTCCCGGAATTTCAAGATTGTGGATACAAGATTTGGCAATTAAAAAGGATCTTACTTTGGAGTGTGTTTGTTGTTATTGTTCTAAGTAAATTTTAAAATGCAAGCTTTCAATAGGCAGAGATGACCTTGGATGTTGAAAACAATAGTTTTGTTATCTTGATTCGTATACAGTTAAAGCTGAGATGAGATGGATGCAACCTCCTATGAATAGATTTAAAGCAGATGAGATTTCATTTTCATTTCGAAAGTTTAGAGCTTGAACTTGCCTGCAACAAAAGAAGCCAGGTCAAATGCAGATGCAGAATGTAACAATTCTAAATAAATAAATTCCTGTTTTTTTTTTTTTTGGTTGGTGTGTGTTCCAAGCGAATACTACAAATATAGTCCTGACGTTAACACACCGACGACTTTCGCCACAAAGCATCTTTTAACTATAGAATTGATATTTTGAAAACATTCCATAATATTCTTAAATAATGCAACGTAAAACAGTCGACAAACAAAGCCGTCATTTACACAACGGAGAAAACCCAAAAGTTCAAAAGCTTCGGCAGAGTTTTGTTGTCTGTGTCTTGATATTGGGCCTTACATTCTTTTGTATATTCTAGATTGGGCGGCAAGTATCTTTTGGCGATTAGGGTTCTTCTCTTTGTGTATAAGTTTGCTGTATCGCCGTTTGAGATCAACACAAGAACATCTTCTCTAATATTAAATGGTATCACAGGTGAAACCGTGAATCTTATCTCTTGAATCGGTGATCTCTCTGTTTTCTTTTTCCTTTTTAAGTTTCGTTTTGGCTAGATCTCTTTCTGAATCTAGTAGTGATGATTATGACTACACGATAGATTCATAGATTATTATAAGACTCTTATTATTAGTGAGAGTTATTCTCAATTTGACTACTCTCTTCTCTTCGTATTTCTCAATTCCTTGAATATCATCCCTTGTATTTATTTTCTCGTTGACTTGTCTCTGAGTATTTATAAATTGTATTCCTATATAAGTTTGATCTCATGGGAGACTAATTATATTCTTCCCATTCCATTTCTCAACAGTTCACACGTACGTCCATGAAAGTATGTCATTTCTTATCGTGTTTTTTCGATGTCTTCTTATTTAAACTTATCTGTTAAGTTTGCTTTATGGATTTAAATCTGAATTACTGAAAGAGATTGAAAAGAGGGAGTATTTTTGACATCTAATACAATTCTTCTTCGTGTGCAATCTTGATGCTGTCTTAATTAGAGTGGAATGATACGTTTTAAAACATTGACGACTGCTTCACGTTAGTATATCTAATATCTTTATTTATGCGGAATCTTAAGAGAGCTTCTCCCAAGTTTGATTCAAACAATTTCACGGTGTAGTGGGAGAAGGCTCCACTAAGTTTCCGCTTAGGTAAAGATTCAGTAGATATAGTAGAATCTCATTATCATCGTTATTTGTCTCATCCTCGTCCACAATTCAGCTTATTTTCCTTTTTGCCAACAATTATAATGCGGCTTGCAGGTGGAGAAAGGGTCATAGATGGTCTCAGCAATGGTGTTGAAGGTATAATGGCTTAACCGATAGATGACTGATATCTTTTAAAGAATACGGCTGCATCTCATGAAGGCTCATGGTTCAGCTTCATAAACTAGCCATCCATTTTTAGGGACAACTTCATGTTAAGCACAGCTAGTCAGACGAGTGATGGAAGAGAGCTGTGCCTAAGAATGCGTGGCTAGTTTATGATTCTGCGCCTAAGAATGCGTGGCTAGTTTATAAAGTAGCTGCCGTAAAAATCAGACGATGCCATTGGCGTTTGACCTCTCGCTCCTGTCTCCTGCTTTTCTTTCCTGATTATTCAGTGCAAGGCCTATTCAATGATTGTTGTTTTGAGTTCATGTTGGTTATGGTTGAATTCGGAGTTGTCGAAACATGATGTTCTTATTCATATCGAGTCTTAGGCCACTAAGCATATTGTCACACACACACTAATAAAGTAAAAACCTCACTGCAAGAATTAAAAGTAACCAGATTCTTTCGAGAGAGATCAAAACTGAAGTTTGCAACATTTACCTCATCTATATATACACACACATATATACATACGGTAACCAGAAAAAAAAAAAACTTGGGAGGTAGATAAAGAGGCGAGAATGCAAAAGAGGCGAGAATGCATCCAGCAGAAGTTACTGTACTCTCTCTGACAGAGGAAAGTTGCTTATGTTGGATTCCATCTTGTTGAATGTGAGGTTTGCGATGGCTCTATCGATTGAGTTTGTTTCTGATTCGATCTCTTCCTCTCTACTCAACCTGCCATAAAACAACTGTCACTTTGATCAGACTCCTCATAAGAATACCACCAACACAAGCAAAAATGATTTCATTTCAAGTGGAGATTAGAAAAAAAAAAGACATGATCTATACCTGGTGGTATTATCACCATAATCATATCTGGATGCTAGCAGATGGAACTCTTCTGAGTCGGTGCTGACTGATTCCAACTTATCGTGTGAGTTTCTTGCAAGCCGGTAAAACGTATCCCGGAAGCACTTTCGTGTCTCGTCAGTTAACTAGAAAGAAACCCTTTTTTTATTTATTTTTTTAACACAGACACAATATATATTACAACCCTTACAAAGCAAGTCCATTGTATATCAACTGAAATGTACAAAACACCGAACTCACCTTTTGTGAAGCTCTCTGTAAGTCCTGCAACACGAGTTCTTCAGAAGACAGTTCATCCCCATAGTGTGAATCTACCATATTCTCTTCAGACATATCCGATATTGTAAATGGAGCCTCACCCTTTTAACCAAAAAAAGGAGGATTCTTAAGGCTTTAACATCATAATCTTTAAGTCAACAGGAAACCACCATAGATCAGCTCCAATTTGATAACTGTAACACTATGTAAGACATAGAATCGATCAATCTCTTACATTTAAAGGCATGGCATGACAATTGAACATGGGAACCTCCCTGCTACCATACATAGAGGAAGAACCGACACTGTTATTGCTGCTGGAAGCACGATGTACATCTCCATCATTCCCTGGAACATCCTCTAAAATGGAACTTCTTCAGTAAAACCGGAAACAGAGAGAGAAAACAACAATTACATCGGAAAACATAATAAGCCTATAAAGATTGGTAAAACCACTTATTAGTTATGATGATGATGATGATGATGATGATGAAAGAAAGTGACTGTACAGGAATATATCATCCATCTGTTGGATTCCTTCGAAATCGTCAAGTGAAGAAGCACCGTAGAAAGCCTTTGACCTCTTGGTCTCTTCTTCTTCTTCACTCGTCCTCATACCCATCTGACTGTACAGCAATCCATCTCCAGTAAAACCATCGTAATCAAAACATTTCTCTGCAGCTTCAGGGGAGTTCATGCTCCATCCACCCCACATACCACTAGATGGGTATGTCTCTGATGATGATTCTTGATAATTAGGCACAACAAGCTCTTCAAAGTTCCTTCCCGAATAACAATCCATGATTCAATAGATCTATCATAAAAAGCTGACTTATTTCAGAAACCCATGAGAGAATAAAGCTGAATCTAACAAGGATGAATCCAAAAAGAAAAGAGAGAAACTCACTTTGTAGTGAAACCGATGAGAGAATTTCGATCAGATCCAAATCAAGAAACTCAGATTAAGAAAAAATAGAAGCTTTCGATTAGATTTTTTAAAACCCGTAAGCAAAAGAAAGACCAAAGAGAGGAGAGATGATTGTGTTTGTATTGTTTCAACTTCCGAGGAGGTGAGAGAGAGCAGCAATCTGCACAAGTAAGAGAAAAATAAGCGCGTGAGTAGAGAGCGCGTGAGGTATATCTTGTTTTTGTGGCTCAGAATTCATAGACAATATTTGTGGATGAGATCGTTCCTCCATCTAAAACGCTCTCCTCATTCGTCCACGTGTATTTCCATATCTTTTTTTTGTCTCCAAAGTCGATCTTGTGGGAAATAAAAAGTTAAAAACTCTGCAACTTGCAGGATTTTGGACACTGCCTTTTTGTCATTCCGAAAATGACCTTCAGAGACACTGCGCTGATGACTCGGTTGTTAGAGGACAAATTGGTCATTTCTGCAGAGAAACGTGTCTTGCTTGGCTGATATCGATTGTACACATGGCGAATTATTTGTGGAGAAGATTACACATGGCATATGATAAGCGGTAGAACGGCACGTAGAATCTTGTTGAAGGGCATATACTGGAAAAATTAGCATCTAATGTCAAGTTTCATCTCAAAAGGGTTGCTCATGGCTTGCTTGGTGGACCAAGGCCCAAGCCCTTCAACGAGTAATTTTGGTAGCAGCAATTTTTTTTTTTTTTGCGCATTGAGATTAGTTGTTTTTCCTTTTTTGGACGGCTACTGAGATTTATATCTTCGAGCTCTTTTTTTTTTTTTGGGATTCGGTGAAGCAGGAAGATGTTCAAGAACACGTTTCAGTCCGGGTTTCTGTCTATTTTGTACAGTCTAGGGTAAGTTTTTGTAACCTTTTCGTTTTAATTTTTGATTTATTGGAATCGTTCAATTTTCTCTTAATTATGGATGGTTTTCAATTTCTTTTGTTTTTTTTTTTGTTTTTTTTTTTTTGCAGAAGTAAGCCTCTTCAAATATGGGATAAAGAAGGTTAGTGATTGATTCTAAATTCAATTAATTGAATCTTAGGTAGTGTGATTTTTGTCGAAATTACCTATTAGCTGTATGTATTCAAAACAGTGAACTTTGGTCAACAAAGTTATTGATTACATGTTCTATCTCAGCTGCAAATTTCTCTAGAACTTAGGGTTTAGCTGATCATCTGTTTTGTTTTCTTTTATTCATAGTGGAGGATGGCCATGTGAAGCGTTGCCATGATGATGACATTCAATCCAATGTGCTAGAAGTAGTTGGATCAAACATCCAGTCTACATTCATTACATGCCCAGCTGATCTTTCCGCAACTCTTGGTATCAAACTTCCCTTCTTGGTCCTGGTAGTGAAGAATATGAAGAAATATTTCTCCTTTGAGATTCAGATTCTCGATGACAAGAATGTTCGCCGGCGTTTCCGAGCTTCTAACTTTCAAGTCTGTATGTCTTTCCCTTGTTCATTAAGTCTCACTAGTTTCTCTGAATGTTGTTTTACAGCAGAAGCTCTTCTTCTGTAGTTTCTATGTTGCTTTTTGGGTCACTGATTTTTTCTATGGAACAATTTTTTATGTTTTATTTGTAGTCTGTGACTAGAGTGAAGCCATATATCTGCACAATGCCACTGAAGATGGATGAGGGATGGAATCAAATCCAGCTGAACTTAGCTGATCTTACTAGGAGAGCTTATGGGACTAATTATGCTGAGACATTGCGAGTTCAGGTTCATGCTAACTGCCGTCTCAGGCGTATATATTTTGCTGACCGTCTCTACTCAGAAGAGGAGCTTCCTCCGGAATTCAAGCTCTATCTTCCAGTGCAGGTTTGGATTTTCACAGTTTAGTTACTATCTTTGCCCTTTTTTTTCTTGCACGATTCTTTTTACTTACAAGGCATTCTTTTTTGGTTTGTTTCTTGGGCAGCAGAAAGCATGAAATGTTCATTCCGGATGCTTCCGCCACTGTCGTGGTACGCAGGAAAACTACTGCAAACTATATCAGATTTAGACCTAGAGCGTCTACATTAGGTGATAGTTTTTCGATCTCGCTTGTAGCACCCATGGTAATTAGAGTTTGCCTTACCATGAGTGTGTTTGACTTGTGTTAAAAAATTTCATGAAATAAGATTATAGACGCTTAAGATTTTCAATGAATATGGTACATGATCTTGAATCAATGCAGCCAAGAAAAATACGAATGGCAGCATCATGCCTTTGAGTAAAATGATGCCAACCTCATGTTGTGCAGATTTGTGGGAAATAAACATTCAAAGGGAATGCGAATTTCATTATCTTTGAGGAAAAATGTCATCAAGACACACAATTATTGATTGAATTTGATAAACTCCAGTCTTTTTATTACATACACATACAGTGGGATGTTTACTGGCCAATGACCCGCTTGGCGCCGTCTAAGGTGTTCCTGAGCAGCATTGCCACTGTCATTGGGCCAACACCACCAGGGACCGGAGTTATGAAACCTGCGACTTTCGAAGCCTCTGCGAAATCAACATCTCCGACCAACCGGTATCCTGATTTCCTGCTCGGGTCGCTTACTGCGTTAGTTCCAACATCGATCACTGCAGCCCCTGGCTTTATCCAGTCGCCCTTAATCTGAAAATGCAAGGCAAAGAGTGTATTTGGATTAATAAAAACTATCTGCATTATCTACAAGAAGTAGACTAGATTATCTTGTAAAGGACAATGGGAATATTGTCTGAAAAAATCACCATGCAGGCTTGTCCGGCTGCAGCAATAACGATGTCAGCTTCCCGTATGATAGACTCAGGATCCTTGGTGTGAGAATGTACAGTTGTAACAGTAGCATCAGCTTTGAGCAAGAGAAGTGAAACGGGCAAACCAACAATGTTACTCCGACCTACTACAACTGCTCGTTGCCCCTTTATCTTTATGCCACTTCTCACCAAGAGTTCCAAACATCCCTGCACACAACAAATCAGACAAATTTTCTTGGTTCTTGTCGCTGATAAACCAGATGTCGTAAATTCTGGCTGAAGTCTGTATGCAAAGACGGAGCAATACCTTTGGGGTGCATGGAAGGAAGAGGGGTTCTCTGCCTTTCATGGCTAGCTTACCAATATTCAAAGGATGGAAGCCATCTACATCTTTATCAATACTGATTGCACCCAAAACATTCTCCTCATTAATATGTTTTGGCAATGGGAGTTGAACTAATATACCTACAAATCAAGTACCAGAGCTTATATAACTGCAGTAGAGAGACAGGACTATTTCGGATTTTACCCAAAAAAACACTCAAGCTCCAAATGAGACATACAAAATCAATAATTTATTACAGTAAAGCTAACCATGGACTTCCGGATCTGAATTTAGTTCATGAACTTTGTTTATAAGATCAGCTTCACAAACATCCTCTGGTAGGTCCACATCAAATGACTTTATCCCAACCTCAGCACACGCTTTCCTCTTCATATTCACATAAGTCTGTGAATCCTTCCGTACCCCAACTATAACTACCGCTAGTCCTGGGACCTGCGCGAAGGTAAAACTAGACTCGATTCATTCTTGTGCGTTGTTGAAATCAGACTCGATTAAAGCATAAGAACAAACCGTTCGTTGGGAGCGAGATATTAAACCATACACACTTAGCACACCATTTGTATAACGTTTAGACAGGTAGTATGCTAATGTTTAGACCAAAACCACAAAAGTAAAGTTTTCATGAACCTAAAGCCAAAAAAATCTTCCTATAGAAGTAGAAGTGACCAACGCAGACGCGGTTTTCATTGAATGAACTGAAATGGAGCTGACATTTGAGCTATTTCAAAAGAAGAGATGTGATTATAGCTGCCTAAAGCTAGAACCTTACAGCTAAAAGAGAGTTAAATTCCAATAATTTTATCATCAATCACGCTTTGTTTAAAAGCAACGAGAGAATTATACAAAGACACATAAAATTAAGTCTTTCATTCTACAGAACAGAAGATCATATCTTTGGATCCTAAACAGTGATAAAACCGTGAAAATTGAATATAATTGCTGTAAGATGCGTCTACCTTGCCGTGTTTTTCAGATAGATCGCGAACTTCCTCGGCGATCTCTGATCGGATAGTATGAGCAATCGCCTTCCCGTCGATAATCTTCGCCGTTTGATCAGATGGTGACGCCATGAGCTAGTCGGAATCCGCCTGTGTCGAAATATCTGGTTCTCTGGTTAGTGTAGTGTGTATCCACAGTCAATGATGACGAGCAAGACTTAAATCTGAATCCATCCGCAAATAGAACACTCCACCTCTTGCAACCAAACGTTCCATAATGGTAAAGAGGTGATTTCGGTGAGATCCAACCACACGACGGCGTCGTATGACGGTGGGTCCCATCGTAACTTACACGAGGCTTTGTCGCGGTCACGAAAACCCAGACGCCGTTTATGTCCCACGCCGTTTGTTTTAACGCCGCCGTAACGGCGAATCTTTCCCTCCCAGCGTTTCACGCAACTGTAAGAAAGTTTTGGCGGTAAATTGGGTCACAGATGAGTACGTGTCGACATATCAATGGTTGGTAGTGCGCGTATATAATTGTATACGCATGTGTATGTATACTTGGTGTTGTTTTTCCCGCGCGAGATATATTCTTTTTCTAGGGTTTGCCGCATAATCAGACCCCAGTCTAGAGATAGAGAGAGAGAGAGAGAGTCAGAAGGGAAGAATAGGGAAATTAGTAGGAGTACGGAGATCTCTCTCTCACTGTTTCATCTTTAATTCGTCGATTTCCTGAGGAGGCGTTAGCAGTGGGGAGTTCTTAAAAGTTGGATCTTCTGTTCAGCGTTAATCAGCTGCGTTTCGATTTTGGGATCTGTGATACAAAAATGTAAGATCTTTCTCTTTTGCATTTCCTTTTCTTTGAATTTTATTTCTGGGTGGGTTGTTTTCACCTCTTTTCATCGATGATTCGCTATTTAATTGCAACTTCGAGATTTTTCTCCAAGAGGAAAAAAATGGAAAGTTTTTTGTTCAAACAGATTTTGGGGAATTTTTGCCTGGATTTAAAACTATGAGTTTATTCCCAATTTCTCAGTTTCCCCTCCAAATTCCTCTTTCTAAAATCAGGACCTTCTCATAAGTATCGGGAATTTGCAATTTGTTTTTTTTTTTGTATCTTATGTGTTGTTCGGTGGCTTCTTCCCGATGAGTTTGGTTGATTTTGTTCCTATTGAAGCTCAGTTTGTAATTAACGAATCAGATTGCCGTGAAAAGTAGTCTCTTTTTTTTCCTTCACTTAACCAGAGTATATTGGGAGAACAATTAGCTTGATTTATTATGTTTTCAGCTGCGTTGGAGACTATGGAAGAAGTTCAGCCTCCAGTGACCCCACCCATTGATTCCAATGGAAAAAGAAGCGAAGCATCTCTCTTGGACTTATGCGAGGTTTTACTCTTTCTTTGGTGATTAAATTGCATTATCATACATAATTGCCACTGAATTCTCCCGATGATTTGAAGAATTGCGCTAATCCTGATAATTAATTTCTTTATTGTAGAAAGTTCTATCTCTTCAAGGGAGCGTTTGCGACGAAGCTTTGAAGTTGTTTGCAGAAACCAAACGGATTTTGTCAGCAAACATGTCTAACATTGGAAGTGGAACGGTGAAATACAGTTTTCTTCTCCTTTATCAGTTTAACAGTATGATTCAATATGACTAATTCTTTGTTATTCTGCTTATTAGCGGGAGGAGGTAGAGAGGTTCTGGTTTGCGTTTATTCTCTATTCAGTGAAGATGCTTAGTGTGAGAAAAGAAGCGGACGGTCAGTCAGTGTCTGGTGATAATGGGTTTAATCTGTGTCAGATACTGAGGGCTCTAAAGCTTAAGTACGTAATGCCCAATTCATCCTTCCTTTTTTACTTTTTTTTGCTTTAATACATTATTATTGATAATATTCCTTGTTTCTGTCTCAGTATTATGGATTTCTTTAGAGAGTTATCTCAGTTTGTGGTCAAGGCTGGTCCTGTGCTATGTGAACTTTATGGTGAAGACTGGGAGAACAGACTTCAGGTACTGCCTAAGCTCTTTGTATATACTTTTTGCTAATTTTTACTTCTTCTCTTAACCCGTGTTACCTATTGCTATTTCTACTTATTAGACAAAGGAGCTGCAGGCGAACTTGGTGCATCTTACCCTTCTAAGCAAGTGAGTTCTAGTTACCCTCCTGTGTTGCACTCTTTTGTCATTTTCTTTGTTTTGTGGCATGATAGTGGTTTAGATAGATACGGTTCTAATAACTGAATCTGAGAAGCAAACTTTCTCACTATGCAATAGTTAGAAGACGAGCCTGAATTATTCCTTCAAATTTCCATATTATCATTATGTAGAATTTCAGTTTTCTGGTCTTTGTGTGAATATGTTCAAGTGAATTATCCTGTAGGTATAACGTTTTTTGGTACTATTCTTGGTAACAGTTTCTACAAACGCGGGTACCGGGAATTCTTCTTGACATACGATGCCAACGCAGAAAAGACCTCAGCAAACTCTGCTAGTTATTTGCCGGATAGTTACCGTTTTGGATGGTTACTCTTTTTAGCACTCCGAAACCATGCGTTTAGTCGATTTAAAGACCTTGTGACATGCACTAATGGCCTAATTTCTATATTGGTTAGTGACTACCTCTGGAGCATTCCTAGTCTGTCACTTATTTTAATCTTGTTTTACTTAGTTTACTTGATAGACGCTTCATTTGCAAAATGTTTGTTAAAATGTAGATAAGCAAAGCCTAACTTTTCTTTTCAATAATAGGCTATTTTGATCATACACATCCCTTGTCGGTTTAGAATTTTCAGCACCCAAGACTCTTCACGCTTCGGTAAGCTTCTATTTTCTTCTGCTCCTCTAACCCTGGTGGCATTGAATATCTGTTCTCTATTCTCATATTTGTGATGAATTTCAGTTAAGAAAGGTGACAAAGATGTAGACTTGGTTGCATCACTTTGCAAGATATATGACGCCTCAGAAAACGAGTTGAGGACAACAATGGACAAGGCAAATAATTTGATAGAAACAATATTGAAGAAGAAGCCAGCTTCAGCATCCACGTGCCAAACCGACAAGCTAGATAATATTGACCGAGGTTGGTCTAAGAACATCTTCCTTTCATAAAGTCTTGTGAGTTGTGAGTTGATTAAATCGTTACCTGATTGTTTTTTGAAAATGGCGTTTCAATTTTCAGATGGCTTGACCTACTTTGAGGATTTACTGGATGAGGCATCCATCTCTACTAGCTTGAGCTTACTAGAAAAAGATTACGATGATGCAGTTTGCAATAAAGGCGAACTAGATGAGAGGTTGTTCATCAATGAAGAGGATAGCTTACTGGGATCTGGAACCTTATCTGCAGGAGCTGTAAATATTACTGGTGTTAAGAGAAAAATTGATTCTTTGAGCTCACCTGCGAGGACATTTATATGTCCACTCTCTCCTCATAAGTCACCTGCCGCTAAGACAAATAGTATTAGCGGTGCTAACAAGTTGACAGCAACACCAGTGAGCACAGCAATGACAACTGCCAAATGGCTCAGGACTGTTATATGTCCGCTTCTGCCAAAACCTTCTCCTGGGTTGGAACATTTTCTGAAATCGTGTGATAGGGATATAACAAGTGATGTCATACGAAGAGCACATGTAATCTTGGAAGCTATTTTTCCAAATAGTTCCCTTGGTGACCGATGTGCAAGCGGAAGTTTGCAACCTGTTAACCTGATGGATGACATATGGGCAGAACAGCGGAGATTAGAAGCTGTCAAGTTATACTACAGAGTTCTTGAGGCAATGTGTAAAGCAGAAGCACAGATTTTGCATGCAAATAACTTAAACTCTTTATTGACAAATGAGAGATTCCATAGATGCATGCTTGCTTGTTCAGCTGAACTGGTTTTGGCTACCCACAAAACCATAACAATGCTGTTCCCGGCTGTTCTGGAGAGGACTGGGATCACAGCCTTTGATCTCAGCAAGGTTATAGAGAGTTTCATTAGACACGAGGATTCTTTGCCAAGAGAGTTGAGACGGCATCTAAATTCACTGGAGGAACGGCTTCTCGAGAGTATGGTATGGGAGAAAGGCTCTTCAATGTACAACTCTCTGATTGTTGCCAGGCCATCGCTTGCATTGGAGATTAATCGGCTCGGATTGCTAGCTGAACCGATGCCTTCTCTGGATGCAATTGCAGCACTTATTAACTTCTCTGAAGGATTACATCATCCATCATCTATCCAAAAGCATGAAACATGTCCAGGTAATTTATTTTTGTTTTTAGTTTAAAAAACAGTTGAAACGTCCCTTGCCATCCTGCTGTTGAATGGTGTGATTTTCTTATCCAAAATATACTGCCATGCAGGACAAAATGGGGATATTAAATCGCCTAAAAGACTGTGTACTGATTACCGCAGCATTCTAGTTGAACGCAATTCCTTTACATCACCAGTGAAGGATCGTCTGTTGGCTTTAAGCAATGTCAAATCCAAGATGCCTCCACCTCCGTTGCAGTCTGCATTTGCCAGGTACATTTTGGGTAACTGTGGGTAGAAGTGGCGAGTTAGTTTACCTATTTTTTTTAAGTCCGCCAAGTTAGTTTGCTTTTCCTGAATTTTATATCCCGGTACTTGTTAAGTTTATCTTTTCGGATATCTGTGTACAGTCCTACACGGCCCAACCCAGGAGGTGGAGGAGAAACTTGTGCAGAGACTGGTATCAATATTTTCTTCACTAAGGTAGGTCAATCCGATGTTTGGTGCTAATATCCATTACAATATTTAATCGTTTGGTTGGATGTAATCGAAATATAGCACATAAAATGTCGTGATATTGATGAGGGTGGCTTTTGTATTAACTGTCATTTTCACTATATAATGGTTTTTCCACAGATTAATAAATTGGCTGCTGTCAGAATCAACGGAATGGTGGAAAGGCTACAACTTTCGCAGCAAATAAGGGAGAGTGTATACTGTCTCTTCCAACATGTACTTGCTCAACGGACTTCTCTTTTATTTAATCGACATATTGACCAGATCATTCTCTGCTGCTTTTACGGAGTGGCCAAGGTGAGCAGAGTGATTCAAGGTCTTAATTATATGTTGTCTGGTTTATAATGGCTTCTCTTCCGCTCACACTTTTTTCATGGATCACCCTGTAGATATCCCAAATGAGCCTGACTTTCAGGGAAATCATATACAATTATCGGAAGCAACCACAGTGTAAACCACTAGTTTTCCGCAGCGTTTATGTGGATTCGTTACAATGTCGCCGTCAAGGGGTATTTATATATACATCCTTAACTTTAAGTTGAACAATTGTCGTTAATCTGTGGAAAACTCTAAGCTTGTGACAATGCCTTGTGTTGCAGAGAGTAGGGCCAGATCATGTTGACATCATCACATTCTACAACGAAGTATTTATTCCCGCGGTAAAGCCGTTGCTGGTGGAGATAGTTCCTGTGAGAAACGATCAGGCTATGGAGACTAATAATAAGCCTGAAGGTAGTTAAGAACTTAGATAGGTTCTTATTAGACGTGAGCTTTTCTCATCCATGAATGCAGTCCCTAAGTTAATTTATTGTCTTATACTGGGTTATTTACAGGTCAATGTCCTGGATCGCCAAAGGTATCGGTGTTTCCAAGTGTTCCAGACATGTCCCCTAAAAAAGTATCTGCAGTGCACAATGTTTATGTTTCTCCTCTTCGGGGATCAAAGGTAAAGAGATCCTCTAGTAATTAACTCTTTTGTCATGATAATATATGACCCAAGTCTTGAGGAGGAGATAGATAGGTGATCAAATTGATTTGGTTAACCTTGGAGGTGTTGTGTGCAGATGGATGCTCTTATCTCACACAGCTCAAAGAGTTACTATGCTTGTGTTGGAGAGAGTACACATGCTTACCAGAGCCCTTCGAAGGACCTATCTGCCATTAACAACCGCTTGAACAAGTAAGTCGAAAACACTATCTCTCATCAGCGTTTTCTATACCATGCACAAGATTTGGATCAAAACCAACCCATGTATCTCATTTGGTGTCACAGCAGCAGCAGCAACCGCAAGAGGACGCTGAACTTTGACGTAGAAGCAGGACTGGTCAGCGATTCTATGGTAGCAAACAGCCTTTACCTGCAAAACCAAAATGGAAGCGACGCATCATCCTCTGGTGGTGCACGCCTTAAAACCGAGCCACTAGATTCATAAATTATCTTTCTCGCTATTTGCAACGCCAACTTCTCTTCAGTTATCCTCTCATCTGTAAATTGTTTCCCTAGAGAGTTTGTTTTTTTTTATGTTTAGCTTTCTAGTGATCACCTCAGGCTATGAGCGGATGGATACCTTCTATTGTATTGTTTCTCTTTCTTAATCTATCAAATTCAAGCCAGTCCTAATAACCGTTAAATAAAATAAATATCCTTTTTTTCTTTTAATTTTAGGGTTCTAATATTAGTACTTGTGCTTGTAAAATGTAAGCGATTCATCATTGTAATTCTTCATGGTTCTTAATTTTAGCGGTGGTCACGTCATATCAAAACATTTTTGTGTTGAATATTGACTGGTCTGTAAGAAAAATGTAGATATGCTTTGAATTGAGCGGTGCGTATTGATTAAGCAGCCTTTATTTCCCACATGGAATATAAACATTTTTGCTTAACGAATCAAGATGCATGCAATAGTTTTGGCTCGAACTCCATTCTCACTTCCTATTGAATCGGTCTTTTGAGCTAGTCAATTGTTTGTGTTTGAATATTGATTGGTTTGTCAGAAAGAAAAAAAAGATAATAATAGAAATCAGCGTCAGTATTGCTGATGATTTCAGTTTTCCTATTTAAAGACCTAAAAAAACATACAACATTTTCACAAACCTAATATTGTTTCAAATTTTTAGTAGAATTTTACTAATTAGAGAGACAATATTTTCACGAGAGCTACTTAGTAAGCAATCACAAAAAAAAAAAAAAAAAAAAAAAATGAAGATGAAGATTCCATTGATGCTCATGGCCTTGGACCTTGGTCATACTCTTGACATCATTCCCGGCTCCGACGCAAGGCGACGGCAGTTGCAAAGAGATGCTTAAGCTCTGCTTTGCAACAATTGGAGATGTGAAGGCAGAAGTTGGGAAAGAGAAGGACCGTCCCCAGATGTTGAAATGTTGTGATTATCTAATAAGGCCCAAAGGACGATGTATCTGTGGATATCTTAGAGACAAAAAGAGTTTTTCTGAGATTCACACTCTTGCGTGGCATTGTTGGAAAACACCTGCACCTCAACTTTCAGATGCTAGGGATTATTACAAGTGTCCCTAAATTATAATAGTCTAAACGCCAATCAAACCAAATACTTGACTATCCGGAGCAGATACTTGCATTTCCTTGTTTTTTTTTTCTTTCTATTACTCGTTTAAATTATGGGTCCCTTAAATTATTAATATTTCTAAATTATTTATGTTCAACAATAACGATAGAGTTATCTGTTTATGAACAACCTCTCCTGTATTTTCCACTTTTCCCTTTGATTATACACGAGATTTCACTCTCTTTCTTTCCCATGTACGTAACTTTTAAATTTCTTCTAGTTTGTTTAAGTTGCTTCAGCAAAGAGTGTGATTATCATCATTGTTTGCAGGATTTAACAGAGAAATACACCTTTACCTTCTATGCGACTCACCACTCTTGCCTTTCTTGTATACTATTGATCGAACTTCTAGCGACTGATCTTACTAACACTTATCAAGTTTAGATATCCTACTAATAATCATCAAATTATGAAAAAAGATCTTTCATCCTCCTCATCCATGTTGTATGATTCAAAAATGGAAGAAACAAGAGTCTTACAATTGGGTACAAAGTCACATTCATAGGTTAAATATCTGAACCGGCCAACGACGCTTCTGACCCTTTGAGCTCACCCCTGTCGCCTCTAAAGAGATGTCTATGCTGCGATGCTCAGAAGCTCGTGCAACACTCACACGCAGATGAATGCTTGAGGCGGGGCAATCTTTGGTTCCAATGGCTCCGCTTCTGTCATCACCACACAGATGCGTAGGCGGTGCCACTGAGATTGGTTCTTGAAAAGTCAAGACCGTCTGTGCCCAATGCGTTGGGGGAGTGTAGGGTGATGTGGATAGTATCGTTGGGTTTTCCTTGCAGAACCTATCGGTGAATCCTGTGTCGAACCACAACACAACACCGTGGCACAAACTAGTTTTGGCTTCTGACTCATTGGGCTCCAGCGTTGCTGTTGCTGTGAAATCTACTTCATCCGCTTTCATGGTAGCCAGGTCAAATGCCTGCAAAACGATCGAAACATAGACATTCATTCAAAGGAAATTCATTTTCTGACGGAAAACAAATAAAGTTTGAGCTTTTTAAACCTGGAGAAGGGCAGGCTGTGTCACTAAATCACGCTCCTCTACAACATCAACAACGGGAATTCGAGCAGTATCTTCAAGAATTTCCTTGCCAATTGAGGACATGTCAAAGCCATAGACATCTTCCCAGAAAGGAAGATTTGTGGCGCCTTTTCCAAATCCCGCAACATACTGATCCAAGGAGAAGAAAAAAGGATTAAAAAAACTCATCAAGCTGATTTCAGAAGGAAAACACCATTTGGAGGGACGGGGAAAATAAAAGAAGAAGAAGAAGATTTACCATTGTGGCAGTGTCGGGGAGGATTGCACCTCCAGGTTTCAGCCACCGATCTCTTGCATAGAGCACAGAGCTGAGCATTGACTCATACAGAAGGCAGTATCCCATCCATTCGCTGACTAACACATCCACACTATGAGGTTGAATCTGTATCGACTTATCTAGCTCTTCAACCATCGAGTGTGCAACTTCAAGTACCCCATTATGCTCGTTATCATGAAATACTTTGTTATCCTTGGCAATCTACGAGCAAAAATTTGTTCAAACGGAATAAAAATTAATATATGAGAAATAGAAAGATAATAAAAACCCTTTTCTAAAGTAGGGAAAGCTAACCTTAGTTGCAACTTTGGCCATCTTCTCACTAGCTTCAACTGCAACTACCCTTGAAGCCCCAGCTTGAGCAGCAAAGAGACTGCAGGCAAAGGGAAAATGGTTACAAGAAATGTATAGTATTCCTTTGCTTATAGACAGGGAAAAGTAAAGAAGGCCTTCAGAATGCGGAACAAAATAGGCAAATAGAGGAGCCACCAGATAAGAAGACGCAAGTTTTGAACTTATATCACATGTTTAGTCTTAAAGTCTAGATGCAATAACTGAAAACGACCGAGAAGATTCCTGAAGAAAATGAGATAGCCGCTATAAAGTGAGAAAGATAGCTGCTAACTCACCTCAATATCCCAGTACCACAACCAACATCCATTACAACAGAGCCACGCAAGAGAGTAGGATTCTTCAATATTGCATCCCGGTACGCTTCTGTTCTTACCTGTGAAGGAATTAAACCAAAATGAATACATCTATAACAAAAATTCTCACATATTTGCAAGCTAGTAATGTTGACACGATTCCAGAAAATTTTATTGTATTACCTTATCACTTAGCATCTCCTTGTGAATGCCGAATGAACTATAAGATCCAAAATAGTTTTCATTCACCTTTCTGATGTTCCTACCAACTAGCTTACCATCACAAACTCTTGGTTTACCAACATCTGTTTCTGCATCTTTCCCATTGACTGTCAAATCATCCGCAGAACTTTCCTTCAGGCCATTGCAGTTCGAGAGCTGAGTAACATCATTGCTTCCATTTAAATTACATTTGCCATTTTTTGACGCCGAGCTTTCCCCTATAGCCTCAACATCGATGGTTAAATCCCCGAGTTTCTGCAAATCCTCCATCAATCCCTCTCTGTCTAACGGCTCTTCTTCGTCTTCCTCATCATCCGCAAAGCTGTACAAAAGAGAATCCTCCTGCCAAAAAGGCTTGAGATATTTCTCTTCATCCCAAGGAAACTTAACATCTTTGAAATCAACAGCTTCGAGTACAATCCCCCAACTCCAGGATTTGTTCTCAGCCACCTGGTTTATTAAAGGAACCAAATTTATCAAATAAGCAAAAACATTCGGAAATGAGGTAGCAAAAAAAAGTACCAACCTGTGACCGAATATAGTTGATGAGCTTAAAAGAAGCGTAGAAATCCAGCTTCAACTCCTTTCTAATCCCATGAAAATCAAACCCGTGGCTCAGACGACAGTGTTCGAAGAGTAAATCACAGGAAACGTAGTGAGAATCACAAAACAAACATAGATAATCAGATTCATAATCATCTTCCTCTCCTCCTCCAACTCCTACGCCATTATCATCTGCTTCCCAGTCTCCCCAGTCTCCATCGTCTGAGAAGTTTTCTTCTTCATCATCGCTGTAGTTCTGAAACCCGTCCTTGTCCATCTTTGTTGCCGCCGCCATGAGAAGGATTAATCAGTAACGGCGCCAAGTTCTGAAGAGAGGTTTAAGAAGCGGAGATACCCCGGCGGGATGGAATACGTAATGACTTCTTTACCCTTCTTCAGAAAACCAATCGGTTCAATCAAATCTGATTTTCTAACCAAGAGAGTAAACCGAAACCTGAAATAAATCACGACTTGTTTTATTTACAGATTCTCTCACCCTCAGAAATTTCATTTTAATCGATTGGGCCCATTTTGCCACCCGGTTGTGAAACGACGCCGTTAAACCCTTAGAACGCATTTCAGATGTTTCTTTCTCAAATCGATTTCTACAGTGTTTTTCTCATTCTGCTTTAGGCTCTTGTTATCTGAGGAAGAGAAATTTCTCGACTTAGCGATTCAACAGCGTAAGATCAGATGGCGGCACCTTTCACGTTGAGGAAAATCGGTGTTCCACCGAACTCAGCGAACCTGACAGAAGCTCGCCGCCGTGTTTTCGATTTCTTCAGAGCTGCTTGTAGATCCATCCCTACCGTCATGGACATTTACAATCTTCAAGATGTCGTCGCGCCTTCTCAGCTCCGCTTTGCAATCTCTGCTCAGATTCGGAAAAACGCTCACATCACCGACCCTAAGGTACTTCTCCTAACATCACTCTGATTAACCCCAGACCATTTTTTGTTTGATTGGAAGAATTTCTTTGTCGTCAAATTGGTGACGCGTCTTGCTAGTTTTGATTGGTTACCACATTGACGAAAGATTGAGTTTTTTTTCTTGTTAATCTGATAGGTGTTTAGGAGATTGTATCTGCCTTCTATTGCACTTTTGACTTGGTTTTAAACTTGAAAGCTTACCTTGAAGCATTTTTTGTTTTGTTTATGAAAGTTGTTTATGCGATTGGAGACTTAAATTTCTGGATAGTCTAATCTTATGAATAGTGAAGTGTCTTGTGGATTGCAACTTTCTTCGTAGTTCCTTCTGTATGTGACATTGGAAACTTTCGTCTATGCACTTGTCTGTAAACAAAATATGGAAGCACAAGTCAATATGCGAAACGGCTACAACAAGATATACTTCGATGCATAAATGGATCTTTCTCGTAATATGACAACATTGTTGATATTCGGTACCCTATGTTAAGATTTGCTTGTGTGGCGATATGTTCGAATATTGAACCATCCATTGAAGGAAGCTTCTTGAGTTTGGATGCAGTGATCTCGTGTTTTTTTTTTTTTTTTGTTCTCTGTTGGCTCTCTTTTTAAGGTGCTTTTAGAATGCAATCTGTTCATGATAGTGTTGCTTTTGCAGGTAATTGATCTTCTTCTATTCAAGGGAATGGAAGAGCTGACTGACATAGTGGATCACGCTAAACAGCGTCACCACATTATCGGTCAATACGTGGTAGGTGAAGGCCTCGTGCAGAATACCGGAAACAAGGATGAAGGAAAGTCCGATTTTCTCAAGAATTTCTACACCAGCAACTACTTTTGAAACTGGTGATGTTTTCTTTCCGAGTTTTTCATAAGCTGTACTGGTTTTGTCAAGCTCAAGTTTCGCATAAATCTTTCCAGTATCTGTATTTTCGACTTTAGGAAGAAATCTTCTTCCCGAAAATAATAAGACCTTTTCATTTGTATGTGTAATTTCTCTCAGAACCAGGCTGGTTATACATAGTACTAGCCAAACCTCTCTAAGATTTATCTGTGACAAAATATTGATATGGTTTCAAGATACACAATCCGCTCTCTTTTTTTCCTTTAACTCGTAATATAAATTGAATTGGTCTGTTTGATTTATGATCATACAATCCAAGTTCCTGGAAGGATCCCATCTTCTGTCATGTTGGTTATGACGACCTTATACTGATGACCTATCCGCTTCCAATATTCAAAGACCTATAAACATTCACTCTCTACAAGAAACTACGCAACCTGATGGCTAAATGATTACAACAAGACACACCACACTCAAATCATTGGGGATCTCTAGAAAACCATTTTCAAAATCTGCAGTCTTCTTTCCCAAAATATTGCTTTTGGTAAGAATCTGAGCAGGCCTTGCTTTGTGATCTCTTGGAAGGAGTATCCCTGCCGAGTGCCGATTTGAGTCAAGATTATGTATAGAGCTGAGCAGAGCACTACTCTTGTGTTTCACTCTCTTGGCCGGGCAAGCCACAAGGAACTAAGAGCACGTAGTCGAGATGAATAATCGTGTATGGCAAGAAGAGCACGAGCTGACTGACGCGTTGTTAACACTCTAATCATCTGTTGCAGTGTTTGCAGCCTCAAGTTATCAGCCTGCCACCAAGAAATGCCCTATGAACTCCATTAACAGACAGAGATGTCTATATATAAGGGTTTATCTCTTTTCATTATAGGGTTATATCCATATCTCACGATCACATCCACATTTCAAATGTACCTGGCGGATGAATCCTTCGAGGGTGCCTAACTGCCCCATTGCCATGGCCATCTGACCCATGTAGCTCGCGACATTATCAGACGAACTGGAACCAAGAGTTCCACTAGACAACGTATCAGCTAGGGATTGCTGTAAACTCTCCATCCCTTGAGATAACGCATCTTCAGCCTGCTGGGACGTCTGCTGCAAGCTATTTATGCCCATCACCTGCCGTTCAGTCATGGGCTCCAGCTGATTCGCAAGAAGCTATTGTAAAAACATTGTGACCCATTAGAGTTGGTCTGTTCATCGAGATTTCTCTATGGACTTGTAAAGAGCTCACCTTGAGAAGTTCTGATGAACGGAACCCGCCAAGCCACAAGAAACATCTCTCAGCTGGTGTTTTCCACATTCCAGATAGTAAGTGGAAGACATCATTTTTAGCTGCGTTGCTCTTAATCCTGAAAAGCTCTTCATAGTGAGCCATCACTCCATCCACAATTATCCGGAGCTCAGTATCACCTGCGTGAGCATTCAGAGCAGATCTCAGCTCGTTCATTTGCCTGTTCTTTTCTTCAAGCCATCGTGAATGTTCCGCATCAAATGCCAAAGCCCCTGAAAAAAAGATGAGTGGTACAAGATCAAGAAAAAACCCATGATGCGTACACGTTGCAGACCTAAGCCTACACAAACGCTAACCATATATAAAAAAAAGCCAGTATTGATATCACCGAAACTTTAATTTTCCATCCCGATCTTCTTTGACACTTGAAACCGTTAACTCTAATAAGCCTTGGCATGACTTGTGCAATCACCAATTCATCAATCAACATCAAGACAAGACACTAGCGAATGGAATATATGCAGTTATCTAACCTATAAATTACAAGCCAAAAATATCAATCTGGAATCTAATGGAGAAGAAATAACTCACCATTTCCACTAGTAGAATGGGCTTGGTCCCCTGAACTTGAGATGAAAACGCCCTAAAATTGTGGAAGAAAAAAAGTATTATTGTTGTATGCAGAAGTCTTACTTGTAAGAATCAAACCAAATAAGAAAACAAAGTCGAACCTGCTGTCTTGCTCTTTGCAGCTCTTGCTCAAGTTGAGTCAGCTTTAATCGGCTATTCTCCAGCTGCTGAACATACGCCTATGGAGGAAACAGTAACATGCTTAAGTTATTGGCATATAGATATTCCTCCAGAGATGTCGAAATGTAGTAAGAGGAATATATAAGAAAATTCAAAACAAGAGCACAATATACCTTCTTCCTCAATCTGCTTTTCCTTGCTGCCTCGCGATTTTGAGCAAGCCTACGAAGGGTCTATGGATCAAAAAAAAGAAACAAAAAAGATTATGCATATATGCGCAATATAAACAGATAGTCTTTGATCCCCAGAGATGAATATAGCATTAATCACCTTTTGATCCAACTTATCCTTTGATCGATCACTGGAATCAGAAGCAGCAGCATGCATCAGTTGCCCTCTCTCGGACTGCATGTAATTAACGTCAGGAATTAGTCCTGTGGATTTGGCTTTACCGGTAGAAATGTCCCAAGTTTTACCAAGAGAACCCGGTTCAAGCCTCCCCACGAGTGACAATGTAGAGAAAATAAAATAAGAAAAATGATTAGAGCAAGATTACGAGCTAACCCCCAGATCTCTAGGATCTGTGTCGCCATCAGTTGAGACATCAGTCCTTGAACTGGTATCAGCCATAATTACTTTCTGTACTAATATTTGATGCAGAGACTATCCACTTGTGCTCCCTTTTGCAGTGGAAATTTTTGCGATTTACCTCTGGTGCAGATGCAGAGTTTCACACTAGATGGAGAGAATACTGCCAAGAGGAAAGGAAAAAAAAAAAAGATGCAGACGAAGGAAATTAACAATTAGCAGAGAGAGAAAATATGATAACCGAAGAAAGAGGCCAAAGCACCTTACCAAAACAACCAATATAAGGAACAACCAGTGAACCATTGAATGAGCTGAATTATTTAAGAAAATCCATCAAATGAAAATCTAAGGTTTAACAGAGACAGTTAACCCAAGCTGTCTATAACAGATGATCAAAGCTTGTTATCTGGACAAGAACAAAGTAGCCTTGATTATAACAAAAGAAAAAGGTGTAAAGGGCCTTTCTATAACAGAGGATCAAAGCTTGGTATCTGCAATAAACTATTTGCAACGAAAATCCGTGTTCAAAATCCTACCCCACAACCACCTAGATACCAGAGACGAAGAGGAAATCAAGTGCCAACACTAATTGAATGTGAAGATCACTCGAAAGAATAATAGTAATATTTGATGTGTGAGAGCAAACATAAATAAAGGAAAGAAAGACAATTCCGTAGAAAACTTAAAATATCGCCAGACAACTCTAGTACACTACGCAATAAAACATTAGCGTGCATAAAACTAAGTCCGAAGCAACTCATAGATGAAACAAAAACTAATGATTCAAAATCTAACACAAGAGAGAACTAAGCATTGCTATAGAGCAGCAGCTCATCACTCAGATCAGTAACTCACCACCGAGGATTTAAAATCTGTTCTGTGAACATAATTAAACAGACACATGAAATTCAAAGCATATAAACATTTGAAATCCAAGAATTCGATGGTTTTGGTTGCTGAAAACGTCATCAAATGAACAAAATCTTGAAACTTTTTAAACTTCTGAAAGTCAACTAGGTCTTAATTTCCAAGGCATACACACAAAGTGAAAGAAAGAAAAAAAGTAAGCTGTCCAATGACTAAAGCAAAACACAGAACGAGGGAACTCCAAAAGGGAAAAAAAAAAACAAATCTTTAGCTAAAGAGCTTGGGTTAAGGAAGAAGCTGACCTGAAAAAAATGATAACTTCTGTCGGAGTAAAAGGTTGTCCGAAGTCGGATTGAAGGATGAAGCAGAGACACGATCCGTAATTTCAATCTCCAAGACGTCGTTTTGTCTACAATCCCACCATCCCCAAAAGAACATCTCGATAAATTTATCGGTAAATTGCAAATTAAACCTCATACTATTCTTGTTATCCCTAATAGGCTCTATATTCCTAAAATTGCATAAACCACCCACCCCATATAATTTTCCTCATCCCGTTTCTCGGTTCCGGTTCAAATGATGGCTTGGTCCCGGTTTTTAGGCAATGCCAAATAGGTAATTAAACAAATATTATGTCTTTGACCGGCTTCCTCTCATGTGCGCTTTTGTCCCTTCAACGTGCATTCTCACGTGTCAGACATTGAGAGTTCCTCTTTTAAATCCTACTATATTTTCAGTTCAGATGGAATCATGGAAGTGAGGGAGAAAGCAAAAATCCAAAGTGTATAGAAAAAATAAACCAGAAATTGAAGGACAGCAAATTTTCGGGTTTATTTATGTTAATCGCCGGTTTTATGGTTAAACCGATACTCAACCGAAAAGCTTCCGGGTATTTTTTGGGTCAACGCCTCTATTTTAGAGTATAAAGATCAATGCTTTGTCACAACACTCAAAAACTCTAAAAAAAGAATGGGTTCTTGGATACTCAAGTTGCTGCTGCTGCAGCTTGTGCTTGTGTTGGTTCATCATGCTGATTCAGGTTCTGTCGTCAGATATCTTCCCGGTTATGAAGGCCCTCTTCCTTTTGAGCTTGAAACCGGGTTCTGTTCCTCTTCATCTTATTAAATTATCCATATATTGTATGACTCTCTGTTTTTCTGATTCTTGGGAGTTTCATCATTTAGGTACATTGGTGTTGGCGAGGCAGAGGAAGATCAAATGTTTTACTACTTCATCAAATCTGAGAGGAACCCAGAGGAAGACCCTCTTCTTGTCTGGTTAACTGGTGGACCTGGCTGCTCTTCTTTTTCTGGCCTTGTTTATGAAAATGGTAAAAGTCTTAGATCTTTCCTCATGAAAATGCTCTTCTTTTCTTCCTTGTCTCTGCAGAACTTTCTTAATGACTTGTTTGAAGTGAAACAAAAAAATCAGGGCCTCTTGCTTTCAAGGTTGAGGCCTACAATGGAAGTATCCCTTCCTTGGTCTCTACTACATATTCTTGGACCAAGGTAACAACAATAATCTGTACTAGTAGTCATGATCTCAAACCATATGAATTCTTCTTTAATTTATCTCCAGTTTTAAAGATGATTGCTTCTTCTCAGGTGGCGAATATAATCTATTTGGATCAGCCTGTTGGGACTGGCTTCTCCTACTCAAGAAATCCATTTGCTGATCTACCAAGTGACACAGGAGCAGCTAAAAGGGTCCATGAGTTTCTTGGTAAGGTAAAAGGCAAAAATTCAAATTGTCCATATCAGTAAAGATGCATAAGCTTTTAGAGTGTTTATTTGGTTTGGTGCAGTGGCTAGCCAAGCATCCTGAGTATTTCTCCAATCCTTTCTATGTCTCCGGAAACTCTTATTCCGGTAAGGTGATTCCGACCATCGTTCAAGAAATCTCAAATGGTAGAGTTTTTTTTATCACTTCAAGATTGGTTTGCAAGCCCCTTTTTTTTTTTTTTTTGAGTCTCCTTTCTTGATCAGCTTATTTCACCAATCTATAACAGGAAATCTTGTATGCTGCAAACCTCAAATAAATCTTCAGGTTCATCAGTATTTTCTTGCTTCTTACGTTATATCTATATACCTTACCGAGCAATAATAATTGAAGAGTTTTGTTTGCTCTCCAACATCAGGGTTATGTTCTCGGAAATCCGGTTGCAGACACTGATCAACATCATAACTCTCGCATTCCATTTGCTCATGGAATGGCACTCATCTCTGATGAACTCTATGATGTACAATCACAAAAGCTAGGATTTCTTTTTTTTTCTCTTGTTGCGACAATGAAGTAGTAGTAGTTAATGACCAATTCAACACTCTTACAAATTTGTAGTCAATGAAGAGAAGCTGTGGAGGAATTTATTTTAACGTGTTTCCTCTTAACACAGATTGCTTGAAATTAGTTCAAGAGTTCAAGAAGGTACACGCATATCCCGGAAATTAGTTGCAGGATTAATTGCGATAAAATTACTAACTTTAAGAATTTTTGTGGTTTATTTATTTTACAGTGTGTTTTTAGAATATATGAAGAACTTATTCTAGAATCAAATTGTGACATTACATCTCCTGATTGCTATGTAAGCTTCTTTGGATTAATGGCTAGCCACTCAACTAACCGCTAGAGAAGAATACTGACTAGGCTGCTTTTGCAGACGTATCGGTATTTGCTATCCGAATATTGGGCTAATGACGAGAGCGTACGCAGAGCACTTAATGTTGTGAAGGTATGTGACCAAGTTTATATATATATTATCACAGATCATTGATAAAATATGATGACCAAACTTCATGAGGGTTTTGATTGCAGGGGACAAAAGGGAAATGGGAACGATGTGATTATAATGTGCGTTGCAATAAAGATATAAGAAGCAGCATACCATACCATATGAATAACAGTATTCAAGGCTATCGATCTCTCATCCTCAGGTACACAAACTTTTTTACAAGCTTGTGCATTCATTTATTGTTTGTTAACTTTTCTACCATATGGTTTTCCTTTCCTAGTGAACACTCTCTTGTAGTCTTGTTGATTTAAGTTTCATGTGCTTCTATGGGGATTTGAACAGCGGTGATCACGATATGACAATCCCTTTCGTTGCAACTCGAGTATGGATAAGATCTCTCAACTATTCCATTACTGAGAAGTGGAGGCCATGGATGATACTCGATAAAGTCGCTGGGTATACCATTTTGTTTTTCCTTTTTTTTTTTTTTGTTGCTGGATAAGCTGGCTCATCTGACGAAATCAATATTTTCATTTGCAGATACACCAAGACTTATGCAAATAAGATGACATTTGCTACTGTGAAGGTAACTCTCATATATCCACATTTTAACTGACACAAATGAAAAGCATATTTACATTAAAAAAATTCTTAATTGGACTGTGGGGTTTGGTTAACAGGGAGGCGGGCACACGTTAGAGTATAAACCAGAGGAGAGCTCAATCCTGTTCAAGAGGTGGATAAGTGGCCAACCTCTGTAACAGCCTTGGCAAAATCTTGACAATGCGATTTCTACATAAGTTATCTTTGTGATTGAGCCCAGATAGAGGGACAAGGCATGTGATTTGGCCAAAACAGTCAGAATTTGGATATGACATACCAACACTTGCTGACGATTAAAACATGTGATAAATCCATGATACAGTCTTAGTTAAGGAAAAGCATATAAAAGCTACACATATCTTACAAAGATGTTGTTTATAGAGAACTTGTCTATTTGCCCTCCTGTTCCAAACTGTCTCTAGAGTGACTCCTTAACGTTTTCTTTTCTTCCCCGAAGAGCTCTTCTCTTCTGGCTGTGACTTGGAACGCACAGTACAGCTCCAGAGAGCTCTCTCAATGTCTGAAGGCCCATCCCACTCTCCTTTCAACTTTAATTCCTATATAAATCCATCATTTTGATTTTAGGCAAGCTCTAGTCCAAATTTAAAAATCTAATGCCTCTTAACATTTTCAAGGATTTTCGAAGACTTCAAAGCTATGATATTTTCATGTTGAGTGTGTGGAAATGAAATAAACAGTGAAAAACAGAATCAGTACCTTTTTTCAGGTACCAAGTGTCATCCTAATTTGGACACAAAAACAATAATTAAACACTTGTCTAAAGAGATTACTACTACTAACCTTTGATTTATCCTGTAGCTTAGTGACAAACAACAAGTATTGCTTCAAAGAGTAATCCTTTGAGTTCCCAAGAGCCACCTCCATCGCCTTCCTTTCCACATTTAGAGTTTTATTCAAATTAATGAAAACAGAGGATAAACAATAAAAACAAAGGAGTCTTTCTCAAAAAAAAATAAAACGTCTGATTGTAACATTGTATATAAAATGGAAGAGAAATGTACCTCGTCGGACATAAACGGAGCAATGTCGGGGGCGTAAGCAGCCAGAACGGCGGAGGCGGTGGCCGGACCCACGCCCTTAAGCACGGTGAGCTCTTTCACGGCCTTTGATATGTCGGGGAGCGATTTGAAAGCCTTTTCAGAGGCAGATTTCACCACCGAATCGTCCAGAGAAGACACGAAATCCAGCAGACGCGGCCTTGGAGGAAGAAGAAAGTAAAACTGAAGAAATCACGCACGAATCTAGGAAGGAATGTACAGACTCTGAGATAGAAAGAGAGAGAGAGTACCGCCATTTTCCGCGGGAGAGCTTCCATTTCATGAGTTGAGAAAGCTCGGAGGTGGTGAGGTAAGGGTTAGGGTCTCGGTCGTGAAGAAGACAAGGGAGTTTAACGCGGTAGAATTGATCGAGAGAGACGAGGTCTGGTTTGTTCAGAGACTCGATTCGTGACTCGTAGGAAGACAAGGCCTCCTTCCAAGCTCCGACATCCGAACACTTGAAGTCTAGTTCCATCGCTTACAAACAGGTGTAGGTGTTTTACGTTTACCGATCGACTGACTTCTCCGCCGCCAAAAATAAACCGTCTCTGTCTCAGTGAGTTAAATGGGCGGATTCAGAGGAGTCGAACAAGGCCCCTATAATTTGTAAGCCCAATAGTTTTTATAATCAAGGCCCATTTTAAACTCATGATTATTGGTTATGCTGTAGCCTTTTTCTGAAAACATTTTGAAAACCGTGTTTTGAGCTGTAGCCTTATTCCATTGTTGACGACTGGAGACCATGGATCGATGATCTCATAAAAGATGAAATTTATTTTCCTTTTTTGTTAGATACACGAGGACTTAATTATGTGAATAAGATGACATTTGTTAACGTCTAAAGAAATATATTTTTTCTTAAAGTTTGCTCAATATACAAAATACTTTCTTTTAAGATAACCACAGTGAATACGATCGCCAACTTTTCAAAGCCGAAGTTAGAGACCAGCGTCGAAGCCGAAACCATTTTTCTTTTTACATATGATTCTTAGTTGCTTTATAACTTTTTGGTTTATAGGGAGGAGGGCATACACCCGAGTATAAACTAGTGGAAAGCTCAATTATGGTCAAGAAATGGATAAGTGGTCAACCTCTATAACAACCTATTAGTGATTCTACACCTAAATTAGCTTATGTGCATATGAATGACTTTAAGATGAAGATCCAACACAGCATATGACATATCCTCTGTTTTTGCTTCTTCTTTTTTTCTCCTAACTCCTAAGCCCCCTTCCCTTTTAACTAAAAACATTTGCAAACTGATTTGGTCTTTGTGATTGAGCCAAATACAAGGACATTTACGTTTGATCTTTAAAAATGAATACAAGGGCGGGGATTAGGTTCAACACTCTACAAGATATGAATATATTATAAATAACTTCTCTACAAAGAAGACATTATTATTAAATAAAATTTGGGAAGATAACGTTAATATTTGATAATGGTTTCCCTACAATAAAAAGAAGATAATATGAACAAATATATTTAATTTGTAATCGAGGAATCCTAAGCTGAATCACATACAAAATATTTTCTCAACGCCGCCTATGGATAATTGTTTTAAATTGTTATTTTCTGGCAAGTGTGAGCGTTTCAACTTTTTAATCTTTCTCAATTTGATTGCCGACACACTACCAAAATAAAAAAGAAAAAGAAAAGTGAAAAACACTCATTTGCCAACAAAGATTATTAAAAACATAAAGGTATAATACGAATAAAAAATAAAAAGTAAATTCTGTATACACAGTCACACACAACTATGAAAACGAAAAATAAAGATGTGTGTCCAATGACACATTTTGAGTCTTGAGAGGTGGGCGATTTCATTTCAACATCACTTCGTCGTCGGCTTCCCTGGACCTTACTCGCCACAACTTCATTTCCGTTCGTCTTCTCTTTCTGATAGCCGAAAGGTTTTCTCTTTGCAATTTTCCTCAGCTCCTCGCCAAGCTGAAATTCGGGATTTCTCTAGCTTTGTTTCTCCGGGAGGGTTTTTTTTTTTTTTGTGTGTGTGGAAGATTTCATGCAAATGGAGGCTAATGACTGTGAAGAAGAACACAAGTTCACTCTCGACAGCTTCCATATCCTGGAGCAGGTTAGAAGAGGCAAGTCTTCTTCCGATTTCGTGGTTCTCCATGAACTCGAGGACAAAAAGTAAGATTCTTTCCTTCTTTCCCTTACTTGTTTCCTTAACAGAGAAATGGGTTTTTTTTCGTGTTTTCAATTTTTGAACCAAGAACTGCTTCTCTTTAATCCCAAACCTTGAGATATTTTGCTACTTTTAGTTCAGCTCGATTAAACTTTGTAATTTTCAGTTGGTTAGTTAGGGCATACAAGGGTCAATGCTTTTCTTCGAGCAGTTGTAATCAGTGAAACACGAGACGAATGTTGTGTCTTTCTCAAAAGTACGGACAGAAACCTTGCAAAGGTTTTTGAAGTTTTTTTTTTTTGTCTGTAACGAGTTTCGTTGTCTTTCTATCTGAAATTCCATAGACATATAAAAAAGAGACTTTATTCTCTTTCTGTCATTGAGTGTGAACAAGAACTGTTTGTGGTATGTTGGTCTCTAGCTATCTTTCAAGCTTTCAGTTTCTTGTCTTGATTAGGTATGCAATGAAGAAGATTTGCCTGGCTAAACACACGGAGAAGTTAAAGCAAATCGCTTGCCAAGAGGTGAACTATGTGACTTTTGGTTGATCTTTAAATCATCAATGGTTAATTTGTTAACTATGGTTTTTAATTATATTGACACATTTTTGTATCAGTTCTTCTTTTCACACATATATTGGCATGTGAGGTAGTTATTAAATTTTTAGTTTCCGTATAGGCTCTCGACTCACGTGCTTCTAGACAAACATATGGTATTCATTTGTTTCTAATATTCGTCTCTCGCATTGCCGAGCAATGTGTTAACTCGCTAACTTCGGATTAGTGAGCTTTTAGAAATTATGCTCTTGGAATATTGGAATGGTTTGGAAACACACTTCATTTGACGGACGATAGTTGTTTGGTGAAAGTGTTGTTTGGTGAAAGTGCGTCCTATCTATGCGTACTGTGATTTGTTTAACCACCAAAGTGATTTTTTTTCCCCCGTGGTCTCATGATAAATATCTTCATCTACGTGTTGTAGTTGAAATCGCTCTCAAAGTTAAAGAATCCATATATCGTGCAATATGAAGATTCTTGGATTGACGAGGTAAAGGAGTTGGACGTCAATATCCATTTTGTGATGATAGAGTTATTCAAGATTTTCATCAGTTTTCACATAACTAATTTCCCCTGCTTGCAGGACAATAACGCCTGCATTTTTACTGCTTACTGTGAGGGAGTGAACATGTGAGCTATTCTTCCATGGACTCTGTATTTATGAGTTTATAAGTATCCACGATATGAATGAGTCGTGGATTACTGAATCCGAGAACGATTGTTTTATTTTGCGAAATCAGGGCTAATGCTATTAAGAGAGCTAGAGGGAAGTTATTTCCTGAAGAGGTAATCTCTCCATTTCAGTTTATCATTTTGTTTGTCTTACACTTGTTTTCTCCATATTGTTACTGTCTTGCTGATCATAACAAATTCGCATGTGATTCTGTGCAGAAAATCTTCAAATGGTTGGCACAATTGTTACTGGCTGTTAACTATTTGCATTCAAACCGTGTACTTCACATGGATCTAACGGTACATATTTAATTAGAATACATTACAATTGCTGGTGTGTGATCCTAATTTTTCTGTGTGTTGCTTAAAGAATGGCGCTCTGATTATTGAGTATCTTTGCAGTGCTCAAATATATTCCTTCTAAAAGATGATCACATCCAGCTTGGTATGATAATTGAAAAGAATGATATGATAATTGAAAAGGATGATCTTACACTTTCACTCAAAACTCTGTCTTTCTGTGCTCTTAACTGGCTTTAAATTACTACCCATGGCACAGGTAATTATGGTTTGGCGAAACTTATAAATCCGGAAAAGCCTGCTTCCTTGGTGTGTTATCTAACACCTTTTTGTAATTCTCTTTATATTCTCTCTCTCGACCCATTTGTATATTTCTTTCTAGAAAACCTCATTGGTAGTATTGTTTTAATAGGTTTCTGGTATTGCTAACAGCATGTGCCCTGAGGTTTTAGAAGATCAACCATATGGATATAAATCTGACATATGGTCGCTGGGTAAGTTAAAGAATTTAAAACCCAATAGATGTAGACTTCAAGTTCCTTAAAGGAATCTCATTTATGCTGGCTTTGTTCAGGTTGCTGTATGTATGAAATTACAGCACACCAGCCTGCGTTTAAAGCTCCGGTGAGCCTGTCTTAGCCCTTTTTCTCTATTTTATGTTTCCATGTGTTCTTTATGAAACTAAGTTGTAAAGAAAACTTACAGGATAAGGCCGGACTCATCAACAAAATAAACAGATCCCTTTTGTCTCCTCTTCCGATCGTCTACTCCTCTACCTTGTAAGTTTCTTCTTCTTTCGAGTGACATGATTTGCTTCAGTCCTGTACCACAAACAGCATGCAACGAGTCACAACTATTTCGTATTACAGGAAACAAATGATAAAGCTTATGCTTAGGAAGAAGCCGGAACATCGGCCAACAGTAAGTTATCAACATATATCATTGTTTGTTGTACAGTATAGTGACTGTTTTGACTAACACAACACTATGGTAATAATTATTCTTTAGGCCTGCGAATTGTTAAGGAACCCGTGTCTACAACCCTACCTCCTTCAATGCCAAAACCTGTCACCTATTTATCTTCCTGTTTTCCCAATAAACAGCCCCAAGGATAAGACAAGAAGAAATTCACTGCCAGGCAAGATTGTGAAGGAGAGAGATTCGAAAGAGAAGAGCGAGGTGTCTCGCAGTTTGGAAAACCTGTATCCGTTTTGGACGAAAGCAGAGACTGGATCTAGCAGCTCGTCGCAACCAGCTTCATCGACAAATGGTGCAGAGGACAAGCTTGAAACAAAAAGAATAGATCCAAGCTGCGACACTTTGAAGATCTCTGAGTCTACTAGCCAGAAGTCAGATCCTGAGATTGCAATCTTCACTACAGAAAAGCAAACCGAAGAAAATGATCTGCCGAAGGAAATGGAAAATCTGTTCACCGAGGAATCTCAGTTACGTGATGTTGATGTCGGGGTTGTGAGTGCACAAGAAGTAATATGTTGCCGTCCAAGCACCATGGAAGAAGCTGAAACTCAGGAGGAGGCTTTTGCTGAACCAAGGGATCAGAGAAAGCTGTCCATTTCTAGCTCTGAAGTTGCAGCAGCAAGTGACTGTTTGTCTGGAAGCGTTGAGGTGAGTGAAACAAAGACGGTGAAGCTAACAGCGAGTGAAATGTCTTCAGTACTGAGTAAGCTCACAAAACTGGGTCCGCCACAGAGTAAAGAAAGAGCAGATGCATTGGAGTGTTTGTTGGAGAAATGTGCAGGGCTTGTAAAGCAAGAGAAATATGAAGAACTTGCTGGTTTGCTTACACCATTTGGGGAAGACGGTATCTCAGCTAGGGACACTGCTATTTGGTTTGCAAAGACACTCTTGTCTTCTGAAAAACTCAACCAATGAACATGATTGAATTTGAGAAAGAAAAAAAAAAACTTATAATATGTAAGTTTTCAATTAAATAGTTTGTGAACACTCATTTATCCCTTGTCCTATGTAATATTTACTGAAACTAAGTTCAAATTTTGAATGTTAAACTAATTTTCTCCACCTACAGTTACATCTTCGCTCTCTTTGAGCTTCTTCCATCTCCATTGGTGTCTCTGTTTCCTCTTTCTTAACCGTTCCTGCTTTAACCGAATCTCTTCTTAATAGAATTAACCTATTTTTGTTTTTCCTCTAGTGTTCTGTTCAAGCGTTTATGCAACGAACTCATCTCGCTCTTCATTTTTTTGGTAAGATTTTGCAGTGTCCATTATTACTTACTGTACTTTTCTGTACCCTTAAAACATTTTCTTTGCCTAAGAACATTTATCATTAATATTAAACTTTTAATCTCACTGGTTCGAGAACATGAACCGGACCTCGGTTCGTTTTTCCACAGCCGGTCTCTACTGTAATTAAGCCTTTATCTGAACTGCTATTCCCAACCATTCTCAAACCTTGATTCTTGATACATGATCTTGATGAATTCACTTATATGAGCTTGAAACATTATATACTGTGCAGAAAACTTGTGAGATTTTCAATGTGAAATGATTTGGTAATCATACATTATATAAAGCTACATCATATAAGACCGTAATCTCCCAAGAAATTGAATAATGAGGTGGAAATTCCTAATTGACTAAATTCTAAGCAGGGATGTAAAACAAGTGTCACCAAGTTTCTATAAAAAAAAAAAGTAAAAAGAGTGGTTAAAGCCGTGCGCATGAATCAAAACAAATGGAGTAGATCATCGTCCTCCGTGAAGCTATAGACTGCCGAGAGAGTGAGCCTGCCAAAAATGTTTGATGGACTTCAGTAACTTGCATTGTAGTAGAAGAGAAACAAACAGAAAGAAACGCGTTTAAGAAGAGAGACAAAAGTTGTACCTAAAGACAACCATGATGAAGAGAAAGATGTAGAAACCGAGCTTGGTAAACCGCAACTTTTTTTCAAAGTTAATACCACGGAACACTTCAGTGACATCGATGAGATGTCGTCGCTCATTGTATCTGTAACCCCGATTGGGGAGGAAGAGTTTTCAACCGTGTGTTTAGTTTCCATATATGTCAATTCAAGAATCAATAATATATTAACGATACACAGAGAGAGAGAGGGAGAGATAACTTACAACATTGCGTGATAGAGAGTTACAGGGAGAGAGACGAGGAAAAAGAACCAATGCCATGTGAGGAGGAAGAGAATGCAGAGGAATCCTTGGAGGATAAACTCAGGTAGGACCAATCGGTTGATGCGGGATGATGTTTCAAAAGGGTTCAGGTAATCAGCTTCTAAATCCGTTAAACATATAACCTACAACACCACACAACATCAATAAAAAAGGGCTCTCGTTACTTAAAAATCGTTAGCAAATATTGGTGAGATTCTTATCTCTCATTCAATCACCACTTGTTCCTATGACCGCAATCAACTCGGCACAAACTCAACAACAAAATAAAAACTGATGACTATAACTCGCACTGCTCTCAGTCATAGAACAAATAGCTGCTAAACTAACCTTGAAGACAAACCAAATCACAATTAAGAATAATTTTGACTTGGAAACCTCTCTGGACCCTTTTTTTTTTTGGGCAGGATTTCTCAATTGTGGGAGGTTTTATTACAAAATCGTTGAACACAAGGGGAAAATTGTCTTGTTCCTTATTTCTGAAAGAGGAAACAAAAACAGCTAAGCTACAAAGTCTTAAGATAGCTAGGGTTTCGGTAAGCAATGATGAACAATTCCGACACTCACAATTTGAACAGTTAAAATTGTCTAGGACAGATCTCAATTTCAGAATCTAACTTCTCAACTAAATTGAAGGGGATAAAAGTGGGGTTGTACCTGATAGAAGACTGAAGCTACGAGCGCTAAGCTGATGAAGAAGGAAAGAATCCACAAGAGCAAATCCCAAGCCATTGTTTTTCTTCACTAGTAATAATCTTTGTGCGACTCCTTCCTTAACTTCTATTTTTCCTAGGTCGTCGTTGCTTTTATTCTTCTACACTCGAATTTAAATATATGTGAAATATCTTACTCTTTTCAATTCTACTTTACTTTTATTAAGACTGAGTTCTATAGTTCTATTGGGAAAACTAGATTCTAGATTCTTTTACTTTTTTTAGTCGGCTTATTTCCTTCTTTTTTTTTTTTCATCTAGAAACTTTATTAAACTTTTGAAGAATACAAGCAGGATACAAATTGGCATCCCATAGTTTCGCTATGTTTCATCTGAATCTCTCAGGCAATACATCGTCTTGTTTAAAGGTGATGCTTACAAATACTGCAACAAGGAAAGCGTAGAAAGTAGTATTACGATACAGATTCACAAACACCGTCACAGAAATTTAACCTTAATAAAAACAGCATGTGATCTAAATTCTGCAAACATTCTTCACCATCACAAACACAAAACAAAGAGTTCACAAACTACTTTACTTTGCAAACCCCCAGAAAAAAAAAGCTTTTACTTTCTTCTTGACTTCTTCAATGATCTCCGGCTTTCAACTTTCCTCCGGGCAGCTTCAAATTCTTCTTCATTTGGCTCCGAGTCAGCGTTGTCACCATACCTAGAAACAAGTGACGAGAACATTGTATCGAACTTCTCTTTCCTCTCATCTCTTCGCTTTGCAATTATAGCGTAAAGATCTTTCTCTGCACCTTTTTTTGCTCTACAAGTATGTAAATTTGAAACATGTCACAACAAAGTTTTACTTCAGAGAGAAATTATTTGGAAAACGTGGAAGCCATAGTTAAAGCTTACTTTTGTCTCATCTTTGGGGGACTCGTGGGGGGTTTTATTTCTGATATTTCCTTTGCCCATTTCTTGTAAGCTTTCGTTGACTTCACTTCTCCTGCATAATGGAAACAATAGTTTCATAGCGCACAAACAAATCACGACAAGGATGCGTTTTGTAAACAGGACAGAAGTACTGCAAAAGAGAGAAGCCTACCTGCTGCAATGGCCTCGTCAATGATATATTTGAAACGGTGTGAATCAAGCTTGGGGTTCGAGCAAAGCATTGAGCAGAAAAGCCTGGAATAGATATGTTTATATAACCTTCAGTTCACAAACTTAACAATAATGATGAAAACAAGGGGGTGATATACTTTACCTGCTCATTCTACCCTTAAACTTCTGGTACAGCTCAATCAAATCTTTCTTCTCAGACTCAGAACCCCGGTAGTTTGCCTCAAACTCCTCAATATCTTCCTCGGTGACCTAAAACACAAGCATCCGTAGCTGAGGGAAATAGAGCAAACAGTTGTCTGCAAAGTCCAAAAAAGGAGAATCAATCGTGGATGGTGTTTGTTACCTTCTTGTACATGGCCTTGAAGAAATCCCTTAAGTTGTCAACCACGTCTCCCGAAAGATCCTAATGAGATTGGGAAAACCAGTTTGTAAGAACATCTTGCAGTTTTCTTACTGAAAAACTGAAGTTGAAAGCATTCTTTTCACCAATTCATATTCGAACAGTACGTAACTGGAAATCATACAAGAGACTGATACATGTGCAGTGTATTAGTAAGAATTTCACGGAAAGCAATCTCAAAATAACCAGCACGGTAATGAAACTAAAACCATAAAAAATAAGTAAATGGAAGAGCCACTTACAGCATCATCAACTGAGCCAGTTTGATCATAGACTGCCCTTTTCTCTTCATCACCGAGAATAGATATCACCTTTTGCAGCTGCTGAAATTTCTCTTTAGCTTCCTGTTGAAACAAAAAGCCAAGAAATCAAGTTTCCCTGTAAGTGAAATGGACCTATAGAAACTAAGAAAAAGTAAAAGAAAAGAGAAGAAAAGAAAGGGCCCTTAAGAGCAAGTGTGTTTAACCTCATCGTCCTTATTTTTATCAGGATGAAGCCTCAGTGCCAACTTATGGTATGCCTTCCTTATCTCCTGTGGAGATGCAGTTGCTCCGACACCAAGAACCTTTAACGAAGATCAATTAGTTCGTTTCATTGAATTCTTCTAATCATCTAATTAATCACCAGAAAAAAAAAACAAAGGGGATTTTCAAACTTAATAAGCTCTGGCTCTTACAATCCCAAAATTCAACGATGAAATTCAGATTATCAGTAATAAGACATCACTAACACTTGAAAATTGGACAAACAATCCAAAGTAAACCGATGCCCAAAAGTTTAAACCCCAAATCCAGAAACGAAAACCCTAATAATTAGAATGGAGAGATACCTCGTAAAGATTTTTCTCACTAGATCTCCCGTCGTTCTCCATTTTCGATGTTCTCGTTTTACACTTCCGGCGAAACAGCACACACCAGGGAATCGATCGAGTTAAAAATTGCTTCTATAAAGATTTATGGCGCCAATTATTTCCAACCCTTTTTCTGTTGCCGCCTGTTTTGTAAAAATTTTATTTTTCGGAAATTTTGACGTTCTCATCGTCTATTCTACCCTAATCTGGTGAAGTAACATGCTATTAATGCAAAGTTTATAAAATTTAAGGGGTTATTTCGTAGTTTAGTTTTAGTCTTTTTAATATAGACAATAGAAACTAACCGATACTGGTTTGGTGTGACAAAAAAATAACCGAGATTGAGTTGGTATCGATGATTTTCTAAACAAATAGTTTACAAACATACATATTATTATTATTTCAAAAATATATCAAATTTTAAGCATGATTTCTCGCTCTCTCTTCATTCTCTCTGCTTTCATTTTTACCTTTTTTAATTTTCTTGAAAATTTGAAAGTAACTAAGGTTTGCTTGAACCTTTGTTAATTCGATCGGATGGTGCCGGTTACTTTGATGAAGAAGCCGGTTAGGCGTTTAACGGTGAGTAAGGTAATGAGTAAAATAAACGGCCAAAAATTAATTTGGTTAAGATGAAGTTGAGTGATCAACGCCACAGAAGAATAATTCCTAGAGTTGGGTCCCGCATCGGCCGTTAATCCTCCCCTTTTCTCATATCTCTCTCTCTCTGCGTGTATCAATGCCTAACCACCATTCATAATCGTTTTCTTCATTCATCGTAATCTGAGTTTCTTGTCCGTTCATGCTAGGATACTAGGATTTGCTGGTTATGCATACAATACGAATCCGAGACTCTTCGCGTGGATCTGCTTGAGAGGAGCTTTTCGAATTCGTGATCTCGAAATTTCAGAGTGTTTATATACCCGTTTGTGTTTCTGAACGAGGCGAACGAACCATGTCTAATTTGTATGGAGATTACAACCAAAAGATCGATTACGTCTTTAAAGTCGTGCTGATCGGTGATTCCGCGGTTGGAAAGACTCAGCTGCTTGCTCGGTTCGCTAGGAACGAGTTTAGCGTCGATTCTAAAGCAACAATCGGTGTAGAGTTCCAGACGAAAACGCTCGTCATCGATAACAAAACCGTCAAAGCTCAGATTTGGGATACGGCTGGCCAAGAAAGGTTTGCTTCTCTTCCCACATGGATATAATGACATTGATTTCAGTTATCTGTAAATAAACTACTATCCATTTGATGATTATCGGATACATTCACAACTCATCGATCCATTTGAGTAGTTAGTTTTTGGCAACGTATGTCTATATTAGGCAGCATGTGGTTCAATATTAGTAGATTACATATGAAAAAAAACAGGTTGGAATCTTCTGGATTTTTGTTCCCATGCAAATGGTGAGTCTGAATTATCTTTCTGAAACTGAGAAAAACAGTCCGGTTTGTTGCATGAAGAGAGTGGTAATAATATTCATATATGGATGTTGGTTATTGTAAGATATCATCGTATAAAAATATTCGTATGAGCTTTATAGCTCCACATTGCTTTTCTTACTCCATGAACATGAGACTTATTTAATTAATTTTCTGCTTCTGCTTCTTAGTCATAACTGTTCATAACAACCCATTTAAGGAATAAAGTTTTCCATTTACATCTAGCCTGAACTTTGATGGCCAAGAATGTGCTAATTTTTGCTTCTACTCTTATATGTCATTTCGAATGCAACCTAGCTACTTTGAGTATGTCATTTCGAATGCAACCTAGCTACTTTGAGTATGTCATTTCGAATGCAACCTAGCTACTTTGAGGTTTGATAAACACCATCTTGTATATATAATGCTAGAGATTGACCATTACTCTGTTTAAGGCTTTTAGTCATACATACCCCAGATTAATCAAACTGTTATTGTTCTTGTTTTTCAGATACCGGGCGGTGACAAGCGCATACTACCGTGGAGCTGTTGGGGCAATGTTGGTCTATGACATGACGAAACGCCAATCCTTCGATCACATGGCTAAATGGCTGGAAGAGTTAAGAGGACATGCGGACAAAAACATAGTGATTATGCTGATTGGAAACAAATGTGATCTTGGAAGCCTAAGAGCAGTGCCAACAGAAGACGCACAAGAGTTTGCACAAAGAGAAAACTTGTTCTTCATGGAAACATCTGCACTCGAAGCCACCAATGTTGAAACCGCGTTTTTGACTATCTTAACAGAGATTTATCGTATAATCAGCAAGAAATCACTAACAGCTGATGATGATGACGCCGATGGGAATTCAAGTCTCTTAAAGGGCACTAGGATTATCATTCCGAGCGAGCAGGAGAGTGGTAAAAGAGGTGGATGTTGCGGCAAATCGTAATTCTACTAGCAAAAGTAGAAAAGATTGTACTTTTTTTGTTGGTTCTTCTTGTTTACTTTTTTTTTGTTCCGCCTTATAATTTCTATTCATGTTAGGCCATTTGTCCTCGAAGCGAAGCAATAAGCCAAGGTTTACTAGCTAGAGGAAAGAGTGAGTATGAGGGTGAAACCAAGATCCTCCATTTTTATATACATACCACCATTATCTAGATTACCAACATTTACGTGACTGTGATTTAATTTACTTTTAGAGGAATTGAGAATATGTGAATAATTTTTGTTAGGCTTGTGTCCAAAATGTGAAATTTTTTGTTCTAATGGCCCAAAGTACTTGTGTCTAACCCTCTATTATTTTAGTAGTGCACACGTTTTCATTTTGTGCGTTTATTATCTTCTCAATGACAATCGGCAACCTAAATACATGATGTAACAACTTGGTGTAAGTGTTAGTTAATTGATTTAAAACATAATAACTATCTCTATAGAGAATCATATGAGATGTTAACTTACTTAAAGAATGTGGAAAGAATACTGTTATTAATTTTTTCGTAAATAAATACTCCGAATATGCTACTTAATATTAGACTAATTGGCGTATATTCAACAAAAAGTGAATTAGAACACATATTTTTTTCTTCAGAATTTGACTTATAATTGATCCTATAATAAATATTTATTTTCTTAAAATTTCCATAAGAGAATAATAAAAAGAAGCAAAATCAGACCATTTCTTCACCAATATCCTAGAAAAAGAATATAGGAGACAACCAATAAACAGAGGTCCATCAGATTTCAAAACCATTGGGCTTCAATTTTTATAAAAATTTATTATTCTGTCGCTGTCAGATGTCAACCTTTTTGGATGGATAAATGATTCTCTCCAAAGGAAGACCAAACCCACAAACGGGGCCCACATATTGCCAGCGTGGAATCACATCATCTGATTGCATCAGCCCACCGTTTGTCTCGCTGTTCTCCGGTTTTTTTTTCTTATTTCTATCGTCTCTCTCTCTCCGGTTTCTCTTATGACGACCTATCCTCTTTCTTAGATTTCTCCACCGATCTCGAGCACAACATTCACGATTTGCATTCGGATTCTTTTTCTTGACTTTCCAGTCAAATCTCCAATGATTTATGCGACTCGGAAAGAATTAAGGGATATTTGATTTCCTCTTTCTCACCAGATCTGAAGCACCCGAATCCAAACTCAAATTCGAAACCAGCGTTTAGGTGTTTCTCAATCAGTTCAATTTTTTTTTTGGGAGATCAATTAGCAATGGTGGCGGTCAAATTGGGAATGCTCCATTATGTAATTGACCACGTCTATGGAGCGTTTATGCACCGCACGCGTGCGATAACGCCACCGTTCTTCTCGCGAGGATGGGGTGGTCCGAAGCTGGAGCTGCTCGAGCGGATGGCTAAACAGCTCTTCCCGATGTATGTCGAAGGTCAGAATTGGCCACCACCTTTGGTCCGTCCTGTGTGGAGGACCGTCTGGGAGACAAGGACCGCTTGTCTCAGAGAAGGCGTTTTCCAGACTCCCTGCGACGACGAGCTCACCGCTGCTTTGCCTCCGGAGTCTCGCACCGCCAGGGTTGCTTGGCTTGTTCCCAAAAACGTTCCTCCCCAGAAGATGTCCTGTGTGGTTCACCTTGCAGGTAGCACCAATTACGGATTCTCGTGTTTTAGGTTATGGAGAGTTGTTCGATTCGGAATCTTAATCACACGGAAAATTGTGAGCGTAAGATTATAGTTTATACTTAATGGCCAGAAGGAGAGCTTATGACTTATGAGTTAAAGATATGTCTAGTTTAGCTCTGCATTATCTTGGAATGGCTTGTTTTAGCTGTTTGTTTGATCATAATTTGTAAAGATATGTCTAGTTTAGCTCTGCATTATCTTGGAATGGCTTGTTTTAGCTGTTTGTTTGATCATAATTTGTAGCTGAGCCCTTTTGAGTTATGGCTGTTTACTTGCTTGGTTCCTCTTGATTTCTCATTATCATATCTTGCTGATTATGTGTTGCATTGTTGTAGGCACAGGTGATCATACATATGACCGAAGACTGCGTCTGGGTGGACCGTTGGTGAAACAAAACATTTCAACAATGGTGCTCGAAAGGTATTAAGTCTTTCTACACGTGATGAAAGCTTGAGAGCAAAACTTTTTTTGCTTTGACCGCTTTTGAAGCTTTTTTTGCCATGTTTTTGATCAAACATAGATAATGCCACTGCAGCCCTTTCTATGGCAAAAGGCGTCCGTTCCTACAACGTGGTGCAAGACTCCTTTGTGTCAGTGATCTACTTTTACTGGGGAGGGCAACAATCGATGAGTCACGTAGTCTTATTCACTGGTTAGACACCGAGGAAGGCTTCGGCAAGATGGGTATTTGCGGGCTTAGTATGGGTAAGTTACATTTTTTATTTCTTTTATGAACAACTTGTGAGCTATTGCATTGAGTTAAATTGGGTGAGCTAGCGTTAGATAGGCAATTTCACCTAAAATTTCCAAAATTTTAAACTGTGTATGAATGTTTTCTAGGATCGATGGTTATAAGATTCCTGCAATAGTTGTTTGGATGCTTATTGGCTTATCCACAGAGTAATATAAAACTAAAGCCGCTGTGTGGATTCTCTTAGTTATTAGCTTCTCGTCATAAGCATTAGCATTGTCTCCAACTCCTCAATATGCTTCTCAAACACACGTGCACTGCACCCTTAGATTTAGGTTCAAGTATTAAGATTAGACTGGTTTCTTCTTAATGTGAGAGCCATATCTTCTTATTTCTTGCTTTCACTGAAACCTAAAAAAGTCTTGTGAATATAATCAGGAGGAGTACATGCTTCGATGGTTGGATCGCTTCATCCAACACCAGTTGCAACACTCCCATTCCTATCCCCGCACTCTGCGGTTGTTGCATTCTGCGAAGGAATATTAAAGTATGGAACCGCTTGGGAGGCACTGAGGGATGAACTTGCAGCACAAAAGATCACAATGACTCTTGATGAAGTGAGAGAGCGGATGAGAACGGTTCTCTCCCTCACAGATGTCACTCGCTTCCCTATCCCCAAAAACCCCGATGCTGTTATCTTTGTTGCTGCAACTGTAAGTTGAAAAATGAATCCGTTAAAGTCACAAATTCGAAACTATTTGGTGTTCTCAGTGCCCTGATTGTATGTATGATTGGTGTTGGTAGGATGATGGGTACATACCGAAACACTCGGTGTTGGAGCTTCAAAAGGCATGGCCAGGCTCTGAAGTGAGATGGGTTACAGGTGGACACGTGTCGTCCTTTCTGCTGCACAATGATGCGTTTCGCAGGGCAATCGTGGACGGTCTCGATAGGTTAGAGTGGAAAGAGCCATGGTGACTTAACCGAACACAACTCCTTTGACAAACCAAAGGGAAGGTGTCTCTCTTTATGTAAATGTCTTAATCTCCTCTTGTTGTATCATCTGTTCTTTCTTTCAAAAGTGGTGGGCGCTAATATTCATTTGTTTGACCATTGTATTTGTCTCGACACACAACAAAAATTGTAGAGGTTTTAACTCATTACATTCCGTTTTTATATCAGAAACGTAAATCTCCTCTTTTTTTTTTTTTTTTTGGAAAAATGTCATTTATTTTCTTAGACTTGGGTAAAAGATAAAATCAGACTTGTTAGTCGTCTAACATCTGATAAAATTTCTATTACCTATACTGTTTAAAATGTATTACTATGTACTCTTTTTAGTTGCATGTTGTATCAAATGATTGCAGCATGGGAATTCAAATAATTGTTACTTGCTATGTCACACATTGGGTTCATGAAGTGACTAATGTACGGTCAAATTATTAAACTGAGAATCAAAAAAGCTCCAACACACTTGCAAACTTTCAAAAAATTAAAATAGTAGATGTATTTACCGCGCTTATGAGTTACAAAAATTTTAGAAAAGAATATTTGTACTTTGGGAGTTGTGTAATAGTTGTACAAATTCAGTATTACTACTACACAGCTGTGTTCCATTGAAAGTAAACCTCTGTTATATAGCAGAACCTTGCTTGCTTCACTTTTCAGAGTATCCACACCAATCAAAATGAAGCTCCTTCTTCGTCTCTCCATCTTCTTCTCCCTCCTCTTTATCTCTCTCCCATCTTCTTACGGCTGCACCTCAAATGACAAGAATGCCCTCCTTCAAATCAAGAAATCCCTCAACAACCCTCACCTCCTCTCCTCCTGGAATCCACGAACCGACTGCTGTACCAGCTGGACCGGCGTCGAATGCACAAATAGCCGCGTCACAGCCCTCACCATCTCCTCCGGTGAAATCTCCGGCCAGATCCCGAACCAGATCGGCGACCTCATTGACCTCCGTACACTCGATTTTAGTTACCTGACCCATTTAACCGGAAACATCCCACGCACTATCACCAAACTCAAGAACCTCGACCTCCTCCGGTTAAAGCAAAACAATCTCTCCGGTCCAATTCCTGAATACATCAGCGAGCTCAAGAACGTTACGTTCTTGGACCTTTCCTTTAACCAGTTTACCGGTCCGATTCCCGGTTCGTTTTCTCAGATGCCGAAGCTCCAGGCCATTCAGATCAACGATAATAAGCTAACCGGTTCTGTACCGAACTCTTTCGGTTCCTTTGTAGGCAACGTCCCCAATCTCTACTTGTTTAACAATAAGCTCTCAGGTAAGCAACATTTTTTTTTGGTTTAATCATTTCGACTTCTTCTTTTTTTTTTTGTGGTCAAGTAATCATTTCGATTTCTTTAATAGGCAATTTTTGGTCAAATATTTTTATTTACTACCAGCCTCTTAGCTCAAAAATGTTCTGTAACCAATAAAGATACATATTTTAGGGATTTTTTTCAAAATATATTCTTTTATTTTCATAAGATCTCGCGCCATATTTTGTTTGATAATTTATAAAACCCGGTTTAACAACCATTTTCTTGCAGGGAAAATACCGGAGTCGTTGTCAAAATACGACTTCAACGCAGTGGATCTGTCGGGAAACGGATTTATCGGAGATGGTTCGATGTTTTTCGGACGGAACAAAACAACAGTACGAGTGGATTTGTCGAGAAACATGTTCCAGTTCGATCTCTCCAAGGTTAAGTTCGCTAGAAGCATAGTTTCGTTGGATCTGAGCAAAAACCGAATCTTCGGGAAGTTTCCACGGGAGCTGAGTAAGCTGCGTCTCGAGCATTTCAACGTTAGTTACAACCGTCTCTGCGGAAAAATCCCACGTGGTGGTCTCCTTCAGACCTTTGAACCATCTGCCTTCTCTCACAACCTCTGTCTTTGTGGGACACCGCTTAAGGCTTGTTAATTATCTAGGTTTAATGGCCGAAGAAACCAAATAATTATGTCATTCTCTATGAACTATGTCTATGATTATGTGTTAATTATCACCGCCTATCGACTATCAAGTTAATTGTTCGTATTAAGAAGAATTTAATGTTAAGAACAGAGTAAGAATGTTGTTGAGATATTAAAAGTGTAATCTCTATAACATCTATGGGTTCTAGTACAACATATGTCAAGTAAGGACTATTATATCTTATTTTTCGAGTCGAGAAATGTGTATGGATTGGATATACATAAAGAAATGAAGACTTTGAGGGTGTTTCTAATATTTATCGTTTGCTATGATATATTGGTCCTGTCTCCTGAGACTCGACCTATCGTTCAATTTGAGACCACCACAAGTCAAGATGAAAATATCGTAGGAAGGCCAGTAAACAGAGTTCGGTAATAACTAATAACATATCACCAAATAATTTTGTAGATTACCAAATAACAATGGTAATATAGTTCGTTAGTTGGCAGTTATTTTGGAAAAGCTAAAGATGATGTAAACGTATGTTGGTGATAATGTAGACCAATTAAGAAGTGATCAGGTTTTTTTTTTCTCCCTTTTTTTGAGGTTGGTTTTTTTGTTGTGTGTGTGTGAGGGGAAGAAGAAGAACCAAATGAAACTTTTGTGATGCAGTCATGTTGGGCTACATGGGCCGGAATTGATATTTTAAGTGGGCCTTAGAAGTTCTTATTTCCAAAACGAATCGTTTCATCTTTAAAACGACTGTTCGGCGATTCCGACGCCATCCCATCCGAGTCCCGGAGAAATCGATCGTAGCTCTGTGCCCTTCCCATTTTAAAGATCAGTTCTCTCGAGAGGGAAAGAAAAGTTCGTTTCTTTTTCTCAATTTTTGTTTTTTTTGTGGTTTTTGCTCAATTACCCGTTTCAATTTCGTTATTTCTATCATTTCACCGAAAGCGCGTCGAACCCTAAAACCCCTTCATTGCTTTTTGCGGGTCAAGCTTGGCTTCGAGTTTTCTAGGGTTTCGTATCTGAATCTCTGGAGAAGAAAAAACTCTGTTGTGGGTTTTCTCTCAAGCTTCTGAAAACAGAGGTATGTATAATGTTTTTGCCCCTTTCAATCTTATTCGAGCAATTAGTGCCTTACGCGTTTGGATGATGAGCCTTTAAGTTAATCTGCTCTGGCTGTTTATGGTCCTGCCTAATTGGACACTGTTGCGGATAGTTTTAGGCATTGAATTTTAAAGTGGGTTTAGGGAATGGTTAATCTTGGATAGGGTTTAGGGTTTGGAGAAAAGTATTCACCTTTTGGTGGATTTTTTGAAATTACGGGAAATTGTGGTAGCTTGTCTATATTGCAGCAGCGTTTTCTTCTTGTTGAATTATCTGTTGGGTGGCCTCAAAGTCGTTCTAATATGTAAGAACTGTCTATGATTTCCACAGACTTTTGTCGTTATCTTCTCTTTCGTTCCTTCTTTTTCAAAACATAAATTTCTTCTTACCGAGTTTAATTTCCTTTGAGAAGAAATGGAATAGCTCCTTTACGAATTGGAAAATTTCCTGCCTGTTGACGTGCCTTCCTGCTGCTCTCTTAGCGTTATAGATGTGTTAGCTTACGTTGTCTAGATATTTCATGCCAAAAAGTTTTGAAGTTTGCGTTTGTTAGGACATTGGTTATTTGGAAGCTTGTTTAAGGTGTTTAACTGGTAGTGATTGATCTTAAACCTTGTGAAAAGAACACTGGATTTTTCTTTGTATTTAGGTATCACTAAAAGCTGGATTTGCGTTGATAGATTACTTATTTGTTTCATTATAATTCCATTATCATACTCGTGAAAGAAGTTGATAGGTAGTACTACCATTTTTTAAACCAAAACAAACATTTAGCGAATATCTGGCTATTGTTATACTATTGATACCTTGATGGTAACTGTTGTCCTACATGACAATACAGCTTCATAAGTGACAGCTTTTCATTTGGATGGGAAGTCTCTGTAGTTAAACTACATAGCGATATGGAAGCACAAATTCATCAACTTGAGCAGGAAGCATATACTGCTGTTTTAAGGGCCTTCAAAGCGCAGTCTGATGCAATTTCTTGGGTACTCTCTTCCTCCTTTTGTTTGATATGGTTATTCTGTGTTCTCTGAGTCTCATGCTAATTGTATGGAATCTATTGGTTGTACCTTTTCTACAACTTAGGACAAAGAAAGCTTGATAACAGAATTGCGTAAGGAATTGAGAGTATCTGATGACGAACATCGAGAGCTTCTGAGCAGGGTCAATAAGGACGATACTATCATAAGGATAAGGTCAGCCTGTCTATATGCACCAACAAAAATACAAAAGATTAATCTAGCATGGATTTCCGTGTATTTTAATATGTTATGCATTGAAACTGTAACAGAGATTGGAGACAGGGAGGCGGAAGCCAAATTTCTTCTAGACATGCAGCTATACAGAATCTTGATGTTCTTCCTAGTCCAGCTTTCACAGCTTCCCGGAAGAAACAGAAGACGTTCCAATCTGTAAGTCTTCTGTTTTAGTCGCAAGCTTACTTACTTTCTTCTGTTTAACTCCATTGTGTTTTCTATATGTTATTTCTTGATCAATTATCGGTGATATGCCTGCAGTATCATCCATCAATTGGTGCGACTGGAAATAGGTCATTTAATAATCGTGTGGTGACGGGTGGCGTAGGAGCAGAATCTGCTGAAGCTCTTATCGGAAGAAAAGTGTGGACAAAATGGCCTGAAGACAACAACTTCTATGAAGCAATTATAACTCAGTACAACGCAGATGAGGTACTATTTCGTTCATTGAGTGTAGAACGCTAATTGGGTAGACAGATGCTTTGTTGTTTCTAGAAGACTTCGAATGTATATATGGGTGTTGTTGCATATATAACATTTGAACCTTGCTTCAAGTGTGTTGCAAATTTATGCGCTTTTTGTATATCTCACAGGGTCGGCATGCTTTGGTGTATGACATAAACGCAGCAAATGAAACGTGGGAATGGGTTGATCTCAAGGAAGTAAGCTTTACGCGGAGATTTTATCTGAGTAGAGTCTTTTTATGGTTTACTTCTGTTTCAGTAAGCGATATGGTGTCCTTACACGATGATCTTGATAATAGCTGACATTATTACAAATTGTAGATCCCACCGGAAGATATAAGGTGGGATGGAGAGGAGAGTGGGGTGGCTTTAAGCACTGGACATGGAAGTGGACCACTCCGCGGCAATCGAAGAAGCCAAAGCCATATTGGTAGAGGCAGAGGACCAAGAATTCATCAACCGAGAAGAGAATTTGTACCACCACCAACACAACAAAATGGTGGTGGTGGTCAGAGAACTTCCTCTGATGATATTGAATTGTTCAACACAGACTCGCTTGTGAAGGAGGTTAGTTTTTTTTTTTTTTTTTTTTTTTTTTTTTTTTTTAAATATGTTGTGTACCCATTAAGCTCAATGGCTGTTCTAACATCAAAGCTATGTTTTAGGTGGAGAGAGTTTTCGATTCCGCGCACCCTGATCCTCTCGAGCTTGATAAGGCCAAGAAAATGCTTAAGGTCTGAGATTAATATACCCATTTATGAGTGGTTTAGTATCGTGTTGCAGAGAAAAAAATAACTCAAGTTGTGCTGCAGGAACATGAACAGGCGCTTATCGCTGCCATTGCAAGGCTTGCTGATTCTTCTGATGGAGATATCGGTAATAATAACAAAAGCAAGGCTTCGTTTTGTTTGCAATCTCAGGATAATCTTTTAATAACCATTCAATTCTGTGCTTTGCTGATGATAATATCAAAGACCATTACAAACGTAATTCTACACACACAAAAAAAGAAGTTAACACACACTTTGCTCAGATTGTAAATTACACTTCAATAGTCTCTAACCTGTGAATACATGAACAGAAATCTTCTTCTCAAACTTCAGATTGTGTGCTTCTTTGCTGCAATTATGATCTTTTGATTTTTTGATTTTTTCTGTTTACTGTTTTTCACTTACCAGATGGAGATCCACCATATTCGCATGACCATCCAATGCCACAGGGATGATGGAGAAGCTGTCTGTGTCACGCATGGTTTGGTCATCATCAACCTAAGGACTCTGGATTCAAAAAGAAACACTACACTGTGCTTATATGACTAAAAATTGCTTGAGAGGTTAGCTTAGAAGATGGAATTAGTCATCTTCTTTTGGAATTGTGGTCACCCCAAAATGTATGAAAATTTGTTAGGATTGGAACTTTAGGATTCTGCTTGTAAGCACAGTGTATTTGAGTTTAGAATGTAACCTGTGACTATGATTGACCATGTAAATGTTCTTCAGTCCACCTCCAAGAGATAATCAGACCTGCCATCAAATATGCATACAGTAAGTTTATTTGAGATCGATGCTTAAAGCGACCTTGAATCAAACATGCATTAAGTTATACACATTAGACATTCATAACAAAAATGCTAAATATTTGGATTTCTTTGTCAAGAAAAGCTAACTGTTTTAAAGATTCCTAGATATCTGAAGATATGAAGAAACAGCTAATCGTTTGAAACAAACAAAGGAAATCATATGAGACTTAGAGAAAACACGTACCCCACCTTGTTTTTGCATTCATCTTCGATCTGGAATAATTGATTACTGAATCGAAATCATCACAAACTTGGGAATATAAGATTCTGTGCGATTTCGTTGTAATCCCTACGAGATACCTGAGATTTGACGGTAATTCAGGTTCCGGACTACTTGACATTATACGACACACAAACAGACGAGAAAACAAGTGGATATACCAAAAGAAATTCAAGTCGGGAAATCTAAAGCTACAAGAGCAGGAAATATGTGAAAATGAAAACGAAACAGAAACAGCGATAGAAACATAGCTCATGATCATGGTGGTGGTTTTAGATCATACCTGGAGACGGAGAACGCCTTAGAGATTGACGGGATCGGGCTCACTAGTTTCCATCTTGTAAGCTGAGAAATCGCAAAGATCGGGAGAAGAAGAAGAAGATGATGCAATTGGTATTCGTCGGAGTCGAGAAGAGGAAAAGGGAAGAAGAGGAGGAAGGAAGGATGTCAATAATAGAATGAAAAGAAGCAATGTTAGAGAGATTGCTTGACCCGTTTACCTTCTTCTCCCTTTTCTTTTTCTTTTTTTCCCACGAAAATTTATTTTCTACCAACTAATTTATTATCCTTTTTTCCTTATTAATATTTGCTGATAATTCATTGAAAAATAAGAAAATTTATTCTATTAAAACAAAAACACATTTAGTGCTTACATTCAAACACTCCCAAAATTTTTTTTATAATATTTTATTTTATTTTTATATTTCATTTCCGAAAATTAGTTTAGATATTTTTAGATTTCCTAAAATCTAAGTCATTTTTAATTTAAATTTAAATTTAATTAAATTTAATTACAAAAATTTGCATTCAATTTAATTTAAATTCAAAAAATTCAAAAAAATTATAATTAAATTTTATTACGAAAATTTAGATAATAATTTTAATACTTTAGAATCTCTTAAATACAGAAAAGATTTAATTTTAAATTTTAAATTTAAATAATATTTTTATAAAAATGTATAGTAAATAAATATTTTATCGTATTTTATCATAAACAATCGATCTAAAATATTAAATATTTGAGATTAATAAATATTTATATTATACAATAATATGATCAAGTTGATTAGAGTTATATATATATATATATATTTAAAGTCCATGAGTTAATTTATTAAAACATGTAAGATATTAAGATGATTTGAGACAATTAAACTAACAGGTTAGCCCATTTATATATATATATATATATATACATTTTTTAATAGCACAAATAGTAAATAAATATCTTTTATATATTTTCATAATCAATTGGTCCAAATATTCCATATTAATAAATATTTATAAGGTTATATAATTATAATTATAGTCTTATACGGGTTAGTTTGTCAAAACATGTAAGATATTAAAAATAATTTAAGACAACTAAACGGATGGATTAACAAATTCATAGATATATAGATTGTTTATGTGTAAATCTAAATTCACATAATAACAAAGTTTATAATTAACATTAGATCAATGTATACTTAATTAACGTATACTTTTATTCTACTAATATACAAATTTTACTGTTTAAAATTAAAATATGATAACGATTTTTTGATTTAAAAAAATAAATAACAAAAATAAATTATATCTAAACAAAAATGATAAATGCAACTTATATTAGAAATAAAAAATAAAACATTCTCGTGCGGACGCACGGGTTAAAATCTAGTTCAAAATTAAATGAAAAAAAAATGCCATATTTTATTGTTTTCAAGTCGATACCGCGAGGCACCTGATTACCAATATCGCTAATGATTTCGTGAAGCTACTCGAGTTTGGTGAATCACTGAAGCAGTGCCGATCCTTGAAAGCGAGTGCTATTGGTGGAATGTATAGTGTTATAAACGAAATCACTCCTAGCTTGGCTTATCTAGAGCAGCTCAGGCAACACATGGCAAGGCTTCCTTCGATCGATCCAAACACACCAACTCTCTTGGTTTCTGGTTACCCTAATGTGGACAAGACTTTGTTTTATGAACAGAATCAAGACCAGAGCTGGTGATGATCTCAATGTAGAATCAGTAGATTTTGTTGTTGGTCATACTAATTACAAGGATTTGAGGTACCAGGTGATTGATGCACCAGGGATTTTGGATAAGCCTGGAGACTGCGATGTTATCACTGCATTTAATGGCTCGTCATCTTCGAGCTGCTCTTGTTTTGTTCTTTCTGGATCTTTCTGGTTCTTGTGGTTACAGCATCTCGCATCAGGCTGCTTTTTTCCACAGCTTAAAGTCTCTGTTTCTGAACAAACCTTTGCTGATTGTCTTCGACGAGTCGGATTTGATGCAGTTATCTGAACAAGACTGGAAACTACTTGAAGAGATGGATAGTGGAATGGGAGTAATTGAAGAAGAAGAAGAAGAAACAATAGGTTTGAAGATTTGTAATTTGAGGAGTGAAGAGTGTGTTATGTCTGTGAAGAATGCTGCGTGCGAGAGGCTATTAGATCACAGAAAAAGACTGAATTGCATAGCTCAGGCCAAAGATATGATTTTGAGAAACAATTTACATCTTAATGTCTCATCAAGAATGGAAAGACGACATAAGTCCTCAAAATCTTGATGATGACAATAAAGTTTCAGACTTTTTGGTTGATTCCGACGTCTTTTTTAAGCTTGATCGGAGCTCGAACGTTAAAGGAGTAAAGCAGTCTGAAGAAGAAGAAGAAGAAGATGATGATTTTGTGATGGCCGAGGAACGCTTTACAAAGGAGCAAAAGGATCAATTTGTTGCCAGTCGCAAGATTCTTCCCTTTTGACGTTTTGGTTTTGTTTTTCAATTTTCTACGTCAAAACGCCATTGAACGTTCTTTTCTACACATGTGTTGCTTATTGAAATATTTTTCTTGCATTTTGTAAAAGTTTTCTTGAATGATCAGTTTTCCCTGACGAAAACTTTATTGGCAAACTCTAACATTTTTACAGTAACTAATATCATCTATACATTAAAGGACAAGTTAACAAAAAAAACCCAAAGTGTTAAGGAATGCTAGACAAATCAAACCTGAATTATTTCGTTTCAGTTTCGTGTACAAGTACAGCATACTGTATCTATATATATATTTTTTTTTACAACATATCTTGGTTCTTTTTCTGAGCGCTAATCATACATTTGTCGGATATGAACATGTGTGTTGTGTAACTTGTGTTAGCTTTGAAGTTAAACATGCGAATGCGATGTCCAAAAAATGAAAAAGAAAACAAGTTTGCCTCTGTGAAATGGAAAAGGTTAATTTAGTAGGCCTGTACAAGGTTTATTTTGTTGACGTCATAACAGACCAAATAAAGATGAAAACCATGTCATAACACGTTCAATGGGGACAAAATGGATTCTGAGGTATTTTTTTAAAAAAAATAAATGTAAATAGTTAATTGAAGTGAGAATCGACGCTTGTTCTAGCGTTTTAAGATGCGATGCTTGTGGACAAGTGTCAAATAATTAGAAGATCATAAGTGTGAAATCAAAACATTTTCTCTCTGTCACGACCAAAACATTTTTTCTCTTTTTTGAACCAAAATAGTTTTTCTTTCTTTTAATTTTAAATTTATTATTAAATATTGTTTAAGCATTCCATTTGAAGATCTCTCTTATATAGTCAACCTCGTCGGTACTCATAAGTCATAATAACGGACGCACCGCTCAATTTACGGCTCACGTTAAACCAAATCTTATTCCGGTTTACTTTTCTGTTTTTTCAATGCGCTAATCCGGTTTAAGTTCGAATTAAAAATTGAAGTGTGTTAAAAAAAAAGGAAAAATCTCATCTTTTCCCTCGACGACAACCACCTTAGGGTTAGGTTTATTTCTCTTATTCTCTCTACTTTTTTTTCCCTATTACGATTGCGATTTCGATTTGTCTTCTCCGATTCGCCCTTCATTCGCTCTCCAGACTCTAGGGTTTCTGTTTCGGATTTCGAATCGGATCTGTACTTACTCATGGATGCTCGTAAGAGAGGACGGCCTGAAGCTGGCTCATACAACTCCAATGGCGGCGGATTCAAGAAGTCTAAGCAAGGTTAGCTCTCTCACTCTTCCTTCTCTTGCTTCCGTTGTTTGAGAAACTGTTTAGCTACTACCATTCTGTTGAATTATACACCAATCTTTTCAGTTCTTGTGCTTCACTGACTCTGATAAAGGCTAAAAATTTGAGATCTTCATTGCTGTATGAATATTTTTTTCTTTTGAATTTTGGATTTGGCTAGCACTGATTTCTGCAATTTGGGTTCCGTACTAATTTTACTCAGCAAAAGTTGGGGTTTTTTTCTTGCCTGTCTTGAGATTTACTAGGACGCGAATTTAGGTCTTCCTTTTTCACTTCTGTGTTTTGGTGATGTCTTTCATGCTATCTTATTTAGTCTAATCAGCGATTAGCGAGATTACAGTAAAAACTGCTGCTTTTTTTCTCTATCCGATGCAAATCTAAAATCCATTAATCGTTCAGTTGAGTAATGATGAATGAGCTTTTGTTAAGTGACGCTTAAGTGAATTTCAGGGTTGTTGGTCTGAAGCTTATGTTCTTTATCGTCTCCTGAGTTTCAGTATTGCTTTAGTTTAATCCCTCTCAATTATAAGCTAGTAACATCTTTATCACCATGCCCAAAGACCGGTTTTTGCTTTGATTGAATCAGCCTTTTATTTTGTCAATTATTCATGTGTTTAGTTTTTGGCGAAAAATCCTGAAAACTTCCAGAATATCATGCAGCTTTAATTTTAAGTCTCAAGTTTTCATATAGATGAATGTTTGAATGATATGTATGATTATAAAGTAATATTATCGAACTTCAGAAAAGTCTTAACTCAAGAAAAACACTTAATGTTTGAAACAGAGATGGAATCATATTCAACTGGTTTAGGAAGCAAATCGAAGCCATGCACAAAATTTTTCAGGTTATAATCCTTTATCTTAATTGGATTAACATTCAAATTGTTATTTATCTGCAAGTCTGACCTTGAAATTAACAAGTAAAACTATATGCTAATGAAGTGGTTAGTTGTTATTACAGGTATGTATCAGCATTCATGCTATTCAAGTTTTAAAAAAGTTTCAATATAACAAATATGACCCTCACTAGAAACTGAAAAGCGTATCTGGATTAATTTTAGAAACATTTAACTCGTAATTATAACGTATAAAAGCAGCCAAAACTTGTCTTCTGTTTGAGCTGTGACAGTTGTTTAGAAAGGTGTTGTATTCTTCTCTTTGGTGGTAAGGTATTAGTGATTTTGTGTTTGTATCATTATCAGAATTGCCAGGTAAGGTTCTTGCATAAACTGGTGAACATGTCCTTCATCGTTAAGCACATCAAAAAAATATATGTTTATTCTCTCATCAGGATTGTATCTTCCCTGAACTGAACGGCCTTGTGTATAGCAACTAACATTGCTGTTTGTTCTCTGTTGTCATCATAATGCCATTGGGTTTAACTCTCTGATGTATTTTTTTTTTTTTATTATGCTTCTATTGCAGCACTTCTGGCTGTCCTTTTGGAGAGAATTGCCATTTCTTGCATTATGTACCCGGAGGATACAATGCTGTAGCACAGTTAACAAATATGGGACCACCAATGCCTCAAGTTTCAAGAAACATGCAAGGACCTGTTGGTGGGGGCCGATTCTCAGGGAGAGGAGAGTCTGGACCTGGCCATGTCTCTAGCTTCGGTGCCTCAGCCACCGCCAAAATAAGTGTTGATGCTTCATTAGCCGGCGCAATCATTGGAAAAGGTGGAGTCAGTTCGAAACAGATATGTCGTCAGACAGGGGCAAAGTTATCGATTCAAGATCACGAGAGAGACCCGAATCTGAAGAACATTGAGCTTGAAGGAACATTTGAGCAGATAAACGAAGCCAGCGCAATGGTTAGAGAGCTGATTGGGAGGCTTAATTCGGCAGCTAGGAAACCGCCAGGTGGTGGTGGTGGCATTGGCTCTGAAGGGAAACCGCATCCAGGAAGCAACTTCAAGACGAAGATATGTGAGAGATTCTCTAAAGGAAACTGTACATTTGGTGATAGATGTCACTTTGCACACGGCGAAGCAGAGCTACGCAGGTCAGGGATTGCCTAGTTGGTTGAGTTAGACAATTTGCTGGGAAACAAGTCTTTCTTTTGTAGTTGGTGATATCTAATATCATCATCTTCACCTGCTGTTTCTTTTTATCTTTTGTTATGAGAATACAGTGTTGGTTTCATTGTCTTTGTAAGTTCTTTTATCTGTTTGGTGATTTTTTAGAATTTAGTTTTTGGATAAATCGAGTTTGAATTGAGGTAAGAGGCTTGAAGAAATATTGACAAACTTAGAAACAGTGGTTAGGATTTGTATGCTACGTTTTATCTGTGTTCACGTTTCCTCTACTGTCATACTGTGTGTGAGTCAGATATGTCATCTTTTCGTATTTTTTCTCTGATGTATGTTGAATAACATCGGGTCTAGATAACATTTTCAATCAACTATATCTTAATTTGGTGAATATCATATCAACAGACAATAAACAAATTGAATAAGCAAGAATACGACTATAGTTTTTTGCTTTAAAAGTACTGTATAATTAGATTCTTGTAGAGTTTTATTTTAAAAATGAGGACTTGTAAATTTGTCGATGTTCTATTTATTTATAGATATAAATGTTTGATAGAGTAGTAATATGTATTAAAAACCGTTAGTGATAGTAGTAGATGAATAAATAAAAATAAAAATCAGGCTGGGTGGTGGGTGATCTCAAAATAAAAGAAGGTGTGTCGTTATAAGCGGTAATGCAAAGCTTAGAAAAATAAAACATCATAGTCATGTAATACTTTATAAGAGAGACCCTATCAATTTCTTAATTGATTACTTGTTGCCGCCTACTTGTTTTAGCCTCTACCACCTAATCTAAATTTAATATTTTAGTATCAAAGATTATTAGACTAATAAGAGAAAATCCGCACGAATCTCCCAAGTTCATCACACATGAGGAGGTTTTCACGTGATCTCCACCACAATAATATGTCTCCTGCAGATATTTTAAAGTTTTCACATGCCAGAAGAAGCCGACACACTATCTTCCATTTTCCACTTTTAGCCCTCTTCCTGCCACCATTACTTGTGACTTGTATATCGCCAACGTTGTTTCATCAAATTGTAGACAACAAATACCACATTTCGTTTTTTTTTTTTGTGGGATTCTTCTCTCTATTAATCACGTACACCATCTTATTATTTAATATATATGTTAATATATAGACGAATTTTCGAAATCCGTACCAAAATACGATTTTTAAAATTTTTAAATCGTCTAGCAAAGAAAAGAATCAAAAGATTAATACAATAGAGATACGTAAACATGACAAAAAAACTCTACCGTAAATAATTTGATTAGTGTAGTTTTTTTTTAAACTACCAGTCAACCAATACAGGAATTTTAAACTAAAAAAAAATAAAACGAGATAATTTTTTTTTTAAAAAGCTATGTTTTACTGTATCAATCACTTTACCGTAAATAAGCATATTAGTTTGTATGCCGTAAAAAAAAAGATATTTATGAATAGAAGAAGAAAAGAAAGAAGAAAAAGGAAAGGAAAATAAGAGGAGAGGAAAGAAAAGAGGGGCCCAGTTGTAAAAGGAGAGATGTCACTCAATCCTCTCACCTTTCGACCCACGGGGCCGTCAATTTATACGGCCTTGCCATTTGCCATTTGCATCTGACCAGAATTTACCACAATAGAGAGAGAGAAGAGAAGAGACAAGAAGAGAGAGAAGCGAGAGAGAGAGAGATTTTGCGGAGGAGCTTCTTCGTAGGGTTCATCGTTGTTAACGTAAACCTTCCCCTACGTCAGCTCGAGGTCCCTTCTTCTCTTCCATTTTCTTTTCTTCTCATTTTTACGTGTTGAATTTCTGGTCTGTGTTTCTCTCATCTCTCTATTATTTCCGCATTTCAATCGATTTCGTGACAGATCTGCCACTATTAATTGCATTCAACTATAGATCTGGTCTCCCTTCTCTGCTGTTTCCAGTTGCGTTATGTGATGACTTTTTGTACCATTAATACTGGGTTCTCTCATTCTAGTAACTATCTTCGACAAAATGAAATGTTGTATCATTCTTTTTTCCAAGTACCAAGTGCCTCGACTAGATCTTTATTGTTTTTTTTGTTCGGTTGGTGAATTGAAAATGGCTAAAAAAAATTATTATTTTCAATTTTCCTTTTTTTGCTGTCTGGGTAAGATTTGCTCATATTGTTGAATCTTTGATAGATTTGACCGATTCCTATTGGGTCTCTCGATACTGTTATTACGTATTAGATGTAAAAAGAAAAAAAAAACATCTACTTGAGCTATAATTCATGCTCATAAACATTACAAGTACATCAGATATGTCATTTAGCTCTTTCATTGATTCAGATGCAAAAAAGTCTTGCATGCAAATATATCTAGATTCTTGATAACAAAAAAAAAAAAACTTTACCTTTTGTTTGTTTTGTTTTTGTTTAAATGTCTAAATCTGATACATATGATGACGACAATTCCGGGTGGCTTACAAATTGATTCGACTGTTTCCTTTGACTTTCTTTTTTTTTTTTTTTGTCAATTTGCTCTTCAAGAGGAATTTGTGATTTTGATTGGTCTCCTAATAGTCTCTGAAATTTTAGTATGAAGAAGAAATTGATAACCACAACAAGAAAAAGATGTGAGCTGTCTTATCAAATCTTATTCGTTTTCTCAACGCAATCGTTTTTGCGTTTTCTTTCTTTCGTTTTTTTTCACATAACCGCTTCTCTGCGCGGTACTCCTTTTGTTCCACGCACTTTCCGTTTGTGGTAATCCATTTTAGAACCTCACCTTTACTTTAGATCTTTTGTCTGTAGAAATTTTTTTTTTTGGATTTATTCATTACCATTCGTTCATATGCTTGAATGTGATGTGTCTTGTCAATTGAAGATAACCAAGTCTATTCCTTTCTCTAATCTTGAGCTTTCAGCATCTGAATTCCTTGGCTCTTGTCTTTTTCTTCTGCAGAAACATGGGTGCAGGTGGAAGAATGTCGGTTCCTACTTCTTCCAAGAAGTCTGAAACCGATGGCCTTAAGCGTGTGCCGTGCGAGACACCGCCATTCACGCTGGGAGAGCTGAAGAAAGCAATCCCACCGCACTGTTTCAAACGCTCCATCCCTCGCTCTTTCTCCTACCTCATCTGGGACATCATTATAGCCTCCTGCTTCTACTACGTGGCCACCAACTACTTCTCTCTCCTCCCTCAGCCTCTCTCTTACTTGGCTTGGCCTCTCTACTGGGTCTGTCAAGGCTGTGTCCTAACCGGAGTCTGGGTTATAGCTCATGAATGTGGCCACCACGCTTTCAGCGATTACCAATGGCTGGATGACACAGTTGGTCTTATCTTCCATTCCTTCCTCCTCGTCCCTTACTTCTCCTGGAAATACAGTCATCGCCGTCACCATTCCAACACCGGATCACTGGAGAGAGACGAAGTGTTTGTCCCTAAACAGAAATCCGCCATCAAGTGGTACGGCAAATACCTTAACAACCCTCTTGGACGCACAGTGATGTTGATCGTACAGTTCACCCTTGGCTGGCCCTTGTACTTGGCCTTTAACGTCTCAGGCAGGCCATACGACGGGTTCGCTTGCCATTTCCACCCAAACGCTCCCATCTACAACGACCGTGAACGCCTCCAGATATACATCTCGGATGCTGGTATTCTTGCAGTCTGTTACGGTCTCTACCGTTACGCTGCTGCACAAGGAATGGCCTCGATGTTATGCGTCTATGGAGTTCCGCTTCTGATAGTCAACGGGTTCCTCGTCTTGATCACGTACTTGCAGCACACCCATCCTTCGTTGCCTCACTACGATTCATCAGAGTGGGATTGGTTCAGGGGAGCTTTGGCTACCGTAGACAGAGACTATGGAATCTTGAACAAGGTCTTCCACAACATCACGGACACGCACGTTGCTCATCATCTGTTCTCCACGATGCCGCATTATCACGCAATGGAAGCTACCAAGGCGATAAAGCCGATACTCGGGGACTATTACCAGTTCGATGGAACACCAGTGTTTAAGGCGATGTGGAGGGAGGCGAAGGAGTGTATCTATGTAGAACCGGACAGGGAAGGTGATAAGAAAGGTGTGTTCTGGTACAACAATAAGCTATGAGGACGATGGTGAAAGAAATTGTCGGCCTTTCACTTGTCTGGTTGTCTTTGTTTAAGAAGCTATGTTTTATTTGAATAATCTTATTGTCCATTTTGTTGTGTTCTGACATTTTGGCTAAACTATGTAATGTGGGAAGTTAGTGTTCAAATGTTCTGTGTCTGTATTGTTCTTCTCATCGCTGTTTTGTTGGGATCGTAGAAATGTGACTTTCGGACAATTAAACTCTTGTACTCAAACGGTCTAGCTAAGCTGTTCGTATCATCAAAAGTGTAATGGTCTATCTACCTCAGAAATTACTAGTATTAACTAGTGAATCTTTACATCAATCAACTTCTCGTTTTGTGTAATGGTCTATCTACCTCAGAGGTTTGTGTACACATGATTCTCCTGTCATTGGCAGGTTATCAATACTCTAACAATTTCTCTCTCTATTTGTAAGGTTCTGGATCATAGTTTCTGTACAATTAACCTATCTTTCAGTTGTTGTGTTGTTTGGTTGGCAGGTCACCTCTACATCTCATACTCCAGTCATGTGGTTCAGATTTGATTCCTCTTTCTAGAAGTAGCTTTAATATGGAAAGAACTGTCCTTTGCCTTGTAATATATGAAAACCTTTTAACAAAAGCCAAATCCATTTTTACCAAACAAGAAGAAAAATCTCTGGTTTCTTCATCTTTTCAGGTTTGAGTGGGAACAAAAGAAGCGGAAGAAGAAGAAAAAATAACAAATCTCTTTTCCCATTAATAGCAGAAACACCAAAAGAGAGTGATAACAAGAAAGAAATGTGGTGATGAAAAACCAAAGATAAAGAATATTCTGTAATCAATTCGATGAACAAAAGCCTTTTTTTTCAAATACGAAAACAATCTTTCATCCAACGGCTCCAAGCCTTCGATATGAGCGTAATCTAGAAGCATTTCCTGTGGACTATCGATGGCCCTGACTCATCATACTCAGCCTTTGCTATCCACATCTGCAAGACCGACATTTGTGTATCATAATCAGCTCCAAAATCGGTAACAAGAACAAGAATATCGGATTAACAATTTTTTTACCTGTTGGAAGGTACTGAGGGAAGCTAGAATGGAGCCTCCGATCCAGACACTGTACTTCCTCTCTGGTGGAGCAACCACCTTAATCTTCATGCTGCTTGGAGCAAGAGCAGTGATCTCTTTGCTCATCCTATCAGCAATACCAGGGAACATGGTGGTTCCACCGCTGAGCACAATGTTTCCATACAGATCCTTCCTGATATCGACATCACACTTCATGATGGAGTTGTAAGTCGTCTCGTGAATACCAGCAGCTTCCATTCCGACCAAAGAAGGCTGGAAGAGAACCTCAGGGCATCTGAATCTCTCTCCTCCAATGGTGATCACCTGTCCATCAGGCAGCTCGTAACTCTTGTCAACGGATGAGCTCGTGTTTGCCGTCTCCATCTCTTGCTCGTAGTCAAGAGCTATGTAAGCGAGTTTCTCTTTCACGTCCCTCACGATTTCACGCTCTGCTGTGGTAGTGAATGAGTAACCACGCTCGGTCAATATCTTCATGAGGTAATCAGTGAGGTCACGCCCTGCAAGGTCTAGACGCAGAATGGCGTGTGGAAGAGCATACCCTTCGTAAATTGGAACAGTGTGACTCACACCATCTCCAGAGTCCAACACAATACCTGTCAAGAACAAAAAAATACACAAGACAATGGACAAAACGATTCCCACATCAATAAGAACACAAGAGATTCTTGAAAAACCAAGGCCAAGAAAGGAACATTCTCAAAATCTTGAAGCTAATAAAGATGAGCTTGGATCTTGTTCTCAAGGGAAAGTGGAGAGATGTTGTTTACCAGTTGTACGACCACTGGCGTAGAGGGAAAGAACAGCTTGGATAGCGACATACATAGCGGGAGTGTTGAAAGTTTCGAACATGATCTGAGTCATCTTCTCACGATTGGCCTTGGGGTTGAGAGGAGCTTCTGTAAGAAGAACGGGATGCTCTTCGGGTGCGACACGGAGCTCGTTGTAGAAAGTGTGGTGCCAAATCTTTTCCATGTCATCCCAGTTGCTCACAATACCATGCTCGATCGGATATTTGAGTGTCAAAATACCTCTCTTTGACTGAGCCTCGTCACCAACGTAAGCATCCTTTTGTCCCATACCAACCATCACTCCTGTGTGGCGAGGACGACCAACAATGCTGGGGAATACTGCTCTTGGTGCATCATCTCCAGCAAATCCAGCCTTTTAAGAGAGAAAATTTTCACACTTATAAGATTGCATTGTATTGTATGATTTATAAAAATGTTGATTGTCAGGTTTTAGGTGTGTTTAGTATTTACCTTAACCATTCCTGTTCCATTATCACAAACAAGGGGCTGAATGTCCTCTCCATCTGCCATTTTCTTCTATTCCTGTGAGATTTGATTCCTGAAAATCATTTAGAAATGCCAAATGATTCGATTGTGAATTCAGGTTTATAAACAACAAGAAAGCATTCTCGTAAACAATCAAATGAACAGAAAAATAAAAAAAAACCGTGAATGTAGGTCGGCATTGTAAATTAAAAACACAAAAATCGAGGAAAATCTGGGAAATTTTACCTAGGCCTGAGTTTGAGAGGAAAGGAAACGAGCGAGGGAGAAGAAGCGAATGAGGAAGAAGAAGAATAATAATGTGAGAAACGGTTTTAAAAAGGAAGAAATTAACGCAATATTATGCTTGCTTATGAGAAGATCTCAGCCGTCGATCTAAACGAAGGAGGACCCCACGACGAGTCACGTTGATGGTGGAAACAGCTGTCTTAGCTTTCAAAAGAGTAACGACATTCTTTTAATTACGAATTTGGTAACGTAACTGAAAATCTCTACTCTGTAAAGTGCATGTATTACTCAATGGGCTGGAAAAGTAAAGTTTTTTAAGGGACACGTCCACATCAAAAATAAATTAATATTAATGGGCTGGAAAATCCTTCCGACTCTATTTACCAACAAAAATTACAGAGTTCAACTTGTAGAAGCTTTTACAAGTTTTTTATATAAAAAAAAAAGATAGTTAGACTTGACATTTCAATAAACCCAAACTTAGAGCCAATCAAGTCCATAAATGGGCTTCGAAGATTTGTATAGGCTTCGTGTAGTGGCCCATTAACGTTCTTGTAGACGTAGGGTTTTATAAGAATTTGTTGATTATGTTTTATTTCTATTTTGCTGTAGTTAGAAATTTAACTGGAATTTTTACACATTCAGGATCGAACTAAAAAGAAAAAGATGGAGAGATCCATTTCCTTCGATCATCGACGCGATAAAGAAGTCCCGAATGATCGGAGCGGCGATGTCGGATATACTGCCAATGACCGGAGACTTGCTTACTCCCGCTCGTTTCAGCAGTCTCACGGCCCGCGCACGCCGGCGGTCACTGATGCGGCTAAGCCTTTTCTCGATAGGACGGTCTCCAGCATCGATATGCCGCCGGAGATATACTCCGTCGACGGAAATGATGTTTTCTCCGGAGAAGGGAAAGCAGCAGAATTAGGAAAAGTATCTGTTTTGCATATGGTTTGGGTGATTTTTGGGGTTCTGAGAAGTGGAAATCGACAGATGAAGAGGCTGTTTCTGCTGATTTCGCTTAACGTGGCGTATTCTACCACGGAGCTCTTAATTGGGCTCTTGACTGGGCGCGTAGGTACGATTGGTTTCAGTTTAGGATGGTGAATCTTTGAAACATGGTGTACTTGGTTGTGTTCTTGACATCTTTTTTTGAGGGAGAGACTTGGATTTATTGAAGGATTAGGAATCCAGGTCGATGAGAGCTTTACATCCTTACTTCGGGTAGTGACTAGAGATATAGATGAAACAAAACAGCTAAAGCCGCAAAATTTTGGTTCCAGTGTTAAGTTGATATAGTGTAAATATATGGAACTCAACCACATGGATAGTAAATCCTGTCCGTATTTAGAAACCTTGTTTCTGCAGCTTTAGGATTTGGTTTCTGTTGCAATTGAGCCTCACTAGGAAAGATTTAACATGCGTCAAACAGTCTTCTGATTCTGTTGTCGCTGTTTGTTAAATGACTTTTTTTGCTTCTCTGCAATAACTGGTACATGTCAAGTTGGTTTCGGAATTGAGATTTGATTTGGATTCCCAAGTCCGTGTGTTTCCATATTTACTAACTGTGTTACTTTTTCTTTTAATGGACTTCAGGTTTGGTTTCCGATGCATTCCATCTGACATTTGGATGTGGTCTCTTGACATTTTCTTTATTTGCAATGGCAACTTCAAGGAAGAAGCCTGATCATGCTTACTCATATGGGTGAGAAAAAAGTAAAATTTGATCCGCTTAGTTGTTGATTGTATTTGCTGGACTATAGGTCGGAATGCATACTTTGTGGTGGACTGGTATTAACGTTTAACTGCCCAATTTTTCAAAAAAAACTTTATTTACTTTCTCTGGATCCAGTTATAGATGTGGTTACAAAGGTTCTGTTTGTTAGAACGTACGTCTGTTGTTGTTTTAGTAGGATATAGTTTTGTCTGATTGCTGAAAATCAAAATTTGTCTGTGTGACCTTTCTTTGCTGCTGATACTGTAATCGCATAATACTGAATTGGTTGTTACTTAGAAGTACTTGTCTTTTTTTTTTCCCCAGGTACAAAAGACTTGAAGTGTTATCTGCTTTCACTAATGCTGTAAGTATGTTCTTAACAATTTTTGGATGTCTATTCTAGTTTTAGTTGAGGGTATAAATAAAGGCTGATGGGCGATGCAATAAAATAGGTTTTAATATCGTCCAGAAAATAGTGTTGAGAGCTCTAACACTCCTTCCTTTACTGTTGTTGATAGAATAAAGTAATTTTACTCTCTGTTCTTAAAAAAATGTGGACTTATCTTTCATTTCGCCTTCATTTTCTCATTTTCTGTAGTTTATCTTTTGGGTTAACACATTGATATGTTTAATATTTGGCATATGTGTAGACAGCTGTTCCTTATGTTCATGTCATTCTCCTTAGCTGTGGAAGCTCTTCATGCATTTATACAGGATGAATCCGAGCACAAGTAAGTTACCTTTTACAACTGAAATGCCTAGGAATTTCTAGATATTTTCTGGAACTTAATTAAGTTTACAATAATTTTTCCCTCGTGCTCCGTTTTATTAGTGTGATTGATTGAATCTTCTTTGTGTAGGCATTATTTGATTGTATCAGCGGTAACAAATCTGCTGGTGAACCTACTAGGTGTTTGGTTCTTCCGGAATTATGCTCGTATCAATATTGGTAGGTACTCTCTGTTATATATTCATGCTTTTAAGTTCTTGTTAGACTTGCATGAGTCAATGCCCATCCTGGTGCTTTCTATGATATAGCCTTGTTTGGCGGCTTTGGTGCCACCCCTGTCACTGTAAAGCCAAAAAAGTAAGGGTTTTTGGTTAAGATAGAATCAGTAGGAGGATTTGTTGAAACAGAGAGACACCATGACAGCAACTGATCCGGACAAGACTATTCGCTTTGTTTCTTTAAATGATCTGTCCCTTCTGTCATATTCAAATACTGCATATTCTTGAATCTCTTTCTTACATCACAGTATGCTCCAGTGTACAGAAAAGCAGAAGATATGAACTACCACTCCGTTTGTTTGCATGTCATAGCAGATTCCATCCGCAGGTGTTATATCTCTCTGTCTTTCTTTATCTCAAGTAGAGCCGGAGATAGTTAGAAAAAAAAATTCTTTTTTTGCATGGAATTTATATGCAGCCAACATGAAGTTTTCTTTGCTGCTGTCTTTTCAGTGCAGGTTTGATACTGGCATCTTGGCTCCTCTCTCTCGGGTAATGCTAATTTCTTTTGAAGGACCTCGATGAATTAAAAGTGTCTTGTTGCTTGACTCTTACATTTACCATTTGCTCCTTGTGTCTTGGATTTTTCAGGGTTGAAAATGCAGAGGTCCTATGTTTGGGGTTGGTATCGGTTACAGTGTTTATGCTTGTTATGCCAATCTTCAAAGCCACTGGTGGTGTCTTGCTTCAGATGGCACCTCCAAACATTCCTCCTTCCGCATTAAGCAAATGCTTGCGACAGGTTTGCTCTTTTCCAGAAAGTGTTTCCCGAATATGTACATATTTCCCATATTGAGAAAGATCGATCAAGCCGGGATACTTGTCAACTCTGTATCTGTTCAGATTACTTCTCGAGAAGATGTCATGGAGGTTTTACAGGCACGTTTCTGGGAGGTTGTGCCTGGTCACACTGTTGGCTCACTCAGAATCCAGGTACTTAGCCTCCTTAATTTCGTATTGATTAAAACATGAATTCACAATAGAAATGGAAATAATTGAGTTTATTTTATTTTATTTTGGTATGGGGTTTAGGTGAAGAGCGGGATAGATGAAAGGCCTTTACTGCAATTTGTGTATGATTTATACCATGATTTGGGTGTACAAGACTTGACCCTGCAAACTGATTACACCTGAGCTCTGCATCTACGTTTTCCAATACTGAGTTGATGATTTTGGATGTATACTAGAGATTATGCTTATATAGGAAAATAATTCTTTTTGAACAATCTTGTTTCGTTTTTTTTTCTTTTCCTTTCATTCCTGTCTTTTGAACCACACAAGGACCACAATCTTTGTAACTCTTTTAGTCTTTCAAGTTTGTGGATATTTTGGCTCATTCATGACATGTATCGGAGAGGAAATAAGGTTTTTCTCTTTGTCAAAAAAAAAAACAAAAATGGTTATCATATATTATGATGTGCTACTCAAAAACCTAATATTCTAAGTTATGGGGCCAGTAAAAAGCATCTTAAAAAGAGAATTCATCGATTGTGAAATCACCATCCGTCCATGTCTAAATTATTCTTTGCTTACTCTTTGCTTCATTGTATCATTGTGAATTTTTTTAATTTTTTAACACATGACCATTAAATAAACCATTGATTGCAGTTTTTGGACTATAAGCTAGAAAATTACATGTAATCTGGAATATTACTAAGTACATATTTTTTAAGTATAGTCTGCTATATACCAACTCCAACGATAAACGTATAAAATAGGATAATAAACAAGACCATTGTCCAAAAAGACACTTTATTTGAAGAAAAACGATTTTTAATGTGATTGTTTAATTGATTCAAATCAATAGAGGACCATAGAATATGGGCATGAATCATCAAACCATTAACTCTAAACCCTTTCCATTAAAAAAATTCCCAATTGATAAGAGAGAATCAAAAGCAAAAAGTAGAGTTAAGCAATATAATATTTAAAAGAGAAGAAGACTGTAAGATAAAGCTGATGAAAATCACATTGCAAGAAGAGAATCTGCTTACAGAAGAGAGAGACCAGATATAGAGAGAAGACACTGTTAAAGTCTCTAATTTCTTCTACTATGTACAGATTCAGCAACACGGTGATTGGAGTCCTAAACCTCCTCAGCTTACTAGCATCAATACCAATCATAGGAACAGCTCTATGGAAGGCAAGAAGCAGCACGACTTGCGAAAACTTCCTACAGACGCCTCTACTCGTTATAGGATTCATCATACTCTTAGTATCGCTTGCAGGTTTCATAGGAGCCTGCTTCAACGTGGCATGGGCTCTTTGGGTGTACTTAGTGGTCATGATCTTCCTCATCGCGACCCTCATGGGTCTAACGCTGTTTGGCCTGGTGGTGACTAGCCAAGGAGGTGGTGTGGAAGTACCAGGGAGGGTTTATAAAGAGTATAGGCTTGGAGATTACCATCCATGGTTGAGAGAGAGAGTTAGAGATCCTGAGTATTGGAACTCCATTAGAAGCTGTATCTTGAGTTCCAAGACTTGTGATAAGATTAAATCTTGGACTACACTTGATTATTTCCAAAGAGACATGACATCCGTTGAGGTGTATATATCATCTTGAATATTATCTATTGCTCTATAAATTAGTCCATAACATTTGTGTGTGTGTGTGTTGTTTGATTGTAGTCAGGATGTTGTAAGCCACCAACGGCGTGTACGTACGAGGGAGGAGTGATAGAAGGAGGAGGAGATTGCTACAGATGGAGCAACGGAGAGGAAACGTTATGCTACGAGTGTGATGCGTGCAAGGCTGGTGTTCTCGAGGAGATTCGTCTTGACTGGAGAAAGTTGTCAGTCGTCAACATTCTTGTTCTCGTCCTCCTCATCGCCGTCTACGCCGCCGGTTGCTGCGCCTTCCACAACACTCGCCACGCCGCTCATCCTTATCATGCTTCCGATGATAACCGCATGACCAAAGTCCGTCCTCGTTGGGACTATTACTGGTACACACAAACGATGTTCACATTTCACTATTTAAAGTGCAAGATTTTGCAAAAAAGTTTATTCATTTGTTTGATCCCAGTTAAGCTTTGAATTCGAGAAGTTAACAAAGAAAAACAATTGATGTCTATCAGTGGAAAAAAAAAGAAAAAATTGGAATGTTTTTGATGAAAGCAATTTTGGTGTTTCTTTTTTTTTTACAGGTGGAGATGGTGGCACGAAAAGAAAGAGCAGCTTTACTGAGTAGAGAACGAGCTACATCGTCTCTGTTCTTTGCTTTTCATCATTTTCTTTCTACCAACTTGAGATTTAAGAAAAGAAATGTTTGATGTACTTCTGTTTCTATAAGTCATCAAGAGATTAGTGAGATCTGTTATAAGTTGAATGAGTATATGCATATCTTTCGAAACTAATCATTATTATGCAACTAGCAGAAGATATAATAGTTCTCGCTTTTTTTTTTTCTCAATATATTATTTCTCAAGAAATTAATACACATTGAAACAAAAATTACATGGTCAGTTATTATGTCCCTTTGGTTGCAAGATTTCTCTCACGTGTAAGACCTGACATTCTCATTGTTCCTCCACCTGCAGAATTTTCCCAGTTATATATATACAAATATTTTCATTGTTTTTGTAAAAGATATATAAGTTTATCACGCCAAAAATTCGTTAATTACCTCCTCCATTTTTGTCAGATCTTTTACGGCTGCGCCAAAGAAGACGAATTGGAGTCCCAGCAAAGCCTGCATCTGTGCGTAGCTGCTTCTCCATATATCTTCTGTACGTATCCGAAAACAGCTTTGCATCGTTTACAAAGAACACAAACGTCGGTGGCCTTATTGCTGCCTGCATTTATCACAATCATTTTCAAATACATACAAAACCCGAAAAAAGTCTTCAAAGATTGGGAGATCCTCATTATTATTATGATTACCTGAGTGCAATAATAAACACGGCCTCGTTTGCCTCCTCGTGTTCTTGGAGGGGATTTAAACGCAACCGCTTCTCTTATCACTTGGTTCAATATAGCGGTGCTAAGTCTTCTTGATCTCTCCTTTTGAACCGTCGCAGCAGCTACCACGATACTACATTTTTTTGTTCATATGTTAAATCCAACAGAATAAGTAAAAACCAAAGTGTAAAGATCGAAATAAGTTTTTGAATCCTTGAGGAGGAGGAGGAGGTTACGTACTTGTCAACGCTATGGCCAGTTATAGCAGTTGAATAAACAATGGGTGCCCATTTGAGGGAACGGAGCTTCTCCCGAACATCGTCCTCGTAATGTGCTGCAGTCTGTTGGTTTTTGTTTGGTATTGTATCCCATTTGTTTACAACTACCAGACATCCTTTCCCTTCTCTTTCTATTCTTTCTGCAATCTTCATATCCTGTGAAAAGAAGATGAAATTTCATATGAATCAAAGATCGAGAATATTTGTCCTTGGTTGCAATAGTAAGGTACTTTTGTGATCCTTTGTGACATTCTAAATATAAGAGTTCTTCCAGTCAATAAGATAGACAGCGAGGTAATTCTACTGTATGGTTTTAACCCTATACCAAAAACCACATGCTATACAACTGCTAATGAGAAACATTCATCAGTGTCAGGCTACAAATGAGATACCTGCTCTGTTATGCATGCCATGGCTTCAATGACAAGAGCAACAACATCAGAACGACGAATTGCTCGGAATGCACGATTCACTGACAGGGCCTCTGTAGTGCTGCCTGATGAAGCCACAGCTGCCTTTTTCCTGATCCCAGCTGTATCTATAAGCCGGAACTTCTGCAACACAGTTCATAATCATATTCAGGGTTATATGGACGGGTATTCAGCGAATGTGTATTTGATCGTTCTCATCCTCGCTGCTCATATTCAAACTTAGACAATGCTCATAGTTAACATGAAAAACGCATTAAATAGATGCCATCTAGCACAGAGTGAATAGGCCAGGCACTTCAGCGCAAGCTTCATACGTCATAGAAGCCTTTTGTTGAAATTTGTACCGCATGAAAACTAGGCAACACTAAAGCACAACATAAGAAATTGAACTCACCTCCCCATCTGGTCCGGTAAATTCTGCATCTATAGCATCACGGGTAGTGCCACTAACAGGGCTAACAATTGTTCTATCCTCTCGGACAAGTGCATTCAAAATGCTGCTTTTGCCAACATTTGGCCGACCAATAATTGCAATGGCAGGAATGTAGTTTTCTTCTTCCTCCTCTTCCATGTTCTCCATCATCTAGAAAAAGCATTGAATCATATTTGGTATGTAAACTGATGCCAGTTGAACATATTCAGAATTGCCTAAAGCTCTTTGATAAATAGGAGATGCATTTTCATAAAAAGTCTAGATATATCATAATCAACTATTTTCCAATATTTCATATTCCTGCACCAAAGTCTTTTTGAAAGAAAGAAACGCCGATACCAACCTCAAGTTTATTTAGCCCAGAACAAACAAGATCAAGCAGCTCTCCAGTTCCAGTTCCCGACAACGCAGAAATAGGTATAGGTGAAAACCTGGAAATTTCATCATAATATAGACTTGTTAACTCAAAGCTTGTTGAATGAAAACAAAAATAATGAACTGAAGCAAAGTAAATAAAATGTTTAGCATTGCATGTATAGCATTTATCTCCAGCTCAACTGCAGCTATCAACCTCCTCCAGAAAAATATCATTGAATAAATTTCCACTCATTGCCATTCAAAATAAATTTCAAAATAAATATGAAACATAAAAATTGACACTAGTATGGGAGAAAGTATTGTGATGCTTAGATGTTTCACCAGGTCCATGAATTCACCAAAATGACAAAACTAGATTTATAAAATTAAGAATAGTTTAAAAAAAAATGAAATCATTTGCAATTCAACAGAGCAACAAATATTCAAATCATCTGATGAAAGAGTACGAATGTCCATGAATTCTATTTCTATAGACAGCTGAAACACTCAATGAAAAGCTATGATTTTGAAGTAGAATGAAAGTCAATTTACCCTAGAGACCAAAATTCTGAAGCTTGCATGAGTCCTTTACGTGGTGATTCACATTTGTTCACCGCGAGGATGATATTCTTATGTGAGTAGTACTTCCGCAACCAGTCCGCAATTTCCACATCAGCACCTGTCGGCCCTGACTGCGTATTGAGTACCAAAAAATCATTACCATATACCAAGAAACACTCAGTTGGGCTTTACAGTAAAGACTTCAAAAATCAGTTTGAGATATTCTAGATACAAGTAACAGCTTTCTTGAGTATTTGGTAATATATTCCAGTAAACATGAAAATCAATCTAACTACCACTCAATTCATAGTATACCAGCTATAAAGTTAAGGAAAATAAAACAGCAACCAAATTTCTTTTTTTGGTTCTGGCAGGAAAATAAAATCCCAAGTTCGAGTAAGCCAAAGGCAGAAAAGTTGAGCAGATTGAACATAAGCACAGAACCTGGCCGTCGACAACGAAAACAATAACAGCCGACTCTTCCACAGCCGCTGTAGCTTGTTTCTCAATCATGGAAGGCATCCTTGCAACAGCTGCCTCCCTAGAGCTTAGTGGAATACCTTCCATGCCAATGGTGGTTGATACATTTAGCTCTTCCATGACACCAGAAGGTGACTTTGAAACAGTCATAACTCCTCCTGTGTCTACCACTACGAATTCTTGATCACCCCAGTAGGATCTACCGTACAGTCGATCTCTAGTAACTCCAGGTTCATCAACTACAATTGCTTTATTCTCCTGCAAATGTATCAAGGAAAATTTGACTTTTTACCATGGACTGGCAAGGAAAACATAAAACTTAAATCTCGATGTCAAGCAACACTCTTACCCCAACGAGACGGTTGAACAATGCTGATTTTCCGACATTGGGCCTTCCAACTATGGCTACTCTTTGGAGGAGATGCTCTGGTATCTGCGTCTGGAATTTGTATTTTATAGTAACGTCAGTAATCCTCGATAAACCAACATAGGAAAAACTCAATCTTTTACATGAAACTTTTGAGACAGCAAAGCAAAATATACAGTTTTAGGGGTCGGGTTTAGTTGCGGTTAAGATCTCAACCTCAAAAAGACAAAGAAAAACAAAACCCAGAGCGAGCCTTCACTGAAAAAGCAACAATATATCAGAAAGAAAGGAGCTTGACTAACATTTTTGGCTTGCCTTTTCCCCTTTCTACGAGATTCCTTCCCCTCAATTATCTCATCCTCTGGAAGCATCAAACTTTGATCATCATTCACATTCATTGGAAGCATTTAGCAGTTTTTTTAATCACCGTTTAGACCAATACATACAAAGTTCACACTGAGACTGGATTCCAGAAATATGCAGAAACACACAATTAAAACAGGGGAAAGCATTACCGAGTTTCAGTTCGCGAGACAAAGTAGTAGCGTAATCTCTGGCGATATCTCTCGCTTCTTTCTCAAGAACGGAGATATCGACGGAGAGGTCTTCGTTATCCGAATCATCCGGGTAAGCGTCTTCAGAAAATTCCTCGGATTCCTCGAAATCAAGCTCGTCCTCGACGGAGGGACTATCTAGAGTTGCTGAAACAGGGAAAGGGAGGCGGTAATGCGATTGTTGGTGAGAGTAAGAGAGAACGGAAGGATGAAAAAAGGATGGGATAATCGAAGAAGAAGAAGAGGATGGTGAAGAAGCATACGAAGATGAAGAGGGTAAAGGAGAAGAGATCCTAGAAATTGATGGAACAGAGAAGAAGCTTCTTGTTGTCAGTGAGTCAAGTAGGCTCGCCATTTTTGGCAGAGTAAAGAGAAGAAGAAGCAGTTTGCCAAAGGTTTATCACACTTATCTTCTGGGTTTTTATCATACGTATTTGATGATGAAGGATCCGAAACCGGTTCATCCGGTTTAAATTTATAAAGCTTGAGTTTTCCGGTTAACCGGATAGGATATGACGGATTTGAAGGAGACGAGTTGATCTCGTGCGATTACCGATCGGTTCAGATAAAAAGAGCCGGTTTTACGCGGGGTTTTCCGGCTTATATGACGACCATTGAAATACAGACCGAATCGGTTCAATCGTCACGTCTTCTTCATCGTGTCGCAAAAGAATTTCTCAGACTTCTCTTCTCGAGGTTAGTTCGTTATTTCGTTTCTCTTAATTCCGCCTTTTTCTATTTATCTGTTCGATTACGTTACTTTTATGTCTCTCTCTACTCTAATAGCTCAGATTTCTGATCAATTAATCCTCGCTCCGTAGTTTTTTTATTATTACTAAATAGTTTTCTTCTTTCTGCGATCGATTAAAGAACTTGTTATAGAAGTTGTTCTTCATTTGTGTTTTTATGTTCTGCCACTGATTTCGTAGATCAATACTTGAAAAAATTTAAACTTTTTAATTTATTTGAAGCCCCCAGCTAGCTATGATCATAACCTACAAAATACAACAATGTCCCCTAAGAATCTATGTAGCTGATCAATTGCTTAGGTTAGAGTTCTCTAGATGTTCAACCATTGGTGACTTGAGTTTTATTGAATGGTAACACCTATAGACTTGAAACCATTGAAGGAATTTAAGGTTGAATTTCTAAAGTAGTTTCTTCTGTTTGTGCCAAGTTATTGAATCTGATGGCAGACAAGCTCGTAGCTGACAAGCATGTTCGATACATTCTGATGGCAGAAAAGGTACTAGACAGCTATTATCTTTCATTTTCCTCATGCTCAGTGTTTATGTCACTATGATCAGCACTTGAATTTTCCTCTTTTCAATTTCATTTCTTTTTGTGGTTTATATCAACTTGCTAGAAAAAAGACAGTTTTGAGTCGGTGGTGATGGATCATCTGAGAATGAACGGTGCATACTGGGGATTGACCACACTGGACTTGCTCGAGAAGCTCGGTTCTGTTTCTGAAGATGAAGTTGTGTCTTGGGTCATGACGTGTCAGCATGAATCTGGTGTGTGTACTAGAGTATAATATTTCTCAACCGGATGGAATTTCAAATCAAATCTTTCCTTTTCTTAATTGCTTGATGTTGCTGCATTTGTAGTTGATTACAAGTGGTTCATTGTTGTGAGCAGGTGGGTTTGCTGGAAATACTGGACATGATCCCCATATTTTATATACACTCAGTGCTGTACAATTCTTGGCCCTCTTTGACAAACTAAACATTCTTGATGTCGGAAAAGTATCAAGTTGTATCCTTGAAAGTATTGAACTTTTAGTCCATGTGAAAAGAAATAAACTCACCAAATAGTTTTTGGTATATACTATTGTGTTTCCTAAATGCAAAAACTAGATATTACTAAATTGCAGAATGCAGATGGATCCTTCTCGGGAGATATGTGGGGCGAAGTAGATACAAGGTAGCCTTTCTTCCTAAGCTATTTAGTTCTTCCAGGTTGTTATTTTCGTTTATCTGCAAGTTTGTTTGCTGTAGGTTTTCATACATAGCTATATGCTGTCTCTCAATCTTGAAATGCATTGATAAGATCAATGTGGATAAGGCTGTTGATTACATTGTGCGATGCAAAAACCTGGATGGTGGTTTTGGTTGCACACCTGGAGCGGAGTCTCATGCAGGACAGAGTATGTTAATGCTATTTTGAGTATTTTCCGTGACAATATCATTCAATATGTGTATAGATGACTTTAGCGAGTTTCATTGTAGCATCATATAGTAATTAGAGGATAGTAATTCTTTTTGTTGCTGCAGTTTTCTGTTGCGTGGGTGCTCTTGCTATCACCGGGAATCTCCATCATGTTGATAAAGACTTACTTGGATGGTGGTTATGTGAGAGACAAGTCAAGTCTGGGGGTTTAAATGGACGACCCCAGAAACTCCCTGATGTAAGCGTACAACTCCTCCTATCTGAATCAAAACATGATTCCAATCGTTATTAGCACTCTTTTGATTGTTCGTATTACCAGGTTTGCTATTCTTGGTGGGTCTTATCGAGCTTAATCATGATCGACAGAGTCCACTGGATTGAAAAATCAAAGCTTGTCAAGTTCATCTTGGACTGTCAGGTTTGTCTCCAAAATCGTTTCTGTTGTTTTAAAGCTCTTATCTTTTAAAGCCTTTCCTGAGTTTCTGGTGTAAATTGAATTAGGATATGGAGAATGGAGGCATTTCAGATAGACCTGACGATGCTGTAGATATCTTTCACACTTACTTTGGAGTTGCAGGTAACTGAAAATTGCCTCTTTTTTAGCTCTTCTTGTTGATGTGAAGCAAAAGAGATTGTGTCAATTTAAATCGAATATTGGTGCAGGGCTCTCTCTTCTCGAGTATCCTGGAGTCAAACCAATTGATCCTGCCTATGCTTTGCCAGTGGATGTCATCAATAGGATTCTTTTAACCAAATGATTGATCATCAGGATTCGGATAGAGGGGTAGGCATTGGAATTTAGACAATATTTGGTCCCATTTTCAGTTCTAATATTTCGGTTCAGTTTGAGTTTAGGCATAACCTTTACTATATTACTTGCAGTAACAAAACCATTTACAATCTCAATACCTCTCCCATGAATTGGGTTTACAACCTCCAAGAAAAGTGAACATGGCACTAATCTGATTCTCAATTCTTACTTCCTCTACACCTTCAATGGCGAATTTGAAAAGAAACCATTGATTATATAAGTGTTTCCTTTCTTCTCATGCATTCAGAAGATATGTATTCAACTCCTATAACCTCTAGGTTTCCGCCGTCTGTTGACACGGAGCTGGTGGAGCTTTACGAGCAACTCGGCATAGAGAATTTCGTTCCAAGAATCGGGCACTCCTGGGAGGCACCAGTGACTACAGTCTTGGTACAACAATGGCGATTCACTTTCTTCTAAGGATAGTTTCTGTTTCCGGTATATCGACGGGTGAGCATCCTTCCTGTAATCCGTTAACCTGGTGATGTTGAGATAAGTAACCGGTGTTTTCATTCCCTTTATAACTCTTTCAAGTATTTCCATTTTCGGAGGGTAAGGCGTTAGGTAAGTCTCGTTCTTGATTGGCTCTGTTTCGTCATCGCATGCTCCTCCTGCATTCCATTGCCCGCCGCTGCCAAACCAAACCAAACCAACCGGATTTTACAAAGACGGTTTACGACTCGTAAAAGGTAAAATCTCGACTTACCTGAAATGTGACGGGGAATATCCACGGAAGAAAACAAGAGTTTTCTTTTGTTTCACGTTCTTATCGACCCATTGACCCCAAGTCGTCAATGCTTTCTGGAAAGCTTCGTCCACGTCGAGTTTCGGGTATACATTGTTCCCTTCTTGATAGTAATCCTCCCTAATTCAAAGCATCCAGACACCAAATACAATGAGACAGATCCCAAAATCAGGGATCAAACCAAACAACAGTAGTTGAATAAAAAAATCTACCCTTTGGAAGTTTTGTCATGAGTCCACCAATGTCCAGTATTGAATACAAGAACATCCGCTCCTTTGTACTGCTCGGAAGACTTCCCCATCAAATCTAACCGTAAAGTCTCTTTCTTAGTCCCGTTCTTGTCAGAAACCTCCCATTCTTGAACCAAGAAAGGCGATGCATAGAATTCCACAGTGCAATCATAATCCTATCGGCCATAAATCGATCGATGAAAACCCGAAAAACAAACTAAGTACTGAAACCGGATATTGATAGGTAAAAGGAACCTACTTTGAAGACAAAAGAGTACTCAGCCTCCCAACGGAAATGATGCCTTCCATGAGCCTCAAAGACCTGACTCTCATCTTTCACTGATCCTTTAAGAATGCAAACCAATGATTCCCACATGTTCCTGTTCAGAGAATCTCCAACAAACACAAGCCTTTTTCCTCTGATCATCTCCAGCAACTTACCTCCATTTAACCTTTCATACACAAATCGATGAATTAGATTATTGTGACTCACCATCGAAAGAAAGAAACAAAAAAAAAAATTAATTTTTAAAGTCAAGAAGTGTTTGTTTACCTAGGTAAATTGCATTTCTTGGGTTTCCACTTCAATTTGTGGAAATTAACGTCTGGTCTTCCGTTGGAAATACAATTAAACTGTTCATCGATCACATTACACGAACCGGGTTTGTAAAGCGGATACGAATCGTCTTTGACCCACACTCCCTCGAAAAAGTCGCAATTCTTCAGTGTCTCGATCTCTCGTCTCATCGACGACTTCCTACTCTGTTTTCTCATCGGAGAAGCAGAGGAATTGACGGCTAGATCGTCAGACAGAGGTATTTTCACGGCTCGATGTTTGTCCGAAATTGAAGCAGTCTTGTTGTTGTTAGGACACGACATGTTTTCCCCTGCATGATCGGTTTGGGACAGAAAAGCAAGTGGTTTTGTTCCATTAGCGGTTGGAGACTCAAAGGTTACATTTTTAGTAACCGGAGTGAGATTTTCCGGCGCCGGTGCTCGCAATGTGGTGTTGTTAGTGAAATTGGAATTGACGAAGAAAGGGTTAGGTGATGTGGAGGCTGTGACATTAGGGAGAATATACGGAGAAATTAAAGGAGCGACAGTAATGGGAGAAGGGACAAAGGCTAAGAAGATAGTGAAGGCAACGAATGTTACGATGAAGGCATAGACGAAGGTCGAGGTTTTTCTTGGTTTCACGGCGGAGAAAAAGCTTTTGATTTCGACGGAGACGGAGGAGACGCCGTGTATAGGCATATGCTTGACGACGGAGTCCGACGCCATGGTTGTTTTTCCTGGCGCGTGGACGAGTTTACTCTCTGTCTCTTGTCTCTTGTCTATTGTCTCTTGGACTTTGCTTTTCGAGTTTAGACTTTAAGAGAGGGAGCGAGAGATTAAAAAAATGGAGCTTTTTAAGATTTGAGTGAGAAAAGAAAAGTGAAATGTTGACGGAGGGATGACTCCTTTTTCTAGAGACTTGAGAGAGGTGTTTGTTCGGTAAAGTGACATTTGCATAGGAATGGCCGCTAAACTTGAGTTTGTTTCTGTTATATTTTTACCCCTTGTTTTTCGATAAAATGACGAAGATGCCACTGTTCAAGTGACGATTAGGAATGTTGAGATATTGATTTTTTTACTTTTGGAATGTTAAGATTTCATCTTGAACAAAATAAAAAAGGCATTTGCGCGGCTCAGATCAGACAAAGCAGAAAAAAGGAGTACGTAATTATTGTTTGGTATCGTTAAGCGAGGAATAAGGAAACATATGTTGGCAGTGAAATAAGAAAACGACTAAATCAGACAAAATAACGAGCCGGACTGATTATAAAAAATGATTAAAAGGTAATTCGACCATCTTTTTTTCTACTCACTGGTTTGAAGTTTAATTAATGTTTGTTGTCTTATGTAATCAAAATAGATGTGCAAGAATAGTTACATCCAAAATACCGCACGAATGATAATCATTTAGTGTTCAGATCGTTCTAATGATCTTTTGTAAATGTAGTTTTACTTGAAATAACGATCTATTGTTAATATGGACCGCATAGATAATTCAATCTCTATCACATGAGGTCATGAACTACGTGAGATGATAAAAAGAAGTTGAATTTACAAACTACATTACTCTTCGAAATTTGAATCTTGGATCTGTTGCAAGAAAATTCATTATTTGGTCAACCTTATTTAAATCAAATCTTTAACATTTTCTCAGCCGTTTTGGTGAAACTGTTATATTCACGACTTCATGCTATAATTTCCATGTGTGTTTGCTAATTCTGAGTGTTTAACATTAATGACTACGTTTTTTTTTTAAGTATTACATTCAATTTTTGGTTGGAAAAATTCAACTGCTTGTATATGTATATATATGCATTTGTGATCTAAATATAATCTTCTTCTTATTTTTGATCGTTTCATTTTTTTTTCATTTCTCTATTTTCTTGAAAATTTTTATTTTTGGCTTTAATGTTAAATTCTTAAAAACTTAAGACACACCCTCCTTCAAATCTATCTTAAAAAAAAAAAACATATCAGTAACGTTTGGAAAACGCCAAAAATTCATAATACTAGACGAAATCTAAAAAATACAAAAACTATAGCACCCAAATCAGGAACAAGAAGAAGGCATTAGGCTGACAAAGCAACAAACCATTATATCTATTTATATATCTATTGATTAAGATGGTGTAGCTGCATGCGCAGTAATAATTATTAATTCTCTCATCTAAATTCTAACAACTACTACTGAAAAGGCTGAAAAGAGTGATGATGATTAGTCTCCACATGGCTATGCCTACAGGCTATGCCTTAGACGATGTGTCCATTAACCGTTAACCAGAAGAATCAACAAGCATTAAACACATTTTACTCTACCTCTTCCGTTTTCTTCACACGAAAATTGCATTACTGCTCTTCACAATAAAATATAAAAAAAAACGCACGTCGTTGAAACTTTCAAAATATTATGTTAATTCATCACCCTTTGAAATCTGCTTTAACATTGTCTACACGTCAGATATCAACTTTCTTTTAGTGAACAACCGACTTCATGTATGTGTCCTTCGATCAAAAGAATCAACAAAAAGATCAAAGAACATGACCAACGGATGCTGATCACCCTGAATATAAGTTCTTCCGAAATGCATTAACTAAAAAGTGAAAAAATAAAAATCATACATTTTGCATTGTTTATTAGTCCTTGTTTGAATTGAAATCATAATCACCTTACAGATGAAGCATTGCGAATTTGATAATCAAAACCATAAATCATATTCCAAAGCCAAAAACTGCACGGATCCTGTGGAATATAAGATCTCTCCATCCTCGCTCAGTGTTTTCCACCACAGTAGCATTCCCATATCTGCATCAGTCAATTGAAACATTAGTGAACATTTAACTTGCATCAATGGAGCAACGTTCAACGACATATCAACACAGAAGCCATATACCAAGAAACTAGCAAGCAACCATAAAGTCAAAACAACTCTTTTAAGATACTTGCTTCACATAAGGAGGAATCAGAGAATACTGACTAACACACATACATTTCGAATGAGCTCAGACACTTACGAATAAGCTAACAAGTGTTCATACGGAACAAGCAAGTGTTCTATCATCAGCATAACCTAACAGTTAGCCGCTAGGGATTAGCATAATCAGTAGATTGAACACTCAAAAGGAGTTAAAGGTTCATTTCTCGGTTTTCCAAATTACGAAGTTCCAATTCAGACTCAAGAGCAAGCCACTGGAGGGAAGACGAGAAGTCTCCATCAACTACATAAAGCTACATACATACAGCGAATTCATCAGGGGCAAGTATACCTAAGTACTAGCTTTTTACATCAATACGAGAGTTCTATAAAAAACAAGCTATAAAGCAGCTCACAATCCAAAAGACTTCATTTTACCATAGACAAAACATGCCACTCAACATTTTTCGCCACTTTATGAATGACAAACAACCGTTAAAGAGTTAATAGTTAGAAGCTCTAATCTACTTTTTCCGAATTCCAAAGTTTAGAGCAAATCATAGGGAAGATAGGAAAACAGAATTTCCCTAACTAACACTAACCTGTCTTCTTCAGGAACGTCAGTGTGAGTAAGATTGACTATGGTGACTCCTGGTTCAGGCTCATCGAAAGTGAGCCTCACCTGAAATGTCAAAGAAAACAGTCAATACATTAACCACAATCACATCGAAATCAGGATTTTATGTTTTGAAATTCATGTAGAAAACAATCACTAAACTAACCGTTGAATCAAGACCATCAGGCCAGCTCCCAAATCTCCACTTCTGGACAATCAATTTGCCTTCTTCTAGCTCCAGATTCATTCCAGTGACCGACCCATCGAAAACACTAATCGGCCCATTCACATCTCTACTGATCTTAGCATTGCTCTGTGTGAAACCTTTCCAACGATTCTCGTCCATTAAGATCTCAAACAAATCCTTAGCTCTGCAGTTAAACTTCTCAGTCATAGTAATTGTCTTGAACCCTTCCTTAGTCTTCGCCTTCTTCTTCTCCTTCACTACCTTAGTCTCCGCCGCAGCAGCTACAGCCGGGGAAGCACCGGACTTTTCCGTCGCCACTGTAGCTGCTCCAGCCACTGCCGGTTTCGGCGCTACTTTCTTAGATTCTAGCTCGTCCCTGCATGGACCTCCTTTCGCCATTGCATCCACATAAACCCTAACTTTCTCCAGAATAATTGATTTCCCTTTCGACACCATCGCCTCCTTCAAGGTCTTTCCGATTGGCCCTTCGTCCTTGATCGAAAACCTAATCTCCGGATCCTCATCGGCATTCTCATCGGAGATATAGGGCATCTCCACAGATCCATCCGCCTTCAGCAGCGTCTTCCCTTCGGAATCCTTGGCCTCACCTTCCCAGGAGAGAGAGACATTAAGCTCGTAGCCAGGGATAATCTTCCCCTTGCGTACATTCACGTAAGCCTCGCCATCGACCTTCTCGATCTTACTGACCTTGATGAACAGATTTCCCTCGCCGGAGAGGATTACAGCGCCGGAGAACTGCTTGTTGAAGAAATTTCGAGACCACTCAAGGCAATTGGTTTCGGCCCAGTGCCAGTTATGGACGTTGGTGCCGTCGGGTCTGTCCTCCACGATCCATCGCTTGTCACCTTCGCCGAACTTTGCCATGGCCGGATTAGGAACTTAACCTAGAAGGATTGATTTGAGATATTCAGCTACTGAGAGCGAAGCTTGAGAAGTCGAATTCGCTAAGATTTGGGGAGAAGCAGCAGCAGCTGAAACTAGGAGAAGCTAGATAAATAAATAAATTAGAAAAACGAAGCCTCTAGAAAAGCTCCCTTCTTTTTTTCTTTTTTTTTTTGCAACTGAGAGAAAATGGAAAAGATGGATAATTAAAAACTAATTTAATTTGGAAACGCTTTATAAAATTAGAAGAAGTGTCTAGAAACTATAAACAGATCCAGTCTAGGGTTTCCGTTCGCCTCCTCACTTGCCACTGGGGAAATTGTTTTATCCTAATGGATTATCAAGAATGGGGTAAATGGTGTGGTTATTCTACACAGGTTTAGGTGAAACGAGGATATTGCAAGTTTTGAACAATATACATAAGCCAGTTAGTAACATTAACTAGGAAAAAATTAATGTTTAGTAAAGGCTTTAACTTAGAGCATGTTTATCGCTGGAAACAACTTGGGTTTCTTTAAGCATATTATATTAATTAACTTAAAATAAGAAACTTAATAAAAAATTCATGAATTTCAGAAGCACATTGGGAGAAACTCTATTAGGTGTGTGTTTAATCGGGGAAGAATTTGACGGGAAAGAGATAGAAAAGAAAGGTGAAGGACGAAGCTTCGAACAAAATTTGGAAGACAAGAGGAGAAGTGTTTGATGGGAAGAATTTGACGGGATAACGGTGTGATGAAGATCAGAGAAGAATCACTTCAATAGAGAAATAAAATATCTGAGGAAGAAGAAGATCAAAGAAGAAAAAGATCGGAGAAGACGAAGATTGGAGAAGACGAAGATCGGAGAAGACAGAGAATAAGAAGACCGGAGAAGGAGAAGAAGAATCGACCGAGAGGAAAAAAATTTTGACGGAGAAAACAAAGTATTGATGAAGTACATTTTTTCCCCAAATTTCAACAGTCTATCATAACGTGACACGTCCACAAATAGAATGATCCTTAAAAATCTAAAACAAGAATCGTTTTTCTTTATTAATCCAATTTTTAATTTATTTTTGGGCCAAAAAGCAACTAGAAACCCAACTAGATACCTGCGATAAACATGGCCTTAGATTGTTTAGGACAGCAAAACCATCATCACCCGCCAAATAACAACGAAGGAGGTCAACGTTGCACACATTTTTTTTTTTTGAAAAAGTCAAAACCTTTTGGTTCGGTTTGAGAATGAAAACGCCGGCTCGTCGATCGAAGTGGGTCGATCGGGAATTGGATTCCATGGATACAACTCCAGTAGCCCTTCGTGCACGAGAGAAGAAGAACTGTTTCAAGACTCGGGCGGTTCTGGCCAGACCCGAATACCCACTGACCCGCACCACCGCCGAGATGAAGCTAATGCCTCCCGAGTTTTTTCAAATCGACGCGCTTGTTCTTGCGCCACGTCTGCTCGGAAAGTACCTGAGGAGAGACAATGTTGTGCTAAGGATTACAGAGGTCAGACACATATTAGGTTTTTATTTTTTTCCTTTCGGGGATTGTTTTGATACTCTTGACTAGATTGCTTGTAAATGGTTTTTGAAATAGTTATCAGGAAGATACGAAGACCAAATTAATTATTTGTGTATGATTCCAGTCAAATTGTAAACCGATTACAAGCAAAGCTACTGTGATTGTAATTTGCAAACGATTTGAATGAAGAAAAAGATGCAACTCTATAACCTTGTTCCTTCTATTTGCTAGGTAGAAGCTTATAGATCAAATGATTCAGCTTGCCATGGACGATTCGGGGTTACCCCACGGACCGCACCAGTTGTGAGTTTCTTCATTTTGCTTGTGATCATCTATTTATATACAAATCACTACATTCTCTGAAATGTGTGTTTCTTCTTTTTTTTAGTTTGGACCAGGAGGCCATGCCTATGTTTATCTCTGTTACGGTCTCCATATGATGCTCAATATTGTTGCTGATAAAGAAGGAGTTGGAGCCGCTGTTTTGATACGGTCTTGTTCACCTGTCACCGGTAATAATCTGTTGATTTCACTCTTGTCTTATCTGAGGCTCGAATTTGTATGGGTATCTTCATATCTATGCATGTTACTAACTTAAGTATTGCTTACTGTTTTGGCATCCAAAAATTGGTTTTATCGATAATTTTGTTGGCTTAAAAGGGTGTGATGGTATTGCAGGACTAGAGACCATACAAGAGCGTCGAGGCCAAAAAACCGACAAACCCGTTCTTCTAAATGGACCAGGAAAGGTTAGTCTGATCTGTGTCAGTTTACACCCTGCATCAAGCCCTGCAAATCCATAATGCAGAGATTCAGTTACTCTGCATTTCATCTCTTCTCCAAGAGATAAGATAAAGTTGAAAGTGTAGGTGAATACTTTTGCATAACTAGCTTTTTACCTATGTCTCTCGCAGGTGGGGCAAGCGCTTGGACTTTCAACAGAGTGGTCTCATCACCCTTTCTATTCTCCCGGTTAGCCGACAAACCAAAGCAGTTAATGGAGTTTCTGGTTTTGCTCTCTCTTTAAGAGTGTTTAAGATTTGTAGTGAACATGTATGAACACAGGTGGGTTGGAGCTTCTGGATGGAGGAGAAGATGTGGAGAAGATTGTTGTTGGTCCTCGCGTTGGGATAGATTACGCATTGCCTCAACATGTCAATGCATTGTGGAGATTTGCCATTGCAGACACTCCATGGATAAGTGCTCCTAAGAACACTCTTAAGCCTCTTTAACTTCAATCCAAAAGTTATAACCAAAAAGAAAAAACTTCTTTGTAAATAGACATCTGCAATTCTGTTTAGTGTGTATCTTGTTTATGTTGTTTTGTTAAAGATGATGGGGTTTTGTATATTAAGTCAATTGGGGGAAATTTGGAATTTTGGAAAAGTATTGGGTTGAAAGTGGAAAATAGGTGCCCGAAACTTTACTAAATCCTTTATTTGGCCATCTTTTGACTTTTCTTAATCAAATCCTGGACTGTGAGAGAACGTGAGAACAGAAGAGTGTTTTTTTTTTCTCGAGAAAGCGAAGGAAAATCTCTTCTTTCGCTGCAACAAATGGCGACTGCGATTCCACTCTTCGCTTCTTTCAAGTACGCCGATAGCCTAACCGTCGTCGGAATCTCATTCTGCACGGCGTTGGTCTGTGAAGCCATCTCATGGATCCTAATCTACCGTACCAGCTCGTACAAATCCTTGAAATACTCAATTGACAAGGCCGCGAAGAAACTCGAGACGATGAAGACGGAGAACCCATCATCGAAGCTAACCATCAAGAAATCGAAGACGAAGAAGATCGATCGCGTTGAAACCAGCTTAAAGGAGTCGAGCCGAGATCTGTCTCTCTTCAAGTTCAAATCCGGCGCCGTTGTGGCACTGGTTCTCTTCGTCGTCTTCGGGTTGCTCAATTCCCTCTTCGAAGGTAAAGTCGTCGCGAAGCTTCCGTTCCATCCGATCACGATTGTGAAGAAGATGAGCCACCGGGGATTGAAAGGCGACGATCCGACGGATTGCTCCATGGCTTTCCTTTATCTGCTGTGTTCGATCAGCATCAGAACCAATCTACAGAAATTTCTGGGCTTTTCTCCGCCGCGAGGAGCTGCTGGTGCTGGATTGTTCCCCATGCCCGATCCCAAGACGAACTGATTCTATCAGTTTGATCTCACTGTTTTAATTTCTGTTTTGGGTTCTCTTTTGTTGAGATTTTTAAACAATCTGACGATTTTTCATTATAAGAAACATTTTCAAGTTCTGAAATTTTCTGGATTTTTGATCTGATCTTTATGATTCCAAACTATGGAAGTTAATCAAAACAGAGACATAATAGTTCTCTTCATTAAATCTTCTTTACAAAATTATCAACAAAAGTTAAGAAAAAAAGTCCCAATTACCAAAGTGATCGAGACTTATACAAACGCCAAACACAAACTCTGGAATCACTGCACAAGCATATCCTACTTATGTTGTCTTTTTCTCAATTCTCAAAATGACCGATCGGTTTGTGGTGCCTCTGAGACGGAATCAGAGATTTCAGAATCAGCTCCTTGAGATCTTCTCAACTTAGAAACAAGAACCCACATATTAGCAAGCTCATTCTCCAAATACGCTTCTCTCTGTTTCGATTCTTCCACTATCCTTTCAAGCTCAGCTTCTCTTTGATCTCTATCAACAAGAGCAGCTTCATATGATAGCTCACGCTCTTTGCTCATTCTCAGTTCTCTCTTCAGCTCCATTGATGAGCTGTCTTGCTCTTGCCTCTTTACAATACTCTCTCTTCTTCCAGTGTTCCTTACATTTATTGTTGTTCCTGTCTTATTACTACGCTGTGTGACTGAGCTCTTCTGTGTTGCTAGTTCAGCTGCAAGTCGCTCGTTGTGATTCATAAGCTTTGCAACTTCTTCAGATAATGCCTTGAGCTCAACCGCAGCTGCTGATGCAAGACCTTTTGCATATGAACTCTCTTCCGCGAGTTTCCTGTTACGTTGTTCTAATTGCTCCTTCGATTCACTTAGTTCCTTAGCTTTCTGTTTCATCTCTTCGATCTTAGTTTCCTTTCATGTCAGAAAGCAAATAGAGTTTGTTTAAGCATCATGTGGCTAAAAGAAGAAGATCGGCGAATGGCCTCGTTACTGCAATAATAATGTTTACGAAACGTGTAAAGAGACCTGTGCTAGTTCCAGGGAATCAGATAGCTGCTGCTTTAGGTTTGCAACTTCTTCTTGCAATACTTCACATTCACATGTCTGCAGATTAACATGAGTAATTCAATTCTTTTTTACACATTCTAAACCTAGCCTAGAAGCTTTTCAAAAGACATGAAATCGAGAAGATAGATAAAGACAAAGCCTCCGAACCTTTTGATTGAGTTGTTCCTGAATGATGCAATTATCTGCAGCTTTAACCTGTAAACAAGATTAAGGATGAGAAAAAACGTAGAGCATATCATTTTGTTTCATTTGGCCTTTTGACCAATAGTATTATTTGCCGAGAAGCAACTTTGTTGAGGTGTGAGCAGAGATTATATTGAGCCAAGAGAAATCATATTAAAGGTATCCAGGCAATAACAAAACCATCTCAGGTGAAGAAGCAATACATGAACATAAACAATTCGATCACCTCGAGTTCAAAAGATTTCTCATTAAGTTGATCCCTCAGCTCAGCAACTACCTGAATATAAGAAATCGCTTGAGACATTAACGACAGAAAAAGAAGTCACTCTATAATACATGCCAATGTAAATCTACCTGCACGATGTCAGATTTATCCAATGCCTCATGTGATATCATAACAAAATCCAAGATTTGTTTCTCCAATGTGGCAATCTGGTCATTCTTTGCCTTGATGTCATCATTTAGGGCTTTAATCTCCTCCTAAGTACCAAAGAACCAGGAAGGTGAATGTTTGGTAGATTTAAAAGGCAGATAGATAGAGATCATAAACAGAGTGATTATATTACTTTAATCTCTTCATTGTGATGGGACTTCGCAGCTTCATCAGACAACCGTTTCAAAGAACTTGATTGCAGCGCCATCTCCTCAGATAAAATCTTTTTCTGTTCCCTCAGGAGATCCAACTCATCGATCATTTTATTGCTAGTCTGGGAACAAGGTGCAAACAAGTCTTATAAAAAAGGGAATTGGAAGGGATAATGATATAGTTACTTTGGCGCCATTACAGATGTGAAAATGATCTCTTATGTACCTCCAGAGTCTCCATTTCATGGGAACTGTCTTCTGGAGCTTCCCTGTCTTCCCTAGGCTCTGAGAGTTGTTCCATCAAGGGCGATCCTTCTGAAAGTCTTGATTCTGTATGTAGATTACTGCCTCCCCCTTGAGGAGTCGACGGTGTGCTGTTAGATTTCACCACACTCGACTGGTCACTGGCACTTGAACTGTTATCTCTTTTCTGATAGGAAAATGTAAGCTTGGATCAAGAAAGGTACCATATAATCAAAGAAGAAACTGCACCTAAGAGGACACAAGGACGTGTGATTAGTACTCTATACTTATAGCATTATTCTTTGGGCCACATGAGAGTTCCAGAAATATATAGTGCGTGCGTGATACATGTGCAACAGTACAAATCTATGGTTCCTAGGAGCAGTTCTGAAACGAACAAGAATATCCACATCAAAATTGTCAACGCTATAAAAGAGAATTAAGTCATTTATATACCTTAGGCTTTAACCAATTTAACAATCCGTGCTTCCGGGTCTTCTTTTCTTCTCTATACGCAGTATCTCTAGGACTTCCCTCCACAGAAACATACAGATCAAGGTGCTCATCATCCATCAAGTCCCGCCTCTTGTATGGAAGGTAAGCAAGCTGCACATGAATTATCAACCAAGATTAGCCAAAAAAGCTAGTGCTTTTGTACACTTTCTCCAGGGAAATAATAAATCTAATATCCCGCAGATCAAAGTGAACCATCCTCAGAAGCTACCATAGAAACAGTATGTATAATATCCAGGCTATATCAATCATTCTACCTCTTCTTCTCCAAATGAATGCCTCCTCCGAGGATTATAGCGATGAGGTAATCGAGATGGTTGAGAGGTTTTAGTCGACACCAAAATTAATTTCGTCAACCGTTGGATTCGACTCAAGAGAGCTGCTTTAGCATCTTCCTCTTCTTCGAGTCTGGATTGGAGCTTGACTTGACCATCTTCTAGCTTTTATCATCATGTTATGTAGCCAAAAAAACGAATAAGCTAGGTTACTACAGACTCTCTCAATTGCGTGACTGTAAACTAAAAGGCAATGACACAAAACGTCCTTACACTGATAGAATTGTTCAGAGAAAACATCAGCACCGAACAAAAATATAAACATTTCTCTTTATTAATGAATAAGGAAACAGCTAGCAGTTTTCTTCATGGTTTACCACACACAAAAAAACAAAAAACATTTTTTACATCTCGATCAATCTCCTAATCATTATGAGAACATCTCAAGATGAGGAATATTAGAAGCTTATTGAGTTTCAACAGTATCAATTCATATTTTTCATTGATGACATCTTATGTGGTCGCAAACAGGCAAATGCATGTTAGGGAGGAAAGATGCAGTGATGTTAAAAGAGGAAACAGCATGCGAGATAATGGAAAAGCAGATCTCAAGTGTTCAAGATTAGAGCTCTATCCAAGAAAAACCATCATTTACTCCACTAGAAAAGTTAATGATGATGACTAACAACAAAACAAATCAAGTTACCGCAGCACTAGAAAAACAAAAAAAAATCCTCTTTTGAGCGTACCTTCTGCTTCAGCAGAACAATATCATCTGCACCGATATCCTTCAGCTGAGGAACTGGTACAATGTCCTGTTTAAGATGTTCCAACTCCTCCTTCAATTGGCGAATCTCGTGTTGATACTTCTTGATTAATGATTTCTCGTCAATTATCTACAGTTTTATAGAGTTAGAAACCAAGAAAGTCCTTCAGTAAAAAAAAAAGGGCTGATAGAAGATATGCGAGGAAACCTTGTTTTGTTCGGTTTGAATCTCAATATGCTTTGCCCGATGAGCAAATTTTAATGTGTTGTGTGTTTCTTCCGAACTGCTTGATGCAGGAGTCACTGTACAAATGAGCTACCATACCCAGAGGGAACAACGAATCAGTAAAGTATAGTACTATCAAGATATGTGGTTAGAGTTATAAAGAAATTTTAACCAACTGATAATCATGTTGTTGATTTCATAATTATTGTAGCAAGAGGATTGAGAACAGTTCTGAAAAGACTTACAGATACTCGGTCATGACCACTCAGTGAAGACTGAAGGATCCTGGTTAACTTAGAGTCTCTGTACGGTACATGCGAAGCCCTCACATCCGTAAGCTTTGATATCACCTATAACATCACAAAGAGCTATCTAAATTCAGCCAATATGAGAATATTTAGAACATTACCAGATACGCAAAAACCAAAATTTTTTAAGGAATTAAAAGAAGAGTAGACAACTTTTTAACTGTAAGGTTTAGACAAGCACAGACTCACCGTCCCTAAAGTCAGCAAACTTTTATTTATGTATGATCCTTCCTTGCGTCTTAAACCACTGGTTTCAACCCTTGAACTCTCGGAACCTGCCAGATCAACGAGGTTCTGCAGACATGAGAGAAATTATGGGTAGTTAATGTCAGTTGAATAAGAAACAGTTGGTCATAACCATACATAAGATCACTGGTGACAAGATGAGCTTACCAGCTGTGAGAGATGTACAGCTTCACCTTTAATCTTGTCGCCTAAGGGACTACTTTCTATTGTCTGCATCCAAATGAGTTTCCATCTTTCAGAAACGGTACAGCTATACGAGTTAATATGAAAAGAAAGCAGCACCATAACCGCTAAAACACTTGACACGACTAAATAGCTAGAATCAGAAAAAAAAACATAAATTCCTTGTACAGAAGAAAACATGTGAAAGACGAACATGAGACACAACTTGTGCTGAAAAAATGTATGATTCTTCAGTATTCAATTTTTAAGTACTAAGTGATTATAGGACCCAAAACTACTTCATCTTTACCTTTTAACCAATAATAGCAATAGAAAAAAAAAACTAGGGTTGTGTGCATCCATCCACATCACAAGTGTAATCACGTAAGGAGAAAGAAATGATATAGCAACTGCACAAAGATACCATATATTTCAGAATATTAACATACCAACGTAAATATTGTATGGCTCCGGCTGCTGAGCAAATTAAAATTCGTGGATCCAACATGCCGTTGCTCTGTCATGAGGACAAAATATTAACCAATATGAATTGAATTATATGGGAATTTAATAGATCATGACAAGGTTTAACGATGAAAGATATTTACTCGAATCATGTAAGAGGGAATTACTCCTTAGAATTACTCTACCATACTAAATAGAAACAAAAACACACTTTTCAACGTTCTGTATAGCCTTAAGCAGGTAGAGAAGAACCACTTTTCTGATGACATGATCTTTAATAAATGTACAATGACTGCAACATTTTTTGCTGGAGTTATGAGGTTTTACAGTAAACCTATTTCTTCAACTAAAGGAAAGGTGGAAGCACCACATACCTTCTCCAGCTGCTATAAGAGAAAGCGCATGAGCAGGGGATAAAACAACTTCTTCTTTAATCCCTTCGACAAAGGTTCCCTAGAATCAATAACAAAGATGGGTTCAGTTGAAAAACTTGGAGGGAGACACAGTCGTAGCAACAGAAGTCATGAGAGGCTCATTATAAATTTCTCAGTCCAAATGATAATTAAAAGGATCAACTTTAAGTCTGCTTGAAAGCAATCTGACTCCAGAACATTGCAATTGAACAAAAGGCCACATATTAACAATGCAATAGCAGAGTCCTCATAGAGATCAAATTTCACAAGAAAATGGAACCAGTATTTTTTTCAGGTACCAAACAACCTAAGCATGGGTTCCTAATATAAGAATATGATGTGAAGGTTTTGGGATTCTATGATAAGCAATATAATCACAACATAGATATTACAAGCCAGTCAGAGCAGCAGTACGCATGTAATCGAATGATGATCTGAAGCTGAATCACATACCTGTTTGTCTTCTCTGATCCTCAAATTTTGTCCCGCTGGATTCAATAGATCATTGACAACCTGGAATAAGGTGGACCTTAAAGATAGTAATCTCAAAAGAAAATTAAAGGCAGAGTATTTCTAACAATCTCCACTACTATTGATAATGGAGTAGAGAAGAAAATAGGTAAATAATAGCACCTCATTATAGATTTCCAAGTAGGAGATACGCAGGAGAAATTCTCGATTTGGTGTCTGTAAGAAAATAAAAATGTGACATTGCTAGTACTTCGGCCAAGGAATCTGACGAACAAATATCCTTTAAAGTACCTCTTGGATAATGCTGAAAGCATCTTTCACTGCCAACGGTATAATACCAGGAGATCTCTGGTCACCCTGACATTTGGACCAAAAAAGTCAACCAAATCTGTCAGACATGGTTTCAACCTAAAAACCAAGAAGTATCCAGGTGAAGGGATCTTACATGCATAGTATGCGTCTTTCCACTGCTTGTCACTCCATATGCAAAAATGGTCCCTGTAGTTTAATTAACATATAATGTCACTACGTATATTCAAATCAACTGGTAAGCAAATCAAGTCAAAATTGTTCTGAAGATTTTAATATTTACTAGGTACAGTCAGCCTTGTTGATGTAACACAAATGATCAATGGAATTACGTCTTTCAACATAGAGTTTGGAAAAAAATATGCTCTTCGATAACGGAGTTGATATCAGAGATTTTCTAAATACAAAATAGACTGGCTACTAAAACTGGTCACTTCATACCGTTAATCCCCTCCATAGCCCCATTAACAACATGGTGTGCAGCAACATCATAGACATTGCGTGTTGTGGTTGTAGGTCCAAAGACACGATCTGCCAGAAAGAGAATCAATCATTAACAGACGGAAAGACTACTTCAAGAAAACAACATGGAAGATCCAAACATCAAAAAAGAAGAATATCCAATTGAATCACAGGTTTAAGACATGATTAGAAGCGGAAATGTATACCATATAAGAACAATACTATTATCTTTATAAGTCACTAACCATAGGCATAAGCTATTGTCGGATTATGCTCATTTCGTACAATTGTTTCCCCATCTGCATACCATGCAACCTCCTCCCCTTGGCGAATTTCCCGTGGACTACGTCAAGGATATGATATGTCACTTCACAGAACAAAAATCAACCTAATATTTGCACGCCTGCATAAGCATATCAAAGGGAACCTGAGTGGGCGAAAGCGAACTGTCACTGTGACATTTTCTTTAGAACGCTGAGCACTTTGTGGTAAGGAATCTGGTGAGAAGAACTGCTGCTTGCTCTGGGCAGATGAAGAAGCAGGGGAGCTATGTCCATCAATAGATGTCTCTTGATAAAGCTTTGAAGACGAGGTTGTTGAGGATGCAGTAGACTCAGCACCCTTTAAATTGCCAGACCCTCCTTTTCTCGACTTAGATCCTTGTCTAGATGCCATCACAAGTCGAAGTCAAACCTCCAGAACACTGAATGAAGACACGAGTACAAAATCAATCAATAAACAAAAAAAAGTAAAAAAAGAGGGACATCGCCTCCTCCACAGTCTGGAAGAGTGTCCACACACATTACTGTTTGACAACTTCGTAAACTGAGCTCCAAACTCAGATTAAGGAGATTAGGTTTCTCAAAAGATTTACTAGGAGACGACCTCTCCGCCAATCAAACAGAAGAAAATCCTCAAGAAAGCTCATGAAACTGAGTAGCAAGTTTACTGAAAGCATAAAAAGCATTTCCCCTTTCTAAGCAAAAAATGAAGGTCTCAAACATCTCAAAAATTGACTACCTTAGAAATGAAGGAAACCACCAAACTTACTAATCCAACCAATCAGAGAAAGCAAGAACAGTGAAAAGTGGGCAGTTTCATTAAGGTTGTCTCTAGCTTTCCAGGAACAATGAAATTGCCTAAAAGTGAATTCCACCAATAAGTAAGCAGTAAAGCTAAGAGCACCAAAGGGAAGAAAAAAGCCTAAACTTACGCAGTGGGGACCCGCTTTTCTCACAGTTCATGCCGAAGCCAGAAAAAGGTTGCAATAAAGAAAAAAATGGAGCAAAAAGGATAAAAACAATTAGAAAACTATCGATGACTTGCAAACGAATCAGAGAATCACAGCAAGTCCAATCGTGTTACTATGTATGAGTTAAAACCCTTGAGAAAAAATCGTGGGTTTTGGGGTCGAATTATCACCGGATTTCTCGGAAATCTATCGGCATTTTAGAAAATTCTATAAGAAGACAGAGAAAAAAGGGGAAGAATGGGTACCTCAAGTGAATCAACGGAGCATCGCCGCTAAAATCCGAATCGTATGCAAAAGGGAAAAGAAGAAAGAGAGAGATCTCAGAGAGAAAACGAGTAGAAGATTGTTCGTGGATTGCGATTGTAGAACAACTAGTCTCATTTCAATTATGGGTTTGGTTACTCGTAAACAGAAACACCATCATAATAAAGGTATAGGTGAGAGAGAAAGGAAGAAGAGTATACATACATACTTGTGTGTGTATTTGTTTATACGTATTTGTGCCTTCACGGATACAGTTAGGAGAGAGAGTGACGATTTTCGTCTTCTTCTTTTTTTTTTTTCCTTTCCTACAGAATAAAATCTGGAAGAATAATTTAATAATTAAGTATTTTGTAACATTGACTTTGGCAGTTGATGGGAAGGATTTTGTTTTTTTATTTATTGCATCCAATTGAGATTCACGAGAATACTAATGTAGCTCTATATTCATTAAGAAAAAATATTGTTACAGAGATAATTAGTACTTGGGACTTTGAAGTGTCTCAGTCTCATCTTGGACCTACAAATATGATAACTTAACAACCAATTTGCAAAGGATAGTGTTTAGACAAATATATTGGAAAGATCCAAAACAAACCGAGCAAAAACAAAAATTTAATGTATGAATAAGACTGAATCTAGTTTTGGTTTTACTAATTTAGAGTTTTTTTGTTTTTGTTGTATGTAGTTAGAGATATCAAACCCCGATTATTTCAATTTTCTAAGTAAGGGTATAATTTGACAGAAAATCCACTTTTAAGAAAAAAAAAAAAACTATAGAACTATACAAAATCTATTAAATTTCAACTTTATTTTATTGGTACTCCTCATTTCCAAATTCCTGAAAACCAAAAAAATCTTACCAAAACCAAAGAATAAGATGGCTTTGGGGATTTGCAAGAAAGCTATAATTAATGACACAATTATCAACAACACTTCTTTATCAAGATCCACTCGACAAACCAGAGTTTATTTTAGGTTTCTTGAACATAATGTGAGGTATGTGATTATCATCCCTCTCAGACAGCAACTGAGGAACCGGTCTCATTGAGAAGGCCATAGAATGTGTAGTACTCGGAAGTTTCTTTAAATCCCGGAATCAATTCCGACAAGACCCTCAAAATTGCAGCCAAATGCTGCAGATCATTCGACGCGAATGCTGCTTCTAGAAACAGCGACGATCGCACACTCGTCACCTGCAATTTCCACATTGCACCGAATAAACTAAACCGTAACTGTATTTAATGTAACCAAACAGAAATCAATCATAAGAAATTCATACATTTACAACTAGGCAAAGGAATTATACCTTATGCTTCTGAGCATATCGCAGAGCTTCAAGATAGTACCCATCTTGCACAAGGGAAGAGATGTAATCATGGTGCAACGAGAGCTGTCTCAACATATCAAGCCCAAGTTTCCTTACCCGGAGATTTTGGCGACCGCTCTCCAGAAGTTGGAGCGCGACTTCCTTTGATGGTTCGATTATCTGCAGGGAAATGTAATGTAGCCTAAACTCTGAGAAGAAGAAACCTGAAGAGGATGTTTTGTGTTCAATGAAGTAGAGTTAATACAAACCTTATTTGTGGTGAATAGCGACAGTTCTGCATATCGTTTACTGTAAGCTAAAAGTCTGATGGTCATCACATAGATGTTGAGATCCACTTTGAGTTTCTCTGCGCTAATACTGCAACAACGGAATCAAAGTAAGAAACGCGGAACTGGTGAATCAAAATTAGGTTTAACGCAAAACCAAGTTTCTTTAGTCTGTAGACTAACATACATAATAAATAGTTGATCTTACCTGCGAAGGAACTCAGTGATGATAGCAACTAGGTACTCAGATTCCTCAACCATCATTTCCTCCACAGAAGCAAACACAAACTTATAGAGCTCATCGGGTGAAATGGCTGGTGAGGAAAGTTGAGATTCTTGCTGCTCATCAGCACAAAACATGTTCTCCTCTGAACCTGATGGTAGGTTCATTTCAACTTCTTCATCAATAGTGCTTCCAGATGGCCTTTGTCTTTCGTTATCTTCAGGACACAAAGTTGATAAGAGAACAAGATGAAGTTAATAGACTGCAGCTTGTTTAGAGCATTTATGAATCAGATTTTTTAGATTCAATGGTGTTACCAGGAGATGCACCAACGGTTGGAGTAGTTGCAGTGGTCTTTTCGTTCTTTATGTCCTTATATGTACCAGCTTTAACCGAGTAAGAATATGCTGTAACCAGTACATCTATTGCCTGAGTAACTTGAGATGCTGGTCTGCGTTCCAAAATAATAGCCCTTGCTATCCCCAAGCACAATTGTTTCGCCTGAAATAGCATACTAATTAATTTTCTATAACAACTGCATCAAAAGCTCCAACCAAGATAACTACCACAACTACGCCGACCACTTTCCATGACCAACTTCACTGGAGACACTATATATCGACAGTAATAGTAGAAAAAAGAGTCACGAACCGCTGTAAATAAGTAAATATGGAAATAGACACCAGACTTTTTCTAAACTAGACTTGTATATAACCTTTTCTAACTATACAAAACCTGTAACTGAAGTACTAACGTTCTTTTTCAATTGTTTATGTTTTATTACACAAACGTGTGTTGCCGAAAACAGGTTCTTCGTCATGCTTAGTTAAACTTAAACCCCTATGTGAAATATAGAGCAAACGAAATTCTGAGACCTTATTTGCTTCCAACTTCCTTCGCTGCAGGAATTCTAGAAGAGACGTCCTATCTGAACTGCTAGCGGAAATTGCCTGCAGCACAAAAGGTTAAATACTGAACATTTGAGATATATCAAATTGTCATGTAGATAAACCGAAAAAAGCCGACTTGCCTCAAGATCTAAGTGTATCCTCCACAGAACCTTGTTAGTCTGATCTAGAATAAGGTCTGGAACCAGAAAGGTCCATGCATCTTCATACGTGACTAATATTTCATTGCTTGTAGATGATTCTGAGCTCTCATTTTCTTTGTTAGCAGCTTGAGACGATTGGTCTGAGCCATGGTAACCCCTCCACAGCAAAGGAAGAGGAGCAGACACAGGAGCTCGAGAATCCACAAACAAGTCATAGATGATAACAACTTTTGCATCGATTTGGTGCACAAGCAGTACATTGTCAACTACACTCACCGACAATTTGGTTGAGTATATTGGTAAAGAACCCTGTACACAAGAGCCAATGGAACAAATGAAGAAAGAACATAACTTTGGACAATTATCTCATGCCCGAAAAGGCAGAAACACAAGATAAAGTTGTTTTGCAATTAACTTGCAACTTTCAAATTTTAAAGTACTAGTCACAGAAAATTTCGACTCCAAGAGACAGTCACGCAGATGCTACACAAACAAGTCTACTACACGTTAAATAAACGATCATGTGTGCATAAAGATTTGCAAAGTAACCAGACACCAGTAAGTGAGGAAAAGCAAACTTACTTGTTGAACGACTGCATCTCGGTAGAACCTGTATGAATGCAGTAGCATAGCCTCCCTGTCCACTTGTAAGCAATATATTCGGCCATAGCTGAAAGAGAATGGTAAAGTTTAACTCTCCAGCTACGTAGTGTACTGAATGAAGAGAAAGTTTAGGAGGAGAGAACAAAAGAAACATATAGAAGGAATCGTACACAGTGATTAAGTGGACGTCTCCTGAAGAGAGAATAGGTTTACTATTTGATTCAGATTTAGCCATTGTCATCTCAAACCTTGGTAAACGAACAACTCCTGCGGTGGAAAGCTGGAGAGTAGATCAAATAACAACTAGGCTCTTATCCGAAGCTCCAACCACAATTTTTTTAACAAAGCATTTAATAAGTTTTAAATAAATGTTAACTCAATCATAAAAGCTGATTGATAGCTCTATCGTATACATCATAAGGACCAATACCATCAAATTAATAGAATGGAAACTATTGTGAACGGATTTGGAAAAGCTCTTTCACATGCAAAATTCATCATTCTTTGCTTCTTTTTTTATCTTTGGGTTTACCTGATATCCAGTAATTGTTTTGCATTGCAATCCTGATGCAAGAAGAACCAGTCGAGTTTCATGTGTATAGATGTACCAATTCACATTCACTTTCTTAGTCTCCACCAAACGTAGATTCAACATAGAATCACAAGCAAACAAATCCATGCCACTGAGATAAGAAAACAAAAAAATATATATAGCCATAAAAACCTCAAAAATATAAGAGGCAGACAAATGATAAGTGATATAGAAGAGCTGAAGACAGGAACAACTATGTTTAGTTCGCTCTTCTGAGAATAGAATGTGCAGACTCAATTACCAGAATCTGAAAGTGCTACTTTCCCTAGAAATCCCAAGTCAAAGGATAAAGCTATCCTAAGACACATGTTAACAATCCAATATACCCCCATTTAAACAAGTTAAATAGAATTATCAATTCAACCAATTAGTCTTTAAAATTCGTTGGAAACAGTTCCAGAAATGGAAATAATTCTATGTAGTTAAAATATGTAGAAATTTAAGCAAGCCCACCTGGTCTTTAAAATTGCAAGATCGCATAATGGAGAGTCACTCCAAAAGAATCCAAGGATGCTCTCTGATCCTGCCTTGCATTTATGGGTGAGTATCTGCTTAGTCTCTCGATGGAAAAACTGTATTTCACAGTCAGATCTTTGGACAGCTATCGCTTTCTTATCAAGAGAGAATCTGATAGATAGGATAGGCCCTTCACTTATAGAATCAACTGAAGGAGATACATCTGGATTAAAGGGGGCTGTTTGCCATGAAAAGACCTAAACGAAAAATGTGGGAATCAGTAGAGGATAAGATCATAAAGCTTAAGAAAGATATAAATTATTGTTAAAACGAAATCAAATAAACCATTTCAAAGGAAAAGAAAAATCAAACACCTGACTAGATGTGATACAAATTAGCAATCTGTTGGCATCATCATAGAACAATCCCCTGGAATCAGGAATATTGCAACGTAGAGATGGATGTTGTATATACACATGTGATAAAGCACCAGAGCCGCCACCTGGCTGTGAACTTGAAAGCCTGCTAAATAGACACTTAACTTTTCAGTTTTCTAAATTTCTCAAACGAACCAAACTGTAGTCCAAAATTAACTTTTATGAAATAGATGTACCACATTATGATTGGGCTGAGTCACTTAAGGTTGTATTAAAAACATATCACAAGCTATCGTTTCACAAGGGATATTGAAAAAAAGATTGAAAGGAAAAAGAATGGCGTACATGTTAAGCAGTGTTGATAAACGCCTATAGTCGTGATTCAAGCCTTTCCCCGGATCTATACGGAAAAGAAAAACATGAAGTATAACAGATTAGTCTTTGAAGATAAAATGTTCAAGACAAGTCTCTTGCAATAAATTTCGTCATACCGTATGCTGCATACAACTCTTCAGTGCAAGAAACTCTTTCAAGCACATGTCTCTTTCAACCTCATGGACTTTCGATGCAACACAACTGCCGTAGTCTCTGGCCTGTGACAAGTGCACGTTCCCAGACACAATCCACAAGTAAGAAAATTGTGCTGCTTCACAGTTGATAAATCTTCAAAGACTCATTCGTTAACACTGATGTCGTGCTAAACAACTAGCAAAGCTATCAAATTTTCATTATGAAACCTATGAGACTGGAGATCAGAAAAGGAAGGAATAGGTTTGTGCTAACATTTCTCAGAATCTGAAAGACACAATACGAAAAACAAGGTAACTGGAGCTGTCGAACAAACCTGCTTAGAACAAGTAGCTAAAATCCGTCCAAGTGTTGAAGCGGTGGAGGAATTCTTTTCTTTCATGCCTGCATTGCTGAAGCTGAGAGGAAACTGGAAGTGGTTATGTTCAAAACATAAAAGAAACAATAGATTCACCAAAGCTATGTCCAAAGAACCGAGTGAAAAACACCCACAAAAAAAAACAACTTAAAAAAGCAAAAAAAAACACACACACATACTCTGCAAGTTTTATATCCCAATCATGATTGCTAACACAACAAAGCCACAAAAACCAAAAGGTGTTATTGTAAACCCCACATTACTTTCCTACCAGAACAACGAATCGGACAACAATTTTCATCCCAATAGCAAATTGTTATATCTATAATAGAGAATCAAAGAAGAAACAAAAAAACGAAATCGGAGAATACACATTAAACACACAGATGACCTCGGAGGAAAAAAAAGCATGAAAATAAAAAAATGGGAGATAAGAACAGAGAAGCGTTACCTGCGAAAACCAAAATGGAGATGAATCCAAGCGCAGTGATGGGGTTGCTCCGGAACTTTAGATTCAAACAGAAACGCAGTAGTTTTGAGTTTGATGCAAACAGTCCTCGGCTTGTCGCGTCGGGAAAATTGATGGTAGAGGTGTTTTTCAACAACTATCGGTGATCGTGTGAAGACCAATGAAAGGGATCGACACGTGTGAATATACTTCTGTATTTGGGCCTCTAAGCCCATTATATATTTAGAATTCATATTTATCAACAAAGAAAACACATTAACACTAATGTTTATGGATGCATTCACAGTGCTTTAAACCGTCTTCAATTCTTACGAAAGATTTTGAGAACTTCGAACGTATCGAAGAATGCATTTACGATTACCATAGCAAGGCTTCCTTGGGACGAGGATCATGGATAAATAAATATACTTGCTGACCAACATGCTGTATGTTATGTACTTATGTTGCATGAGAAATTAAAGTCATTGACCAATGACAATAGCTTGTTGCAATCAATAAATAAAGTGTTGAAAAGTCATAGAGTGTGAAAATAACATATATCTCTGTCTGCTAGAAACTATATAATCTAGGATTAGGACATAATTAAACTATGGAAATTAAAATCAAAACAATTCTCATTAAGCTGAAATATCAACTTAATTTTCCTATAAATAAAGGACGAACAGGAGGAAAAGAGCATAGAAAAATTAAGTGGCGAAAAGAGAGAGAGATATGAGAGGTGTAATACCAAACTATCACCATTCTTACACTTTCTTCTTTTTCGTTGTCTTTGTTAATCTGTTTAGCCATGTGTTCTCGATCAATACTTTGTCATCAACAGAGTCTCTGACAATCTCAAGCAACCGAACCGTTGTGTCTCCCGGTGATGTCTTCGAGCTTGGTTTCTTCAAAACCACAAGAAGTAGTTCTCGAGATGGTGATCGTTGGTATCTCGGGATTTGGTACAAGAAAACCACTGAGAGAACCTATGTATGGGTTGCTAACAGAGACAATCCTGTTTCCAATCCAAATGCAACATTAAAAATCTCTGATGCTAACCTCGTCCTCCTTGACCAATCAGATACTCTTATCTGGTCAACGAATCTGACGAGAGCTGTGAAATCTCCAGTTGTGGCAGAGCTTCTCGGTAACGGCAACTTAGTGCTCAGAGACTCCAAAACCAAAGACGACCCAAATCAATTCTTGTGGCAAAGCTTTGATTTTCCGGTGGATACTTTACTCCCGGAGATGAAAATTGGCTGGGGTCTCAGAACAGGACACAACAGATTCCTGAAATCTTGGAGATCACCAAATGATCCGTCAAGCGGAGATTATTCGTTCAAGCTCGAAACTGGAGGGTTACCTGAGTTTTACCTTAAGAAAGGAGCATTCAAAGTGTACCGAACCGGTCCGTGGAATGGAATCCGGTTTAGCGGTATACCAAAGATGCAACAAGGGAGCTACATTGTCGACAACTTCATAGAGAAAAGAGAGGAAGTCGCTTACACTTTCCGAGTCACCACCACCAACCACAGCTTCAACTCGAGAATTACACTGAGTTCCAATGGGTTATTACAGATATACACGTGGAACCCGACAGCACCGGAACCGAACATGTTCTTGTTTTTCCCGAGCGATGACTGCGATTTGTACTCGGTCTGTGGCTCTTACAGTTACTGTGACATGAAAACGTCACCGGTTTGTAATTGTATCGGAGGATTTGTACCGAAGAACGTGACGGCTTGGGGTTTGGGAGACGCGTCCGATGGTTGCGTGAGGAGGACGCCACTGAGCTGCGGCAGAGGAGATAGGTTTTTGCGGATGGAGAAGATGAAGTTGCCGGAGACGAGTAGAGTGAATGTGGACGTGGGAATTGAGTTGAAGGAATGTGAGGAGAGGTGTCTCCAGGATTGTAACTGTACCGGGTTTGCTAATATGGATATCCGAAATGGCGGGTCGGGTTGTGTGATTTGGACCGATGAGCTCATGGATATGCGGAACTACGTTGCAGGATCAGGTCAAGATCTTTATGTCAAACTAGGACCTGCTTAGCTTTGTCCCCTAACTAGACATGTTGGATCATATATAGTCCCGGGTTTCATTAAAAATTACCTTAAGAAAATAATAATATCCATGCTGGTTGTTTAATATATGCGTTTTTAATTTATGTTTGGATTTATTTGAATGATGAAACCAACGTAGATATTATTGTATGACTCCCCAAAAAAAAATACAATTTAGATTAGTCCTCCAAAGAGACCGGAACACCAGTCTGGCTTTCAACTCTTCGAGCACACTCGTTCCATATATGTTTGCTTTTTGGAATAGCCTTGGATGCAATATTTTTATACTCGTAACTCGAAAAGATGATTTGAGCCAATCCTAGATGACAATCTTTGCCAAGCTTCACTACTAGTTGACGACAACATTCATCCTTTAATATTTGTGTGGTCGTCTCATCCAACATGTTCTTGAAAATCTCATCTCCGCATTTGGAGTTTAGCTTTTGAAGGCAGTTCTGAAGATAATCGAGACGTTTGTACGAGTAATGATGCACAAGCTCCATGTCATATTTTGCTGCAGGTGAATCGGCTTCTGGACCTTCATCGGGAGATTCCACTAAAATATCGAAATCTGGACTTGGAGATATGTTCACATCGTCTGGTAACTCTTGTGGATATTGTTGATCAATTTCTTGGGAGAAAATCGGACTAGCTATCAAAAATACTAGTATCGATACCATGAGAAGAGACTTTGCCATATTTGCTTTTGGTTTTGTTTGATATTAGATCGCTAACAAGAAAACGAGAGATCTTATAGTGAAATGAGCCTTGTGATTTGTGCAAAGGCAAACAGTTAATAGATTAAACGTTTTTATTCATCAATAAATTATATGTTATCGATGTCGTCATAAAAAAGGAAACGTCATAAATTATATTAACTCAGCTGTTAAAAGTTCTGTTTCAAAGGAAACGTTTAGTTTACATTAATCTATTTTTTTTTTTTCTTCTTTCAATTTGTTTTACTTCGCTTTGGATCTAACGTCCTTAGAATTTGGGAGAAAACTTGAAGATAACACTCTCATTTCCTCCAAGTTATTACAAATTAAAGTGGTATATTGGACAGCACAACACGATTACACATAGAATTAAGGAAAAAAACGATCAAAGAAAGGTTTGATTCGGTTTGGTTCGGTTAGCGAACTTAAGCTCTGCCCTTCAAGACATGCCTTCTTAAACCGGGAATGTGAACGTTTGTAATGTAGTCCTTCCTGTTAATGCTTCCAATGATATTTTCATAACATACCACTATTTATTCGTCGTTATATTAAAAAAAAAACATTGGCTGAATTATGATCACTGTGACGAGATAGCTAGTGACAATATTCAGTTCACAAAAAATTGACACAAGCTCATGTTGTGCTCGATGTCTTTTCCTTTGATCGAATTAATGGGTTAAAGAACCGACCATTTTGGCCAAGACAAAATAAAATAAAATGATGTTGGCCATAAAGTAGTGAGTTGCTAATCTGTGGTCATATGGCAATTCATGACAACGGAATATTGGTAACGGTCATTTAGCTACGAAATATATCTATGGTAATATGTGGTGAAAATAAATTTAGCCGCAGATTTTGTGGCGTAGCCATGAAAATCATGTGGCTAAAACAACATTTTCTGCAGCATTGGTTTTAAAGATTCATTTTTTGATAGTGTATCCATAAATTTTAAAATATTATCTCTTTCTAACTTATCACATACTATTTAGGGATCTTTATATAATTGGATAAATAATTATAAAAAAAACAATGTTTTGCTTTTAACCAGTATCTTTAATATTCTTTCGTTTCAATTCTCCTTTTATGCTTTTTCAGCCTTTATTTAGGTATATTTAGATAATCATTAGTATTTACCGATTCAATATTGTTTTTGAGCAGCCAGATTTCTTAGCCGTAATCCCATAAGATAAAACAAAAATCTTGAGAAAATTAGAAAAATCTCTTAGAATCTTCTAATAAATTCAAACTCTTCGAGCATCTATTTAATATTCTTCCTTTGAAGAGTAGTATATAAACACCCAATGACATCTCCTATCTTTACACAGTTTTCTTTTGAACCCCTTTCACCTCTTCCACTTAGTTCCAGTTCGTTTTTTCCTATTTTTTCAAAGCTTATTTTTGCTTTTTGTTTTGTTTTAAAGCGGATGGTCCTATGTGAGTTAGAATAAATCTGCGAAATTTTCAGTCTCCATGTAGATTTCGCAATTAATAATGGAAAAAGGATGCGTCCAACATTAACCGATAGGTAGCCATGATCGACATAATACTGATCATAACCATCGTTAATAAGTTAGCTTGCTTCTGTTTTCTAGGCTAAAGACGTTTAAATTATTTATTTATCAGGCATGTCTAAGAATGTTAAAGGTAATTCTGCGTTCTTGTACCTTTTTAGTTCTTATGTAATGTTTGTAAGTTCTTTTTTCAATTTCGGGTCTAAAGTTGACGAAGTTAAAACATACTCGGTGACTATTTGAGATGTTTCCTTTGTTACCTATGAACCATTTTTCGCTTGCCGTAGATAACCATATTTTTCTTTTTGTAGGTAGTATTGTATTTGGGTTTGTTGTAGCGTTCGATTAATCATGGAGATGAGCAAGCATTCAATTAAAATAACCTTCACGGATTAAGCAACAGAATCGAAACTCAGTGACCGGATTGTAACGAAATCTCACCACGGATCGTCATTTAGTTACATTCTTTTCTTTCCTTCGTTTTAAAAACTAATAACGTTTGAAGTGTTTTTATCCCATGTCTAAGAATGTTTAACGTGTTTTTTTTTTTTTGCATTTTTTCTCTTTTTAATTATGGGTATAAAGAATTTGAAAAAAGTTCAGCGACATTTGAGATGTTTCGTTTGTTATCCTTCAATATTCTTTACTTGGCTTAGAAAACCATATCAACATTTTTTTCTTTCTTCTTAATTAATTAGTACGAGGGTTTGTTGTGGCGTCCGATTAGTCGTGGAGATGAGCAAGCATTTCTATAAGAAATATTCGGTAATCTCACCACGGATAACACAACAGGCCAGAACCTAATGATCGGATTTTTACATGAAATATTTGATATGATAGATCGAATCCGGAGATGTTACAAAATTTACGCTTTTCGACCTTAGTCTAAACCAGCAAAGGATATGTTAAACATCTTTGTGTCAGATTTGGATCACGTTTCAGAATGTTTTTATTGAAATAATATATATATGAGTTTTTTTTTTTGGATGGTGTACGTACTAATCTTTGTTTTTCTTTACGTTGCATGAATCAAATTATTAGACGACTTACCTTGTATGAGACTGTACTCTATATATATTTATATATGTGTGTGTCTTCCGTTTATGGTTATATTTGTACAGTAGTATAGTTATAACTTATAAAGGTCACTGGTGTGTTAATTAGTTCTTGGATTACAGAGTAAATAAAAGAAATCTTGAGATATCTCAGGCTTTTATAATTTTACTCTACTCCAAATATTTTGCCCTAAGTATGTCTTTTAGATCAGTCCAACAAATCGGCTATCTGGTCTGTTTTAGTCATCTATAATTCTATTATTAGTTGTTCATATTCTACTCCAACTCTTCTCTTAGTTTTACAGTTTTCTTAAAGTACGGGTTTTAAATAATCATTTTATGTTTGTGACCAATTAGTTAATCAACCTTATGAAATGGTATTCTATATTATATTTTTGATATTTTGTTTCTTAAAAAAAAAATTTTGGAACTTCGGTCAATAATCAGTTTAGGTTTGAAACTATTTTTGGTGGTTTCAAATTTGTTTTTAAAATTAAAAGAAATTTAACAGTTGTCTGATGTCTCGAACATGGATGTTTGCATACTTTCATAACTTTCAATATGGATGTTTCCTCTTGAATTTACTATGTGGGCAGATACAAAGCAAGGAATGGGCAAAAAATAATTTCAAGAGAATACGTTGGTGAGAACATTTAAAAAGGTATGATCTTCTACGATCATAATTTAAGACATATAAAAGGGAACCAGTGATAATTTTTACAAATTCTTATTCTGGGTGAATAAAGAAACATACTAGAAGATAATGCTTCACCTAGAATATATAGCAAACCTTAAACCCTAGAAAATAATAAGATTAACATTAAACTACTTGTCTTCTGTTTTCATGCGTTGCCTTGATTTTGATCCATCCTAATCGAAACTTACAGATCCCAATCTTGGCTATCCTCAAGAAAGATATTCCCAACGTTAACGTTCTGTATATTGCTGTTCACAGAGTAACCATTGTTGTTGTTCAATTCTCCACTTACATCCACCATAGTTATGGTTTCTTGCTGTACATGCTACACACACATTAAAAAAAGCATTAAAGATTTTTATGCATAACGTTTATTTAAAAATCATAAAACAAAAAATAAGCCTCATTACCTGATCAAGAAGTGAACTATGTGTGAAAAATGAAGAAGAGGAAGGCATATGTAATATAGATGATTCATGAGCTTCATGAACATTCATCATCTGTTGTGGATTGGAAGACAATTGATTATCGTTAACTATCACAGGATCCTGGTAGTGGAATGAACTTGTTTCATCCAAGTTTTGTATGAGCCACCACAGGTTTGTAACATCATCTTCGTTATAGACCAAACTCTCTTCTTTATTTTCGATATTTGAGAACTCAGAGTTTTGATGGTGATGATGATGTTGAGCTTGGTGAGTCATCAACATGTTTCTATCAGACACTGCAACAGAGACTCCATCATGATGATGATGTTCGAGAGGTGATATGAACTGCATCATGAGATTAGAGTTTGTGCTCTGCTGTTGTACAAAAGGTTGATGAATGTTGTTGATATGTTGTGTTGTAAATTGAACATTTCCTCTATTGTAAAAATCAATTGCTTCTGGAGTTATTAAAACTCGGTTCCTCTCGTTTTTTTCGTTTTGATCATTCTGCTTCTTCTGATTCATCCGAAATTTCTACACATTAAGGGAAATAATATATTAATACCATACATATGTAAAACAAAATAAAGATTCTTTTTTTTTCAATAAATTTTTTTTCATTAATATTATTATAGTTGTGTTATTTAGATGTTTAGTTCCATTAATCTCTAGCTGTATTCATTAACTAGATAAATTCCCTGGGATAGGAAAGTTGAAAAAAATAATCAACAGTTAGAGTATCCATATATACTCGTGTCTTTTCTACATTTTAAAAGTTAAAATAGTTTATTTAACCAAGGTCATATTCCATGACTATTCCATGGTTGTTTACACGCAAATATAGTTCATGGCTAATTAATATTATGTATTTATGAATTGTGTTTTAATTGATTTAAAATTTGTACGTACTACTAATAGGGTCCTATTGGCTATTTGAGTGAACATATGAATGTTAGGGCACAATTCATAAAATATTCTCATTTTTCATATTCGTATCAGTATTGGGTTTTGGAACCTATGGAAAGATTGCTGAAGAGTTATGATTATTCATTAACACAGCTACTAAAATAAAACTTAGAAATAAAAGGATTTTTTTGGACTTTGAAATAAAAGGGTATTCACCTTAATTTGTTCTATTTACGAGTTAAGAAAATTCACCCAAATTCTTATCAGAGTAACCAAAAATATATATACTGCCACTAGCTACAGTATTGATTATTATAGACAGCAGAATTGGCCATTGGTTAGCTACCGAATGCAGTGACTTAGCCTCTATGAGTCTTGTTCGATCAAGTCAATCATGTCTTTGGTAGCCACTATTTTTTTCTTCATATGAATGTAAATACCGTTAGGGATGAAAGTTTCAACCATTTCTAATTGGCTATCCATAGCTATTACCATGAACAAACCACAAATTGATATGGATGTCATATAAATTGTTATCATTAGTTTGGTCGCAAGTATTTCCCCCTTATGACTTTGTTATTTTTATTTTAAAAAAGCAAATATTTAGGGTATAATAAAAAAATGTTACCTGGAGATGGCTGGCTACGTTTTCTCGAGTGATGCCATTAACATTCATCATCTCTAAAATTCTCTTGGGAACAGCTTCTGCATGAAATTACATTAACTGTTCAATTATTTTTTTATATATATATATATATGTATAATATGCTTTTGAAACGGTAAACCCTAGTAACTATATATTGTATATGAACAGAATACCTAATGTAAGTGACTCAAAAAAAAAAAGGTAAGTGACTCACTGCCCGTGCCGAGGTATTCCACTGCCTTAATAAACTTTTTGTGAAGCTCGTCGTCCCACACTACTCGTCTTTTCTTGGTGGTGGGATCATGACCCTCCTCGTTTTCTTGTCCCTCAAGGAAAATGTTTTTTTTTCTTTTGTTACGGTTTCTTACTGTGGGATCTCTCACAGAGGATGAATTCTCGGTTTCTGTTTTCTCCTCTGCCTCTCCGGCCACCACCACATTCCTCCTTACTTGTACCTTTTTCGCCACATGTTTGAATATCAAACGTAGATCTTCAGGTCGTATCGGTTTGATAAGATAGTCGCAAGCACCGATGTTCATCCATTTGATCACCGATTCTACTGAATCGTCCTTGGATATTACTGCAAGAATCAAAATGCTTGTGTTTTTTTGTTGTTGTAACTTTTCTAATCAACTTTCAAAATTATGTTTAGTTCGAGGTAAACGAAATTTACAATTGAAAATATTGATAAAACGTATAATTATATTCTTACTAATGATTGGAAGATCCATTTCCGAGATAAATCGAAATCTATCAACATTTTGTGCTTCTATGATAGCAATGTCGAACCTAATCCTGTGGTGATGGAGTAGATACCTAGCTCTTTCCTCTTCGTTACATCTAGTCACTACAAATTAAAAATACACATATCAATGACATAGAGCCTTTATAAAATTTAAAATTGATCACTTAAATCAAATTCCTTTTAGCACAACACGTAGATAAATTTCAAAAATACGTAGATTAGTTAAAAAAAAATTTAACATCACTTGATCAGCTTCAAAAACTCGTAAAAAATCAATCAAAAATAGCTACCTTCGTATTGAAACGCTTTGAGATGTTGCTCCAATGCAAGTAGATATTGGGGATCTTGGTCAAAGAGTAACACTCGCAAACCCTCAGGGAACTTATTCTCAGGGTACATGCCGGAAAACATATCGGAGGAGTTTGGATGATACCTACTTGGACCACCACCGTCCCTTTGCTCAGCCATATTTCACCTGCGTCGTTTTTTGATGGAGTCAGGCTTTTTCGCCAGGATTCTCGACCCCTTTAAACAAAAAAAATGAAAAATAAAATCTGATAATCTGATATTATCGCATAGTATTTATACTAAACATTTTTTAATTAACAAAAAAAGTGGAAGTGGACCCCAATACAGAATTTAGTAACAGCATTTTAGATTGCGAGGCTCCGTAAAACAAGATCAGAGAGATTTAAACAATTTGTTATTAACAACATATATTTCGCTTTGGAACTAAAGTCATTAGACTTTGGGAGAAAAACACTACACTTCGAACAGTTTTTTTTTTTCTTTTTTTCTTTCAGTTTGTTTTACTTCGCTTTGAATCTAACGTGTATAGACTTTGGAAAAAAAACTTGAAGAGAACACTCCCATTTCCTCCAAATTATTACAAATTAAAGTGATATATTAGACAACACAACAAGATTACACATAGAAATAGGAAAAAAAAAACGATCAAAGAAAGGTTTGATTCGGTTTGGTCCGGTTTAGCGAACTTAAGCTCTTCCCTTCAAGACATGCCTTCTTAAACCGGGAATGTGAACGTTTGTAATGTAGTCCTTCCAGTTAATGCTTCCAACATCAAACCCAAACTCTCTCTTCTCTTCTTCAGACATATTCTCCATTAATCTCTGCGTATTGCTGTTGTCAAATCTGCAGCAAAAAGAAAGAAAGAAAAAAACAAAGGTTCAAAGTTTGTCGGTTTGGTTTTAGAATCAGAATGTGGTTATTCGTTCTTCACCTTCCACCATAGAAAGTGTATGGCTCATAGATAGTGGCAAGGTGTTTGGCTTGTTCAACAGATTTCTTGCATATGAACTTTAGCTTCTGCAGCATCTTACTATCCGCCGCTGAGCTCACGCCATTCATTAAGCCGCTTCGTTCTTGAGCATCTCTCCACAGATGATCCGAGAAATCATCAACGGAGTTGAAAAGTTTCATCAAACGCACCATAATGGGATCACCTTTCGAGTCCACGCAAGGTGTAGATTTGTAGTGATTATAAAGGAGCTCTGCTAAGTCTTCGAAAACCAGTGGGTTTATCGCTGAAGAAGCGATCTGATACACGTTTATTTCAGGTTTTGGATCTGAAGTTGCCATTCCATGCTTTGCTATAGCAGCTAATGTCGCATTAACAACCATATCAGCAGGAACCACATCAAGAACTCCTTTCGGATCCACAAGAAACCCTGTGAGCTGTCCCTTTCCATAACATAGAACTATTGGATCCATCATCCTGCAAGAATAATCAGTTTTGTTATGTTATGTATACATTCACATCTATATATACGCATATATGTAAGCATATAAATAGTCTACCTGTTTCCTTCCATCCATCCAGGGAAAGGGTCTTTGTAAGTGCTTTCGATGACGCTAGGCCTTATAATAACCACAGGCACGTCTCCTCGGGTGCTATTGATCATCATTTCTCCCATTGCTTTGGTGAAAACATAAGTGTCTTGCCATCCATATGATCTTGCCCTGTTTCAATGGTTTTTGTGTGTTTTTAAGTTTGTTGTGAATATTCGATGCAGTCAAGGTGAAGGTGAAGATTTAGATTATTACCTCTCTAGACCGAGATCCTTCATTTTCTGCGCCTCCTCCTGATCTTGAGTCCCTTTTCTAGTAGCATCAAGAGCTAGCTTCATCTCTCTGTCGACATCTAATGCTTTTCTATTCCCTTCGAGGAAGTTCTCTGTTGCTATACATTCTCCCATCGAGAATGGCTTCTCCATTATCCTTCCTTGTCTTTGCCCATTCACATAAGCTGCACAAAGGTTTTGTTTTTTCCAAATGAAGAAACAGAAACATCACAAAAACCCTTTTTTTTTTGTCTCTTTTTGTTCTGCCTATTTATATACCTGTGGATACTTGCAAAAAAAGCTTTAGTTTCTTGCACTTCTTGGCGAATCCCATGAGATTACCAGGCCCTCGTGTGTTTATGTCCAGAGCAACATCATATCTGAAATATCCACCATGACGACAACAGGATTAGTGAATCAGGATACATTGATACTATCTAGAGAACAAAACAAGAGAACCAGAAGCGCATAATCTAATAATTTGTCAACCTTTCATTAAAGGTTGTATTTGCAGCAGAGTTGATAATTACATCAACATCTTTAGCAATCTCCTCCGCTGAATCTGCTTCCAACCCAATGTTTGAATCACAAATGTTTCCAGTCACAGGAATGAGCTTGTCTAACATGAAAGACTGGTACGATGCTCCATGAGTCTCTCTTAGGGTGTTAAAAAGCTCTGCATCTAGCACCTGAAAAGCAGAAATTTCATGAATAGGCTAAAGTTACACTTGACTTGACTAACAATGAATCAAAACAAATAAGGAATTACCTCGTTCTTCAGCCGCTCAATTGCGGCTTCTTTGTTTTTGGCTTTAATCAAGAGATATATCTTCCCAACATCCGGAGCTATTCTCAAGACTTTCTCAATCAGCACTGGAGATGTCAAAAGGGATTAGATTTAGAGACAGAAAGTTGCAGAATATGATAAAAAAAATATGAGAGCTTCTTTACCTTTAGCTAAGAAGCCAGTGGAACCAGTGATTAGAAATTTCTTTCCTTGGAGGAAACTGATGATGCCAAGTCCTTCTTTCATCCCCACCATAGCAGCACCATTAAAAGGCATCAAAGTCGTTGCTCCATTGATATCAATGGCTCTTCCGTTCCCGTTCGGAGACAGAACCAATGTCTCAGCTTCCATAGCCGGTGAACTCTGTTCCCTTATCAACACTTGACCTCTGTCTGTCAAAAGCGAAGAGACCCGGATAGGCCTCTCCGGTTTGCTGTTTCTCCCACCACCACCATCACCACCACCACCACCTACGCGACACCAGGTGGGGCCTACCCTTTTCTTATCCCAAACCAATGAAGACCAGTCACGACGGTTGTGTAATCTGGCAAGCTTGTTTGAAGCAGCAATGGAAGAAGAAGAAGAACTCAAGAAGAGAGCCTCCATCACAAACTAAGAAATAAGAAACAGACAAAATGTCATTTCTGAATTATGACTAAGAAATTAATCTGTTGACCTTGTACAAATCTAAAATACAAACTGTATTTGGTTATTTTTTCCCTTTGAGAAAACAGAAACTTGTTGGTTAAGAAATTGGTGACTTGTAATGTACTTAACCTAGAATGCATACCTTTGGTAATGAGCAACAAGAATATACTTAATTTTTTAGAAAGAGAATTAAGTAAACCAAGAAAGATTTATTTTTTCTTATTTCTTATCGCTAAGAGACAAGTATGTGGGTTTTGTTTTTATAAGAGGAACGAAAGATTGGTAAGTTCTAAGGACAAAAGATGATGAAAACTTCCTCTGTTTTATAGGAAGATAAATATTTTAAAAATTAAGTGAAACAAAAGATTGCCTTACTATCTTTCTCTCCAACATTTGATCAGTTTCCTACACGTAAATTAGATTTCAATTTTTTTTTTTTGTAAAGAAAAATAAAGAAATGCATCAATTCCAAACAGTCACTTATAACATTATAGTCAATAACATTTAAGAAATCACCCAATGATAAAGAGCTAATTTGATTCTCTGTTTGGTAGCATTTACCTAAGCAATCTCAATCTCAAATTTCATATCCTGGTGTTTAAATTTAGGAAATTCACATAACATTTGAAGGACTTGAGGATTATATGTTCATCTTAAAAGTTATAGCTTTTGGAAAAAAACTAAACATTCTCCTATAAAGACAACTTACCTCAAAGGGATGGACCATTCTAGTCATACTTCAACACCGTGGAAACCCTGCAAAGCATCGGATAATGTTATTATGAATAAAATAGGCAACCAAGTGAAAAAAGTGATTTAGGAACATGTAGAGAAACTTAATCTCGTAATTAACCGAGGGTAGTATCTGTTTAAGCATTCATCAAACACCTGGTGAGTGTAACCAGAGTGAAGACTGGGGAGACATAGACGAGAAACATATGGCTTAAGAAGTTCAAACCTTTGCCTCATCTTCTCGAGGCAAGTGAGACCCGCCGAATTGGGTCCTGATAGGATCACAGGAGGCAGATACTTGTTTTTTTGGCGGGAATTATAGAACAACCAGCAAATGCCCACGTTTTCGTTTCACTTGTCTCAAATCTTTGTTCGCTATGTTCCAGACCTCAATGTTCATTTCACATGAAGCGATACAGTATGGAGAAAAGAATGAGTTGGGAAACAGAGTTTTTGTAAACGAAAATTCCGTTTCGTTCTCACTTCCAATATGAACAAACTCCTCGCTTTCTAAGGCATAAATACGTTTCATTATGTAATGAGGATTCGAAACGAAATACACTCGTGATATAATAATCAGTAGCATAGATGTCACGCATTAGGATAAAAAAAAGGACGAAGCTGCCAGTAAGTGCCAAAGGATATGAAACCGAAACATACATTGATTTGTCCCCTACTACAACTATGATTTATTGTTCTTCCAAATGACTAACTCCCACAGTGTAACACCAGACCTCATATCTCTATCATCACAAGCTTAGGTCATATACCAAGTCACCTAGTATCCGGGACTCGGGCTTCTGCTTCTCGATCCATACCGGGACCTTGAGCTTGACCTCGAGTATGATCGCTTCCTATCCCCTGGGGAAACCGATCTGCTCAAGATATACAAAGTGATATGTTTAAGTATAACACGCAGAAGCCAACTAAACATACAGAAGCCAACTCCCTATCCTTAATTAGTTACAAGTGCGTGAACAGAATAAAAAAAAAACTGATCCGACCCAAAAGTAAACAGAAAAATGCTGATAGAAAAACCAACTAAACATGCCAAAACTTAACTTTCTCTGAAAATCAGATAAACCGATCTATAATACATTTGATCACGCATTGGTAAGTACATTCCTCAAAACGAAAAAAATTTAAAAACACAAACCGAAACTGGGATTAAACACCCGTGCTACAGTACCTTGAATGGTGTCTTTCATCATATGGTGAGCGCGAATAGCTTCTTCTGTAGTTTGGTGAACGAGAATAGCCAGGAGACCGGGAGTAACCATAAGGAGATCTTGTACGTGTTCTGCCCCTGAAATAGACATTCAACTTACTTTACTTGTTTCAACAAAACGCAACACCAATAGGAAGTTACTACCAGTTGAATCAATTGTGATAAGAGTTAATTTCATTTGTTAATCAACAAGCTAATTTTGGTGAAATTCAAGCTTAACCTTGATCGTTCTCTCATTTCGGAAGGCTTCTTTCTGTTTTCCTCTGCAAATACTACAGTAATTTCACGGCCAAGAAGAACGTAGCCATCTAAATGATACTTTGCATCTGCAGCATCAGCAGGGTCATAGTACTGCACAAACCCAAACCCGCGAGGCTCCCTGCCAGTTCATAGCGTCACAATCGTGATTACAATTATAATAACAAGTACCTCTCTTTCTGAACCAAACTCGCAATAGACATCCAAAGTAGAAAACTTTAATAGGGAGTACACACAAAAAAAACTTAGGAACCCAACCAACCGAATAAATAAAGCATAAACAATCAGCTGGCTGCTAACCTTTTCGAAGCCAATTGTATTACTTCGACTTTGACCAGAACATCTTCAAAATGAAATAAAGAAGCAACTTCCGTCTCAATCCGGAAGTATTCAATTGTCATTAACCGTACCCACTTACCGTCTGTAGACCCGAACAAAGTTATCTTAATACTTCATTAATTGATCTTATGCTTACTTCTTCATCTTCAACACTTCCAATAAGACAACCAAATTTTGATAAACAAACAGTTCGAGGGAAAAAAACAGCAATCCATCATGATACACTTACACAAGGATAGGACAGCAAGAACAAGAAGTCACACAAATGGAAAGAATTAGTGGGATCCAATTGCAATCACTCACCTAGTGTAATAATTACGAGGTATATAGATATCCTTGAGCCGACCAAACCGTCCAAATGGTCTACGTAGATCTTCTTGCCTGAAAATGGTTAAAAAAAGCTTGAAGCATTTGACTTTGTCAAAAGGTGAAAGCTTTAACATTTCCAAAGGAAACTAGTCGGTGTAGGATAAAGATCAGTCTTTTAATACCTACAGTCGTGCCGGAGATTGCGAACGAGTAAACTGGTTGGAGAATCTCTACTGTGACCTCTGTAGTATCCCACCGGACTCGGGCTTCTGTACCGTCTGCTATAACTTCTTGGTGGTGAAGGACTGTAACTATAGCTCCTCCCCATTGTCACTAAGTATCAAGACAAACAGAAACAAACCTATCTTAAATTCAAATTGGAGAGAACAATCAATTGAAGTTCTGCAGAGAAACATGATCTAACAGCGTAATTCATCAAAACTGAACGTGTTTTGCATGCAATAAGTTCCAGCTAATTAACATTTATAATCAGGTTTTCTCAATCTCTTATTTTGGAATAGAGCCGCTTCACGAAATGAGAGATGCGATGATAAGAAATCGAATCCAAATGTTTATTCTGATAGTCACCAAAAAGAAGAAAAAAAAACGGACGAAACAAGATATTTTTTGCATCAAGGTATACAAATTCATCGCAGACAAATAAGTTATGAAAATTCATCACGATAATTTTCCAAATAAAAACTATATGATCGTGAGAACCAGAACCTGTGAATCCCACAAGAGAAACGCAAATCCTCCGCCGGTACTCTCTCTCTCTCTTTGAAGCTCTGTTCAACAAGATGGTCATGTTTATTCGAGAAACTTCTACATTAGGCCTTTCATATATACAATGGAGGCCCATTCAGGCCCATAACATGTCCACTTCGCTTTTTTATTTACGCGACTAATCAGGCAGGAATTATCACATTTTTCTGGGAAGAAAATACAAACCGGTAGTTGACAAAAAAAAAAAAAAGCCGGTCGGTTCTCATAAGTTTTTTTTTTTTTTAATCTGGTTAAAATCCAGACCGGGCGGTTCTCGAAAAACCCTACAAAACTTCTTCTTCTTCATCAGTGTGACGTCTAAACCCTACAAACACACTAAATAAACGAGACCGTCCCCAATCTCTTCCGTCCGCCATTAAAGATATGGTGGCTCCTTCAAAGAAATCAGTCAATGGAAAACGTAATGATTCTACAAAGGTCTTCAAACCAGCGAAGAAACCTTTTCACAAAACGAAGGACGATGTTGCTGCTAGGTCTAAAGCTGTGGCTATGCAGCTCGAAGAGGTTCCTGACTTTCCTCGAGGTTTGATTCTTCCTCAAATTCCTTTTGTTATGCTAGAAAATATTCAATTGTTTTATTTTTATCCTCTGTTCTTACTCGGTGACATGAAAATAGCTAAACACAACAATGGCTGTAGCTTTAATTACCTTTGTTCTGAGAATTTTGAAATTTCGAACTTTTTGTTGAATACTCTTAATTGACTGTCAGGTGGAGGTACTTCTCTGAGCCAAAAAGAGCGTGAGAAAATTTATGAAGAAGTCGATGCTGAGTTTGACGCTGATGAGCGTGTTTCTAAGCGGAATAAAGGGTTAAAACCTAAAAAGAGAACCCCTACCGATGTAGACGAATTGGGATCTCTTTTCGACGGTGCTTTTACTGGAAAACGGCCAAGATATGCCAATAAGATCACCATTAAGGTATCATTTCGGAACTTTCTTATGTGTTTGAATTGTTTTATATGTTCATGCCTGTGTCCACATGAATACACTTAGGGGCAGTATTAATAATAGTAAAGCTTTTTAGCCAGAATTTGCTAAGAGACCTATTCTTATAACATCTACATGCCCCATAGTTTACTTTTGTTGCTCCCATTGAGTTTTAGCTACTGACTCAAGTCAGATTCATTTGTTCTTTGCATCATGGAATTTCATAGAACAATTTATTTGTGTACAATGTAGTAAACCTGAGAGTTTAATCAAGATGCTAATCCACGGATGTATCATCATATTTACAGTGATTAAGTTTCTGCGTCAATGTTCTCGGACGTTTTCTAGATAGATAGCTCTTAAATCAGCTGTGCATGGCTGTTTTATGTGTATTAACACATTTGCATTCATCAGTTGATGCACCTTTTCTGACGTTTAATGGAATATATGTTCAGAATATTTCCCCAGGAATGAAGCTTTTGGGAGTTGTTACTGAAGTAAACCAGAAAGATATTGTAATTAGTCTTCCAGGGGGCTTACGAGGATTAGTTCGCGCAAGCGAGGCATTGGATTTTACAGATTTCGGAACTGAGGTAGAAGCTGTGGGTTATAATTGGCTGTTTAAACTCCCTGTACTTCGTCAATCTGAACTGAGTTGGTAATCCTTTTTGTCAACCAGGACGATGAAAATGAACTCCTTCAAGACCGTTTTTCTGTGGGTCAGCTTGTTCCCTGCATTGTATTGCAGTTAGATGATGATAAGAAGGAGGCAGGCAAAAGGAAAATATGGCTTTCATTGCGACTTTCTTTGTTGCACAAGGGATTTAGTTTGGATTCCTTTCAACCAGGGATGGTATGTCAATGCTTAGTTCATTTTCCTTTTATTCGTAATGTGTACTTCTTGGGAGCTCTGTGTTGTGTAATTTTTTCAAATGTATTTGTGGGTACTGGCACTCAAGTATGTTGGCATAGCCAAAGTGATTCATAGATCCAAAACGAGTTGAAAGAGTTCATGGCTGATCGAACTTAGAGTTTATATTTAAGCTGCATAGGCTAGCAGTTTTGAGATGAAAAATAAGTTATATTGATACTGATATTCTGCTATCTTCTGAAATGGTGTCGTATCTTTACCATCCATTTTTTTCCATTGCTGATGGTGGTTAACTTTGATCTATGAGTTATGATTTTTTGTTTTAAAAAAATAATTTTTTATTTGTTTTTTCCATAATGGTTTTTTCAGGTAGTCGCTGCAAACGTGAAAAGCGTCGAAGACCATGGTTATATCCTTCACTTTGGATTGCCTTCTATCACAGGATTTATCAAAATAAGCAATGATGGTACTAAATTGTTGACCTACTGACTTTCTGAGCTCCATTTTTCACTTTTTTGAACTTTCTTTTTGTTTTTTTTTTTTTTCTTCTGGCGAATGATATTCAATTTACCTTCTAACGTACATCATGATAAAATGGATTGTCTATGTCCTACTAAAGGAGAGACTTCATTTCCAAAAAATTTGTGGATGCCTTTGATCTTTCTTGGAACTTCCTTGCTCTCTGGTTTGTCTGATTCCCGTCATCTTTTAAATCTTTATTTACCATGCTGTGAACTTTCCAGGAAGTCAGGAGTTAAAGACTGGGCAGCTTATTCAGGGCGTGGTTACAAATATTGATGGAGAACGTAAAATTGTTCGTCTTAGCTCGGACCCAGATTCAGTGGCAAAATGTGTGGTATGTCTCGTACATCCCATATTATACAATAAAATTTCCTTGATTTTTAAAAATTTAACCTCGTGATTTCCCATTTTGCAGACCAAGGATCTTAATGGGATGTCGTTTGATCTTCTTATCCCAGGCATGATGGTTAATGCCCGTGTGCAATCTGTCCTTGAGAATGGGATACTATTAGGATTTCTTATGTACTTTACTGGAACAGTGAGTTACCAATGATTTTGGTAGTGTGCATTATTGATTAAGCTTGAACTATGTTTCTTGTGTATAATTTAAAATCTTGGTGACGCGATGAGTTACATTTCTCATTGATGTGCAGGTTGATCTATTCCATTTACAAAATCCAATGTGTAACAAGAGCTGGAAAGATGAGTATAATCAGACTAAGATGGTAGGCATTTTGGAGTTTACCTTTTTCTGATTCTTCTATTTATTGTGTTTCTGTTATAAATGTCATCGTAGGATTCGTAAAATGTTAACTAGTAGTCTAGTACTTAGTTTGAAATGCTTTCTTGTTTTGATTGATTTGGATTTTTGGTTTATTTCTTTTGTGAAAGATTTTTTTTTTTCCTTTTAGTTAACTTGCATAAAATGCTCGTGTTGTTTTTCAGGTTAATGCTAGAATATTGTTTATCGACCCATCAACCAGAGCTGTTGGTTTGACGTTAAATCCACATCTTGTTGGTAACAAGGCACCTCCTATGGTAAGAGAACTTGATTTGACTACTTTTGGGGTTTAAATGAAGGTTCATTCATTGTAACACTAGCATTTCTTATATCCGCTGTTTTCATCACTATCTTTGCTTACCTGAGCTTCTCTATTTTACCATTTTCGTTTATCACTTTGATACCTTACGCAGTATTGTTCTCTGTGTTTGGTCTCCGTGGATGTACCTGTATTTGCCTATCTTTTTCATTATAAAGTAAGTTTGTAATACTTTTTTTTTTGCTCTTTACAGCATGTCTCCAGCGGAGACATATTCGACGAAGCAAAAGTTGTCCGGGTTGATAAATCAGGCCTTCTTCTTGAGCTGCCTTCTAAGCCTGTTTCAACTCCTGCATATGTTAGCGTATGTCCAATTGGCTTCCCTTATTCTTCTAAAAGATTAGTGCTCTGATGGTCTTTTTAACCTTAGATTAACCGTAATTGCAGACCTATGATGTCGCAGAAGATGAAGTAAAGAAACTGGAAAAGAAGTTCAAGGAAGGAAACCGCATCCGTGTTCGAATCCTCGGCCTTAAGCAGTTGGAGGGGTTGGGCATAGGGACTTTAAAGGTACTTTTACTGCCAGATGTGCTCATAGATTACAGTAGATTACATTACCTTTAACAATCGTTGGCATGGGAAGCATCTACTATTCTTTTTAGTACTGAATCTTAACATCGATCAAGCGTTGCAATCTAAATGCCAATAGGCGATAGTTTGATGTATAATTATACAATTATGCCTCTTTCTACTGAGACATCCATGTTTTATTTGAACCTTTGTAGGTTTCCCGTCTTTACATTTTCTTTCTTTTGGTGTTGTATTTGTATGAGCAGGAAAGCGCTTTTGAAGGTCCAGTTTTCACACACTCAGATGTCAAGCCTGGTTTGGTGACGAAGGCTAAACTCATATCTGTTGATACATTTGGTGCCATTGTGCAATTTCCGGGTGGTCTGAAAGCAATGTGCCCACTTCGGCATATGTCTGAGTTTGAAGTTACGAAGCCCAGGAAAAAGTTCAAGGTAGTTCTCTTACATTAACCGTACATTAATTGGTTTGTAATGTTGCTGAGGCATGCAAAAGTATTGAATGATATTTCTTTCAGGTTGGAGCTGAATTAATATTCCGTGTGCTTGGCTGCAAATCAAAGAGAATAACTGTTACCTACAAAAAAACACTTGTAAGTTTTCTTATGATAGTGGATCTGACTTTGCTTGATTGTTTGCATATTCCTTGATGTTTCTAGATACTGATTTCGTTTTGTTTGCTTAGAGGATGCTTATAACTGTTGAAATAATTTCACTCTTATAAAAATAGGTGGTTAAATGCATCTCGTTTCTATTATCATTCCTTCTTTTATTTCCATCTGCCGATTGTATTTTTTAATTGTCACACTTATGTCCATTTCGGTTTGAAATGGAAACTACATTTCTTGTTTATGTAGTCTTTCCACTGAGCTACGGACGAAAATATTTGTAGGTATTTTTGTCTCAAACTTGCATCTTATTTGGAGGTTAGGAGTGGAGAAGTCCTAGTTGCATGTACTTGCAGTCATCTACAAGTTGTGATTTAATATCTTCGTACATGACCTATGTGTTAAAAATAACATCTCTGGTTGTTACCGATTCATGTCTGTTCTCATGCAGTAAAAATAATATTGATATCTTTATTCTCTGCAGGTGAAATCTAAACTTCCGATTCTGAGTTCTTATGCTGATGCAACTGAAGGACTAGTGACGCATGGCTGGATAACAAAGATTGAAAAGCATGGATGCTTTGTTCGCTTTTATAATGGGGTGCAAGGATTTGTTCCCAGGTCATTGCTGCACCCGTTGTTATATTTCATATGCCATTGCCTTTCTGTTATGGTTTCTTTTTTTACTGATATAGAACATGAATTTTTTTTACCCATCATTAAGGTTTTGGGTAAGTTTTTCTAGCTTGATGATCTTTAGCTAATATGGTATAGTTACTTTGATTAAGCAGATTTGAACTTGGTGTAGAGCCTGGAAGTGATCCCAATTCCGTGTTTCATGTCGGGGAGGTTGTCAAATGTAGAGTAACCAGTGCGGTTCATGGTACTCGAAAGATCAACCTCAGTTTTATGATAAAGCCAACAAGGTTTTCCCCTTTTAATCTGATATCTGATAATCGTCTTGCCATTAAGGCCTTAATATCATTAAATGCTGATTGTGTACATCGTTTCTGACAGTGTTTCTGAAGACGATTCAATCAAGTTAGGTAGTGTTGTATCAGGGGTAATTGATAGTATAACCCCTCAGGCAGTCATTGTCCGTGTTAAGTCCAAAGGTTTTCTGAAGGGTACACTTTCTGCTGAACATTTAGCTGATCATCATGGTATGGGTTTTCTAACAAATGAGCGTACATCTTGATTTTTTCTTTTATTCATTTGTTTAATTATTTCTGAGTTTTCTCTTTGTGATGTAGAGCAAGCAAAATTATTGATATCACTTTTAAGACCTGGATATGAGCTTGATAAGCTGCTGGTAATAGGTGTGTTTTTGATCACCCTTACTAACTTCCTGAACTTGTTTTTTCTTTGCGTATACCCTTACTAAAGGAGGTAGATTGTATAAAGTTTCGAATTCTTTTTTTTTTTTTAATTCTTTGGGTACTGATGGATCTTTGAGAGAGAAACGTTTTTAAATCTGCTTCATCACTCTGATTGTGTACCTTTTAAAACGAGAAAAATGATCCATCTAGCCAGGGAAGCAGAGATGATGTTGCAGTTTTAACTATTTTAGTGGTTGAAAATACTTAATACATTGAGTAATTTTTGTCTATCTTAGACATTGAAGGCAACAACTTGGCTCTCTCTTCAAAATATTCTCTCATTAAGTTAGCTGAAGAGCTTCCTTCGGATTTTAGTCAGCTCCAGCCAAACTCAGTGGTTCATGTGAGTGGTTGCGTCTTTGAAATATAACAGTAGATTTTTTTTTTTTTTGGTTAACTCACAATCATTTTATGAATTTGTACACAGGGTTATGTATGTAACTTGATTGAAAATGGCTGCTTTGTCCGTTTTCTGGGTCGGTTGACTGGTTTCGCCCCCAGAAGCAAGGTGGATTGTTTTTACTATGCCTTTTCTTTATTAAATTTTTGTTGGCATAATACTGTTTTTCTTGAAAGTTTTTCATTTTATTTTTAAGGCAATTGACGAACCCAGGGCAGATCTGTCAGAATCCTTCTTTGTTGGACAATCGGTTCGGGCTAATATAGTTGATGTAAGTGACGCTGGAATCAGGGCCTTGTATTAATTTTGTTGAAGATATTATGAGGCGATCATTTGCAATATTTTTTTTGGTAGGTCAATCCAGAAAAAAGCAGGGTAACTCTTTCATTGAAACAGTCATCTTGTGCTTCTGTAGATGCTTCTTTCGTCCAAGAGTACTTCCTTATGGATGAGAAGGTAATGTTCTTGGGACGTACCTTTTCTTTTTATTGGGCTGAAGGACTATGCAATTTGTTGTGTATTGCACTTCTATCGAGCTTGAGTCAGTGATTGATTTATTTCAAATGTTTTGAAGGAGGGATTTCTAACTTTATTGTTACATTTGTTCAGATCTCGGACCTGCAATCATCTGATATTAGTGAAAGTGAGTGTAGTTGGGTTGAGAAATTCTCTATTGGGAGTTTGATCAAGGGAACAATACAGGAGCAAAATGACCTGGGCTTGGTGGTGAATTTTGACAATATTACTAACGTCCTTGGTTTTATACCTCAGCATCATTGTAAGTCATTCTGGAGAATCGAAGTCTAGGTTCAGTTTCGTTGTGGATTGAATTACATTAATACATATTTACCTAGCCTCTGTCTGATACATTGTGTTTAAATTTTCTGTAGTGGGTGGAGCTACATTGGAACACGGTTCTATTGTCCAGGCACTTGTTCTTGATATTTCTAGGGCAGAGAGACTAGTTGATTTGTCTTTGAGGCCTGAGCTCATAAACAACTCAACCAGAGAAGTGTCCAACAGTCAGTCAAAAAAGGTTCCTCTAAGAAGATATATTCTGAACAGAGTTTGTTTTATTAGTGTTTTCTTGCATGCTCATCGTTATTAGCTTGAGTTAACTACCGTGGATGGTGATGCTCATCTTAGCTTGCTTATGACAAATTGTATTTTGGTTTTGCTTCAGAAACGTAAAAGAGACATCTCCAAGGAACTTGAAGTCCATCAGAGGGTCAGTGCTGTTGTAGAGATTGTGAAGGAGCAATACTTGGTAAGTGCTTTATTGCAGTAAGTTAATGATTATTTATTGCATTAAGTTAATGATTATTGCAAGTTACTCAAAGTTGCCCCTCTTTATTATCCAGGTTTTGTCGATTCCAGAACATGGTTACGCAATAGGATACGCGTCAGTATCAGACTATAACACACAGAAGCTACCAGTGAAACAATTTTCCACTGGACAAAGGTGATTGTATTCATCCATTTTAACTTATCATTTACTTGTTAATTTTGCTCCCCTCTTTCACAGATTCTAATTTCCCATCCTTTCTGTGGCCCTGCCTGGCTAAACTAATTGAAAATGTGAATTTGTTTTTACTTCTATTGGCAGTTGATATTCTATTTTCTCATTATACCTATAATTAGCAATGTTTGTAGTTGTCCTTACTGATTACTAGACGTAGCTAAGCTTTTCTTACTGATGTAGTTATAAGATCGTAGCTAATTTTTTTTATAAAAATTTCTCCGGGCAGTGTCGTTGCTACTGTTGAGGCTCTGCAAAACCCTTTGACGTCTGGGAGGTTGCTTTTACTTCTTGATTCTGTTTCCGGGATTTCTGAGACATCCCGTTCTAAGAGGGCAAAGAAGAAATCCAGTTGTGAAGTTGGTTCTGTTGTCCACGCCGAGGTTACTAACGCCCTACTTTCTTATGTCCTTTTATTTTTTACTCAATAAGCTCGTCCTATTTCAGTGATCTTGAGGTGCAGTAGAAATGGCTTCACTGTTTGAACTTGAGCAGAATGTAGATATCATCTTAGAATGATTACCTGTCGAATTACTTCAAAACTACATAACTACCTTTACATAGGCAAGATATTTAAAGGGAAAAACTAAACAAACTGAAAATTAAAGGGGAATAATCCTGAGCTTGGAATGGAACAAAGAAATAATAAGAATAAAAGATGTAGGTTGGCAACAAGACTTCTCAAGTAGCCAACTTCTACAGTAGATGGGTTCTTAGCTGTGTTTATTCCACCATAACTTCTACTGCCTCACATTAACATCTTTTACTTTTTCAGATTACGGAAATAAAGCCATTTGAGGTAAGAGTAAACTTTGCCCAAAGTTTCCGAGGAAGAATCCACATAACGGAGGTGATTTTTCTTGTCTTGTCATCATCATTTTGGATATCAATATTCTTTCTCCAGTTGATGGTGGACGGATATTTGCTTATACGACTCAAATCTTGGCTGTATAGGTAAATGACGCAACTATAAGTGAAGAACCGTTTGCCAAATTTAGAATCGGGCAATCAATTTCTGCAAGGGTTGTTGCAAAGCCTTGTCATACTGATATTAAAAAGAGTCAACTTTGGGAGCTTTCTGTAAAGCCTGCAACGCTTAGAGGTAATCTACCAGAATTTAAATTTTCACCAACCATTTGACTCACATGTGGAATTTATATTGCAGAACAATCACATGCTCTTATGGTTAAAATATTTTTTTTTCGTTAGTCTAAATCTTCCAGGAAATTCTAAGACTGCTATTTGAATAGTGTAATTGTTTTGATCCATCTTTTTCAAATGTTCTTAGATGCCCATCTCTAGCTGTTATGTTTGAAAATTTTTTTCATTCTATCAATATTAATAGACTAAGTAAGATCAATAATGATGAAATCCGTATTTCTTTGTGTATTTGTATTAGACGTATGCTTCTGTGTATCTTAGATATGAATTTTTTTGTCAAACAAGGTTATAACATTGTCTCCATATCTTTTTTATGTTGCAATTTCAAGTAGACTCCAGTGAGCTGAATGACATACAAGTGAGAGAACAACTTGAGTTTGTTGCTGGAGAACGTGTCAGCGGATATGTCTACAAAGTGGATAAGGAATGGGTTTGGTTGGCAATATCTCGCAATGTGACGGCACGCATATTCATTTTAGACACTGCATGCGAAGCTCGTGAACTTGAGGAATTTGAGAGGCGTTTTCCCATTGGTAAAGTTGTTTCAGGCTATGTTTTGACGTACAATAAAGAGAAGAAAACATTACGGTTGGTTCAGCGTCCACTACTTGATACCCACAAAAGTATTGCCAATGGTGGAGGCAGTAAAACGGATGAACTAGACAGTACCATTCCTGGTGATGATGCTACTTTATTTATTCACGAAGGAGACATTCTGGGTGGAAGAATTTCTAGGATACTTCCTTGTGTTGGTGGACTTCGTGTGCAAATAGGTCCTTACGTGTTTGGGAGAGTTCATTTTACTGAACTCAATGATTCATGGGTCTGCAATCCATTAGATGGTTTGCATGAAGGACAATTTGTCAAATGCAAGGTCTTAGAAATCAGCAATTCTAGTAAAGGGACTTTGCAAATTGAACTGTCATTACGGGCATCACTAGATGGCATGGGTTCTAACCATCTCGCCGAAGCTTCCAGTAATAAGTAAGTTTTTCTTTTATAACCTGCAGTACTGTATGTGCATTCAATATGAATTTAAGCTTCTTAGAGTTAGAATCCTCATCATCAGCCTTTCAATTTGTGGGTGTTTCCTTATTAACCTGATAATAATTTGCAGTGTCAATGTTTGCAAACGTATTGAAAGGATTGAAGATCTTTCTCCTGATATGGGCATCCAGGTACTTTTGCCTTAATAACCTTGATCCAGCAACCCTATGGTTTCCTTCTGGTAGAACTTCTGTTAAATCAAACTTTTACAGGGGTATGTCAAGAATACGATGTCAAAAGGTTGTTTTATTATGCTTTCAAGGACACTCGACGCAAAGGTTCTATTGTCAAATTTAAGTGATACTTTTGTCAAGGATCCCGAGAAGGAATTTCCAGTAGGAAAACTTGTAACTGGCAGGTAACGCAGATTTTCCTGTTAAATAGATATTGTATGTACGCTATATCCTGCTCTAACAAATTTAAATTTAGGGTGTTAAATGTGGAGCCGTTATCCAAGCGGGTAGAAGTCACTTTAAAGACAGTGAACGGTGGTGGGCAGCAAAAATCCGAATCTTATGATTTGAAGAAATTCCAAGTTGGAGACATTATTTCTGGGAGAATCAAACGTGTGGAGCCGTATGGCTTATTCATTGAAATAGATCAAACTGGCATGGTAAAGATCTAGTTTTGTTTTACCTTGAAATTGGTTAATATGTCCAAACAGTATGCTACTTGCCAAATCATCCTTAGGGAGTAACGAGACTATCTGCCTTCTGTTTTGTGGTAGGTTGGACTATGTCATAAATCACAGCTTTCCGATGATCGAATCGAGGATGTACAAGCCAGATATAAGGCTGGGGAAAGCGTCACCGCAAAGATTTTGAAGGTATGTGGGTCTTTTGTCAGGAAGTTAACTTTTTTATGATTTACATTATCATGTTTTAAGATTCCATTGATCTATGTTTCTATGGAATCTAAAAATGTTGTTTGTTGTCATTTTGGTGGTTGCCTTAGCTGGATGAGGAAAAGCGACGTATATCGCTCGGGATGAAGAGTTCTTATCTTATGAACGGCGATGATGTCGAGGCACAGCCACCTTCTGAAGAAAACGCTAACGAAGGCAGCATGGAATGTGATCCAATCAATGATTCGAAGTCGAGAGTTCTTGCAGCAGTTGGTGATTTTGGTTTCCAGGAAACAACCGGTGAAAGACATAATGGAACTTCTCTGGTTCTTGCCCAAGTAGAATCAAGGGCTTCTATCCCTCCGCTTGAGGTTGACCTTGACGACATTGAGGAGTCGGACTTTGACAACAATCAGAATCAGGAGAAGTTGCAGGGAGCCAATAAAGATGAAAAGAGCAAGAGGAGAGAAAAGCAAAAAGACAAAGAGGAAAGGTTGGCTATATTTTTAGTTCCTGATTTGAAAGCTATGGTGTTATATGTTTGGTTTCAACCTGTGCTGAAAGATCTACTTATGTAGGGAGAAACAAATTCAAGCGGCCGAAGGAAGATTACTGGAGAATCATGCTCCTGAGAGTGCTGATGAGTTTGAGAAGTTGGTTAGAAGCTCTCCAAATAGCAGCTTTGTGTGGATAAAATATATGGCGTTCGTGCTCAGTCTGGCTGATATTGAGAAAGCCAGGTCCATTGCTGAGAGGTAATTTTCCCTAACTTCTCTGTATTGGTAAAGCGATTATGTCTTATTCTGATCATATTGTTTAACCTGTCTTATCCTAAATCTCTACTGAAGGGCCTTGAGGACTATAAATATTCGTGAAGAAGAAGAGAAGCTAAACATATGGGTTGCTTACTTCAATTTGGAAAATGAACATGGAAGTCCTCCAGAGGTAGATAGACGACTCCGGCAAAACCAATTATTAGACGTTACCAATAATAGGCGTTATATTTTCTTATCTAACTTTCCTGTTTTGTTTCTCATACCCAGGAAGCTGTTAAGAAAGTGTTTGAAAGAGCCCGTCAATACTGTGACCCGAAGAAAGTTTACCTTGCCCTCTTGGGCGTGTACGAGAGAACTGAGCAATATAAATTAGCTGATAAGCTGCTTGATGAGATGATCAAGAAGTTTAAGCAATCTTGCAAGGTACATGATGTTTGATCTTTATATTCTCAATGCGGGGGTTGCTCTTCACTCTTTCAACAGTTATTTATCTGATGTCTGCTTTCTAGGTTTGGTTAAGGAAAGTACAAAGTTATCTAAAGCAAAAGGAGGAAGGCATTCAGTCCGTTGTGAATCGTGCCTTGCTATGTCTTCCGCGCCATAAGCACATTAAATTCATATCACAAACCGCTATCCTTGAGTTCAAATGCGGAGTTGCGGATAGAGGGAGGTCACTGTTTGAAGGCGTTCTTAGGGAATACCCGAAAAGAACAGACTTGTGGAGTGTTTACCTTGACCAAGTTCGTTATATTCCGCTTCTTCAAAACTTCTGTTTCATTGCCATCTTTGCAGCATTTTTAACGTAAATTTTGTTTTTGGTATACAGGAGATCCGTTTGGGAGAAGTTGATGTGATTAGATCTTTATTCGAGAGAGCCATTAGCTTGAGCTTGCCTCCTAAGAAGATGAAGGTGCGCCCGTAGCCTTATTACTTGATAGAATCTCCTCTATAGAGTTTAATTGATTGCGATGGATTCTTTAACCATATTGTGCTTTGTATCCTCAGTTCTTATTCAAGAAGTTCTTGGAATATGAGAAATGTGCTGGTGACGAGGAGAGAGTCGAGTATGTGAAGCAGAGAGCGATGGAATATGCAGACAGTACCTTGGCCTGAGATTTTGTTGTAACGAAGCACCGTTTTTGTAATTTTGAGATTTTGATGGTTTCTCTCCAATGTATCATTGTATTTTTACTCCCAAAAAAAAAAAATATTCACGTATACCCATTCTATTTCTATTTTATTTTAAAAACTTTTTATTTGTTAAAAATGTAATTTAATCTCATTTATTTAATTCTTTGCAAAAAAATTATGAAACATTTTTAAATAAAAAATTACACTACATCATATAAAAATAATAAAACATAGTAGAACATGATACTCGGATTTGGTTTATAACATCTATTTCATATTTAAAACCATTGTATGTTTCAGTTAAATACACCTTGTAAGCTCTTAACAAGACTTTGGGAGTGAGATCAAGCGTGAACGAGATATTCGGATTTAATCATGGCAACTGGTAGGGGATGAATGATGATACTTGTCAATGAAATTTCTCTTCTTACAACAAGTAAACTAATAATTCTCTTGACATCAGTCATGCTCGATGAGGTCTAGCCAAACAAAAGCAAAGATTGAGGATATGGTAAATACAAATCTCTAATTTTTACTTCTGTAGCAGAACCTACATGGACATGTCCTGATCGGAATCTTGAGGTAGCGAGATGGCTACATTTTCGTTTTGGAATAACAATCATGATCAATGCAAGTCTCATAACCATTTCTCTGCTATGCTCAAAGATGATTCGAATGAAAGAGATTGTAAAACAAATCTGACATGTTTGTTCATATGTGAGAGGGGTGTATAGAACTTTGAAAAATAACTACAGACTACATATTTTTCAAGAGGATATGTCCAAATATGTGGATCAATATAAATTAAATTAAATAATCACAAATTCAAAAAAAAATTTGAGTAAAGGCCTCAAAAACTATTTAAAAAAAAAAATTATACTAGTAAAAAAGGCCCAAATTTTTGTTGTTGCATAAGGCTTAATAAAATGCAGAGACGGGCTAGTGCAAAGCGTAATGGACACGCTCGAGCAACTGTACAACTTGGTGTAGCATGAGAGGAGGAGAAGAGCGTTGTTTTAAACTTGCTTTTGATGTGCTTGGTAATGGCTGAGGTGTCGCTAAAACTGACTCTTGCTGTCTATTTGTAAGCTCCAAGAACTGAGCAAGCATGTCACCGTCCAATATCTTTGTTGCTTGGGACTGCAACATGTGAAAACTTATGTTTCATACTACCAATGGATAAGAGGTATCTTATTTTAGTAAGCCCTTTATATGTGTCCACATTGTATAAACACTTAATGACCCACCCAATGCAGACATCGAAAGTGGTTTTTTTTTTTTTTTTGGTTCACTTACCGGATTCTCTCGACCTCGGAACTCTTCATGATCATTACCAAGAACAGGAGCAGTCAGCGGATGGACCACGAGCTTTTCTTGAACAGCTTCTAGGAGCTCATATTCCTCCCTACAGAAATTTGTGAACTTGGAAAATAAGAAAAAACAGAATTTCTGGTGCTACTTAAGGGTAACTAAGTATAACACAAGACCAAAACGCCTATATTTTGTGGAAAAGGTCACACCAATATAATTTGCAAAACACTACAGGATTCCATGTAGCAACGAAATATCATAAACTAGCTATGTCTTCATACCTTGAAATAGGGGCAAAGACATATATACTTCCCATTAGCGTGCCTGCTATAATAGTGTCATCAGCCGCGTCAATACTTTTACATGGACCATAACTTCGCAGTACATCATCAGCTGGAAGTTTATAAATGTTGCAACCCTGTTAAGAAGATAAGGACAAGCAAATAATTAATTGAAACAATGTCCAACAAAAAATTGACAGAAACTGTATAGTGGCTAGGTACACTATTGCCATTCCAATTATAGTTCTCAATGACAATTCCTAGAACAAAAATTTTACTTTCACTACGTTCAAGGTAACTAAGTTAAGCTCAATTCCTTGTACAGTAAAATGATCATTGCAAGTGTAGGTTTTACCTTTTTAATAGCCATGGCAATCTCACCCATGTAATAGGCACAGTTCAGATTCAGGTTGGACTCCGGACTTGAATATTCTGGATCATCACGAGGCATTTTCAGTTAGCAATATTTTCTGAATCATACAAATTAGCCTCTATTAAGAGTATTTTCAAATCCTAGGGTTTGTTCCATGGCACCTATTAAGAGTATATAAATGTGCTTATAGTCCCACTATCAGACGGTCCATATATCAGGAAGCTTCTATTTGCTTCATGAACATGACACATCTAACCAGTCTCCATATAAGCACATTTATAGTTCGAAAGAAGCTTTAAAGAAACCTATTGCAAAGTTGGACAGTACAATTTCCCTGCAGATTGCTATAAGCTTTGACATCTAAACTAAGCCACATGTTCTGCAAAATCTTAGAGATGATAGAACACTCCTCCAACTGTGGTACGCCACTTAGCTGTTACAGGATGTAATACTTGGACTTGGACAGGCCATATCATTCACACTAACAAAATATATGCATCTATCATATTTCATCTACAAGTTGACAGTTCTCATTTGGATATTGATTCCATGTCCCATTGTCAGTTAAAATCACACTTTTTTAACTGAGGATTCGATAAAATCTAACGAGAAATATCTGAGCTAACGAGAAAAGGCGAAGTGTTTCGTACCAAAGTCTGAATGATCTTTGCAAGACAGGATAGCTACACTCCCCTTGCGATCCGATACAGCAACAGAATTGGCATCCATTAGAAAGCAATCAGCAACTAACCTCTGTGCTGGATCACAATATATTTGGTGAAGTTTCTTCACGTCCTTCAATAACATTAAAAAAAAAAAAGAATCCAAAACATTGAGACCCAAAATTTAAATAGGCAAAGAAAGTTGAGGACATATATAACAAAGGGACAACAGAGCAAACCTCATGATATGAGTAAAATAGAACACCATCACGGCAATCCCCAACAACAATTCGAGTGAAGTATGTGCGTAGAGATGTTATCATGAAACGAGTCCTTCCCACCGCAAACCTCTTCATTCTCTCAGGACTGTCGTTCGGAAAACCACATACATAGAACTATTGCAGACCAGCATGTTTTGTTAGCAGATTAACATGCTAAACGATTGGCAACACAAGTATAGATAATTAAAAGTGAGGCTTACAGCATTGCCAGCAGACGCTAGGAAGTAATTATCAAGGTATGGACAGATCGCAAGTACCATTCCTGGCCAAGTAGTTGCAGAGGCCAATCTTAACTGCCATGTTTCAGCTTCATCAAGTTTGATTCCATCGTAGCTGTTATCATCTGGACTGCTACAGAGACTACTGCTTGATAGTTGTTCTGTTGTGAATCCCGCAACATCACGAAAAGGTGATGTACGTTGGGAAGATGAACCAGCCTTTGAACAAATTGTAATTGAGCCACTATCCGAGTTTTGAATGTGTTCTAAGTAGAGAATGATTAATCGTCCTTTTGTACTGTAAAACAGGCATTCAAAGGTGTACACACAATCAGCACAAAGTTCGTCTTACTTCAGTCACCAATTTCACTCCATGGTCAAAATAAAAAGTGGCAAAGAGCCAGATTTCAAACCTTTCAGCTTCACCACTGGGTAGTATAGCAGGACCAGAAGACAAACTCGTCCCCACCACAAGGACCTGCTCATTTCCCACACGTAGAAGCTCCATTGACTTTCCAGTTTCTCCAGGTTTGAGCTTGTAGGATGACAACAAGGACCCACTGAGCGGGTCCACACAGCATATATCAGATGTACATGCATCATACAAATCAGTTCTCATCACAATCAATAGTTTGCTTTCACTATGATAGAGAACCTTTCGCGGAGTGCCTCCAAGGTGAAACTTTTGCGCATTAAGCCGTTTGCTGTGCACCATCTCCACCTACAAAAGAAGCATATACATCAGGCGAACATAGAAGGACCAAAATAATACCTCCAACGCAGTCCCAAAACTGTCTATCGTGTGTAAGACTACTGAACTATCAATGCAAACAATTCATAAATGCAGTTCTTATTGGTTGATAACTATTTTTCAAGTAAACCATATCAAAACAAGTAACATTGATCGATGGAATTTGCATATATTTGTCCAACGCACGGCACAATGGTCAGTGAAAATCTGGCATTAAAATTTGTAAAATAGAACATATATATTTACCAGATGTAAACAGTTCTCTGCAACAAAAAGAATTCCTTGAGGGCATTCAGAGGAGCATACAGGCGTTGCATGAGTAGATGGTTGGAATGAGATGGAAGTATAAGAAAGGCTTTGTCGAGCTGTTTGTAACAACCATGGCCTGTCACTAAGAGCTATGATGTCTGAATCCAGTGAATCACTGAACGGAACCAGAAAAACAGGTGTGATGCCGATGCGTCGAGTGGCAATTAACAGAAGGTCAATGGGTAAATTGTCTCTTTCACCCACAGCAATGTCCATTTCTTCTTTACAGTGACTTAAATAGTCTGGGCAATTCAACCCGGATGAATGTGAAAAGGGAGGCCACTCAAAGCGGAGCAACATTCCATTTCTCAACCCAGAAAGGACATAAAGTTGATCAACTAACACGAGTCTTACATCTTGAGGAATACATCCACTAATAGCAGTTCCCATCGTGTTGGTTAGTGATACCAACCCAGAAGCAAGGACTCTAACACCAGCACCATCTTCTGAAAAGGAGAGAACCTCAACAGAAGGCTTATGTGTTCCAATCAAAAATGTATAGCCTCGCTCCATACCAGAAGGAATCGCAGCTTTGCAACTATTATCTAGGGCAGAAGCACGGGATCTCTTTTTCCCAATATATCTTTGAGGAATTGAGATGCAGGAAACTTCATACTGCAATGTTACGCGATGTATTTCATAGATCTCACAGCTTTGAGATGTTAGAAATTTGACCCCAAGAATTGACAGGAAATAAGGGTTAGACGTAGAGACAACTATCAGATTTTTACCAACTGCCCCCAAGCTGATACTGACATTTTGTGGAAACCAAGAGGAGAAAAATGGTGAAGAAACAGGAATACCATCAGAATGAGCATCCATGGTGGGCATGCACAGCCTTATAGCATCTCGGTGAATCTGAACCAACAACCCATCGGCAACAAGCCCACATGCCAAGGTGCAAACATCAGGCTGGAAACCAACTGAATCAGTGACATCTTTAAAACTTAATCCAACTGATAAAACCCTGGTCTCCTCAACAAATGACAGAACAAGAAATGAATGGTACACATCAGTAAGCTTCATTTTAACAGTCCAAGTACCAGTTATTCCTTGATAAACAGGTGCGGTTTTCAGAAGTTTTTCGACATTAATGCCATTACGAATAATTCTTAAAGAGCCTTCAGGCGTTACACCACAGCAAGCAAACATCTGGTCTTGTTTCTCATTCTGGACATCCACAACCGAAAAATCCAAGATCGGAGCAATATTCTGTATAGAACTCATCCAATGTAGCTTCTCAGTTCCCAATCTGAATACCGTTCCATCCGCCATTTCAGCGAACGTAGCCAGGAATCCACCTTCAACCCATAAAATTTCCTTGCATGGTGAACCTTTGTATAAACACTCTGATAGATTAACTTTAACCCCATCATCTTCATATATGAGTTCAAACATGAAAAATTCACCATCATCTAAGCCAATAATCATCCGGGGATTAGGATTATTTTCCGGCTCCCAAGCCCATGAAGAGACATGCTTAGAGCTCAACTTTCCAATGTCACTTTCAGTATCTATGAACATGGGATCATAATCCCTGAGCTCTAACAAAGCACATGCAGCAACATTAAAAAGACCCTCATCGTCTCCATCTTGTACTCTACACGACTCTTCAACAAAATGCTCTTCTACTAATGAAGCAGGAACACGATCTAAGGATGTCCTAAACAAAGAGCAAGGGTTTTGAGGATCCCTGAGATCCATTAGAAGCGCATCACCAATCCTGAACAGAAAGGCGAATCCAGAGGAGTGAGGAACTTCAACAATACTATGTGCTAGAGCCCCAGCTTCAACATACTCTGATATTATACAAATGGCTTCGTCTTTGACATTCCATCTAAACAAAATTAGTTCATTCAGGAGAGACCCTTTCCTATACAATCATAAAAATACGGAAGTAAGCAACCGTGAGATCAGAGGATGACAGACACTCTTATGGAGCAAGCATAAGAACTGAAAATAAAGAATTTTCAAATTGCAAGGATTCCATACCTATTTAAAACAACGGCAAGAACAGGATCATACTCCTTGGATTCATTTATATCTTTAGAAATGAAGCACATGCTCCAAATAGTACCAGATATTGCTTGTATAGAGCTGGCATTCCCTCCGTCTTCAGGGGGATAACAAATCCTCTGGAATTAAAGAAATTAAATAATACTTTTAGCAACTCTCTCTATATCACGCATGCCACAAATAAAAGGTATCCCTCCTGCTACCGAATGTGCATATGCTCCCGAAGATGGTGACTGAAATTAGTACCTCATGAACTATATCACCCATAGACGATGTTGAGAGGGAAAACAGAGCAAAACGATCATGATACGCGCTGACAGCAAGAAAGAGACCACTGCAAAATGCGTTTCAAAGATATTAAAAAAAAATGCATGCTTCAAGATTAAGGTGTGCTTAGAAACATGAACGCTCCAATAAATTTAATTTTCTAGAGAATCCTATAGTGAGTACTTCGGCACTAGCCAAAAATATACAAAAGAAAAACAGCTAGTAACCCTTATTCTAAAAGTAATATCTAAAGTCATCAACAGAATCAATCTAGCATAAAAACTTGCCTGGAATCTACAGTGAGCATTCTTCCAAGTTGAATCCTTGAGTTTCCTGGACTAGAAAGTTGAACATGTTGTATGGGCGAGAACCTAAACCAAAACGGCAGTAAAATCAGCAAGATGACATTATGTTTTCGGGATAAATAAGAGTACACGAGGAAGAAACCTGTGCATTTCATTGCTAAATGAGAGAAATGAGAGCTTCCCAGAATCAGAAAGAACAGCCAAAAGGTCTTTTCCCATCTGCAAAAGATACCAGATGGTTGACGTATAAATCACGGAGATCTGCCTTACTAATACTAACAAAACAAAAGCTAGGTTGTTACCCATTTGGAAAACCTTTGCACGAGTAAAATTCCTGATCACTAACATAAACTATTCCGTGTCTAAATAGAAAATGTTTACCTGCAGACTATTTGAATATAGTTTGTTACTCTGAGGTATGACAGCCAAGTCCTTAATTGTTCCGAATACATTCTGTTCACATACCGATTCTACGATCCCGTCCTCGCCAATAACCACCAATTCTATGCAGGTCTCCTGGTGTAAGAAAAAATATAAATTTTAGTTACTGATTAAGCAACCAGATAATATAGCATAATACCTGGCACACACATATTGAGCCAGACGAATCCAGCAACACACATAAACTAATCCTGGAGCCATGATGCCTAAGTCTTTAACTCATATGGTCTAACGAGTAACTGAATGAGAAAACTCTTCACAAGTAACTAAATCAAAACAAACTTTTTCAGGATCTAGGGTCCTGCTAGGCAGATGCACCCATATTAAAAATAAAATTTTACAAATTCAGAAGGAAAATTCTGAAAAGTTCCTGAATATAAAGGTCTGAATGGATTTAACAAGACTCCTGCAAACTAAACTATAGATTCAATTAAAACAGAAATCAGCAGTACCAGGTTGTAACCACAAGAAAGCATACAACTTTTGCTCTTTTCTACAATTCCCTTAACAGAAAACGAGCGAGAAATTGAAAAAAAAAAAAAAAAAAAAGTAGAGACCCTGGAGTGGGCATATCAGCTTGATTTCCAAATTCCGAATTCATAAAAAAAATGTCCACAATTGTCCTAAAAGAGAGAGACTTTAAGGGAGACAATTGTCCAGAAAATAAAAACAGAAACCAAATCCGAAGAGTAGAGATTACATAGGAAGAAGGAGAAAAGTCGGACCTTGCCGAAAACTATGTCGCGGGAGGAACGAGAGCGGAAGTAGCCATAAGCAACCTGGAGAACGACGCTGGGGCGGAGGACGCACTTAGCGAGGTAATGATCCCCAGCGGAGGAAGACGGAGGAGGAGTGGGAGCCGCCGTGGCAGAGGAAGATTGAGACTGAGCGGAAGATTCATCCTCCGGAGCCGCCATCAGAAAACCACACGAAGGAAACGGCAAGGATCGGTGCTTTTTGCTTATTTCTGTATCCGAAATTTTAAAGGGGAAAAAAACTTTGCAGTGACACTGTTCCTTCCATATTAAAAAAAATCAGTTTTATCGGTTTATCCAGATATAAATCAACCTCCTTTAAATTGTCATTAACATGTACCCCTACTTTAGTAATTTTCAGCTTTGGTAATTGGGATTTACATGTTGGTAAATCTCTCTGGGTGTATGAGTTTGTATATTATAATAAACTAACAAGGAATGATGTTAGCATTTGAAGCATTTGAAGCAGTTGATGAAGCATTGGAAAATAATCAATTAATCATTATATTATGTACTATGAATCCATGCTCCTGGTTTTCTCTTAGGCATGCGTTCTCTCTCTAACTTCTCAGTGAAGGGAGAGGCTTTTCAAAATTAGGGTTTAGGCATTTACTGGGTCTTGCAGAATCGGTCCCTGTTTATCCATAGTCGTAAGATTCAGAACAAATTTCCTTTTAGATTTTTTCCTTTCTTTTTTGTTTTTTCCTTTTTGTTTTCTTTTTTCGATTCCCTAGTTGGAGTAGGAGGATACGTACTTGGTGTATAAATAAAGCAGATTATGTGCTCAATTCAAGTCTCAATTCAATATCTCAATCCATCTTTCAATTGAGATATAGAGAGAGAGACAAACAAAATGGAGTTGGTACCGCACGATGTGATAGAGTATCATATTCTGGAGAGGCTTGATGTGAAGACACTGGTCAAGTTCAAGTCTGTATCGAAGCAATGGAACTGTACTATTCAATCTCCTAGTTTTCAGAATAGACAGCATCGTAGGCTGAGATTACGAGGAGGAGATCCAGATGTCCTTTTGGTGTCCGTACTTGATAGCTCTGTTGGTAATTCAGACATTGAAGCTCTGAGAACGTTGGTGCTTGGGTCTTCATCAGCTTCTGTTCAGATCCTTACTCCTTGGGAAGAGAACACGCTTTACCTCGTTTGCAATACTAGCTGTGATGGTCTGATATGGCTCTACGATTTCTACAGACTGCCAAGTATTGTGGTCAATCCCACCACTCGATGGCATCGAACTTTTCCTCTTTGTAACTATCAACTAGTCGCTGCCGACAAAGCCGAGAGAGACGAGACTTTTGAATTCGAATATGCTTCTCCTGGATTCGGTAAAGACAAAATCAGTGGCACTTACAAGCAAGTTTTGGTTATATAACTCAGCAGAGTTTGGCCTTAACGACAAGGATACTAGTTGTGAAGTTTTTGACTTTGCAACCAACGCTTGGAGGTATGTTGTCCCTGCGTCTCCTCATCTAATCTCTCACATGCAATCTCCTGTGTATTTAGATGGGTCACTTCATTGGTTCAGTGCCTCCTCTCACGAAGGTGAAACCATGGTTTTGTCTTTCGATCTTCACACGTTTCTAAAGCTCCTTTTCTCCACGCCAATGAACTAAAGATCGTCATGTGCATCCTGGATGATTGTTTGTGCGTATCCGAAGAAAAAGGTTTCAACCAAGTCATATGGTCGTTCCACCACAAGACATGGAATCAGATTTATTCCATCGATATCTCTATAACTTCTTCTATGTGTGGGGTTCACATACTGGCCCTCCTACCACTAGCGGTTTTGGACAAGAACAAGAACAACAAGTTATTGTTTTATGCTCGTGAAGATTCGCGTGCATTGGTAACACATGATCCAAAAACCAAATCTTATGGTTTTGCTTACCAATCTAATCTCTCTGCATACGGTCTGTTATTTCCCGAGTTTAATATTTATTTTGTAAATAAAAATATATAATATTGCCCCAACATTCTTCTCTTGTTCTTATTCTGGTAACGGTTTTTATTGGTAAGGCAACACTCAGCAAACTTGAGGTCTCAATTTCCAATAAACTGACGAGAGTAGCAATGTACCAGACCAGAAAAATAATCATACTCAAGAACATTAAAGTTAAAGAAACCATCTTGATCGTGAGATAAAAGACAAAGCTAAGACAAAGCTAGTCATTATAAGATCGTTTGTCATCATCTAACATCGAAAAATCCCAAATAAAAATTGTAAATGAAAAGGTAAATGGTCCACACAAATTCTGCAGATCATTCAACTAGTAATTACATTGAAAGACAATTTTGTTGGATCTAGATTTTATCCTTCGATTTGTGCTTTTCCCAGATTAAAGGGCAATTTTTAAGTAACTCTCAAATGAGTACTTTTGGACAGTACTACAAATTACAAAAAATGTTGTAAGAAAGACAGAAACCAGTAAAATTAATATATAAATAAAAACAGGGAGAGAGTTTAATTAGAAGAGGCGACCAAGTTGTAAGGTAAATGAAAAAGAGACCCGATTATTGCGCCAAAACCAGAGGTGTGTCTCCCCTTCTCCTCTTTCTTCTTCATTTTCCGTTCCTTTCCTCTTCCTTTTGTTCTTCATCTTGATCTCGCCGTCAGATTTCCTTACACAGCTCCTCCTTCGATTTATACCCCTGTCTCAATTCTAGGGTAATTTTCGTTTTACATTCCTTTTATCATTCCACCAATTGAATTATGCCTGTAATTTTCGTTCATGCCCTGAATCTGTTATCTGTATATTGGATCGTGATGGTTCCTCTGATCGGATTGAAGAATTGTCTAGTCTGAATTCTATCGGTCTTTTGTTTTGTGAAAGACCAAACATTGTAAAGGCTTTGCCTTTTTTTTTTTTTTTTTGTGTGTGGTAAATCTGAATCAAGCGACGCTTGTTCTTCAAATTGTTTTTAATCTCTGCAGATAATGGATCCTCCTGTGTCAGAAGATCCTGAGAAAATCGAAGATCAGAAAGAAAAAGGACCTTCTTTTCACTGTGATCTTTACGATACACAAGTAGTTCACAAGATAGCTCAGGTTTTTCTCCCCGGATTAGCCACTGCTTGTGTCGACAACACCACCGGAGATATCTTCAGGAGTCCTGGTTCCGTCGCTGCCGACATCAGAAAAGAAATGATCGATTATTTGACTCGGAGAAGCGAAACCTTCGTGGCCGACCACTTTGTTCTTCAAGGCGGCTCAGAGGTCGAAGCTTCTCACGATCCTTACGACATAATATCTGACTTCATCGACGATTTCGCAACATCCAAGAGGAATCTCTTTAGCCGGGTTTCGGGTTGGTTGCTTAGCGAGAGGAGAGAAGATAACATTGATGACTTCGCGCAAGAGATGGAGATAAGCGGCTTCTGGTTAACGGATCACAGAGAAGGAATCGCACAGACTTTGCTTAAAAACGTCGACTTTAAGAACATCTCTCACTGTGAGATGAAATTCCAAACGGAAGGAGAACGAGCCGAGCACGCCTTGGTTTGTGGGTACAGAGCCATGAACTGTGAGAACGAAGGTTGCAATGCGGTTTTCTGCGCGAACCAGATGGAGAATCACGATTCGGTTTGCCCGTTCAAGATAATACCGTGTGAGCAGAACTGCTCTGAGAGTATCATGAGACGTGAGATGGATAGGCATTGTATCACCGTGTGTCCTATGAAACTTGTGAACTGTCCGTTTCGTGCCGTTGGTTGTCTCTCTGATGTACATCAATGTGAGCTCCAACAACATCATTTGGATAATGTGAGCTCTCATTTGATGTACATTCTTCGGAGTATCTACAAAGAAGCATCTCCGGATGATCTCAAACCCAGAGCTGAACAGATACAGCAGGTGAGAATATCAGCAATTACATTTTTTTCCCGTTTTCAGATACTCGGTGTAGCTCAAAGATGACTCTTTTTCTTAAATCTTTTTTGTGGTGTATGTTGAAGTTGTCTACTAGGTTATCTGAAGCCAGGAATGCAAGATCACTAACGAATGTGGTCAAGGAAATTGATGCAAAGCTGGGGCCTTTAGAAATCAAACCAAAGATTGTTGTGGAATCGGAGTCGGATAAACCTGAAAATGCAGAGAAGAAAGCTTTAGATGAAGAAGAAGCTGAGATCAAAGAAAGACCGGAGACGAGTAACTTGAAAGCCGTTTCATTAGAGCAAACCGCGAGGGAAGCTCCGGAAGATGAAGTTGTTTCAAGAGAAGCAGAGGTATTAGTAGATGAAGAAGCAGTGGTGGAAGAAGTTGTAAATAAAGTTTCAGAAGCTGAGATAGCAGAAAATGTTAATGAAGAAGGCGAACTAAAAGCTCAAAAGCTTTTAGAGATAGGCGAGTTCATCAAAGGAGAAGACAACAACTCTCCATCTGATTTGTCGGAGAGAACTGAAACCAAAGCTCCAGAAGTTGTGGTCATGGATGAAGATAGAGAAGAGGAGGAGAGTCCAGATACAAAACACTCGAAAACAAATGAAAGCAGAGGTTTAGAGATTAAAGTCAGTGACATGAGTGATAAAGAGAATAGGGAGACAAAGAAATCAACCGAAACCGAAACCGAAGCTCCATCAAGAATAGTGATTGACAAGGAGGAGGATGAAGAGGGTAGAGAGTTAGTGAACGTAAGGACTCGTGCGTCTGATGAAGCTGAAGCATTGTCAAATAGCTCCGAAGGTTTTTCTAAAGCGCAAGCTGAAACCGTACCCAATATGTCCTAACTTAACATCTTTTTGTTGAGAGAGAGAGAGCGAGAGACCAAACTTAACATGGAGTGTTTTTTTCTCTTTGAATGTTTGTTTCGTCTGTCTGAATATATGGTTCATCGAATGTGATCCAATTTTTGTATTTTGCTTAATCAACTGATTTTTTGTTGTTTTCAATACCTCATCAATTGAATATGATTTTGATTTTTTTTCTCAGTTTCTTGTAAGCCAAAAGAAAAAAAAATACACAATAAAACCCAAACGGAAAGATTGACTGGCCAGTGTGGGCACAACACAGTCAACTACACAAGTGTCCAATTAGTGGGTCAATACTTGAAATCAGAAGTTTTAGGCTTCTAAGGATATATATTAAGAATAGAGGAACCGAGTTGCAAAATACCATCTCGTATCGGTGAATACAGAAGAGACACCAAAAAAAAAAAAACAAATTTGGTCGTGCGAAAGAAAGTAGCAGAGTAAGAACGAGTTTGTGTGGCTAGTGGCATCAATGGAGCTCTCGATCTCGCAATCACCGCATGTTCGGTTCTCGTCTCATTTCTTAGCAGCTTCTCATCGTCATCAGCCTTCTGTGCATTTAGCGGGAAAGTTCTTAAGCCGTCCAAGAGATGTTGGCTTTACGAGCTTATCAACTTCTAGAATGCGGTCGAAATTCGTTTCAGCTAATTATAGAAAAATCTCGATCCGGGTATGGTTTCATTCCAGCTTTGTTTGAATTTTAGTCAAAATGGGTTTCAGTTGAACTATTTGATTCATTCCTCACTCAAGTTTTTCTTCATTTTCAAGCTTTCTAGAATCTAATTCAGTTAACTCGAGAAGCTTTTTGAGCTGCAAGACCTCCAATTTAGGATAGATATTCACTTCTTTCTTCCTGTTTGATTTGTATTCTGATATATATTGTTCTTATTTCTACAAAATCGAACTTGATTGCTAAAGGCTAGAATCTCAAGCAAAAATTGGTCAGCATTTGCTTTTTCTTGTGTAGATTTTCAGTAAAATCGTCCAAATAAAAGCTTGGTTTACTTTATCTGGTTCTTGTGTGGTAGGAACCTGGCGTTATTTATTCATTTGAAAACAAACTCTTATGTTGCTTCTCTAAGACTAAATCAGTTTTGATTTACAGCGTCTGTGTGTTTTTTATTTACTTGTTTGTTCAAATAGCACTCACAAAAGTAGATACAACGTGTCTATCAGGCATGTTCTCAGGTTGGTGCTGCTGGGTCCGATCCACTTCTGGATAGAATTGCGCATTTTAAAAATGCTTGCTGGAGATTTCTTAGGCCCCATACAATTCGGGGAACAGCTTTAGGTTCCACGTAAGTGTTTGTTTTTTCTTTTCTTTTCTTTTTGCATATTGCTTTACAGGAAAGAACTTCAGTATCCTTGGTCTCATTAAGCTTGACTCTAATTTTATGGCAGTGCGTTGGTGGCAAGAGCTTTAATAGAGAACACTCATCTCATAAAATGGAGTCTCGTACTTAAGGCACTTTCAGGTCTTCTTGCTCTTATATGTGGCAATGGTTATATTGTTGGCATCAATCAGATCTACGACATTGGGATTGACAAGTACGTAGCAACACTGGTGCAATATTCTTAAGCTAACTATGAAACTCTTCATTAATGTGCTTCTACCAAAAAATTCGGTTATCTCGGAATCTTTAAGTCTTGAGAAAAGGATGAACTTTTATTAGGTTCTGTATTGTTTACTTCCTGAAAATATCATCGGTCTGCTCAGCATCTCATGTGCGATGTGTTACTTCTTATGAGTAACACTCATATGATCATTACATCCATATCATTGTATCCTCGTACTTTTTCCTGATTTGAATTTGATTTTTCGTTTTGCAGAGTGAACAAACCGTACTTGCCAATAGCAGCAGGAGATCTCTCAGTGCAGTCTGCGTGGTTGTTGGTGATATTTTTTGCAATTGCAGGGCTGTTAGTTGTCGGATTCAACTTTGGTCCATTCATTACATGCCTATACTCTCTTGGACTTTTTCTGGGAACCATCTATTCTGTTCCACCATTTAGAATGAAAAGATTTCCAGTTGCAGCATTTCTTATTATCGCCACAGTAGGCTTCTCACTCTGTCTCCATATGTGAAATTTTCGTAGCTTGGGAACTTCAAGATGGCATTCAATAACATGTGTTGTGTATGACCGTTCCTAACCAGGTACGAGGTTTCCTTCTAAATTTTGGTGTGTACCATGCTACAAGAGCTGCTCTTGGACTTCCGTTTCAGTGGAGGTTAGTAACCAAATACACAACACTTGATAAAGGGATCGAAATAATGAGATGGACTTTGCACTCCTGTATGAATAGAGTTTCAATATATGTTACCAACTGTTCTTTGTCTTCATCTGAATACAGTGGCGTATATATATGTGACTCAATTCTCTATTCGGCATTTGCAGTGCACCTGTAGCTTTCATCACGTCTTTTGTGACACTGTTTGCGCTGGTCATTGCTATTACAAAAGATCTTCCTGATGTTGAAGGAGATCGCAAGTAAGTAATTGCACATATAACATTGCCATGGTGCATCTACATATTTTACTCAGCCATCCATTTTACTATCCCGGTTTCGTTCCAAAACGCAGTTAATATTTTGTCCTGAACTAACCAGCTCCATTTGGGTATCTTACATTTACGATTTTGTCCAAGCTTGTTCAATTAACCATACCTGGTTCCTTCCATTCCATAGCAGAGGAGATGCTATTTCTAAGCTCGAGCCTCATCAATCTTCTTTTCGACTAACTGTTTAATAGGTTCCAAATATCAACCCTAGCAACAAAGCTTGGTGTGAGGAACATTGCATTCCTCGGTTCTGGACTTCTGCTAGTGAACTATATATCTGCCATATCATTAGCTTTCTACATGCCTCAGGTGAACACATCTCTCTCCAATTTCGCGTAAACTCTTTTGGTTAATCTAAAGCATGAACACCGTTACGACATTAATGAGCTTGATAACCTGTTTCCAAAATATTTGCTGCAATACTATCACTTGCTCGGTATATGCAGCTTTGAAACACCTGCCTCTATCCTTTAACATTTTACAGGTATTCAGAGGTAGCTTGATGATTCCTGCACATATGATCTTGGCTGCATGCTTGATTTTCCAGGTAATGCATCCCGATATACTCTCGTTTAACTTCCTTAGTATGGTCAGCCTGAGATAATCCTCAAAAAACTTTATAAATATGTGCTTTATTTTCTGCATCTGACACTTGCAAATTCATCAATCTCACAATTTCTACTAACCGTGTTGTTGCCTTTTCTGTAGACATGGGTACTAGAAAAGGCAAACTACACAAAGGTAAAATACTTATAGGCAACTTCTTATCACGAAATGAAGAAGTCAATGATCAATGGAGTGTGTTCTAATGGAGTTTAGAAACTTTTGATTATTTGCAGGAAGCTATAGCAGGATACTACAGGTTTATATGGAATCTCTTCTATGCAGAGTATCTGTTATTCCCATTCTTCTAGCTTTCATGGTGAACATTCTTCTTTGTAGCTTGGAGTCAAAATCAGTTTGTTCATGTACATACTAAGGATATGTCCTTTTTGAATTTTGATATCTTGCAATAATAATGCTTTTACCAATGCAAACGACAGTCTTCTGAGTTTCATAACTTTCATGGTCACTGACACTGACTAGCTTAAACCGTAAAAGAATAAATCAAAATCAAAAACATAATGTTGGAAAACCTAAATCCATTTTGCACATGTCCATGAATTCAAAACTGATCAATGTTAACCTTATACAATAAAAAAATATAATAACTTATGAATATGTATAATTTTAATCCTAAGAAATATTTTAATTACGATGATTAACTATGTTAAGTAGTCCCGCAAGTTAACCCGCTTAGCTATGAGCTAACCACAAGCAAACCGTGTAACCCATTGACCCGGTTCTTACTGGATAAACAAATGAAAGCCCATTTTGACAGCTCCATTAGAGCCCAAAACCCTAATTCCCATCTGTATATAAACGCTGTTAGGGTTTTGGTCCGTCCTCTTGAAGCTTTATAGTGCTCTCTATCTCTGCCGTATTTCTCACCCGCGCGACGCTTAACGATCTCAGGTGATCTTATTTCTCCAAATTCTCTCGCATTACTCTGTTATCGTATTCGTTGATTTGGCTCAATACTCTGTTTCTCTCACAGCCATGGCCTCCGCCGCTGAAGTCGACGCTGAGATGCAGCAGGCTCTTACCAACGAGGTCAAGCTCTTCAACCGCTGGACCTATGATGACGTTTCGGTAAATTTCCTCAGCGATTCATTCTCTTTTTCTAATTTTTGTTTTTGTGAACTCTTTTCTGTCTCTCTTTAAGTTCAATATTCATCTGATTAATCCTCGCTTTGCTTCGTTAAATGTATTCATTCTGGTTTTGGAATTTAGCTTTTTTATGCATTTTCTTCGTAGATGTTATAGGTTATTGCATTGGCTTCACCATATTTAGTCAATATCATATTGTTCTCGCTCCAAACAAGTTTTTTTCCTTCATTTCAGTTTCCCTACAGTGCTTACTCCATTTCAGTATCTTCATATAGTGTTTAATTTATGGTTCATATCTTGCATTGCTTGGTGTAACCTTGTTTTAATGGCAACATCGTTTTGAGGTGTAGAGATTCTTCTTCTTGTGCTCATTCGCCAAGTTTTATGTGCTAGATTGTTTGGTTTGAAATCTCTTCTGTACGTCAATGAAGATTTGATCTTTATTTTGGTATTATGAGTACTGATTCTTGATGTTGTAATTAACAATTCTTTTTTCGCTTTTCGTATCTTGTAGGTCACAGACATCAGTCTTGTCGACTACATTGGAGTGCAGGCAGCTAAACATGCTACCTTTGTCCCTCACACCGCCGGAAGATACTCTGTGAAAAGATTCCGTAAGGCTCAGTGCCCCATCGTTGAGAGGCTCACAAATTCCCTCATGATGTACGGGAGAAACAACGGAAAGAAGCTGATGGCAGTCGGGATTATCAAGCACGCTATGGAGATCATTCATCTCTTGACTGACTTGAACCCAATTCAGGTCATCATCGATGCCATTGTTAACAGGTATAAAGCTTTTTTGATTGCAAAGTCTGTTTCCGCTCTAATATCATTGCAACAGTGAGCGCTTTTTTCTCATGATTGTTTGTTCTTGTTACTTGAGCCAGTGGTCCAAGAGAAGACGCAACCAGAATCGGATCTGCTGGTGTTGTGAGGAGACAAGCCGTTGATATCTCCCCTCTAAGACGTGTTAACCAGGCTATCTTCTTGCTTACCACCGGTGCTCGTGAGGCTGCTTTCAGAAACATTAAGACTATTGCTGAGTGCCTTGCTGATGAGTTGATCAACGCAGCCAAGGGCTCTTCCAACAGGTAAAACACACTCCTAAATCATTAACGATCTCTTAATGTGTTCATTAGTGAAGCTAATAATTATACCGTTTATCTATTGCAGTTATGCCATCAAGAAGAAGGATGAGATTGAGAGAGTTGCCAAGGCCAATCGTTAAAGAGTTTCATTTTGCCCTGAGGGTTTCAATCTTGTCAAACAGCTTCTTTGTGTTTTTATTTCATTTAGATTGGAATATGTATCAGATGTTTTGCTCTTTTGTTCTATGAAGTTTATTTCGTCTGGCTACTTTGAATAGGTAAATTTTGATGCGTTAAGTGATTTCGTATCAGTTTTTGAATATTGAATAGCAACTTGTTAGCATCTTGTAGCATCTTAAACAGTTTGCTTTACATCGTGGTAGGATTATTATATAATTCATTTTCTCTTCACATCTCAATAAACGACGATTCTGAACTAGAAGACTAGAACAATCAATATAAGTCTTAAACGTTGAACAGTTTATTAGAAGACAAAATACAACACAAGTAGGTGGACTACAAGCCGCTACATTATTCGATTTCATATTTGACTCACGTACACTACACACACTAGTGAAAATATGATTATACCCCAAACATTTGGAACTTTTTATTTAATGAGTCTCCTTTGGTGGCTTCACAATAAGAATGGGGCATTTAGCGTGGTGAGCACAGTAATCGCTAACGCTCCCAAGAAACGCTCTTCAAAAACGCATAAAAGCAAACGTTAAGAAAAAGCGGTGAGACATTTTTGAGTTTGGTTTAAATGGAAAGTAGAAGTGAATAACATATGTATTATACCTCTTGATCTTGCCAAGACCACGACTGCCTACAGCGAGAAGATCAACGTGCATTTGCTCCACTGCCTGGCAAATCATGTCCTTTGCATCGCCTTCAAGCACCAGAGTTTCAGTACGTATCTGCATATATATCACACATGCAAGACTTGTATATAATAATTTTTTTTATTATATAGTTGCATTGGATGCCAAATAATGAAATTTATCTAGTGAAATATACTATCGCATATATGTAAGGGAACCAAAGATAAACTTAATGTCATCCCCTCTAATTAATAGTTGATGTTAAGCTCTGCATTAAAACTCAAAAGGTGTTTAATATTTGTTCAATGTCGATTTGGTTCCGGTGGGGATATACAGGGCCGGATCTGGGCTAAGTCTGTCTGTTGAAACATTTGTTTCAGCCCTTAAATCTTTTAATTTAATTTAGTTCACAAATTTTTTTTTTAAAAAACAAAATTTTTCTTATAAAACCAACTATAGGTCTTCATTTCTGTTTTTGTTTTAAGCCTCTAAAATCTCAAATCCGACCCTTGGGATATCCAAATTGTTTTAAAATAAAAAGTAACTCCGTATATATATTCGGGTATTTGTTGATTATCCAGTTCTTCCTAATTCAGTTCAGTTCGGTTCCACTTCTAGGGAATTGATAGAAATGTATATAAAACAAAGTGAAGTGTATAATAAACCTGTTTGGCTCGGCACATTTGGAGTGCACGCGAGAGAAGCGCTGCAGAGGCCTTCTGTTGTGATTTTTTCACTGCCTCTATCATCGACGAAGATGCGTAGACTGCTGTATGTACGTACATCCGTTATTCACCATACTATGAAATGTAAAATCAATTTATTTTACACGATACGACATGAATTTATTTATTGCTCGACTAAAGTCAGAAATTAGAATGAAGAGGCTATAACTCAATTCAGGGGGTCCACCAAAGAATAAGACGGGCAATATATATATACAGAGAGCGCGAGCGAGAGTTTAATATGTTGATCTAAGCAGAAAATAAATTAGTTTTATGTTGGAAGCTAGTATAATTTCAAGAATCAAGATTAAGGTGGTCTAAACAGTTTTATTTTCTATGGCAACGGATATTTTTTTTTCCTTTTTCTTGTTATATTGTGGCGGATAAGTTTTAGGTCAGCGCAAGTATAGACTAAAACCATAAGTTATATAATATGATTGAGGTGACGACCAAAAAAAAAAATATATATTTATATAATATGATTGAGGCAGCCTTTTGTAAGTATTTTAGATGCTATGAATTTATATGAAATTTTGGAATGAAATAAAAAATAAAAGAAGGGTTTACCCAAAAAAAAAAAAAAAAAAAAAACGAAGGGGGAGATATCAGTGGACCAGACCTGTCGCGCTGCCGGGTCCAGCCGGAAAAGCAGTAAAATGTTGGAACGGAGACTGCACATGAATCACCGTGAGCAAGCCACCTTCCGCCAAAGTGGTCGCTAAGAGGCTAGAGAAATGATCAATGACCCATTGAAGGACGTAGAAGCTTGAATCGCTCTCATCGATCGCAACCATAATCCTCTTCGTCGTAGTCACACTCGGTGTTTCTGTCATCTCCGGCTGCTTCTCAACCGTTGTCGTTTCCATCGCCGCCGTTGCTTGATCCTCCGCCATCAATCTCTTGTTTTAATAGTTTTTTTAATATTAAATGATGTGAGCAAACTTTGAATCATGTGCAATGCTTTATATACTGCTTGTAATGGATAATATGTCTTGAAAGCAACTGACACGTGGCATACATGGTTGAGACTGTAAAATATTTATATAACATGCATTTAAGATATTTATATACATTTACTTTATTATATTTTATCTGTCAGAAGGAAGGTTAGGTTATGCTGATAAAGAAAAACAAAAGCTGTGTGCGATATGTTTTAGTGGTTTGTAATTATTTGCTTGCTTATGGTTTTGGTTAATCGTGGCTGTCTCTATCTCGATCCTTTTACTTTTTTTATTTTAAATGCCACTCAACATATAGTAAAAAAGAAAACTAAAAAGCAACAGAAAGATATTTTTACTATCTTGATCCCTCATATTTTGTAATTTTATCTGCGCCAAAATCTTTCAACTGTGAATTGGTTCTGTGACCGTTTAACTTCGAAGCAAGAGTGTTATAAATAACTATTCCTACTGAATGATTTCTTATTCTGTTGATAAAGATGATTCAGCGGTAAAAACCATTGATGACAATATGGTACGATAATTTTCCGTCCATATTTCAACTAAAATACATCAATGTATTCCTAAAGGAGGCAACGAAGAGCAACTTGTTAGCACTTGATGTTGTAGAATCTTAAAGAGTTAGCTTAACATCGTGACATGTTTTTTATATGATTTTTTTTTCGACATCTCAATCAGCTTTTTAATCATTTCGAAAACTGGGATTCGATTCAACGAAGATTCAGATCTAGACGAATAATTAGGCAAAATAAAATAGCGACTACAAGCTACATTATTCGATTTTATTCATATTTACACACACCACACATTTTCCTAATAGGCTCATCCAAATTAATACATTTTCAGACACACGCGTACGTACAAAACACACTCATGAAAATATGATTATACTTAAAACATGTGCAACTTTTTACTTAATGAGTCATCTCCTTTGGTGGCTTCACAATAAGAATGGGGCATTTGGAATGATGAGCACAGTAATCGCTAACGCTCCCAATAAACGCTCTATGAAAACGCATGAAAGTAAAACAAAGATGAAAAGCGGTCAGACATTGAGTTTGGTTTAGATAGAAAGTAGAAGTGAACAACATATGTAATATATATACCTTTTGATCTTGCCAAGACCACGACTGCCTACAGCGAGAAGATCAACGTGCATTTGCTCTACCGCCCGGCAAATCATGTCCTTCGCGTCGCCTTCAAGCACCAGAGTTTCAGTACGTATCTGTTTATACCACACAAGATTTGTATAGAATTTTTTTGTTTTAAAGAAGATTTGTATATATAGTTGCGTTTGATGCCAAATAATGAAATCTATCTAGTGAGTATATATATGTAAGGGAACCAAAGGTGTTTGATATTAGTGAATCATGTCTAAATTTTCGGATAATGTTCCATGACGGTTCGGTTCCGGTGCGGATATCCAAAATGTTTTAAAACCACACCGTATTCGGGTATTTGTTGATGATTATCCAGTTCGGTTCTGGTTACTCCTAATTCAGTTTCGGTTCGGTTCCAAGAAATCGATAGAAACGTATATAAAACAAACTGAAGTGTATAATAAACCTGTTTGGCTCTGCAGATTTGGAGTGCACGCGATAAAAGCGCTGTAGAGGCCTCCTGTTGTGATTTTTTCACTGCCTCTATCATCGACGAAGATGCGTAGACTGCTGTATGTATGTACAACCGTTCATAGAACCAAGTTAGTCACCATATCATAAAATGTAAAATCTATTTGTTTTCACGATACGACATGAATTTATTTATTTCTCGACTAAAGTCAGAAATTAAAACGAAGAGGCTATAAATCAATTCAGGGGTCCAACAAAGAAGAAGACGGGAAATATCTATATATATATATATATATATTTATACAGAGAGAGCGAGCAAGAATTTAACATGTTGATCTAGATTAGTTTTGTGTTGGAACTTGGAAGCCAGTATAAATTATAGATTAAGATGTAGTTTTCAATGAAGGTGGCCTATTCAGTTCTATTTCTATGGCAACGGATATTTTTTTTTTTCCTTTTTTTGTTATATTGTGGCGGATTATCTCTAGGTCAGCACAAGTATAAGACTAAAACCATAAGTTATAATATGATTGAGGCAGCCTTCTGTAAGTATTTTATATGCTATGATTTTATATGAAAATTTGAATTAAAAAAAAAAAAAAATTTAAAGAAGGGTTTACCCAAAGAAAAAAAAAAATTAAAGAAGGGAGAGATATGAATGGACAAGACCTGTCGCGCCGCCAGGTCCAGCCGGAAAAGCAGTAAAGTGTTGGAACGGAGTCTGCACATGAACCACCGTGAGCAAGCCACCTTCCGCCAAAGTGGTCACTAAGAGGCTAGAGAAATGGTCAATGACCCATTGAAGGGCGTAGAAGCTTGAATCGCTCTCATCGATCGCAACCATAATCCTCTTCATCTTAGTCACACTCGGTGTTTCAGCCTCTACTGTAGTCTCCGGCTGCTTCTCCACCATTTTCCTTTCCATCACCGTTGTCGTTTCCATCACCGTCTTTGCTTGATCCTCTACCGTCAATCTCTTGTTTTATTAGATGATATGATATGACCTAACTTTGATTCTTTTGCAATGCTATATAGTGTATACATTATATACTTTTTAGTTATTTTTTTTGCTGATGGCATGTAATGCTTTATATGTTGCATGTAAATGATGATACGTCTTGAAATACAACGGACACGTATAGCATGGTGGAGACTGTAACGTGCTAACATCTTCGTCTTATATGTTGCATGTAAATGATGAGTTTTTGGTTTAAACTCATATTCACATCTAAATCAACTAACATTTTAATTGAATCGGTACGAAAACAAACTAGAAGAACAAGCTGCTTTAATAGGTAGTAATCTTAAACGTTCAACAATATGATTAGAAGGCAAAATACAATATATAGTAGGAGGACTACAAAGCCATCGCTTCATTATTTAATTCGATTCATATTGACATTACTCTTTGCAATACACAACACACATTTTTCTTAATAGGTCACTAATCATCCATCCAAGTTAAACATTTTCAAACACACACGCGTACGTATGACACACACTCCTCATGAAAATATGATCGATTATACTAAAACATGTGGAACTTGTTACTTAATTAGTCATCTCCTTTGGTGGCTTCACAATAAGGATGGGACAGTTGGCGTGATGAGCACAGTAGTCGCTAACGCTCCCAAGAAACGCCCTTCGAAAACGCATAAACAAAATTGAAAAGCGGTCAGAAACTATTTTATATATATATATATATATATAGATATAGTATACCTTCTGATCTTGCCAAGGCCACGGCTACCAACAATGAGAAGATCAACGTGCATTTGCTCCACTGCCTGGCAAATCATGTCCTTGGCCTCGCCTTCAAGCACCAGAGTTTCAGTACGTATCTGCAACAAGATTTGCATATATAGTTTCACGTCTGATATATGTATATGCCCAAATAATGAAATCTATATATTAGAA